CAATTTTGTTGAACATCCCACTTAATCTCTTGACAAACTACTTGAACCTAATCGCTGTGTTACTTTTGACCAGACTAAAGACGTCTCGTACAGAAAAATTCATCAAGAAGTTTGTGGTATTTTTGATGACGTTGGCATGCATACCATTAAATGAAGAACTAAGCACTAAAACAGGAGGACAAATAAATGCAGAATTCGTTGTATCCTTCATTGAGTCTGTGCAACAAGGAGTCTTCCAACAAATTTATAACAGTTTCATCTTGCCTACGTCGGAGACCTTTGCCAACTTACAGGACAATGAAGATAGCTGTATTGGGCTTGTCTCAAATGGCAACATGTCCATCCTTTTCCGAAGGCAACTACAAGGTTCTTCTCTTGCCTACTCTAGAACAGCTTTGTAAAAACTTGAGTCTCTTGCAAGGTATTTCGAAAGCTACTTCTACTGTGGGAAATACCATTACCGGGGATGCTCAAACTGCAAGCGTGGCAGTGAACGAATTAGACTTAGAGAGTTCAGCCTATGGTTCTACATTTTCCAGACTTGTTTCCATTCAGTTACCACAATTTGATCCTTTGCCTCAAGTCACTAATGAAGATTTCAAAGCTATCAAGCTTGGAGCAATGAGTAATATTCAAAAATTAGCTCCACTTGGGGTATTGAATCTGCTCAGCGAGGAGGCAAAGGTTATAGTATCTAGTGTGTGACGGTAGTAATGGATAAATCCCTAAACGTATTTTAGAACCATACAAATATAAAGAAATATAAAGAGTCGGAAAAAAAAAAAAGAGGAAAAGTAAATTACATTAAATCGTCCAGCCCACCGTGAGCAACACCCAAATCTGTTGGCTTATGAACTCTGCTCAATGAGATTCAGATATTCAGATTCTTTTTGTTTGTTGTCGGTTTCCTCCGTCGAGTTAACATCTGGTGTGGGTTGTGTTGACATATCCGATTAGGAGCATCATCTTTCTTCGATTCTTGCCTTGGCCAGGGATGAATCGTTGTCCTCCAAAGTTTTTCAATTTTTCCAATCTTTCCTTCTCTGCAATTTCTGCTGCCGTTAAAAACCTTCCTCCTTGGCCTCTGGGTCTTCTCATTGCATGCTTATGTCTTGATTCATGCAAGTAGGGTTTTCTTGTGCGAGCGATTTTCAATGTTTCTTCCAATTTTGCTCTGGCAATTCTTCGTTTCAAAATACGGTGGTATTGCTTTGCATTCACGTAAAATGGTTGCTCCGCCGGCTGTTCCATTGGAGGCTGTTGGGGAATATGAACTGGTAGAGATGAGTGTGCATGAGTCTGGCCGGGAGTGCCTGTTTCGGACATTTGCTCTTGCTGGTAATAGCCACTACCAGGTGACTCCGTGTTTTCATACAGTGAGTTTTGGGCTGCAGGGTTGTAGTATGGAGATCTACCCTGGTCTAGCTGGTTGTGCATCATTTGTTGGGGGATCTGCGAGTTATAGTAAGACTGGGGAACTTGGTCTTGGTAGTAAGCCTGATCCTGATGATTTTCTAACGACGTCATGATGGCTATAGAGAAAAAATTTTAGCAAAATAAAACCAAGCTAAACGAAGGTTGGAGCTGTATTTGGTTGATTGAATGGTTCTCGAAAAGATATGGATTTCTACTACTGCAGAAAATGGGAGTCTGCACGTACTCAAGGCACAGAACGTGCGCCGGTACAATTCTAGTCCGATCTCGGAGCTAGGTTTACGACGATCGGAATCTTTCCAAGATATCAAATGCTTCAACTGAATGTGATTTATGTACTTTCTGAAATCCGGTAAGCTACATAGGTTTTGTTTTTTTTGAGAAGCTTGCGAATTTTTCCCTCTGTGCGTCATCTTTCACGCGGGGGAAATTCGGTGCATCCGGAGAACTTCTTGCGACTTGAAAAAGCCAAAACATCCTCTGTCCATGACGGGAATGCTTATCTATGGCTAAAAAAAATGACACTATTTAGATAGCAGTCGACTTTGTCCTAGGTAGTGATCTCCAATATCCATTTGTTGTGCTATGCGTTTATGGATAGCATTTGTTTTAGTAGAAGACTCAAAAACAGGTACCACATCTTCTGGCCCAGCCGTTTTCTCATCCACACAATCCTGTTGCATGGCGATTCGTTGAAGAATGTAGTTAATTCTCTTATGTGATTCTGCTTCTTGATACTGTTCGTGCAAATTCAGGTGCGACAGAGCCGGATGTCGCGGACTATGAGGCTTAGTGATAGCACTGGAGAGTAGGCTTATACCCGTATCAACGAATCTGTCAGTCTCAAGCTTTTTATCTGGAGTTGCTGATGTGTTGACTGCTTCTTCCTTGTCTTTGTGTTTTTCCGTCACATGTTCTGGCCAAGAACAATCTAGTTTGTTGGCCTGACAATTATGACACTTGGGGTACAGCGCCTCATCACACTTCTTTTTTCTGCGGCGACATGTAAAACAACCATCCCGACTGCGTTTATGGGCTACCATCATGCATTATCAACCAGCTTTGCCAACTCTTCGTTGAAGGGTAAAAAGATTCTTGTTGAAAGATGTAGTTTCCTAATGTGGTAATCGCGCACCGCGCTTAGCGCCACGCCAATAAACGGCTTACAAATTAGGCTCCAATGCCCACGAGTGAAACTATCACTTCAACCACAGTACGCGTAAGCAGTATGGAATCAAAAGGAGCCCTGAATGTGGCATGTTTTCTGAGGAAACGATTCTGCCTAATTTTGATTTTTACATCTTCGCGACTTGTTTGCATAATTTGTGGAAATTACCAAATGTACGTCTATTCCTAATAATCTCCACAAAAAAAAAAAATAAAACACCTAAGAAGCAACGACACCTCTGGCACATTCTGGGACCATCTAGATCATGGGAAATATTATATTTTTAGCAGAAGGAAAATCTTCTAACCTAACGAAATTGCATTGAATGGAAAACCTAACCTTTTTGGCCGGCGCTGACTGCCCAAATCCAAGATCGACTTCACTTGTTACTTTCACCGCATGGAGGTGTCCCGAAGAAATCTGGTAATGCTGGCGTCACCCGGCTCTGCACCCTCACATCTGACAAATAATGAAAGCTCTTCTGAGCTTGCTGAGTTTTCAGTGGATGAAATCTTCTCCAAATACTCAGTCCACCAAGTGCAGAAACTCCATTACGATTACAAGCGCAATGTGGCCAAAGCCAAAGAGGACTTGCATCGATTGGTGGGCGAGAAATACAGAGACTTGATTCGAATTGCCGAGGACATTGAAGGAATGAGCGAAATGTCGCGTGAAGTAGACAATCATTTATCTGACTTATCCTACAAGCCGTCAAACTATGTTTCCTTCGGGAGCAGCTCATTGAGCAAGTTCGATTCCATGATCAGACGGTCAAACGCACGATCTTCAAGAACCAAATCATACAAGACAATTCTCAACAACGTGATCAATAACAAACTCATTAGCCTTGACCTTAAACTCAAGACTGACAAGTTGAAGAGATCCTCCACGCTTGTATTCATGGCAAAATTATACTACACGATCGGTGTAACATTCAAGGAGACCTTGCGTCAGAATCCTAACTCGAGTACGAATCTTATCATTTTAAAAAACAGTTTCGTCAATTACTTAGAGTACAAAATCGCCACTTTCAATACAGCGTCAGAGTCTCTCCTTGCTGATTCAGAAATATTGTACTCCAAAGGAAAGCGTTTTGATGAAGATGGTGATATTGAATTTTATACAGACACGTTTGGTGACGATGAGCAAGAAGAATTATCCGATCTGGAGGAAAGTGATTACTCAATCCCTGTTCCATCACATTTCAATTCTGCAAGTCCAATCGTGAATTACGTGCTCGCTTACATAATCGTCAACCATGATAATGAAGCACTTGATACTTTGGAGAAAGTGGCAGATAAATTCATTACTTTGAGGCAGAATTACCTCAGTAAGCGCCTTGAATCGGTACAAAAGAGTGCAAAGAACTTGCCGAAACCAAAGATTGACTTCTTCCCAATATTCAACTATATTGAGACAACTTGTTCATATGTCGACAAACTTTTTGTGTCACAGGATACCGCAACTAATGACTTGTACCGCCTATTGAAAAGTGTAACCGACTGGAACGCTTCTGATATAATCGGATTTCACAACTGGTTCGATGAAGAGAGGGTCAGTTTCGACTTGCGTCAATACTTATTACATGTCCCGCCTGAGAATACGGAAAAGAAATTCTCCGCATTTGCATCCATCGCATACAATTTTCTGATCGATTGTTTGGTCACTTGCAGTAAAACAAGTGACTTTGTGCAATCTTCAAAAAGCTCATTATACTTGTTACATAATTTTGTGAATGCTCTCCGTCGTGCTGAAGTTTTCTTCTTGTCGAATACGTCCACCTGCTTTACTGTACAACTCCTTTCAGAGGCAGATGTGGCGAATCGAATTCTCGAGTATGTTCAGAGAGATGTGCTTGAACAGCTAGTCAAGGAACACATCAATCTCTTGAGCCTGGAAAACACGATGTCAATCCGTCATCTTGTGCATCGAGAGATAGAGCTGAAGTCGTTCAGAGGGACGGCCCTGCACGAGCCATTTACTTCCTCTTTTGTTGAGTTAATGGACAGTAATATCAATGATTATATCACTTCTGTTATAAATTTGACAACAACCGCACCAACAAGGCAGGAAAATGAATGCAGCGAATCTGCTCTTCATCAATGGTTTCTGAAAACGCTCCATTTTTTGAACCTTTTAAAATTATCAGATGACAGCGTTCCTAGAAAAATATTCAAGAGCTTAGACCGGGAATTCACTGATCTCGATGGTGTTAGTGGCTCGTGGGGCTCTTTTAGCAAAGAGAAATTGCAGGATACTTTTGGTAGATTACGTCTGAATGTTTTAAAGACATTGCTTTCACAGGTTGAAATATTTTCCAAGTCCATTGAAGACTTGGTTGAGGTGAATTTGGAACAAGACAAACTAGACATAATCATCTTCCTTTTGCGTATTCTAATTATCACGAAGGAAAACACTTTAAACGTTGGAGACGAGAAACAGATATCTGCAATCATCACTTCAATTGATGTTAGCATGACGAAAGCTTGTGGTAAATTGTTTATTGCATTTTCCTCTACTCTCGATGGTGAAACGTCTTTCGCTGATATTATTGAATCGAACAACTTTTTGAGTTTGGATTCTGATACTCTTCCTGTGAGACCACACATTGGGTTGAGCTCTGCGTTTTATTGGCTTTCGTTAAAGTTTTTTGACTCAGCTCATTACAAGAAACATGAAATGTGCAACATGTATCTGAATCAAAATTTAAGAAGCAGTTTTGTTGAAGCAAAGAAAACATGGATTATGAATGATATCATTCAGAAACTTCTTGAATTCTCCAAGAAGGATGTCGTGAATGCAAAGGACAACGGAAAGGAGATAGAAGATACAAAAGCAGAAGTGGTAGAAGAGGAAGTCAAGGAAAAAGTTGAAGAGAAGGAAGAGGAGAAGGAACCAAAGGAAGCCAATGAAGAACAAGATGGATGGGAAAACGAAGACGACTGGGAAGAATCAGACTTGAACAATTGTGGCATATCAGACAAGGAGTCTGCCGTAAATGCAAGTCTTGGTGATATAAATGAACAGGTTAGTGATGCGAATGATGCTGTTGCATCTGAAAAAATGCTACCGGAACAATCCAGGCAATGTCTAGCCAACATAATATTCTTACTTAGTTTCGTGGAAGAAGGGGGAGTTACTGAAACAAACAAAAAACTCACCGAATTGATAGAGACTCTAAATGAGAAGAGTTCTGAGCCTTTGCAACACTCATCAGTGGAATACATTGTGCGCAATGTGACCGACTTTTACAAGTCTAGCAAGCACTTGTATTTGCCCTTGCTGGCCAACTAAAATTCCTAATTTACAGTATGTAGCGTACTAATACAAATAGACCTTGCATCCAGCATCGGTCAAGTGCTTCAAAGTTTCGTTAGTTTCCTTGATGTCCCAAATATTTTGCATCTTCTGGTCCAAGTAACTGTTGTCCATAAGAACAATTTTGATTTCGTCGCTTTTCAATGTCAGCTCTTCGTCATTCAAGACTTTAAGGAGACGACCTGGAGTACAACAAAGAACACGAGACCACGTTGATGCAACTAATTTCAAGTCAACGTGTAGCTTGTTCTTGTTAATCAATTTCAAAGACGAACCGGGAATCTCACGAAGAGCACGGTGTACGTCACATGCTCTGATAGCGGACATGGACAAAATAGCAATGAACTTGCGCTCGGCTTGATCAGGCTCCACGTCCTGCTTTTGTTTCTTTTTGTTCTTTATTATATTCTTCTTACCCGGTGTGGAAGAAGGAAGCATGTTAGCGAATCTGTCCAAGATAAACTTCGAAAGGTTCTCCAAAGTACGAGGATGAGCAAAATCTGCTGTCGATCTGAAGTCCGTCTTCTTGAAATAGAGCTCTGCCAATTCCAATGCAGAAAGGTCTGGATTCTTTCTGCGAATCGAATCATTGATGTAATCTGCAATGGCTTCCGGTGCTGATTCCTTTGATAAGTTCTTCTTTTGCAGAATATCCATGCTCATTTTGAGCTTTTTCTTTTCATGCAACTTCAGATTTGCCTTACGCTTCTTGGGATTTTTTGCGGCATCTGCACTTGTTGAATCTGCCACTTTTGTAGATTCCGCTTCTACGGATTCTTCCTTGGATTCCCCTCGTTCTATTTCCGTCTCAGAGTCAAACGCCTCGGATCCTCCTTCAGGTCCATCGGACAAGTAATATTCTAAACCGTCCTCCAAATCGTCGCCAGCCATTATAAAGAAAAGTTCAGTTGGTGATGAGATGAGTTTCTATGCCAGATGATGCGCACTGGTAATCTTCGCGTGTCATAAGTAGAATAGCGATTGAATACACTCACTTTGAGAGCTTGTTATTTTTCCCTTAGTAATTTTCTAGAACTTTGCTTGAAAGCTTTGGACCCGGTGAAGGTTCTTCATTGAAATGTACGACAGGGTTATAAAAACTGAAATTTGAAAAATTCAAATTACGCCGTATTCAATAAAGCCGTGGTACGGGCAAGAGTGGCAAATGGCAGTAAGTTTTTGTAACCTTAATGACGATTCATCGTAATCGAAGAAATATGACTGATCTGTCATGGCACATCCATAATGTCTAAATGACTGGACTGTACAAAGTCCGATGCGCTCTTCATAAGCACGGCAATAGCTATCTCCAAAGTTTTCTTTAACTCCTTCGACTAGCGACAGAGAAGCTTGCAGGAGGATAAAATAAGCCTCGTTTGTGCATCAAGAGAAAGATATTCTTCTGGTATTCATGGCATTTCAAGTGACTCGTACTTTCCGGCGCAGCATCGCCATGTGCTCTTCGCTCGAGCGCCGACTCGCTGCGGCTCCGCTTCATGGCGTTATAGTTGTTGGCGGTGGGCATGCCGGATGTGAAGCCGCTACGGCATCTGCCCGTGCTGGCGCTGCCACAACGCTTGTGACGCCCCACGTGAACAAGATCGGTACCGCATCGTGTAATCCGTCGATGGGAGGTGTGGGCAAGGGAACGTTGCTCCGTGAGGTGGACGCTCTCGACGGTGTGGCCCCTCGTGTTACAGACAAGGCCGGAATCCACTTCAAAACGTTAAACGCATCCAAAGGTGCGGCAGTCCAAGGCCCACGAGCACAGATCGACCGCGACATCTACTTACGAGAGATGCAGCGCACAATCATGCTGTACCCAAATTTGCAAGTCCTTGAGGCGCTGGTAGAGGATGTGGTTATAGCAGAGGGCCCAAAGCCGGAAGTAAGGGGCGTTGTGTTGGGTGATGGCTCGGTGCTCCGGTGTAACCAGGTTGTGCTCACAACGGGCACGTTTTTGGGTGGAGAGATTCATATTGGCATGACCGCATACCCGTCTGGAAGAATAGGCGAGGCTGCTACTACAGGCTTGTCTCGAACATTGAAGCAAGCCGGGTTCCGCTTGGGCCGCTTGAAAACGGGAACGCCGCCAAGGTTACTGTCCAAGACTATTGACTACCGCGGACTTGCACCTCAACCATCCGACATGCCGCCACAGCCAATGTCATATCTAAACGAGCGTGTGGAGTTAGAAGATCGGTTAGTGGAGTGCCATCAGACGGCAACCACACCGCAGTTTCACCAGTTGGTTCGTGATAATCTTCATCAATCTATCCACATTCGCGAGACGGTCAAGGGCCCACGCTACTGCCCTTCCATTGAGTCGAAGGTGATTCGGTTCCCTCAAAAAGACATGCATGTGGTGTGGTTGGAGCCGGAAGGCTTGGACTGTGACATTGTCTACCCCAACGGTATCCTGTGCACGATGCCCGAAAATATTCAAGAACAGTTAGTGCGTATGATGCCCGGATGTGAAAATGTTGTCATGCTCCAACCAGGCTATGGCGTGGAGTATGACTACGTGGATCCACGCGAGCTTCATCGCACCTTGGAGACCAAACGAGTGGCTGGTTTGTTCTTAGCTGGTCAAATCAATGGCACCACTGGTTATGAAGAAGCTGCAGCTCAAGGCTGCCTCGCGGGAATTAACGCGGGTCTTGCGAATGTTGGACGTTCTCCTCTTGTGCTCCGCCGTTCAGATGCGTACATCGGAGTTTTGGTGGATGACTTGATCACGAAGGGCGTAGAAGAGCCTTACCGTATGTTCACACTGAGGTCGGAGTTTCGTTTTTCGATTCGGGCCGATAACGCAGACAAGAGGCTCACAGAGATGGGCTACCGTGCCGGTGTAGTGAGCGAGCAACGGTATCGCCACTTCGCCAAACAACACGATCAGTTCCAAGCTGTGAAGCTGCACCTCAAGTCGATATCTATGTCAGGTGCTCGTTGGGCACCAGCGTTGAGAGGAACCCACCGTGTGAACAACATATCTGTAGTTGATGGTTGGAAATTGCTTTCTTATAAGGATATGCACTTGGCAGACTTGGTTCCACATTTGGAAAAATTGACTGGAGCTCCACTTCCAGATTGCTACCAAGAGATGTCGAGGTGGCTTACTCAACGCATTGATGTTGAGGCCACATATGAGCCTTGGCTCAAAAAAGAAGAGGCTCACTTAAAAGCTTTTGAAGCAGACGAGAATTTGTTGTTGCCCATGGATTACACATACACCAACACTGGAAATGTCAAGCTTTCGCACGAAGTGTGCCATCTCCTCAACACCATCCAACCACGTACAATCGGCCAAGCTCGCAGGATCCAGGGAGTCACACCAGCTGCACTTTTTGAGTTGTTCAAGTTGGTGCGGAACAATCAAGCTGAGTACCAGGAAAAGGAGGAAAAATCAAATGTGGAAAAGCCTCAGGAAGAGGCTTCGCTTTAGGACGGGAACATAAAAGAACACTGGCTAATGATGGGTGCAATAGTGGCAGGAGTTAGGCCCGGTCTACCAGTAAACTGTAAACTTTTAGATAGTTGCTTTCTTGTATATACATTTTTAGTCTGAATCGGACATTATTGCATCACTGTCCCGAAGTGTCGAGCTGCTATCAAGTGCATCATTCGACATGTCTCTCTTAGGAATATTTCTATCAGCTGAGGTTTGAAGGCTATTGTCAAGCGCAATAAGCGCCTCCAAGGGTAAGATTCGATTGGCCAACCGAGACACAACTTCAATCTCTGAAACGTTTGCGGTGGGTCGAATACGATTCAAATACAATAATGCATCTTGAATGTTAATTTTGTTAGACTGCCTGTGTCCAGCATAGGCTTCCAAATCGACCATTAGTTGCTGCAAAAACTCGTTTGATTTAGCCGTTACCAACTGCACTGCACTTGCGGATAATCTATTCTGCTTAACCCGTTTCTTGGGCGGGCTGTGACCATCATGGGATTTGCGTATTCGTTGCGCGAGAGTCACCGAGCTTTTCACAAAGGACTTGGGTATCACCAGACCGGTAGCAGATTTGCTTGTAGAATCAGTAATCGATTGTCCAGGTGGGGTGATCTCGCCGGGACTCATCCAGTTTGAATCAGAATCAGCCGTGCCGATATCCTCCTCAGCGAGAGCAGGTTTGAGTTGAAAATGTTCTAACTCTCCCACATCTTCATTTCCAATGGTAAAATGTCCCAGTATCATTCCAGTTTGCGACAGATCCGATCCAAGATCCTGATCTGGAATATCTGGAATCTCTTTGCTCACCAGTTCTTGGGGAGTCAGCATTTTGGATGTGTAAAAAAGCACTGAATCCCATGGAGGTATTTCCATAGCTTTCAAATCATCAAAACCGAATTCCCCAGTATTTGGAGGCGTCTCATGGCTACTGGAAGGTTGCAAATGCTGCGCAATGGAAGGCGAGTCCACGGGATGATTCTCTTTCTCGCTGGAATCGTTTGAAGGGGAACTATCTCTCAAGGTTCCGAAAGCGACAGGCTCTTGTAGTTGTAGCTCCAGAATTGACATGTTACGGCTTCCACCGTATTCTGGGAGACTAGAAAGAGTGTTTTCAATGACAAATTGGGATGCGTTGATGACAGCATTAAAGTCATGGCCCACAGGTTCTTCTGGGTGCAATACGTTGACTGCAGTTCTTTGCTGTTCATTTTCATGGGCTGGCTTGCTTCTACTTTCAAGGATACGCTCTAGGTATGACTTGAAAGTAGGTTTAATGCTATGGTAAGGTTCTTCGACTGTAACACCCACTGTTAAACTGACAGGAGAGTTAGGGGCGGACGGCAATGGAAGAGAATAGTCGAATTCATTAGGAAGACTTTGAGCAGAGTTGAGCAGGTTTATGGATGCCGAAGGTTCTAAGTGTCGCACTAATGACATTGTGCCGCCATCATTAGGGCTCACCGATTGCAAGCGATGCTGTTCGTCCAATGCCTTGTACATTTCATCGTTGTCATCCTCTGGTGACAGACGCTTCTTGTCGTATACTAGAGCCCGAGAGAAGGCACGAAGGAATTCCCGGGTAACGGGTCCAGCGTAACCCGCGTCGTAGACTATTCCAGCAGATGAGCGACGTCGCCTGCGAACCGTTAAATTACCACTCAACCTTCTAGTCGGTGTCTGTGTTCGTGACGCGACTTTCGACAGACTAGGAGCCAGGCGCCGCCCACTGGTTGGACGCAGCGAATCCGCACTCACGCGGCGCAGAGACATCCCACTAATCACATCAGAGAGTTCTTGAGGAGGAAGGTGGATATTGCTTAACCGCGAGCGGAGTGGAGCCGAAAAGTTAGCAAAGTCATGCGGTGCAGTGGTGGGACGTAGAGGCGTCGAAGGCTCAGTACGCAGATGCAGCATGCTCGGTGTAGGCAATCCGGGGTACCCGATGTGTATAATGTTTGTGTTATGATGTTGTGATGGCACTGCAGACTAAACCATCGCGCGCAGATGCAAGCGATATACTCCCCACGTATAGATATGAGTATTGCAGATATGACTGCGTAGTACGAGCACAACATTGTTTCAGAAAAGGTGGCTCGCTTTTGCAGAAAAGGTACAATTGGAACAGAAAGGGCAAAAGTCACTCCCACGTGCAATGAGTCAAATATTGAAAGTCTGAGCTCTCATTGAAAAACGCGAACTGTCTCAGTCTTATATAGACAACGTTTACATGGCTGCAAATATCACTGCCAAAAACGGACTTTTCACACCATGCTATCTTACAGACCTTTACTTCTTTCTGTCTTCTTTCTGATCCACTTTCTCATCTACCTTCTCATCTACTTTTTCATCTACTTTCTAATCTACTTTCTCATTCACTTTCTCATCCACTTTCTCATCTATTTCGTTCCTTCTTCTTTTTCTATTCATTTCCTTTGTCTTGCAGCTTTGTTGTAATTATATAGGGGTATACGACTATTTATTGCAAATTACCTGTTTGAACTGGCTTGGACAAAGATGCCCCTTGAACAATATTATTTTCAAAATGTTGACCAATCCGCCATAGTGTAACTTGAGCAAGTTCCAAATATCCATGACTCAGACTTGACTATCAACTTCGACTTAAGTGAATATATGTGGACAAAAAAAAATAAGAAATACTCAACAGAGTAACCCGTTTGTTCAGCACTGACATGCCTAGACTCAACGAGGACCTATGCGCGCCTTTGTTGCTACTAGAGTGCACATCATAAAGTTGGTGAGAAACCGACTCCAAGCCCAAGCAACCACACCATGGAGACCCAACGCGGCGATAACCTTCTTACTGCGTTGGCAGCAGGCTGTTCTGCATCTGCATTGACGGCTTTCCTTACATTTCCACTTGACTTTTTGAAAACTAATCAGCAGCTTAGTAACGGACCGTTGCTTGCAAAGTACAATGTCAATCAAAGCATTACGAGTATTGCCCAATTTATGACGGGATCCAGTGCTTTGGTAGCTGGCAGTGTGTTGAAGAACATGACACGGATAACGATGTATCACTGGTCGTCCGATTTCATGGCTATGGATACTGCGGGTGATAAAAAGAAGACTACTGCTCCGAGAGTGGTAATTGCAGGAGCAATGTCTGGATTTGTCGAAACACTTTGGATTGTTCCCTTTGAGAGAATTAAGATTGTCATGATCCAAAACAGACTTTTGGCTGCAGAGGTCAAGGGCAACCCTAACCCTGTAGACATTACTGGTTTAGGCTTGGATAAACATCCCAAAACGCTTTTTGCCCGGCAGTACGTGTCTCCTCATGCTTATTGGACCTCTGAGCTTGCTCACCAATACAAAACAGGGAAGACTGCTTCGAAATTCCATCACCACCATGTGATCCCCGCAGACGAGCTCAAGGCAGAGTTCAATAAGACTCCGGCTATGTCTATGATCAAAGCAATTCGCCAAATGTACGCTTTGGAAGGACTTCTGGCATTCACTACCGGAACTATGATTACATTTGCGAGACAAGTTGGCACGTCAATGGCTTGGTTTTCCACATTCAATGCTACACGGCAATTAATAAACCCACACGGCAAAGCCGCCGAACCACAATGGTTCACTCTAAACTCTAGTAAAACAGAGCAGACATTCTTATATGTTGTTTCAGCAGTGGCCGCTACTGCTGTAACACAACCACTCGATGTGATAAAAAGTCATATGCAGCTGAAGAACGGTCGCATGCTCTTCCGTGACTCGCTTCTGACCGCTTACAAGCTTGTCGCTCACAACGGCGTTTCCTCTTTATTCGCAGGCGCTTTCCCTCGTGGTTTCAAGATTGCCGCACATGGAGCGCTAACAGCCATTCTATACGGCAACTTTGCCACAGCCATCACATCGGTGAGCAACAAGTCAGTGTTTCTGGAGTAATGAGAGCAAGTAACCATGTTATAATATCAATCCTCCAAATAGACTGGTACAAGCGTTTCCCCACTCTTGTGCTGTACCCCATTGAATTGTTTGGCAAGTAGGCCACCGGCAAAGCTAGGCTGGCTGAACGCCACTTGTAGCTTCTGCAACCTCATGCCATAGACAGTATATCTCAACGTCACATCTAGAAGTTGCAATGCCACGCCACATCGACGCCATGCGGGGGCCACCCAGATTCTTGATATCCCAATTTTAGCCTGTTTGTTCTCCTGGCGTGGCACTATTTGCTGGGTTCTACACACCAACCAAAACGCCGAATTGATCGGCTCTGTGACGCAAAAACCAACAGCACGATTATTGACCACAGCAACGAATACCTTTCCTGGGATTTCGTACTTTGCTGGATCTTTCCATGCAGAGCTAGGTTGTGGAGCGTTCAACTCGCGATTGACCATTTCCAAAAGAGTTTCCACCCGAGCAACCTGGCGTGCCAGCGATACATCGACTGCGTAAAAACATAACAGAATGGATTTTCTTTCCTTGACAACTCTGATCTTGCGTACGGGATCCAGTGAAGAGACCCATGGTGGACCGTTGATGAACGAAGCGTGGTACTTCGTATGCATGGCCCGGTCTTCAGCAACATTGCGCGTGTATGTCATTCCACATAGCTTGCATGAAGTGGATGCTGGAGCTACATTCAAAGTTCCTTGGATTTTCTTCACCATGGCATCTTCTCTGCCTGTAGTAGAGGTAGATGTATTTGAAACCTCTCTGTTCAATGTTTTGTGCAGTAGACTTAGCTCTATACACACGTTTAATTGAAGCTGTTTGATCAGAGATTAACCCAGAGGATTCCTTAAATGAATCCTCCAGTGAGGATCTAGAGACAGATGGTTTGGTAGCATCAGCAGGAGCAGTAGACGGAGTAAACATTGATAAGTGACGTTTGATTGACATAGACATATATGTATCGGGAGATGGAGAGATGATCCTTAGAGAAGGGAATCCATCTTAGAGAGAATAGATGATCTTATATATCCGTGAGAACTACAAGGTGAAACCTTCTTAAAACAGAGAGGGGTACGATGTGTAGCCCTATAGTTTCAGAATCTGTAAGATAACGATGAAACTGTTCTGGAGTAATCCTGACGTGCATATTGCATGTAAGAGATTCTCAACACTCCCCTTGAAGGTGAACTTCAGTAGTTCATCACAAAAGATCAATTGGGCTTAGACCAGATGCACATCTTTGACGTAGGTTCGAGAAAAGAGGATCTGTTATCGCCTTTGTAAACATGTCTGCGCAGTTCAATTTTGTAGGAACGTATTGAAGCAGCAAGACAGTGCATTGAAGTTGTTGTTTAACAAAATCAACTTTAATTCTTATGTGTTTAGTTCCTTCTAATAATGCATCCAGCTGCACAGTTTTAATGGCTGGCTGGTTGTCACAGAAGAGACTTGCGTTGCAATTTATATTCATGTCTTTTAAAAGGTTTAATAACCAGACACTTTCTTGTGTTGTGTAACATAAGGCAACAAGTTCGGAATTTGCTGTAGAGAGAGCCACAAGTGTTTGTAGCTTTGATCTCCAACTAACTGGGGATCCACCATATAGAACAACTGAACCTGTGGTTGAACGACTTTTTGTATCTGCTTCAGAGGCTAGGTTAGCATCTGAGTAACTAAAGAGCTCATTTGGTGCATATGATGTATAGCGTAAGCCAAATGTTGGGGTGCCTTTTAGGTATCTGAGAACACGTTTGGCAGCATCCATGTGTTTCACTTTAGGTGATGCAAAGTAGCGTGATAATTTCAGAACGATGTAATTTATGTCGTATCGAACTGTGTTTGCAGCATAGAGTAATTTTCCAACAATGGATCTATATTCATTTTCATCACATGGTAGATCTGTGCTGTCAGGTAAGTCGTCAAGGTTAGTTTTATTCGCAGGTGTTTTGACTGGATTACAATCAGTCATGTTGTATTCTGCAAGGAGATTTCGAATATAATCTTTCATGCAGACTTGAAATGCCAGTGGATGATATCTCCAAGTTCATACCAATGAATTTCGTAGCAACACCAAGGTCTTTCATTTGATAGACTTGACCTAAGTGAATTTTGAGTTGATTTATCTTTGCAAGGTTTGTACCAGCGATTAACATATCATCAACATAAAGTGCGACTAAAGTTTGATCTTTATTATCAAACTTATAGTATATGCATGGTTCATGGATAGTTTTCTTAAAGCCAAGTGACACAAGAGTTTTGTTTATAGTCTGATTCCAGACTAAGGGAGCTTGTTTCAATCCATAGATTGACTTGTTCAACTTGAGAACATATTCAGTGGTCTTATCTTCACTATTCTTGGAAACAGCTTTGTAACCGGGAGGTTGTCTCATGTATAAATCTTCCTTGAGGTCACCGTTTAAGAACGCGGTTTTAACATCCATTTGATGTACATGCATTTTGAGTCTACCAGCAATGGCTAGGAGTAGACGTAGACTAGTATGCTTAATCACAGGAGAGAAGGTTTCTTCGTAGTCAATTCCTTCTTTCTGTGTATAGCCTTTGGCAACTAGTCTGGCCTTGTAGAGGCCTTTGTCCTTGATATTGAAAACCCATCGACAGCCTATGGGCTTTACGTTTGGTGGTAAAGGGACAAGAGTAAATGTGCCATTTTCGTGATGTGCTTGCATTTCCAGGTTGCAAGCTTCTAACCAATTCTGTTTGTCTGCAGCTCTCATGGCTTCAGAATAGGAGTTAGGAATAGGTCTCAGGTTATTGAGATGGTTTTCAGCATACACAGTCGCAGCATGTAAGACTGAAGTAGTACTAGGAATTTCTTCCTTGTGACCAGGTGTATCCACCATGTCAGTCCTTAGAACCATTAGGACTTCATCATGAGAACGCTTTTTCGACTTTTTAGATTTGTTAGACTGGGCAACTGACACTTGTTGCAGTCGGGCTGGAAATTTAAGGAGGTGATCATGTTGTCTACCCCCCTTGGTGGATGACAGCAATTTGGGAAAAAGGGAGCGAGTATAGCTCCGGGTCCGGTAGTGAGGTGGAGATGACGAGGAAGGCGGCGGCGGAGAAGCAGGAGGCGCCGTAACCGGATTAGTGGCAGAAGAGGTCAGCAACTGCGCTAAGGTAGCGGACGGGGTAAGCGACAGCGTCTTAGCAACCTTTCGAGAAGGCATAGGAGAGGACTCAGTGATCAGCAGAGTCGTGGAGTCCGCCGGGACCACGGGCGGAGGAGAAGCAGACTTTTCAGTGGTTCGAGGCTGCGTGGAAAAGAGATTCGCGAGATCTTGCTTTTCACGAAAGAGGTCTTCAGGAGAGAGACGTTTAAAGGGCGCCGGCAACTTAATGCTTGGGAGGAGAGCCGTAGGAAGGCGGTTGTGATTAATCAGAAGAGACCTAATGCGCGCATCATGCTTGATAAAGTATAGGTCTTCGGGAAGAAAGGTAGCTTGGTCAGAGTCGAAGACCGTCATGAGGTCATAACTGAAGAAGCGATGGCCTGTGCGTTGAACAGCAGGTCCTAAATAGACACATTCAAGAGAATTAGGAGCTAATTTGTTGGCACGGATTTCAAGCGGAAACGTAACCTGTGCAGTGCACCCCAAAAGGATAAAAGGTGGGGCAGGGAATCAGCAGGTTGTTAAACCAACAGTGAGTAGGTGTCTTTATGTTGTAAGTTGGAGCGTGGTGTCCAGTTGAGAATGAATGCAGAGTACCGAATAACCTCAGGCCAGAAAGCAAGAGGAATATTGCCATGTGCGATTTGAGCACGAGCTTTGTCTTCAAGAGTACGGTTCATACGCTCCGCAATGCCATTCTGAGAAGAACAATGGGCATGAGTGAAATGAGGAGTGATACCGTGCTCATCAAGAAAGACAAGAAGATTATCATTGATGAATTCAGTGCCATTATCCGAGCGAAACTGTTTGGGATAGTGAGTGGCGCGAAGAGCGTTGTAGCTCCGAAGGATAAAGGTTTGAATGTGAGTCGAGGCTTCACTCTTCCGAGCTAACGGAATAGCCGTAACATAACGGGAGAAGCGATCAACAATGGTAAGGAAGTACCGTGTATTGTCCGTAGGCCGGATGAGAATCAAAGGGGCCACAGAACTGTCGAACATGGATTACCTCAAAAGGTTGGGTAATGGGTGTAACGCCACGGGATTCCTTGGGAAAGTGATTAGTGGTTTTGGCTCCAAGACAACCACGACATTGGGTGAGGGGAACATGAACCACAGATTTGGGTATTGAAAGTAATCTTTTGAAAGCCGCAAATTGGTTGGCACCGGGATGGCCCAACTTAATATGCCACAGTTGAGAGAGGGCATCGGCCTTGACCGTGAGGAGTGTCTGAAGTGTCAGAGGGGTCGGTCTCTTGTTCAGCATCATTCGATATTACTGACTCAGTGTCAGGAGAGGAATCGCTGCAGGGATCCTCAGAGACAGTATCAAGTCGATTAATTAAAAATAGACTGAGGGGTGGTGTGTGTGAGGCGACGTGGCTGTGAGTCGTCGCAGCATCACAAGGTAAAACTCGAACATTAAGCACAAGGTGTCGAGTTGTATAGGGGCTCACCACTTTAAGTGTGTGAACGTTAATAAGGTCGCCATTGCAATCAATAGCAATGCAACCGTCCGCCTGACGGAATCGATCAAAGGAGATGATATTGGGTAACTCAGGGATGTAGTGCACATCAGGAAGGACCAACTGGTGGCCATCCGAGAGTTCAATTTTCATGTCTCCAATGGTGTTAACAATATGGGTCACACCATGAGAAATTTCACGAGTCGTCGATCTCACATGACTCAAGAGAGTCTTGTCGTTGGTAATATGAATATCGGAGGCCGAGTCTAGGATGAATGTACAGGTGGGATAAACAGAAATATCTTCATTGTAGGACACAAGATAGAGAGACCCATCATTAGCTTTGCCAGCATTCAGACCAGAAGACTTGTTCGTCTTGGAAGACGACTCCGAATAAGGTTTAGAAAACTTCTTCCGAAAGTTTCCTCGTTTACCATTGTGAGAGTGGGGTTGGGCGGGTGGGGCTGTTTCCCAATCTCCGATTTTCAAACTTCGAATCTTTCAACACAACCTGATCTTTGGAGAGCCAATTTTTATGAGGACTCTGCAATGGACATATACCAAAACTGAATCTGTTTCTCAATAGTCTTCATACGGGATTGAGCTTTCTGGTACAAGAGAGAAAGTTCTTCGCATTGTTTGTGAGTCGTTGGTTTGGGTGTAAAGATCACAAGAAAGTGATCCCATATGTCATCAGGGCTAACGGACAAGGCAAGGAGATGGAATAACAATGGTTTGTAGTCTCCTTGTGATGCTCGCATCACTAACTTTGGACGGCGAGTTAGAATTGCCATGCGATAGGGCGGCTTTGTCATCAGCCTTAGTGCTAGGAATGAGTTCATTTTCGATAAAATCACGAGTGTAGAACGTCAGCTCCGGAAAGAAAGCCTTATCTTCAAGAAGATGTTTGATACACTTATGAAAACTTTGTTCCATACAGTTCACTGCCTGTCGAGTTGACTCTGCCAGTCCAGAGAAACATTTTTCGTACTCCTCACTTGAGTGAGTAAAAAAATTCTTGCCCAGAGGGAAATGTTCCTATGAACTTTTTCTTGAAACAGTAGTACCATTCGTGTAAAAGGTACTCCTTCTCTATTTCAAATGGGTTGAGATCTTCGATCACACAGCGGCCCATAACCCTGTTCAATGTTTTGTGCAGTAGACTTAGCTCTATACACACGTTTAATTGAAGCTGTTTGATCAGAGATTAACCCAGAGGATTCCTTAAATGAATCCTCCAGTGAGGATCTAGAGACAGATGGTTTGGTAGCATCAGCAGGAGCAGTAGACGGAGTAAACATTGATAAGTGACGTTTGATTGACATAGACATATATGTATCGGGAGATGGAGAGATGATCCTTAGAGAAGGGAATCCATCTTAGAGAGAATAGATGATCTTATATATCCGTGAGAACTACAAGGTGAAACCTTCTTAAAACAGAGAGGGGTACGATGTGTAGCCCTATAGTTTCAGAATCTGTAAGATAACGATGAAACTGTTCTGGAGTAATCCTGACGTGCATATTGCATGTAAGAGATTCTCAACATCGTCGCTGACTGCAGGAGAAGACTACAAAAGTTGTGCACTACTATAACGGTTGATTCTGCGCGTGGGGTCACAGTGTGCATGGAGTCATAGTGTGCATGGTTAGAAGAACTTACGACAACGGTAGAAAATTTCTCCACACCCCACAATGGCCTCTTCCTACGCTAATTTACTCCCAGTGAACGGGAAATGGAAACAACAAATCACAGACTACCTCACTGAGGACGTTCCTTCTTTTGACTATGGTGCTTTCGTTGTTGGAGATAAGCTTGAAAACGGCCTCCTTATACATGAAACAACCCGGGGTAATCTCGGGTGTTCCGTTCGCCAACGAAGTTTTCAAGCAGTGCGAGCTCAAAGTGGACTGGCACTTCCTTGAAGGCAAGTTTATCTCTGCTGAACTCTTGGCTCAGAACAAGGGTAAGGTTGTTGTTGCCACAGTGACAGGCCCAGCTAATAAGATCTTGCTCAGTGAAAGAACAGCTTTGAACTTGTTGGCTCGCTCATCTGGTATTGCAACACAATCACGCATCACTAAGGAATTGGCTGACAAAAGTGGATACACCGGTATTATTGCTGGTACACGGAAAACTACTCCAGGACTTAGACAGCTCGAGAAATACTCGATGTTGGTCGGTGGAGTGGATGCGCATAGGTACGATTTGAGCAGCATGGTCATGCTTAAGGACAATCACATCATGTCCACTGGTAGCATTCGTGACGCGGTTGCAAGTGCACGAAAAGTATGTGGCTTTGCTGTTAAAGTAGAAGTTGAAGTCAGTACTGAGGAGGATGCAAAAGAGGCGATCGATGCTGGTGCTGATGTGGTTATGTTGGATAACTTCAGTGGAAACGAGTTGCGCAAGGTAGCTCAAAGTTTGAAGAACCACTACAAAGGAAGCAATAAAAGCTTTTTGTTGGAGTGCTCCGGTGGGTTAACTTTGCAGAACTTATCTTCGTACTTGTGCAATGACATTGACATCTACTCTACGTCGTCGATCCATCAAGGGTGCAGCATTGTGGATTTCTCTTTGAAAATCGACGAGAAAAAGTGAACCTAAGGCAAAAGAAGAGAGACAATGTTATTTCGAGATAAGAATGCAACAGAATAAACAAATCTAAACATTTAAATAGTACGATTTGATCGAAATGGGGCTATCATTTTATTTAATGTGGTTGAACCCACTGTGACATGAAAAGAGGTTTTGGTGACATTTAAAGGGGACACTCAAGATGTAGATAGATATATTGGTGCCTTTTGGGTGGCATACCCTAAGAATACATGTAACACTCTAGTCTAGCATTAGTGATGATGTAAGAGTTTCATACGTGCAATGATCCACAGAAGCTAAATTTTCTGTGCTACCTTGTAATTCTATGCTAACTAATAACACCAAGAAGAGTGCTCTGCGCAAAAGATATCCCATGTCAAAAGCACCATGAATAGCTATCGAATGGATGAAATGCTCCTCAACTCCAAACTATCAAAGCCTGTGTTGAAGCCAATATTTTCTGTCACATTGGACAAAAACCTTGTTGTAACAGGATCAATTTCGCCATGCTCTTCATCAAACTGATCATCTGACGGCAGTTGGTTGACATGATTTAGCAGAATGCCCGAAATTCCGGATATACCTGACATTCCATTAATGCTGTTGTTCACAAAACCCCCAAGAGTGGATTCCTTGAGCGCCAGTTCTTCAACAGCTTCGATAAATGAAGTACCTGCCTTCTTTCCGAAACAACGAATTGCACGAATATGAGAATCTTTTCCATCCTGGTGGTTTGCAAGAACCACGATTTTAACGACAAAACATTTGAGCAAGCCGTCGGCACGCACCCCTTTGAAGATAATGTGCGACCATCCAATCGGCTTGTCAAAGGTCACTACGCAGACCTCAGTCAAATCCCAATTAGAGTTGCCCGCCATGATCTTTATTCGCAGCGGCGTGTAAGACTCGTCTAGCTGATAATTGGTGAAGATCGAAATGCGTTCCAAGCTCACTTTCTTGGAGAATTGGAGTGTCACTGTGTGTGGATGGTTGAGCTGTGCGTTTTCTGCATTTGCCTGTTGTTCGATGGTATTTTCTGTGCTTCCATCCGATTGCCAATATGTAGATGGGGTATCATCTCTTAGTTGATCCAACCCATAGCCTTGCTTGCATGAAGAGAGCTTCCATGTGGCAAGTGGGGATAAGTCCAAAAGTTGAAGAGATTCGAGCTCCTCGAGACCTTTAGTGTAGTATAAGTTTTGAATTTGTTCGAGCGACGGCTGATCTGTTTGCGAAACGCCAGACTGCGACTCGTCATGAAAATCCTCTTCTCCCGTTTGTTGATCCTCTGGCGCTACGTCATACTCAAAGGAGCCCACAGCAGAAGAATTGTAGAGGGGTGTCGTATGGCGGTCATTTTGCATTGTGGTTGTCGATGTTGCAACTTCGATATGTGCACTACTGTACTATAGTCACAGTATGTAAATCCTTCCCTCATCTTCAATCCTCAGATGAAGGAAATTGAATAGAATTCAAATAGTCAGAAAGAAGAGTATACACTGTTCCATAGTTTTGAGTGAAGTTTATACTGTGCCAATGTACCCTTTATATTTCTAGAAGTGCGGTAAGACAGAAAAGGAATTCGTATGTAATACATTTTGACAGATCTTCTAATTTTGATGTTTAAGCAAATGATATTTGTCTGCTGTTAGGGATATTTACGAAAGAGCCGGAGGAAAACACAGCTAAAGTGATTATGATTTGCCCAACCAAGGAAGATCTCAGTTTGCTTGGCCACTAGGCTTTTAATTTTATTGTTCTGAGGATATGATACATGAGAGCGGAATCATGGAGAACTCTAAAAAATTTCCGACGCCAGTAAATGACGTAAGTATTTTGTTCAAAATGTTTTCCATCATGCGCTTTCTTGTGGATTTGAAATGATGTCGTATTCGAATGAAAACAAGTCAAATTCCAGTGCTCATATGAACAACTCGACCAATACCTGCCTTCTCGAATTCTTTGATTCCAACTTTGGAGATAGGAATGTCTTCAAAGGTGTGATGGGGTATTCGAAGCCAATCATCGTACTTCTCTCGCATAGTTTTAAAAATTCTGACCAACTCCAGATGTTAGTGACCAGAATAAGTACTATCATGAGGAAAAATTCATCTTCAGTACCTAGTACAGTGCTCATCTGTTATCATAATGCCTACTTTTCAAATGATAGGTAGCGATTGAACTATGTAAATCAAAGAGCGATTTCTTCTGCTTTTTGCTCAGCTGGCTCAGCATTTTCGGCAGGTTCCAGGGCCTGCTCCGGAGCGCCTGAAACGTCTTCGGTAGCTGTCTCTGGAATTGGCTCAGTTTTGGCCTGCTCGGCATCCGTTATGGTCTCCACTAGAGGGACGTCCGCAACTTTTGTATTTTCAGTAGCTGCAGTTTGTTCAGAATCAGCTTTAGCGCTGTCTGTTACATCCTTGTCCTTCTTGATAGTGTCGTCAATGAGTGTTTCCTTGAGCAACTCGGATTCTGCTGGAGTCAGAGCCCGTGGAGTAGAAGTTTCAGGCAGTTTCTTGCGAGCTAACCTCTGAGGGGTGAAGGCAGTCTGGAAAGAGTCCACATTTGTTATTCCGTGACGCTTCAATGCACGACGCTTCAACACTTCGATGTACGTGAATTTGCCTTGGTTGGACTTGCCAAATTCGGCACCTGTACGGTCATAAAAGGAAAGCTCGCCATTGTCTTCGTCCTCATCGCCTACCATGTAGTCATCATCACGCGAGGAGTCCAAAAATCCGTTATCATTTGCCGTTTCAGACTTGTCGATCTGGAAGTTTCCTGCCTCCAAATCGCAAACAAACTGGAACACCAACTCCTGAAAGCTGGATGCTACAACAATCTTGGTATCAAAGTCTCTGCCGTACAAGATAATTTGACCCACGCACCCAGCTGGACCCGGTGCCATGTCGAGGCCCAATAAGTTACCATACAAGTCTCTTGCAATTGGCACCCAGCCACGGTGAATGTAATATGACTGCACTGCATGTGGTGGCACAGACTTTTGGTGCATGAGGTAGTTGTTGGAGAGACGACCACGAAGAGCCTGTGATGCAGCGCTCAGAGCCTCTGTGCTTTGAAGCTGCTGCTGTTGGTGTTGCAAAGTCATGTACTGTTTTTCGACACGCTCAGCTACTTTAGCCCAAAGCGCGTATTCCTCAGCAATACTCTCCATGTCCAAGAGCGTCAAGCCCATGAGCAAGCCTGTAGGTTTGCCGCCACGCAACTGGCCGTCATGGATTTTGTAGAACTGGCGGAATTCGACAGGTAAGGGGCCCACGGCCAAATCCTTTTCGAATTCGTTCAAATCAGCAGAGGATGCACCAGCATTCAAGTTGTCCTCGAGCTCAGGGTACTCCTCTTCCAAAAACGCCTCGATACGGCTCCACAACGAGTCGATCGAAGGCAAAGGAGGTTGGCCGTTAGCAAAAGTCTGCATCTCGGTGTTTTGGTTCAAGTTGGTTGCCGAGCGCATCCCAGGGCGGTAGCCGATGTTAGTAGAGCTTCCGTTACGGGAACTGGCAAGAGAATGGGTCAGTGAATTGTTTAGCTCGTGGAGACGGGTGGTGGACGCGTCGAGCGAGCCGCCCGCAGTGGAGTTGCTATAAGGCGAGCCGTACAGCGCATAGTGGTCATCTGTGACAACAGAATGCCAGAACGATTTGACATTGTCCATGAAGCCCATGGTGGTGAAGAGAAAAAGGGTTTATAGAATGTTCGCTAAGACATGACGGGCTTGTGCAGGAGAGAAGACTGGAGGGGAGGAAAGTAAAATTGGCAAAGCGAGAGATACACACGGCCACACGAAATGCAGAGGAAAAATGATGTACAAGAGAAGAAACACGGAGAAGTCTTACCGAAAAGCCATCAAATAGAAGCGACAATAGGAAGGGCGGGAGCAAGAACACGAGACTGTGGTTCTGGTAGGTCAACCGGGGCTTAACCTGCAGCAAGCAAGTTCGCGCCTGGTTTTTGCTTACATTTCGGTGCGTATGCGCCTCGCTTCATGTGGGGCCAGAAAACTCATACGTGGAGCACGACAACACAAGCTTGGGTCTACAGGCTACCAAAGAGCCCCCCTTTATATTCTTTTTTTTTTTTTTGCTGATGTTGTTTCGGCCGGTTTGGCCACTTAATTCTGTGCGCATAGGCATGTAAAGATTTCGAGTCGGCTGTATCTTACCTCGCGATTGTATGCTATCTCTTCATGTACTTCGAGTGAAATTGTATGTACCTTGCCATAATATTGCACGTTACTTCTGTTGACGAATATAATCTCAGTCGATGTAGTGAAGTTCTTCTTAGCAATGTGGCCAGCGCATATTAGGTCTACCGTTCATTGACAGATGCAGTTAAGCCGGCATTTGGCTTTGCTCAACGGTATTTTGAAACCATTTCCTGGCTGAGCGTGTTTTCATTCTGCCGGACCGAATCTTCTAATGTGAATTGGAAGAAAAGACCACAATAATTAGGAACAGACAAGCTTTGGGAGTGCACATTTGCACATGGTGCGCCCAGCTATTGATTAGAATTTATGTGGGCTCATTCACGCATGCGACATCCGGGTATGGCAGGTGCGAGAGTCCAACTCTATCTTCTCTTGAGCCAAGCATTTTGACTTTACTTTTTGCTAATGATTAGGTTTAAAGATTGTCGATTATAGGGAAATCTCTTGTGCGTTACCGCATTCTATTTTCTACATACGGCACCACAGTTTCTACCTCAACGCAACGTTCAGTAGTCTTTGTCTTCAAATTCTTTCACAAAGTCAAATCTTGAGCATGCAGTCAACTTCTGATCTCCGTCTTACTTTGTCTTTCACTCACCTCTTGAGCGAGGTCCGCCATTGGCCCCAAAAACCGCAGGAGCGCTGGCTTATCAAGCCGGCTGATAGCAACAGTCTCTGCAACTAGATCGTAGTTTATAGCGTCAGAGACCTTCGAGTCACGTTGATATGCTGGATGATCTAAAACAAAGTTCCGTAAAAAGCGGGCCGTAGTGGGGATCTTGCCAGCAGCACGCATGCTTACTAGCTGCAAATAGCTCTGCAATGTCACCAATTCAGAAACCTTGGCCTTAGGTGCTAATTCAGCAGCGACATATCTCACGATCATGCGTATCAAGCCTGGGAACGAGTCCGTACCATTGACAATTTCATTGGCAGTCATCTTGACGTCGGTCACGTTACTAGAGACCTCGTCCTGAGTCACATAGCCATTGGTATAGGCGGCACTAGCATCGTTTCCCGGCGTGGTGAAGCGGTCAAACCAGCTCAAGTCGTATGCTTTGAAATCGTCGTTTCGAAGACCACAGGTGGTAGGGTTTCGGAACCAAAACTTTTCCTTCGTGGCAGCGTCCACCTTATGGGCAGTCTTCATATTAGCATCGATTTTCAGAATCGGAATGTACCAGTCTGGGTTATAGGCCAAGATGGCAGCTCCTGCGAGAGCAATGAACACAGAGAAGGCTGCATTTTCGAAATCAGTCAACTGAATCTCTAATGGGCGAAACTCCACACGCCAACCAGGCGTGCGCGCCAATTCTTCGGGCGTGGCATCCTTGTAAAGGGCGGGCGGCTTGAAGCGAAGCGTCTGCCAATTGGTCAGCTGGATGTTCTCAAAATGGTCATTGTCAGACAAATTATCTTGTGCCACACGCTCGTTGAAGATCACCAAGGGGTCACGCACAAAGAGATGGGCAAAGTGCCGGGCCAATGGCTCGTCAAATTTTTCTGATACGAGCCGCTCGTACACTGCGCCATTGAGGGGCGAGTTGATATCGTTATAGGCGGGGCGGAAAAAACCTTCGCGCCGATACGCCTCGTCGCCCAAGTACGAGTCAATCAGGTCGTAGCGCGACTTGGGGATCTTCTGCACGCTTCGCCCATCCACCGTTTTCACTCCCGTGTCACCAAACTTGTTCACCACAGCATCGCCATTCAACCCACGGCCGCCTCCCAAGGCCTGGAAATGCGATTTCACCTCTTCGGGAACGTCTAAGCCTCCAAAAAACTCGTAGCCCGCATACGGTTCCTCATCACGCTCCGCAAAGGTACGATCGTCAACGGCTCCCGAAATGACATTCCACCGCACATCCTGGTCGACCAAGAATCCTTTGAAAATAGGTGCAGCTGCCGACACAGCTAGCATGACTGGTGTGAGAGGCGCTAAAGCATCGTACAAGTAGCGAGCCTGCGCCATATTGGCGGCTTGCATCGTCACCTGGAGACAAGACGAACCCATGCCAAAACCCATCAGATCCATGTAGACATGACCCGGTTTTGCCGCACCAAGCGCAAGCTCTTTATCAGAGGGGAAGAGATCCCGCTGCGGAATGGAGTCATCTAGCAACTTTGTGTTGACGTCCGGGTAGAACGGAATGTTCATGGCCACCTTGTGACCTCTTCTTTTGCGGATGTTGGCCGTAAGCGTAGGAAACCGTACATGGCGGTTGATAATCTCGTCCGGAAGGAAAAGCGATTGGGACGCTGGGCCAATCGGCTTGGCTGGAGGGTCAGTGAAAATGCCACAACCCATACGTGGGAATGCCGTAAGCGTCAACGGAACCACATGAGATGGTAACACCAGCTGCGCCACGAGACGCCTGTCTAGCATGTTTTTCTCGACATAGAGATAGTCGCCCAACTTTGCCCCATCATACGGCCGAAGAGGTGTTGCTTCGATCATGAAACGGCCGTACTCAGGATGGAACGACACATTTCTCTCAGCAGCAAGCACGCCCTCGGGCTTTTCTGGGTCATTCAAGTCATCCAAAATAAAGTCCTGGTCAATGACCAAAGTAGCCCGGTGGTTCTTCTCGTCGACAGAAATGAGCATGTACTCCACCTCGTCGCCCCAAAAGTAGTGGTCGCCCGAGCGCCCGCCGTGCTGACGGAAAATGTTGACGAGTTGTTCGATCCCATTGTTCCGCACGTGCTCGTTGAGCTTACGGGCCTCATGCCAGTCGAGGGGCGTTCCAAGCGAAAGCAAGCCCATGGTGAAGAAGAAGAAGAATTACTAAGCAGGACAAGGCGCGCAAGTATAGATTTGCTCCAGAGAAATGGCTTATCTACTGTATCCGCACGACCTTGATTCAAGCTGGAGGTAGGGAAATATGGAATTTGCACGCTTCTTTGGTCCTGATTCCCACGAGCTGTGAAAGTCTGATTCTTGTAGTGCTGTGGTTCGGCCTATCAACTTACCTATATGTGGAAGATATCATAGCACGTGACTATCCGCCATCGCGCCCCATTGGGAAATACTGTCGATAACCGGCCCAATTGCCGCGAAGCGAGTTGGAGATACGGAACTTTGTTATTTGTGCGAGGCTAATGCGGCTTGAAATAGCCATGGCAAATCGCTTTGTCATTTGCTTCCGTTTTACAAATCCTGCAACAACAAGGGCCGGACAGTGAGACTGCATTTCTTCAACCTTGCCGCATTCGTATTTAAAGTTTTCATACAGTAAATGGCTATTCGGCAACGCCAATTCCGCTCTATCGTCTCAAAAAAAAAGCGGTAGAAGATTTGCGTTTTTTGCCAACAAGTCCAAATAAGGCATCTACTTGTTGTAGGAGATAAGATAGTTTGCAATGGACATGTGTTGGTTCACTGAATACCTGCTGAAAATGCTGCGCCGCATTTCTTTACCGGAAAAAATTTTCATGGCCCGCATGATTATGCAAAGTAGATAGTATTATGCATCCTAGATTCACTGTCCAATAAACGTAGTGTTGTGTATTAAAGAAAAGTAACTTGCAACTGCAGTAACTGATAAATGAAAGAAAAGAGACGCAATGTCAAAAATCTTGGGTTGGCATGTATGTTCGTAGCGTCATCTGTTTAGTCCCGCCAAGGCAAAGGAATAATCAGCGCTCTTAGTAAAGATCGCCAATGTTGTGCACAACGCAGCCCGGCTCGCCTTCAGCGCGTTCTGCCAACTTGCCAAGCACCACTGGGTCTTCGCCAGCCTTACGGAACTCAGCGAGGGCTTCGTCAACATTTTCTGGTGCAATGATCACAACCATACCAATACCGTTGTTGAAAGTCTTCAACAAATCTTCATAGGGCACACCACCTTGCTTACCAAACCACTTGAAAATGGCAGGCACTTCCCATGTACTCATGTCCACCTGTGCTTGCAAGTGCTTAGGCAAAGCACGTGGAATATTCTCCACCAAACCACCACCGGTGATGTGGGCCATTCCGAGCAATAAACCCCTACGGATAGCTGGCAACAATTGCTTCACGTAGATCTTGGTAGGCACCAAAAGCTCTTCACCAATGGAGCGCCCGGAGTCTGTCCAAGGGGCTGGGGCACTGTAGTCAAGACCGCATTTGTCAACGATATGTCTCACCAAAGAGAAACCGTTCGAGTGCACACCATCGGAGCGCAAACCAACCAAGACGTTGCCGGCACGCATCTCTTCAATCTTGGGCAAAATGCCGCTCTTGGAAACGGCACCAACAGCCGTTCCGTTGGTGTCATAGTGGCCAGCGTCGTACATACCTGGCATTTCACTGGTTTCTCCGCCAACCAAAGCACATCCGGCCGTGATACATCCATCTGCAACACCACTGACAAACTTGGCAGCAATGTTAACGTCAAGCTTTCCTGTAGCAAAGTAGTCAAGGAAGATCAATGGCTCGGCACCTTGCACCACCAAGTCATTGACGTTCATGGCCACGAGGTCAATGCCAACCGTGTCGTGAATGTCCATGATCTGAGCAATACGCAATTTGGTACCCACTCCGTCTGTAGCAGCGACTAAAAGTGTGTCCTCGCCAGCAAAACCTGCTGCCTTGAGGTCGAACAAACCGCCGAAACCACCAATATCGGAGTCCGCTCCGGCACGGCGCGTGGACTTGACCTTAGCTTTAATCTGCTCCACAAGCAAGTTACCGTTGTCCACGGAAACACCAGCCTCAGCATAAGTGGTTCCCGATGGCTTTTCGGCAGCACGGAATGCACGGTGTGCAATGTCCTTACGGTTGTATTTGTTCTTGAATGACACGTGGTCGACTCCCACATAGGCCTTATCGACAGACTCTCTCAATGTAGGTGCTGTGGCTGTAGCGGCAATAACACGTCCACCAGAAGTGACTACTTTGCCCTCCTTTTCGGCAGTTCCAGCGTGGAAAATATACGTGTCTGCTGGAGGAGCGGTGATTGTGATCTCGTCACCCTTTTCGTATGCCTCTGGGTACCCGCCAGCAGCCATCACCACAGTGGTAGAGAAAGTGTCTGGTTTGGTAGCAATGTCGACGGAGTCCAATCTGTGTTCTGCAGCAGCCAAAAAGACAGCAGCCAAGTCAGTTTCTTCGCTCAACAATGGCAAAACAGTTTGAGTTTCTGGGTCGCCAAAACGCACGTTGTACTCCAACACTTTAGGCTCACCTGAAGGTGTCAACATAATACCAGTGAACAAGACACCGCACATTGGGAAGCCGTCCTTTCTCATTCCGTCGATGGTTGGGCGGATAACTTGGTCATTGATCTTGGCCAATACTGCTGGGGTAGCAATTGGGGCTGGGGCATAGGCACCCATGCCTCCAGTGTTCAATCCCAGGTCACCATCTCCAATACGTTTGTGGTCCTGTGCCGCAGGCAAGTTGAAGAAACTGTAGCCATCGGTGATGGTCAAAATAGACAATTCGTCACCTTCCAAAAACTCTTCAATGACAATTTCGTCACCGGCTGAACCAAAGTTCTTGGCCACCATGATCTCGTCCAAGCCTTGCAAAGCTTCTTCTTTGGACTGTGGGATCAAAACACCTTTGCCTGCAGCGATGCCATCAGCTTTCAATACAATTCTGTAGTCGACAGTCTCAATGTGCTTTCTTGCTTCTTCCACGCTGGTGAAATTCTGGAAGCGTGCTGTAGGGATATTGTGCTTGTCCATAAAAACTTTAGAAAAGGCCTTGGAACCTTCCATTTGGGCAGCCTTGGCACTAGGACCGAAAACTGGGATGCCCACTTTGGTGAAGACAGTAGAAATCCCGTCCACCAAAGGCTGTTCTGGACCTGGAACAACTAAGCCAACTTCATTCTCAAGCGCAAACTGCTGCAACTTGGAAAAATCTTTGGCTGAGCTTGACAAGTGAGGAACATTCACCACTTTGTCACCAAGGGTGGAAGTTCCACCGTTTCCTGGCGCAACGAAGATTTTGTTCACCAAGGAAGACTGAGCCAATCTCCAGGTGATGGCGTGCTCTCTGCCGCCGTTGCCAACAACGAGGATGTTCAAGGACATGGAAAAAAGTTGGGGTTCTAAGAATGGAGTGGAGTGGAGTGGTATTAAGTATGTCTTCTCATTTTTTCCTGTAATTAATAGTCTGACTCCGACCGCGCATCTCTTGGTGGGACATCACTACTTTAGAATCTTGTCATTTCTGCTATAATCAATGCTTAAATTAAAATGAATTTATTGAATAAGTTGCAACATGGTGGTTTGGAGTTCTTGCAAAAACTAAGATAGGCTTCCATTAGATATGTTTGCAATAATTGTGGTGCTATTGTTTCGGAAATATTCTCGCAATATGTTCTTGCACCCAAATCTCTTGCACTCTAACTTGCTGGAAACTTTTATCTGAGGCCAGTGCTAAAAAAACAGCATGTTACAGACCTGAAGTTATTGCCTTGGAGCTAAACTGACAGAAGGAACTATACCAAGGGGTACGACCATGAGTACATGGAAATAGTCTAGGTGTTTAGCCGCACGTTTTCATGCTTGTGAGAAGGACATTCAACGCATATGAGAATACGTTCTTCGATCTACGATAGCATCTCTTTCGAAGAGTCTTTCGCTCGGTGTTTCAAAAGGTCAGTTTTTCTTATTGCGTATTCGCAAATATATCCCATTGGCGACTCTTGCCTTTCTACATCCTTACTGATTGCTCCTTTTCTCATTGCAAGTAGCTCGTACTACCCTTGATTCTATGCTGGTTCTTATTTACAAATATATACATGCTCACGCCACATCACCCAGTCCGACCACACCTTCAAACTTATAATTCTCGTCGCTAGGCATCTTCACCGGGTTTCCCTCTTCATTCACCGGAGTGTACAAGTAGTATGCCAACAATGCATTCACAACGGCGCGGGTTTTTGCCTCGTTCAACGAAGATCCTACACCTTCGCCCAACTTGTCTCCACCGCTAAAAGCTCCAGCCACATAAATGGCATGTGCAGACAATCTACCTGTTTCGGCAATAAGACGAACCTCAAGTGGGTGCTCAAGCTCCAACTTCTCGCAGATACGCGCCAATTCTCTTGTAGGTTTGCTGAATTGAAACATTTCCGTCAATGGCACTTTGCGAGACAAAATATGCGCCCGAATGAACTCTTTGGTGACATCTTCACCTGCGTGTGTGTACAAGCCGCCAACGATGGCTTTGACTGCAGAAGCGTAGGCGTCTTGTTCTTTGGAGATGTAGCTGTTTGTGGATGGATCGAGAGTAGCCAATTCTTCCTTCGACAATTCATGAATACCAGATTCCTCGACTTCTTCCTTGGCGTTTTCCGCAAGGAACCGCAACTTGCCGTATTGCAAAAACTCTGGCTCTTGCGCAAGATGTTTTTGCAACTTGGAGCTAGAATCAACCTCAATACCCCATGATTTGCCAATGAGACTCAACGCTTCTGTGCCCATGTATGCATCGACAGCGGCATTGTGAACAGCCATAGGAAGTCTGGGATATCTCAACAACAAATGCTCAGAAACATAGTATGACAACAATGTCTTACCCAAGGTACTGAGACCAAAATTGTTGGCCAAACCTCCATACTTATTCATATTCAAAGCCTGCGACAAAGTCGAGTACGAGTACGACTCAGGCAATCTTAATCGAGCGAATAATGCGACAAGTGGAGGGGACTGCTGTGCGGTGGACTCAGGCAATCTATGTGTGAAGATGCTGTTTTTGTAACTGCCGTAGTCTGTGAGGGAGTCATACTTGGTATTCAAGGACTTGTCCAACTGAGCAACATGGTAAGACGCAACAAAGGAGCGACAGACCGGCGAAAGACGTGGAAAAGCTACCGCACGTCTTGAAAATTGCCTCAACATGGTGGTCCGATTGTGCGTTCTAGATAGGCGGTTTTTTTTTTTCAGCTGTGGGTGTAGGTCCTTCACAAAAATTTTCGTTTTGGTCGCACACGACATTCGTCGTACTATAACAAAAGAACTATCTCTAGCCATGGTGTCTCTAGCGCAATTAGTTTGAATAATTTAGTTTGCTCTTGTCTCAAATTAGGCTTTTCGACATGGAAGAGTAAGCTTCACTCATATTTTCTTCCTTTATACCCTTCATTTTTTTGTTCACATATTGTTGTCTTTCGGGTACCTCGATTGATTCATTTATTTTATTGGGAGAAGTTGGATCATCAGCGTTATGCTCTGCCATCTAAGCTCCATCCTAGTCAAGCTTGGCTGTGCATGGTGAGATACAACTTGATCCATAGACAGCTGATGGCTCCATTTAAGTTTCTAGTCACGGGTACTCAAGGGTAATTACTTAAAAAAAATTACATTACAGCCGAACGCCTAGTAGAAAAATAGTTTTTGCAAGAGTATCAATGTCAATGATATAGAGCTGGACTTTTAGAGGTGAAATCCCTTTGTTCGGTCCTTAGTATCGGTGGTCGTGCGTGTACCCAAAAGTCCACCAACCACACAAGCCAAAAAGCTCTGCGTAATATCTTCAGTCCTCCTACTGAACTGCCCCCACAAAAATGGCCCACTCTCCCCCATTGAACATCTACGCCATTGGCGCCATGTCTTCTGTTCTTATTGTCTATGCATGGATCAAATCCCCTCTCAAATATGCTGCCGCAGACCAGAAGCTTAGTCCAAAGGCTGATTTGGCTTACAGAAGCGGAGCTCAAAAATGGCTTGACAACAGAAGCCAATAGATGGCCAGTGAAATCCTGCTTCGGTAAATACGCATAGTTATTCAATACATTCAAAGAAAAAAAAAATCCCTGTCCTTCGTAATGTTTACGTCTTTTAATGTGATGTATCTATTGTAGTCTATGATGATCACTTCACTTGTCGAGCGCCGCTAAAGGTACAGCATGGGCCAAATCGTTCTTCTCTTGAAACTTGATGAACTCACATTCGAGTTTGAGAAAGCACCAAATCCATCTTCGCAAGATCTCAAGTGTCTCCAACAAGACATAGCCAAACGATAAGAAGTCGTATCCAAACAAAAAGTTGCCCACTCTGTGCCTGAGACCCAAGTCCATTTCCGCTTCTTTCATAACAAACATTTTGAAAACCCAGATGAAGCGAACAAAGAAATCCACAATTATAGCCACATAATACATGAGAAAATTATTAAATACCAACTGTGAGCGGTTGCCAATAGGCTCGAAACGCCGAGTTTTGGGTCTGAATACGGGTTCAAACAAACCAAATTCCCAATCCATGCGGATATCCCATATAAATGAGTATGTGGAGCTGACAGCACTGAATATGTACCACCAGAAATTAAGTTCCAGAAGCCTGGGAGAAATTCCCTTCTCTGAAGTGAGGTGTGACATGCTAAGCTTAATCAACATGTTAATGACGAGTGGTCCCACTTGACAGGAATACTTGAGCATGTTGTAGAAGTGATTCCTGTCTCTCGTATGCGAATACTCATACCAACACTGCTTTATACGTATGAGCGCTGGATATGCCAACACAAATGTCTCAAGATAGACATTATATCCTTTATCGGCCGGCATTAATATAGTCCATGCCAACATGAAAACGTCATTTAACACTTTGGCGTAAGATGTGAGACTATCAGAGAGAAGAATATCATTAGTTCTCATAGTTGTGGAGTTGATTTGACCCACCAATACTCGCTTTAGGGTGGTGAACATTCTCGTTTGGCCCATGGATGCACCTTTGCCCATGGCCCGATGCAACGTGATGAAGAAGAGAAGTGCTGGAAAGTAGATGCTTGCTGTTTGTCTGAAGAAACTTTTCTCGTGGCTGAAAACGAGTGAAGCCCAGTATGTTGCGAGACCAGCAAAATTGAGTGCAAATGTCAGTCTTAGCGTGCGGTATACACCTTTGGTCAATATAACATTTTCCTCCAAGTCGGCAGATGCAACCGTAGCATATTCGCCGGTGGTGAAATCACCTGCGTTTGAGTGACTGTACTTTCTAGTCGAGAAGGACAAGTTGAGAATGGCCAAGACATTGATTCGGAAAACCCCATGGCAGATGCGTATCAACGCATACCAAAGAAAGATTCCTAGCTCGAGGAATAGAACTATTCGAAAGGCAAGAGGGACAATGTCATTGAATTGCAAGTCCGACTCACGCTCTGGCATGATCTATAAATTTTCAAATTGTGCCTGTCGAAAGTAGAAAGAGAGTGTGGTTGATGCAGGTTGACTTGAGACTACACTCCAAAGAACGCGCTCTTTGCCAAAGCCTACACAACTGGCGTCTGGGAACATCAAAGTGTTTCCACCAAAGAGAAAAGGTGATTTTTACAAGCCAGCTTCAGCCACGACAAGCGTGTTAAAAGGTTTTTAATCATAAGTATTCATGATTAGCATGGAAAACATCATCAGCAGGCATACTACAAAGACATGAAGAAATACATTCAGTCCAGACTAGTCGCGTTAGTTTGTGTCCAGAGGAAAAAATATAAATAGCAATTAAAGTTCAGAATTTTCAGTGTGTTTGGCTATTTGTCGAATCGGTCATGGTCCTGAAAAGGATCCTCCGTCTGGGGCGACAGCGGTCATCACATAAATTGCACTAGTGTCTGGAAAACATACCTTAAATGCCAATGCCGAACCACCACATATACCAGAGGCATAAAAGGCAATTCAACAAGGAACATTCGCATCGTTTCTTTCGTCATAGTCTTTGCATTGTCAAAGGAGCAAGTCTTGTTACTGCTTGAACAAAAAAGAAAATAGTATGCGATGAGAAAAAAAAGCTCTATTTGTAGTGTGAGATAATAGTTACCCGCACCCATTCTCAGAAGCCTCTCTAGGTCTAAATTGTATCAGAACACAGCTTCGATAAATCTTACTTCGCTGCTACCCCTTGTTTGTTTTGCTTTTTAGTTTTCAGGTGGGTCCGATTGGACTGCTTTCTACATCATAAATACTTGTATCCGTGTATCTTTAACTAATCCCTTTTTCGACTCTTCAACTTGCTCATCTTTGCTTTAACATTATTTGCATGTCTTTCCGATTTAGTCAAGTATCTAAACTTCTTTTTCTTCGCCTTGGGCTTAGCTACTCCACACACAAACAGCATACTTATTCGCCCGGGTGATCAGCTTTTCTAAAATCTCCTCCAGCTTATTAAGGTTCACATTATTAGCCCGTGCAACAGCCTCAAGTGTGGTTTGCGTCAATGAAAGTGCATGTGGATTTTCCAATGTTTCCACGGTAACAGTAGTTTCGTCATCAACAACAGCGTCTCCTAGGGATTCAGGATCATCGATCTTGTAGACCTGTTTTTTCTGAAGAATGCCTTTCACTGGTGCATCGTCTTCGCTCGTTTCACTCTCGTTGCTTTTTTCGTCATCGAATCCAGTCCATTCGTCATTCTCCACTTCCTCAGAAGCACCAGATCCGTCCTTTTCCTCTTCAAAGCCAATCAGGAGGTCTTTCGCTTCTTTCAACTGCTTAAGCTGTTCCTCGAACGTCCTTTGTTGTTCTTCTCTGGTTTCCTTTCTCTCGGCAATCTTGGCCAATCTCTCTTGCTCTTTATAGTATTGTTGGGCCTTTTTCTTCCGCTCCAACTTTCTCTTGTGGAAACCAGTTAAGTACTCTTGACGTGACTCTTTGTCAAAGACAACCTCATCAACACCAAATTTCTTTGCTCTGCTTCTGCTGGTATTTCTTACCTCCTGTAAGAATCTCTCTATTCGTTCTGGGACCCATCGTGGAGGGACTTCGAAAATGCTAAGTATGGGATGCTAAAACTGAGATGCTAAGGATGTGTTTTTCCGTATTGTAGCGACCTTTTTGATGAAGACTTTGAAATTACAATGCTTCGTGTTGCAATGCTTTTCGTTTCTCAAAGTGATATTTGATGGTGGATAAAACTTTCGCGATGAGTAGTGAATGCGAAAGTCTGATACTCCTTCAACAACTTTGCATTTTGGCCTCCAAAGAGAAAATAAATATATCCAGCAATAAACCATGGAGAATTTAGAAAATATAAAAGGCTTTGTCCGGTCTCTTGAACATTCAGTGGAGGATTTAAGTGAAGCACTCGAGCCTGTTTTGAATACTTCTATCGAAGACATGATTGCAGAGTGTACCACCCCTCAGCAAAAAGTCAAGGTCTACAACAGTTATTTGTATTGTGTTATTTCCATACTATTCGCATACATTAAGTCTCTTGGAGTCAACACCGATGATCACCCGGTGATGAACGAACTCACCAGAATTAAGCAGTCTATGAAGGCTCTAAAAGATGCTGAGGAGTCTCTTCAGAAGAAATCTGAAAACGCAAAAGAATCCAAAGACCAAGCAAAAGAATTTCTCCAGCGAGCTTTGGGTACTACTGGCGGTGCTGCCGCCCCAGACAGCATGAAGAGCCCGGCTATCAGCAAAGTTAACTTCCAAGGGACGCACACCAAGTTCACAGACGACGAACATAAAACATCATCCACGGCAACATCGTACAAAGGACCTTCTGGCAAGGTGGCAAAACCCCGTAAAGGCGGCAGCAAGTCATCTAAGTAATACTGGACTACAGTGGCATCGTTTCCAATAATGCATTAATCATAAGTGACATAAAAAATAAATGTAGCTTTCTAGAAAAACTCTTGAAAGATATGCTCGTCGTGAAGGTTTGACTTCACAACATAGTAAGTTTCCATAAGTAGATTGGGGAACTTCGTGTTGAAATACTTGTAAAAGCCGTGGGGTAAGGGACTCATTTGCAGCTGGAGAACCAGAGGCATGTCGTTGTAGTGGTGATACTTGTTTCTCAAAGCTCGCAACAAATCCATTAGTTTGTCACCTTGGTACTTTCTATACTTACCCAAGTTGTCAATGAAGGTTTTATCGAATTTGTTGAGCCAATCTCCTAGATGAACCTTTGGTCCCGCTTGCTCAAGCGTAACAAGTAAGTCACTTGGCGGGTCCCGACGCTCGATTTCGAATCTATCGCTCACCTTCAAGAGGAACTCTAACTTCTTGTTATAGCTCCAAAAGTATGGGTGCTTGAGAATTGTCCCCGTATCAGGGCGAGATTTTGGATTGGAACTAATCATCGAGCTGATCAAATCAGTAGCCTCGACGAAATCATCAGGGCAATAGTCTTTCAACCCAGATAAATCGAACTCCCCTCGGATGATATTTCCCTCTCTCATGTATCTATCGCCGTAGGGGTGTCCTCCGCCGGACAATATATAATAAAACACGCATCCAAGCGAGAAAATATCAATCGCTTTAGTCAATCTCTTGACTGCTCCACTGGTATTAGACCCCTCTCTCAAAGAGTGGCGGGAGCTTGAGTTAATCGACGAAACTGTATCTGGGGAGATTTCCAACAAATCATGGCTCAAAAGTAATTCAGGTGCTCTCCAGCCCGAAGTACCCGAAGCAGCGTTTTGTGTTGTAGCTCTGAATGAAGACTGGTCACCATCAAGTTTTTTGCATAGTCCAAAATCTGAGATTAAAAGTCTAATCGAATTGCACGCATCTGACTTTGTTTTCCCCAGATCTCCTACCAAAATATTTTGAGGCTTCAAGTCTCGATGAACAATTTTCAATGAGTGTAAGTAGTGGAGGCCACTGGCAAGTTGATAAAGTGCATCACAGTATGCAGATGGTTTTAGCCATAAAGATTTAGAATAATCGTGACGTTTTTCGATAATCTCATCAAGAGAACACGAACATAACTCCAATGCGATGTACAAAAATTTCTCACTTTCACTTGATTGGGAGCAAAAGTAGCGAATCACATTAGGATGGTCGTCACTCTCTTGGAGGAGTCTCACTTCATGATTTGCGATTTCATAAAAGTCAAGTAGCATTCTTTTTACTGCAACAGGTCTGTTCTCAAACGACCCTTCATAAACTACCGTACCATGTGAACCGTAACCCAAAATCTTGTCAGATATTACCAAGTTACTATCAATCTGAAGCTTCTTCAACTGATTGGATGGTTTAATGATATCTCTCACAAGAGATTTGGTGGAGATAAAATTCTGCTCATTATCACTCTCCTCTCGCACAACATCCTCCTTATGTTCGTCATTAATTTCGTCCCGCGTCTCCTCTCCTTCTTTACCGGCATTCTTCTTGCCTTTGCCCCCACGTTTGCCTCCGCGGCTTCCTCTTTTTCTCTTCTTTTTTGTTAACGTATTATCACCTTCCTTCTCGGTATCCTCCTCGCCTTCCTTATTTCCTTCCGAATCAGGATTTTCGGTCGAAGAGTCACCAGGTGCGATAATACTCACTCTTTTGACTAGACTGTTACCGCTATTTTGAGATTCAGTTTCTTCCAAAGCAGTCTTAGATTCTGCTGCGGATTCTTCAACAAAGGTATCACTGGATGGTTCAGACGTATCAAGGGTATGGATCTTCTCGGATACTTCTTCATACGTATCAACATCTCTGAGCTCTCTCCTATCCCTAAGAATTTGATTAACCTTCACGCAAGCCATGAAAAATAACATCAATGCTGACATGACAAATATATCTTCAGCAATGCGACGAAAAACCGATATAGTTTCCTTGGATTGCCTATCATTTGGAATATGTCTGTTTTGATTGTATCTTGCAGGAGGCAAAGTAGTACTATAATCTCCATCGTGAACTTGCATGTGGTCATCTTGGTGATCAATTGTTGCCAAATCCTGTCGATATTGTGGTTTTGCTTCAGGAAATAGTATACCATCCATGATGGTTGGGATTTGTTGCAGCTCGTGAACGTTCAGTTTTGAATGTTCTTTGTTTGAAGATTCTGAGCCATCTCCAATAAGGTTTATCGGCCTTCGTGTAAACTTTGAGACTGGTTGATAGAGATTTTCCGGGTAAAGATGGTTGATTCTGTGGACACCATTTAATAGATTCTCATTTTCAGCATCGGACACGCTAAAGTTCGATATAAAACTGATCTCTTGGTCACTTAAAAGGCCATTTTCATGCTTGTAAAGACTCATTTGATATCTGGAAACTGGCGCAGATTTAAGTAAAGTTGGGTAATTCAAGAAGCTCATGGCAAACCACTCCTTCCCGTTGGCAGTTTTGTTCACGAAACACAAATCATTGTTAGCTTCATTTTTTGTATCTATCTGAAGATCGTTCAAAACCTTCAATGGATGAGGAAGTACAACGTAATTTGAATTTCTGTTGAAAACATCGAAGACGTTAACAGCTAAAGATGGAAGCTTGCTTATCCATGCTGGTGTTCCTAAGTTCTTGTTAATAGCCAACAAAGACTTGTCGTGAAAGGGAGTGAAATAAAGATTATCTGATGACTGAACGTTCTGCATGATCAAGTCGTTATCAATGTTATTTGGACCCCAGAGCGAGTATGTCACATTCCATACGACGTTTGAATCGATTTTTGAGTGAATTGAAAGTTCAAATGTTGTTTTACCAATTAGGATGGTATTTTCATCAGAGTTCGAACGGATGTTCGGAGTGCGATAGACATTCGGTATTGGACATTTTTCGTCCTCCAGGGATCCAAATTGACTGAGTATTTCACCAGTGTTGATATTGATGGTATAAAGCGAAGTCTTTCTTGCACCTGTATAGATTTTATTGTCCCCGCTAAGTGAAAACGGCGACTCCATGACAAGATTCTTGATGGAAGTTGGGAGTTTATTCAACCCGTACTGTGGGGCAAAATAATATAGAGACCCATCTTGATACGGCTCCACAAACCAGAGCAAGTTTGACTCAGACGAGGAGCTCTTCGGAGCGCAAAAGTCCCTCAGGATTTTGACTAACGGTTCATCGATCGGAAGAGACCATAAGAATGACCCTGTGTTTCTTTCTACCCCATGTAAGTTTCCATCGATATCACTCACAAGTAATAGATCAGTAAGTTCCCAATCTGCCAAAGAACGTAGATCTAGCGGGAGAATATTACTATTTTTGGGTTCCTCTGTGTTTAATGGTTGTTCCGGCAAATAATCTTCGTTACTGTTGAGTATCTTCTCATAAGTTGATGCAAAAACAGCTGATAGAAATAAAAATGGAAAGTAAAGATACTGAAAAACAAACATAATCTGATTATTTGCTTTTGATTGTAATAGATCGATTATGAAACAAAGTGAATGGAATTGAAGGAAGTATTTCAGTAGTCGGAATTAACAGAACCGAAGGGGAGTAAAAATGCTAACCAGCACCAAACAGGAAAAGACCTGACGACTAAGGAATGCAGATTTGTGTAACAGGCTAATGGTTGGGAGTTGTGAGGAAATAAAAGAAAACGGAAGATTTGGTGGTAAACAGTTTGGTTTTTTTTTTTTTTTTTTTCTGTTCTCATTCTATTTTGTTCGCAGGGTATGAGGTACAACCTGTCTACAGTTTTCGCTTTTAAACCTTCAGAGTTTAATCGCACCTGAAAGGAGCCGAATTTAGTACACAAGGATTCAATGATACTATAAACTTGCCACATACGTACAATTGGAGTGGCTTTAGTGGGATAAATAGTGCAGCAAGAAAAAAAATTGTAGATGAAAGAAATGCAGAATGTGGAACCTAAATGTTCAACTGATGGTATATGTGCTCCATTTTCTCCCTGGCAAGCTTTACCACCTCTTCCAACTCCGGGTCTTCATACTTGCTTGCCCTGTCCTCATTTGCACGTATTGATTTCCACATCTTCACTTCACTTTTAGCTCTGCGTTTTGCATTCGTCAAATAAGTATCCAGAGATGGCATGAGAAAGTATTTTTTGTCGTTGAGATAAACCACTCTGGAACCTGAATCCTCGGAAGGTAAATCAACACTTACTTTGCTGGCATTACCCCCTAGTAACCAAACCAATATGAATGAGTATGCAAAGGACGCCAATAGAACGACTATTCCTCCCGAGAGCGTATGGTTTATCATAGGAATTTCAAATGGAAGCAGCTTTCCAATACTCTCAAGGAGACTGGATAACTGCTCACCAAGAGTGAGTTCTTTGGGGGGTTCTGGAACCGGTTCGTCCTTTGGTTCCATTGGGATGCTGATCGATTTTGCTTTCTTTCTTTTTGTTTTGGTTGTGCCAGCTTGACTTTCGGTGTTAATTATTTCGGTGACGGTGCTGACTAAACCCTTCATGAAATCTTTTTGTCCGTCGATACTTCCCCTCTCCACAGGACCTTTGATCCAAGAACGAGCACTCCATTCCACGACCGTTACAACTTTCATTTTCGTGCAGTTATTTGAACCCCAATTGAAAAAAATCTTCGTCAAGACTTTGAAAGAATTCCCCGAAGGGACGTCTGGTGTAGATGTCGTCTGTTCAACTTCAACTGCTTTCGAAAAATCACATACTTTCAACGTATCAGTGACGAGACACTTTGTTTGTTTTGGACCAATAGACCCGGATAAAGGTTTAATGTAGCTGTAATTACGTTCCTTGTTAGTCGTTGAAAGACCAGTAATTTTCGACGTTTCAATATCAAAGTTCTTCTGTGATTTCAAAATTTTGACAAAATGTGAGTTATCTGACCCAAATAAAATCGTAAATACGACTCCCAAAGGTGCTTTGAATGTATGCTCGATAATGTCAACGTCATTAGCGTCTTTCACGTAACCATTCGATGTCGGTTCATGTGTTGCGGGGCCTGGATTAGGAATGTTACCAAACTTTGATCCCTTTGAATCGGCTTTTGATTTATCATCACCATCCTTCTCAGTATCATCACTAAGTTCCTCTTCACTTAGTGGTAGTTCAAGTTTACTTGAGGTGTCCGAGCTCTCATTAGCCTTGGGTTTTCTTTTCGAATTAGATCTCGTCGGTTGACGTGAAAGTGCATCTTCCGATGTGCTATCTGTGGCAGCAATGGAATCCAGTTCTGCCTTGGTGGCATTGTCATTGGTCAGAGCATTCTCGTCTGCAGTGTATTTAGAGTTTCTTGGTCGGCCACGAGATATTGTATTTGACCTTCGTATAGAGCCATTCTCCTCGGTGATGGTTTGCTGAAGAAAATTGTGCCATATTTTCATAATTAAATTGAATGTTGTGTCGCGTGACATGAAGCTTGCAAACACATACTTCTGATGTAATGTACGGATGACAATACCATTTGGAAAAAGTACAGCCGTAGACTTCTTTTCAATCTGAATGACTTCCCGGAAAGGAATGATAAGGTTTGTGACCCAGCCAAGAATGTTCGAATTAAAGCACAAAAAATTTGGTGATAAGTACAACCTACCTTGCACCAATATGTCTTTTGACAATGCACACGAGTACGCCCCAATCAAGTGTTCTGATGCGGGTATATGGCGAAATGTAGCGTGAAACTCCTTGTTTTTCTTCGTGCTTGCCTCGGTAATTGATGCAGAGTCAAGCATGTGTTCCAAATCGTACAGAGCATCATCATCATTTTCATCTGCCTCACTGCGAACATCATCCTCCATGTTCTCTACCAAAATATCTCCATCATCCTCATCTGAGTTTTCACGGCTAACATCATTGATACTACTTCTGGAAAACGATCTTCTGCGAACAACCTGGTTGTCGTTGTTTCCCGTGATCGTAATAGACCGGTTCGCTTCCTCCATGGCCTTGCCATTGACTTCCAATTGTGGTGTTCCCACGGTCTTTGAATTGGCCTCTTTCTCATCAAAGTGCTGTAGAGTCAAGTTGCCATCGCCCATGGCATTCACAGGTGAATCCCGCACCGAAGAAAACTGGACCACGGAAGCCAGAAGTGAGTCCGTAGCTGCCAAATCCGTATCTGTGCTCATTTTTGTAGACGCTACGGGTATCGAGCTCAATGCACTTTTGTTTACCTCCGCGGGTTCCAGAGGACTTTGATATGGGGAAATATCCAAATTGAATTTCAGCCTGAAATTCAGCCGCTTCTCATCATCCTCATCATCGGACTTCGCCCCTATAATTGTAGCTGCATTTTGAGCCGCAGAAAAAATGCTAGAAAGGAAGCCGTTGGTTTCGTCGTCCTTGGATAGGCTTCTTTTCATGCGTGAAGCATGTGGTTGACCATTGGAAAGCACGTCGGCAGACATCTATGGCTCGGAATGAAATCAGCTGCTTATTGCTTACCTGAACTCTGTCACGGTGATATGAAAGTGGAATCCGGGCGCAGCTGGGTGTTATTGGTGTAGAGATTAGGCGGGCAATGCACTAGGATGCGCAGGAATTTCGACCGCGGAGATAGTATAGTCGGAGGAGATAAATATGACGGATAGTGCAGACCGAACAGTTGAGAAGAAAACAAATACACTAGTGTACAAATCCAAAAAAGGTTAACGTATTACGTTTTTGTAACACAATGGCTATTTTCAATCTTGCAGAAAGATCGGCGAACTAATTACGGAACAAATTGAGAATGTTCTCCGTAGAGAACCTTTGCCTGATGGGTGGATGTAAATGCGACTAGAGATGCAGTCTCAGAACATTGCCGATAATGGACTACCACATGATAGAACAAAGTGACTGCGGCAAAAACTGTTTTGATTCCTGCGTTTACAATTAGGTTGATTAAGCAAATTCTGTAATGAAAGAAGTAAAGAACTTTTATTTTGGCGAAATACAATAAACGTGTACGAAGAAGAAAATTGAAGGAAGAGGGTATGAGGCTTAAGCTTTCTCAAAAAGCGGAGCCAAGTAGTTCTCCACGGTTTGTGCTTGCTTGTAAGAAGCATCATAGTCAATGGAGAAAACAGAGACGGAGGTTTTGCACTTTTCCTCAGCCAACACCCAAGATTCGGATGGCAAGTCGCAGTTACCAAAGATACACTGAGTGGTGCCAGTGAAGTGACCGTTCTTCCACTCAAACAAGCCCGAAGTCTCGTTGAAGGCCATGTCTGGGGAAATAGAGTCTGGTCCACTCAAACGGGAGAAGACAAACTGTGGGTCCAAACAAGACTTGTCTTCGTCACCAGTTGGAGGGAAGTTGACGTTAATACCGGTGGTAAGAGGCAACAAGTTAGGGTGGTTGGCAGAGGAGTTGAACAAAATCTGGACCATCTCAACGACCTTTCTGGCGTAAATGTTTGGAGTGAAGTTGACGTCGTTCTCTCTAGCAACATCGTCCTTGAAGAAGGAGTTGTTACCGTTGGATCCAGAGAAAGCAATACCTGGAATGCCTCTGCCAACAGCAGAGTAGGTGGCACCAATGGTACCAGACAAGGTGTACATACCAGGAGAAAGGTTAGTACCCTCGTTAGGACCAGCAACAACCAAGTCGATGGTGGCGTTGTCAAAGTAGGTTGGGAAGACGTAGTTGACAGCGAAAGCAACACAAGAAGCTGGGGTTCCGTTGAAGTACCAGATGTTCAAGTCATCTTCTTCGTGGCCCCAAGATGGAGCGCCCTGAGGTGGGTAAGCAAATCCACCGTCAGTAGTCAAGTTGGCAGTTGGTGGAATGTTGAACTGACCACCGAAACCAGATCTTTGCGAGACTGGGGCAACCATGACAACATTGTAACCAGCGTTTTTCAAGTCACGGTAGGCGGCACGGATGTTAGTGGCAGCCCAACCATCGTCGTTGGTAAGAAGAATGGTCTTGTTAGAGGCCGACAACTCGTTGTCGTCTCTCTTTTCGAGAGGAGCGGCAAAGACAGAAGAGACAGCAGCAAAGGCAGAAACGAGAGAAGAGAACTTCATGTGGCTTGGTTGGTGAGAACAAGAGAACTGCAGGCGTATTTATATCCATCCATTTCCGACGGCAGATGCATTGGCAATTTCTGCCCGGCTCGTGTTCCAGAGCATATATGGCATGCGGAAAGCATTCTGCAGTCTCAAAGGTAGATGAGAGAAGCGAAAACGTGGGCTCGCAATAATGTACCCAAATCGGGACAACATGGTTTCCTAAACGGTAACGGGCCTAATGTTTATGTTTCCTCCTATGAAGAGTTTGCGTTGTCCGATCCCACAGTTTTTCAGGTTACGGCGTGGATGCTTGCACGGATAAGTGTAGCGTAGTGAGCCTTAATAGAATAGTCTAATGTGTGGAAACAAGGTGGAAAATCCGTCGATGTATGTTCGCCTAATAACGCATATAATAAATTCGGAGAGCTCAGTCACTTTGGCATTGACATAGACACATAGTTTACAACGTGCTTCCTACATTAGTACATTAGTGGTGCCGTGCGGCCATGCGCATGCTCGTATTTCTCGCTATCCATTCTCACACTTGCATGCATCATCATCATAACCACTTGTACTACATTCCCCTATCTTCTTTGCATAACTTAAGTTGGCGGCGTAAAGTCCGAAGAGAATAACCAACTTGAGACACTAAGGCAGACGCAAAATTCGGGTTTGGTGCAAATTGCCTTAGAATATATATCAACCTGTCAAGCATAATACGGGGTTGACGGCCTATATGATAAACATGCCAAAAAAGAAAAATTTCAAGGCACAAGCCAAGAAAAATTATATTCTTCACGTTTGGTATAGTTTTCACCCACCAAGTTAATGGCTATCGGTCTGAAAGGGCCCATGTTCCATCGTGAGCTTTCCCCCACCTCTATTCGTGCACATGACAGAAACCTCGGTTTCGCGGTCTCCACAATCAATCTTGAGCTTTGCCCATACTCAAAAAAAAACTAGAGCTAGAATTACTTCCACTCCTGTGCCAAATACGACAGTTAAACATGGCTGTTTTCCTGTCTTTGGCGACTTTCTTTCGCCGCCACAAGAAAAAGTTGTTGATTACGTCAACTGTCTCCGTATCGCTCTATTTCTTGGTTCACCATTTTGTTATCAGCCGAATCCGCAACTTCCAGAATGCCTTGAAACAAGAGCTTTTCGTTAAAGAGCAAATCAAGAGAAGATTTGTTCAGACTCAAGCAGATTGCTATTTGACTCTTTTGGCTCTTTTGCCTGTGCTCACCCTGCCGATCGTGGCGTATTTACCCACAGAAGCAATAACTCTGGCTTTGAAGCGGAAAAAGAACTCAAAAAAGGAACTTGGCGATTCTCTTACTACAGAAAACTTGATGGCTTACTCGGAAGAGAGAAATGCTTCGAGTATTGACTTGCTGGTTCTTTTGTCTAAATCGAAGTTGGAGTTGTGGCAAGACTTGAAGGTGAAGTCTATAACACGCATGCTTACTCTCATTTACGCTTCTTCTGGCTTGCTATTACTTACACGCTTACAGCTAAATATTTTGGCCCGCAAGTCTTATCTTGAGCTGGCTATTGCGATCGCTGGGGGTAGTGTTCCCCCTGCCTCGAAGGACTCCTTTAACTATTTCATTGAACAAAGTTATTTATCTTTGAGCTGGTGGCTTCTCAACAACGGCTGGGTGGACATGGCCGACCACATTGAGAGATTAGTGGAAACCAAATTCAAAGATATCAACCCAAAAACAGAGTTATCCGTTGATACGTTTACCATCATGTTATCTGAAATAAATTCGGAGATGTTCTCTGATGGTGGAGCATTGGTTGCCCGTCTGATATTCCCAATTGACTATGGCAAGTTAGTGGATACACTCATGAACACAAATCCTGAATTGGTGAATGAACTTGAAAACAAAGACCTGAATCTCGTCAAGCTTGTCAACGAAACTAACTTTATCTTTGCTAACAACTTCACTCTCAATGTCTTCTTTACACTTGTCCGGAACGGTGTGGAGACTTTGGCTAGCAATCTTCTGCTTACGCTTGACCCAGACCAAGTCCCAGGGCGAGTTCATAAACTCGCAACGTTTTTGGCCCTGTTGTCTGTGCAATCAAGCGTGATCAGTGATCCTCGAAATTTTGGTGAGGACAGCGAGGTTGCTGGTAACATTTACATCAATAACCTCAACGACGTAGAAGCACTCGATGAATTCAGCGCAAGCATCTACTCTAACTTTGAGTGAGAAGTAATGACACATATACAGAAATCTATGTAGAAATCTCTGTCTTGGAGATATGTAACATAATGTGATAACTGAGATTAACAAAGAACAGAACGAAAACGAAAGATGTTTTTTGTGATTTACAAGAGTATTCTAAGTCTATCAGGAGTGATTTGTAACATTTTGACGCGAACAAAATAATTTACAAAGACGATAGTTGTGGATCAAAACTTGTCAATCACAGCACAAGAATAGGTTAAATAGTCCGAAAAGAAAAGAAAAAGCCCGCTACTCCAGCAATATATTTTTCATATTCTAATATCAGTTTACTTCACTATTTAAAACGAAGAATATGTATTGCGACAATGCCAGTCCACTTTCCCTGTACTGTCTGGAGTCAATCCAAGTCACCTGTACATTTCCGCGAACACAATTCCAATAACCTGAAAGGCAAAAGAACACCAAATATGCCTAAAGTCGTTATAATCTCCTCGGATGAGGAAAGATTTCCCGTCGATGTGGAAGTTGCTAGCAAATCCGTATTGATCAAAAACATGATTTCCGACTTGAAGCCGGATATGGAGGATGACGACGACGAGGAATTTGAGATTCCTACTCCCAATGTTAGAGCAAACGTGTTAAGCAAAGTTTTGGAATGGTGCGAGCATCACAAGAATACTGTTTTCCCAGATGACGACGACGAGGATGCTAGGAAGTCTGCTCCTGTTCATTCATGGGACAGAAACTTTTTGAAAGTTGACCAGGAAATGTTGTACGAGATTATCTTAGCCGCCAACTATTTGAACATCCGTCCCTTGTTGGACGCAGGGTGTAAGATCATAGCTGAAATGATCAAGCACAAATCGCCAGAAGAATTGAGAAAGACGTTCAACATCGTCAACGATTTCAGTCCCGAGGAAGAAGCAGCCATCAGAAAAGAGAATGAGTGGGCTGAGGACCGCTAAGAGCAGAGTACGTAATGACCAAATTGATTGAATGCGTTTGCTGGTGTAGTTACTTTCCTTTTTGAAACTAAGAAGTTAGTATGCCTTAACATCTATCTCAGCGAATCGGTGGATAATCTACTTTGTGTTCTACTCAACTCCTCAAATATGGATTACTAGAAACTGACATATGTACTAGACCATTGGTTTGGATCTTAAATGTTGAAGAAAACACTCGATCTCTTTTTTTTTTTCTTGTCTCAGCATTTGGTTCACTACGTCAAAATCGAAAAGTGTCTGCAGACAATACTCGTAGTCGCAGATTTCGCAGACAAATTCGACTTATCCATCTTCTAATTACCAAGGAAAACCTGTGACACAAAATGACAGAAGACACGGGAAGCACTATAGATGAGCTCAAAGTCTCTCTAGAAAGTCCGCTGGAACAGGTATCCTCGGGATTTGACCCCAGCATTATTCCTTCTTTGCCAGCAATGTCCCTGGAGCAGCTTTTACAATTGGAGGATGTGCTTTCTCAAGAATTTGCATCTTTATCTCGGCAATACGTGGAGTCTAGAAAAAGCCGAATAGAACAGTTGCTATCGATAATTAACAAACAACTACATATATCCCAAGGTCACGAGCAACAGTGGGCAGATAAATACGCATATGAGATTGAACTTATAGAACAGCTCATACATAGCACAGAGGACGAGGCTTTTCCGCAAATGAAAACAAAGGGCCCCAAAAAGGGAACTGCGTCCGGAATAGAGAGTATTGAGCAAGACCTCATGGACTTATTGTCTAATATCAATCTGCCGCTACACATGGATAGTGTATTTAGTGAAAGAGAGAAGGAGCTCCCTTTTGCACATCAGTTTGGCGACCTTATTCGCCCATACAAGGAACAATTGAATGCTCTGTGGCTCCAGAAGGATTACGACATTAACATGATTGAAACTTTGACCGAGAAAAACAGAACTATATTGTGGAAACAGTACAGACAGGACATCTTGGACTACAAACAAAAGCTAATAGATCAGACATATCACGAGCTTACGGAGCTATACGAGGAGTACCATGGAATCCGTGAAAATGCCATGGCAGAAGAGGACGAAGCACACTACTTTAAATCGGTAATTTCAACAGATGATATCAAGTTGGGGGCAGAGCGCGAACAAATCCGTTTGGCAAAGGGAAACATCGACTCATTTTATGATATCGATAACGTCTACTATAAGAATAACAAAATTGAAACGACAGCCTATAAGATGGCGGCTTTGGAGTCAATACGCAACTTCGAGTCGGCACAAAATGCATACAAAATTCCACAAAGGGACGACGCTACAGTGAAACTAAGTAGCTGTTCAGGATTAACGTCGGAAGAAATCGATCAAGACCTTGAAACCTTCAAAAGTTTGAAACATCGCAAAGAAGTTCCTCCTGAAACAGTCGTCGTCGATGCTTTGTCCGAGAAACAGGCAGATTACAAAGAGCTACTATCTTTAGGTCATACATCGTCTAAAATTAGCATGACTCCTCTCGAATTACGGGGTCAGATTGAGCATGAATGAACCTCACGTATATATATTATTCATTCCTTCTCCAATAAAATACTAGCATTCTTCAATCCAGCCTCCCCTATCGTCATGTCCAAACACTCGATGAGCTTGGGGTTTCCAACACTCGAGATGGTAAATCTTTCGTCTCCGCTGATTCCAAATTCGGCTGCTTCTGCATTCAGCAAAACAAACTTTAGCCATTCATATAGTTGTCTTACTTTATCAGATTCATATGCAAATTTGTGGATCAATCGCTTGCCATTAGGAAACCTTAACTGGACACGCGTTGTTGGGCCTTCTGTTGGCTCGGGGTGGTCAATCGGTTTTATCGATCCGAAAATGTCCAGAGACACTTCCGGAGCAGAACTTCCTGTTTCTTCTTCTTTTTCTTCTTCATGCTCTGAATCAAGGTTTATAGCATCTTCAGCAGTAGCACCCTTCTCTGCCATAGACTGCTTAAGGGCAAATTCCATCTGCTGCTCTTCAGACATTGCGTCTGGATCAAATTTGACTTCGTGTTTCACCACAGGGTTGTTGGATCCGGGCTGGAGTGAAAACTTTTCTAAGAACAATTCGACATCAGCTAGCCACTCTTCCACGTCTGGAACTTCTCCATCTTTCCACGAAAAAACCTTCTCGCCTGTCATTGGGTCCAAGATGGCGATGTGAGGGTATGTGTCCACATGGTAAAAGTTCAGGTAGGTTTCTCCATTAACAGAATCATGCTGAAACTGCAAGAAGATGAAGTCTTTCCGTACGGCCGCTTTCACGCTTTTGTTAGCCCAAAAGTCTCTATTAAGCACTTGGCATTGGAATTCTGTTTGGTCTTGAATGTTCACTAGGATCCATTTCTTTTCCGCTCGTCCTTTCACTTTAGCTCCATCCAAGTTGGTTCTTTCAATAAGGTCAAAAGGTGGCTTGAATAGCTCAGCAAGTCTTCGCTGCGTTGAAGTGAGCTCTGACATACGTGATTGTTGTAATCTGGTGCGTCTCGTGGGTCTGGTCGGCTCTTGATCTTCATCCAATTCCATTATTTCGTCCAGATCCTCATCATTCAATTCCACAACACGAGGTTCAGCCTCGAAGTCATCATCATCATCGTCTTCGAAACGCGCTCCCTCTTCTCCCCATTCGAAACGTTGGTTAAAGATGCCCACACGCCCACGGCCAAACATATCTGTTTCCAGGGGAGCTGGTTGCCCAAAAGAGGGGAAAGAGTCAACAAGCGTATCATGTCTGTGGACATTCGCATCAGCCTCTCTCACGTTAGCCTCATACGCTTCGTTTTGCAATCTGGTGGCGTATTCCTCATCGGCGTTTGCCGCTGAAGATGGTTGATTATTTGCACCTGCTTCTAAGAACAACTGAACCGCATACTCAAGATTGTTGCCTGAAAGTTCAAGATACTGCTTTGCTGTAGCCGCGTCCTCAGACCCTGTGAAGGCCAAAAATGTGGCGATTTGGTCATCCATGATCGAAAAGAAAGATGTGTGGTTGAAGCAAGCCAAATACTGATAGTGTGTTTCATGCAGTCCACAGACTCTCATTAATCACATCAGTATTTCTACAAGCGGGATAAATAAACTTATATTACTGCCACTTTCTCGTGAGAAACACATATATCTGGGGGTTGAATTACATGCATTAGGCGATCCAAATCCCACTCTTACATTGAAGAGGATTGTTCCGTTGTAAAAGTAAAGAATAACCACTTGTGTGCAAGCTCCAAGCCTGAGGAAGTGTCCTCGAATAATTCATTCACCTCTCTTAATCAAAATATGGCTCAGTTTTACACTCGAGAATTTACTCTTTGGTGTGGTCTTAGAATGGCCCATCTGGGATGATTTGAGTGACTAGATAACCGGCACCCGTGCCTCCTGTTCGCGCCCGCACAGTCTCATCGAAGTCCAAGTCTTCGGCAATGGAAGACTTTAGGCCAGCTTAAGCAGAACCGACAGAAGAAATCCAAAAGTTTGTAGCAGCTTGAAAATACAAACGGACATACTTTGTGGTTTACCCCCCTGCTTCAGTAGCGCTGCATCACTTCCATCAGTGCCTTTGCATACCCCATATTGCCCGATCTCGACACCAGCCTCAATCATATGCCCCCAGTCCACATCTAACGCCAATACTTTTGCACAACAATTCAATCATTATTCCAGCTTTCCAGCTTTTCATAATCTCTCCCTCAAGCTTCTCATACTTTCTTGGTTCTGGTTAACCAGCTGCATCACATCTGCATTTTTCATTTTCCCAGTGCATTTTCATTCTCATGGAGGCTTACGAGCGCTACGACCACGGTGGTCTTTTGAACGACCGCTACTTGAAAGTAGCAGACATTTCCGAAGGTTCGTATGGTCTCGTCTCTTTAGCAAAGGACACAAAGGCCAACGATACATTGGTTGCTGTCAAGTACATCTATCCCGCTTCATACACTCGATCTAAAACTTTTAAAGAGCTTTCACAGGCAACAGGCCGTGCCACTTCTTCGCCGGCGAAACTCCGCTCAAACAATGAGAAAAACCCACAAACATCCTTGCTCAACTCATTGTGGGAGGAATCGGCAAAGGAAATCCGCATTCACAAGATATTGGGTACCCATCCCAACATCACGAGCCTTATTGACCATTTTGATTCTTGCCTAGTTCTTGAATACTGTGCACGTGGAGACTTGTATGAGGCAATCCAAAGCGATACGGGTCCATCAACTACGCAAGATGTAAAGGACGTTTTCGGACAAATCTTGCTGGCACTCGCTTTTTGTCACGGTAAGCTGGTGTTCCACCGGGACTTGAAGCCAGAAAACATACTCATCACCGAGGACTGGACTATTAAAATGTGCGATTGGGGTCTTGCCACAACACAGCGCCGCGTGACAAATAAGAGCGAATTCGACGTAGGATCCGAGCGTTACATGGCACCAGAACTTTTCGACCCCGAGTTGGAGAGCTACGATGCCGCCAAAGTGGATCTTTGGTCCGTGGGGATTATCTTACTTACGCTTGTCTTCCACAAGAACCCATTCAAAGCTGCAAACTACACGGACAAGCGGTTTCTCCAGTTTTCTGCTAACCGTGAGGCGTTGTTTGATTTTTTCAGTACCATGAGCAGCGACATGTTTAGCGTTTTGCGCTTCTGTCTTACGCTTGACCCCGAAAACCGTGATTTGGAAGCATTGCGTGCTGAAGTGGAAAAGGTCAAGTTTTTCACCATGGACGAGGAATACTGGGCCGAACATAGTGACGAAGAAGAAGACTACCGGTTTGAGGCCGAGGCTGAAGATGAGCAAAAAGCGGAGTTAGCGGAGAAGACTATCTCGTACCAGAAGCCGGTCGAAATTGTGGAGCCGGATGTATTCGCAGAGCCAGTCGATATCGGCGGCGCGAACATGTCGCCCCGTATGCCGCCGCAAATCACCGTTGGCGCGCTGCTCGACGCCGATATGCCCTACAATCGTCGCGCGGATGCGCTTCTTTCGCCCCACGCACAACCGATTCCCATCGGGCGCCTTCGCAACACACGGAAGCCCTTTGGTGTCGCATCATACACACGCACCAACAACAGCCACAGCAACAACGGCCGGTTCCGGCGCGAGGATTTCTTTACTCCTCGCAGTGTCTTCAATCACTACATGGACAAGTACGGAGAGAATAAGTACGGAGAGAACAAATCCGGAGGAGATAACCGGGACAAGGAGCGGCGCAGGCGGCGCAGTGGGAAACAGTCGTGGAAGAGGAAACCTGAAACGCGCAAACCGTGCAAGAAACGGCGGTCGCGGTACGAGATGGCGCAGTCGGCACCGCACACAGGCGCGTACTTTGAAGCGCGCCAGCATAGTCCGGCGCGAGGTAAATACGTGCCGCCGTTCTTGCGTCTGCCTCGCTCGCCGCCCATTGGCGCGCTCGCTGAAGAAATCGACCACCTCTCGCTTGACGATGACATGTTTCAGTTGGAGGATGTCGGATACACCAACGGAGACGAAAATACAAACGGTGCCCATTCTGGCTTGAATTACGGATCGCATCTCAGCTCGCATTTCAACTCGCACGACAGTTCTCATATACGTTCGCATGCCGGTTCCCATGTGAGCTCGCATGGGGCACCTAACCACACTAATCTGCACACTTTCAATTACGGCTCTACTGGTGCCGGTTTCAACGGCAGCGGCTCTCTGAGAAGCGGCAATTTTGGCGCAAATGTTGCCGCGGTAAACGGCGGACACGCCGGGCCTGGCGCGAAGTACGTTCCACCGTTTCGGCGTGGGTCGCACCCCAGCTTGCCCAAGCGCGCCCCACTTGCCCAGTTTGCGCGCAGTATTCAGCAGACGCTCGACGAAGGAAGTCACAGCGTGCCTAGCGACCGGTGGATGACGAAAAACTGGCCGGCGGCACGTGACTGATGGCTTTTTTTTTGTTTCTTCCCCCCTCGACCTTCCCAAAGGTTCGGGCTGGTGATGTGCGGCTGTGCTTCGAACAAATGGCGTTTGTGCCAATGAGAGCATTGCCATTGGGCGACGGTCGGCGCGAACTATGCACGACCTGTGTTCCTGCGCCTGAATCCGTTTCGCGCAGGTCCCTCGTCATCCGCGCGCTATGTTCACAACCTCTGGTGATATGGTTGCTGATGTGTACCAGTGTTCATCACGGAACGCGGTGCCAACAGAGTGTGGGTAATTGAAGGATTGGAGCACATGCACCGTTTTTATTCTACATCTGGGAGCCGATTCTTTGTTCCTGCGCTTGCCCTCGAGCCGTTTTCGATTTTTCTTCTCATCCGCGCTACCCACCAACTCCGACGACCCTTTTCTTCGCTCACTGGGTATCTACACTCCAGCAGCAACGCGCGATGACCATGTCACACTAGTTTGGGGTGATATGCAGTATTGCGACTTCTCTCTAGCACTGCCTCTTTTCACCAAAACACCGGCAGAGCTTCGCCACGCTATCGAAAAATAAATAATAATCTACCAAATTATGACGTCGAACCGTCTTCCATATACACTGCCCCGCGTAGGAGGCGCAAGCTTGCGCCTGATATCAGCCGCGCGTATTGTGCGCATGCACTACCTTGCAGATTTAGACATTCCGCACATTTATAGTCTTATGCTCTGGTCCTGCAACACATTTCTTGCTTCTGGATTTTTTTTCCTTTATATTTTTTGTTTCTGTTTGTGTACTTGTTTCTTGGCCCTTCGAAACACTTCCGGTCACCTTCAATCCTTATTCAAACCAACTTCATTCTCGAGTAAGATCCCTTATCCCCGAGACATTGCAGCTGCTAATCCATGATCCCCAAATACTACCAGCGGCGTCTTTTGGCGGCGCTCGTGGCAATTTTCCTAGGACTCGTGTCCTTTCTTCGTGTGCTCTGCCGCGACATTCCCGACTCAGTACTCGATAACACCACCCTAGCCATGTTTGAAACCTCTTCTTTCAACCCCAGGTCCATCACATATTGCATTTATTCGTACATCCACGCATTGTCTTCGGGCAACTACTTCATGCAGAAAAACCTTGCTGCCATTGGGCCCATGAGCATCAACGAGGGAATTTATTTCCATTGGGATGACTGGGTCGATTTGTCTCCTGCTGACAAGGTGTTGGCCAGATACAGACAAACGTATCCAGATGGGAAAGCCGACGAGTCGCTCCGTGCTTATGCATCTGTGAATCCTTACTACATGGAGTCGTTCAACACCAAAGTTCTCCGAGGCATGGCCAATCTCTACGCGGTGAAGGCTCCGCCTAGAAAAATCTGGGCCGCCACTGACTCGGGCTTTGTCGAAGTGCCAGTGTTCGGCAAGAAGAAAGTTCATCTGAGTGCTTTGCTCAAACAGGTGCCCAAGCTCACTGTCGTTCTGCAAATGAAGCGATGCGACGCCTTGATGGGCGCTCTGCTCCCCAACTCTTTCCATTTCCACCCATATAAACGCATGCAGAAAAGCATCGACATTGCGCCGCAAGACTTTGTCTTTGACCCAGACAAGGAGATTTTTGCCCTTAAGGAGGCACTCAACAAGAACACCATTGCTCCCGAGGACATACGCTATCTCAAGTTTTTGGAGACGGCTAATGCAGAAGCCGATACTGCTGATCGCTTCTTCAAATACCCATGGATATACACAGATCTCATTGCTGGTCGCTCGCACCACATTTCATTTCCGTTTTTCAAACGTTATGTGTCCGATAGAGAGCGTCAGAGTGTTTTGCATCACATGGTCCGCGTGTGGTTTAAGTTTGCCGAAGCCAATGGCGTTGCGCTGTGGATCAACTACGGTTCACTTTTGGGTTGGGCCTATAACGGTGTGAATATGCCTTGGGATACAGATATCGACATCCAAATGCCAATTGCTCAACTTGATAAGCTCGCAAGAAAGGCAAACTCAACACTCATCATCGAAAATCCACGCGACGGGAATGCCAAATACTTGTTCGAAGTGTCGCCAACTTACGTGCGTCAGGGTAACGGTCGGAATTTCATTGACGCCCGCTTCATAGATATCAACACTGGCCTTTACATCGACATCAGTGGATTGTCGCATACAGGCCATAAACAGCCTATGGAACTTCTGGCTGGTGGGAGTGATCTCAATAAGCTCAAAACCATGAATGTTCATTGCAAGAACTGGAACTGGCATTCTCTCGACGAACTTCTTCCTATTCGTCACACCTTCTTTGAAGGCTCATCGGTGTACATCCCACATAACGTGCTGTCGATTTTGCTGAAGAAGTATGGACCTGACTCCTTCACGACCAAGCTTGCATTTAACAACCACCGGTACAGTAAAGAACTCAATCTATGGGTTCCTCAAGATGAGTGTTCGCGAACATGTGCCGCTGTTCTGCTGCTTTTTGAAAACAGCGAAAAGCTGCCCAAGTTTCAAAGTCAGTGGATAGAGGACGAGTACAAGATTGTTTCTCCTGCCGCTGAACGTCACATGGCACTAAACTCTGACCTCGACAACCCACGCGATTACGACTTGAGTAGATATGCCGACCTTCCGATACTGCGCAAGGATCTGTGGGAATACTTCAGTGACATCAAGTACAAGGTCTCATCCAATACCGGATGGTACAATGATTCCTGATTTTGCATTTTTCATATTCGCCTGAATATGTCATCTTCGGGCACTGCCCTTTACGTCATGATAATGAATTGTATAAATATATTGCATTACTGTAGCTTTGAAGTAATATTGGCGTGCACCTACAATATTAATAACTCAGCATGTATACGAATAAATTTCAAGGCGTCGTATCCTATTTCCCACTAAATGGTGTAAAAGTAGGTTTGGAAACATGTAGAAAATTGAATTTGCGTGTCATAGATGCTACGAGCAAAATTTGAAATCAAGATGGTTTCGTGGTCTAGTTGGTCATGGCATCTGCTTAACACGCAGAACGTCCCCAGTTCGATCCTGGGCGAAATCATTTTTTTATGTTATTTGCATGCATAGCAATCGTCACCGCTCCGCGAAATGCCGGACAAAGTCGGATAATGTTCGCACTACGTCAGAGAAGCCCTTGAAAGAGGCTTTCCCCACGTTTTACAGAATAGCTACAAGTACACGGTATGGGATGCTTAAAAATGCAAGATTGGAAGACACGACTTCTTTTTCCGAAGGTGTCTGGTGTGATGTCGCATACCGGTCGGATGTATTTTTTGACGTTTCCCCATATTTCGGAACAATTATCGGCCGGGATTATTTTGTAAGTCACGTGCCGGGTCGGAGTCAACCCCGATATAAAACGAGAGTAAAGTGTCAATACAAAGGTTGTGAGTCTGGATAGCAGTTGTAGCGAAAAAAAGTCGAATGACTTACCATGTTTTCACCACCGTAGCATTTCTCCTTGTACTGGAATGTTGTGTCTTCCCATTGTGACCATGGACTTTGTGCTGTAGTGACAGGGAAGTATTAAGCCAAAACGAGGGTGGGAATTCCGAGAGGCACGGGTGTAGCCTCCAACAGAACCAAACCTTTTCGACTCTCACAATATTTTGTCCCTAATAGAGCGGTATCCACTTTACAACACGCAAACGCTCCATCGCCCCTGAACGGCATTCCATAACTTCCGAAACCTTTCCATACTTGCAAGTACCTGAAGTCGAGATTTATTTCGGCCAGCGCTACAACCAGTAATTGTTGGTGCACTTTGGCTCTGAATATCATTCCCTGGGAGCTGTCCAGAAAAGATTACCCCGGTGTATTTTCTGTTCTCCCCATTGAAAGCAAGCTCGGAACAGTGGCGCAACAGTCTATCCTAGTCTTACAGAGTTATTTGTTGCTTCTGGTGAACAGTGCCCCTCTTGCTTCTCGACTGTACACCCTCAAAGATTCCAGGTCTCATGTCTTCTAATGCAAAGTCTGGAGAAGTCTTCACGGGAGGTGCTACCACCTCTCAACATATCGAGGCCCAAGATGATGACCATTTCCAAAATACAACCTTTAAGTTGAAGAGAACTAGGTCCTTAGGTTTGTTAGATGAGTTCATCGATCCTGAAAAGCAGCAAGAGCAAATCGAAAAGAAAAACAACAGCTCAACCGATTCTGAGCTCCCGCTGTCCCAAATTGATGGTTCGGCAGATCATGGAGACTCTGAAGTACACGAAGACTCTTCAACGCATGGAGACTCTACAACGCATGGAGAATCTTCTTCTGCCGCTCCTTCTCTGCCCTATATAACATCCCCTGATCTTATCCCTCACGATGATACGGACTTGGTTGCCGAGCCTTCAAGACATGTTGACTATCTCTCTCACGAGTGGGACGTTTCGGATATCTCAAAGTCTTGGCGGTATGTCATTCAGAGAAGAAAAGATGTGGCAAATGCAGCCCGCTTGGAAAATGCCAGCTGGAGAACTTGGGCACAAAGACGATCCAATTTAAAGACTATCAGTCCAGAAGAAGTTAACTGGTCCAAAGAAAGTGATGTGACGTGGCTTTATGGTCCCATCGTTGATGACGATGAAAATGATCACGAGACATGTGCCTCCAACGAAGATTCCAAGTCCGGCACTGCAACTAGTATTGTTGCAGGCGATATTTCTATTGCACGTAAAAACCACGGGCCCAAACCCATCTTGAAGAAACGCACGGTGCAAGACATGATGATCAGTCACCTGAATTTGTTGAAGTTACAAGTGGCCACTGCTCGAGCTGAGCTGGAACAAAGGCGACGCGAAGATGCAGAGGCAGAGGCAAGGAGAGAAGCTGCGGCGAAATCAGGAAAGTCCGACAGACCACCCGAATACTTCGACTATGACGTGATCTCCGCCAAACTCAATTCGCAATACAAAAACTATTCTGGGCCCGGCTCGCTTGCAAATTCCAACAATAACAGTGCACTTGATTTAACACAAGCTCATTCGCCGGTGGAGGCTACAAACTTATCGTCCAAATTGCAGAAGGTATCCAGCGAAAGGCTGGCCACGGTCGAAAGTACAGAACCTCCGAAAAAGGAAAAACGCCATATTCATTTTAATGACGAAGTTAAACAGTGCATTGCCGTCAACGAGTATTCTGACGAGGACGAGGATTATGATTATGATGATGAATACGACAATGACTACGACTATGGTGATGATGAGAGTTACGTTTATGAGGATAATAGCAATTTCAACGATGAAGACGAAGACGATGACTACGATGATGATGAAGATGAGGATGACGAAGAAGATGAAGGTGGATTTTTCTTGAAAGTGAAGCCTCCTTCTTCAGCATCTTTGGCGGGCTTAACTTTGCCAGGTTTATCGTCAGCGTCAACAAAGGATAAGGATCATGAGCGGAGTGAGGAAAGTGATTCGATCTCCACCAACAACTCCAAAGTGTACAAGACAATTCATCTCTTACCTCCTACCACCTTGAACTATGGCTCCTCCGACGAAGAGAGTGATGACTACAATCCATATACATCCAGTTTATCGCATAATGTCGACAACAGCACGAGCAGAGGCTATGATTACTACTACGACTATAATACTGTGTACCAGGTGGATCCAAACCACGCGATATACGGCTCGAAAAAGACACCTGACGTGGTGGATGTCCCGAAAAACATCACACTTGGGTCTAACTTTGACTACGAAATAATACAAAACGAGGATGCACAGCAGTATGAAAACACTCCGTTGCACTCAGCCAAGAATGAGTCTTCTGCAGTTGATTCAGATGAATCTAGCAAGGACTCGAGCAAATTGCCTGTTTCTTCACTCGAAGACTCTGCATCTCCGCTGATAAGGCCTAACCCATTTTCGCTTCATGAGCAAGACCAATCGGATTCAGACTCTGATTCCGAAGATGATGGGTTGTCTATCAATGCGCGAAACTCTAGTCAGTCATTAGCTCAACTGGTTTTTGGGCATGCATTGACTTCAGCAGATTCCGACCTGAAGAGCACTCCTGCGGAGCATTATTATCCAAAGGCAGAGACAAAACCAAGCGAGGACCATATCTCATCAATTAACCCACGGTATTCATCAACGTCTGTCTCAAGGCAACCACACTCTTCTAGTTCTCTTTCCGACCAGTTCCTAAACACAGGCATGACCAAAGCCTCAAATGACACATCGTTGTCCGACACATTCTTTAATATTAAAGCACCCGAGGCCAAAACTGCTTCCTCACTGTCATTGACTGAAAGGCAATCTCCTCCAGTGCAGAAAAAAGCATCTCCGCTCCCGCCTCACACCACTTCCGCGAATGCCTTTCTGGGTACATCTACACCGCCACCGCTGGGCCTGGCACCTAAGAAAGGCTTCATGTTTGACTCGGACAGCGATTCAGAAGACGAGTTTATTGAAAATGCTTCGCCGCCACCGTCTGGAGACAAAAACACTACGAGCTATGCATCGCTTTATCAAGTAGCTGACCGGAACGGGATATCCGTTCCTTCGCAGCCCGAAGGTGAAGAATCTAGCCAGAAGAATCGTGTGGGCCTGGCAATGGTGAACTTTTTGGGCGGGTGGAATAAGAGTGGCTGAATTTCATTCCTCAATTGAGGTTATCCGGAGTGCCACATGAAGCTCCTAAGATAGATTGAGCGTGGCAAAAAAGAAAAGAAAAAAAAAAAAAAGAGATTAACCGTCAATGTTGTCGTGTTGCTGTGCTACGCGAACTCAGGCCATCAATGTGCTAATGAGCTTAGATAGTTTTCAATGCATTTTTCAAAGAGTGTTTGTAGGGTCTTGAATGTCAATTTTAGTTGCCACTTTAACATGATACTTTATGTACAATTAGAATTGGAAGCAAAGACATCTAGAACCAGAATATCAATGTTATGTAAACTGTGATGATTTAATATCATATTGAAGCACAGGAAATTTGCATCAGTATTTAAGTCGGTCTCAATTGCTTGTCTATCATGCACGGCTATCAACTGCAAACTTCAAGAAAACGTGCGCATAAGTTTATTCTCCATACTTTGATACGCAATCACTTCTTCCTTCTTTAACACATCCAGGATGCTCCCAAACATCATGGAGCGCCTTCTAAGCCTCGTGGTTTCTTCTATTTTCTTGAAGCCAATGGTTCCCCCAGTTGACGACGATGGGAAATGTGAGTTAGTGGGCACCTTTTCATTGCTAACCCAGGCGTTCTTGGGCTTACTATGTCTACTGTCGCTCATAGTCAAACGCTTTTACGAATATCCGGTCCGCCGGACGTGGCAAGTATGGTTTTTCGATGTTTCAAAACAGGTCATAGGGGCGTTGGGTGTGCACATTTTCAATTTGTTGCTCTCCATCACGAAGGCAGAGCCTAACGATTTTAGCATCACTGATGACTGTGATTCTGGAGACCAATGTCAGGGCGACCCCTGTGACTGGTATTTTCTCAGCATTGTTCTGGACTGTACTATCGGGGTGTATGTTCTCTATGTGGTTCTTTCATTTGTTAGTTTCGTGTGCAAGAAGTATTTCAAGGTAACGCAGATTGAAAGTGGACAGTATGGTCCCGACCCTCACAACCCGTCTGTGAAAGCATATTTTAAACAACTTGGCATTTACTTTGGGTCGTTGATGATTACGAAATTCGTTCTCTATGGGCTTCTAGTTTGTTTTGAGTCGCAGCTCTTATGGTTCACGAGCCACGTTCTTTTAGTCTGGCTTGACGATTATCCCAATGAGTTTGAGATATTCATTGTCATGTTTGTTGTTCCGATATTTATGAACTGTTTGCAGTTAATCTTGGTGGATAATTTCATCCAGAACCAAGTCCTCCATGAAGCCAACATTAGATATTCACACAACCATCATCACCATCTATTTGATTCTTCCAACCCAGAGGAAAGGCAAGGTTTAGCTATAAAACGGAATGGCATAAGCGAGGAAGTACATACACCGGGAAACGAACATGGGGAATACGGGGCTACCTGAGGGTTTAGCAAGAATTTTATATTTATTCTTTTCAAGACTGGGAGTTGGTCTTGGAGTCCATATATACAGCACCCTTTTAATCTCTTTTGTAAGTTGACGTAGACTTATTTGGTTTCGAAACCAAAGCCTTTCATACAAGTTTTGTATGCTTGAATCAACTGGTCACATTTGCCACTCTCTTGACCGTTGAATAAAAGACACTCGTCTCTGGCCTTCTTTTCATCTAAGCAAACGCAGCATGGTTTTGGTTTTTCTGTTGGGGTAGGCTGAGACATGATTAAGAAAGAATGGTATCACCTATAGAAATACATTACTAACCACATCATGCCGCACTTGTGGCGCTGATGGCCGATCACGTGAGGTTCACCATCAGACCTTTCCGTCTACACTACATATCTATCTACCAAACGCTGATTTTCGATCATATTTGCATCCCAATCTAGTAACTGCGTCCCGTATTTCATCTCTTCTCATCCCGGTATTCTCTCTGTATTAAGGACCACTACTCTGTCAGAACCAAGATTATGTACACCTGCAAAAGATGAAGCAGAAAGACGGACTCGCTCGACAAGTTTTAAAACCTCTAAAGCAACCTAAAAGAATGTAAGAAGAAATCCATGAATCAAACAAACAAACAATAAAGCCGGCATTAGTATATTTACAAAGACTGCACATAAGTCGTTACCGTATTTAACGATCTAGCTATATGCCTTTAGAAGCCACGCCAAAACACCGGATATGACAGACGGCGGAGAGGAATTATCACGCGGGAGGCTTTCAACAGATACCAATGTTGATTTGAATACAGACATAGCACCTGCATCGGAATACTCCGAGTCTGCCCAGAAGAAACTAGCGGGGTCTGTTTTTTCCAGCATGAGGAGTAGCATGGACGGGAGCCCGAGCATATTGAACGCCTTCAACATTTTAAAACAAGGAAATGCCATTGACGACGACATAAGCGCAAGTTCCTCCTTTCCGCTTGGTCCCAACTCCATTTTCGAATTAACAATCGGATCAGATGCAGCGAGGTTGAAGACAAATAGAGGCCTAAAGAACCAAGTCACCATAAACGGGGGGACCACAACCATTCATCATTTGATTAAGCCATCTGTGGATGAAATACCTCGAATTCTGCTACATTCATTGAAGAAAAAGGTGACCAATACAGAATTGTCAGATGCTTTGGTCAAAGATACCATTAGCGATTATAAAAGCTTCGAGCTGGGATACAAAGCGCTTACTGAAGATATGCTTTCAAAACTCTCAGAACAGCAAGACACACAGAAGGATGATGCTTCAGGTAGCATCAGCTTTATGTCCGATAATGACGATGATCTCATTCCCCAAGTATTTGAAGACCCGAACTTCCGATTGGATGATCCAAGAATTTTCCGCCAGGTAATGGAAAATACAAGACTTTTGCCGGATCCAGATGCACCTGATGAGGCGAACAGCAATATTATTAACGGCCCTCAAATCCAAGAGAAATTATCCCACTATTTAGACGTGGTAGAGGTTCAATTGATTCATGAAATATCAAAGACATCAAATTCATTTTTCAGCACGTTGGGAGATATACAAGATATTGAGCAAGAGTCGAAATCATGCATTGACAAGTTTGCCGAAATCAAACACAAAGTTGCAGATATCGAGGAATATCAAGCTGAGACTGGAGCAAAGATTTTGGATTTGATCGACGAAAGAAAAAGTGTCAATCACCTTGAATCATCTGTACTACAACTCCAATCTGTCCTTTCGAAATATGCCGACGCCATGATTCATCATCGACATAAGCAGCATTTGAAATGCCTTCAAGAAATTTTGGTTATCGAAAACCTTATACTAGGGGTTGAACCTGAGGACTATCAAGATGAAGGGACAAAACATTTATATCCAAAATTTGAATATCCGATGGTCAATCTCTCCCGGCTTCCGGCACTAGAAAAGTTTCGACAAGACGTGGAAAATCTCAAGCTGGCTTCCAATCAGGGCTACAGTGAGGAATTTGTACAATTACTTGTCGAGGATCTTCGTTCACATTACAAATCAATTTCGTCAAAAGATACGATGAATCGTATTTATGTCTCCATAGATCGCTCGCGCAAGTATCAAGACAAAAACGTCAACAAGACATTTAATGAAATTGATTCACAGACAAAAAAGAAAATCCAAAATTTCATTCAAAATTTATCAAACTCGGGTTACATTACTACTGCGTTCACAGAATACCAAAACAGTGTCATAGGTGAAGTCAAGGCAATAATAAGACATAATTTGCCTTCAGGGAAACCCGATCCTCAAACAGATGAGCTATCCTCGAAAGATAAATCTCCTTCATTCGCCGAGAGTGAGAAAACCCAAACGGAAGGTACTCCATCAGGCAACGCTTCATTGTCAGAAAATATAAGAAAAATGTCTCACGACCAATTCTCACGAATGATGACTGCCATCTATTCAAACTTGTCTGAATGTCTAAGGAGATTGACCATTCATCAGAAGCTCTTACTTGATATGTCACTCTCGTCACTTCCACCACAATTGTCACAGAATATCGATGTCATGTCTTTGGATATTACCAACTCAATCAATAAGGCAATTGAGCTTACCCAAGTCAGACTTGTCAAAATTTTGAATGTGCGTCTGGAACAAATAGGTGATCTCCCTGTTAAGCAGTACTTACATTTGTATCTGCTTTCATCTGCGTATCTACTGGAATGCGAGTCCATTAATCCTGTCTTTGTTGCTTCGGGTCTGGGAAGCTCCTTGACTGAGTGGGTCAGAAATCATGTTGGATACTTTGTTCACAAATTTCACTCAAACTCTGTTAGACAGGTGGCCAATGCGTGTGATAAAGAAACTTGGAGGGAATGTACGACACCAGAAAAGATATCAATGGGACAAGATGTTCTTGATACTATTCTTGGATACTCTGAGTACATTAAAAGCGATGGTCAAAGTGGCTTCAGTGGAAGCGATTGGATCGAATTTTTAGACTTTTTTGAAGATGATTCAATTTCCAAGGAAACATCGAAAACGGCTAATGATTCAAATAGTTCTTTGATGTTAAAGATCCAAGATCTGGAGTTCTTGGTTCCAGAACTCATATTAACAGTTAATGAGCACGTCCGAGACTACTTGATCATCATTAAAATTTTTCCGTCGAGGGCTGGTTCCGTTCGCGGGAATATGTTGACTTTCTTCAAGTTACTCAATACCAGAGTTTCTCTGGCAATCTTAAATGCTGGAGCCACTCGAACTGCTGGATTGAAGCATATCACCACAAAACATCTCGCTTTATGCATTCAGACCATTGCTTTTACAATTGCGCTTTTATCAGCTATTCAGCCCGTTTTCGCCAATCATAGGCATGAAACTGAGCTGACCAATAGTAATTCTGAGGAGATAACTATTGAATCTGTCACCAATCTCTACAAAAGCCACCGGCGAGAATTGTATGACAAATTGGTTTCGATTATGCATGACAGAACGCTAAATCACTGTGGTGCAATCATGAAGCTTGACCTTTCTCAGCCAATAAAACATCCACAGCAGAGCCATCCATATATGGAAACGTTGGTGAAGGAAACAACCACTGTATCTAAGGTTTTGACGAAATACTTGCCTGAAACAGAGTACTCCTACATCCTTCTGCAAATATTCAGCAACTACAAGCAGCTTCTTGTTAAATGCTACTGTATGGATCTTCCTCAATTCAAAGATTTCTATGAAAAACAAAGCATTTTGAAAGACGTTGATTACTTCCGTGTCAAACTAAGTGATCTACCTGGATATGGGAACTCGGGCCAAGTTATATGGGAGAATGTCAATTCTCTTCCGACTATTGAAGATGCGAAGATGGAAGAAGTAATGAGGATGAATATCGCCAACGAAAAGGCTATCGCTTCATCAAAGACGTCAATGGAGGAGACTCGAAGCACACCCCAAAGCTCTGAGCCTCGTAAAAGCAGCGATAGTCAACAGGTTGCTGAAACTGTAATACCGGGGTTTAAAAACAAGGAAGCTTCAGAAGAGTCGGAGAAAGAATCAACTCGACCTGTCGTGCTAGAAGAGAGTGCATCAAAAAAGCGAATCGAAGCTGCTGTTGAAAAACCCGATGAGGCGAATTCGGCGCAAACTAAACCTGATGATCCAAGTATGGAAGATTCCAAACCAGAAGAACCAAATGCCGAGAAATCAGAGTTTGAGGGACCAAAAGTTGAGGAACGCAAGGTCGAGGATCAAACATCAGAGGCACCTATAACAGAAACTCCTAAAGAAGAAGATTCTAAAGCCGCAGATGCTAAAACAGAAGATGCTAAAGCAGAAGATGCAGAAGATGCTAAAAGAGACGATGTTAAAACAGAAGATGTTAAAACAGAAGATGTTAAAACAGAAGATGTTAAAACAGAAGAAGCTAGCACAGAGGATACTAAAGCAGAGGATTCCTAAGGTCCACAATCTGCGCCAAATGATGAAGAATCAAAAGAGGCAGAACTTGAAAGAAAACCCTAACACCTAGTGTAGGATGATGAGGTGGCCAGTCATATCAAAGCCCTGCCTAAGAAGAAATGATACACTATTGCTGCTTAAATAAGAATAAATTAAGAGACGCAAAGCTAAACATGTATACTAAAAGGAAAACTTTCCATCAACTTTCTTGAAGGGCTCGTCTTCCGTCACAATACAGTCGATTAATTGGTATGGTGCGACATCGAACGCTGGATTCCAAACCTGGATACCAGGAGTGGCAATCCCAACGGTCATTTTTTCTCCAACAGATCCATCTTCACGAAGGACAGGGCCCTTCAAGCTTGTGAGCTCGTGTGCTGGTCTCTCTTCAATAACAATTTCATCACCGGTCTCAGTTTTGAGGTCGATAGTGGTGTTAGGAGCAGCAACCATGAACTTAATCTTGTCTTCTTCCTTCGTGAAGGTAGAGTTGAAAAAATCTGCAATCGCAGCTAACTGATAAGTTCCAATTTTGTTTGCCAGATCACCATTTTTCACCACTCTGTCAGCGCCGGTAATGATGAATTTCACCGGAGCCGCACTTCCCTTTATGTTCTTCTTCTTGTGTAAAGTAGAAATCAAAGATGTTACCATGTTATCGCATATCATGGTGAATGGAATTTTCTCGTAGTGTAACTCGTAAGTCGTCAACTTTGCCCCCTGGTTGTATGGACGTGTTTCCAATGGGTAAACATGTTCGAACCAAAATTCTTCATTCGACACAGATTTGGACAATTGCGCATGCACAGTACGGATGACACCCAAAGCAGTTCCGTGACCAGATGTGGCCAAAGATCCAGTATTACAGACAGTCACAATCGAGAACGGCCCTTTGAAGTTTTGCGCTTTTAATGTCTCCGAAATGAATCGAAGTCCATTCTCGCCAATCTTGAAGTTGTTGCGCAAGTCATCTTCGTGTAAACTCACCGAGTAGTCAAATAACAACTTCCAAACTTTTTCAGTCACCAAATCGCTTTTCTCAAAATGGGAAACGAGCAAAGCCTTAATTTCATTGCAAGCGTTTGCAAGGTTCACTGCAGTGGGTCTGGAAGTCACCAAATAGTCAATGGAGTTAAGCAAATCCGCAACGGTCTTCAGGGTCTCTCCACTCTTCAAATACAAGTGTGTGTCCACAGTGATTGCAAACGCTCCTACAATAGCGATGGCTGGAGCACCTCTAACTTGCATCAGTTTGATAGCTTCAAAAGCATCCTGAATGGACTTGATGTTGATGTACCTGCTTTCGTACGGAAGAAGAAGCTGGTCAAGAATATCGAGTGTGACATTCTCTTTATCAAAGCGGATGGCCTCTAGAGTGTCCTTTGACATGTTAGTGGGAGATGTAGTGGGATTATCAAGCACGTGTAGGATTCAAGAAGTTCAAATCTGCACAGGAATACTCCACAGTTTTTTCTTGCTCGTTCGCATCAAGAACCATCTGCACGACTCAGATCACTTATGGCATCTTCTGTAAAGATCAACTTTAGCCCCAAAATCAGAATATGAGTCTGCGGACGCAGTCCACATCAAATTCGTCTGTGAGAGCGTTATATTTGCATCTCAATAGTTTTCTTCCTGTAATTGGGCATCTTCCTCCTTTGCTAACATTGTATGTGGGAGCGTGATTGTCAGCCTTCTCCTTTCGATCGGTCTTCTCGTTATCAGACTGGTTTTCTTCATCAGACTCTTCATCCGTATTATCCTCATCGTCATCGGTAGCTAAATCTTCGGGGTTTCTCGCTAACTTGTGAGAATCTCTGAGATAATTGTAGATACATGTGTAACAGAAGACATGGCCTGTTTCGATGATAGCAGGATTCAGAATCTGTTGCTTGCATAAGGGACAGAGTGCTCCTGATCTGTAATGCTTCCGGCTATTACTTTCCTGTTGGGCAAGTCTTGCTAGTACGGAAGGAGGCGGAACAACGTCTTTCAAGCCGCTGCTTTGAGACTTAGCCAACTGCTGGGCAAATTCGGAGTTGTTCCACCACTCGAGGAATTTCAAAGAGAAAATCGCCAAGGGGAAAAAAGTACCAAGTGCAAAACGTACTGCTTTGGACGATGGCCTAAGCAAATTGCGCCAAAGAAACAGAAGTAAAGTTTCAGTCTTGGAAGGCGGAGCAACCCTATTAGGTTTTTGCGATTTCCGAGAAAGTGGGGCCTCATTCCGGGAGTAATCAGATTGCTGGAGACGCGAGAAGTTGATGTTGAAAAGCGCTGTGAGTAATGTTGGTGCCTTAGACTCTCCGCCCAAGTACATCAAAGCGACGAAAAGATTAGCTGCTTTCAATGAGCTCTGTACATATGGATATAATTGAACAAACAATCGCTTGAGCCATATGACTCGAGCTTCGGTGGCGCTCATATTATCGGTAATTTCAAGTTGGTTGGTGGCGTACTTCGAGTAGAGCAATTCATATTGGTAACCAAACTTCTCCAGAAGGTACGCTGTTCCTGTAATTTCAAAAATCGACACCCATCTCTGTAGTTTTGACAACCTTCTTCCATCCCCGATCATGGATGGAACCAACTGCGATAGCTTTGCTTGGTTATACTTTGCATTAGCCAAGGGAGTCTTGCTGACCCGCTTCAAGCCATAGAAATTCTCTGTGAAGCTGCCTTGCCAATTCTTGAAGAAGTAATATTCGATAGCCGTCCGCAACACAAGATTGAGCTCGTCAAACCTGTTAGCCACTCGAAGTAAATATCCTGGATATTTCTGAGCATAGTGAACCAAAATATACCTCAAGGATGGCGACAAGAGCGCCTCAAGCTGGCTGGCGGAGATGATTTCAAAGACCGTGGGTGTCTCAGAATCCAACTGTGACGCATCTAAAGACGAGTAGTATTCCATGATGTTGGTATCACCTTAATAAGACGTAAGTAGTATGGAAACCTTCCCCACAATCTGAGCCGAGGGTCGTGCAAAGTGCAGAAGGACGGGTTAGAGATAACAAGTACCAATATCGTCGAAATACAGTGATGAAGAATATTATTCTTTATATCTCGTTTTTGATCGTACTATCTCTAGCTTACAAATAATCCTTATTGGACATACTCGCATCTTTCTAGTGCCACCCAAAGCAGAAGTAATTACATGCGCACCATAGTTTGCAGCTATTCTCTCATGGAAAAGTTGGAGTCACTTAACGCTATTGTTGAAGAGTTCCAAATCAAAGCTTCGACATTAAGAGTATTCAAAATTAGTGAACTTGTTCTGGAAGGTAAGAACTATGACGTTGTGGCTGAATCTCCGCGTCACTTGGAAACGGGAAATGTTCCTAACTTCTTGTTCGAAGACAGAGACCAGAATTTCTGTTCGATCTTCAGTGACTCAGTCGTGTCGAATGAGAGTCATTGTACTCAGATAACTGAGTCATTGCCAAATATCAAGTTGCTTTCAGACGCAGAGATTCTCAGTAGCGACTTCGAACCAGATCAAGGCGCAACAATTTTGACCAGTGACGCGTATACTTGATCAGAGGAACATGTATATATGTGCATACACACAGAATATGTGAAGAGTAACTATAAAGAAGGGAATAAAGAAGAGAAAAGTCAACGGTGAAAAAAGCAGCTCTGACTACAAGAGACTTTTGCAAGGCTCGCTTCGGCTCAGTTTTACGTCAAACTTGACACCGTGCTTGACATAAATTTCCCACACAGACAAGTCAAAAACCTTGAAATCCTTCAAATCGTCATTGTCACCCGTGCTCAGCTCATCCAATTTTTTAAACCAGTACTGGAATTGCTTGTTTGACTCCGATTTGGCAGATGCTCGATTGTCTTCAGGTCGCATACCATATGGTACCCAGCCCAACTTGTGAAGAAGAGACTCAGCAATGATGTTTTCTAGTGGCAAATACCCATAGTAGTAGCCATAAAATAAAACCATCGTGAGTTCATTGACCATTGACGCGCTTTCAGGAGTTTTCTGTGATGCCAAGGTTTCAATCTCCTTCAAAAACTGATCAAACTGGTTGCCTGCCCTTATGCGATTCCAGTAGTTCTCAATCTTTGAAACAAATAATGGAGGTTTGAACTGAGGTTCTGCTTCAGCATCGAAAAGCCCTTTCGGAAGGTATGACTTGTGGATTAGCGTGCGGAAAGGATCATATGTCTCTGACTTTGCTAAGAATCTCGATGCATCTTTGGCTTTGTTGTTTGCAGTGAACGAGACTGCAAAGTCTTGGATCCCAGGTGGAACCCTTAACAAATTCACATCGCAAAATAGCTCCAACTCACATTGGGGTAATGCAGAGTTTTTCAACACCTCCAAATACGGCGAATATTCGTCATTCTTTGTGAGTAGAGAGAGTAACTCCGATGAAGCGTCAGTCTCATTCTTTGTTGGATACTCTTTACTAACACTTGTGCTCTTCGTTGGCTCCTTCTCTTTTTCTTTCTCCTTTTCTGTGTTCTCAGAAACCGACACTGGTTTCACATTGTTCTGGCTCTGTTCAGAGCTGTGTCCACCTGCAGCAACAGACCACTTCAAAGTACCAGCTGGTTTTGACGGTGTCGATGCTGGTTTGAGAGTAGTGACAAAAGCAGGACTAGAATTATCGTTCGAGGTAGTTTTCTCAACAAGCTTGACTTTCGGTGTCGAAACTCTGACTGGGTTGACTTTAGGCGTTATTTCAGGGTTAGAATGTTGTTGTGGAGCAGGAGAGGCTGAGGCTGTGCGCTTGCGTTTCGAGCTATCTGAGGCTTTTGGTTCCACTGATTCATGTTCCTCTTGACTGCTCAATAGACTAGTGTCAACTGTGTCATCATGTCCATTTGAAACCACAATGTTTTTGGCACTATTGTCTTTAGCTTCTTTGATTATCTCATCATAAACCGTTTCGTCATCAACAAAATCTGGCTCCTGGTTCGATTCCACATAGAAGGTCAAATCGTCTTGTACAGCCCATATCAGACCAACATCCACCTTCCCCTCTCTGAGGAAACGCATCACTTGCTCTATACTGTCAATGTGAAACTCATTCTTCGATTTAAACGTGTCAATCTCCTGTTTCCTCTCCTCTATTGCCAGCATGTTACTCTTTCTGATCTTCTTCTGCGATAGTTTTTCATATTCCTCATCCAAGGCTTCGTTTTGTTCTCCCAAGCTCTCAAGGATCCCTTCTAGGAATTCTAGGGCTTCTTCAACTTCCGGCGTTAGTCCTTGTTCCCCATTGTCCATTGCAGCTAGCATGATAGACTGGTTCGAATACGATTTCATCTTTGAGTTCTTTTCCACTTCCTTATAGCATTCCATTGCTTCTTCTACTAGTCTTCTGTGCTCATGTAGTTTCAGCGAAGCAATGGTAGCTTCTAGCGAATCGTTTCCTTGCCATGTCTTAATTTGATCTCGAAACTTTTGAAGTTTTTTGATCTCTTTTTTCAAGTCGCTTTCAAGCTTCTCTCGCTGAGAATCATTGCTAGATGCTTCATGTCGTTGGAAATAATAGTTGAAAAGATCTAGCCCTTCATGTATCTTTTTGAAGACTGTCTCAACTTCTCTGAATGTGTTAGTGCCTTAGCGAAGATATGAAACGTTTCAGGTTAGCCTCAAATAGGCCAGTTCCTGGAGCAGACTGACGTACTTTTGTAGTTTTCTATTTGACATTTTATGCAGATTAGTTAGTCAAGTCAAAGGTACATAATATTGTTCCCGTCTCTTTTTGAAAGATTTTTTTTCTGGTACTAGGTTAATGGTTAAACTGAGAATCTGCTGGACTATACACGTGACTCCACTTACTTAAATTGGAACGCATACTAGATTCGTTAAATCAAGGAAGCAGCAAACCTTATACAATAACGAAGGAAAAGGCATAATATTAATATCTTTCCTTTTCCTAATGCCATCATACATTGATCTTAGAGGGGCATTATTGCCGAGTATAAACGGCAATTCTTCTCCCATACTTTCCTGTGTACATCATTTAAAACTTACGGAACAAAAAGTGACCCAGTGCAGAAAACTTTGATATACAAATTATATAATATTACAATTCATCGTGATCGAACTCATCATCAGAATCATCGTCACCGAATTGAGCCCCTTCATCGTTGCCAACATTACTGTAAACCTTTTCGGAAATCTTTGAAGAAATATCAATCAATTTTTGTTTTTGTTCTTCAAATTCTTCAGAGGTGGCAGTATCGTAGTTATCTTCCAAGAACTCAGTAACTTCGGCAATTACGTCACTCAAAGCTTCTCTGTCTTCGTCACTGACCTTGGAAAGGTACTCGTCGTCGTTGTCGTCGAGTTTTTGCTTCATGTTGTGGGTGAGGTTCTCAAGAGAGTTTCTAGCTTCAATTCTGGCCTTGACCTCGGCATCTTGAGCAGCATACTTCTCAGCTTCCTCTACCATTCTGTCAATTTCTTCCTTAGACAATCTCTTCTTGTCGTTTGTGATAGTGATCGATTCGGCCTTACCAGTACCCTTGTCCAAAGCTTCGACCTTCAAAATACCATTGGCATCCAAGGAGAAGGTGACCTCGATTTGTGGGACACCTCTTGGAGCTGGTGGGATACCGGTCAATTCGAACTTACCCAACAAGTTGTTGTCCTTAACCAAAGCTCTCTCACCTTCGTAGACCTGGATCAACACAGTTGGCTGGTTGTCGGCCGCAGTAGAGAAAATTTGGGACTTCTTGGTTGGAATAGCAGTGTTTCTGTTAATCAAGGTAGTCATGACACCACCAGTGGTCTCAATACCCAAAGTTAAGGGGTTGACATCCAACAAAACAATGTCATTGACACCCTCTTCACCGGAAAGAACACCTGCTTGGACAGCAGCACCGTAAGCAACTGCTTCATCAGGGTGGATACCCTTAGATGGTTTCTTGTTGAAGTAGTTCTCAATCAACTCTTGAATCTTTGGAATTCTGGTAGAACCACCAACCAAAACAATGTCATCAATTTCATTCTTCTTAACTCCAGCATCAGACAAGACTCTTTCCACTGGGGCCAAAGTCTTCTTGAAAGAGTCCATGTTCAATTCTTCGAACTTGGCTCTGGAAATTGGTTCAGAGAAGTCAATGCCGTCAACGAAGGAGTCGATCTCAACTCTTGTAGAAATTTGAGACGACAAAGTTCTCTTTGCCTTTTCAGCTTCTCTCTTCAACTTGGCAATAGCCTTAGGGTTGGAGGAAATATCAATACCGTGCTTCTTCTTGAACACCTTGGTGAAGTGTCTAACGAGCTTGAAGTCAAAGTCCTCACCACCCAAGTGAGTGTCACCAGCGGTAGCCAAAACTTCGAAAACACCACCCTCGATAGACAACAAAGAAACATCAAAGGTTCCTCCACCCAAGTCGTAAACAATGATCTGCTTCTCGCCATCAGTCTTGTCCAAACCGTAGGCAATAGCAGCAGCAGTAGGCTCGTTGACAATTCTCAACACGTTCAAGCCAGCAATAGTACCAGCATTCTTGGTGGCAAGTCTTTGCGCATCGTTGAAGTAAGCTGGAACAGTGACAACGGCGTGAGTGACCTTCTTGCCCAAGTACTCTTCAGCAATGGTCTTCATTTTACCCAAAATCATGGCAGAAATCTCCTCAGGAGTGAATTCCTTGGCCTCTCCGTTGACCTCGACGTGGACAACAGGAGTATTACCCTTCTTGACAATTTTGTAAGGCAAGTGCTTGATTTCCTTTTGGACGACCTTGTCGTTGTAATCCAAACCGATCAATCTCTTGATATCAAAGATGGTGTTGTTGACGTTGGAAGGCGCCTGGTTCTTGGCAGCGTCTCCAATCAATCTCTCTTCGGCGGTAAAAGCCACGTACGAAGGAGTAATTCTGTTACCTTGGTCGTTGGCCAAAATTTCCACTTTGCCGTTCTTCATGACACCCACGCAAGAGTAAGTGGTACCCAAATCGATACCAATGACGGTACCGTAGTTTTCAGAAGCATCTTCGTCGGCGGCAGCCAAAGCCATTCCGCTAGAAGCGGAAAAGAAAGGCATCACCACGCACATCAAGACGAGGAATAGGGAAATTCCCGACATCCAAAGCTTGTTCTGAGACCTAGACATTATAAGATGACGAGGGACAAATAGTAGGATGAGAAATCAAACGCAGAGCCAAGCAGCGAGAATATATATATTTGAGGTTTGCGCGCGTCCATAGAAAATGAAAGAAGATTTAGCGACGGCGCGTGGCCTGGATGCAGTACCCGCTCCATTTAGTGACGTGGCCAATCGGTTTTACATGAGACAAGTGGAACTTTTAGGGCGAGCGAAAGGTAGATGTGCGACTCGGATTACATAATCGCCCAAACGATTGCGTGGAATCGGGCTTCATTGAGAACAGTAGTGCACGGAATTGGGGTACACCACGAAGTAATAAAGCAAAATGTGTGGGGCCGAATAACGACCCCGAACAAACAACTGGGTCAGTAAGAAATGTGTGCAAAAAAAAAGAAATAGAAGAGCAAGAAACAGTGGCAATAATAGGAAATGGACACCTCAGCTTGTTCATGGTGGCAAAATGGTGCATTTTGACACCGTGGTTTATCTTGTGGAGGTGCGGTGTAATTTTGTTTGGAGTGTCCTTCCACCCGTACATCCAATAAAGCTTGGTGTGTAAATAGTGTAGGGAAGTAATTAAGCAGACACAGCAGAAGAGAATAATAGACATGAAAAGAACAGAGAGAGAATACCAGAGGCTAAACTGAATGGATGAAATGAAGTAAATGCCGTCACAGTACGAAGTCACGGGTCTGATCTACTGCTGTTAATGCCAACAGAGCCATTTTAAACGAGTAACAACATCCAGCTAGGTATTGTCTACATTTATGCTTGAAAAAATTAGATTGTGAATGCAACCTCACAGCACTAATGCATGCGGCTAAAGAGCGGGCAATGAACTTGTCAAGCGAACACATCCAGACAAAAAAAGGAAACAAAAACATGTAAAAAGACTGAAAATATAGCTTATAAAGGAGAGTAAAGGGATATAAAATTCAAGCCAATCGATACCACTCTTCTTCCTGGCATTCGACTGGGGCAGAACATTCCTGATTCCCCAGTCCGCAATGTTCTCCACAGTCGCAGTCCATACACACTGTACGGAAAAGAAACAATATTCAATCAACTCAGCTCCAATTGTCACATATCAATGTCAATTTTTTCTTCTTTTTCTTCTTTTTCGTCCCCATCTTTTTTATCACCATAACTGAAAGGCTTTTGCAGTGTTAACCATGTACTTTTGGGGGAAGGTGGCCATAGATGCAGTGCACACCCGTGCCTCCCATTCGTGCGCCTTCTGATAGTCCAGGAGGGACGGGCGAGATATCCCTTCTAGAAGCAGCGTTCTTCTTTTCTCGACATCAAAGACGCCGCCTTGCGCCACCGCTAAAAGAATCTGTCTCTTCAATTCGCCTCCAAACGTTTGCGTTCCCTTCCCCAATTGTCTTTATTTTTCTCCATCCCCTTGCTGAACCGCAGCAATGTCCTCATTTGTCACTGAAGAATTGAACCAGTTGCAGAGGGAGATTCTGGCCAAGAATCCTGCCGACGTGTTGCAATTCTGTGCCAATTACTTCAATTCCAAGTTAGCCATGCAAAGACTGCACTTGTGGCGAGTCCAGCCCAAGGCCAAGGCTGCTGGAATCGACCTTTTCCCCAAAGTCGATTCTGTGGTGGACAACACTGGCTTTGGAGCGCTCCCCTCAACGAGCCACCCATCTTTCAAGTCTCCTTTTGGAACCACGGATCCCCACTCTGATCACCCAGGTGTTTCGCATGAAGAGCACCCTTCTGCAGCAACCCAAGACGCTGGCGCTCTTTTCAAAGGCGGCTTTGGTGTGGGAAAGGCCGCTACATCGGCTCCTCCTCAAGACCTTGACCCCAGCGACCCATCTGCTGCTCGTGCAGTGCCTGCAAAGCCAACTAAGCTTCCCATTGCCTTCAACGCCAATAGAAGAGTCTCCGTTTCGGCAGAAGCAATGAACCCAGACAAGTTTAAAAGCGACTCTTGGAAGCCACCTGTGAATGATTTACTGCCAGAACAGCGCAAAGAGTTGTCACGTACATTATCACTGAACTTCTTGTTCCAGCAGTTGGACAAGGAGTCTAAAGAAACCGTTGTTGCTGCCTTGAAGAAGATGCAGTTCGCTCCCGGAACAGAAATCATCACGCAGGGCGATGAAGGTGACTACTTTTACGTAATTGAGTCTGGTAGAGTCGACTTCTACGTCAACGGTACTAAAGTTAATACAGCCAGTGACGGCTCCTCTTTTGGTGAATTGGCATTGATGTACAACTCTCCAAGAGCAGCCACAGCAGTAGCTGAATCTGACGTTACTTGTTGGGCTTTGGACCGTGCTACATTCCGCCGCATTTTGTTGGAAGGTACTTTCAATCGCAGAATCATGTACGAGGACTTTTTGAAAGACGTCAAAGTTTTGTCGGGTTTGACCCACCAGGAGAGGTCTAAGTTGGCCGATGCTTTGAGCACCGAGATCTATCATGCTGGAGACAAGATCGTTACCGAAGGTGAGACCGGCGACAAGTTTTACCTTATCGAGAGCGGTACATGCGAAATCTCTAAAAAAGATGAAGGTGTTATTGCGACCATTGGTAAAGGGAAATACTTTGGTGAAGTGGCTTTGTTGAATGACTTACCACGTCAAGCAACTGTCACCGCTAAGGACACTGTCATTGTTGCTACCCTCGGTAAATCTGGTTTTACGCGTTTGTTAGGGCCTGCTCTTGACGTCTTGAGAAAACAGGACCCAACAACTCATTGATTGCACCCTGTTGCTTTATTTGCTTGCAAATGGCAGTCAGTACAATTGAGCTTATCAGTACATTGCGTTTGGCTATATCGAGACCTATATTCTCGCCTTTGTACGAATTGAAGAACAAATCTTCGACTTTACATCCAGAAGTAATATACAATAATCAAATTTGAATGTATGTTAAGATTCGTAGTGATGCCTCTCATAATTTGGAGCAGCCTCTTTCATACAAGATGAAATCATGTGAGCGCTTACTCCGACTACTGTTTTCATCTTTCTGTTACAATCGACGATTGGCAGTCTCGAGAAATTAGCCAAAGATTCACGTTTTTACCAAAGTTCTTTATTCACGCATACTAGTATATCAACTCAGTGGAAAAGAGAGAAAAGAAAGATTCGGGATCGGACAAGCGTTGGACTGCTTAACTTCAAGACATCTAAAGTTTGCCATAAATTGCGGTCCCTTTCACTCATTATGCATGGCAATCTATTTAAATTGAAACACTTCTGCTAAATCTAGCGGATTTGCTCTTTGAGAAAGGCCTAAAGATAAAAACCACATTCGGTACTTGAACTTATTTCACTACATTCTCCAGCAGAAGTTGATAATCCCAGTCACATACTTCCCATCTCATGAGTCGAAAATATCACTTGAGTCTTTTGTGCTTTGTACTACGCATACTATTTTCTCCTTTTTTATTTTTTTTCTTTTTCATCTTTTTTTTCTCTCCAGTTTACTAGAATTAAACTGATAAAATGTATGTACCTACGTGACCTGCCGTATTTCGTGAAGTTCGCGTTTCTCAAATACAATCACCCGACTCTTCATAGCAAGACAATGTTCCCTTTTTCGCTGCTTCTTCCCCCAACGACGCCAGCAGGCGGTTTCTTACCCCATTGGTTGCTTTTCATTTCTGTTGTGTCTGTCTTCAACTCATGTCAGACTTATATGGTGAAGGACCTTAGTCTCACGAGAAAAGTTTACTCGTCGGCACCACAAACTGAAGTCACCAACTTGAGTGCCCGCACGTTTGGAACCTGGACATTCTTGACCTCTATCGTGAGATTTTATGGTGCCTACAACTTAATTGGAAACGAGACCATGTACAACCTTTGTATCTGGACTTTTGTTGTTGCCGGAGTGCACTTCGTTTCTGAATGGTTGTGGTTCAAAAACTGCAAACTCGACAAAGGCTTAGCCGGCCCATTAGTGGTTTCCTCGGCGAGCTTGGTGTGGATGTTTTCGCAAAAAGAATTCTACCTTGGATATTAGTCGATTCGAAATAGGATATTGTGCCAATCATCAGACTATTCAAGGTCTGTACGAAGATAACATCTGTTTCGATGAAAGCAGATGTGAAGGAAAATAAAAAGTACTCAAAAAGAACAAATGTTCAGTACTGTGCATGTTTTATAATAAACGTGTTCAAATAAACAATGTAGTAGCCGCACCACTAATTCTCCATGCACATACAACAAAGAATAGGAAGTTAGCAATGCCTAAAAAGAAAACTAAATCTGGTAAATAAAGGTTTCAACGCCTAGTAGACAAGACACTCTGTCGAAACCCTGCTGACTTTTTCAACACCAGTCAATGGCTGCGTGGATTTCCCCTCTTTCGAGGGCATCTCTGACTCAGATAGCGCGCCTTATCTATCGGAATTTTCACTCCATCGAAGAAAAGGTAAAGCTGCTGCCATGGCCATCGAACTTGAAGAGCCACCGTTAACCCACGACAATGTTCAGGTTTATAAAGATCTCTTTGGAGGAACCATGGGTGGTATAGCCCAAGTTTTAGTGGGCCAGCCGTTCGATACAGTCAAGGTCAGATTGCAATCTGCGCCAGAAGGCGTTTACTCAGGAGCGGTCGACGTGGTGAAAAAGCTTGTGGCCAACGAAGGTTTGGGTGGCTTCTACAAAGGTGCCTTGACCCCTTTGGTTGGTGTGGGTGCATGTGTCTCGGTTCAGTTTTCCGTCAATGAGTTTATGAAGAGACACTACGACAGTAAGTCGGGAGGGAAACCTTTGACGCTTGGTCAGTACTTCAACTGTGGTGCTGTTGCGGGATTTGCCAACGGCTTTTTGGCTTCTCCTATCGAGCATGTCCGTATCAGATTGCAGACGCAAACAGGCAACACTAAGATGTTCAATGGTCCTATTGACTGTTTCAAGAAACTTTACCAATCTAATGGTTTGTACTCGGGTATTTTCAAAGGTTTGGCTCCTACTTTGGTAAGGGAAAGTATCGGCATGGGTATTTACTTCGCCACTTATGAGGCGTTGGTGGCTCGAGAATTAGCCCAAAAGACGAATCTCGTCAGAACAGACATTCCAGGTTGGAAACTCTGTTTGTACGGAGGCTTATCTGGCTATGCTCTCTGGATAGTCATTTATCCTATCGATGTCCTCAAGTCGAGATTGCAGACAGATGCTTTATCTGCACCAAAATACAAAGGCTCTATTGATGCGGCCAGAGATGTGTTCAGAGTTTCTGGAATCAAGGGTTTTTACAAGGGCTTCATTCCTACAATCTTGAGGGCTGCCCCAGCGAACGGTGCAACCTTTGCTGTCTTCGAGCTTACTATGAGACTCATTAATTAAACCTATTCTCTAATTGTATCACTTCCAGTTTATCTTTTGTATTATAGCATTGATGTTGTGGTTTGAGTGTATTGAAATCCGTGCCTCAGCAATCCACGCCAATGCCCTATTGATAACTCTTCGACTTAAAACCCTTTATGTAAACCTTTCCAACCATATAGCTAAGCCAGCCTTTTCCGTAAGTCTTGAATAGAATCCAGCGTCTCCGCTTGGTATCCGCTGTGCTCCTTTGATTCTACTTCCTCCACGTAATCATTTGGGTTTAGGCTTCGAATGAACTCCATGAAATCCATCGTATACTCTCCTCTGAACTCATACCAATCAGTTCCCATCAATTCGGCAAGCTCGTACCTGGTGCTGTATTCTTTGTTTTCTCCACTCTCTGTGTCTGAATTCTGGTTCGCCATCATTCTTCGGTTGAAATCCTTATCTATGCGCAAGTGCAATCCCGGAATAATATCCACCACGTAAAGCAAAAACAAGCTAACAACACAGACATATGCAGAAACCACAACCACAGCAAGGACCTGGTATCCCATTTGCACCCAATGATGGGTGACCCAACCACCTTTCGAGTTGTAAAGATCATCAGCAAAAACTCCAACTAACAAAGATCCCACAATGCCACAGATTCCATGCACAGCAAAAACATCTAGCGCATCATCAATTCCTAGCCAGTACTTGACACGAGTAGCCATGTTTCCTGTAATACCACCCACGAGTCCACAAACTATACTTTTCCAAAAACTGATGTCTGTGCTCAAGTATCCTCCACAAGGTGTGAAGACAACTAGTCCGCTAATGAGCCCCGAACAGAAGGAAATAATCGACATGCACCGCTTCTTCGATACGGGCACCAAATGACCGTCAGCTGTTGTCAGATTAGAAGAGTTTCCATCATGAATATTCCCATCTAAAGGTGTAGCAGAATTATAATAGTCAATAAAAGACCATGAGATTCCGGCGCAAGAGGCACAAAGGAGTGTGTTAATAATAATGTAAAAGGTTGTGGCCGAAAACTTGAAATCACATCCAGCAATAAAGCCACACCAGCCATAAACGGTAAAGACTGTACCTATTACCATATTTGCATTGCTAGAACTGCGGTAGTTTTCAAGAATTTTGGGGTTTCGAGGACCAAGATAGTACGAGTACACCAAACCCGTAAATCCTCCAACGATGTGGATACAATTTCCTCCTGCAAAATCAAGAACAGGAATAGAATTCCTTTCCGTAGATAGCCACCCATTCCTGTTCCAAATCCAATATGTCACGGGGTTATAGACTATAGTTGACCAAAAAAAGAGAAACACAAGCATCGGTAGAATTCGGCCACGTTCCGCAATGCACGCTGGAAAGGTAATAACAACTGTAATCACTTTCATCATTCCATTAAACAAGAAGTGTACAACAGCGAGAATATCTCCTCTGGGTGTAGAATAAATATCTTGGCCAGTGCTCCGGATTTCACGCAAGACAGCAAACTTCAAACTACCAATGAAATGATTGGAAGACGAGCCATAGCAAAGTGAATAGCCCCATATATACCAGTCAACAAATACCAAAGCAGCAAGAAACATAGGAATGGCCAACATGGTGAAAGACGATCTTCTCTGTATCAATCCCGAGTAGAAAAGGGAAAGACCGAAAACCACCAGAAAAAGCAAAAGTGTGCAACTAAACATGTAAAGGGTATCAACTGCACCCTTTGCATCAAAAGCTTGAGTCATGGCGCCCAACTTCTTTGCACTTTAGTGCTGTCTTTAGATTCGAATTTTGAGTGTTGATCAAACTGATGACGGTGATGACATGCCGCATGAAAATTATGGGGAACCTGCAGTTCGCTTGTAGCAATATTTTGAGAGGCAGGATTGACAGAAGATCGGGAGGGATTCCGTACTTTGTGCTTTGTCCAAGTTTCTCTTCAAAATGGCACAACCAACGCATGCAGAGTAATTTGAGTCATTTCCTGCTGTGGCAACATTATACCCGTTCTTCACCATCTGGTATACTTCTTGAGGATTGTAGTCTGTGCGAAATGTGGAGGTGTTCAGAAGAAAAGAATAATTGTAGTTGGCAGTATAGATAATAAGCGGTGGTGTATAGTTTGTCCAAACTTGGAAAGAGGGATCGTTGGAAGACATATTGTTCGTTAAATTAACGTTCAAGACTGGAAAGTCGGTTTTAATGTCGCACCCTAAAAAGAGTGGAGCTCGACCATAGTTGTTTTCCATGTACTCGTCAAGACTAGGCACGTGGGGGAAAATGCTTCTGGTAGTCGAATCCTTTAAAAATACGGGAGTTTCTCGAGTAGATGTAGCCGTGTGGTATCTTTGTGCTGTTCTTTGCAACGATGTGCCATTGGGAAAATTATCTCTCTCAGATCCTATATCGACTGCGAAAACGATGTCTACTTGACGGTCTCGAACCAAGAATGGGTTTAATGGTATATTTTGGCCATCATCTCCCCCGTCCGCTAGGTACAATTTTTTGTTTCGGGCCACGGAACGGCCCGTCTTGGTGTTTCTCATGCGGTAAAATGGATTTGGGGAGTAGACAGCATATTCTGGGCGGACACGAGACTTGAGAGCATTTGTTATTCCAAACATCTTCAATACTCTTGATAAGAGCATAGATGACTCCAGTTCCATTTTTAGAATCATGTTAAACACGTATTCGAACAAGGTGTTGAATATGCTTGAAGATGTGCCTGTGATGAATCCAAGATTATCATATCCCATGACACAAATAGTTGCGTTATCTGTAGCTGCTCTAAGTAATGTGGTTCCATTGAAAAGTGGGGTTCCCAAGTACATCGTGTCAGCAAATAAATTCAAGTATGAATCCCATGAGCCAAACTCGTATGGGTTGAATTCATACACATGAGAATAGACACTGTCTTCTTCTACACCTGGAGCTTTTTCGACAGAACTAACAATCGGAAACGGTTGGGAAAAGTTCTGAAAAGAAGCAAATTGGCGAATCGAAGAAAAAGTGGCATATGTGTGCTTCTGTGAGGAAGGAAAGACTTTTCGGGCTAAAGCTCGCCCCCAATAATCTGTTAAAGAAGTCGGATACCCTGTCAAACGTTTAGCACGAACCTCGCTGTTCAAATCTCTGTAGAAATCGAGCGTCTGTCTAAAGGAGGGGCGATAAGATTGTGGTTTGGACGAACCATTAGCAGAAAAAAATGCAGATAGTATAGAAGGTACGATAGAGCTCTTAAATGATGATTGGGGCAAATCAGTTTGTTGCAGATTCTTCAGATCTATCTTCTTACGGATTTTGTCGACATCAACGTTTCCCATGCCCACCAAAACGGGAGTCTCGAGTCTTGAGGCCAATTTAGATATATTATCAACCATGGGCTCGTCATCATTCAATAGATTGTTAACTAGGATCCACAGCCCTCCGGAAATTCCAGCAATATACGTTGAGCTCTGGAGGATCCCTCCCAAATGGCTGTTCCCCGGTGTTCTACTATCAAGGGCCGTCAAGAATCCAGCTCCAATTAACATTGCTCGAAATCCGCCGCCAGAAATGGCGACGGCGATTGTTGAGGACTGAACGAGAGGAATTCGTTTAGAGTAGAGGAACTGATCTAAATGTGGCTTTATTCGCAGTCTTCGGTGGGTTACATAATTAAGTTCTTGTGGCCCTAGTCGCTTAAGTGTTAGAAAAGAGTAAAGACAAATTCGAAGAGACATACTTGATCGGCTACGCGAACTAACGAGGAAGACAGACACAAAGAAAGATATGGAGCATAGGAGCCGAAAGCGGCCGATGATGAGAGAAGAAATAGAGCCACAATATATACTAACATAGTCAGTAGAAAAAATAGTAACTATAAAATGATAATGCGCACAAAAATGATAACATCTATAATATTGACATATAGAAATAAATTAAGGCTAAACAAACAGCGGACTGCTGCAGAGACAATTTAAAAGAATTAATGATTAAATGACAGAGCAGAGAGACAGCGATGCTTAGAAGTCCTCGTCGGAGGAAACGTAGGCGTCACCCAATTCCTTCTTCTTCTTCATTCTCTCCTTCTTCTTCTTTCTCAACTCAGCAGAAGACAACTTCTTCTTCTTCTTAGCAGAGGCAATCTTGTTACCCATAGCATCGAACTTGTCCTCCTCGTCGTCGTCCTTCTTCTCCAATCTTGGACCAGCACCTTGACCTTGGACCCAGTTGTGACCGGAAGGAGTCATTCTACCGTCCAAGACGGCCCAGACTTCCTCAGTCAAGTCCTTGGTGAACTCAGCAGAGTGAGTAATGATGACAATACCACCCTCGAAAGACTTCAAAGCCTTGGACAAAGCACCCAAAGAGTCACGGTCCAAGTAGTTGGTTGGCTCATCCAACACAATCAAGTGAGGTCTTTGCCAGGTACAAGCAGCCAAGACCAACTTGACCTTTTGACCACCAGACAAACCTCTGATTCTAGAGTGAGAAACCAATTCAGCGTCCAAACCCAACATGGCACAGTGCTCTTCGATTTCCTTTCTGGTCAATGGTCTGAATTGACCGGAAGCCAAAGCCTCCTTCATGTCGACTTCAGCAACCATCTTGGAGTGAGTCTCAACCAACTCACCTCTTGGCAACCAAGCGTTGTCAACAGACATCATTGGAACCCATCTCTCGTTCTTCATGCCGATGTTCTCACCCAACAAGAAAGAACACTCGTACTCGTAAGTGTTCTTGAACTTTCTTCTACCGTGAATACCAGCAATTCTTCTTGGGGTACCCTCGATCTTGAAGATCTTGTTCATGGCGTTCTCGTCATCCTCGTTGATTTGTCTGTTGGCTCTGTCCATGGTCTCTCTGTCCTCACCGGTCTGGAATCTCCATTGAATGTACTCAGATGGAGTCTTGTCCAAGTGGTTATCGATGTGGGCGAAAGCGTGTTGCTTAATGTAGGCGATACGACAGTTCTCGTGCACGTAAACTTCACCCTCAGTTGGCAACAACTCACCAGTCAAGACGTTAATCAAGGTAGACTTACCGGCACCGTTAGGACCAATGACAGCAATTCTAGAAGACAACGAACACTGGAAGTTGATGTCTCTGATTTGTGGCTTAGAGGTACCTGGGTATTGGAAGGTCATGTTGGAAACCTTGACAATAGCCTTTTGCTTAGTCTTAACACCCTCCAAGAAACCTGGTTCTGGGAATCTGAATTCAACTTCAGAGGCACCCAACTCGTAGTAAGATTGAGCAGATGGGCACTTCTTGACGAACTCAGACAAGTTACCCTTGTACTTTCTCAACTTGAAACCTTCGTAGTGGATAATGTACTCAACAACATTGTCCAAGAAACCGGAGTCGTGGGAAACAATGATAGAAGTGATACCACAGGTCTTCAAGTAGTTGACCAACCAAGCGACGTTGACAGTGTCCAAATGGTTAGTTGGCTCATCCAACAACAAAATGTCAGCGTTCTTCAACACAGCTCTGGCCAAAGCCAACTTCATCTTCCAACCACCGGAAAGAGAAGAGATTGGCATCTTGATCATTTCTTCAGTGAAAGAGAACTCTCTCAACTTGTCCTCAGCGGCTTCCTTGGTCAAACCAACCATACCGTCGGCAAGAACGAAGTCAACAACAGAGGTCTCGGCGTCAGTACCGTCAATGTCGTGCTCGACGTAAACGGTTCTACATTCGTCTTGAGATGGGAAACCTTCGACTTGGCCGTTGGCAATAGCTCTCATCAAGGTAGACTTACCAGCACCGTTAGGACCACACAAACCGTATCTTCTGTTTCTCTTCAATCTGAATTGAGTCTTGTTCAACAAGATCTTAGCACCGTAAGCCAAAGAGAACTCACAGTTACACAAGTCCTCTCCGTCATCTTCTTCGTCCTCGAAAGCTGGAGGAGCTGGGATGTTGTCGACAGCTCTCTTTCTGAACTCTTCAATGATTTCCTTGGCGTCAGCCTCGTGCAAGAAGATGGTGGCGAATGGCAAGATGTTCTTCAACCAAGAGTCTGGTTGAATGTCTCTCTCGTCAATCAAGTCACCGGCAATGGCGGCGATGTAGGTCTTGGCAACGTCGAATCTGGAAGCGATCTTCTTGTCCTTAACCAACTCGTCGAAAACACCCAAAGTGACTGGAATGTCACCAGCGGTAGAAACCTCTGGGATAGCGTCATCAGCACCAACGGCACCAACTCTTCTCAAGGTGTTCAAAGCTCTTTGGGTAACACCACGAGCTTCTGGGTCAGCAATGGTGGAGAAGTTGGCGTTCAAAGCTGGCAACAAGGTGCTCAAGAAAGGAGCAACAACTTGTGGGTCATCCACAAGCTTACACATGTTGTCGACGATAACAGCAGCCTTTCTCTTGATGGCAGTGTCACGCTCAGCCAAACCTCTGGACAACAATGGAGCCATGATGGACAAAGTGGCCATGGTGACTTCAGAGACGAAAGTGGTGGCACCCAAGACGTGGACGGTCTCTGGGACTTCAGTTGGGTTAGCGATACACTCAATCAACTTAGGGATAAACTTCTCGATATCCTTGTTGTCAATGGTCTCGGTGGACTTGGTCATGGTGGCGTGAGCAGCCTCCTTAACCTCCTTCTTGGTGTCCCACATAGCCTCGGACAAGGAAGGAATCAACTCAGGCATTCTCAAGGCGATTTGAGACTTGGCAGTGTCAACCAATTGGGAGACAGCCTTCAAGATGGCAACCTTCTCAGTCCACTTGTTGGTAGAAGACAAGTTCTCCATCAAACCTGGCAACAAAGCCTTGATGGCAGTTGGGGTGATGGCAGTGGCAATAGCCAACAAAGCCTTCTCAGCAGCAGCAGCAACATCCTTGTTCTTGTCACCACTTCTGGTGGCAACGTCAGTGGCCAATTGGACAATGTATGGCTCAACAGAAGCAGCCATGTCGTTGGCAGAGGCAATGTGAGTGTAGGCGGTCAAAGCAGCCACGGCAACATCGGCACTCTTGTTGTTGATTTGCTTCTTCAAGTCGGCAAAGAACTCGGAAGGAACATCGTGTTCAATGATGGAAGAGTTCAAGAAAGAAGAAACGTTGGCAGCGGCCTCTTCCTTGTTGTCAGCAACTTGTAATTTGCTCAACAACTCGGAAAGGACTTCAGCAGAGTACTTGGATTCACTGGCAGACATCTTTCCAAAGCTTTGGTGAAAGAAAAAAAAGAAGAAGAAAATGCGCCAGTTATAAATGCATAGGGCAAATATACCAAAAAAATTTTCAACCGACCTGTGTGCACGCCTGGAGGCCGTTTCTTTTTGGGCTGCCCCGCGTAAATATCAGCATGCAGTCAGGATACCCATGGCACACCATAACCAAATTCGCTACAGATAATGGCTAATGACTACGAAAAGATTAAATCCGTATAATTTCTGTCTTTTAATACTTCCGCAATTTTCTGGTTTTTTTTTTTTTTCGAGATTGAATGTGCTTTTTTCGTCTATCTCCTTTATGTCTCATATCAGCAAGAAAGAAACGTGCGATGCGCAGGTCTCACGGTTACTCAGTCTCATCGCATAAGTTACCCGGTCGCGATGGCTTCCAAGGATGAAAGGAGGTTATTATTGAATTTGAGGACGTTGAAAGCGTTTTGTTCCGTGTTAGTTGATCGATTACCTATGGCTTTCCTCCTCCCGTTTTTTCACATTCCTCCGGGCGAAATCAGTTGAGCTTTTTGCCACGAAATGACTTTGTTGTGCATTATACAGGCCTTGACCACCTGATACCATTCCATTAATAATAGTTGTATTTCTTGTGATCTCATGCCTAAACAGCAATGCTTGTCTCTATAATGACAAGTCCTAATCTCCTCTGAAGATTGAGCGTGACTTCTTTTTTTTCCGTCTTCAGAGATAGCCATTTTACTATATTCCAGCTTGCTTCCATACGATCAACAGAGATTGTTGGACTAATACTCATCCTATCAATAAGTTGCTCTTTTATGGAACCAAATGACCTACTTATTCTGTATGTTCTTTCTCTATGCTGGCTTTAAGAGCTTATATGATTTCAAACATGCTTCAAATTGTGCGTTTCATAAGTATATTTTCATTTTGTAGATTTCAGCACTAATTCACAGATATTGCGAAAAGATCTTTTTGCCTTTTGTCAGAAGTTTTCCACCTGCACTATGAACATTACTCCCACTTCATTCTGTGTAAACGTGAAAGTGTGTTCTAAATAAAAAACAGCCCGATTAATTACTCCTTACAAAAAACACTAATTCCGGAGACATTTTTTTCCACTCAAGAAATGGTCTTATAGTGTAGTGGTATCACTTCAGATTCTGATTCTGGCAACCTGGGTTCGAACCCCAGTAGGACCTTTTTTTTGCTCAAGAAGCATTCATTTTTTCTGCAATACTTGAGGTCGTTATTGACTTTCTATTCTCTTCATTACAAGCAACAATAGTACACGTATACATGCTTTTAGTGCAGTTGTAACATAAATCGTACATTTGTCCTATAGCTGAAACCTAGGGAGTAAAAGGAGGAGAAAACAGAACATCTGTTTGGCAAGACTCCCTCATTTCTATCAAGTTTCCATTGTCCAGTAAGACATGCTCATGGTGATCCAGAACCCTCAACATCTTTAGTTCGGTGGCCACTGTCGATTAATCGCTTGTTGGACTACTTCATTTTGAAGTCTTGTAATTTAATCTTCAATGGGTTCATGCTCTTCAGACTTGCTTGTCTCCTTTTTAGTGCTATCGTCGCGAGATTCTTGCTCTTCATCGACAGACTTGCGGACATCCTTGCTGAGAAGAGGAATTTCATTTTCGTCGGAACCAGAGTGCTTCGAAGTTTTCTTTGCTTTGATAGGAACAGTCTGCTCGTCTTCGGATTCAACAGAAACCTTCCTTCCACTAGCAGGAGCTTTCTCGTCGTATTCTGATTTTCCAGAGATTATCTCCTCGTCATCTGCTGATGCCTTCCCCTTCGATTTACCAGATTTCTTCTCCTCGTCCTTTCTTTCGTTTTCGGAGTCGTATGGAGAATTGAGTGTCTTCTTCAACATTTCAAAGTCATCGTCCTTCTCAGCAACAGGCTGGCTGGCTTTTCTTGGTGAAGAGTTCTTCTCAGATGCAGAGGTTTGCGAAGATGGAGATAGAGACATCTTTGAATCCTTTTCAGCAATGTCCTCTTCCCTGGACGCTTTCACGCTGACTTTGGCGGGAGCCACGGCATCAACGATTTTCTTTTTCGTTTTTCCGTCCACAACCAAATCCTCGTCGTTTCCGACGACCGGAGCTTCGTTGACCATTCCTCCCTTAGGAGCTTCCGGAATGGCGTGGCCATACTCGCCCTTGGAGTTTTGCGCCTTGTTCAGGGCCAAGTCGCCCTTTTCATTCTCCTTTTGCTCTCCCTTGTCTGAATCGACAAGCTTACCAACGTCTCCTCTAGTGAGACCGGCCTTGGCATTCAGAGCTGTGTCAAGTTCAAAGGTAGTAGGGGGCGCCGGCTTCAACTCTTGGCCGACCAAGTACATACAGAAGGAAAACAAAATGAGCAACAAAAGGTAGCCTGACAATTTACGAGTTCTGGAAAAGAAAAAGTTGCGGGGCATTCTGTCATAGGCCGAGCCCTTTCTGGTCGGTTTCATATAGTAAGGACGAGGAAGTCCATTATCTTTGTAGGAGCCTTGCATTTCCGGCTTTGTGTTGTGTGCAACGAAATGGTGCTTGGAGTTTTAGTGGGAAAGACAGAAAGAAGTTGGAGGATGAAGCTGATAAGCGCAAAGATGCAGAACCAGAACACACACGCAAACGAGTTTCTCAGAGGGGACCCGTGATGGAATGAAGGTGAAAGGAATAGGAAAAAAAATTTTTAAAGGAGGTAGGAAAAAAAGACACAAGAGGGCAACAAAGTTGGAAATTGAGCGACGGTGTAGATGTGCGCTCTCCCCCAATATATGGCTAGAAGTAAGAAAGACCGAGTGTGCTTTTTTCGACGCTCGTGTTTCTGGGACTGTATGCACAGCAATGACTTGTGTTCACGAAAGGGCCTTCTATTTTGCGGGGCTTAGAACCCTGTTTTGGGCAACGTAGTCAAGAATATTACGCAAAGAGAATACGGGTCGTAGGCCTACATGGGAAAACACGAAAATGAGGAAAACGGGGACTTTATTCATGTGACGTCTGGAAGGGTCTGGCCAGACCGATTTTTATCCATCTGTCACTTGACTTTGCAGGTTCAACACGGTTAGAAACTATGGGCGGAGCCTTGCTTCCTGCAGGAATAAACAAGTCGATTCCTACCTCTAGAGACCATTTTGGTCGGCAGAGATGGCTTCTTTGTTTAGATCTGACAGTAGCATCTTTTTCGAGTAAGGAGCCATTTCAGTGTGTGGTGGTATTTTACGCGGCCTCGCACTAATACGTATTAAAACCCATAATGCATGGGTCTGAGCCACTAATTTTACAAACCATTTGCGCTTGGTCTTATTGGTCCCGACAGACCTCTCAAGTACTTTCATTTATACTCTAGTAGAGCATCAATTCGCCAATATTTATCCATGTATCGCATTAATGGTGCTGTTGATATGTAAAGTGTGTATATTCCTTCTGTGGGGCCAGTGATGCAAACAAAAAATGGCCCGACTAACCTTGCAAACATATTGGGCTTGGTTTTCCGAAACTTAAATTTCCTTTTTCGTAGACCACAAAACTATAAAGGGAACAATTTCTGTACTATGCAAGCATGACAGTTTACGCAAAAGGTATCGTTACGGATGATCTTGGAAACATCATGTCAAGAAAAGAGAGCATCTACTTCAAAATTGACCTACTCAGTTTACACTTTGGCTCCAGATCCGCTTAAGCTTTTGCCAAGTGAGATTCGACTTTCCACATAGTGTTGTTTGATCATTGTCAAATGCGGAAGTTCGTATTCGTACACATCAAAGGTAGTCTGTAAAATGAATTGGCGAGGGGAAGTTAACGTGAGACATCAGAATTGTGGTGGTAATTGCAATAAATGGTTACCTATGGCCTGTAGGATGAATTTGAAACCAAACAATATTGGGCCACGAATGATGTCTAATTGTACTCACAAAGCTTCTGAACCAAATGCATCTATGACAAGCGGGAAATCCCAAGCATTAAAGAACGATTACAGTGGTCCAGTTGTCAATGGCATTAAGTAAATATCCGAATAGCCAAAACAAAACTTAGGTAGAAGCAGGTAGGAAAACTTGATATGGGATCATTTCGAAAAGCACTTGCACCCATTGGATTACTTTCTTTTGTTCAATCTGCCGTCCTTAACTTCATGGGCTACCAACCTTTATAGTATAGACATTGGTTATTGAGAAGGATTTGGTGGACATGGCAGCCTTCTACACAGCTTCCTTGTGGCTCATTCAGTACATAATGTCCCATATGACCATTGTGCGCATTATAGTCGATAATCATGTTTTTGTATTTGTGGCTTTTTATTTTCATTTGCCCCGTCTGGTGTACCCCACCAGCTTGTTTCTTGGATTGTATTTCTGTTGTCTCCCGCTCATGTAATAATTTATCTGACATCCCCTGTCTATGTTCTTCACAAGACTGTTTGATTCCATGCTTCGAGAAAAGATGCAAAGATATAGCATTTCTAAGTGCAAGAGACCACTACTGGGGAACATGTTTGGAGCACCATTATCCTAGTCGAAACGCCTGTCGTATTCCAGCAAGCAACGTTTTGGAAAGCACAATAGATGTACTGCCAAATGACGATGAGAAAAAACAAACGTCAACGGAACAGAACATCAGGGAAAGCGCTGGTGTCGAAGAAAGCTCGTCTGCAAAGAAAGATCCAGAATCTCGGGGAGAGCTGATCCAAAGTTCGAACGAAAGCTATCTGGAATCGAGAGAAGTAGACGAAAATTCTCTACCTGATAGTAGGCCAGCGGCATCTGTCCAGCAAGAAAGTTCCAGTATGTTGTCTTATACCGTATCCGATTTTGATGCACCTGTTCTTTTCGTCTCCGTTTCATCTGGAACGATGTTCTCTTCTCAAACACATACTTCTGGCACCTTCTCGTCTGCGCCCGTTTTCAACCGCCGAAAAAAGTACAGGGCCAACTATTTCCGTCCTGTCTACCGAGCATAGCGGCTCTCAATCAAAACTTTCAGCACTTGGGGCCGTGGCACACTCACTAAACCCAACTCTCTTTTGCGTAGGAGGGCCGAATCGAGTTTGTCCTCAGAAGTTTCCCACACATTAGAAAGTAGCATATTGCCAAAAGGATCGACCACAGTCAAGATTCCATCCAATTGTCGTCCATCGACCAATTCAATTCGAAGACTGGTGCCTATATACTTTTCCACTTCCATAGTGATGATGTATTCAGAGTGCGCATACGCTGAAAATCGAACATGTAAGACACAACCCAAATTTGGAGAACTTTTCCATACCTTCCACATTCAAACTTGTTTACTGCCGCTATTTGCTATCAAATTTATTGAGTCACTTCTGTTCAAATTCCTACTTTTTTTCTTTTCGTTTTTGAAGAAGGAATGGTACTGTGATGTATTTCACGCTCGTAACTAGGGGACTTTTCTTATTTACTCTTAACAATTCCTTTTGAGAGCATCGAAGCTTTCCAAGTTCAGATCAATAGCTCTACAGTACTAAAGGTTTTCGATTCTCCCTGGGCCTGCCAAAGACCAGGTATATTTCGGACCTGTAGTTACCCGCACCAGTAAACACTACTTAAGACGCAGTTGCGCCAGAATTTTTTTCCCCAACATCAATCGCAGCTCCGAGCTCCACAAAGCTCGACTGGTCTCTATGTGGCCAGCCGAGTGGGGTAGATACCGGGCAGAAGCGTAGATAGATTGCACGTTGCTGGGCGCCTGGCGTTGACTACTATATGGAATGCTGGGAATCAGTTGAGGCTACAAATGTAATGCGAATGTAACATTTTTTTTTCTTCAACTATTGTCCTGTTTCTTCTACTGGGAACACTCTTGTGTGGTCCTTCACTTATCTGAATACGTCTCCACTGTAACCCCTTTATAAGATAGTCCTTATAAACGGCGCAGGATTTGCTTTTTATGAACGTTGAACTGGAGTTGTCTACCATTGCTCGCGAGTACTCGTCGTACTTTCCAAAGTGTAATTTGGTGCCGGAAAAGAGATCGTACTACCCATTAAAAACGGAACCGTGGCATCTTGCAATCACCACGAAAGAAGAGAAAAGTGTCAAGGTGACCGTTTCCGTGGCTGGATGGTCACTTACGGACAGCGAGCAGTACTTTCAAACATTTGAAGCATTGATGAACCACGAGTCGCCGCAGTTTCGCCATTCTTTCGCCGATGCTCTTACACAAAAACTTGCTTTGATCAGTGAAGGTTAATTAATATATACAAGTGGCATCTAGTTGTTCTTCTTCTTCTCCTTTCTCAAGAAAGTCTCGACATCACCAACATCGTACTTACTGTTTCTGATGTAGAAATGCTTCTTTCTAGGCATGTACTTCTTTGGCTTATGAAGCACCTCGATGTTTCTGATATTGGGGTTGAACAACGGCACACGAACCTCGCATCCGAGCTTGTTGATTTTGTTTCTGAGCAAAATGTTCGTGCCCAAGTTGTACTGGCCTCTCTTGATACCAATAACTTGTCCAGTCACATTGGTACGATCAAGATACGTCACCTTGATAATATCACCCGCACGCAACCCGGTTTTTGTGTCCACGAGAGCACTTCTTTTGCCTGTAGGGTCATGTTTCTTAAGAAGTTGTTGGTGCAAGAAAAGGACAGCGCTTTGGCCGTTTCTCTTTTTTGGAAGCGGCTCAAACACCTTAGCCGTACTGAGACTCCGTAATGGAGATACACAGCTTCTAGGAATTGCCAGTCTTAGAATATTGGAGAGGCCAAACATGCTGGGGAGTATCGGACTGACAATTTTTTTCATAGGTAGCGCGCACATGCACTACTTACTCTAAGACTTGGGGAGATACCTAGCATCATCAGAAAAATACATTAGAAGGATAGCTTTGGAAAGAGACTCGTACTTGCTCCACATTTTTATTATGCTTTTACAATTTTGTTTTTGCTGAGGGCTAGGAAAATGCTAGATGTTGGCTCATTGTTATGCGCACCAATAGAAGGCTCGGGCTGTACTAATACATATCGATTCCAAGCTATGTGACAGTGTAAAATTCAGGATGTGGGAGTTAACCGGAATCAGTTACTGTGGAATGCTAAAATGGCCAAAATGGGCCACGGTAGTTAGCGAAATTAAGAAGTAAAAAGGAGATTAGTTTCGCAGTCTAAATGGAAAGAGAGGAACACTAAAGTAAGATGTCTGATTTTTTCTTTGTTTTCCATAGAAAAGAATTTAATTAGTCTTTTCTGTCCTGTTACACCGATATTTTCAATGGCATAAGTATAGGCAAGTATCATTTTATTGGTGAAAGTGGGTGCAAGGTCGGAGCATATGCAATGGTACTAGATGTTCTGACCATGAACGCACCATGAAACTGACAAAAAATGTACTTAATGTAAGCAACATCTGAAGACACATTAAAATGTAATCTGTCACAGTAGTGAAAAAATCGAACACTTCATTGTGCATTGCTCATGGAGTCTACATTTTGTCCCAAACTCGATATGGAATAATGCTAATATACATATGCTACAATGAAAACGCTCAAAAGCGGGGGCGTCTTTGTCTGGCCGTGAACTTCGAATCATGCGCCACTTTTCTTCCTCTCCGTCTCATGGCCTCCTTCTTTCTGTTGATATAATCTTTCCGACTCTCCAACTTCTTCTTCATTTTGCTGCTGAGCTTCTTAGTCTGGTCTGGTGCTTCCATTTGAGCGCCAGCCAAATTCAAGTTGCGGTCCGCCTGACCAGCTGTGAGAACAAGATAATACTTTTTATTCTTCTTAGACTCGGGATCGTCAATGATCAAACCTCCAGCAAAACCGGCGATTTTGGCTGCCTCCAACATGGTTTGTGTTTGCGTATCATTCATAGGGTAAAACTGTGCCACAAACTTGCCTCCTCTCTTCATGGAAGCATACAAGGAGTTAAAGAACCTCAAGGTTCTTTTCTTGGGGTCAACACCGGCAGTATCTGCGTTACATAACCACTGGATCACAGAGATAGAAATGGCTGCATCAAACGTGCCTGCCCTGAACGGAATGCCATTTCCCAAGTCTCCCAAAAACAAGTCTCCCTCCACCTCTCTGTCCAAAGCGGAAGCCAACATGCTGGGGGCAATGTCCATTCCGATCCAGTTGTAGCCCTCCTCTGTCAAAATCTCGCCCGAAAGCCCGGAACCACAGCCCAAATCAAGCAAAAAGTGCGGCTGATCCGAGTCCAAGTTTAAAAGCTCTAGTGCTCGAAGAGTCATTTTGGCCTGAATATGCTGCACACGCGATGACGACGTGTACTTGAAAGATTCTGCATCGTTATAGAAAATCTCCGGCGGAGCGATTTCTTCGGGCCTAGACATGACTTCTTGGAGTGTAGGTTATCACCAGGTGAGATGAGTAAAAATCCTTACTGCGCGAAGATGTACAAATCTGCCTGCGTATGCAGTCAACTTTGTAGGAAGCTCCATGGCATGTCAGAAAGGATCCTTTTCACCGGGAAAGATATTACCATGTCTAATAGCTTTGCTTAACGTAATAGATTTAATTCATTCAACCTAAACCGTGACAAAGGAGGAAAATATCCCGCTTCCTCATTGCTCAGAGAGGTTATCACATCGTTGGTCAGGATATCTGAAACATTACACAAGTTTCAGATCACTGTTTTAGTGGCTCTCGGCCCACATGGTTGGAAACACTCCTCGATGAATTGCCAAGCTGGGCTTACTGAAACATTGCTTCCACATACGTATTTATTATGCTTCATGAAAGTTAGTATACTCCGGAATTTCCATCTAGAGACACGATAAGACAACCTAGACTAAAGTGGAAAGGGCTTCGTGTCTCTAAAATGGAAACGAGACTAGGCTAGGACATAACACTCACGAGAGCTGGTGTTCAAAAGATATGATAAAATAATTCCCAACTTGCGAAGCTTTGAGGAACTATTTGAAAAAAGTTTCAATTTCAAGTCTATCTGGCCAAAATGCAGATCTTATGAATATTGACAAGACCACGACATCAGTAATCTGCTCTGTTGATTACATCTCCTATTGATAAACGGGAGAATAGGAATGTCCTTCAGTATAAAGGGAAGACAAACACCGGTGAAATTAGTATTGTCATCAGGAAATTTTTGCTACATACGTGTCTCCCATTTGAACAGTAATGTTTATCGTTATGTTTATGGCTTGCCTTAGTTCGCTCAGACATTTTGCTTTTTGTTAGTGTGTTATAGCATTTGTATTCGTCGTGTAAATTGTTCGCATTACAACACAAGTAGAGGCTTCTGTCAATTAATTGGACAATTCATATCTATTGGAATTTAAAAGAATCCAGTGTCAGCATTCAACGAAATCTTTGCCCAATCTGGTTCTAATCCTGTTGGTTTTACTCATACATCGGCCCTAATATGAAATATATTTGCTCTTGACCCTTAATATTGAGATCCTCTTACATATTCACGTTAGAATTACTCCAGGACAGTTTCACTAAGCTTTCACGCGGTGAAATTTCAGGGATGCACATTATTTAATGTCTCAGGTTCACCTTGTAGTTCAAATGGATGTATGAAATCACATACCTTTTCTAAAATGGATTCATCCCTCCCGAAATATCAATTCTAGCTAAACGTCAGTTATCAATGCTACTTCTGCTACTGCTACTAAAACACCTGCCTAGTTCCGCTCTGTCTGAACTACCGTTTAAAGACTCCACTGCTTCATCAGCTTCAAAAAAGGAATAGGGCTGACTCTACTGTAGTTTTGAACACTAAGAGACACTGTATGTGCGGAGGAGGTATATATCTTAGAGTCCTGGACTTTTCTTTCATAACAGTAGCGACATATTACGTGATTCTAAGTCATTCTACAAGCAGAAATAGCAACCCAAGCTTTGAAAAACCTTAAAGTACTCATTAATGATTTACTGAAGCGGTATCTAATCGTAAGATAGAATTTAGTACACCAAGTAGAGCGTACAAATGATTGGTGGTCCAGCTACAAAACCAAACCAGCATATCACATTCCCAAGAATCTTGCGATGACGCATGAACAGTGTCCGACTAATGATCACAAGAGGAATCTGCGCCATCTGGAAAATCAAGAGATAGCCACGAACACGGTTAAAAATCAAGTACATCACAAGCTCGTGCACTATTGCCGAGATCCAGAAAGTCATTAGTGTGGCCTGAAGCTTGGTAAGCGAAAGGGCACTGATCGACGAATGGTACACATGGCGAAGAAGGAAACGGTGCACAGGTTTGTTCCAAATACGGGCAAACTCAGACCAGTCAGTGCAAGACCACCAGGGTCCATAGAAGTCACGATCAGCATAATAACTCAACTCGGCAATACCGTTCAAGATTGTGTCCCAAATCAAGTAAAACACAAGCAAGTACTCTGTAGCAAATGGAGGAATCATGTCGATGAGAACAAGACAGTACAATTTGAAGCGCTCGCCTGCTGACAAATTAACTCCACGGGCAGCATTACATTTAACAACCAAAGGATTGATTCCCAGCTCGGCAACAATCAACATCACCGAAACAACGCCAATCACTGCACAAACTTTTTCCGCCAAATAGAACCAGCGGATGTTTTTAGTGCGGATATACACAAGCTCGTACACCACTGTTGGATACATGGTGTACTCAAAGTAGTTCTTCAAGCTGATGTTCTTTGGGAATTTGAGCAAGGACTCACAAAGCTCAGCAGACAGTTTCTCTGTGACATCTTTGTCTTGTGCTTTCGTAATATGGTGTGATTGGTGAAGCAACTCGTATTTGCAGAAGGCGATACTGTTCAAAAGAAGCTCCCGCATGTTATCGACAGAATAACCTTCCGGGATCGCAAGAGACTCGGAACCAAGACGCTTTAGGTACTCTTCAGAAAGCTGCAACTCGGTCAAAATGCCCCAAAGGTAGCCATTATAAAACGCATACGAGTGGATTTTCATCAAAAGCACCAACAGATGGAGCACTAAAAATACACGGCCGATCCATTGGTCCCGAACCACATGCGCAGCAACAAAGTAAATCCAAAACAGCGAAAAGACAACTTCATACAAGGATTGTATTATCCAGCCAGACAGCTGCCACGAGATCCAGCCGTGGCGACAGGCATACTGAATGAAAAAAGTTCCATACGTGCTCAAGTACATCACCAAGTCTGTGACGGCGATCTTGGGGAGTCCCGACAAAAAAATAGAGAGCACAGGCGCGTTGTAGAAGGAAAGGGACTGGTTGAGCCATGTATGGCAGAGGTTGCGCAAGATGCTGAAGCCCACGGCGATCCAAAACAAAATGTAAAAGCCATAGAAGTCGGAGTTTTTGAAGTATGGAGCGTCGAAAATCGTGGCCGCAACAGGTACTGCCGTGACATCGGCAAAGCTGGATCTGTATCTGCCGTCAGCCCTCTTGCGGTGCCGTTCACGGGCAGCCATTTCTGCCGCCAACTTAGCATAAGCTGTTTGCACACGCACAGAATCCAATTCCGCCGTATTTTTCTCTGGCAGCTCTGTAGAATGGGCCTGCGACCGCAACCGAGAGACACGGCCGGTCAATTCGGAGATTTCTTGCTGGAGTTTGCCTAATTTCGAGTCCGACTCAGTAAGACTGCTGGAGGAAGGACGGCTGCCTAGTGTCACGCCCGGACGAGCCGCAGGATCTTCAGGACTAGGCGAGTCCGCATGGTAATTTTCGGGATAGCCTTCGAGCGGATGGCGGTCAGTAGTGGCCAATTTGGCGAGACGGCCCAAATTGTCTTTAGTTCCGAAACTCGCACGCATGTTAAGACAAGACTATAGGAATGCCCAGGGAATAAGCCGCAAGAAGGTTTGTGGAAGGGATAGGGGATAGGGGAAAGGGGGAACAGACGAAGCCAATTGAAGAGAAACAGACAAAAGTATCCGGGCTGAGGAAAAATGCAGCTGGAGATAGAATCGGAGCTAAGTGATAAAGTGCGAAGCAGATGAAGACTATTTAACCGCAGGAGCGCAGGGTGGGTAATTACAAGGATGCACTCCCATTCAAGCTGATTACAATAGTTGGTCACGGGAAAATGAAGAAAAGACGTCGGCAAGCACGGAAAATTCGAACACAGACGGGTCCATTTGGCCGCAGCAGACATCAGCTTGTGAGAAAACCGGAACTGATTTGTGGGCCCGCTTTTTTGTGCCGATGACCTTTTTGGCCCGGCACACGGGACATTGTGCATTAGTGCGTATAGTTCGGAACAAACTTGAACCAGCAGACCGATGACGCCATGAGAGAATAGAGGAAGGGCAAGAAGAACCGACAAAATAAAGCATTGCCACCAAAGAACGGCCCCTCCATTTACGGACTATACCATAGCCGCTGGCCATTTCGAAGCAGAGAAGTAGAGGCGAATGTCGCTAATCAAAGAATATGGGCGAACTGGGGTGCGCGATTCATGCAGAGAACCCTGATGAGGCGAAAACTGGACCAAACGCATAATAACTTGTCTCACTTTATCTTATACAGGCACATTGTCTTCCAAGGTCATTTGGTACGGGATTTTCGGGTTTTGGCTTCACCTTGTCGACGATCCCTGTTTGTGTAGGCCATACATTTTTTTATGACATGGTAGGTGTGTTTGTGACGCTTTGCGAGAAGCGAAAACTTCTTGACGACATTTTCGACAGACGTAGAGAAAAATATTGGCACCACATCCAGAAATTACCGAGAAGGGAAGAGTCCGGGAAAGAGGAGACTACTTGCTTAGTAAACCGGAGGTTGCCCTGGATTACTAAGGCATGGGGTTTTAGTCTTCTCTAGTCGTTCTGTGTTCGAAACACTGGCCCACCATGTGATAATGCAAAAAGGCAGAAAGCAAGGCCCCCCATGCCTACCGATGAGTGACTTGGTTCTGAATACAATATTCTGTTAGTTTCGCGTCAATTTTTCTTCTCTAGTTTCTATTTACAATCAGCGATACACGCGCTCAAACGGACGAGTGTCGTTGAAGCATGAACGCCATACTATGTCTACTGCGGCCTCTGCCTCTTCTTTGTTTTTGCAGTTTGGATTGGCCAGGACAGAAAGCACCGCCCGTCGGCGCACGCACGCCTGGAACTTGGCGCCGAAGTTGGCAAGCCCTGTTTTCCTGATTTCGTTCATGATCCGGCACTCGCCACTAAGCATAGACGCTCTAATCTCTGTACAAGCGTGGTGCCGCAAGTTCGTAAGATCAACATTGAACTTGAGATGGTCGTAGGCATGCACAAGCTCGTGCGTCAACACATCTTCAAGCTGCCACTTGCTCTGGAGCCAGTTGGAACATAACAAGATGCCCAAGTCCGGATGGAAGCCGCCTCCTTTGAGGTCGTCACACGGAGCACAGGTGATGTTTTTCACGCTCAAATTCCCGCCGAGCTTTTGTACGTGGTCCATCATAAACGTCACCAGCGGCGAGTATCGGAGCATCCAGTCTCTGTTTTGCTCGCATTGGGCACAGTTGTTGGCAAAATGCTTCTTCCTGTAGTCCAGCTCAAACTGCGTCCGCTCCTCTTCGCTCATGCCAAGGCCGGTACGGTACGCTAGCAGTCGCCTCCACCACTCGAATCCCGATGGCGTTCCGCTATTGTCTTCACTCATTGCCAAACTAGGTTATATTTGCACAGGCGAAAATGATGCTCAGTCTCATACTGGTCTAGAGACACGTATGCAGGCATAGTGGACCAGTAGGATGATAAATGGAACGATTTGACAATTTGTTCGTTCAGGGTGACAATTGGCAGACGTTGTGAATCCGAAAAGTCATTTTCTTTTTTTTTCTTTTTTTTTCTTTACCGTGGAACTGTTGCACCAACCAAATTCTGAGAAGTCTCCAGCCACTGTCGCAGTATGTGTTTCCTACAATTCTGAATATGGCCTAGTCTTCATCCGCCAGAAGTGCCTGTTCACACAATGCCTTTCTGAACTTTCGTAGACGTTGTGCTTGGTTTGAATAATTGGAAATCGAGGAGTAAGGTGAGGTTGAACGTCTATCAGATTTATTCTGCCTGCAAAAATTCACACTTGTGAAATCTTTTCAGCATCTGCTTTGCGTGATTGTAGGGCACTTCTTTGCCATATTTCATAGAGCCGACTCTTAAAGCCTACAGCCAACTCTTAAAGCCTACAAATATGAAGATGTGTACCTTAGTAGTCAACATTGCCATCTCGCACCGACAATGAAAAAAGATTTAAAACAAGAGTTCACATAAAAGGGTTTTAACAAAAGTGCCTAAACAAAAGGGTCTGAGAAGAATAGTTTAAACCACTAATATTTTCGCCATACGCTTATTTCGTAATCTTCCTCGTAACATCTTTTCCTCCGCTCGCTATCTTAATGCGCTATATACCGGGGCATCACTTTTCTTCTCATCGCTATGGTGTCTAACATCTGGGTTGCCGCTGCTGATAACGAAAGTCAGGTTGTTCTTGAGCATATTCGCTCAGGAAATTTCTCTGCAAATTCCAAAGACCCAAATGGCTATACTCCTCTCCATGCCGCAGCATCTTATGGGCATCGCGATCTTTTGAAGTTGTTGGTGGAAAACGGAGGAGATATCAACATTCAGGATAACGAAGGCGACACTCCTTTACATCATACAGAAGATGTGGCAACGGCTACTTTCATGGTGGAGCAACTCGGCGCCAACCACAAAATCAAGAACGCCGAGGGCCAAACGCCGGCGGACTTTGTACAAGAAGAAGACGAGTTTCCAGAGCTAGCGCAGTATTTGCGTTCATTAGCCCACGATGCTCCAGCAGAATCTGCAGTCTTAGACTCTTTGCCTTCTCCTGGCATTGTAGATGGTCATCAAATAAGATATACGATGGAGGACGACCAAGGCGAAATGGATGAGGAAAGACGCAAAAAACTTGAAGCCATTGTCAATCTGGAAAATCCCGAGGAGGCCCTTCGTGACTTGGTGACTTCGGCCGTGAGAGAAGGATTAGCCAATTACAAGGACGAGAATGATCAACCAAAGAGAAAGAAGTAAGTAATATAGATAGGTAATTTTAGGAGCAGTTCGAGTGTATTCATTGTAGCCGATACGTATACTTTTAAGCATGAGATGGAGAAGCAACAGTGCGGACACGAAGTTTGACTTGAAATATTGTTCGATGATGCGTTGAAGTCTTGTATCTCCATTACTGTTCTCAGGCTCTCGTCAGCTTGAAAATAATAATTGACATGTACTTATGAATTCTTCCATAAAAGCATTTCCAACAATTTTCGGGGTTAGCCTTTTCTTGCAATCCTCCTACTTATTCTCTCGGCTACCGTAAACATCTTCCTCCTTCTTTTTTCGGACACTGTCGCCATGTACTCAAAACCCTCAGTCCAACGAATATTATCAGACCAGCACAAAACTAAAGACAAAAAGTCAAGACAGCTAATGTGCCCAATTTCTTTTTTTTTTCGACCAGGAATCTAGGACAAAAACCAAAAGCAAGTTGCTGTCTATCAGATTACGTGAAAACCAATTAGGCAAGAGCTGCGCGTGTCCCCATACATTTCATCAAAGCCACTCAATCTTACCAACTTTCGACGATCGGCAAAAATTCAAAATTAGCATCCATTACAAGAAATGCCGCTTCCCTTTTCAATTTTTTTTTTTTCGTCATAACTGATAAGCTCCCAGTGACCCCAATCATTTTACGAGGCTTGTTCCTGCACCCAGCCGAGAGTCGACAAAAGCAAAATCTCCACTCCAATTCCCACCAAATTCCCAATCATGTTGCAAGCTCTTGTGGACTTTCTCAATGCGGGATCCGTCGATGCGGATGGAAACCCAATGTATGTTTTCATTTCAAGATCTGCCTATCCATAGCCTCTACTAACACCAGCAGCAAGACGTTTTACAGTTATAGTGTGGAAGAATTGACACAAATGTCATTGTGGCAGAGATTCAAGCTCAATGATTGGAGATTGGAAATTTTCACTATTGCCTTTATTACTGTCTTCGTGACTCTTTTCAAAGCAGGTGACATTTACAACCGTTCCTTGGTGAATTCTTTCCTTGCTGGGGTCCAGAAAACGTTTGAAAAGAACTTTTATCAATTTGGTGTGGGCGACGGCAAATTGTACATTAAAGACAACGCCGAGAGTTATGCTTCTTATGCGACTGGCCGTGAGAACATCAGCAAAGTCAATCTTGTTTTCCGTTTGGCTCCAAGACAGAACATTTTTGTTTGGGCCATGGAAACGATTTTCAGTTTCTACACCGAATCGGTGCCATACCCACATGACCGTGTCGAGATTGTGGTGACACCATCTGTGGACTACGAAAATTTCATTTCTGCTGTGGTCTCCAAGTTGGGTATGAACGAGTACAGAAAGTTCAATTATTACTTATCTTTGACCAGAACCTCTGATTGCGCAAAGTTGCCCGAGTCTTTTGTTCAAATGGGTGAAGTGACTGAATTCCAGGACAAAACTTTGACCCCTCGTCTTGCTTCCGCTTTCACAAAGTCTATGGCTTCTTTTGTCAGATTTGTCGCTTTTACTGACCAGCCTGCTGAAAAGCCAGAGGCAATTCGTGATTTGCTTCCTCGTCGCCGTGTTGTGATCTCACTCAAGTTAGTTACAGGTAAAGAGCAATTGGCCCAGGTTTCAGAACTTCTTGATTCTGTTTTCGAGGTTGTGGACCAAATTGCTGACAAGACCATTACCTTTAGACAAGAAGCCTCAAAGAAAGTTGTCAAGAACAGAGAAGTTGAGATTAGCAAAATTAAAAAGGCTGAAGAAGCTGCGAGACAACTTGAATTGGCAGAGGAGAAGGCTAAGTTGAAGAGAGCTGAGAGAGAAAAGGCGAGAAACTTGTCCAGAGACGAACAATTGAAGGCAGAGAAAAAGGCGCAAGAAAAGAAACAAAGAAGAGCGCAAAAGAAGATGAAAACGAGAATGTAGAGATTGTCCATACTTAATGTTGTAAAGTCTGACTTACCAAGATACTAAATAGAAACTATTGTGATTCCATGTATTCTAATACATCCAAGCTGTGAACAAATAGCAATTTTAGACATGTTTGAGCAAAATTAGAAAGGTCATGTCACAAAACTTCGTGCTCACCCACAGATTCGAAAGCCAATGTTCAAGCTAGAATGCCCCGATTTCACGAGGCGTTTTTTTTTTTGACTAGACCAATTAAGATCTATTACCTAATAAGTTTCCTCTATGGAAGGCTATTTACAATAAAGAATCCACTACATTATCCCATACCAATGATCTCCGCCTCCAAGCAGAAATGTACATTAAAGTTTTCCCGTGAGACGCCATCCACGTCCTACTGGGGTGTTGAATGGTTCAACCACTCCGGAGCCCCAGGAATCGGCCAAAATCCATGTCAAATCGTACCCATAAAACGGCCTGCGAAAGTTGGCCATTATTTTTCCTTCCCACTTTTCGTATATCGTATCTTCCAACATCTCTTTGTAAGTCATCTTGCTCAATATCCGGACTAGCCAAGCTCTGCCTGAATTCACAATTTTGAGAAAAGTCCCACACTTGGGATAGGCTAGGGCATAATCATGAATATCGATTTCGTTATGGTGATTAGAGGTCAATGTAAGAAAGCCCAACTTCACTAGCTTGGTTATTTCTTCCACACTGAAGTCTTCTGTGGTAACAAAAAGGGCCTCGGGATGCGACATGACATACTCTTTAAACTTCACCAAAGACAGTTCGGGTTTTTCCTTTCCCATAGATTCGTCTATCAATCTAAGATACTGTTCTTTCTTCACCACCACTTCGCTGTTCTCGTACCCGTATGTTACCTTATGATACGTTCCACTTTTCCCTGAACGCAGGATAACTGGCAGTGCGTTTGTGATCACAAACTTCATCACAAGTCCGTCTCGAATGCATTTCTCAAGACTCCGATCTACAAATGTGTTGCCCCGATGCTCAAAAACCGTGTACAACTGATTTACCGTGACCATACCTCCACGGGGAAGTTGGTGGTTGCGGTACTTGAGAATTTCCGCCTTCACTTCCATGGAGAGGCCCCGAAGCAGGAAAAGCAAGTCTTGGGGCGAATCACGAGCACTTTTTTTTGCATCTTGACAGAAGTAACGGTTGTGAAATAACGTCTGCTCTGCCCACTGATTGGAAATTACTCGATCTATAGCCTCCACTATACTTGTAGAGCCACGAAGCTCGAAATCAAGTTCAATGTTATGATCTAGCACTTCAAGTTTTTCTTGTGCACTTTTTTCTTTCTTGGTGGAAACGTCCTTAGGATTGGGTTTCAAAGGTGTTCGGATGATCTTGCGGAGCAGAGTCGGCTTGCGAATCTTAGACAGATTGGCTGCTGTCGATCGTAATCCCATGGTAAAAGTAACCTAGCGTATTAACTTTAAAGGAGAAAGAAGAGTAGATAACATGCGAATTTTCTGGTGGTATCTAGGTATATGTTCACATCAAATGTGCTCTATGTATGAATTGCGCACTGACTAAACAAAATCGCCTCCATAAAACGACCGAAATCAAACTGATCAAGGAAAAGCGATTTTAGCAGAGAGGAGCATTCTGCTTTGGAATATGTTCTTGTCTGAGACAATCAAGGGATGATTTGAATAAAACGAAGCATATTTGATTAAAGAATTGCAAGATGTAATTCAGTACGAGAGATAAGTTAAAAAGCATATATTTCTTTCCCAGTGATCATGTAAGCCAGTGAAAGTTTCAAGATCTATGTATAGAGCAAAGTTTCACTGTTTCTAGAACTAACCTAGAGTAGTCAGGTCGCTTGTTGATTTTTCATTCTATAAGTACATTTCCACAACATATTCACTAATAAGTCTCACCTTCCCATTTACTTCCTCGTGAGCGATAACAACCATTTCTTCCACTCATGTTCTACAAATTTTGAATCATTCGTCTAGTGCTATGTACATGCTCATTGGACCTTGAGCTTTCTTTTGAGGACGTTGGCATCGCCTGGAGCCAGGAAAGACCAGGTGAAGGTTCCCGGAGCCACAATTTCATCAACGGCAACGCCATCTGCTGTGACCTTGATCACAGACGCTGGAACTTCAATACCGGTCGAGTTGAACACAACTTGCGCAAGAGCCTCTCTGGTGAGGGGATACTCGATTCCGCTCAAAGAGTATGTAGCTGGAAGAGACTCGCCAAGCTCAGCCAAACTGTATGTGGCGACTGAAGTGGTCTCTTGCGTCTGGAAAACAGATGACGCCGTTGTTCCCTTCTTGCCCCTCATGCTCGAGAACAATGATGACAACTCGTCCAAAGACATGGCAGGTCCTGATTCGGCCACAGGATCCTCGGCAGCTTGGGTTGGTTTTGGCGCCTTGACTTTTTGCGTCACCACAGGCTCCCTTTTTCTCTCCACCACCGGAATTCGAGGACCGTTGGTGATGTAGCAGGCTTTGTTACCAACATGCAAAAAGTTTCTCATGAAAGCTGGCTTCACCCGGACAAGCTCGCCCGCCGTGCCCAAAGGTTCGAAATCCTGCAATAGCTGCACAGTTATCCTGTCGGACTTGGTGGAAGCATTTCTTACGAGTTGCTTCACTATACTTTGTCTGGCAAACATGGGGTAGAGAAAAGGTTGAAGAACCGAAAAATTTGGTTCGAGTCGCGGTGCACGGGTGTAGGTGCAGCAGATAGAGGCTAAGATGGACCAAACAAATAAACGAAAAAAAAAAAAGATCATAGTCAACTTGCAGAAGCGACCAGGTAATGCCTGGCATTTTGTTTAGCTGGGGTTGGTTCATGCCATTCTTTTGCCCATTGCAAGTGCATGGATCTTCACCTCTAAAATCTTGTGCGCATCGTAGATATAGAGAAAAGATCATTGAGTACTACGAAATCGAAAAGCATCTGGAAATCAGAATTCTAAAGTGCAAATTAGTCTCTCAACTTTGCATTGCCTGTTTCGTCATCCATCTCATCTCACCTCCGCATACTCCATCTTCATCTCATTTCCGGTATACATAAATCCATCACCATGGAACAATGTTCTGTTTGTCTAGAGAAAGACTTCAAGTACACTTGTCCAGCATGTGGGACAAAAACTTGTTCTGTCGAATGTGTGAAGCGTCATAAGCTTCGATCGGAATGCACGGGCCAAGTGGATCCAACAAAGTTTGTGCCTAAGAAGAAGCTTTCCGCTGACCAAGCTTTAGTGAACCGAGACTACAATTATCTTCTTAACTTTGAGCGGACAGTTCAACTTGGCAAGTCTGACATCAAAGTGAATGCCAAGAATATCTTCAAACGGGGAGCCGGTCAGAACCAAGGCCACAAACGACAAAAAGTGGAATCTGAAAAAGACCCTCGTATAGAGAAAGTTAATCAGATATTCCCTCATCAGCCACAGACCTCTGTGAAACGCCAGAATACCTTGGTTATACACCTACCTCCAGGAATGTCTCGAGCAACCCAAAATAAGTCTGGCTACGACAAAAAAGCCGGAGCGTTTACCTGGACAGTGGAGTGGATCCCTGTAGATGCCACGGGTTGTACAAGAAAGCCATTCATTAGTTTTCGCATGAAAGAGACCTTACCTCTTAAGGATGCCGTGCCAATGACGGTTTTTGAAAATGCAATAGGTGCCAACGTTGATAAAGACACTCTTCATTTTTACCTCGACAATTGCATCAGTGGGAAAGAGGGAAATGAGGTGATAGCTTTGGATCCCCAAATGAGCCTTGCATCAGCATTATCGAATAAGATTGTGCTCGAATTCCCAAAAATATACGTGGGAGTGGACGACTCGATGGATAAGTATGTCTGTTCGGAGAACAAAGCATATGGTGTTGACGGCTCTGACTCTGAGAAATCAGAATCTGCAACGGATTCCGATTCAGATGATTCAGATTCCGACTCAGACTCGGATACCGATTCAGAAGACTCAGACTCAGACTCAGACTCAGACTCGGGGCCAGAGGAGACCTCCTCCAAACCGGATAACGTTGAATTGGTAAGAGATGCAGGTGAATTAACGGAGGTGATTGCAGAGCCAGTTGAATCAAAATTAACCGGTGATGAGGAAAAATCGCTTTGAAAAGAAAAGAGAATAACAAAGACATTGGCATGAGAAACCTTGGCTCAAGGATATTATAACAGATTTGAGTCTGACCAAATCCATTCATAGACAAAGTGTTCAAAAAAAGTTCAAGGTCATCTAGAAACCTTCATCATGGAACAGATACAAGCATCGAGAGACATCGTTAATTCTCTCAGTTCACTTACACAGCCTTCTTTTTACTTGTAGATATGGAAACTACTTCAATCTACAAATTCAGCAATCTAATAATTTTGTAGACCATTCTTTGCCCGAGCTTTACACACATGACTATTGATTTCAACATCGGTGCAAAGTCGCATCTTGAGAAAGTAAAATACAGATTCATATATGAAAAAAGAAACAAAACAAAAAAAAAAAATAAAAACTAAGAACAGTAAAATAAAGAAAGTCAGATCATCTAAGGAAACGTATGTAACTCAGAGATGGAATCATACGTCCATTAGCGGCCCACAAAGACCTTCAAGACATTGGGGACACTCCATTAAAACGTGATGTACGGGTGTTTAGCGATGCCCCACCACTATTCTTAAACTTGTTTGGCATCCACAAGAGTCGTTTCCCGAGTCATGAGTGTTTTCAGGAAACCTCTGGAGGCAGAAAAAAACCCGCACGCTTCAGTTTATGTGGGCAATCTAGACCCGCAAGTGCTGGAGACGCTTTTGTACGAGCTATTCATCCAGGCAGGTCCAGTCCGCCTGCTTCATCTCCCCAAAGATCGGATTCTGCGAGAACACCAGGGTTTTGGGTTCGTGGAATTCCGCACGGCACAAGACGCAGACTATGCGGTGGAGCTTTTCCGGGGGGTTCGGCTATTTGGACGAACGCTCAAGATGAAAAAGACAGATCCACAGAGCACCACGGAAACAGAGACACTGGGCTTGAGTGTGGGGGCGCGTTTGTTTGTGGGCAATCTCAATCCATTGGTTGACGAGCAGTATCTACGAGAAACCTTCAACAAGTTTGGTGCTTTGGTGGGACGGCCAGTTTTGGCCAGAGACGAAAACGGAACGCCAAAGGGCCATGGGTTCGTGGAATTCAGCGACTTTGAGAGTAGCGACGATGCTCTCAGCAAAATGAATGGAGCCATATTGATGAATAGCAGGATAAAAGTCGAATATGCATACAAGGACGGGGACAAACATATTCGCCACGGTGATGAAGTCGAAAGACTTCTTGCGCAACAGGCAAAAATCAATTTAAAGGACAAGAGGAAACCTCGCAAGAGAAAAAAGTAAGCAATCGGTTGGCAAATCACTGAAGTGGATGCTCGGATACCTCAAGGCCACAAGTCTTGTGGAAAATTTAGTGCAAGTTATCCAGATAGGGACCTGGAATACACAGCTTCGAAAAGGTTAGATCTGCCACTTCTCAGTTCCGCTCAGCATGCTTTACAAGCTTGTGAAGTCAGATAATCTTTGCTTAGATTTTTATTTCATTCTACAAGAATTTTCTCACGGAGTTCCTACGAAGTTGCTTTTTTAATAAAAATGGGACTCTGTCAGGCATTATACAGCGATACGACTTAATCCTATTATGTTCAAAACCTTGCATTGGACGCTCTTTTTTGCCCTATCAATAATTACGGAGAAGTTGACCAGCAGAATTAAATTCGAACTGAACCTTACAGAAATCTTGAAACGTGAAAAACACCAGTTATCATCCCAAGATTGTAGAAAAGACTTGAAAGATTCCATCTCTTAAATCCAGTGTCGTGATATTAATGTTAATTTAGCTCTGCATGTTTGGTTACAAGCGTGGCCGCGAGTGTTCATATTTGAGTAAATCCTCCGGTGTGACCACACCGTACACCAAATTTCCATCACCATTAGTAATAATTGCAAAGTAATTACCGTCGTTGAAGAATGCAGCTAACTCCTCCAACAGCGTAAGTGGTGTCAACACATGGTACTTGCGACTGCTTGGTCTGAAGATTTTAGAGTTCACTGGTGTCTTCTCGTGCGTCTTTGACTCCTTTTCATAGTTGGAGCGAGCACGCTGACTAAACCAGAGCATATGGTTTTTCGTAATGTCCTTTGGTGGGGCTCTTTTCGCTTCTTCAACATTCAAAACGCCCAAGAGCGTTTTGTGTGCTTCGTGGATTACAGGCAAGAACGAGAACTCGTTTTCAAACGCCACATGGATAGCACGATCTATAGATGTACCTGGGTTAATCGAAATGGCAGGCCGGATGTCCAAGTCTTCGACTGTGGCGCCTCTGTAGTCAACGGTATGGAAAAGAGTTGGATTCATGGGGAAGAAATATCCTGTGCAGGCTACTACGTAAAGGGCCATATGATTGCGAAAATGAAATGCAGAAAGCATTCTAAAATAGTCACACAAGTACAAAACAAGTCACTTGTGACTATGACACGGATAACATAGGTAAAAATGTTTAAAATTAGTTGTTCCTCTCAAAACGATCTGCGAATCATAGCATCCGGAAAATTTCAAATTTGACAACCACAGAACAACTGAAGCAGACAAAACATCGGTTCCGCTTCCGTAAACCATAGATGCCACTTTGCCAATTATGTGTTCTATTCTTTACTATAGTGAAGCTGTTAGCAAATTAGTTAGTTTGGGTATCAGCGCAAACTGTATATACCAAGTACACCAAGATCAGTTGACGAAATAATTTCGACAGGTGTCATTATGTGCCGAAGGTGCTTCACGCTGCTTCAGCTGTCTTCAGGCCAGCACGATGTGGCTCTGTCCCACTTTCCTCGTGTGCGGCGATCCTCCATACATCATCATCATGACCATCAAGAATGCCAATACGCATTGTTGCGAGCAAATTCACTGCTGCAGCCAGATGTCCGTACACGCCTCCATAGAACGCTTTTGTAGCATCCTTACCACGCAGGGCATGTAATAGAGCCGGCCCACCAGGATGCTGATCCATAAAAGGCGTCACATCGTGTATAATGTTCAGAATTACGATGTAAAGGCGTGAATCGTCGGCACAAATGCTGCGAAACTCCCGAGGAGTGATACGCGGTAGACGTGAAAGCGGTGTACCCCAATGTAGCAGCGCACGGACACGATCTAGTTCCTTTTGTTCCTGTTGGAGAAGTAGCTGTTGCACAGCCAGTTGCGGGGCCCGATATACGCCATGTACCGCACCAATTTGGGACAAGGCCCAGATCCCCCATTTGGTTGGATCAAATGACCATCTAGATGGTGCTCCACGATAATCATGAGGGAACTCATGATGGAAATTGTGATGTGCCTGACCAAAAGTGACTAGGGAAACTATAGGATTAGCACAGTCCATCAGCGAGTTAGAGTCACTGAAAGGTTGCGAGGAAAATAAATGTCGCCTGTGGCCCAATGATTCTGCTGAAAGCATAGCTTGCTGACAAGCAAACATGCGGAGAATGCCTGGATATATAAGACCGTGCACCCAAGAGTCGTGGCAAACATAGACAGCAAGAAAAGATGGAATCACTATCGTGGTGAGAGCAAATAGTGGCCATACCCAGCGCTCTTGCCATAGTAGAATTGGTGAGGAGAAGATATCAGTACTAGCAGTCTCTTTAGTGGCAGATGCATCAGCATCCGAGGTGCAAGTGCGATTAGGTATTGCTTTGCTTTCTTCAGCTCCAGGAACAGCGTCGGGTGTTGGGGTCAAAATAGTTTCCAAGATTCTCTTACCATGCTTGTGCGGTGCTAATAGCCAACCCCAATGTGCCCATAAGAATCCACGTTGGCTCCAATACGGATCATCCGTCTCGTCAGTACACCTGTGATGTAAACGGTGCAACATAGCCCATTTTCGGGCAGAACCAAGCCCTACACTAGCTCCAAAAATCACAAAGTATACCTCGACCCAAAAATCTGCTTGGAAACTTTGATGCGCATAGTACTTATGGTAGCCCATGGAGAATGCCAAATTGCAGAATACGTAGTAGACAGAACAGAACAAGGCTGTTTGGGAATTAGAAGGCCACAAACTCTCGTTCATGTGCACTAAGTAGCACACAGCACAAAGGGGAAGTAGCAGGATCGAAAGAAGGTGTGAGACATGGATCCGGCGCCACAGACGAAGTCTCTTCCGCAGGCGCCCATCAGGCACCCGCTTTCGAACTCGAACACCAGATGCCATATGCAAAAAAAAGGAAGAATGGAAACTGAACGAAGAAGTAGCGTAGATGTGAAGGCAATCAAGAAGCTTTTGATGAGAGTGGTTAGTGGGGATGTGATGCACGTGATTCTTGCACGCAGATGATTACCACGTCAGAATAAACGAGCATAAACGATATTGCTGCAAACAGGATATACAAAGTAGAAAAAGATTCATAGAAATAGATAAATCACCCATTTATGTGATAAAAGCTACTTGCTTCTGCTGGTAAATAGAGCGGCAATTACTGGCCTCGTTATCCAATTGATTATGTGCGTTGATGCATATGGACCGTTTTGATATTTTACGTGGCAAAGCGGAAAAAGGACAACTTTATATAGTATTCTGGAGCTACCCCGCTTATGTTTGGGATCTTTACAACCACAAGATACAACTAAAACGGCAAGAAGGGGTGTGCATTGCGTTTATTGCATTATTTCGATCATGCATGCCTTCGTAAATAGGCTGCAAATATGGTGCCTCCTAGTTACAAGATGATGAAGACACGAAAGAAAAGCTCATGTATGATTGGGCGCTAGTGCATACGTAGAATAATCTTTTATTCTAGCGGTACGTCTTTATGCTTTTGTTCCATGCATCGAAAGTCATTTGACAGGTGTTGTTACTGTGAATGAGCTGTGCGACATTTATTTATGGACCATCATATTTGAATTGAAGCCACATTAAGTTATGCTCTCTGATATATATTTGTATTAATTCATATGATAATATCGAAGTCACAGGTGGAGAATTTGCAAATCTCCGTTCCTCTTACTCGTTGGATAGAAACAGCAACTCTGTTCTCAGCATTTTGGAGGACTAATGATTCGTTTTCAATTGATCAGACAACAAGTCTTTAAGGAGATAACAGCAACAATGGCCGATAGGGTCAAGGAAAGAGGACTAACACAACCGCTCTCGAGGGTAATGTGTAAGAAATGAGTAATTGCAGTATCTGAAATGAGATTTAGTGCTGTAGTTTTGAATTCACAAAATGCCAAGACAACTGCTAATGCTATGTACTCTTAGCATGTTGCTCTCGATATCTAACTAATGTATAGAAAACTTGCTTGTGCACCTATTTTCCAGAATCCTTTTTGGCCATGAAACTTCGGACCTGTTGTGACTTTCGACCCTGATTTCACGTGTTGATAATAACTTGCACGTCATTCTGTACAGACTTCCACGCATAATCTAAATTCACATCATTTACGAGGCTACATTCTGACAGGTAAAACGTGACTATTTGATTAAGATTATCACTTATTGATAACTTTTCAATTACATATTCAAACATGCAATGCTTTCTAAATTGTTTCTATGTTCCCATGTCTCTAAGAATAACGGTCTACAGAAACTGATGGTGTACGGGTGTCCACAACCTCGTCGCGCCCAAACAAAGGATTCTCAAAGTTGGTGCTACTACAAGATAAAAAAAACATGGCTTCTGCCTACACATCTCTGCCTGCTGAGGCACCCATAAAAATCCAGCAATCGGCAAATGCAGCGCCATCTGTTTCTTTCACGCCGACAGAAACCACGATTCCTCACCGTCTCTATGACAAAGTGCCCAACTTGGATCTTTACAAAAAACTCCACGACGCGGAGCAGCAGTTGGATTTATTCATTGCCCAAAAAGGCTTGGACTTCCAGTCTGTGCAAGCACTGTCGATGCAGCCGGCCAACAACAAGCGCCAACAGGGTGTTTTGCGAGTTTTCATCTACAACACATGCGAAAACATGCCGTGGCAGAAACTGGATTCGAGTGATTCTGCCGAGGCCAAATGGACTTTGCGTATAGAAGGCGTTTTCTCTGGAGAGGGGGAGGCGCTTAAGTTCTCGTCGTTCCTTTCAGGTGCGTCGATCGAGCTTATTCCAAATTCGGATTATCCCGCTTTACAGAACAGCCAGTCGAACATTATCGAGTGGAAAGAACAAGCCGATGGCGCCGTTCCAGGAAGCTCCACACAGTGGCAGTTTGATGGAATTGATGTCAAAAGGGCCGGAGTGTTTCCAATCAAGGCTAAGATTGCTCTCATGATCAAAGACCACTCGTCTAGACTTGTGTTGTCACCACAAATGGCCCAATTCACTGGGCGGCGCGAAGCGTCGCAGCAAGAATTGGTCTTTCTGATTTGGCAGTATGTGTTGTATAAGAACCTCTTCAAGAAGGCCGATTCAATGTCACAGGTTTCTGCTGTTGCTTCTGCGGGCATAGCGAGCCAGACAATGGGCAAAGATGACGAAAATGACCTTGCTTTGGTTCAATGTGACGCGGTCTTGAAGCCTTTGTTGCTTGTGGATAGCTTCAAGTTCAAAGACTTGTACAAGTTGATCCAGCCACATTTGCGCCCACGACAACCCATTGTGATTGATTACGAGGTCGACACAACGCGGTCAACCACTTTGGGAGATGTCGTTCTTGACATCCCTGTCGAGTTGCCATTGTCTTTTTCAAAGGTGCAACGCGAGATCATCGAAGGAAACAAAAGCACATTTGAAAACATGGCGAAGTCAGACGCGCATATCCAACATTTAAATCAGAAGATCTCCCTTGGAATAGCATCGTTGCACAAAGCCAATGCACGGGAAATGTTTTATCGTGAGCTTAGTGAGGATCCCGTGGAATTTTTGCAAAAGTGGTTAGAGAGCCAGGCAGAAACGCTAAAGGCTCTCAAGAGCGAGGAGGGCTACAATGAGGAGAATGTTCGGAAAGCACAATATTTCAAGGAAAACGAAGAGTTGTTGAGACAAAAAATTGATCTCATGTTGGGTGCTCAAAAGATGTAAAGTTTAGAGTATGTATTGGAAACAATGAAAGGCAATAATGTTAGCAATAGTATTAAATCGTATTTCAGTGATGTCAATATGCTACATACAACAGCACTTTAATGGCGTACAATGCTTGAAAAACAAAGGCTTTGTATCTTTTTTTCGGACATTTGTAACTTGAACTATTGAAGTATCCATAAAAGATGATCTGTGTTGGTACTGGGTTAGTTTGCATCAATTGCAAACTATGGTATCAATCTTCTTTGAGCCTACACGAGGTTCTTTCAAATCATAGAAAGATGTAAAAAATACACATCAACCAATATTCATCCATTAGCACCATTCAAACCATGCTAGATATTGTAATTTCTAACTCATGTAAAGTATGTAGTACCATACTAAAGGTCAAGGTCACATTTGCATTTATTCTCTTTTGAATCCCAGGGAAGCTCTGTTGGAGACAAGGAACCACAATGGCTTTAGACGGCCGTCCATTTCCCTTACTACACTTTTCACATCAATAATCTGCATTCAAATACAATTACGATTTCATGATGATGATACCTGTAACTGCTGGTATCTTCCACTCAAGATGAAAGCTATATGAATCACTTTCTGTTCTATTATACATACTCATGCAATAGCGTCATGAGGATAGCTCTATATATGAAATATTATGAATACTCTTCTTCCAGGTAATCTTCATGTCCGTCGTCATAATCGTCGTCATCGCCGTCTTCTACAACGTACTCGGGTTGTTCTTCTTCCTCTGTGGGCTCCTGGGCGACAGAATAATTCACCTTCTTTTTTCTTGAAGAACGAAGCTCGGATGCTCCATTAATGTTAAGCTTCTCATACTCATCAAGTAAAGGATACAAGTGTGAGAGATAGCGGTACATGTGCAAAAGAGGCTTGTGAGAAAGACTGCCCAGGGAGAGAATATTCTCTTCTCCTGGAACAAGACCAAGTCGTTTTCCAACGTGATCCAAGAACCTGGAAAGTTCCTCGGTGTTGGATGCAACGACATGCCAATGTTTCCCATCGTCATACGAAGTTGGGCTGGGGACTTCGTTGCCCTGAGAATCAAACTCAACTCCTTCCACCCGAAGTGATTCTTTGAGCACAGCATGTACGTCCTCCACATACAACTTAAACGTAGATGGAATGGCAGATCTCACGCCTGCAACGTCGTTCACGACATTGCGCATTTTCTCTAGGGAACCTAGGCCACCAGCTGAAGAATCCGCCATTCGAACCAAATAGAAACGACCAATGTGGAAACCGCAGTCTCCAACTAAAAATTCGTTCAAGCGAAGGCTCATTGGGTGCTTTGTTGGGTCTGAGGTGGGATCAATGGTCTTAGATTCCGGCGTCGGGGTAGAAGACTTGCTCAGAGACTTTTTCTTTGCCTTTTTCAGCTCAATCTCTCGTTTTAAGTCTGCTGTTTGCGCAAATCCCTTGAGCACAGCCCTCGATCCATAGTGCGTATCTTTCTCTCCTGGAATATCCTGATTATTGATCACATTCACCAAATGCGCCTTCACTATGTTTGAGGCAGATAAGCTCCACACCATCAAACACCGAATCACTACTAGGCGATCAATGGCATTCAGAATCCCCTGAAGACCATACTCGTAGAAGTCTTGCTCGTGAAATGGATTCATTTTTTCCAGTGGAGCCAGATACTCGTAGTTTTCAGACTGTGTGGCTTTTGGCTTCGAAGGGTCAACATGATCAAGATCAGGCTCACATGGCAAGTTAGTTACAACACGTGCCATAGTGTCATCCCTCCATTCCTCAGGCAAGCCAAGGTTAATGTATTGAGATCTGAGTTCCTGGATCGCGGAGCGTTGCATACTCAACAATATTGGCTTTTTTCTGTTGAGAACCAAAGCTAGAAGACGGCGGAACAAGAGCTCCATGAGAGGGCTCACTTTCGGGTATTCTTCATGCACTAAACCCAAGCCTTTTTCTATGTCATCGGGTCCCACGGGCCCAACATCAACAATATGGCGGAATTTGGTGAGATAAGAGATAATATAGATGATATCGTACAGATATGGGCACGGGTGGACTGGAAAACCTAAAGCCAATTTCTCGGCTGCGGTTTGTTTGTTGATGTCAGCAAACATCAAATTTTCATCGTAGAGATCAAAGTGGATCGGAATTAGAGGACCTGGGTTAGTGCGGGTGACTCTGTTTTTGTCACGGATAATGGTTGTAGGAGATGCTGGCTGTTTAAAGTTGAGCGTAAGCTTCTTGACTTTGGTTTCTTTTGGTGTGGACCTTTTTGGTTTTTTCTCTCTCTTTTGTTGCTCTTGCTCGAGCCTCAGTGCTTCTTCTTTCTTGGCTTTCATTTCTTCCATCACCTTCTTTCGAGCCGCTGTTCTAGCTCGTCCACTAGGTGTTGATTTCTCTGGTTCTTGTTTTATTTCGACTTCCGTTCCCACCTTTCCTGCTTCGGGTTCAGTGTCTTCGGTCGTTCCATTTTTCTTGAGTTCGTCAGACTCCTCTTTCTCATTATCACTCATATCCTTGTCGTCTTTGTCTTTTTCATTTTTGTTATCTCTATTCTTGTCGTCTCCATTATTATTATCTCCATTGTTGTCATCTCCATTTGCGTCGTTGCCTTGACCATCTCCGTTTGCTTCATCATTTTCTTCACCGTGCCCGTTTCTATCATTTCCATCATCTTCTCCATTCCCGTCATTCCCTGTACCCTGATCTCCATTTTGTTGCCCATCTTCGGTGGCTTTGTCACTTTCTTCTGCAGTGTCTTGCTTACCATTGCTTTCTGAATCCTTTTCGTCATTGTTTTCTTTCTCCTCTGTCTCATTATCCATGGCTCCATCTCGTAGTCCTAATTGGGCCGAATCGCCGGACCTGTTGAAGTTTAGAAGTGCCTGCTTGCGTTTCTTCAAACCGGAAGACTCCGTCACTTGTCCCTTTCTTTTCCGAAGTTGAGTGGGATCTCCACCTCTTGATCCTGGCCCTTCCAACGGGCGCTCATCGAGTCGAAACATCGACAAGGTCAGTTTTTCAAGATTTTCAGTCGAGGAGCTGTCTGGAACAGGCATTGTGCGGCCTTTCAAGTGCTTTCTGGGTCTTCCAAGACGCTTTTGCTTTTCGTGGGGATTATACTCAATCAGGAAAGTAGCAGGCAGTTTGACCGTTGGAGAATCGTCAAAGTCGTTGTCTAAGGTTTGCAAATCAATCATTTTCAAAGCAGCCAAGGTCGTTTTCCCTTCCGAAGTGTGATGGCGGTCCATAAACTCTTGCAACTCAAACATGTTTCTTATATCCGACGTGTCTGTTTCCAGATGTAGCATTTTGGAGCCAGTAAATCTTGTATCACATTTAAGCTGTGGATCCAAATGTGGAACCATAAGAAGTTCGCTATCTTCCATTGTCTCCATGTTTTTTTTTCTTTGGCAGATATCGTCGAAGGGCTACCATAAATGAGTGTTGGTCACGTGCGCACGTATTGATAGAGATGAAAGAGGCAATAAACGCCACCTACACGCGTCAAATCCGCCAGAAATGACACCAACGGATAAAATTCATCTTCATGATTGCTGCAAAGATCCTTTCGTTTTGCGAATGTAAAGCCATCCGGTACGGAGACGTGTTTCTTGTAATTCAGTAGTGATCAAGTGATTAACTAATTGTTTTCCTTTCAATCTTATGCTGGAATCTTTGTAGTTACACTATTCGGTGAAATATCTGAACGTGCCAATGGTCCTTCAAGTAGGTTTAATCAGCAGGGTCAAGAAATGCGACCATTTGCCAACTGGCGGATACTACTGAGAAAAGAAGGCGAAAGAGAAAGAAAGGTCACAGCATATTGAATACACTTTTTTTTGGTAATGGGCCAAGTCATGCAACTCAGAGAAAGGACTTAAAAACTCATGGCAGAGGTCCTATCGTACTCATTATGAATATGTCACGTCACAGTTCATAAAAGCTATTCGGAAGCCGTTGTTGGTATTTCCCAAGCTTCAATCATCTATACTTCATTTAATTTGTTTTAGAAATGGAAGTTTTGATGCATTAATTTAGTTTGACGGTTAATTCTAGCATGTCGCGTTGGTCTCATCTTCAACTTGGAGAGCGGAAATGTCGCTGCATACGATAGTACCATAAAAAGAAAAGAAAAAAAAATGTCGCAGAATAGCTTTGACATGTCTCTATGTCAGTCACAGGCTACAAAAGATAACGAAAACAATTCTTCCGAAGTCAGGCTGCATCCTACTCACGTATTGTTTTCGAAGTATGAACGTACTAAGCCATTTCTGATATCGTAGGTTTATACGAGGTGAACAACTTTCATACGGTTTTGAAATATTTCATGTTAATTAATTTTGCATGATATATGCATTTCCACAACTCGGGTTTTCATTTTCAATGGAAACGTGTCATTCCGCCAGGGACGCTTTGTTTCCATTATTTATAGTAGCATTCACGTCAGCCGTTCGCGCCGTTGGAATCCTGCTAGTAGAGGTGCATCGAAAGATCCCTGTGACGTATCATGTGACCTTCCAAGTGAGACAAGCAACAAAAGAGATGAACAAAAGAAATAAATGAGTCAGGGTAAGGAGAAACTTGCGTACTATTCGCACGAAACACGACTTTTGTGAGGAGATTCTACGGACTTCGGCATAGCAATTAGAGTAGCCACTGATTCCAGTACCCAGCCTGGAATGTTCCATCGCACTTTAAAACGAAACAACTTGTACTAGAAAAGCTTCTGAAGAAAACAGCAGGAATACCTCAAGCTTGACATCTGCAACATATAACCTTGAGTGCGCGATCCTTTGACACAAGTGTTCGTTGGTTATGTGCCGAGGTTAAACCCCTCTTAGAAGAGTCATTCAACTTTGCCCAATGTGTTTTTAACTCCGCATTTCTAAGCGCGGCACCAGGGTTCTGTTCTTTTTTTTTCTTTCCGCAATTTCCGCGTCGGCCGAATGTAACTGCCGATACCTGCAGATGAAGAATCACAACATAGGCCATTTGTCACGAGCAAGCAAGATTAATGTATTTGCTAGTCGCATTCCATGCCTGCTTTAGCCATATTCAATTGGAACTACTAATGTATTGCAATGCCTTTTTTCCCCCCTTAAAACATGGAAAGATTGCCGCCTAAGTAAAAAATTCTTCGTACATTTTCTGCAGTATGGCCATTAGACTAAACGGGCAAATGCGAAATACGCATCAACTAGCCGGGTAAAGGGCCCAAAGTAGCCGTTCGATGGCGGAGCTATGCGCATTTGGAAAAAAAAAAAACCAGTATATAATACTGCAGGTCCTTCGTCGTTTATATGGAAAGTTTGCATTTTTACCCCCAGTTTCTTTCCCCTCCCATCAAACATTCTTACTTAAGTAAACATGCCTGCTCTGCCCGAGCCTTCTATCCATCTTTCGTCTCAAGACAGTTCTGAGCACGGGACACAAGACGAATATAAGCAGGCCAGTTCCATGGAAGCTACAGACGATCATGTTCTTGAGCCTTTCAATCCACGCAAAGACACAGAAGATAATGGTGACAACGATAATGACGATTTTGCATCTGCTGCTTCCATTTCGCGGACCTTGAGCAGAAGATTGGTTGGTGCCGAAGATTTGTACAAAGAAGCATCTCATTCGACCGAGCCTTTGCCGCCAATGGGGAGGAGACAAGGAGTATCCTCCGCTTCTCCCAGATCAGGGATCCATACATGGTGGACTTTGACGGTCCCGACGACCCTCTTTTCCCACACAACTGGCCATTGTGGAAAAAAATCATCATCTGTGGTGCCGTCGGTCTTTCGGCATTATCGGTTTCCATGGGTTCCGCCATGTTTTCCGAAAGTGCTGAGCAACTTATGATGGAGTACAAAATCGGTTGGGTTGTGGCCACTTTGGGCACTTCGTTGTTCGTTTTTGGTTTTGCATCGGGTCCTGTGATTTGGGGCCCTCTTTCCGAGCTTTACGGCCGTAAAACAGTGCTTATCCCCTCGTGTTTCGGCTACATCTGTTTCTGTTTTATGGTGGGTGCCGCTAAGGATATTCAAACTATTATGATTTGCCGGTTTTTCGCTGGTTTTGTTGGTGCTGCTCCGCTTGTTGCTGCTCCTGCTGCTATGGCTGATATGTTTAGTGCTACAACCAGAGGTAATGCCATGACTAACTTCGCCATGGTGTTATTCGGTGGTCCCATGCTTGCGCCCATTTGTGGTGGTTTCACGGTGAAGAACTCTCACTTGCGCTGGAGATTCACCTCCTATTTTGCAGGTATGGTTGGTGTTCTTGCTCTTATTGCTATAGTGTTCTTTATGGACGAGACCCACCACGGGTTGATTTTGTCTCGTAAGGCCGAAATCTTGAGAAGAAGAACTGGAAACTGGGGTATCCACGCTGCCCATGACCAGGTCAGTTTGTCCATCAAAGAAATTGTGGAGAAGAACATTTCCAGACCTATTGTCATGTTGTTCACCGAGCCAATCTTGTTCTTAATTACGCTTTACAATGCGTTTATCTACGGCTTGTTGTACTTATTTTTGACCGCTATTCCTTTGATTTTCGTGGGCGGATACCACTTCTCTTCTGGCGTGGGAGAATTACCATATTTGGCTATGCTTATTGGAGAAGTTATTGGTGGTATCCTTAGTATTTTCATGGAAAGAAGATATGTCCGCGCCGTGGTGGCTAACAATGGTAAACCAGTTCCAGAAGAAAGATTGCCTCCTATGATTGTTGGTTCCATTCTTTTTGCCATTGGTATTTTCTGGTTAGGTTGGACCGGAAACTATGCTAGCAAGGTTCATTGGATCGTTCCTACCATTGGCACTGCACCTATTGGCATGGGCTTAATTCTTATTTTCTTGCCATGTTTGAACTACATCATTGATTGTTACTTGTTTTTCGCTGCCTCTGCTTTGGCTGGTAACACCTTCTTGAGATCGGCATTCGGTGCGGTATTCCCTCTTTTTGCCAAGCAGATGTTCACTAACATGAAAATCAAATGGGCCACAACTTTGTTGGGCTTAATTTCTGTCGTATTGATTCCTGTGCCTGTTCTTTTTTACAAGTTCGGCAAGCGATTGAGACTGAAGTCGAAGTTCGCCTTCGACTTGGACTAATCCAAAAATACCCTAATATTACCAGTTTGCATTGACGAAATAGATATCATTTTTCGATTGTTGTAGTTTAAAACAGTTTTTTCTCGAACAAAACATCTGTAGATGTCCATTAAAGATACCTGTCGCAACAACTTCATGATCCGATTTCATGAGCATTCTAGTATTTCAATTTTGACTCGTTAGGAAAATTCTAGGATAGTAAAACATACGAGTCCATAAATCGGAACCTTTGAACTGTTTCTATCACTTCCTCTATTGAACACCAAAAATCATACAATCGGAGTCATAGCACGCATGAAACTTCCAGGCCTACCCCGAATGACAAGCTTAACGTACAAAAACCAGCTTGAGAGTTCGACAATGATACTTTGAAGGCGTCTCTACTACAAAGGGATGAGAAAGATGTTGACGAAAACGATGTCGAAAAGAATCACTCTCAACCTTGAAGACTAGCAGCTGGCAGCAAAGATAGTCAGCACTTGTCAATCTGTTTTCAATTTGGAGTGATTGTCTAAAATTATTTATTCTGTACCTAGATGATTGTGTGGAACATAAAATAATCCACACCCCATTGTTATCGGCTGTATTACCAATTTGTACACCGCTTAACCAGAAGCACAGGAACCTGCCGAATTGGTTCTGACTAGAGTACATCCTAAAAATTTTAATCAATAAACAAGAAGGGATGCAAAGACCTACAAGCATACAACGCTTTTTGCGTTTACAGAATGAGAAGTATCCATAAATAGTAGTTTCCTGACACTGAACTTTACCTGCCATGTTCTTTCAGCTAACTATTGTGACAATCCATTACAGTGGAACGATATGAGCAAGGTTGCTATCTACTAAACACACAATCAACTAAGACGGCAAACTTCAGAAATTTGATGTATGCTCGTCCACTTAAGCTGAAGATATCTCATCCAGTTACAACTGTTATGCCAAAGCCAGCGCAATTGTAGGCAGTTATTACAACAGTTTTCATTTGGAGTAGTTTCTAGAATGTGTAGAATACTTTCGAACACATTTCTTCTTAGACTCAACTCTCTTGGTGTCAACATTGCATTTTCTTCTGTCTCGCTTGGTAGTACAATATCCTCAAATATGCGAACGTCAACGGTCTAAGAACAACACACAAAAATATTCCAACATGAGACGAAAATGTACCATATAGAAGTGGCTTCAAAATGCAAATTCGTCACCGAACTAGAACAAACCCGAAATTACATGCCTGGTGGGCCATGGGTTGGTATCACGTGACCATGCCCATTATCGCGACGCGTTCCTACTCGTCTTTTCTTTCTCTTCTCTTTAAGATGGATACGAGTTATGGAAACTACGGCGACGGTGGATTTTCCACAGACGCTCAATTTAACGAATACAACACGTCCCAGCGTGCCCAGCAAACTAGATCAACTTTAAGTCCCGTGACCATCAAGCAAATCAACGACGCGACTCAGCCAGTTTCCGATGGCGAGTTTGTGGTTAATAACGTGTCTTTGAACATGGTTTCGTTTGTCGGGGTTGTCCGCAAGGTGGAAAACACCACCAGTGCCCATACTATCACCATTGAAGACGGAACAGGGTCTGTGGATGTTAGGAGATGGGTGGACGAGAAAGTCACCACCGCGGCTCAGGAAACCGAGCGGTTCCTGGCATTGGAGAACAAATACGTGTACGTGACGGGCGCATTGAAGGAATTCAACCAGAAGAAGAACGTCCAGCATGCCACCATCCGTGAGATCACCGACCACAACGAGGTGTTGTACCACATGCTATATGCTATTTCCAACCACTTGGAGGCGCAGGGCTTGATGAAGACTGAACCCAAGGCTGAAAACGGCTTGTTTGTGCAGGGCACGCTGGCCGCTGGTCTGGGCTTGGATGTTTTGGATAAGATCATGGCTCTTATTGCAGCAAACACGCCTTCCATGCCAGAAGGCGTTCCAACGACGTGGATTAGTGATAACTTGGGTCTCTCTGTGGATGAGGTCAAGGAGAAGTGCCACCAATTGTCTGAGATGGCAAAAATCTACCAGGGCTACGATGAGGCGTCGTACTTGAGTATTTAAAAATGCTGAAGTGGTGTTGAAGGTGGGGAATTTTGAACCTTTCAATTAGCGAAGAAACAAAGTGAATGGACGCGAGTGTGTAAGCATTCTGTTTCTCAAGGTGTTCGTTGGATTTAATGGCTCGTCTGTGTATTGTAACCTTTCTGGGTATGTATGGATGCTCGTTGCCATATTAGTCTTATTGCTTAGTTTTAATGAAAAGAGCTGATATTATTTATGTTTATTCCTATCGCATTGTACTTTGACTGAAACTCAAGAATTTCCATCTCGCAGACAGATCCATGCAAGTATATAAAATGTAACTGGATTTCTGGTCCTATTTTGTGCCAATCGTGCCAAGTTGAAGCCCATCCTTATGGATTACGGATTGTTAGACAATCTTTAGTGAGGCACATACGGGTTCGTAGAAAATTTTCAATTCACGTAGTAATCAAACTTGACGCTGAGACTTTCTAATAATCGTGTAAACTTTCTATGCTTCTTACTTTAATGCCAACTACTTCGTTCATGCATGAGCCAGGTCAAAAACTATAATCAATTCATTCTTTATGCTTTCTAAAAATGTCTATTCGACTATCCGAATTAAAAACGCTAGCTGTCCTTGTCTCCGAAGAAAACATTCCACAAATCACCGTCATCTACGGCCTCACTTGTGCCCACAAATGAACGGGGCCCGTTTGAGACTGTCAATGCGAACGATTCTGCTGTCCGTAAATCTTTATCTACCATTTCAGTAGTGTCCATCGCATCATCCTCTTTAATTTCAATTATTTTTTCATTATCTTCACCTTCGTCATTATTTTCGTCTTCCACTGTGATCAGGTTTTCTTGTGCATTGGCCTTGAGATACTCTTGTCTTTTGCGTGTTCCTAATGCAACAATGTTTTCCTCCACCGTATTTTCGATCGCAAACATCCACACTGTAGTCACCTTCTTCTGACCAATCCGATGGATCCGATTGATTGCTTGCAATTCTGTAGGGGTATTCACTAAAGGCTCGCAGAGGAAAATATGGGTTGCGTTGATCAACGTGAGTCCACTGGCTTGTGCCTGTGCATTCAAAAGAAAACACGTCTTGATGTTGTTTTGGTCTTTAAAGGCTTCAACTGGGTCCGAGAGTTTTGACGTCAGTGCCGCCACATGTGAGCCCTTTGCCGATACATAAGTTATTTTTGCCTTGTCAAATGCAGAAGCTAAAATGACTAGCAAGTCCCTCCACTGACTGAAAATAACAATTTGCACATTAGGATCCTGGCCGCGCAAATGCAAAACTTGTTTGACAATCATGTCAACCTTGGACCCGTAACTGTTGGACAACTTCATCCGTTGAATATCTTGTAAAGTTTCTGCATCCACCTGTTTGTAAATTTGGTGGACAGCATCGCTGTGCTGAGCCTCAGTCTGTGTATGTTTATTTTCTTCGGTGTGGGCTTTCAAATCATGCTTATAGTGGGTGAAATAATACACTGTATCTCTGTCTGTGTAAGATTTGCACATGGGGCACGTTGAGTTTCTTGCAAGCCACTCATTAAGACACTCTTTGCAAAATCTGTGACCGCACGCTGTCAAAGAACCAACAATAATCGGTGATTGACAAATGATGCACATCATCTCCTCATCACTGACTTCTTCAGCTTCCTGCTTTACTTTTACATCTGTCTTTGGTATAAGCGTCTTCAAGTACTTCAACCGAGTGAACGCTCTTGTGAGTCGATTTCTATCGAATACGAGCAGCATAAGAAGCTTTTGCAACTCGCTATCAATAACTTGAGAGTCCATTTCTTCTTGGGTAAATCCATATGCCTTCGGTTGGACGGAATCAGAAACCTGCTGAAGTTGCTTGAAGTATTCCACACGAGCATTGAACACAGCATTAAAGCTTGTACTGAGCTCCTTACTAAGTAAACTCTGGCATGTCTTTTCGTTTTCAAGAATGCCTCGAATGGTCAGCAAAATCTCATGGAAAATAGGAAGATGCAGCTTAGCCTTCCGGCTATCTTCAATTTCAATCTCCAATACTCGTGCATCTTGCAAAATCTCTTCCAAAGACACAGTGCCATCAGGTCTGGCCTTAAGTCTTTTGTTGTTCAATTCTCTAAGGTACTTTCCATCGCTGACTTTGCGAGCTTCCATTTTAAACTCATGATCTTGTTCTTTAGTGAATTCTGTGATCTGTGTTTTGGTTTCGAATGTTGCAGCAGAACGGTCTTTTAATAATTGAGATGTCACAAGCATCAAGCAAGATGCTCTTTCCTGATACTGGACGGAGTTGTCGAATTCTTCTCCGTCTGGTGATTCCTCTGTACTAGTAAGTGGCACAAGTAAGATTTTGTGAAGTTCGGCCATATTCTCGTTGATCACATTCGCTTGCCTGTTGAACTGCTCCACTAAATTGGTGAATTGTACCACGAGCTGCTTCACTTTCTGATCCGCAATCAAGTCTGTGATACCTGACAAGTCAATAAGTGGTACGGACATAATAAGCTTCTTGGAAGATTTAGGGAAATTTGTCTTTCCGTCATTCACCCAATCATCTTCTTTCATTAAAGAACGTGCTGAAAGCCTTTTATTAGTGACAGAATCAGCCTCCTTGATAGAATGGCTAAGAATATCTTTACGACATTCCTCTGCAAGTGCATAGAGACTCAGCTCAAGATGTTTGTGCCTTTCTAATTTCATCTCTTCTGCGGTCCAGTCTTCTTGGGGCTTGAATGTGGATAATAAGTCAAAGCTTGGTTCAACTTTCATGACCTGATCTGTGTCCATCTCGTCTTGTACATGCCCACTTTGCTGAACTTTGACTTCCACATCTGCAATTTGCTCAGCGTGAACACGCATGTCAGAGATTTTCGTTTGGTATTCAGGATCGTACATCTGGAAATGTGCAGAAGCCATTAAGAAGAAACATTTATGTTGAAGCATTTTCCAGCCACGCAATCTTAATTTGTTCGACGCAACAGTTTCTTTTAGTTTTTCATAACGGGCTAAGAGAGCTTGCACATCTACATCTTCAACCAGTTCTAATTTGGGTTTCTTAGCCTGATCTTCTTCACCGTCCAGATCCTCTTCATCAGAGACATCATTCAAATCCTTTTTGGATAAGCTTCCAAGGGCAGATAACTTGCGCCGAATCATCTGGTACTCCTGGTGATCATTCTGGCATTTGGTAGATACTCGTTCAATCAATTTGGTAGTCTCTAAAAGCACTCTTTCCATTATTGTGAGCACTTTTTCGGGATAGAGTACATATTCCAAGAACAGGCCGATATCAACAAGCTTGTTGATAACGGTTTTCTCGCCGTCGTTGATATCAGACTTGACTGCATCAATCATATCATCAAGTACATTCTCTAATGTTTTGAGTTCGGGAATACCGTTGAGAAGAAACTTGCTCTTCGAGCGGCCCCGTGCTGTCTGGATGTGGTTAAGGTACCCAATTTGCATGTTTCCGCACAATTGCCGAAGCTTGACAAGCCATGTCCGCAAGTGAACGCAGGTAGAGCTGGAAAGTTTTAAAGGAGTTTTTTCTTTAATTGCGTCCGCACTAATTCCGCTTGATGCGACTGTGGATTCAAACATCTGGTCGTATCTGTCCTGCTCCACTTTGGTGAAAGGCATTGTGAGAAGAATACGATGTTGAGGGGGAAGTTTGATGTCATCGTACACCATTGCCTTTGTGTGACGCAAGGCTAGCGACAGCCATACGCGAACGAAATCAGCATTCGAATATTCCGGCTCCGTTAAGCGTTTCCAACAATGCTTGGAAATATCATAGTCAAAAGGCAGAAACCGCAAGAATTGAAGAACTGCCGGCAGCCGCACAGGCGTTCCCGATACACCCCACGAATGAAAACGAGGAATTAACGCGGCCGTTTTGAATGAACGAGAAGCTCCCAGGGCCACCATCTGCACTTCATCCAACACCACACGCCACCACTGGCAAAGCATCAATGGTGATTCGTAAAAGTGCGTGTGTGGGATGGATTTAATGTCCTCACGGCGCAAACGCACCGAAAGCTCATCCAACACGGCCCGTTCATAATTCTTGTGACTGAGGGTTTCTGCTCCAAGAGAAAACTCGGCTTTGAAGCTGTCAGCAGTTTCCGAGGCACTTTTTGGCTCTTCTGGAGCGCCTGCGCTCTCTGTATGATTCCGTTTCCGACCACCGCGAGTGGGGATGTGTCTCGACGAGTAGTTGGCGTAGTCCATTTCACGAGCCATGGTGACATAGTTCATGAGCACAATATCGAAGCGCAGCAAGAACTCAGCAATGTATCGTGGCACATTTCCAAGCTCCGGGTACTTGCCCAAGCCACGGTATATAGTTACCAGCATGGCAGGACATAAGGTTGTGATCTCGCTAAACCACTGGCGGAGGATGGCGTCTGGAGCCGCAATCACTGTTGTTTTCGCCATCTTCACCACCCTCACATCGCCCTCTTGTGCCAATTGCATGGAGATTTCCTTCCCCACGTCTTCTGCAGGGCGGGGATGAAGAAGGACCAAGCTCATGATTTCGACAGTTTTTCCTAAACCCATTTCCTCACACAAGAGCCCACGTCCTGGAAGTGGGGTCGATCCCTCGTCAATGTATTCCAAAAGAAATGCGTGTACTTGGGGCGTGGTTAAAATATTTCCCGTAAGCTCGTTGAGCCAACATTCGGTTCCCCGAAAATTCACGCGGCGCCAGCCATAGCAGAAGCGGGCTAACGCACGTGCCACATGGGTCGCCACTTGTTCTGCGTCCATAGAAGACGCTGTTTGACCCGACCGAAGCGCTTCTACAGCATCATTGGGCAAAAGCGGGAGAGAGCGAGTCTGCTTTGTTGCGGCATCGAACTCAGTGCCCTCTGAAGCCAAAAGCCAGGCGACACTCTTGCGCTGAAATGGAAGTAACTCCGTCCGCAAATGTGGGTGGCCCACAGCTTCCACAGGTGGCATGAGAGCCGTGTGGTCACTAATCACTTTGTAGAAAAGATGCGAGTCCACAGGCACCTGGGCAAAACGCTCCACAAAAGCGTCTTCGGCTTTCTGCTCTGCCAGTGCTGGAGGGTATGGTTCTACTTCAGGTTGAAGTACACGCACAAGGGCAGAAGACACGTCTGACGAGAAGTAGCGATAAAACAGTGGGGTAAGGGCAACAACATAGGCCAAGCGTGCGGTGACGGAGTTTTTAGCGGTGTCGAGTGTAAGCAGCCACTTCAAATGCGCCAAAGAGAAATGCTGTTTAGCCTTTTTCATGCGATGGGTGAAGAAGCGGATCTCGTCGAAAAAGAGGCTCCGACGCGGGTCCAGAACATGGATCGACATAAGAATACTGCTCTTGGCATGTCCGCGTGCACGGCTTACCACCAGCAAAAGCCCTTCCTCCACTCCCGCCTTGAGATCAAACAGGTCGGTGCAAAAGTCAAAAGTGTGTGGCGACAGCGCCACAAGAGAGCTGCCGACAAACTGGCGCAACGCCACGCGCCGAAGACGAACGGGACTCTTAGCCTCGAACTGAAGCACGCGTGAAATCACATTGATGGGACGGGTTTTGCCACCATCTTCATCTGAAGCGGACGCGATGGCATCTGGCGCTACAGATATGGGGTTGGAACGGGGATTGGACGCACGTGACGCTCCAGCGCCAGCGCCGCCAACGATGGCGTCCAAGTCAAAGTCAACGATTTCCCCCGACACTGGTGTGGGGTCTGGTAAGTTCATAGTTTTAGTCCTGATAAGAGTGCGATAAGTGTGAATAGAGCGACATTTATGTGCACATTTATGTGCGAAGCTATTGTGGCCACCTTAGCCCAAGATGCAGCCGCGCTTGTGTTTGTGTGCAGTTGGCAGATAAACATAGGGTGTGTACAGGAGCAGCGGCTCCAACTCTCGTTGGCGATAGTGGTGTGGGAACGCGGTGTGATTGGTCAATTTGCCGTTTTTTGGCTTTGTGACGTCAGGCCACGCACGTCGCCACTGCACTTTGATGCGCGCTATGCTTGCCCATGTGTGTATTTGTTTATGTTTCGCCAAATGGGGCCCAAATCGAAGCTGTCGCCGATAGCGCGAGGCCTGCAGGGAGAAGCGTCCATGTCGCTGCTTATTGGCGCACCACAAATTCATTGGGCGATAACATTCAAGTGGAATTGTGGAGGTTGGTGAGAAGTGTGTACGAGCAGAAATTGGACCGTCCCAAAACGGAAAGACGTGCCACGCGGAGCCGTCTGCCTCCAAATTTCTGCTCATTTAGGACATTGCCCGATCTGGTCTCAGTAAACAAGCATCATTGACGATTCCACAATGAGGCACATGTGGCTTCGATATGTCGGTGTTTTCGCATTTGCCTTTTTGTGAACGCGAGAGACAGTTTTTCCTAACTACAAGTGTTTCGCCATTATGTTGTTTTCACGTCTGTTTTTGTATTTACCACTATATGGTGATGCTGTCGCCACACCTTCATTTTAATTGATATTTCGATCAAAATTCATTTCATCTTGATTTCCTTTTAATTAAGGTTTCGTGTTTTGTACATTTCTCTCTATTCGTGTAAGTGAATCTCTATTTGGGTTGACCCGTTGTAGAGATTCGAAGTAATGTTTGTTTTCGTCGCGTTCGCATTTTTTTGCCATGTGTGATAAAGTCGTCGATAACTGCAAAGCCATACGTAAAACTGCATAAATGTTAAACCTTAATCCAATAGTACTTTATTTGTCTTCTCTGAACGCAAGATGCCGATGAAAACGCTCATTGATCTAATGATTTGAGCTTCGCATTACAATTTTTATGGAACAATTCGCTTTCCGCTTCCAGTTACTATTTTTGTCGAAATGTGCTTCATCTGTCAAAGTACTAAACTCGAATACACGTATCCTTGAGTCTTTTATTGAATTGTATCCCAAACTCACTTGGTTCGTATCCCTTGATGGCTTTTCGTAAACACCAAAGTTTTTCCGGTCGTTCTCACATGAGACATAAATCCCCTAGGAGAAAAACCAAAATTCATAAGCTATGGATAGATGGCCTTTTATGCTAAAGGTACGGGGTTTTGAGGCTTTACGACTATAATAATCCATCGGAAAACCCATCTTCGTTTCTAGATTTTCAATCTAGCCAATTCAAGATATAGGACTATATGAAGTGAATTGCGGAACTATAGACGTTGTTGATGATGTTGTATAACAAGTCTCGCATAGGCTGAATAGAAAGGTATCAAAGGACAAACCAAAACGCAGTAATTTTAAAAAAAGTTGTTCAGCTACCAGACGCCACTTCTACATAAATATACCTTGTGCATTAGACCAATCACGATCTCCCTACATAAAATAACGAGTTTGTAGTGAGAACTGGTAAGGTTTTTTACTGAGTTGATAACGTACGCTGTTTCCTAAAACCTAGATTTGTAGATATTGCTCATGAATTTACCCATGTAGATGTACATTCAAGAGTTTACAGGTAGGAGCCAAAGCGGTGATGGGACATGAATATTTTTCCTATCTAACCTATAGTTCTTACCCGAAGACCCAAATTGTTGACATTATGATATTATTTGCAGATATAAATCATTAAATCACGAATATGCAAACCGATTTTCCAGAACGGCGCTATAGAGGATATGAATTGTTGATAACGAACATGCATCATATAAGAGCTAGGACGATGCCCTCTTCGGCCAAATGCCAAAAAGAACACACAATCAAATACACCGTTGTGTTCCTCTTGTAAATGCTGTCTCCCAATACTTGCTCTTAAAAGTCAAGTGACGATACTCATTTGCGTCTGACAGCACTAACTCGGAACGGCGACAGTCTTCTTCCGGCGCCCGAGAATCAGGGCACCGCCCAAATTCAAAGAAAACGGCAGATTGATGTCTGCAACACTATCCTCCGCAACCGTCAGAATGCGTCTGTTTTTGAATGCACCTTCTTCTCCAGCACGATGCACAGCGGCGGAGATATCAAAAGCGTCACGGAGAGCCAGCGCGGTAGGCGAGTACATAGCCTCAGAGCGGGCGAAACGTGCTTGTGCGTGGAGTGGAACAGGAGGTCTGGGTTGCTCGAAGCCGGCAGCAGCCTTTTGCATCCATGGGTCCTCCAAAAGTTCGTTGATAGTATAACGTTGCTTGGGGTCGACGGTAAGAAGACGCGAAACACAGTATTTCGCCTCGTTGGAGATTTCGTCCCACCAAGGCGCCAAAAACGTATACTCGCCGCGAGCAACTTTTTCCGTCAAGGCTTCAATACGTTCGTCGTAAAATGGTGGGAACCCACATAAAAGCGTGTACAAAACACAGCCAATAGCCCACATGTCCACTTCTTTCGAGTAGCGCTCGTCACGAACAATTTCCGGAGCAGTGTAACCGACAGTGCCACAAGGTGTCTTTGTATTGCGCTCCCATATCTGCTTGGAAAGACCAAAGTCAGCCAATTTAACCATGCCGATAGTGCCTGCGCCCACGCCCGGAATGTACTCGCCCTCGTCCTTTTTCGTGTTTGGGTCATCCGACCGGCGGAGCTTTGCAATCGGATTGAGCAGGGGCCGGAACTCGATGGGCTCAAACAAGAGGTTTTCGGGCTTGATGTCACGGTGGACAATGCCAACTTCCTCGTGCAAGTACCGCACCGCCTGGGCAACCTGGTAAATCACATGGCGCGACAAGTTTTCGCTGAGATATGTGTAGTTGACAATGGCAGCGAAAATCTCGCCACCGCAAACCAACTCTTGCACAATGTAGTAGTAAGGCTCGCTCTCAATGAACTCGATGAAGCGCACAACGTTCGGATGGTTGAGCTGGCGCATGATGGTCACCTCCTTCAAAACCGCATGTTGCTGAGCCGTGTCCATCTGGTACTTGCGGAGAACTTTGATGGCCACCAGCTTGCCCGAAGCACGCTCGCGTGCTTTGTAAACCACAGAAAAGGCGCCCTCGCCCATTTTCTCCTCGACAACGTAGCGCTCCAAATTGGGGAAGCTGCCGCTCTTTTTGTGTTGTGGAATCTGCATGGCATTGTGGTTGTAGTTCTGGTCCTGATGGTGATCCTGCTTGTCGTTCAGGACTTGCGTCGGGGTCCCGACCTGGGTCTGGTGCTGTGCCGGTGTCTCGAAGTGTGCATCTTTGTGGGTGTGGTATTCCTCGTTGGCGCCCTTTTTCTGGATCCGTTCATCGACGGAGCTTCTGGGCGTCAACGTTGAAGGGCCCGAAGGCAAAGAAGAAGTCATGTCACTGGTGAAAGAAGTATGGGGCGAATGAGGTGAGGTTTCCTTTGCCTGGCGCCCGTGTTTAATAAAAGCTTTCAAGTTGGCGAACATTGTTCTTCTGCGATGGGCCGCAACTGGATTATTAAATGTTGCTACAGGGGTCGCGATGTCACGTGCACACGCCGCCCGTCTTTGATTTTGACTCACATTGTTCTTTTGCGCCCGCCGTGCACAGCCAGATGGAGAATGTTGCGGTAAATTTATCGCCAGCTCGACTTTGCCCCTGCCGACTTTCCTCTCCCTTGAACAAGCGTTCTGTTCTTGCCAGCGTCATGTCTCATTGCTGTGCGGGCGGAGCCGAAACGACCGTTGCCCTCGGAAACCCGCCCTTCACGTGACATGGCTAATGCATGTCTCAGTTATACACAGGCCGCTCATGCAAGTCCTACCCGTGTGGCGCCATACCTGCCCGATGTCTGTTTCCTGCTCCTTCTTTTCAGTGGACGCGCCATGATACGGTTGCGTGTCACCTGCAGATGCCCCCAGCCCGCGTTTCGAGCGATTTCTTTCCTTTTCCGTGCGTTGCCCGCCCCGCCTTGCTGCTATGTTGGATCTTGTTACGAGCAGACAGCACCTCCAAAATCGGCAATGCCATGTCCATACTGCCTCCTAATTTTGTTCGTTTTGTTTCTTTGCCAGCCCCCGATGCCAACGGAATTTCAGCTCCGGCGACTGTACGTAACTTCCGTATGCGCGAGGGCCTAAAGTAGCGTCTACAAGGTACTATCGGGACAATCGGACAATCAGTAGTCCAAATAAAATTTCTGACCGTCTTCGGCAATCTTCCCCAACATTAGTCTATCCGCCCGAAATGCTTGTATTAGGCCGTGTCTTGGCTATGTGGGTGATCTGATCTAAGGGTGTGTATGTAGGCATCTTTCATCGGGATTCATGGCTTCATCGTTCATAACATCAGCATTGCTTGACTAAGACAAGTTTGCTAGTCAAGTGAAACTCAGGTGCTTCTTGTTTCTTTTTCTTTTCGAAAAAGAAAAAAACCAGAGTCTAGGTACATTGTTTCACCGGTGCTTCTCCGGTTACATGAGGGTCCGCCCAAAATAACCGCAGTTGCCTCAGAAATTTCGAACGGATCACTTTTTACCCCACCATTGCCTAATACTTCCTACAGGAGTACAATGGTCTAACATTTTAGTAAAGTGGGAAAATTCAGGACCTTCTAAAGCTACTTGCGGGTAGTTGTTGTTCCGCAATGGAAAGAAACGATGAAGAATTTGCTAAATTGCCGTGCTCGAATCGTTTTCGTAATTCTTAAAGGCACCAATCACTATCGATCCGTTGGAAAAGAGTACTTTTCACACATCACCAATGTCATGAAATTTCGAAAATCTTGGAGGCAGCCGCTGCATCGATAAATCTTCCGAGAGCCAAGAATCTCAGATTTCTCGTCGTCGTAGTCTATCCTGTTTGCTTGTGTAAGTGGGAAAACCGACCGAAGATTCCTCCTAATGCAGGTACCTAGTAGATCGCTCAATGTAACGTAATGTAGACCTTCGACTCCCATTCAACCCTATTGAAAATATCCATCCGGAATCCTTTGCATGATTCCGGTTTAGCAATAGACCTTGGTTTTGGTAATTTAAATGTTTACCCGTATCTGGTTTCTCATGAAATCATCAATAGAATGCCCCAACGAAGTCCTTTACGTGTGGGATTATCGGTAGTTAGTTTATTTTTTCTCGAAATTTTTAAGCCACGAATTCTCGATCTAAAATTCAGTGGCAAGAACCAATGTACACATCAGAGAGTTGTGCCTTCAAATCAAAAGAATTATGATGTTTCCGTGGTATTAGGTGTTCACTTCTAAGCTTCATCAGTCCCTGAAATTTCAAAATCCATCACATCCAGCTTAGCAAAGATACACAGCCTCCTTTGGTTCTGCTGTCATACTGCCGGCACTTGGAGCCTTCCCAACTCAAATAATTACAAGCAATATCTTACTACGACGTTATATGAATTTACATAGGCAGCTATCATGTGATTGGCTCCCTCTGGCAATGGAGTTCAATGTACTGAGACAACTAGATTACCTGGTTACGCGTGACATGGACAAAGTCTGATTAACTGGTTCAGACAATAAACTTGCTACTAGGGCTGTACTGGACCTGAGACATTGAAAACGACTGTTTGAGCCCCACAATTTGTTCCCATTCTTAAAACTCACAAAGAAAATAAGACGATTGACTGAAATCAGGAAACAATGAGAAGTTGCTTTTAAGCGGAGGCGCCCAAGTTCTTAAATACAACTTTCGATTTGAGTTTGGTAGAAGGAAGGTCCAATATCATGCAACAAGTGGCTTGTCTGTGCTTCGTGTGTACAAGCGTCTCATACCCATTAATGACAAAGAATGACGGAATTAATGCCATTTTGAGCAAAGGTTTTCAGTTACAGTTGTAAGTTAGTATAAGGCTTCTAACAATTTCTTAATTGTTAGGCAGTACTGTTCGTCAAAATTGTTAGTCAGTATCGTTCGTCAGAATTGTTAGTCAGTACCGTAAGTCAGATTTGTTAGTCAGTATCGTAAGTCAGAATCGTGAACACCAGTGACTATCAGAGTCGACAAACAGACATGGAAATTGATGACCTTGTTGGCTTTTGCCCTATACTTTTTCAATAAAGCTTAATGAAGTAGCTGCTATGATTTCCATGCTCCACAATTTAACATCAGGTTGATTCTTATCAGTCAACCAGTGGATTTCCCTTCAGGATGAAAAAGCAATTTTCAGACGCAAGGAAGATCATACGAACCCGGCCGCCTTTCCCATAATTCAGATTGCATTTCTCCGAAATATACAATAAGCTTACAAACAAGCAACAAAAAATCTTGGACAAGCCATTATCACCAGAGTGCATACGTCATCATACAAACATTCGCATGTGCGCAATCGCTTACGATCCAACAACTTCCTTCTTCATGTCTGTGCCAGCTATTGTTTTCACCGATTGGGACGGAACCGTGACTCTCCAAGACTCCAATGACTATCTCACTGAAAACTTGGGCTTTGGTCGTCCTCGCCGCTTACAAATCAACGACGAGATTTTGAACGAAACAAAATCGTTTAAAGACGGCTTTAGCGAGATGTTGGCGTCCATTCCAACACCCTTCCCCGAATGTATCACCTACTTGTTGCAACACATCGAGCTTGACCCGGGATTCAAGGATTTCTACTTGTGGTGCGAGGAAAAGGGTATACCTGTGGTTGTTGTTAGTAGCGGAATGAAGCCAATCATTTACGCATTGCTTGAGAAATTGGTGGGCCCAAGAGCGGCCCAGAAGATCGAAATTATGTCCAACTCGGTCTCTGTCGACGCCGAAACAGGCCGCTGGAAGATTGTGTACAAACATCCTGACACAGGCTTCGGTCACGATAAAAGTCTTTCTATCCGGGACTACTTGGTGGAGCACGGTTATACAGGCGACAAGAAACCACATCTTTTCTACTGTGGTGATGGCGTAAGCGATTTGTCTGCGGCAAAAGAGACAAACTTACTTTTCGCCAAGCACGGGAAGGACTTAATCACCTATTGCCGCCGGGAAAACATTCCGTACACGGAATTCAACGACTTCCGTGATATCTTTGCCAAAATCAAGGCAGTAGTAAACGGCGAGAAAGACTACCACGACTACATTGAGAACTAGACAGAATCGCTAGTTTGAATTGAGTTCAAGCTAGAAGCAAACTAGATTTGTTTGAATATGTTACATTCAATTGTTTTGTGACCTCTTTTGTAGAATAAGGTAAGCCAACACTTCAATGACTGGCACCATGAAAGTCCAAAGGATATACGACACGTTTAAGTACAATTGGAAAACCAAGTATTGCCAAAGGTGGAATAAAATTGACTAATTGTTTCCTCCTATTGCATATTATGCAGCAGCTTGGAAACGTGGACGTAAATGGATCGAGCGATGGTCATTCAAGAACGTGTTAATATTTTTTTGTTCTCTTCACAACATCTTTCATGAAAAGCACAAAAAAATTTTCTCCAATGCGGAATACGTGTTAAAATTCAGTAGCTATTCATCTCCAATGAGGCGATAGTACTATATCCGGAAAATTTTGATCTCATCTCCGGCCAGTATTTCTCCGAGATGTGCTGAGCCCGTAAGTAGACTTGTATAACCAGTTGAGGACAAATAAATCCACTTGCAACTTTACCCGGGAAAACCTTCTCTACCTTGAATATTTTACATTATTTTCTCGCAATAATTTTTGACGTATTCGTAAAGATCAGATGGGCTGCTTCATGTAAGTAGGACATGTATGTATCCATATTTTCATAGTACATGCTCTAGATCCATGGGCTCATGGCAAATATTGGGGAAGCCTTGTGCTTAAACGTTCCAAGGTTAGTTTTGACATGTTTGAATTGCTCTATAGTTGCTCCATTTGCTTCAATGTAATGCTGTTGCAATGTTGTTTCCCATTTTGTTGCCTATGTTGTATGTTTTTTTCAATATTCTCTTCAATAAGCACAACAATGCCAACAGGACGTATTTTGAATCTGGAATCTTGAATGTACAATTAAGCTTTATCTCACCATTTTGCATTACGGATTAGTTCATGCGTGAACAAGGTAATACGAGATATTCATGGTTTTAATTTTCAAGCAGTGGCTCTCTGCAATTGTACAAATTTTCTCCTGCTACATGGGCTATGAGTAACAGTTTTGAAATCGCCTCCTAGGTACAATTCCAGAGAATCAAAGATGAGGAGAAGAGTCCGTGTGCGGCGTTTTGGAGTTCCTTCATGCGTGATATTTACACTATACCATTTTTGAAAAGGGCGTTCTTGTGGATATTATTTGGAATGAAGGAAATGTGCACTACTAATGCTGTAAGATAATCCTCTTCCGATTGCAGCTTCAGACGCAGGTAACTCTTTGCGTTGCTGGGAGCATTGTGGTTCAGAAAATAAAGTTCGGGAAGTTTTACATTCGAAGATCCATCAATTACTCGGCAACAGTTTTCGACTCGCTTATTCTAGTCTTGTCACATTTTAGGAGTGGACATATAATATAATTTATGAGTCTTTCGATTGCATACGGTTCCATTTTTTTAATTTTTTTTTTTTTTTTTTTCTCTATCTATTTTTTGGCTTCGCAATTACTAAGCATGACAACTGCCAAATAACACTTGAAGCCTCTTCGACGGCCCCGAAAAAGAATTGAAAAAGACTGTTTCTATGCGTATTCGTACCCCTTGTGATCTAAATCTAAACGAAAAAGTCTGGCATTCGTTTGGCTCCTATATTCCTATTTATAGCCCGTCGATGGAGCATATTTTTCTGGGACCCAAAATGCGAAAAACTTGAAGCAACTCCGAAAAATATGCGGGCAGCGCTCGCGTATGCAGATTGCAAACGCAATTCGCTTGGCGTACCCATGCACAAAGATAAAGCGGAAACAGTATGGTGCTGGTACTTCCCCTGAAGGTAAAGCCGGGTAAAGCCTGAATGGTGTAAAAGACGCGTAGCGCATAAGTAACAAGTACTACGGAACATGCAGTAATCTGTCTACGGCTCCATTTCTTTTAGTAAAAGCCGACCACAACAGCAGACGCCGAAAAAAAGTGATGCGCCGCTAAAAGTTGCCCCGCAGGTCAGGAACAAAGTTAGAATTAGACACGCTCGCTTGCACGGCTTCAGTAGTTAATTATGGAAGATGCAACCAACTTTGTAATAAAACCAATTTCGTTCTTTTAAGCACAATTATCAAGGTAGAAGTATAGTGGCCATGCACGCCTTATCTTAACGGGACAATAGCATGTATCTACAGTCAGAAGATAAAGTATTTTTCCAAGGTTGTGGATTAAATGCAGGTACATGGCGATAAATCGTACGAGATCGATATGCATGCAATCATTGCAGGTTGCAGAAGTGAGAGATCAGTAGCCCTGTCTTGAAAAATTCGTACACCGAAAAGACAAAAGGGGAAAATCCAATGATCTTTCGCCGTCAATTTCAGGCCAAGCGTCTCCGCCCACTTCCATCATGGTGTCTAATGGATTTCTCCTTTGGCCGCGAGAATTTTTTTTGCAGCGTGTGTATTAAGCGCTGGTGCCGCCGTAGAGAATCCCGCCGGTAAAATGCCCGCAAGCATTCGCTGTCTGGGCACACGTATACGAAGGCGAGAAAATTCATGGTCATGTCGTCCACGTCACGCTTACCTTGGGCGTTGCGCTCGTTGTTGTACTCTTTAAGGTGGTCATTACAAATGTGGCGTCGTAAAAGCCAGCGGAATTTGAATGTCTGAGACGCATATGCACAAGTAGGGTCGGGACAGCGATTGTCTTGCGAAGCCTTATCTTTACTCAACCCGGGGCTTGTATCGCTCAGCGGCAGAAACGCTGATGCATCGTGCGGTGTGCACATGTCGCCTGAAAGCATATTGCCCCACGCGTCTGCGGTTGGCGTCGTAGCCAATGTGCCCTCGGGTGTTCGTTTCGAGAGGCTGCTGTCCGAAACGGCAACTCCCGAGCGGAACATGTGCGATGCTGGTGAGTTGCTGGGAGCCGAATGAACAGAGTACAGCTTGGAATTGTAGAAATGCTCCAGGTCCTGCGAATGCGTGCGACGCATATTCGCCGTACTTTTGTTCAGAAGAGGAAAGCTTCCCGAGCTATGCAAAGGTGGACCAAAGTTTGGGCTGTCTAAGCTCTTGCGGTAGCCGCTGCTCTGCCTGCTGCGACTTGCCTCCGCCAAAGACGTATTACGCAGAGTAGAATTCAGCGGGATGGATTCCGACACACTGCTCATATCGAGGCTGTGTGTGTCGAAACTGTTGCGGCCACAGGTGAAAGTGCTCGGGCTGTCAAGATACCCCATCAACAAGTTGGTTGTGGGGAAGTCGCCCAGCTGCAAAAACAACGACGTTCCTGGGGCGCTTACAGCGTGGGCCTCAGCCAGGGCAAGTTGCTGGCTCATGTTGGCGATGGCGACACGGTCGCTGTCGGAAAGTTCCGGAGCCGGAGACGTCGGCGGCAGCGCCATCAAAAAGTTGTTTGCAAAAGAATACAAATTCATATTCTCCTCTGCTGCAGCCGCCAGGAGATTTGGATTTGTGTCCAAACTCGGCGAGGAGAAAAAGAGCGCCGGCGCTTGAACAGGATTTGTGGGTTTCATCCACAGCAGTGGGTCGCCGAAGTATGCGTTGAAACTGCAAGCATCGGCTCCCGTGAAATCCTGTTGCTTCGGGCTCACGTCATGTTGGTTCATGGCACTTGAGGACAAGGAGAAACTAACCGCCACGAAATGTCAATGAACAGAAAAAAGTCCGCTTGGTTCGTTCTCGATGGACTTTTGTATTCTGCTAGACGTCACAAAGATCTCTCTAGGATAAAACCGCCAGCGGTAAATGATGCAACAGTAGGATTGGATAAGGACCTTCAGATAGCGGGGATGGGGAAGAAGAAAAGAATCCAACCACTGAGGTAGGCCTTAGCACTTCAAAAATGCAATGAGTAATGGCTCTGGCGAAGAGGTTTCCACGATTCCCTGGTGAAAAGGGCGAACAGCCAGGAGTTCGAAAAAAAAGGAGACGGGAAAGGAAAGAAAGAAAGCGTTCTCTGTGAAAGCAAAGGAGAAAAGAATGCCGGGTTTTAAATCGAAGACATGCACAAGCGGGTTCTTAATATTATCGAATCCGAAACCCTGCAGAAGCATCTTTCTAAATATGGGGGTTCCTACCTATGCTTCTTCTCGAGAATGCAGGCGGCGTAATCTGATGTAGCACATCCTGCAGCCGGGATACGCATCGCGGCAATCCTCCCCTCGAACCGTTGTTCTGCCTGTTCATTGGCTCTCGAAAGCTTTGGCTAATCGCAGCCACAAAAGAGGCTCGCTGCGAGACCTACAGTTGAATCATGGTGGCCAAAAGTCTCCGCCGCCAACTGCAGTTGAATTGCATTGGATGTCGCACGGAGAGAAATCACCAAACTTCGCTGCACATGCACGATACGGCGTTGAGTAATTAGCAATGGTGTTACTTTTTTTCTGTGGCTCTGGTGGGCTAAAGTTGGCGGTTGAAGAAAATGGCAAAGAAAAAACATCGCCTGCTACTTTACCCGTGGTACCTGGGCGGCAGAAAGAGCTACATCCAGGTGCCGCTGCAACCGTCACAAACTGCCTATGCAAAACGCCTTGCGTCATGCATAATGCGAGATTGACCTCTTTCCAGGAATCGCCATTGACTAATCCCCGTAGGCACTTTGCTAGGATGACATACGAGACAGGAGTGCCTAGTTTCAGCGGCTTCAATTCTGCATATAGAGGCCGTATCTTACTAGATCCTGTGCTTTACGCCCTTGTGCGTAGAAATGTATCCCGTTTAGGTAACGCGAACATAACCGCAGCTACTTTAGCCGTGATGATGCATCTGTGCTTGGATAATCGATGCTGCAGGAAACAAGAATGGCAAGTTTTACCCGCAATCATGTACTGCAGTATCCCATACGTCGCTACCTGCTCCTACATTTACCTCCTCTCTAAACACCGAGACATACAGGTGATGCATAAGCCGTTCTCAATTAGCGACTCATGAGTCACATGAAACGACTACATTTGTGCGACTTATTCGTAACCAGCCCAAAACCTATCTCTTGGCAGCGCTCGTAGCATCGTCACATATTCTTGATGAGCTTGATTCATTTTGGATGCTCAACACCCGTCTTTCAATACCACAGGCCGAGGTAACTTTAAATCAAACTGAGTAATAAAAAAAACAAAAGCAAAAAAATAAGAAACGAAAAAAAAAAAAAAATATTGCCTAATGTCGAGTAGATGATCGACTTGTCCGGTATCGGGAAGTTTCTAGAACCGACGTGCCCCGAATGTTGTGCTAAGACTTTTTCTGTATCTAAGGGTCTAGTTCTTCGTTTTTTGGAATCTACGAATTTTATTTAGCCCGCAATGTAAGCGCATTGGCATGGAAGCTTCTTTTCCTGACGAGAGAAAAATTGGGAAGGTGAAATTTAACTGAGAAGTGCGTGAATGAAGACATTGGGACAATAACGAAAATGAAGGCATAGGAACAGTAGAGAAGTATAACAGATATATGTGGGACAAGAGCGAGAACGAAACAAGTTTGAACACGAATTTAGGACCAGTGGAGAACTATGACAGATTGGTGACAAGAGCGAGAACAGACAAGTTTCGTCAACACGGAAATACAGGACGAGATAAGAGGAGTGAGACATGCCGAGTTTGGCCTGATGGGGTAAGTGGCGACACACGGGGCCGAAAACAGAAATCAGCGCATACATAGGAGGACATATCGGAGCTCCGCGAGACAAAGCGCAAAAGAAACGATTGTCCGCATGAAAAAGAAAAGAGACAAACAGAACCAAAGAGGCAAACAAAACCACCCCATTTCGGCGGTGCTTTTTTTTTTAGGGGAAGGAAATGGAAAACAGCCAATGTCGCCAAAGTTCCATTAGTCCACACACGTCAAAAGCGAGCCCGGGCGTTTTCGACACGGCGCGATTCGCTCTCGTGCATGTACCCGATAAGTGCCGGGCCATATGTAGGAGCCTGCAGATATTCCAATAATAGCCACGATGTCTCCACGATATTTTCAGACTCGTTTCTTTAGCGCCGATCAACGTTTAATAGGGGAAAAAAGAACACGTTCGAATTGCCATTGCAAAAATAGCTTAATAGTTTTCTCCCCAACCTTAAGTAGCTCGTTTGCCGTTCTGGACTCATCTTGCCGCCTCAATTGCAACAGCACATCGATCGAAACATGAAGGTTGAATTTGCATCGGAAAAGTCTCCTTTCGAGGTTTTTCAAGGCGAAGCCACCAGCGGACTTCACCATCAAAACCACGAATCCCGCCGCCGCCAAGACAGCTTCGAGACCCAGAGTTTGCGCAGCCAAGAGGTTGAAACGCGTGCTAGCGACGAAAGTGCTCGCACACAAGACAGTCATGGAAACCCACCCCACGCCAAAGAGGCGACGTTTTCCCGCCGTAGACTCAAGGCGGTTGCAAAAAAGTACGCGCGCTTCATTGGGCCCGGAATCATGATTTCTGTCGCGTACATGGACCCAGGTAACTATGCCACCGGTGTCACTGCCGGTGCGTCCAACCGCTTCTCGTTATTGTTCATCACGCTCCTTTCGAGTGTCATGGCGGTGTTTTTGCAGAGCTTGTGTATCAAGTTGGGTACGGTCACAGGATACGACTTGGCCCGTTGCTGCCGTGAGCATCTTCCCCGCAAGCTTAACTATGTGTTGTGGTTCCTTGCTGAGTGTGCTATCATCGCCACAGATGTCGCCGAGGTCATTGGTACTGCTGTGGCACTTAACATTTTGCTTCATATCCCTCTTCCTGCCGGTGTGGCCATCACAATTGTCGATGTCCTTGTTGTTTTGGCCGCCTATCGCTCCGACACTCCGCTGGCCCATTTCGTGCGCTACTTTGAATATGCTGTGGCCACTTTTGTGCTCGGCGTGGTGGTGTGTTTTGCCGTGGAAATGGCTTACTTGCCTAGCTCCGTCTCTGCTGGCTCCGTCTTGCGTGGTTACGTCCCTAGCAAGCAGATGTTTGAGGGCTCCGGTCTTACTATCGCAACGTCCATCATTGGTGCCACAGTCATGATTCACTCGCTCTTTTTGGGTTCTGGTCTCGTCCAGCCCCGTTTGCGTGAGTACGACTACACCCACGGCCACATGGATCTTCCCGAAGAAACTGGCGAGAAGGAGAAACAAGACGCCGTGCTGGAGTACATTTACTCCGAGTACAAGCCATCTTATTATGCCATGCAGTACTGCCTCAAGTACTCTGTCATTGAGTTGGTTGTAACGTTGCTCACAGCAGCCCTTTTCGTTAACTCGGCCATTCTTGTGTTGGCAGGCGCTACCTTATACGGCACGCCAGACGCTGTCGACGCGGATCTTTACTCGATTCACCATCTTTTGCTGACCACATTGGCTCCAGCTGTGGGAACGATTTTCATGTTGGCGTTGCTTTTCAGTGGCCAGAGTGCTGGTATCGTGTGCACTATTGCCGGACAAATGATCAGTGAGGGCCACTTGAAGTGGACTGTTCGCCCTTGGATCCGCCGGTTGGCTACACGTGGTATTGCCATTGTTCCTTGTTTGATCATTTCCATTTGTATTGGCAAGGACGCCTTGAACTCGGCTCTTAACGTGTCCCAGGTTGTGATCTCGATTCTTTTGCCTCCGCTCACGGCGCCACTCATTTACTTCACTTGCAGCAAGAAGATTATGCGAGTCCAAAAACCATCTGAGCTCTGGGCCGGCGAAGAGCCTGAATACTGGCAGATGCAAAACTCATGGTTGACCACAGCTATTGCTGTAGTTGTTTGGCTTTTCATTTCAGTCTTGAACGTGTATGCTATCGTGCAGATGGCTCAACTGGGTATTCAAGGATAATTTTTGGGTATATTCAGATTCAACTGTGGCAGGTCCGTTCACTCATAGGGTTTTCCCAGTAATTTTTAGTAATAAATAACAAAATCAAACCAAGCTGGCGTAGTCAAGCCTGTTCATCTTACAGACTTGAATGTTTTAATTGTCTTAGTGTACGTATGTACGCCTCTTGTATGTTGAAAATAGGAGGAATCATTTGTTCTTGATTGATCGAAAGTATCTCATTTATCATGAAAATGCCACTGGAAAATAGTAGTTGAGTGCAACTTATTTCTTCCCCTGATCAATAAGAAACAAGTAGATGTGACGAGATGTATCCATTGTCTCTTAGCATGGATGAGTCTGAAAGATCTTTAGACTTCACCTTAGCAGTTTTGGTTTGACACTTTTTGTTTCGTTCACTCGCATGCGAATACCAATAATAAATACCTGATCATGTCATCCATGACATATCCCCCACTGCTACGTAATCAAGCTTTCAAACAGATTTACATGCCCCAAAAAATTGGAAGTAGCTCATTCGTACTCTACGATGCAATAGTTGCAACGAAAACGATACATAAGCACCTAAGACTATGGTTTTTCCGCTGTTTCTCCGCAGTTCGCATTTTCGCCCAAAAGTGCCATTTCTCACGTAACGAAAGCCGAATACAACCTTGTGCAAAAAAGACCAATGTTGGTGTTCTAAGAAAGGAAAGCGACAGGTATAGCGACGGGTAGAACAGGCGAAAAAACAGAGACAAGAACCCAATCGCCTTGTAGATAGATGTTCCTGCACCCGTGCCTCCCAAAGCCTCCTTCACTGGCATGTCGGCTTTTTCTATTGATTGCCTCACCATCTTATCGAGACCCGTGCCTCCCGCATCTCGCCCACCCCAGGCGGCATTCAAGGACTTAGATACTCTATCTCCACCATTGCTTTCCCCCGCCGCGTCGTTTTTTCCCCGTCTTTCGACCGCTCTTGTCGTTTCTCCTCGTTTCCTTTTGTCTTCCTTGTAAAGCGCCCGCGGCCCCTTGGTGTCTGGAGTTTCCCCGCCTTTTATGCCGACCTCCAGCATCCTCAGAAAGCTCCACCTTACTAGACCGAACCACACTTCGGAAATCACAATCAACTCTTTGGATAACGTCCATTCGATGGAGTACCAGCCGGCCGTTCAGAACCAGGGCCAAGCCACCCAATTGGGCCAGACTGGCGTGCCCCAAGCCCACATGGGCCAGCCACAGGTGGCGCATGGCCAATTGAACCCAGGCCAGATGGGTCAGCCGCAATTGAGCCAGGGCCAGCTGCAATTGAGCCTGGGCCAGCTGCAATTGAGTCTGGGCCAAGCAAACGCAGGCCAGGTTTTGCAGCACCGCCAACAGGAGGCGGTGCAATCCAGCCTCTTGCCACAAAAGTCCACCGTCTCCAAAGGCAAGTACCTGCTTGCAGACTTCACCATCATGCGCACGTTGGGCACAGGGTCGTTTGGCCGTGTCCACTTGGTTCGCTCCGTTCACAACGGACGCTACTACGCCATTAAGGTTTTGAAGAAACAGCAGGTGGTGAAGATGAAACAAGTGGAACACACCAACGACGAGCGGCGCATGTTGAAGTTGGTGGAGCACCCCTTCTTGATCAGAATGTGGGGCACGTTCCAGGACCAGAAAAACTTGTTTATGGTGATGGACTACATTGAAGGTGGCGAGTTGTTCTCGTTGTTGAGAAAGTCCCAGCGCTTTCCCAACCCAGTGGCCAAGTTCTACGCGGCTGAAGTGGTTTTGGCCTTGGAATACCTCCACTCGCACGATATCATCTACCGAGACTTGAAACCCGAAAACATTTTGTTGGACCGCAGTGGCCACATCAAAATCACAGATTTTGGTTTCGCCAAAGAAGTCAACACCGTGACTTGGACCTTGTGTGGTACGCCAGACTACATTGCCCCAGAAGTTATCACTTCCAAGCCTTACAATAAGTCTGTCGACTGGTGGTCTTTGGGTGTTTTGATTTACGAAATGCTTGCCGGATACACCCCATTCTACGACTCGACTCCCATGAAAATCTACGAGAAGATCTTGTCGGGCAAAATCCACTTCCCGAGCTTGATGCACCCTGACGTGGTGGATTTATTGTCGCGCTTAATCACTGCAGACTTGTCTTCTCGTTTGGGAAACTTGTTGAACGGTCCGGCCGATATCCGTAACCACCCTTGGTTTTCTGAGGTGGTGTGGGAGAAATTGTTGGCCAAGGACATTGAAACTCCGTACGAGCCACCAATTGCTGCAGGCGTCGGCGATTCCTCTTTGTTCGACCATTACCCAGAAGAGCAGCTGGACTACGGCTCTGTGGGCGAAGATCCTTATGCGGAGTACTTCACGGAGTTCTGATGTGGATAGTTTCTTTAGAAACAATTCGATAAGATTTGATTACATGGAACTTGGTTGAGGCGCGTTGTGGACATGGAAAGGTAAAACGGCGTGGAATTTCCCGTCTGCACTGTAACCCACGGACCCGCTAGATTTGCTTTGATTGTTCATTGATTCTGGTCTCGACTGGTTCCTCGGCTGATACTCGCCATAATTTTTCCGCCTTGATTGTTCGGGTCTTGTCTAAATACTATCTTCGTCTCACTTCTCACTTCTGCTATCTACATTCTCTCGCACAACTTCCTTTATTGTGCTATGACATTCTATAGTACATTGACGTGGCTATGCACGGAACACTTTTTTGCACTCTAAGCACACGTAAAACAAAATCATCGATGTATCCTTTCTCTTCTGTTGCGACTGGAAGAAAACACAGTCGTGGTTCCCACAATGTGGGCAGATCTTGTTGGATCTGGGTAACGTTGGGTCCGACCCAATATCTTGCACAACTCCAGCGGTCTCTCCAATATTCGTTATAAGTTCATGTCGGTATACCTTGGGGTTTTCGGCTAGCTCTGTGTAGTCGCAGTTTCGACACGAGTAGAGAAGCCGTGCATTATCCTTGTCCTCTCTCGGATACAACATATTGTTGCATTCGGCGCAGAAACGGAAAGACGCCATTCTCGAGAGAGAAACTCAGTTGTCGCTCTCGAATATGGTGAAGTGTTGTGCTGCGCACGACCAACTTGAAGAGTGCTGGGAACACGAAAACCAAGAAAAGGAGCAGACGGTCTATTATCAGAGACACTAAGTCTTTGTATTTACTAGATTCTACTGCTCTGACTAGGGAACATGCCTTGTTGAAGGGCAGTTGTTGAATGGTATTGGTCACGTGATAAATGGCCAAAGTCGTGAACAAGTCGTCTTACATTGGGACAGGCTACCATATGTTAGAGTCTTTACATCTCCTAGGAAAACGGATATGCTACTCTGCTTTCTTCTTGGAGAGCAAAAATTTCTTCATCTGTACAAAAGTAATTCATCATTGGTAGGTATATGAAGAGGCCCACACACGCAAATCCGCCACACTTTTCAAAGAAGTTAACTTTTGAAAAACATAATCTTTGTATCAACCTCTTCGCCCCTGTATCCTCTACTTCTCTCCTCATTAATAAATCCATGTTCATGGGCCTGCTATAAATGGGGGAGCGGCACCCGTACATCCCACACACGCTCGCCCTAAGCCAAAAAAAAATTTTCGACTCGACTTCATATCTATCCTTCCACACCGATGTTGCGCCAATCCGTCAGACCAGTCGCCAGAGCTCTCGCCAGACAAAACTTGCGGGCGTGCGTGCGCTTCAACGCTGTCGCCGCCGAGAAAGCTCCAGTGGATCCTAAGATCTCGCAAATTGTTGACCAAATCTCCACATTGACCTTGTTGGAGACCTCTGCATTGATTACCGAGTTGAAAACCAGATTGAACATCTCTGACATTGCACTTCCTGCCGCCGGTGCTGGACCTGCTGCTCCTGCTGCTCCAGTGGAGGAAGAGGTGCAAGAAGTTGTTGAGGAAAAGACGATTTTCTCCATCAAGTTGGAATCCTTTGACGCCAAGGCCAAGCCTAAGATCATCAAGGAGGTCAAGAGCTTGTTGGGTTTGTCTTTGGTGGAGTCCAAGAAGTTCGTGGAGGCTGCGCCTAAGGTGTTGAAAGAAAACGTCGCCAAGGAAGACGCAGACAAGATCAAGGCCACTTTGGAAGGCTTGGGAGCCAAGGTTTCCTTGGAGTAAGGTGTCTGGAGCACTGTCATACATAGTCCTGTACATATACGTTCGTCGCTGGCCAGGTTGGTAGAAAATGCGGTAGAGTTGCCAAGATCAGATTGGTTAAGATGATGGAGGTGATATCAGCCCCGAAATTGTAATTAGATGGGCTCTTGGTGACAATTGTGGAGTGTACTCGCTCAACAAAGGCTGGAATAACGACTTGTTAAACACTGCTCCATGCAAATGCTTATATTTTTAATGTTGAATAAATCGACGACAGGCTACACGGAGCTCATGATAGAATACAGAATTGGTTGAAATGATCTTTTTAATTAGAAAAAAATTGAAGCTGCTACTATACGAGGTTATTATGGAAACTAGACTTGTTTATTCGCAACGGTCTTTATTCGTGTATCATTTAGTCTGTTGTCGGAAAATTACTTCTGGCTTTGTTTATATTCTGTCTCTTTTTTCTTTGCCAATATTCTCCGTCATCTTTTTTGTCCCATAGTTTGTGTTTTTCTTACCATCCTCTCTTTGCTTGATTTCTCTGCATCGGAACCGTCTTGCCTAATCTGGGTGCGAAATGCTCCACTTTCTAAATTCAAAGCAGGACAAGCCCAGATCTCAAACATACCCATATCTTATCCGGAAAGCACATATCTACAGCTTACTCTCCATAATTTTGAATCTTATTTTACTGAAAATCTGTCTGTTAAGCGGAGATAGCGGCGTGTCGTGAGTTTACACGAAGAAGAGAAGATAGACGAGAAGAGACTGATAAGCGGCTAGAAAAGTCAGCTACACGAAAAAGTCTTCAGAAAGAAGGGGATCACAAGCAAAAGTACACAAACGCAGACATATCTGACCTAATCTACATCCAATACTAGCACTTATGCTACAGAAGAAGAGCGCCAACATCCAACCGCAAAAGAGCATGTTTCGTGCCACAGTCGATGTCTCAGCAACTTTTTCCCACAAGAGCGATATCAAGCCGTGGCTCCAGAGCCAAGTGGCGGCGTTCCAGTTTGCCGTGGCCATAGAAAGAAGCGATCACGTCAAGATAGTATTCCGATGCAAATCCGGCTCGGCGCTGTGTCCTTTCCGCTTGCGGGCCAACTATTCTGTACGTTCCGGGCGCTGGTCGCTCGTTCTGATGTGTGATCTCCATGATCACCGTGTTGGAGGACCGGAGGTCGAAGACCCGAGGAAAAGTGGCACAAAGTGGGAGCAGAAAAGAAAGGGCGTGAAAGAGCACGGGCGACGGAATCAGAAAGAACAACGCCGGCTGGGACACCCGAAGAAGTTTGCCGAGGCATCTTTTGTCTCCGAACGTCCTGACCGAGGCTACTCTGAAAGCGCTTACGAGAAAACATACGGCGCAGAGAGAATTTATGACCGTCTGGCTGACCGGAATCTAGAACGGCACCTGGATGACCGAAGTCTGTCTGACCGACATCTTTTGTCTGGAAACCTTCTAGCGGACAGAAACCTTCTATCAGACCGGAACAGTCTAGGAAACTTATCCGAACGGAGCGTACTTACGGAAAAAAACTTTCTTTCGGAAAAGAATCTACTATCGGAGAGAAGTCTTCTACCGGAGCGCAACCCCACAGAACGGGGCGTTTCTGATAGACAAGACACCATCAGGCCTGATTTGGATCCGTCAGTCGATTCTGTTGTTCGACGCACTGTGTCTCAGTTCACACAGCTTGTCCAGCGGCACATTTGGCAAAACCAAGCACTTCCGCCCGACCAAAAAGAAGCTGCTGTGGCACGTGTTGTGGCAGAACTTGTGGATGAGTATTTAGGCGATACTAGAGCTCCTGCTGCAACACACACAATGCCATTATCGCCACTTTTGAACGAAGATGCGTCTGCGCCGCAACTTCCAGGCTTGGATGGACCGAGCCGGGGATCTGGACCATTGCCACCTTTTACGCAACTACAAAAGAGACTTCCACTTCTGCCGGCACCAGACGGGAAAACACTCAACCCTGTGCAATTGATGAAAACTGCAGACTTGCGAGAGTTTAAGGTGGACAATCTTGGCTCTGTTCTGTTCGCTCTGCCTCAGGACCGGGCAGATCTTGTAGGGTTGGCCAATCTATCATACTCGTGGGCTTCTGACTGAGGTAATAACATTAATGGGAAAATATCGAGCGTATGCACAATGAGATTCTGGAAATCAATGAACACGAAAATGCAAGACGGTAGGGAATTGCAATAATAATGATAAAAAGCCTTGTGTGAAAAAACTGATACCTATGGAAAGGATCAAAGAATGTGAAGTAGTCATTGAAATGACTAGGCAGGCAGTCAATACAAAAAACGAATTATGCCGTTGATCTACTTTCGGCATTCATGTCTTGAGGACGCGGCCAACATCGTCCCACATCTCTGAAGCGCTGAAATACTTGTCTTTTGAATATTCAGAATTTGCCTAATTCAACATCTAAATGCTTACAGAGTCACAATGTAATCATTTTGTTTTCGTACCAAAATGCAATCGCATCTTCTGCTAAAAAATTTAGCTCGTACCAACCGAATTTGTTCCGGCTTGAATCAGCAGAAGGCGTCTTGGCATGTCCCATTGTCTAGATATGGCTGCCCGAGGAAAGAGACTATATTTGTTCTTTTTCTCTATTCATTCACTTCAGTACGTAAATACACAAATCACTTTCCATCCTGTCAACATCTTTTTCTTTGTATCATTCGCATTTGAATCAGTATGGCATTTGTATCAGTATGTACTAAAAGTCGACTTCTCATCTTTAAGTACTGTGCACCCAAGTGCGAAAACGATCTAATAAGTGAATCTACAAAATGGCTTCCGCTCCACCATTGGACTATGATACAATCAGAGGATCCTCGCTTATAATACCGGCAGTCACGATTGGTAATATTCCACAACTAGCCACTGATCTTTTGTTGCACAATCTAGGTTTCGCCAAAGTGGCGGCGTTGCCAGACCATTTCTTATATCCATATGTTTCTGGAATCGACCACTTGCCTCTGGAAAAACTTCCTCGGGGGATCCTGCTTGCTCTTGAGGTTTTCTACAGCGAGAAATACAAGGTGACGCTTCTTCAGCAAAGATCACCAATCATTGCGGGCATGTCCAAACAGCACATTCAACAGATTCTTCTTCCGTTCATTGCTGAAGCACTGTTCACAAAGATTATGGTCTTGGCGCTGGCAGATGCTGGCTTGGAGGAGAAAAGAGCAACAATGCGTTTGTTTTCCGACTCGGCCATTGAAGAAATGATCACATGGATGCAGATTTCGCCACGGGCAGAACCGGACTACTTACGACTGGAACTGCTCGATTCTTTACCCAAAGACTTGGATAAGTACACGGAAGAACTCATAAGCAAGATACAGCCAGAATTAGAAGATGGAACAAAAAAACCTTCTATTGCCGCTAGTGTTCTCGTGTCATATGTGTACGAAGGTGATAATACTCAAGATGCGTTTTCCATGGCGTCTGCAGCAGCAAAAGTGTTTGGCATTGGTTCAGCCGAATGGAAAATTCCAGTCAGCTGGATGGGTGTCTATGGAGATCGTCCGATTCCAGTGGCACTTGAAGAAGGTTTGTATGGCTGAACGGAGTTTTTTTCCGTATCCATATTGATGCACCTATCGTCCAGTAAACGGTTATATCTGGTTAATGAAAGATTTCATCAGTTCCCTTTCAGTATATTTCTCTCATTGATATTAGAATAGTTGTTTATGAGTACTTTCATCCAGCCTAAATGACTACTCAAATGTGCTGGAGTTCCATTCTTAAAAATACCGAACATTGAATACAAGTTCGATGATTAAGAAACAACTTCCTGCTACTGAGGAATCTTGGCATTCCTTTAGCTTAAGAGATAATGTAGATAGTTGATTCGGAATACTTCAAGAGAAGACCGATAGGTGAGTTTGATACCCCAAGGTGTACGTTTCTTTTTCCCAAGAATGAAGTTTCAATAAGGTCAACGAAAACCGATTTTATGGGTACGTCAATGGCAATGAAACTTGATCTATGGGTACGTCAATGGTAATGACAATTTTTCCCAGATACATAGAAGATAACATAATCCTTGTCTACAGTCAGAGTAGCTGAGTCGTCCGAAATCGTGCTGGTTCAAGCCTGATAAGTAGCTGATCGCAACAACATACCTTTGAAAATAAAGCACTGGGATAGTTTCAAGGGAAGAAAGGAACAAAGCGACTCCGAATTGGCTGAAACTCCATACTGGCGGAGTAACATCTGAATGCCGTGGAGCTTGAAATCTCGAATAGCATTCAGTTCAATAACATTATCCGACCGCAAGAATGAGAGCGCTAATCTAAAAATACAGAAAGCTGTTTCGTAAGTACTCTAAAAATACAGATAGTCATATCGTAAGTGTATTTGATTGATAGCGCGACTACTTGTTCGCCAAATGCCAGAGTGCACACAAGAGCTGTCACCGGCCCGTATACCAGAACAGCTTTTCTCTGTCCCCACAAATTGCAACATAAAGGACAAGGAAAATAATAAAAAAAAAAACGACAAAACTTTGGCCTAGTCGCACCTTTGGCGCTCCCGAAAAGTCTAGTTAGGCCTGCTCTATTCCGCTCGGCACATCGCGTGACTCGTGTGACTCGACAATATGACTCATCAGTAGTTCAATGCATATTCGATGGCAGCAGTGTACCCGTAGACGCCCAAACCGGCAATGACAGCAATGGCCTTGTCCAGAAGGTACAGGTGGTGTCTAAAGGGCTCTCTCTGGTGGACATTGGTGATGTGCACCTCGATGAACGGAATGGCCGTGCCCAACAAGGCATCTCGGATTCCAACCGAGGTATGTGTGTAGGCGCCGGCGTTGATGATGATGAAACCGACACCTTGCTGCTTTGCTTCCTGGATGCGGTCGATGATGAACCCCTCTGTGTTGTTCTGGTAGGTGAACAACTCTGCGTCTTGGTGCTTGGCCACTTGCTGGTGGGCTTCCATCTCGATGTCTTTTAGGGTGGTGGTGCCGTATTTCTCGGGCTCTCTTGTTCCGAGCAAGTTCAAGTTGGGCCCGTTGATAAGAAGAACTTTTTTGACCATGGTAGATGTCTAGGAAAATGGGATGGGTGGGGAAAATGACGCAGCAAGAAACGGTGTGGATATGCGCAGAGCGAATTCGGTGTGCGACTTGTTCCCGTGATTTCCGCCTCGAAGAACAAAAAGAGAAGGCCGGCAGGAAAGGAAATGAAATTAAAAACCGTTAGAAATAAGAATGGGGCTCAGAAAATACAATTATTGAGAAGACTTGTTGTCTTTGTAATGCCTTATTGATCTATTCGCACGTGATCCAGCCCTTGCTTCTCTCCTGCCCCAAGCTGGATTACTGGTAAAATTGGCGTTTGACTACTTATATGCCCCTCTTGGATCGGCGTATATGTTGACGGGAACAGTACTGATTCATATTGCAACAATGTATGGGGCGTTATATGTCAGAGCTGGTTCTCGTAATTTACTATTAAGTATGTGCGTATCATTCCTCATATTACATGAGAACTGTCTAAAATGATCCTATTGAACAGTTGAGGATCGGTTACAATGATAATTAGACGGCTGCAGTATGACCTCTTACAACTATAATTAGACGTCTTCATTAGCTCCAACTTTAATGCATCTGAACCAACATGACATCAATACTAAGATAAAGGTCTACAGAATGCATGACAACAACAATGTCTGAGGTATTAAACGCCTTAAGTCTATCCCTCTCTTTACATCTGAATATGCTATTATACTCTTCTCTCAACTTCAAGTTTCGCTTCAAACCTGCTTGTTCTTGATTCTGTCTGAAGGACCTGACTTTCTGTCGAACAGTTGCAATTCAAATCAATCTGGAATAGCAAAGACCGAATCTTTCACACTACGCAATGCAACAGATAAGAAAGAACATTATCTGCTCTCATATTAATACCTATAGTTTACCCATACAATCATAACAGAGAGCCCTGATGTGTCAGTTTGCTATTCCATCAACATGAACAACAAATGAAGACATGCTAAAGATAAGTAACCGACAGACACAGCAACAACCAAATACACTGCACATTACTTGATCAAGCGTTCATTGATCCAGACTTGACAGCTGATAAGGTTCCTGCAGTCCGCTTTCTTATAGAAACATTGCTACTTCGAGATCCGTCCAGTCATACAAAGACACGAAAAGAGAGAAGCAAGAAGAAAAGCAAAACAAAGGGCAAAAGAAGCAAAAGAAGAATTAAGGAACCGATTAAACAAGCAATCTCTTGCTTTTATTCTTGTGCGGCACGTGACCTACATGCCATAAGCTCCCCCACTCCACAATCTTCCAAATTATGCCACAAACACCACGACACCCGCCAATTGCCGAGGCCGAAAAAGACAGGCCCGACTTTGATGCTGCCCAATCTTGGGGTCTAACAAAACGCCCAGACCCACAATGGGTCCCTGGGTCTGGGGCAAACGACTCCGATTGGAAAAACCACAAAAAAATCGCCATCGACCCGTATGGCGAAGGAAGACTGGTGATTGACAACTACAAAACATTGATTTCCGGTGTTGTGCCGCGGCCAATTGGGTTTGTTTCTACGGTGGACAAGGACGGAAAGCGCAACTTGGCGCCGTTTTCCTTTTTCAACGTGGTCAATCCCGATCCGCCCATTTTCACCTTGGGATTTTCTGGGCCCTTGGACAAACCCAAGGACACGTGCCGCAATATCTTGGAGACCCAAGAGTTGACCATCAACATCATCAGCGAATGGTTTGTGGAGGCAGCTAACTACTGCTCCATCAATTCGCCTGCGGACGTGGATGAATGGGAATTGAGCGGCTTGACGCCATTGGAATCGGATTTGGTGCGTCCGCCACATGTTGCCGAATCAGCCTTCAGTGTGGAAGCCAAATTGCTCCATTCACACGAGTGGAAGTCCCGGGTTGACCCCGGAAAATCCACCGGCGTGTTATGTATCGTGGAAGGTGTGCGCTTTCATGTGAGAGAAGACGTTCTCAACGAGCAGAAAAACCAGATCGACATTGCAAAGTTGAAGCCTGTTTCTCGTTTGGGCGGAATCTCCTATGGGCGCACAACAGCGGGTTACGAGATGCCAAGACCTCAGTATGAAGCTGAGTAATGGAGAAAGTAGGCGAAATCTCCGAAAAAAAAAAGTGGAGCCAAGGAAAAGGCATGCAACTCACATGAGCAGCCCTAGTGATTTTCTGGTTTTTACATGGAGGTATTTATTAACAACCTCAGTCAAGATCTTTTCGGGGCGTCTTTGCGAGATCCGTGGAAAAGCAAGCCACGATGATCTAAACGCCGGCATAATTTAGAGCATGGAGCATTCTTGGCATCATCTACAGACTCAGTCGCATTACTGCTGTCATGTTTTGGCCATCGAACAGTAATCATGCGCAGCGTACAATTCGTGAAACCATACGAGAGAAATTAGAAAATGTCGTTTGGGTGTCGGTTGGCTGGTAGCGCCTTGACGTCCTTGCATGCGTTGATTATGCAGCGATATGCGTCTGTCGGTGTACTCGCACAATTTACCGTGCATGCATGTCTCCCTCTAATTCGATTCCAAACGTTTTGGCGTTCGTGGTTCTCCAAAGGACGCCCGGGAAATTACATAAGCAATATCTGCAACACATAGAAAAAGGAAAACCTTTAAACAATTCCGTAGGCGCATTTCGCGAACGGAATCCAATATTTTTTCTTTTTTTGACTTTTTTAATCGAGCGGGGGATGGTTCGTAAACCTGAGCGGCACTTTCATATCCATCTTACTTATTTGGATTGTTGCATAAGAGCAAAAAAAAAAAAAAAACCGCATGGATTGAACGAGCGGCGTCTACAACTTGCATATCCCGAGTGAACAATAGCTTGGAGAATCGCCTGAGATGAAAATTTTGCAAAGTGGTAAACTCTTCGCGATGTTACATGGTTATGGATGTTAGATTTAGCTGCCTTTGCTTGCATATGTACAGCCACATTTCGAGCGTCTGCTCTATAAGTAAGGGTGCTGATAGGTATAATAATATGGTGCGGACATAACGATGTATCACATTTCCAATTATGTTCGAATCGGGTAAAGGACAAAAGTTCGCAACTTGAAACTTCTCGAAGAGAGTCACTTGACGTTCTTTTTTTCCGTGTTCCAGGACATTGAACGTAGTGCAAGGCAATGCATAAGGAAAAGTGCCTTCAATTACCGCCTGTGATTGGCACTCCTAATATGCGTCAACCCTACATGCATACGCATGAACGCAACTACACACCCAGATTTATGTGCATTAAACCTTATAAGAACTGTTTACAGGCTTATGCTTCTCAACAGTAGCATGATGCAGTCAAGTTGCTGCAACAACAATCTAGATACAATTGCATATCACGCATAGCGTATGATTTAATGTTGATGGATATGCAATCTGCGTGAATCTGCAGTACAGCTCAAGAATTCACTTGTTACACATTGCATACACAGCACTGAGAATTGCGTTTTTTGTTGTTTTTATTTGGTTTGATTTGGAAAGAAAATCGCAGAGCTATTGGACTCTGTTAGTTCTCCAAATGCGGGGAAACTGCTTCTCAACTTAGATGTTTGATGTAAAAGAATTGAACTCAAATAGCAAGTTACAGAGTAAACACAGACCCATGCACTACAATTAAGTGTCCCGGAGTTTCAAGTGAATACTCTATTTACAACGAAACAAGTTATGTCTTGCACTAGCCTCAATGATTCCAAAGACTGTGGCTGTCCAAAAAGGAAAAGAAAAAGAATAGACAATCGATTATAGAATCTAAATTAGACATACTTGTATGGGTTCATTATGCCCTGGGGATCGTAATGTCCCTTGATGTCCTTAATCATGCGAATCTCCACATCACTCTTTGAGTAGCCAATGTAGTTCTTCTTCTGGAAACCCAAGCCGTGTTCTGCGGAGATGGAACCCTTTTTCTCCTGAATCCACTCGTACACAAAAGGCTCCAACACCTTTTCAATTTCTTTGTTATACTCACGAACACACACATTCAAGTGCAAGTTTCCATCACCGATATGGCCGTAACCAATGGCCTCAACCACTGGCTTAGAATCGGATTCAAAGTCCACCATTCCAGCTTTATGCAATTTTTCGCTCGCAGCTTCCACCAACGCATACAAATCGGCCAATGGAATAGAGACATCATACTTGTAAACACCGCCGGCCATCGTTGAAGCTTCGGGGATGCATTCTCTCCAGTTCCATAAGTTACGCAACTGAGTTTCATCTTGTGCAATGATACCATCATCCACCAAGCCTTCTTCCATGGCATTTCCCAAAAATGTTTCGATTTTTTCCATGTCGTGGTCCCTGTTGGAGCCACTGGTCTCGATCAAAACGTAAAATGGATACTCACCACTCTCGATGGGATGGTCTGTCTTCAAATACTTTCCAGTCAAAATCTGCGATTTGCCGTCCATAAACTCAAAAGCAGAGAGAATCTCCGACAATTCTCTGCGAGCACCAACAAAAACCTTCTGCACTGCCTCATAAGAAGAAACAGCCAAGAAAGCCACATTAGTGGCAGTAGGGCGAGCAGGACATAAAATGGAAACACCAGTGATGATGCCCAATGTTCCTTCGGATCCAATAAACAATTGCTTCAAGTCGTAACCAGTGTTGTCCTTTCTCAAAGCATCCATAGAGCTGTAGATGGTTCCATCTGGGAGAACAGCCTCCAAGCCCAAAACAGAGCCGTGTAAAGAGCCGTATCTCAATAATCTAAGACCACCGGCATTTGTAGCACACACTCCTCCAACATGGCACGAACCTTTTGCACCCAAATCAAGGGGGAAAATGTAGCCTTGCTCGGCCAAGTAGTTGTCTGCATTTTCTAAAATCACACCGGCATCACACTTGAAAATTCCGCTGACATTATCGAAAGACCGAATTTTGTTCAAGTTGGCCACAGAAATGATGATCTCATCGAAGATGGGGTTCGATCCTCCGACCAATCCGGTATTTCCTCCCTGGGGCACCACAGCAAGCTTCTTTTCATTACAATACTTCAAGATTTGTGCCACTTGCTCGGTGGTTTTAGGCTTCAAGACTAATTTGGATTGGCCCTTGTATTTTCTCATCCAGTCCTCGTTGTAGAAATCAAGATCTTGCTCATTGGTGATGACGTAGTTGTCGTCCTTCAAAATAGACCGAAAGAAGTCCACATCGGCCAGCTCCAAAGCCTTGAAGTTTGGGTTCCGCTCCACTTTTTCACGGTAAGTCTCGGCTGTGAGAGGCACGGACTTTGCCGAGTAAAAACGGCTTGCAACACATATCCGGGGCAAAGTGAGAGGACGAGCAGCGACTCGCACCAATCTAAGCTGTCTAGCGAACATTTGCGGCTAAGAAATGTGGAGATGAAATTTCAGCCGGTACATGGGCACCTTATGAGTCAAAATTTGGTCACGTGATGCCATATCATTACTTGTGGGTGTTTCCGTCGACCTTTCGAAGGCTGTTGAAGCTGCAGCTGGAAATGTGGCGGAAACGCAGCGAGCCGATCGGGTTCCCGCCGTACCATCGGGTCACAATGACCAATTTGTTGATGACATTCTGCAGGGCCAACTGTTCGAGAAGTCGGCTGCCTGCACCTTTTTCTCCGTTGTCTGAAAAGCCCTGCTGGATATTGACAAACCGCTTGGTGACTTTCTTTTTTGGCCCTGTTTCTTCCACTTCGTCGCCTGTGCGCCAGGCGTAAATGTGTGGGTGAGAAGCGTTTTTGGCAATACTGCGATGCTGCGCGAGGAAAAGACTGATGATCTCTGGAACAAGAGCCGGATCTTTGAGTTCGGTGTGGCGGGCCTGGAATCGTGACTTGCGATCAACTATAACGTCGGACTCGTGCCAATTTGTAATGTGGAGCTGCCGAAGCCCAGAAACCAGTATGCGTGTCTGTTGAGGCCGGCGGATTGCGTTTAGCATTTTGTTCAGTCTATTGTAGAGAGCTACGGGTTGGTGGAGGATAGTTCTTGATACTCCAAGCGAGATGATTGAGAGACCTCGAATGTTCGGTTATCTCGGTGCGTTTCAACGGCTGTTTACACCTTTAGTAACGTCTATCGGCTGCCAAACACTTGAATAAAGGTTCAACGATAGCAAAATAGCTCAGGAGAGTTGAACAGATGTCAAATCACTCGAATAAAATAATCGAAACAGCCGTCAGATAAACAGAATGATTAAGCTTAGTATTCAACGGTCGCTATAAGTCAGAATCGCTAAAATACCTCGTACACTGGCTGGGTTTATAAGACGCGGTAATCCTTTGAGTCAGAAGCCTATGAGTCAGTTCAAGTAATTCCAGCGTCGTTGCCGCTTTTCCTATTCACGTCTTGATTGAGTTCGTTTGTAATTTCTATGCGCGAGATCTACTAGTCTCAAGCTGTGTGGTGTACGGGTGTGCTCGCTCGCATTTACAGAAAAAAATGTCTTCTCTTAAAGCCAACCATGATTTATTTGAAGACTCTCCTCAACGTCATCGATAATTCGGGAGCTCAGGTGGCCGAATGTATCAAGGTTCTCCGCCACGGGCCTCGCAACTTTGCCAAAGTGGGTGACGAAATCACCGTGGTCATCAAACAGGCGAGACCCATGAACACAGAAATCACCGGCCAGAGCGCCAACAACAGAGTCAAGAGAAGAGACATCTGCCGTGCTATAGTGGTGAGAACAAAGGCGCCCTTCAGAAGACCCGATGGGTCTGTGGTCCGTTTTGACGATAATGCGTGTGTGTTGATCAACAAGAACGGCGATCCTTTGGGAACCAGAGTTTCTTCGGTTGTGGCGAAGGAGTTGAAGGCGTTGGAATATAACAAGATCGTGGCGTTGGCCCCGAAAATCTTCTGAGAGGTTCATGTACATAGTAAACGAATGTCCGGCGATGGTGTTACCTGGTGTAGCGAAGCATTTAATGTGTGTGCTAGCACAGTCAATTTGATAGTATGATCATTTCTTTGGGCGCTCGAAAGTCTTGCTTGCAACTTTCGAAGGCTCCACCTTGGATTTTGCTACCTTATCGATTCTTTGTTCATCTTTCGTTATGGCCGATATTAGGCTTTGTTTTATCATCAGGGTACTCATACTAGCGAAACATACAAGTGGAAGCAAGGACTTGGATGATGATAACTGCAGCCTTACAGAACTCCACTTCTATAACCTTTGATGTGACGTAACAGTAACTTTGGCCCTGTTGTAATATAACAAATAAGACATCACCTCTGGGATCAAGGCCACCACTAAAGTTTGATTAGACAAATCATTTCTAGGTACTGAAGTAATTCAGAAACAAAAGAGCAATTACCGAGCAAATCCCGGTATAAATCGGCGAGCCCGTCGAGAGACGAATTTGGCTCCACTCGCTGAAGTACAACCCAGAAATCAGGGCCAACTTTGGCATTGTAAGCTCAGACTCTTTGGCAGCAAGTGGTGCAAAGTCTGCTGATTTTATTGCCGAGGATTTGGACAGCCCAAAAGTGAGAATTGGAACCCACAAACACCATTGATGCTTATTAAAACACAAGAATACATACGGTTTTGATTTCAAAGCACCATGGAATTATGAAACCACTCTCTATCAAGATATTCAAGTCAATTCTTGTAGATATGGGATTTGGAGTATAAATCCTGGCTCAACAGGTCCAACAGGTCCCAGCAGATCCAACAGGTCTCAGCAGATCCAACAGGTCCCACCAGATCCAACATGTCCCAGCCAAATTTCACGGTGCTGAAATACCCAAAGCTTCATGTATAAACATTCATGAGTGAATGACACGGCTTAATCAAAAACATAGAGAAGTTTAGAAATGTAATTTATCTTCTTATGTCGGCTTCTTTGGCCCCAGAGTTTTTGTCATTGCTGTACTACAACCCAGTTTTAATTTTGGGCCTCAAGAACGACTTCAGTAAAGAATGCACTGCCCATTGCCATTTCAGAAACATTTGAAAGCCAAGTATCTGATTTATTTTTATATTACAGTAGAGGCTGACCGTGATTCTAGACATCTAACCCATTGAATCATTGTTCTTTCCTCTTCGGTCTAGTGAAAGACATGTATAAAGTTTTTCGTTTGTTATAGCTGCATTCCATGGTCACAGATAATCGAATCATCTATGCTGGATAACATTTCCACGAAATTCAGATCGTAACCTGAAAGAACAAGCTACACGTATTATAATCGAGCTGGATGTAACACATGGTTTACATATCTTGATCGAATATGTTCCTCATATTCGAGACCAAGAATCTAGTTTCCATATTCATTTACGAAAGGCTCATTCCATTCAGGTTTCAGCCTATCATATAGAATTTCAATGCCTGTTCCGAGTCATGTTACCTGCTACATTATTTATCCTTCCTGAAATGTTCTACAGTATGCGCATGAATCATAAAGCCAGCGCGCAGAAATTTTTTTCCCAACTACTCCATCAACGCAATGGCCGAAGTTGAAAAAGACCTTGAAAAGCTTTCGGTGCAGGAAAAGGCTCCTGCCAAGCCCCAAGCTCCAAAGAAGGAAAAGAAAAAGGCCCCTCAGCAGAACTTGCTCTTAGACCCTCAGCCAGAGTTTCTTGACTACAGAATCAAGATTTTCGATGAATTGAAGGCAAAGTACGACAGCGAAATCGCCGCCAAGCCAAGAGACGCCATCAAAATCACCTTGAAGGACGGCTCTGTCAAGGAAGGCACTGCCTACGAGACCAGCCCTTGGGATATTGCTTCTAGCATCGGTAAGTCTTTTGCCGAAAGACAAGTCATTTCCAAAGTCGACGGCGAATTGTGGGACTTGGAGCGTCCTTTGGAGGGCGACGCCGTGTTGGAGTTCTTGGACTTTGAGCACCCAGAGGGAAAAGCCGTGTTCTGGCACTCTTCTGCCCACGTTTTGGGTGAAGCTTGTGAATGCCACTATGGATGTCACTTGTCTTACGGTCCTCCAACGGAAGACGGATTCTTCTACGACATGTCCATCAACGATGGTGAGGGTGTTGTGTCCCAAGACGATTTCGGTACCATAGAGAAGGTGTCGACCAAAATCATCAAGGAGAAGCAAAAGTTTGTGCGTTTGGAAATGACCAAGGAAGAGTTGTTGAAGATGTTTGAGTACAACAAGTACAAGGTCAAGTTCATCAGCGAGAAGGTGCCAGATGGAACCTCCACCACCGTTTACAGATGTGGTCCTTTGATCGATTTGTGCAGAGGCCCACACATTTTGCACACGGGAAAAATCAAGGCATTCAAGGTTTTGAAGAACTCTTCGTCGTACTTTTTGGGTGACTCTAACAACGACTCCTTGCAAAGAGTCTACGGTATTTCTTTCCCAGACAAGAAGTTGATGGACGAACACTTGAAGTTCTTGAAAGAAGCAAGCGAAAGAGACCACAGAAAGATTGGTAAAGAGCAGGAATTGTTCTATTTCAATGAAGTTTCTCCAGGTTCTGCTTTCTGGTTGCCTCACGGTACCAGAATCTACAACACCTTGGTCGATATGTTGAGAGAAGAGTACAGACAAAGAGGATATGAAGAAGTCATCACTCCAAACATGTACAACACGAAATTGTGGGAAATCTCAGGCCACTGGGGCAACTACAAGGAAAACATGTTCTCGTTTGAGGTGGAGAAGGATACTTTTGGCTTGAAACCTATGAACTGTCCCGGCCACTGTGTTCTTTTCAAGAGCAGAGAAAGATCGTACAGAGAATTGCCATGGCGTGTGGCCGACTTTGGTGTCGTGCACAGAAACGAGTTTTCCGGTGCTTTGTCTGGTTTGACTCGTGTCCGTCGTTTCCAACAGGACGATGCTCATATTTTCTGTGAGCAAGACCAGATCGAACAGGAAATCGCTGGTGTGTTTGACTTCTTGCAAAAGGTGTACGGTACTTTTGGCTTTGAGTTCAAGATGGAGTTGTCTACGCGTCCAGAAAAGTATGTCGGAGACTTGGAAACGTGGAATGGAGCTGAGAAGAACTTGGAGAATGCTTTGAACAAGTTCATGGGCGAAGGCAAGTGGGAATTGAACCCTGGAGATGGTGCTTTCTACGGTCCTAAGATCGACATCAAAATCTCTGACGCTTTGAGAAGATGGTTCCAATGTGCTACGATCCAATTGGACTTCCAAATGCCACAGCGGTTTGAGTTGGAGTACAAGCGTGACTCCAACCTGAAGGAGAACTCCATGGCCAGACCTGTGATGATCCACAGAGCCATTTTGGGTTCTGTCGAGAGAATGACTGCCATTTTGACCGAGCACTACAAAGGAAAGTGGCCATTCTGGTTGTCTCCTAGACAAATCTTGGTTGTTCCTGTTGGTGTCAAGTACTTTGAGTACGCAGAGCAATTGAAGGATGAGTTGGTCAAGAAGCACAAGTTTTACGCCGATGTCGATCTTTCGGGCAACACTTTGCAGAAGAAGGTGAGAAACGGCCAGATGTTGAAGTACAACTTCATTTTCATTGTGGGTGAACAGGAGCAGGCCGAGCACAGTGTCAATATCAGAAACAGAGACATCCAGGAGGAACAGGGAAAGAACGCTACTGTGAAGTTCGAAGAGGTTGTTGCGCAATTGACCAAGTTGAAGGAGGAGTTGAGACTGGACAACAAGTTGATCTAGTGGGGATGAGTGTGGATGTTTAATATACAGATGTATCACCAATGTGGATTTGAAGAATGGGTATCTTTTGTAAACGCAATGGTTTCTTAGTAGTATTGGTATCTCCATGATCTTTGTTCATCTAGCATCTCCGGATTGCTGATGTCGAAAATTCAGAAACATCATGACACCGAGTTGACCCATTTGCTTGGAAGACAATCAGATTAATTGCCAAGCTTAACATTATCTATACAATTGTGATGTCTCTCAAATGCTTTAAACATATGACAGTAATTCACCATAAGTTCTCTTTCTTTTAGTTTCTGAAGACTTTTGTCTATTTCCTGTCTGAACTCTCATATTCTTAGTATTTTTATGTTCTCCGCCATTCACACCAATTAGCAATAAAGTGCGCGATCATACATTATCACCATACAATCCATTATATGAAGATTATCCAAGAATAGTTTTTCTCCCCAATGTCCGAAAACCCAAACGACAAAATCAATTTCTACGGGCGCCAAGTGACCCGGGCCCAGTTGGAGCCGTTTCTTGAGTTCTACAAAGCAGACCATCAATTGACCATGCAAGACAGGCAAATCATGGCGTCTGATCTTGAGAAAGTGAGAAACACCTCTGTCATCTGGGGTATGTTGGACGCTTCGATTGCATTCTTCGCTCCCACCATGTATCGGCGATACACAACCTCTAAAACATCTGTGCAAGGCGAGACATGGCGCAAAATGCCCGTGAGGAAAATCATCCACCGCCCATTTCTCTCCGTGGCAATTGGAACTGCTGTCTACTTCGGATCGATCTTCTACCATGCTAAAACACAAATTGATTCTCAGGTGGACAAGCTCCGCGTTGCTGCGGCGTCTTCATCTGGATCCGAAACTGAATCTGCTAGTCTGAAACGCATGCTTGACGTCTGGCAGCATATGCTGCCTTCACAAATCACCTTCTACTACTTGTACTACTGGAAGTCGAGCAAAGATCCCTCGTCCATCTTGAAAGACCCATCAACCATGACTCAGGATGCACATGAAGTACATTACATTCCGCCTCCACACGAGAAGAGGGGTTTTGGAGGATTTGTGGCAGAGCCAGAGGAGAAGCACCTTCCACATTGGGAGAAAATCAGAAAGGAGAACGGGTTTGTTGAGCCTACAGTTTCTGACGAGAAGCTTGACGATGCTACAAGTGAAAAGAGAAACTCGTGGGAAAAGATCAGAAAAGGGAACTGAGCAGACGGGAACAAACATTTTTGTAAATGATGCAGAAGGATTAGGCATACATCTTTTCGATTCAAAGGAGAGCATCGCTGATTTGATTTGGCCTCACTGAAAGCCAATGCTCGTATGGATACGACAATTGCCATCACAAATGTGGATAAAATGTACATAAATAATCGTGAGCCTGACAAATCCAAAGAAGAGCAGTTAGCGTTGCAAACTTTGTAAATGCATCATAGATGTATGCCAATAGTCGTCAAGAATTTTGCCCAAGCAAGGCTCACAACAATCTATGGGAGTGGCACCTCGTGTATCTGGTCTCGTACCCAACTACTATAACGTTGAAGTAGACAACATTAGTTTGATATCATCTTTCTATGGCTACCTTCTTTGGATGAATAAAAATTGCGTGTTGCGATGTCACTGGAAACTTGGAAAAGCGATCTTTTGGACCATTTTGCTGGCTTCAGAAATTACAATTTCTTACTGGTTTTACATATTGCATCTAAAAAAGAAGCAAGCTTCAATGCCGACTTTCTACTCTTCGACTGCCCTCTACCATTTTACATAAGCGCACATGATTTGAGAAAAACACACGAGTCCTTCTATGTTCTCTCGCTTGACGCATGTCTTAGATTGGATATGGTGCTTGTAAGCGCATAAATCTAGTTCTTGACCAATCGGCTCTTGATACCCGGCAAAGTTCCAAATGTAACCCCGTGTGATCCTTCTTTCTTATCAATTTCCGCTTCTGCATGATCCCTATGCGGTGGTGTATTTTCAATCTCACTCCACTTATTATTATATCCCCGCGATAATGCATGTGCGCACTTTGGCGCACCGATCTCTGCCAAATTGCGCTTTCAATCTTCCACGCATATGCTTCGCTCTTTTCCTCTTCAACAAGCAAGTTGGAGTTTTTTCCGGCGTCTTTCGCTGCAATCGCCGAAAATAAAATGGTATCACAATACAGACGTTCCGCTTTCAAAACCAAGCTGGTATGAGTACAAGCCGGAAGCAGAGCCCAAGGCGTTTGTTCCCTTCAATGAAACCGATAGTAAGCGCTTAGAACAGGCCTTCCAGGCAGAAAAGCCTTCAGTGGATGTTAAGGAGGACCAATTGTTTGTGGTGGACTTGCAGAAAATGCAATTGGCCCCAATCTATTGGCCAGGACCCGTTTTCGAAGTGAGAAGAGGAAAGTGGTTCACTTCGGGCGGGAAGCCTCTTTCGCAAGAAATGACTCTCAAGTTGGACCAGGCATATGAGGCTATACAGCCGGTGGAAAAACCCGAGGACGACGAAGCGGAATTTGCTGCGGAATTCGCCAAATCTCCCGCCAACGCTGTTGCTCGGCTCAACAAAATGGCCTCGGAGCAAATCAACAGTAACCCAATCGATTTCGCAAAGGAAAAGGATGTCTACAACTTGGGCGGTGGCCAGGCGGTGATTTTCTTTGACGAGACCCACGGCGCTCTTTTCCCGGACCTGCTCACGTCGTTCCAATTGAACGTGCTACGGTCTTTTCTGACGTCGCTGTCTTCTCTCCCATCCATTACAATGATCCAAAGAGGACACACGGACGACCTAGACACCTCTGTACTTCAAAGCGTAACTTCTGCCAGCGTGCCATCTCTTTCGAACATCTTCCAGAAAGAATTGAATAAGCTTTTCTCTAAGGAGCTGACCTTGGGCGATACGGAAAACGGTCCGGAGCAGGAAAAAGTGCTCCAGGAGGTGATGGAAGTCGATTTGGACGCCGAAAACACGGTACTGGAGAAAAGAAACGTCGACCATTTGTTGCTCTGTGTGCATGGAATTGGCCAGATTTTGGGCTACAAGTACGAGCTGGTCAATTTCACCCACAGTATCAATGTCTTGAGAAACACCATGCGACATGTATATCAAACCGAGCCAAAGTACCAGGAGATTGCGTATGGCGAGAACTTTGACGAGAAGAATGAGCAGCAAAAGGGAAACAACCGGATCCAAATTCTCCCCGTGCTGTGGCGGCACAATGTGTCTTTCCATCCTCGAAAACCTTTTGACTTGAAAAACGAAAAGGGCGAACCGCGGCTTCCAAGTCTAGGTGAGATTAATGTCGATGGCGTGAAAGCATTGCGGAATGTGGTGGGCGATGTTGTGTTGGATGTGCTTTTGTATTACGAGGCCCGGTATCTCAAGGAAATCTTCAAGCTGGTGGTGGCTGAACTTAATCGAGTCTACCATCTTTTCAAAGAGAAAAACCCCCGATTTCAACGGCAAGGTGCATGTTTTAGGCCACTCTTTGGGCTCGGCCATTGTTTTTGATCTTCTCTCCTACCAGGAAAACTCGGGCTCTCAGGAAAGCGAAGAGTATGCTTTAGACTTTGACGTGGAGAATTGTTTCTGTGTGGGTTCCCCCGTGGGAATGTTCAAGTTGCTACAGCAGAAAAATATTCGTCCAAGAAGCAGTTCTGTTGGAGCCAAAGACCCGACGGAAATTTCAGAAGACTATGCATCGCCAAAATGCAAAAACCTATACAATGTCTTCCACCCTTGCGATCCTGTGAGTTATAGAATGGAGCCTTTGGTCAATCCAAAGTTTGCCCAATACAAACCAGAAGCTATCCCGTTTGCACTTCGGGGCTTCAATACACAAGTTCAGAACCTAAGTCAGATGGGAGACGATTTTCTGCTGAAGCTCTCTCAGGCGTCCAATTGGTTCAAAAGTGACCAGGCTACTCCAGCCTCTATCGACGAAAAAGCTTCGCTGGAAAATGCCTTACGAGACGTTCTCTCGTCGTTGACAAGCACGAAAACCGAAAAGACGAAAAAGACAAGTACAGAGAAGATGGATCCAGAAGACTTGAAACAGTTGTTGAAGATGAATCGGTCGGGCCGTATAGATTACAGTTTGCCCATGGGCGTTTTCAGCATTGCGCTTGTTTCTGCCATTGGAGCACATGTTTCTTATTTCGAGGACGAGGAAACCGCTGGTTTTGTCATGAAAGAAATTCTCTGCTCAAACCAGCCGCCGGTGACTTCGAAGGACGTCAAAGTGCTAGTGTGACATTGCTTGGGAGTATGAGTTTTTGATAAAAGAATGTCAGGAACTTTCGTAATGTGCCAAATAGAAGTTCACCTCGGCGTCTCAAACAGAACTTTAGGTATCGGGCTCTAACGTTGTCGGTAATAAATGGATATTGGTGTTTCTATTGTAGCCAGCAGTTTTCCTAAAGCAAAACGATGCCGACGCTAGCATGTCTTTATTCGTTTGTATTGCCTCGATTAGATAAGCTTCGTGGTATGATCTTTTATCAAAAAACGGTCTTATTTATGTGTTCTACTTTCGCTTTGTGGTTCCCAAGTGCCGTTCTAGTTTGATTCGTGGGATATATTCACCATATCTTTTGTTTCCGTCCTTCAATCTTCTCTGCATAAGTTCCATGTACCATATTGGTTGATTGTCTTTTGATTCTCTTGGATCTTATTTAAATGAACATGTAGCGAGCTAAAATTGTACCATTGATACTGTCTTCATTTTTTCGTTTCCATTTGTCAACCATTCTACTCAGACGCTGTCGTTCGGGTCTCTTACATTGCCCTACTTACTCCACCAACAAATCATCAATGCTTTGCTCTGCATCGTGCTCAATCAACTTCAACATGCCCTCAGGCAAAATCGGCGTGCCCTCGCTGTCCAAAATGTATCTGAAAGGCATCTCTGTCGATTCGTACTTGTTGTATCTAATCTCAGGATAATCGATGAAGTTGATTTCCTCAAACTTTTTCCCATCCTTGACAATGCGTTGTGTCGTTCTGATTGCCGTATCCGTGGTCATCTGCAAAGCGCCCAATCTTCTTCCGGCAAAACCGTACTTTTCTCTCAAAACGCCTGTTCTGTCGATTCTAGGGTGGGACCCCAAGATCCCTCCAAAGACAAAATAGTCGAATTTCGACGAGTCTTCCGGAACCAAATCCTTCTCGGCACCTGGGTCAAGAAGACACACTCTGGATGTGTCGACTCCGCCATCCAAATGCACGCATTCCTCTATGGTCCATTGCAAACCCAAATCTCTAAGTCTTTGAGGAATGTCTTTCTCGGTGGTTCCGGCGGGCAAAGAAGTCAAGACCAAGTTTTCCTTTCCGACATCTTTGATGATCTGGGAGTACTCCAAAATAACCCATTCGGAAAATCCCTCTTCCATGTGCTCAATGACGTACTTCATTTTGTGGTGGGAAGTAGTAGTTGATGAATCTCATCGAGATGTGAGTGCAGGATATAGATGCAATCACTAGCATAACTACACTGGCAAAATAAGCAAAATTAGCACGTTTAGCTCAATATAATATTTGGTCAATAAATTAATCTATTTACTTCTTGCAGCACGAAGATGTTTTGGCAAACGCCAATCTGGAGGTCTTGTCTACGTTCAACGAGCAAGTGTCTGTGCCAACCTTTCCTGCCTTCACCTCACTGGTGGTTCTGGTGTACGAAGGCTTCACGTCAAGAACTGGGTTCTCGGTGAAAAAGTGCCGTGGACGCAACATCAAGTCGAAAATCTCCGTAGGCATCACTGGGAAGTCCTCTGGGGCTGGGAAATGGGTGATACCAAAGGTGTGGAAGAACAAGATATCGGTGTTTTCAATAGCATCAGTACCGTCGCCAATCCACTTTCTCATACCACGAGCACCGTCTCCAGACCATTGCGCAACGTGGTCTCCGGATGGGTACAATCTGCCATAGCCCAATCCTTCGTCCTTGTAAGGAACAACTTGGGTGGTCCAAGCAGCCCATGGTGCTCTCTTTCTAACCAAAGATCCTTCCTTAGCCATAAGAGGAGGAGTGAAAGTAGACACCAACTTGTACGAGGATGGCTTTCCAGAGTATGGGTTGATCTTGCTAGGGTTGAAGATGTCCCAGCTTCTGGTGGTGGTAGCATCGGTCAACGAGTCCGCCACGGTCTTGAACACAGTTCTCTCAGAGAGGAAAGAGTTACCGTACATGTTCTGCGACAGGCCGGTTGGACCTGGACCTGGCTTACCATCGGCCACAGCGGCAGAGTTGTTGTCACCGTCAATACGAGGGTCCAATCTCAAAGAGAACATGTGCTGGTGGTTGTGAGCGTTCACCTTAGGGTAGACGACAGTTCCCCATGGTCCAACATCTTCATCCTCGTCGCAGATGTAAGTGTTCAAGATACCAGTCAAACGGATCTCCAACTTGATGGTACCGTCTTGTCTGAATTGCCAGTAGACACAGTACTCGTAGTTGGCAGCAGTGAAGATCTGCGACACAATCAACTTCTTACCACGAGTAACCACGGTGGTCTGGAAGTCATCTCTGAAGTCAGAGTGCTTGAACAACAAACCGTCATCTTCCTCGTGGATGCAAACAGCATTCTTCACCGTCAATGGGTCACCGGCCTTGTCGGTGAAATGAGCATCCATGTAGTGGATCACACCCTTACAGTCACATCCAAGAGCAAGAGGGTTGGTACAGTTTCCCGCACCATACTCACCAATGTCCAAAGCATGCTTTCTTTGGTGAGGGAAGTCAGGACTACCGTAAGGCACAATCATCTCAGACAAAGAGATTCTGTGGAAGAGAGGTCTGACGTTACCATGGTCGTTGTAGGTCATGTCCGACAAAACAATACCCTCTCTGTAGTTGAAGCCAATGTGGAAGCGGAAGTTGGACCATTCCATAATGTGGCCGTCCATCTTGAAAGACACACCTTCTGGTTGGGTCACATTGTAAGGAGTGTCGTCCTGTCTGAAACCAGATGGGTTTTCGGCAGTTCCAAACTTCTCAGCAATGTGCTTAGGGTGGAAAGAAGAGTGCTTGTGCTTGGACACCTTTCTTCTTCTGTTTGGAATATCGATGTACACAACCTTACCCTCGTTCATGTCCACAATAGGGCAGAAGTCCAATGGGTGCGAGTATTGCGAGTCATCCTCGTCAGAACGCCAGTACATCAAAGCCTGTTGAAGACGTCTCGAGGCGCCCCAACGCTCATCGTAACCAATGGTCCAGGCGTCACAGTAGACGTTGGCCATTTCGTCCTTGGAAAGACCGGAAATCTCACACTGTCTAATGACCTCAGGATCGTTACGGATGATGTTCTCGGTAACAGAAAGGTCGGCAGGAGTCAAAATAGGCTGCACGCCATCGGTCTTGCGAGACTCGACAACGGTCAAAGAAGGAATATCAACAACACCTTCAGCGACACCGTTGATGCCATCTTGCACAACAACGTAGTAGGCCAATCTTGGAGGAACAGGTCCGTTTCTTTCCTTCCAGTCGTAGTAAGCCCTCTTGATAGGTTCTCTCAAGGTGATGGTGTTGAAAACAACCTTCTGGTTACCATAAAACTCGGTAACGACAGAGGACACGGCCTTGATTTCTTGACGCGAAAGTGGGTCCAAAGGGTGCGCTGGCGCTGCTGGTGGTGCCGTACTGGCAGTGGCCTGGCTGGCAATTTGCTGCAATCTCTCCATATGTGATGACTGTGATGAGAAGAAATGTTATCAAGGACCAGGGCGATGACTTATATACCTTTATCAGGGTGTACAAAGGCGCGGATCTCCCAACCGCTTTGGGTTATCTTTTCCGGGCTGATTATGCAAGGAATGGCCTTCCCTTTTGGGACTGTTATCGTGCAGGAATCTAGATACGATAGCACCCGTCCAATGCAGAAAGGGCGGAAAATCACACTATCTCTGGGTAAAAAAACGCGGAAAATTTCCGACGGATATCTTGACTGTCCAGCCATCCATCGTGTCATGTGGTACGAGCGCTCTCTAAGGACGAAAAAAGAGAGTAAAAAGATCAAAACACAGAGTTGATGACATTGGGAGAATGAATCTAGCATGAAATGAGGATGAAGTGAAGATAAAGGTAGCATGAAGTAGAGGATGACGTAGAGGATGATCAGTTGAGGTAGTCGTCAATTAAATATGTCCATTGGGACGTCTATAATGCAAGCTGCACGGGCAGCCAACTATGTTATCGTGTCTTTACTTTCTGGTGATGTTCCAAAAGGGTATCAGCGGCGGATCGACACCAACAATACCATCGTCATGGGTGCAAACACCAAACAGGCAAAGTAGAGGATCTGTATGCAGTTGATGAATCTCGCGCGATAGTACATCACCAGCAACCGCAACACCGCTAGCACCATGTCTGAGGAAGCGTCGGGGTCCAAAGAGGCGTACGTGGTATCAACCAAATAATTGGCAAAGCCACTGCTCATGGCATTGGCATGGGGGATGCTCACGTCGGCCGCCTGCAACAACGGCTGGGTCATGTGCATTTGGTACAACCGGAAAAGCTTGTACGTGTATGTCATCATGACATCGCCAGCAAAGGCAAGGAATGCCACGGCAGACACACAGACCATGGAACCGTAGCAGAGAGTGAACTGACCCGCAGCAAAAAGACCCTTGCAGAAGCCTGCAGGAAAATGGGTGAAGCCAAACCACAAGCGCCGCGCCATCTCCGCAGCAAAAAAGAGAGCGGCGCTAGCCCACACGTGGTCCGACGTTATGCGGAGCCATGCGCCGTCCACGATGGTGTAGGCAAAAGTGTATTGCATGTGCGTGGGCAACAAAAGCACGCACGCGGCAAAGATGGCTGCAAAAACGCCGGCCCGCCGTCTTGTTTCGCGTGGGAATCCCGCCTGCTCCGCTTGTAGCGTGGGGGCCGTTCCCTCCATATCCAACGCAAACGAAACGCGCTGCTCCTTGTCCTTACTCTGCTGAAGGTGCCACTCGCCCTTACTCTGCGCACACTGGTAGTAGCGTTCCAGCAAGCGCATGTAGGCCACAAACACACATGCGCCCACAACGGTGCAAGCGCCAGCGTTGTAAAAGGCGTACGATGAAAAGAGACCGCTAGGCAAGCTGTTGTCGGCGGGATTTTTTAGCAGCCATTTTTCCATGTTGGCTGTCAAACTTTCGGAGGGAAGGAGAGCCCACAGCGTTAGCGGACACAAGAGCGCAAACGCCACGAGCAAAACACGCGTTAGTGGCGTGTTTGTGGCATGGGAATCAGGGGTGATTTTGGCTGCCGGCGGGTATAATGCCACGAACAAAAAACACAAGGCTGTAATCAGCTCAAGAACCACAGGCAAAACCCAATTTGGCTGGGAAACACTCATGGATGAAAGAATAGTCGTGGGACAAAGCCGAAAAAAGAAGAAATTTACACGGCTGGCCTAAATTAAATGAAACGGCAAATAAGCACGGGAACAGTTGTTAGGTGCACTTGAATATGCTTTGCAAAATCGGCTAAGGAAGTCGCTTGGAAATGGACTTTGTAAATGGTTTTGGAAAATTAGTGAAACGTCTCCTCAATTTGTCAGCACTAGAGTCAAGTCTCACACTAATACGGAACGACTCAAACGCTCAAAGGAAGAAAACGCAAACAGGCGAGCAAAGAAATTAGCGGAAAATGAAAAGTCAAGAGTTCCTTTAAGGACACATTCTGTTTCCGGCGGCAATGGACCCTTGTATTTATAAGCGCTCGTTCAATGTCTTGTATGACCGTCGTATATGGAAGCTTGTACTGCACCCAAGACAAGCCGAGCTCTCCGGCATCATCATGTTTCTCATTCGGGACTAATTGGCTTCCGCTTCAGCCGTGCCGACGGCTATAGCCGACCTACAATCGAGATCTTGGATCAAAAAAATTAATACGAAAGCTTGACGACTGAAGAAAAGAAAGCTTTTGGGAAAAAGTGAAACAAAAAGTGCAAAGAAACTGGTCGTTTATCGCCATGGTGCCGACATCTGTGTCCTGCAAATGCTAGCCGTAACAGTTCCGATGGGACTTTGTGCGAGATGCGCGTAATGTACCTTTGCCTGCACAGTAGTGCTTGCTCTCTTTGTTCCGATGGAAAAAGGCACCACTAAACCAAAAATAAACTGGCAAGGTCGAAACTATAGGTCTTGGACAAGGCTGCCAATGTCAATTAGATGCTGCAAGGTCAACATCTCAGGCAATTGCAAACTTCTAGATTTGAATGTTTAAAGTTGGTGTCTTCCGACTTACACTGTTTTCTTGGTTGTCTCACTTTGGTTTTCCTGGCTGTCTCACTTTGGTTTTCCTGACTCGTGTCACTTTAGTCATCGCATCATACTTGAGTGCCACATCTTGACGATTTGTTTTATTTTTTTCTTACTTTTACCCCCTACGAGTATTTTATCAACCATTTATTCTCACTATGAAAAGTCATGGACGAACCAGATGGAATTAGAGCAAAATGACAAGAACGGAAGCTAGGCTGCTTACAACTTGTCGTAGTATTCTTCGTAGCCTGGAACTTCTGGCTTTTGACCAGTACGCTCTCTCTTGGCCTTGACAATGGCACCTGGCTTGGTGGTTGGGTCGGTTGGGTCACCGCTCAAGACGGCCCAGTGGTCGAAGATCAATTGTGGGAAAGCTTGACCACCAGTGGCTTGTCTCAATTCACCAGAGAAACCGAAGGATTCGTTAACTGGCAAGTAAGCCTTGATGGTGAACAATGGGGTACCTGGTCTTTGTTCTTCAGAAACAACTTGACCTCTCTTCTTGTTCAAGACAGAGTAGATACCACCAATGGCGTTTTCTGGACATTGGATTTCAACCAAGAAGACTGGTTCTTGGATAGCTGGCTCAGCCAACAACATGGAAGCGTAGGTAACTCTTCTCATGGTTGGGATGATTTGTCCACCACCTCTGTGGATAGCATCAGCGTGCAAAGTAACATCCAAGATGTTAACTCTGACGGATCTGACGTTCTCACCAAAGATTGGACCTTCCTTGGTAGCCCATTGGAAAGCAGCGACAACAGAGTCCTTGATTTCGTTCAAGTATTGAACAGCCTTGGTCTGGTCAACAACAAGGTTAGGACCGTTACCGTCTGGACCGAAACACCAAATCTTTCTGGCGTCAGCAACGTCCCAACCGTGCTTGTCAGCCAAAATTCTAGCTCTGGCCTTGAAGTCATCTCTTGGGTTGATAACACCACCCTCAATGTCCAAGGAAACCTCCTCGTCCAAAGGTTGAGCCTTGACGTAGATTCTGTTATGCTTGTTTGGAGACTTGGACAAGGCAACCATGGAGGACTCGGCCTGGACGGTTTCTCTGTAAGAAACCACAGGTGGAGAGATCTTCAATGGAATACCAGCGTGGTCGTTTTGCAAATCGTTCAAGCAAATTTCCAAGTGCAATTCACCGGTGGCAGCGACAACGTGCTCACCAGACTCGTTAATACTGGTCAAGACACATGGGTCGGACTTGGACAATCTCTTCAAACCTTCGACCAACTTTGGCAAGTCGTTAGCGTTCTTAACCTCAACGGCAACCTGGACAACTGGAGAGACAGAGAACTTCATGACCTTCAAGTTGTGGGCGGTCTCAGAGGTGGTGATGGTACCAGACTTCAACAAGAACTGGTCAATACCAACCAAACCGATAATGTTACCAGCTGGACAGTCGTCAATTTGTTCGACGGCTCTTCCCATCATCAAAACGGTTCTTTGGATGGACTTCAAGAACAAGTCCTCCTTCTTACCAACCTGGTAGTTTGGACCTTGGATTCTAACCTTTTGACCGGACTTGACAGTACCAGCGAAAACTCTACCAAAAGCGTAGAATCTACCCTTGTCGGAGGTTGGAACCATCTTGGAGACGTACAACATCAAGTCAGCCTTAGGGTCACAGTTTCTGATGGCTTGGCAGTGCTCGTCGTCAGCTGGACCTTCGTACAAGGTCTCGGCTCTGTAAGCTTGAGCGGTAACTGGGGATGGCAAGTGCAAGACAATCATCTCCAACATGGCGTCGGCAGCTGGCAAGAACTTTCTCATGACAACCTTCAACAAGGCCTTACCTTCCAAGTCCTTCTCGTCACCCTTCAAGTTGATCTCCAACTTTTGCAACAAGGTTGGGATCTCGTCCTTCTTGAAGTTCATGATAGAAGAGAACAATCTAAAGATTGGGTCCAAAACGAACATGTTGAAAGCTCTCTCCAATGGCTTTCCATCAGCGTCCTTGTCCTTGTTGGTCCACTTCTTGGTCTTAGGGTTGAAGTAAGAGTCACCCCACAATCTCTCCATCATCTTTTGTCTGTCGACACCGAACTTCTTGGAGTATCTGGTGGCGAATTGTCTGACGGTGAAAGCCCAACCGTGCAAACCGGAACCGAAAGCAACGGTACCTCTTTCTGGGAAGACTTGGACGTCACCAAGAGTCTTTTCAGAGTAGGTGGAGATGATAACGTTGACGGACTCAACAGTTCTAGAGAAGGATTGGTACAAGTCCTCCTTGGTGACTTGCAATTCCAACAAAGCTCTGTCAACCTTGTTAATGATGACAACTGGCTTAATTCTTTCAGCCAAAGCTTGTCTCAAGACGGTTTCGGTTTGGACACAGACACCTTCAACACAGTCGACGACAACCAAAGCACCATCGGTAACACGCAAAGCAGCAGTGACTTCAGAAGAGAAGTCAACGTGACCTGGCGAGTCAATCAAGTTAATCAAGAAAGAGTTACCGTCGGTCTTTTGAGGGATCTCCTTGACATCGTCGTCCTCCATACCAGCGTACAAAGAAATGGCGGTGGACTTGATGGTAATACCTCTTTCTTGCTCATCCTTTCTGGTGTCCATGAATCTGGCGTCACCAGCGGCCTTGGCAGAGATAATACCAGCCTTTTGGACCAAAGAATCGGTCAAAGTGGACTTACCGTGATCGACGTGGGCAATGACGGAAATGTTACGCACATTGGTAACTTTGTCCATCAAGCCACGGATTTGTTCAATAGTGAAAGCAACTGACAAGTTAGTACGTGAATGGAGGGGAAAAAACTAAGACGAAAAATCTTCAATGCATGGCTCCAACGAATGCAGATCCCATAGCGTTCGCAGCTTTGGTTGCCCTCGATCCTCAATCTCGAATCTAGGTTGAATTTCAAAGAGGCTTGATGTTCATATGGGATCTGAATCCTCTACAATTGCCATCCCTTGTAAAGGCCAAGTCTGCTGACCAAGCATGCAAAATTCAAAAGAGGGATGGCATCGAAGAGAAAGAGCCAAGACAGATTGACGAAAAATAAATGTTTCGATTGAACATACCCATTTCGAGCTTGTTGTTGGAGTTTTCTGACTTTCAACAAGAGAAGCAAAAGAAGAGGAAGGAGAGGTTTTTTCAATGGAGGCGGTATGCGCACGAGGCCATCAGAAAAAATTTTCTCGCAGTAAACGGGGCCGCCTCGCGCGTATTTTTCAGCACAAGACTGCCTTACCCGCCCCAAACAATCGACTCCAAAGGTACAGGGAGGCACGGGTGCGTATATCTGGCCATTTTTCTTCTACGAGGCTTCACTGTCTTACGAGCTTAGTAATATTGCTACTTGTTGATATGTATTTTTGCTTCTATGAAAAGCAAAATCATCACTCTTGTTCTAGCTGGGACCATTGGAATTTACTTTGAAAATCGCCTCAAAGTACATGAAAATAGTCTTCACACTGGCTCATAAATTGTCTCTGAAAATTGCCATAGTCTCCTGTGACGACTGTTACAGTTATACTTGGTGTGCGTTTCAGTTGATCTATCGTATTCGGTCTTCCGTATTTGATTTTTATGTTGCATCTCTTGGTCATTCGCATTCCCCGCTACTCCTCTTGTTCTCCTCTTTGGTCATGTGGGACTTTTCCTCCTTGCTCCAGCTTTGGAAGTAGCGAGACAATTGTATTTGTCGAAGATGTATTTGGTTCATTATTTGGCTTTACTTTCGTTCTGACATGGATTTTATTTGCCCTTCTGCACTTGTTCCCATTGCGCATGAATTTTGCAATTCGGACTTTAGACCAATAAATTACAATTCGAACACTCTCTCTTTGGATTATACTCTACGTATATTGTTTCTGCAGTGATTTTCAGCCACAGAACTATTCATTGCTTGGTTTTTGTCTTGGTAACGTCTTTCACACCACATGTTCACACTAAATTCCTTCATCAGATTTCCTTCGCGATTCCACCTCGACAATTGGAAGATTATAGAGTTGGGGTTCGTCTTCATCATGTCTTGGTGCTTTTATTGCTGCATGAATTGTCTTTTGTCTTTTACTATGGTCTTTATCATAGTCTTTACCATGGTCTTTACCATGGTCTTTACCATTGTCTTTACCAGTCTTCTCCATCTTATCAGCCTGCATCTGGCGAACCGAGTCAAAATCGCTACTATGGTAATTTATCTCTTCGCCAATATACCACTACAATGGCAAACATCACTGTGCTCATTTCGGGCTCGGGCTCGAACCTCCAGGCTTTGCTTGATGCAGAAAAAAGCCATGTGCTCAAAGGAAAAATCACCCAAGTGATCTCTTCCAGCAAATCGGCTTATGGCTTGGAAAGAGCTGAAAAAGCCAAAGTGCCCACGAAAACGCATGTGTTGAAAAACTACTACGAAGGCACTTCCAAAGAAGACAAGGAGCTTCGTTCCCAGAAGCGGGAGCAGTTCAACAAGGATTTGGCCAACCTATTAATCTATGGTAATATAGAAGGAACCAAGGATGAGGACTATATCAAACCTGATTTGGTCATTTGTGCTGGGTGGATGCTCATTCTTTCTCCCGCAGTTTTAACTCCGTTAAAGGAAGCTGGCATTTCTATCATCAACTTGCATCCGGCTTTGCCTGGTGCATTTGACGGAACCCATGCGATCGAGAGAGCTTGGAAAGCGGGCCAAGCGGGCGAGATCACCAAAGGAGGACTCATGATCCACAAAGTGATTGCTGAGGTCGATAGAGGAGAGCCGGTTTTGGTTAAGGAGTTGGAGTTGAAAAAGGACGAGACCTTGGAGGAGTATGAAGCTCGGGTTCATGCCGCAGAGCATGTGGCGATAGTGGAAGGCGCAAATATCGTTTTGGGCGAACTTGAGGATGTGGCCAAGTTGGAAGAGGGCGTCAAGAAGTTGTAGGTGAATGAATAATATTCAGCTGAATAGACGAGCATATCCAAGTGATGCATGTTGGGAATAACAAATAGAAACCGAAATATATAGAAGTAAAAGCTCTGTTCCAACTACAAATGTTGGTTTAGGATCTTGTCTTCTTGTTTCCAGCAGACCTAAATGCATCGCCAAAGGCAGTAGTAGATCTTGTACTAGATTTACATTTACACATTTATTTCCTGCGTTACGAAAGATCATTGAGTTGCAATAGAGGATATCAATCTCCTCATAACCATCCATAGTGACCTCTTGTGTATTCTTCGAAAACTAGATCAAGTCTTTGTCTGTCAAGCATAACAGTACCGTCATAGATTGCATTCATCAGTGAACAAAACAGTACTTCGTGTTGACCTGGTCTTTCGTAATATGATGTGTGGTTTCATCTTCTGTACTGCAGCATTGTATTTTTTAATCAACCACTTTCACATTTACCTACACAAAGTATTCTCTGCGAATATCTGTATTGAATATATAGTGCTTACAAGTTCGCAATGACTTGCTCGGTAAAGTGCTGGGTCGAAGCAGTTCCCTTCAAGTCACCAGTTCTGTTTTCTGGGCCCGAAGCAATGGTCTTCAAAACGGCAGCCTCGATCTTGTCGGCGTCGGCGTTCAAAGACATGTGTCTCAACATCATGCAAGACGACAACAACAAGGCGGTTGGGTTGGCCAAGCCCTTTCCGGCAATGTCCGGAGCGGAACCGTGGACAGCCTCGAAGATGGAAACCTTGTTACCCATGTTTCCGGAAGGAGTCAAACCCAAACCACCAATCAAACCAGAGGACAAGTCCGACATGATGTCACCGTACAAGTTAGGCATAACCATAACCACCTTCTCGTAGTCGGATGGGTCGGCAGTCAACTTCAAAGAGGTGTTGTCCAACAACTCAAAGTCCAAGGCAACGTCTGGGTACTCCTTGGCCACTTCCTTTGCGGTCTCAACGAACAAACCGTCGGACAACTTCATGATCGAAGCCTTGTGCACCACAAGAACGTGGGGCTTGTTGATGCTCTTGGCGTACTCAAAAGCGTAACGGATCACCTTCTCAGAAGCAGGCTTGGTGATCAACTTGATGGACTGAACAACACCTGGAACAATGGTGTGCTCAATGCCCGAGTACTCACCTTCGGTGTTTTCTCTAATCAAGACGGTGTCAACGTTCTTGTAGGGCGTGTCGTAGCCAACAATGGACTTACAAGGACGCACGTTGGCAAACAAGTTGAAGGTTCTTCTCAAGGTCAAGTTCATGGAGGTGTGGCCCTTTCCGACAGGGGTAGCCAAGGGACCTTTCAAAGCCACCAAGTTACGGTTGACCGAGTCCACGGCTTCTTGGGGCAAAGTGGTCTTGCCGTCAATCAAAAGTGGGGTCACGTCGACTGGCTCCCACTCGATTGGAACATTGGCAGCCGCGTAGATGTCCTTAACCGCCTGGGAGATTTCCACACCGATACCATCTCCTTCAATCAAAGTCACGGTGAATTTCCCGTTGGCTTTTCTTTGGCCGGTGAATTGGCCGGCAATGTACGATCTCGAGAGTTTTGGGAAGGCTCTGGCCTTGGCTAATTGTCTAAACATGGCGGGAAGAAAAGAAGGTGGAGAGGAAAAAAAAAAGAGAAGATCTAAAGGACACTACTTGGACTTTTGACGTTTGGTGCGCCAGGGCGGAAAGAATTTTTTTGGAGCCAATCAGAACGCGCATAGCCGTTCGGACCCGAGAGAAACCGTTGGACCTTGGGCACACGCGTATGCCCTTTGCGCCTGGGTTTTTTTCGGTCAGTGCGGTGCACAAATCTCTGTTCATTGGGCGGTTTTGGGCATCCGCCGAAATCCGGAGACTTGTGCTATGTTTGGCCATGGTGAATACCTTCGGCTTCGGTGGATCTACTCCGGGCGCGGAAAAATTGCACCCACGGATTAGCGAAATGTCGCACAGTAACGTTTTGTGCAAAGCACGACGCGTGTTTTGGTATTGCTCCAGCACAAATTATTTTTCCAAGAGGTCCCTTGGCCCAGTTGGTTAAGGCGTGGTGCTAATAACGCCAAGATCAGCAGTTCGATCCTGCTAGGGACCACTTATCTCTGGGCGTGTGGCGTAGTTGGTAGCGCGTTCCCTTAGCATGGGAAAGGTCTCCGGTTCGACTCCGGACTCGTCCATTTTTTTAAATCCGATTACAACTTTCTGAAAAGTTATTATTTGTATAAATTTTTTGAAATTAAGACATACCGGTAGAGGAGTAGCCCATTCCATATGTCCTCTTTCAATATCAGTAACAGAACCGCTCTTTTGCAAGATCTCAGACTAATACACTTCTAGAAGTAATAGTTCTCTATTTGTGTCGACGTCGAAAAGTGTTGTCTTCATCCAAATCACTCGATCGCCATACCAGTTGCATACACAGCCAGTACTACAGTAATCACTACACCAAGGAACATTACAAGCTCACTCAAAGTCTGTATATTCAAGCATTCCAAGTATCAGAAAGACAAGAACGTTCGAGCACATAAATATCAGCGCCGCTGCCGAATGCCAGAGACGGTTCCAGGGCCCAGAGCAGTCGGGACATTTTTTTGTATCTGGTTAATTTCTGTTGCTTTCTGTCCGCCCTCTGGCCCTACATCTTGGCGCTCCGACATGCGGGACGCCTTCACAACTCAATCACCGCTCTGATACAGTCACCGTGGTGCATGTCCTCAAACGCAGTGTTGATCTTCTCCAATGGGTGTCTGTGGGTGATGAACTCGTCGACCTTCAACTTGCCTTCCAAGTAGTCGTCAACAATGCCTGGCAATTGAGAGCGGCCCTTCACACCACCGAAAGCAGCACCCTTCCACACACGGCCGGTGACCAATTGGAAAGGTCTGGTGGAGATTTCTTTGCCGGCCGCAGCAACACCAATGATGATGGATGTACCCCAGCCCTTGTGGCATGCTTCCAAAGCGTCTCTCATGACGTTGACGTTACCGGTGCAGTCAAAAGTGTAGTCGCATCCGCCGTCGGTCATCTCGATCAACTTTTGCACGATGGTCTGGCCATCCTTCAACTCGGTAGGGTTGACGAAAGCAGTGGCGCCAAACTTCTCGGCCCACTCCTTCTTCTTGTTGTTCAAGTCCACAACAATGATCTGCTTGGCCTTTCTCTCCTTGGCACCTTGCACAACAGACAAACCGACACAGCCAGCGCCGAAAACAGCAACGTTGTCGCCCTCTTGCACATTGGCAGTGATGGTGGCAGCTCCGTAACCGGTGGTGATACCACAGCCCAACAAACAGGTCTTGTCGAAGCCAGCCTTCTCGTTGACAGCGACAACGGAAACGTCAGCCACAACGGTGTACTGAGAAAAGGTGGAGCAGCCCATAAAGTGCAAAAGATCCTTGCCCTTGCAGTGGAATCTCAGGGTGCCGTCAGGCATCACACCACGGCCTTGAGTCTCTCTCACGGCACCACACAAGTTGGTCTTGCCCGACTTGCAGAACTTACACTTCTTACACTCGGCAGTGTACAAGGCAATGACGTGGTCTCCCACTTTCACGCTGTCGACGCCTTCGCCGACAGACTCGACAATACCGGCACCCTCGTGTCCCAAAATCACTGGGAACGCACCTTCTGGGTCAACACCAGACAAGGTGTAGGCATCGGTGTGGCAGACACCGGTGTTGTAGATCTTGATCCGCACCTCGTGGGCTTTTGGAGGATCAACGGTGATTTCCTCAATGGTCAATGGCTTTCCGGCCTCCCAGGCGACGGCAGCTTTACAGGTGATTGGCTGGCGTTAGTATGGCGACATGGATGAAGAAGTAGGAACGAATAACTTAAACGGAACGGGAAACCGCACTAGAACAGATCATCATAATTTGGACAAAAAGAACAGACGTGAGGAGCCATTCTCTCCATTCTCTCAATTGGGAATGCAGCTTTGCCAACCTGTCTTGATTCTTCCATCCCTTTTGCCTTCTTCGGTCTCCTGCCCAATGGTGTCCTGCCCATGGTTTCCTGCCCAATTGGTCTTTCCTTCCTAATTCTGCTAGTCTTTGTGATTTCCGTAACCACCAAGGTAGCCCCGATTCCTATATATACGTACTTTTCCAACAGTAGACATTATGGTGGTTATTGAAATGTTTCTGCGAAGTCTTTATAAAGTTTGCGCGCGCTCTTTATCATGTTTGCCTGCGGGTCATCTTGCCCGGAAAAGGAAGTCCGCTCCACTATCTGTTTGGCCGCGGGATTTTTTGCCTAATCCGGAGTGGTTTCCAGTGCCACGTTGACTTATCTTGGCCTTTTGGAATGCCTGCTATTCGATTTATAAGCCAATTGCTTGTATGCGGGCGTGGCCTAGTTCTACGTGAAGATGTGTGAAAGCTCAAAAGCCCATCATTGCGCTAATACAAACCATCGGATTAGTACAGTCCAGAAAAAAGACGCAACCTACTCCCATACGTTTTTACTTGGCTCTTCTTCTTTGTACTATTACTAAGCATTCCAGCCGAGACTTCATGTAAGGTTCGAAGTCAGTGTACCTTTGTTCTATTACGTTCCATAGAAGCCGTGGGTTTTTCTTCTACAGGCGTCTTATGGGTGCGGCGTAAGCAAAGAAGACAATGCGGCTGACTGGTAGCAAGACGTTGTTGGATAACAAATCGACTTTGTGCTTTCCACTTGGTGATATGAACAATTTCGTCATGTATCTGTTGACATAAATCTGTTGAAATAAATGTGTTGACATAAATGTATTGACGTATACATCTGTTGACGTATAATCGTCGACGTACAAATCTGTTGACGTACTACGGTATACTAGGCTCGGCTTCTAGAAGTTTGTCAACCTCTGTTCCCTTTCATCTACCCTTCATCACTTAGATGATGTAGTTGTTCACTATGCGTCGACCATGTTTGGCAGCGGTGTCGGATCCGTCTCCCAGATTTGATCACGTTCAGTGGGCGAGTCAAATAAGAATAAGCAGGTCCCGCCACAATATATATGAGGCAAGAATTAGCGAAAATTCACTATTGCTTCGCCCATTGGCTCTCCCATGTCTCTAGGAAGCTGGCGACTTTTGAAGACCACGTATGGTTTAACTATTTCGAACCTCGTTGGTCAGATCAATGCAGATCTTGATGTTCTTCAAAATTGATTAATCACAACGGTCGTCAAAATGCATGCGCTAGTATTGGAGGAAGATTCAACTTTTTAGTATTGGTTAAGAAGACATCGTATGCCCTAGTACTTGTTTCATGTATATGCTAACTCGTAGAATGGAAATTAGCATTACTACGACAAGACCCATGCTAAAAAGGCTTAAATTTAAGTCACAAAGTTTGTCCTCGCTCTGCTAAGCAAAGCAGTAGCAGACCGAAAGTATAGAGATTTATTGTAAAGTGGCAGAATCAAAGTATAATTTTGGATCGCTTAGAACAAGATTATGTGACACATGCCGACAAAGACTCCTCTAATAGCTCTTTCATACTCTTTCTTCAATGAGATTAGCAACATCTAGAGCAAAAGAGGACATTCAAGTTGAGCCTTTCATCCTCATTCGAGTATATGTTAATGAAAATTGAATCACATGTTATTCAATCGTGATTACAGCTATTTTTTGGAAAACTGACCAGCCATGTCATTTGTGCTTTTTGAAGATTGTAAAATTTATGGACATTTATCTTGGTATTTGAGAAGATAGCATAAGATTCTCATGTTCTTGATATGTAATATACTTATTGATGTGTCTGATTTATAGTTAGATATCATGGATCTTGTAGCATTATTACTCTTAAAATTTCTACATGACAGACATATACAATTACTCACTTTGTTTAAATTGCAAAAACACTCGTTTTGGCTATATGTATGCCCGTGCAATGCTATTCGTATGTATATTCCTTTAGATATATTTCCTTCTCCTCTAATCACAAGACTGCACCAAAACCAAACACAATCTTGATCGACCGCACGTAATACTCCTCGAAGTTTCCTCTCACACGGTCTTCTTCCCCAATGGGGATTCCCAGCCATTTCACCACCATGGTTGTTTCGCCTGCGCCTTGCTTCAACTGGATATCGAGCTGGGCATAGTGGCCCTGTTTCCAGTCTTCAAGACGCCAGTCCTGAGTGATGCGTTCGTTGGCCACCAAACGAGTGAAACGGCCACGAATGGAGCCGCCGAAAAGACGGAATTCCGACCCTTCCGATGGTGGGAACGCTTCCATTTGCGGCGAAGAGCGAGACCACGCAGCGACACGTTGTGGATCCAACAATGTGATGTAGAGCTGTTCGGCTGTGGTGTTGAATGTAGGCTCAAGGTGGAGTGTGGAGGTGTTGTAGCGAGGGACTCCGCTTGGAGTTTCTTCTGTCTTGGCCGCTTTCGTTTCCGTCTTCGTTTGTGGAGCCTCCTTCTTTTGCGCTTGTGTCTTTGCCTCCGTCTTGGCCTTGACGCCTTCTTGGTTTTGCTTGGTCAACACCGAATTGACCCGGTCGCTTTCCATCTGGATGTCCGAAGCATGGGCCGCAATCAAATCGGCTCCAAAGTGCAGCAAAACGTCTCTAAGCTGCGGAACAAGCTTGCGCTTGGCCAAAAGCCGCACGTCGTCGCCGCTGGTCTCGTATACGCTCACGTCGAATTGGATCTCGTCCTTCTCTGTGTCGTACGCCAATTCTGGGATGGTGATCGAGCCCTTGACAGAGCCGTCGGCGCCCGAGCCGCTCAAGTCCACCACTATGCGCAAGTCAAAAAGAGAAATCATCTTTCCTTTCCGCTGGCAAACTTCCACGTCGCCTTCTACCGAAGAGACGGAGGAAACAGCAACCTGGGCGCCGTTTTCCTCTGCGGAGAGCCCGCCTACTTTCTCAGCCAAGTACTTTTTGGCCCATTCCATACAGTTTTTGTCGACCCAGTGCCAGTTGTTGGGATTGTTCACCACCATTTTGCTTAGTGAGTAGAAGTGCGTAGATGCTAGATATATAGGTATGCGCGGTTGAAGACTGGTGTGCTTCCAGAAAATTCCGCACAGCGTCTGAAGTGTTGAAGAATTGAGAGAGCTGAACATAACTGAAAGAATTGAAATAACTGAGAGAATTAGCCCTGTTAACAAGCAGAAAAGTAATAAAAAAAAGAAAAGAACATGATAATAAACATGAATAAATATGATGATGAACGATATTAAGCATTAATTAGACATGAATGGACATACATATTAAGCATGAATACTAGACGCAAATATTAGAGATGAGATTAACATGAAGACTAACATGGATTTTTAAACATTAATTTTAAACATGAAGATTAAACATGGATTTTAAACATGAATTTTAAATATGAAGATTAAATATGAAGATTAAACACGAATTTTAAACATGAAGATTAATCGTCACTTCCTTCACTTCATTCACTTCATTCAGTTATCTCCATGTTCTAATTTTGACACACACAAGAGGGTCTCTCTTGCTAGAAAGCCGGATTTCTCCTTTCTCTTGGTCACTTGTAAAGTCCAAAATTGTCTATTCCGGCAAAGAGTTAGTACTATCAAGTGCTGCCCGTTGACTATCTCGTTTGAGACATAAAAGCTATTAATGAGATTTACTGAAATCACTCAAGACCATGATTCACGAGCCAAAACTCCTATTCGTATCCATTGAGCAGACACTTCTAACTAAACACCAATCTCTATTTATGACCATTGATTGATCAACTAATTTGAATAAGTCGGTTCGCCAGTTTGAGGTGGTTGTTTGATTGAACAGAATTCGTGTACGTAGCTTAAAAGCAATCGGCAATTCACATTGAATTCCTACTAAATCAGAGTTATTTGGAACTCACTATCATTTAAACACAGCTTGCTAGTGAATCGTTCCTTTCTGAGCACTTCTATGATAGTAATTAATCGATAAAGTACCAACGACTTGTTTAGGTCGGAATCTTGCAAGATTCAAGGTATTCCAGACAAGGGTAACTTTTGATCCCAGACCCAGCTCAAGTCCCTTACAGAACGTTTTTCGTCTTCTTGTCAGGCTACAGAGACTTCGAATCCGCTCGCAATTTGTCTATTCGTTGCTATCAAGCATCTACGCATCCACCTCCATCGCCTCGGGACCACGCAAGTCCACCACCGTCTCCTCCACGTCCACAAATTCCCGCACAGACTGGCGAATAACCGCCGTGGTGCCCCGTGGGAACTTGTACGAGCGTGCCTTGGCGCTACGGACGTTGGGCGTCAAGTAGTTCCGGAGCAACTGCGCATCCTTGCCCACCTCCATCACACACACGTCCACGTTGGAACCAGAGCCCAAGTCGTTCCAGATACCGGCCTCGATGGCATCGGCACACAACTTGACCGCCTCGTCACGGGTCATGTCAGGCTTCCAGTGTGTTTCCAACACGGCCATGGCCGCCAACGAACCGGACCCAAGCGACTGGTACTCGCCCACGTCGGTGGAACCGTGCGCCTGCACGGACATCAAGTGTGCTCCTGTTGGATCGACGCCGGCCACAATAAGGTACGCGCCCAAGTGGCCCTGGTACTTGAAAAGATGCTGTTTCAACAAGGTCAACGCCGTGATCACGCGTGGCTGGCGCGACTCCCACATGGAGTGGAGCTCGAGGTTCAGCGCAATGAGCTGCGTCACCATCTCCGTGTCCGCAGCAGTGCCGGCGCCCGCACACCAGATGCGGGGGGCCAACCGGTGTAGTTTCTCGCAGTTCTTGTCGGCAACAATGCTTCCGGCGGTGGCACGGGTGTCTGCAGCAATGACAACGCCGCCCGCAAATTTGCAGCCGACAATTGTGGTTCCTGTGGACGTGGCGGTTGGGGTGCCGAATCCTTTGGCGCTGAGAAACTGGTTTCTCTGGTAGTTATCGAAAGAGAGTCCAGGCATGTGGAAAACGGGATCGGGGCTATCGGTAAATAAGAATGGTAAACTAAAACGGCCTTAGATGAGGAAAGTTAAACGCAACCTTGGATAAGCCGCTGAAGTGAAGTAAGAAAAGTGCTGTTGAGAGTGGCAAGGCGAATACACTTGTGGTGCGTGGTGTACGGGTGTGCTCTGGCACTGGCAAAGTATAACCCATTATATATCAATCTTCATTATATATCAATCTTCATTATATATCAAACTTAATTGGGTCTAAAGACAAAAGCTTAGAGTGGATTGGAAAAATTCAGTTGGAAAAAGTCACTTGGAAACTGCTTGAAAGTGTTGTGAAGTTGCACTATCAGAAACTGAATCAAGTGCGAAGCTTTACAAGACCGTAGATTGAGGAAACAACCATAAGAACACTAGCTAAATCCTGAGTTATAATTTACAATGGCAGTGGATCGAACATGTCCTGAGCGAGTATATCCAAAAAATGGTCTTGTTCGTACAATGAATTGTCCCATGGTACTCTCGTTTTCTGTTCCCAATCCTTCCATCTCTGTATATGGCGGCCATTACATTCCTATTGTGAAAGATGAGTATATACAATGGCAGTCATCACTATGGCACTTTACAAGCAGCTCCTTATGTGGGAGGTACGGGTTTTCAGCCGCACCTATACTTTATTTATATTTGGAAAAGCTTCAAGCGCAAAACCGTCCAGCTTCTTGTTTTTCTATCCATAACGTAAAGGGCCCTTCTCTACGGCCTCGTAAGTCTGCAATCAACAATACCCCTCTTTTCTTCTCGTATTGTTTGGCTCCGCCATGATAATTCTGCAGGTGTACGGGTGTCTACGCGCGAACTACACCTCATTCAGTAAAGATTCGATCTACCAAATCAAACGCCAACTACTTTTCTTTCCATTCCTTATTTGCATGTCCCTGGACCGCTTTGCATTTTCAGCCCCGGCGCGAACGAAGGTTCTAGTGGTTCCTGTGGGCGCTATTGGCGCAGGCGCCTTTTCGCGGCGTTTCGACCTTCTTCGCCAGTGTAACGATATTCGTCTTTTGGACGTCGCGCCGCTCCCGTCCTGCCACTTCAACCCACAATCTTTCCCGCAAGGCCGAGTTCTCTACCAATTTTGCACTCAGCCCGACGACGAAACGGCGTTTTTGCACGACTTTGAACCCTTTCGAAAGACGTTACTTGTTGTCGGTTTAGGTGCCGAAACAGGCCCTGAAGATGCTGCAAAAGAGTTGAAAACCCTTGCAGAGAATTATCCCACAGCCATCGTGCACAATTGCATTTTCTTCGGCCTGCTGCTGTCTGAAGACCCCCTGGCGCCAGCTCAGCATTTTTACGTTTCGCCCGAGGCTGAACGTTCGGTCACAGGCGTCGAAACCGTCATGTGTGCTATCACACGCAATTACCTCCAAGCTTTAGACGCTTATGCTGCATCTTTTGCAACTATCACGCTTCGATCCCCGGTCTCCTTGACCGACGGACACGTTCTCACTCGGTCTATCACGTATGCACAAAAACGCTTGAGCTCTGGCCTGGGCACACTGGCCTTTCTGGTCTTTGCAGCCCCTCCAGTTGCCGACTCTAAACTTCGCCTGCTGCAAAAACAATCTGGCCGTCAGGCTAAACTCATGGGCAATTTCTTTTTATTGGCTGGCCGTTGTGCGGACGCACTACAGTACTTCACGGACGCCGCAGTGAATTGCAAAAAAACTGAAGATTACTTATGGCTAGCTAGTGCCTTGGAAGGCTTAGCTGTGGCAGCACTGCTTCTTCTGTTTTTAGGCATGCCCTATCACGTGCAGAATCCCATGCTTCTGGCAGTATTGAATGTGCCGAAAAGTAGGCTCGCACCACCTCAGCAAAGCCGGCTTTCGAGTGAATCTGTGGCTCGTGCTAGTACTACAGCGTCACCCCGAAATTCTGTGAGTTCTGCGTCTCTAGATCTTTCTCGTTTGCATCTTCCGGCATTCTTGCGTCTCTTATGTACAAAGGCGTCTCAATACTATCAATTGAGTACACTGGAAGTGGAAGACTGCGTTCCTGATCTTGTCTATGTGGAATCACTCATCCGCAGTGCCAAATTCTTGGTCGCCGTACATTTGGGCGGTGGGGAGTCTTTACAGGCATTATTGGATTACCTCGTAAAGTCTGTACCGGTTAAACGGTTACCCATACCGGATCTGGCTCTGGTACTGCGCCAGGATATCATCCATGAGCTAGATAAGCTTTTCTCTCTCCAGTTGGTGGATCTCGAATTTACAGAACAATGTCGCGTGTATTGTGCGCTTGCATCTATTTATGCCGACCTTGGGCTCCATCGGAAACAAGCTTTCGTGTTGCGTATCTTACTTGTTTTGCTTCTTCCAAAACTCTCGCATATGGAACAAAATGGTGCCATCGCAGGTATCACGTCTGTGGCAGCAATAAGCAATATACTCGAGCTTCTTTTTCTGGTGTACAAAATCAATTGCGAGCCGGAACTGTCCGCAGTTCTGGCAAAGGAGAATGCATCTAACTGGGTATCATTGCAACTTCAACTCCTCAAAATATGTTTGCGGATAGCAGAGGCACTAAAGGATTTTCATATGCTAGCCAAACTTTGCATTTTGGTTTTCGCCAGATATTCCCATTGCTTGCCAGCTCAGGAACAAGTTAAGATGCGCGACAAGCTCAAATGGCTAACGCTTCTCTTCAACGAGGACCCAGAATCTGTGCCGCTTCCGCATCCTGACCCGTTTCTTGTCCGAGATGCAACTTTTGTATCGACGCTGGCATGTTCTGCATTACAGCCCTTCGTTGATAAAGGAGGGTCAAGCGTACAAAATGGCCCTGTGATTTTCAATCCCTATAACAAAACGAAGCCTTCTCCCACGACCGAGCCAGTTATCTGTGTGAATGATTTGCACCAGATGAAGGTATCGCTTCAGAATCCATTCAAGTTTACTGTGGAATTGTCAGAAATTGAGCTTGTCGCTGACAAGACAACCGAGACTTTGAAGCACCTTGTCAAGCCAGTATCCACGAGTCAAGCGAATATCAAGCCTGAGCTCAGAAACGGTTCGGTGAACCCAAAAGTTTCTATGGTCAGCATGGACCAGTTTCTGGGCCATCTGAACTCTGTTATTTTGCCCCCAACTAGCACAACACAAGTTTTAGTTTCTTTCAAAGCGTTACAGGCGGGTGTCTTGACGGTGAAAGGATTCAATATCCGTGTGGGAGCTGCTCCTCCCCAATTTTTCCAAATTGTTGAGCGGGAGAAGTTCAGCGGGTTTCAAAAGACTAAGCACAATTGCATTAAACACTCAGAAGAAGGTGTCCCTGCCCTCGACAAACTCCTAGACAATTTAAGGAATGGGAGAATCGAGGACCGGGTAGCTACGAAAAAAATCCTGCTTAACGTCATCAGTGCACAACCATCTTTATCTGTGACGAAGAACCTGGTAACGAATGGATGGTTAATGCTACTCGAAGGAGAAAAGAAAAAGTTCACCTTGGAGTTGAGGAATACGTCTGATGTTACGATTGATTACTTATCGTTTTCTTTCTGGGATTCGTACTCAGAAACTATCACCGCCAAGCTAAACCAAACCGCACAGTATACTGTTGAGGACGTTTACGAGCTAGAGTGGTCTCTTATCAAGAAGAAACCTTTTTGTGTCATCAACAAGCAGGAAATTGCATCACAGTATAAGTACATTCAGCCAGGAGGGGACGTGAAGATAGATTATGAAGTCACAGGAAAGAAGGGTATGCTGGAACTCAAGCTCATTCTAGAATATGGCAACAAAAAAACCGATGCTTCGACAATTCCAGATGTCGCAAAATTGAGTTACATGAAGAGCGTTAATGTACCTCTAGAGGTTTCGGTCGAGCCTTCTTTGGAGATCATAGGGTTTGATGTATTGCCATTCTTCTCGTCCTCATTGTATGGATACACCTCGAAGAATGGAGACATGAGCAATGACATTGTTGAAAAAAATATGAAGTATCTTCTCGATTTCTTTACCAAGGCAAAATCAAATGACAAGGATAGCATTTCGAGCTATTGTCTTCTTGTGTTGGACTTAAAGAACTTGTGGAAGCAGAAGCTTCTTGCCAAAGTCACTAACAATGATGTGGGGTTTGCTGTTAACGAAGTGCTTGACTCGATGCAGACAATACGTTTATTGCTCCCAGTGAAGCGGATAAAATTTGACTGCGTCGATGTATCGAAGCCTGTTCCATCGTTGCGAAACAAGCAGTTCGTGAAGAATTATAGCGTAACAGAAGAAGAGGAGGCTGCGATCAGGCGCAATTTTTGGATTCGTTCCAGATTGCTTGAAAATTTGGTGGGCGAATGGGCGACTGTTGGAAAAAAATATCAAAGAGCGGGAGAAATCGATATGAGATGTATTCGTCTCAACAATGTGATGACCAACTCGTTGGTTTTCGATAGTATTCAAATTCAGCACGCCATATTTCTCGCTGATGGCTCGAAGCAAGAAGTTAGTAAGGAAGCAGACAGCTATCACTTGGAGCGTGAGCAGTTTTATGTGTTGAAGACAAAAATCACTAACAACACTCTGCTCACCATGAGCGGAGTTTTGCGCCATGTTCCTTTTCCTGTGGATGCCAATACTAAACAAGACCTCTCCATAGACCAGAAAATCCTTTACAATGGGGTGTTGCAGAAACACATTGGCCGCGGTGCCATAAAGCTGGGAGAGTCGCATGAGGTTGTGCTTCCCTTCATGATTTTGGAGAAGGGCCGCTACGAGTGGGGGTGCGTTTTCGACATTGACGGCACCGGAGATAAGATTCTTGGCCGCGAGCCAGTCTACATCGTGGCGGCATAGTTTACATTGGGCAGCCACGGTCCATGGGAATCCAAACTAGCCTGCATTCGTCACTATATACATTTTTCTGAGGATTGATCCTACTTTCTGTCCAACTTGAAGGGGAGCGGCTGGGCGCCCTCGGCCTCCAATTGCAGAATATACTTTTGTCTTCTGATGTCGTTGTAGCGTTTTTCCTGGAAGTACTTGTACCAGGAAGCCACACAGCTCTGTTGGAACTTCACTCTTTGCTTGCCACAGTTGGATTCGACATTGGCCTTTTCTTTTGGATCAAGCGAGTTGTCGATGTTGTTCGCCGTGAGACATTCAAAGAAATCGTCCCTGGCGTCCCAGCAGATTTTTCTTTTGTTCTTGTTTGGTGGGTCCACCACTTTTTCCTCTTTGCTGAAAAAGCCCATTACTAGTAATAACCTATAGCATGCGCAATGATATTGTATTAGTCGTGGTGCACGGGTGTTTTTGCAAAATTATGTGACACTGTAATTATCTTTGTAGGGACGGTGAAAAATTACGAGGCGGTTGTTTATGAAGGGTGGGGCCAGTTAATTTCAACTAATTATGCATTTTCGTTTTTCTTGCTTCCATTTCCGATTTTTGGTGGTGGTTTTTCTCTCGAGTTTGCATTGTTTGTGCGATTTGTGCGATATGAGACAAAAGTTTGAAGCGATAGTATGGACATCTAAATCTTTGAGGAAAATTATTACACTTTGAGCAAAAACCGAGGTAGTAATGCAAATTTCGTCTCCAATAAGTAGTGTTGGCGTTTACTGAAATAAGAACCTCTAAAAATCACAGTGCAACTTGCATCTTAAAAGGCTCTTCCACAACCAGATAGTCTAAAATGACAAGATCTGTACTAATTTGCTTGAATGAAGTTGAATATAGTTATTCATACGACTGCGCTTGATGCTAGCTGTCGACTTCCAGATAAATAGTTTTATACACCTACTGTGAGATGTTCAGTCTCCATTCCACGTGGAATGGTGTCATTCCAAAAAAGTACTGTAACAATGTTAGAATTGTACTTTCAGATTCTAGCATTCCCATTGTTCTCGAATTGGTTGATAGTTGTCAATTGTGAGACAAAAAAAAAGTCACACACATTGATTGTCTTACTATCTGCAACATTTACTCTCGAGAAACTTCATTCCTTAGTTTTATTATGTTTTATCATGCAGCTTTTAAATCGCCGTACACTTTTCAGTCATCGTGCGCAAATACGGCATTTTGTGCGGAGAAACTCTTATATATACCGGCTTTCTAGTAGAACTTGCAACTGTCCTGTTGCCAGCTTGATTATTGACTCCACCTTGATCGCTTGATTATTTAGTCCATCTTGATCGCTTGATTATCTATTCCGTCTACTGATCTATTGATTATCTATTCCCTCTACTGGTCGCTTCGCTCATCTATTGATCTGTTGATCCATTTGATATTCCCTACATTCTTACCTTCGCTCCACGTCTAAAATATTTCGACCATGCCAAGCGGATCTGACATCGAGATCCAAGAGGACCACACTCACGACCACACGGTTTTCAAAGTCCGGTACCGGCAAAACTCTGTGTCTACCATCGACTCTGTTTCAAGCCAGGGCTCGCTTCGTCTTCCCGTCATCAAAGTTTTGGGAACGGGCGGAACCATTGCCGCCAAGGGCTCCACCGCTTTCCAAACCGCGGGCTACCACGTCGATCTCGCCATTGAAGATCTCATTTCCGTGATTCCCGACTTGTCCCACACATGCGAATTGCGCTTCGAGCAAGTGTTCAATTTGGACTCCAAAGAGTTCACGGCAAAACAGCTTTTGGAGCTCCACGCCAAAGTGGAGGCCGATTTGCAGCACCACGACGGCGTGGTGATCACTCACGGCACAGACACTTGCGAAGAAACGGCGTTTTTCTTGGACTCCACCATCGAAAGCGACAAACCTGTTGTCATGTGTGGAAGCATGCGGCCGCTGACGTCTGTGCTGGCCGACGGGCCTTCCAACTTGTACCAAGCATGTGTTGTGGCTGCAAATCCTCAGAGCCGCCACCGTGGTGTTTTGGTCACCTTGAATGACAAAATTGGCCTGGGCTACTACATCTCGAAAACCGACGCCAATCTGTTGGACACATTCAAGCTGTTGGGCCACGGGTACTTGGGAAACTTTGTCAACGGCGAGGTACACTACTACTTCCCACCGCAGCGGCCCACGGGTCGCCGGCTTTTCCGTTTGGGCACGGCACCGGCTTTACCGGAGGTCATTGTGTTTTACGCCCACCAAGACTTCAACCACGACTTGGTTAAGCTTGCTGTGGAAAACTTGGCTGTTGCCGGCATTGTAATGGCAACAATGGGCGCCGGTTCTTTGCGTGACGATACCAATGCTATGTTGGCTGAGCTTTCACAGAAACATGAGATCCCTGTGGTATACTCCAAAAGATCTATGGACGGTATGGTTCCAACCGGAGCAATGCCAAAGGGGCGCTACTTGGTTGCGGGAGGCTATTTGAACCCGCAAAAGGCCCGTCTCCTCTTGCAGTTATGTTTGAATGACAAAATGGGCATGCCGCAGATCAGAAAAGTGTTTCGGGGCGTGTATGGGGGTTGATAGTGACGAAGCCGTCTGATATAGAACTATTGACCATTATAGACTAATAAATAGAAGGCAACATTAGAGATAGAGCATGTGGTGCCGTGACATTGTAAAGACAGGCCTGGCCCTTCTACGGCAAAAAGTTTTTCCCAATTTTGAACCGCTAAGCTAAAAGAGTGGCATATTTCATGACAGTAATAACGAACTATTTCGAATATTTCTTTTAATAGCCTGTACCCTTTGAAGGGAATTCTTGACGAGTAACTATCCCAAGTGCAAAACACTTTAAAAAAGTTCAATCTCCGTAATTATAAATGCGATTAGTAATTGCTGACTTGGCATCTGACATCTAAAGGAAATTAGTCATTTCAGAGCTTTAGGTAATTTAAATGGTCTGGCCAGAAATTAGTGGGCACATTTTGCGGATCCTCGAGTAGCATTATTCCCTTATCTCCGGGATCTAGGCGAGAGTACTATTCTTACCGAGATAGAAATGATCAGATAAGCATTTCGTATTATTCAGCAAATAGGCTAGATCAGTCACCGGAATTGAAGCCGGAAAAAAGAAAGACAAATGGTATCAACTAACATAGAGCAAGCGTTAAAGTCCACGAACTAGAGAATAAACCTGCTAATACAGAAGATTCACAGCTCAACGCAACCTTCGCATGTCTTGTTCAAAAAATGAAAGTGTCCGAACTTTTATGTTTGGGAATCAGGTTAAAAGTTTTCTGGCTGGTGAACCCCCAGCTTAAAAATCTACAATAGGTACATAAATGTTACATTCACGCGTCTATCAACACGGCTGGGATGGAAACAATAGTGATATAAATTAAACTAACCCCGTTCCTAGGCGTACGCCTTCTCAACATCCTTCTTGTACGCCTCAAGAATCTTCTTTCTCTGCAACTTTTGCGCCGATGTGACAAAGCCGTTCTGAGGGGTCCACTCGTCGTCGATCAACACGACATTTTGAAGAAGCTCAATTCCCTTCAATCCTTGCGACTTACCAGTAGCCAACAAAGACTTGTTAACCGCATCCACGACTTTCTTGTCGTGGTAAAACACGGAGATTTCCTTATGCTTCAAGTCTTCTTCTTTGCAGAGACGCTCATCAAGCAAAAAGTTCTTGAGATGCTGCTCGTTTGGCAAAATCATGGCAATTGGTTTCACCTTGCTTTGGTCAGCGTAGACACAAATGTTGAGCACAAGTGGGTTAGATCTGTAAGTGGACTCCAACTTTTCCAAGGCAATATATTCACCGTTGGCAGTCTTCACCAAGTTTTTCTTCCGGTCAATGATCTTCAAGTGTCCGTTGGATTGCCATTCACCAATGTCACCGGTCTGGAACCAGCCGTCTTCAGTGAAGGCTTCAGATGTTTCCTTTTCATTCTTCCAGTACTCTTTGGTAATAGAAGCTCCCTTCAACAAAATCTCACCTTGGTTGTTCTTGGCAAAATATCCAGCATCTGGAACATCCACCAACTTACATGTAACGGTACCAACCAAACTTCCGACAACACCATATTCAAAGTTTGGAAGTTCAAGAATACAAGCGTTCGCACAAGTTTCAGTCAAACCGTAACCAATCAACATAGGGCAGATCAACGTCGTGATGAACACTTGTGTGTCTCTTGAGATAGGAGAGCCTCCATTCAAAACAACACGCAATTCACCACCTGTAGCAGCCTTGACTTTCTTGAAAATAATATCGAAGATCGACGATCCAGGAATGTGGAGCAGTTGCATGGTGGACTTGGCCTTAAAGGACGCCCAGAAGATTTTCTGAACCACAGATGGCAACTGCTTAACCTTGGCCATAATTCCCTTTCTCACATTCTCCCACACCGTGGCAACACCAACCATGATAGTTGGACGGAACTCAGCCAAGTCCGACTCACAGTTTTTACAAGAGGCATCGGTCAATGTCTTAACGTTGGCGTAGCCAAGACAGCCACCCCACCAGAAAGAAAGCAACTCGAAAACCATCTCGAAAATATGTGCCAAGGGCAAAAACGCAATGATACGGTCAGTAGGCTTGACCAAGTCTCTGCTTGCATTGGTAGAAGGACCTGTAATACCAGCCAAGATGTTAGCCTGAGTTAAAACGACACCCTTAGGTTCGCCTGTCGAGCCCGAGGTGTACATGATACACGAAATGTCTTCTGGCTGGGACTTGTGCTCGAAAGGAGTGTCGACCAAGTCTTTTCCTTTGGCCAAGACCTCTTCGTATGAGAAGAATTGGATATCTGGACGCACTTCCAAAATTTGCTTCTTTGCCTTTTCAGCCTCCTCGTAAATTCTGCCGCCATCTCTCTTGTCGGCAGGGTCAATTTTCTCCGAGTGGATGATTGTTCTCACGTGCGGGGTCTCCTGTAATGGCTTAATCAAGGCAGAAAGAAGCCCATTGTCAGTGAAGACAGCATTCAGCTCTGTCGAGACCATAGAGTGGATCAAACCTTTTTCGCCCAAGGTGTCGTAAGCAGTCACCACAGTGATGTTTTGGTGTTGCGCCGCCAAAAACGTCTTCAACCACTTTGGAGACGTCGACGCAAAAATGTGAAGCTTGTCAGAGCTTGGCTTCAAGCCGATCTGGGCAAATCCATGCGCAAGCGCCTTGATGTCGCTGTAAACCTCAGGATAGGTTTGATATTTGTAGTGAGACATCTCGTAGTAAGTCCATGCCTTGTCGACTTTCTGCTCCTCGCCATCGACAATCTTGGTCACCTTCTTCGTCTCTCTGTGGACTTCGATCAAATCTCTCCAGCCCATACATCTGCGGTGGGTGTTTCTGGCCACACATTCCTCGAGATACTCGGTGACGACATTGGCTTTGGAGTCGAGCGGTCTGATCAATGCAGCGTCTTTTTGCGCAGTTCTTCTTCTGGGAGCAGTTTCGCCGGGTTTCGCCGGACCAACAGGAACAGTCGTTGGAGCCATTGTATAGTTGGATAGGATTTGCTAGCGGAACAAGTAGGTTGCGGAACAAAAGCCGGACGGAAAAATGGGTGCACGCAACTATTTATATGGGTGCGAGTGCGGAACACAAAAATGCCACCATGCGCAAGAGAATCCTTGGTGCAAAGAGGGGTTTTGCCTGTTTGGTCTTTTGCCATTGAGAATGACCATATTACGTCGAAACAGTGCATCTATTTTCTTTTTTTCATAATCATTTAAATTCTCTTTCTTGGGTCAATGCCTTTTACGATGGGAAAGCCTTGGCCATTTTTTGGGCCCAACTTTTTCTCATGCGTAGAATACCCAATTTAAAGATACGGCAGAAGTGTATGCATCGCCATTGCGACATTGATGCATTTACGTGACTTGCTCGGTTCGGTTTCCCTCGATCCGTTTATATATCGGGGCGTTTTTTTTTTGCAGCCAGAGGCTAATTTGAACATGGCGCACGCAGACACATTTTTTGTTGGGTCGCACATGACGGATCCCTATGCGCTGGGGAAATGTCGCGTAGCTCCAAATAGCGCCATTGAGACTTCTGCATGTCCCAGTACATAAGGTCGCTTCTCGGTCGTGAGTAAATGTCGCTCGTGGGTGCCATTGCGTTCTTGTCGACATGCTTGCAGCACGTCTCTCTGCGGCTCTTCACATCTGCACGAGTGCACTTTGTGCGTCATTTGCAACTGTATTCACATGTAGGGATCACTCCCTGTGGTTCTGCACACGGCATTGCTTGAGACCAACAGTGGCAACAGTGTCTAATTCACCACTTATCGTGTCTTATCTAACACATGAGATTTTTTTCCACTGTGCTTTTGAATTGTCTTATCATTTTGAACGCATTTGAATTACTTGATTATAGAAAGAATTTAAAGTATTCGACTTTTCAATTATCTGAACTATTTTCAGCTCAATTACTTAAATACACCTCAAACCAATCTCTCTTCAAATCTCAACTCGTTGTTGATAGGCATTCCGACCAACAATCTCAACAAGTTTTCCACAGCCAATCTTTGCTTATTCAAGCCATTGATGGCCTTGAAGCCAGGCTTGGCTAAAGGTGCCTTTAACCAGTAGCTCAACAATGTCAAGACAGAGTAGAAGCTCTCGTACTTATCGCTGCCAACCTTCTTGTATGTCACTCTTTGGAAAAACTCTGTCATCACCACCAAATCAATAATCAAAGGTGTCGCCAACAACGAATCTTCACAGACATTGTGGATGGAAATTTTGTTGTGCCCGCCCAACATCAATTCCGAGTAATATTCGTCCATGGCAACTTTCGAGTCTCCGACAGCTGGCAAGTACTTGATCACAATGCAGTGGTCCACTTTGTTGCCCGTTTCTTCATTGTACAAGATTTCGTTGGACTCAATCATGTCGTCCACAACAGACTGCTTGGAAATTTCCTTGGACCTGAACTGTTTAGGCGCAGACAAGTTAAATCCGTCGTTGTTTCCCAAATGGTTGTACGATGCGATGGAAAGAGGCTTGATACCGGCATCCACGAGGAATTGGGCCAAAACAGACTTCACTTTGGTTTGGCCACTTTTGAAGTCGTCTCCGCCAATGAAACTTTGGTGCTTTTCTGCCAACTCAATGGCACCAGGAACAAAAGTGTTTTGCGGAGATCCGTTGATATATGGAACCTGCTCCAAGATACATGCCACGGCGAAAACAGTAGAAGGAGAGACCTCATCATGGTTATCCTTAATAGCCTTGAGCAAGTTGTCTGCTGTGTCATTGACTCCACTCAAAATGTCAGAGTATCTTTCTGTGTTGGCAGTCCACAAGACAATAACCTTGTCCAAGCCATTTTCTTTTTTGAATTTTTGAATGTCACTTCTGATGCGTTCTACATCCTTCCACTTGTCACCAGTGGTGACATTGCCTTCTTTGTCCACATTGAATACGTTGTCTGCTCTTTCCTTTTGGTTCATGGCAATGAAATCCGGATAGTACACAGAGGGCAATGGGACAATCTTGTCCATGTGCTGAACCAACTGTCTTTGCAAGTCGTGGTCCAACACTTTGGCTCTCTTCATGGCCTTGTCCAATGGCAACTTGGAAATGTCCCATCCTCCAATAACCAAATCGTTAGGATGAACAAAAGGCAAAATGGAGTTGAATGGAGCGTACACATCGTTGCCCTCCTTGTCCACACCAAGCTTGATGGTGGAAGATTGTGTCACAGAGCCGTAGTAGTTTGGCTTGACCACACATTCTTTGTTTTCGAAAGAGATATTGTGCTTATTGGCCAAAGTGGCTGCAACCATAGTAGTTCCGTTGTTTCCGCCCAATCCAACGAGCATCAAACCTGTTTTAGGCACCGACAAGTCCACTTTGAACTCGTATTCTGTCGCAGTAGGAGTGACGGAAAGCTTGCCGTTGGCTTGTTTTTCCACCGTGGCAGACTCATAGGTGAATTTGGTGTAAAGTGCTCCATCTTTGGAGACAGCGTTGGTGTTGAAATCGACAGACATTGAGAGAAGTGGTGAGAAAAGAATGAATTGTCGTCAATACTAGGACCACACGTCTCCCTTTTATACCCTAATTTTTTTCCAGACCGCCAATCGGAACGTTAAAATGAGCTGCAAGACCCGGAGGGGAATATCCTGCACAATGCTGCACGTTCGCCGAGTTTTCGCCGGATGGCCTCCTTGTGTGCACGTCCAATTCCCCAACACATAGCCACTTCTTGTTTGGGACACCCCTAGTCCATAAGTACAGGGCGACGCGCCTTCTCATTGGACAGCGGCCGTTTGTGCTTGACTTTGTTTACTTCCACTTTCATGCTAATTTCACATGCCTAGCCGACAGTGGGATGTGGTTGGTCAAAAAGTATATCCTGGCATTTTAATTCGTGGCTGGAGTTACTTTAAAATTTCTCGCGTCAACTTTTGTCCGAACTGCGGCATTATTCAGGTAGCTCGTAAGTTCTGTTGAAACTAATCGAGTAAGTATTTTCGATGTGAAAAGCCTCAACAAGTTGAAAGAAAAAAGCCATCAAGATTCTTAAATGACGAAAGCGAATCCTTCAAGAAGATGATTACATACACATCAGTTTATCTGGATACAAACATTTTTATAAAGTGGAAAATAACTCTAGTTGCTTCTAACCGCATTTGAATGGACTGATAGATTTCCAATTATTTTTGAATTCAGAACTTCTTTGATGCTCTATTCTACTTAGAACCCATTGTCCTTCGGTGGATGCAGAAGCTGGTTTTCCTACCTTTTCCGTCTCTGTGGAGATTTATCAGGCTTGTTTGTCAACTTCAGGCTTTGTCTGCATTAATACACTGAATTACTTAACAAAGCCCTCCACATGGTTTCAATTAGATATCAGAGCAAGTGTTTGTATAACTTTGGAGAATCCATTTTACTGGATGTTCTCCAACTGACTGACAAAGCCCCACAAGCATTGGTGAGAATGCAATCATCATAATCGGAGGCTACATTTTCATCTTGGAAGTGGTCGGGAGGAAGCATTGATAGAAGCTTAATCAAGTAAGCTGAAGTAGTTGTAAGCCAGTGTGTAAAATGGCTTAGACCAAATGACGACAGCTTCTAACTGCAGAATCTGAAGGTTGCCTCTAAAAGGCGAAAACAACGTATTGTGAAACTCAAAGAGGCTTTCCACTACTTTGATTGGTATAAAAGCCTGATATGAGCGTTTCTGTTTCCTTTGGGTCATTTTATGATACCGACTTTTGTTTATCATTCTGCCCAGATTGTATGATGAACTTTTCTGCCATAACTGCCATTTGTTTTTTTCCTCTGAGAATTCTTTCGTTCTACTAATCAAATGTAGGTGCAAAGAAGTATCTCACCTTATTTTTCTGTGACGTGGTACGATTATTATTTCACCTTGCAAGGCTAATGGTTAGATCTTGCATTCGCAGTGACTCGAGTGCAGGTGTATCTTATGCGCCATTTAGATTCACAGCTAAACAAAAAAATAAAATGGCCACTCATAGAAGAAAGCTTTGTGATAGTAGCAGAGTAAATCAGTCTTGGTTTTGTTCAATTGCATATGTGTAACAGTAAAACAAATATTGTCGTCCACCTTTAAGCATGATGCAACAGCCAACATACATTACAATATGCCTCTGACGAAATGCAACAACGACATAAGAATTTTGTCTCACTAACCATCTCCACTAACCATGACCAAAAAGTTGACAACCGTTTTGGTCATCTTTTGAGAGGCAGACTTGCCAGAAACGGAACTAACGGTTTTCGGCCCTTGGCAGTACATAAAGTATGACGTTTTGGCACATGCTGCAAACCATCATTTGACCTCGAGGGAATAATTACGTCCCAAAGCGAGAGATTTCGGAGCTTCATCCCGAGGATACGGTGAACTTTTACCAAAGTGCAACGTTTTTAACCTGAAAAGTCCATCCAGCAAGCCATGGTGCGTGCATATGCGCACGATACTTTAGATGGTGCAGGTTTTTGCATCATCTCAACAAGTCAAAGAAGTTTTCTAACGTCCAACGTGGACAGATGTGCTGCAACCTATTCGACACATGCGGCAAAGAAAAGTCCCAAAATTGCCATTGGGGATGTTCCTTCAGGACTGTGGGATATCACGCAGTTTTCCGACTCTAGGCCCCTTTTTGTTTTGACTGAAAGAGTGTCTTGTTGCAAGCTACGATTTGGTAGCCTTTTGCCGAGCATTCCCCAAGATCCGCGTTTCGATTGTTTGCGGAGTCCGACATTGTGTTGAAGGAGTTGACCAAGGTTTTTTAGTGAGGAACACCTCCTGTGCGACGCGCGACATACGCCTAGATGCGTTTTCGACTGCGTTTTCATAGACGCACCTCATCCACGCGTCACTCGCGTTGAATTCTGTCTATTTCTGCCTGAGCAAGTCGCTGAAAAGACTACGGTGGTCTTTGTAACACACAGAATTGACCTATGACATCCTTGGGACCCTCAAAAGGGGAAAAATTTGAGCTAGAACGAGAAAAGAAAACGACGACCCTGCATATATGCGTCGTAATGTAGACGCATGCACGTCCCGCAGAAGTGCTGGCCCTCATTCATTTGGGTGCAATCTATCTCCTTCTTGAGACAAATGGCGGTTTCCACAACAAACAAACAGCGCCTTGCGTCGTCCGTGCGTCATAGAATGTTTGGCTCATCGAGCAACGGGGTTTGCCCAGACTAATTGAAACATCCCATATATAATACCCGTGTGTCCCCCCATGTAACACCTCAAACTTCTCCATTCCTTTATCTCTCCACCAGTGCTTGTGCCACTCCTTTCACAGCAACTAAAACACCAGCCAATGCTTACTAGTGCAGTGCTTTTTCTTTTGGGTGCGCTTGTCGCCACTTCCAGTGCTTTTCTGGCCGCGTCCAGTAGTAATGTCGCATTATACTGGGGCCAGAACTCCTACGGCAACCAGCAGCGTTTGAGCTACTATTGCGCAATGGACTCTGTTGACATTGTCATCTTGTCTTTTGTCACGGGCTTCCCAAACTTGTCCTTGAACTTCGCCAACCAATGCAGTGACTCATTTAGCGACGGTTTGCTTCACTGTTCGCAAATTGCAGAAGATATCAAGACTTGTCAGGACCAAGGTAAACTTGTTTTGCTTTCCTTAGGTGGAGCCTCGGGAGCTTACGGATTCCTGAGTGACAGCGAGGCCGAGACTTTCGCCACGACTTTGTGGAACAAGTTTGGCGGTGGAACCGACAGCGAAAGACCTTTTGACGATGCAGTCGTCGACGGATTCGACTTTGACTTGGAAAACAACCAGTCCACCGGTACCGTGGCGCTTGGGAAAAAATTGCGGGAGATTTTCCTGACAGACTCTTCGAGAAAATACTACTTGTCTGCCGCTCCTCAATGTCCATACCCCGACGCTTCCACCGGAGCAATGTTGGCGGGCGTAGACATGGATTTTGCCTTTATCCAGTTCTACAACAACTACTGCCAGTTGGGCTCCAACTTCAACTGGGACACCTGGCAATCGTTTGCCGAACAGACGTCGCCTAACAAGAACATCAAAATGTACGTCGGATTGCCTGGTGCCACCAGCTCGGCGTCAACGGGCTATGCCGACTTGGCCACCGTGGAAAAGTACGTCACTTCCTCAATCAAGCTGAGCGCCAACTTCGGTGGGTTCATGTTGTGGGACGCTTCGTCAGGCGAAAGCAATGTCGATAGCACAGGAAAGTCATTTGCGGCGCAACTCAAGGAGTATGCGGCCTCTGGCGCAGGTGCTGCTTCGGCCGTTTCTTCTGCTGCCTCTTCTGCTGTCTCTTCTGCTGTTTCTTCTACTGTCTCATCGTCTGCTCCAGCTATCTCATCTGCTACCTCATCTGCTCCAGCTGTCTCTTCTGCCGTTGTTTCTTCTGCTGTTGCTTCTTCTGCTGGTTCTTCTGCCGCTGTTTCTTCTGCCTTTTCATCTGCCGTTGCTTCTTCTGCTTCTGCTGTCGTCTCTCCCGTATCTAGTTCTGTCTTCAGTTCTGCCCCAGTTCTTGTTTCGAGCCCCATCACCAGCTCTTATGTTCCTCTCACTTCATCGGTCTTCAGCCCCGTTCCTTCTGCTGATCCTTCTGTTCCAACCTTCAGCCCTAACACCCTTGAAACCACAACAGCTGTCTACAGCTCTCCTGCTCTCACCCAATCACCTGAGGTGTCGCTGGCCCAAGAAAGCTTGGCCAGTCTCACTCCTATCACCATCACCGAAGTTTCCGATGCTTCGACAGTCACCATCAGAGGATCTGTGATCACTCACCGGGTGACAAAAACACGGACTGTTTCGACTCGTTATGTTACAGTCACGATCTACAGCGCGCCACCTGTCGGTTGGTAATGAACCCTAATGAATACCCAGTTTTGAAATATATATGTAATAGATACGATTTTTGAACCCAACGTAAGAGGATCTAGAGCTGTCGCCGTATGAGATGTTTCTCTATATCTAGCCCTTGTAAAAGCCGCCTTAGTTTGCTGTTGAGGTACACAGGACCAACTTTTGCGCCGCTCCAAGAGGCCAAGTCAAACACGTCTTGTGCGTCTGGTTGCATGGCCAGCATGCGTATATGCGCCATGGGTATGCTCGATGTATTTAACTGTGCATGCGCCAGTGGGGTCAATGGCTCGGGCGACACTAGAAACATGAACGTTGTACGCCGTGCGGTCCTGGTCTTGACGTGATAGTCATAAATGCCTCCGAGCTCGCGCACAACAGTGGCTCCAATCTTTCCCGAGTGGTTTTTGCACTGTACCAAAACAGAGACATCTGAAGCCAAGTCAATGTCGCTTTTCGCTGCAAGCGCACCTGCTGCAGCCTTCCCTGCGCGTTGATACTGCGACAAGTCCCATTGACCAAATAGATCGATACCATAATCTCCTGTGCCGCCACTCCGAGTCAAATTCTGGCAGTTCAATTGGGACTCAAGCACATGCTTTACTGCGAGCTCGTACATGGTCCCACGAAAAACGGAAGATTGGAGATTCGTGTCGTTGCTTTTGCAATATTCCAAATACTGTTGGCACGATTGGACATCGCGAAGAATCAGAGCGTTACGGGAGGATGAGACCCTACACGCAAGGAATATCGCTGTCTTGTATCTGTAATGATACCGCACAGACGGTAGACTTTTGCCTCTAGCAGTAGGGCAGCGCGGTATGTAGATCATGGGCGCTATGCATGTAGCGAGAGAGAAACAGAATTCTGAGACACCATGTCCGACATGGTAGCGCGCACCTGCAAGTACAACCACTTCACCAATCCACGACATTTGTCTCCTTTGAATATGGTCCGCCTCTCAGTGCTAGCGCTTTTAGCTGCAGCACAAGCTGCATCCCTTGAAATATTTGCATCTAACGTGCATACATCAGACCGCACCAACGTCGGTACGCTTTCCATATCTGGTGAAAACGCCACTTTTGATGCTCGTGCAGATTTACCTGTTGGAGGCTATGTTTTCAGCACAGACGCTTTCGAACGCTTTGCTTATGCCGAAGTGGAAAATGGTCTCGCCGGCGAGTTTCTTGTCTACTTGGAAGGGCAGGAGGTTGAAAAATTGGCATTTGTACCGGGCGGAGAAGGGCTTACTCTGCGTGTCGCGCATGTTGCTGTTGCACCATTGCCCAACTTGAAGCCTGCTAAAGCTGCAGCTGCAAAGAAGCCTGCAATGCAGAAAGTCATCAAAAAGAAAACGGTGCAAACCGAAGATGGAGAGAGCGTAGTGGTTGAAGAGGAAGTGGAAGAAGAAGATACCCGCTCTTTCATGCAAAAGTACTGGATGTACATAGTGCCGCTTTTACTTTTGATGCTTTTGATGCCCGAGCCGGAAGAAGAGAAAAAGGCTTAGGCGAATGGGCAACAGTCTTCAACTGACATAATAATGAGCCAAAGAAAATGAACAAGCATGTCTAGCATAGGCTAATGAGGAAAGCAGAAAGCTGGTCTTGAATGTCGTAGAACCACGGAAGGTAAAAGCAAACCTTTCATATTTTGCAAACGAAATGTCGTTTGGAGCAGTGGAAACTGCCTTTATGTCGTAAGAACATGGCACATACCCACTCTTGATATACTCATTTTGTGTTATTTTTCTTTCTCTCTTTTTCTTTTCTTCTTCATGAATCAAACTCTCTTTCCATACTTAAACATGCCATGTTTTTATGACAGCCGAGTTGGCCACTTACAGTTTTAACCGTTGTGAGATTAAGTGCACATACAAAGATGTACGGAATCGGCAAATTTAAAGAAGAAGAAAGATTTTAAGAGTCCAAACGAATATCACAGCGAACGCTGTTTTTATATTTTACGGTGTTGCTATAGTGGACCAAATTGCTAACCGCTAGGAGATTTTAGCAGCCATGAAGATGTTACTTTCCTAAAACCCCTGTGATGTCTCACCAGTGACGTATACTTTGTTCCCATTCAATGTCGCGCATGACAACTTCCGTCATTGTCTCGTGTGTCGTTTATCATGTCTCTCTGCCGCAGGTTTCATGTCATATTGTGCTAGCACTGGTTTGTCTCTGTCGTGTCCCTGTCTGGCGGTGTGTGCGCGCATGCAGGCAGCCTATCACAGCTGCACCATTCGCATTTACCATTCGCATCTCCACCACAAATTTCTCACCACACTTCTTCCCATGTTCAGATCCAGAGCGAGACACTTTTGCATGTCGGCCCGCCGCTGGGCGGACGTGCAAGTCACAGTGGATGGTAAGACCGTGCTGATCGAGGCTGGCTCGTCCATCATCCAGGCTGCGGAAAAGGCCGGCGTCACCATTCCGCGCTACTGCTACCACGACAAGTTGGCCATTGCTGGTAACTGTCGTATGTGTCTCGTCGATGTCGAGCGCATGCCCAAGTTGATTGCATCGTGTGCAATGCCCGTGCAAAATGGCATGGTGGTGCACACCACCAGTGAGCGTATCACCAAGGCGCGCGAGGGTGTTACCGAGATGTTGTTGCAGAACCATCCTTTGGATTGTCCTGTTTGTGACCAGGGTGGTGAGTGTGACTTGCAAGAGCAGTCGCAGCGGTACGGGTCCGACCGTGGCCGTTTCATGGAGGTGGCCGGAAAGCGTGCCGTTGAAAACAAGGCTATTGGACCTTTGGTCAAGACGCTGATGAATAGATGTATCCACTGCACGCGGTGCGTGCGGTTCATGAACGATGTTGCGGGTGCTCCAGAATTTGGTACTGCTGGCCGTGGTAACGACATGCAGATCGGCACCTACGTCGAGCGCAACATCAACTCCGAATTGTCGGGAAACATCATCGACTTGTGTCCTGTGGGAGCATTGACCTCGAAGCCATATGCATTCAAGGCCCGTCCATGGGAGTTGAAACGCACAGAGACCATTGACGTCATGGATGCTCTCGGTTCCAACGTCCGTGTGGACGCCCGTGGTGCCGAGGTGATGCGTGTGATGCCCCGTGTCAACGATGACATCAACGAGGAGTGGATCTCTGACAAGTCGCGGTTTGCATGCGATGGACTCAAGACCCAACGTTTGACCACGCCTTTGGTGCGCAACGGCGACCGTTTTGAGCCTGCGTCCTGGGACGATGCCTTGGCAACCGTGGCTGCAGCCTACAACAAGCTTGCTCCAAGCGGCAGTGAATTCCGTGCCGTTGCCGGTGCTTTGGCTGACGCTGAGTCTATGACTGCTCTTAAAGACCTTGCTAACCGTTTGGGCTCGGAAAACACCACCACAGACGTGAAGCAAGTTGCCCTTAGCGGCGTGGACGTGCGTTCTAACTACGTATTCGGCTCGACCATTGACGGCATTGAGGATGCTGACCAGATCTTGCTTGTGGGTACCAACCCTCGTCATGAAGCTGCTGTGTTGAATGCTCGTATCCGTAAGGTGTGGTTGCGTCTGGACCTCGAAATCGCTCACGTTGGCCAGGAGTTCGACTCTACCTTCAACATGACTCGCTTGGGTGTCTCTGCCAAGGACTTGGCCTCCGCTTTGGCTGGCTCCTACGGCAAGAAGTTGGCTGGTGCTAAACGCCCTATGATTGTCATTGGCTCGGGTGTGGCTGCTTCTCCAGATGCTGAAGCCATCTACAAGACCGTGGCTGAGTTTGCCGCCAAGAACAACAACCTCCAGAGTGAAGAATGGAACGGTGTCAATGTGTTGCACCGTGAAGCTGCTCGTGTGGCCGCATTGGACCTCGGTTTCCAAAGCAACGACTCTACGACGCCTAAGTTCGTGTACTTGCTTGGAGCTGATGAGATTGCTGCTCGCGACATCCCCAAAGACGCCTTTGTCGTGTACCAGGGCCACCATGGTGATGCTGGTGCCGCTTTGGCTGACGTGATTTTGCCTGGTTCTGCTTACACAGAAAAGTCGGCTACGTATGTGAACACTGAAGGCCGTACACAGATCACCCGTGCCGCCACAAATGCCCCAGGTGCCGCTCGTGAAGACTGGAAGATCGTGCGTGCCTTGTCCGAGTACTTGGGTGCGCCATTGCCATACGACGACTTGTACGCCGTGCGCGAGCGTATGGGCGAGATTGCACCATCCTTGGTGCGCCACGAGGTTGTGGAACCAGTTTCCGTTGGTATTGCCAAGCTTGGTCTCCAACAGGCCGCTGGCAGCCATGCCCAGGTTGGCAGCAGCGAGTTGAAGAACCCAATTGCCAACTTCTACTTCACAGACGTGATCTCGCGGTCGTCGCCCACGATGGCCAAGTGTGTGGCGTCTTTTGGCGCCAAGATCGACAAGATCACAGACCCAAAGCCAGACGTCAACTTCTAGGCCCTCTGCATCGCCACTAAGTTATTGAGCATAATATACTGCGCGTAGGCTAACAATACATTCATTCATGTTTCGAAAACAGTCGTAGCGATAATGTATCTTCTTGAGGCACCATGGGAATCATGGAAGGTGGGAATCTTCTCAGGAATCATTGAAGGTTGGAATCTTCTCAGGAATCATTGAAGTTTGGAATCTTCTCGGGAATCATAAGAGTCAATAATCGACAGGAGGAAAAAGAGATACATCCTATTGCTTACTGTTTACGGACTGTACCAGTCAATCTAACCAAGGGATCAAACCATGCGTGAATTTGAATACACAGTAAAATTTCCTTCACCCGTATTTATATGTGGCCAACGTTATGAGGTGAAAGTAATTATTGGTGTTTTGGCTGGAATCGTCCGCTTTCTTCTACAGTACCAAGAAAGTACATCAGTCGAGTAGCTAATGAAGGATTAATATTATTAATATTAATATTTTCTTTAATAGTTTTACTATTAATTGATATTTTAATTATATTAGCATTGACAAAAAGAAATGAGTGAGAACTAGCGAAGAAATGAAACTAGATAGAGTTAAGAAAGCTGATCAACATTTCAAATTGATATGCACATAGTCTTCCATAGGCAATTGCCAAATGCCTTGGGTAATCGACTTCACATCTGATTATCGTGATGATTCATACAATTATTCAATTTGGGAAATTAGTATCGGCATAGATACATGAGTTCCTTCGTCGCACATGCAATCTCTATCATCGTACTGTACTCTAATGTGCGAGTCATCTCCACAATTAATTGAGACTTAAATAGAAGCGCCAAACTGATAAGCGCCCGGATTGCTTAATATTGCTCTTGTGGTGTCTATAGTACAGTTTTTAGCCTGTCTTTGAGCACACATTATCCTCACCGAGATTCTCCAGCCAGGCCGACAAAGAGCCAAAGTTCTGAGGTCACCACTTTTCAAAGCATTTTAGGGCCATCTGGCGTCCTATCGTCTTCTCTCACTTTCAAACCAACCAGTCGTCGCCCAATCTCTTCTCCTCGATGGAAAACGATTTTGCCTCGAAATGGAAAGTCGCCAAAGCATGTGCCCGCTGCCACCGGCTCAAAAGCAAATGTGTTTACGAAGACCCCACATACTCGTCGTGCAAAAGATGCTATGACTTGGGCATCAAGTGCTCGGCCGACGAAGATCCCACGGCGGAAACGGCCCGGCGCCGGAAAATCAAAACGCCATCAAAGTTGGAACGGTTGGTCCGGGCGGTTGAAAGCGAGGTCGATAAGATTGCACGAGGAGAAGGCAACGGAAACGGGACCGCCTTGAAAGAAGACGGCAAAGGTGCAAGCACGGACGGAGAAAACAGCGGAAACGGCAAGCCCCACCAAACCCAAGTCGAAAACGGCACATTGCACCAGAGCAAACTGAAGGGCCAACTCAGCAAGCGGGAAAAAGACCCGCAGCAAGCTCTGGTTCTGTCGTTTCTTGCGCTGGCGCTTTCGCTGGGCCTGGACCTGAGCTTTCCCTTTCTCCCCGGCCAGGATAACTTGGCGTACTGCGCTATCCGTCTAGAACGGGCCGCCGGCCGTTTGTCTTTGGCCCGCGGCCTTGACCCCGCGTATATCTGGAAGAACATCATCACCGAAGACGAGGCCCGGCGTCGCTTCTTCTATTTCCACAACGAAATGCTCCCGTGGCACCCCGTCATTTGCTTTCCCCAGTCCTTCCAGGACTTTGACCATCTCCTATCTGTGAGCCCGCTTCTTCTTCTTTCGTGTATTCTTGTCACCACCATAAGCGACCATGGGCTCTCGAGCTCGACAGAAAACAGATTGCTCCACTCCCGCTTGAACGACCTCATCAACCACGCTATAGCACGCGATGTTTTCGTCGAGGCTCGGGACTTTTCGCTCCCCATGATTCTTTCGTGCCTCGTTCTTGCGCTCTGGCGTGAGCCTCCCGAGCAAACCAACCAGTTCAAGGCTCAGTTCGATATGATGACAGCTGTCAGCATTTCGCTCTGCATGGACGTGGGCAATCTTGCGATGTTCAGTCCTGCTGCGCTTTCGAAAGACGATTCCGTCGAGCGCAACAGCGTCCGCTCCTTCTTGACCGTCTACGCCAGCTGCGGTCTGCTCGGTCTTTCTTTGCCCCGCTACCAACTTGTTTCGTGGACGTGGCGCCATGACTTGGCCACGAAAAAGCTTTTGGAGCCGCACGGCCTGCTTCCGTCGCCCAACGACGTCTTCGTGTGCCGTTTTGCCCAGATCATCTGCGAGGCCCAGAAACTCTCGGACTACTTCTGCGCCAACGGCGTCAGCATGCATGTTCTCAGCTCCATCGACCGCAGCGACGGCTTGGGCTGTGTTGCGATGCTAGGCCCCGATCCACGTGTTCCCGCTTCGGTTCTGGAAGTCGAGGCTGTACTTGAACGGCATCATGCGGCTTTGAAATCGGCCATTGTAAGCAGTGGCTATGTGGATGCGAATCTTAATCCGGTGCCCGATGCGCCAAAGGGAAAGTACTGCTTGCTTTTCACCTATTACCAGGTGATGATGGTGGCATACGATAACCTTGTGAGTTGGTGCTTCAGTGTCTTGACATCGGCTGCCTCCAACGATCCGCTTTGGGCACACCTCTTGGCGCAAAACATCCAGAAGTTCGGTGTCTTCTGTACTGGGCTTTTGAACTTGTTTCTTGTCGTCAACACGGATAACCATAATTTGGTCAACTATCCGACGTTTTTCATGTACCGCTCTCTCCACGCTATTGTGTCGTTGGTTCGACTTGAAATTCTTATAAAGTCCGAAGTCGTGGCTGCCCGTTCGATACCCGTCCGCCTGTTCTACGACGACTTGCAAAAATACCACATGCAAGTGGTTCGTATCATTGAAAATAACCAGCATCTGATAGTCTGCGCAAGGGCCATGCATACTTTGCAGCGCATTACAAGATGGGTTAATATAGTGGGAGACCACCAGAAGTTCCGCAACGTGAACATAGACTTTGTGGGCTTCACGAAAATGAGCAAGGGTGTAGAGATTGAAAAATTGGCCGAGCCTCAGGACAAACAGGATCAGGTGGACGCTTCTGAAAGTATTCACAAGAGACAAGACGTGGAGCTAGATAACCCTAGCAACAAGAGACAGAAGTTGGAACTGAGTGAATATTCGTCTGCTTTCTCTGTTCTGCGTTTTGCATCAGACCCTACCGAGCTGGCACACTATACCAACTCTTGTTCCATCCAGGAGATCTTCAAAGAGATGGATGAGGATATTCTACTGTTTTTGAATCCGTTTGATACCACGGACTACAACACTATGCAATCGTCGCCTCCATTTTGAGTATATGCTAATTAGAACTTGAAGTCCTCTGAGTGGTCGTCCACTTTTCCCCCATCTGCATTATTTGCGTTCTTTTCTGCCTTTGTTTCTGTGTTCTCGTCGTTTTCAAGGTCGTAGCTTGTCTTTAGGCCGTCTGCCGAGTTTTTCTCTTTCAAAACCTTGTATAGAGTTCCAGATGTAGTACTGACACGAGCACCGCTAGTTTTGATTCTGCTGTACTCACTGATGTCCACTTTCGTTCCTTCATCTTCGGGTTCGTTATCGTCCGCTTCGTTGCTTTCGTTTTCATTCTCGTAGCCCTCTTGGCCAACTTCTTCCTCGTCTTCATCGTCCTCGTCCTCTTCCTCTTCCTCCTCTTCTTCCTCTTCTTCTTCCTGTAAACCCCACAAAGGTTCTATAGTGTATGACTGTCCGCTCGAGAGCACATATCCCGTATTCTTATATTCCACATCGACGCCTGGAATTATGCAGTCGGAATACGCTGGAGGTTTTCCGATCTCGTTCATGACCGCAATCCAAGGCGGGATGGTTTTGTCATCTTCGGATATTCCCACCGCTGCTCTGAGCGCCCTAGAGATTTTTCCAGGCTTCATGTGTGCAACCAGCTCTCGGTAACCGTCATTTTTTTCTCGACCCTCGTAATAAAGATCGCCAAAGCCAAGCGTTCGTGGCTTTGTCTGGAAGCGGAAGAACGCATCGTGGAGTTTCTGGTAATCTATATCAAGCTTCCCCATTTTGGGTTGCACGCGATCACGTTGCAGTTTTTTAAGCGACTCCAAGTCGTGGTTTCTCATTTCGGCAATGCCCGTGTCCTGAATGAACTTGGGGAGCTTGAATGGTGCCCGCTCGATGCCTCGTTTCGATGAAAGATAGTCCTTTTTTTGTTGCCAGTGCAGTGGAACATCGACAACATTGGGCGCCGTTTTAAGGGCAACTGCCATGAACGGATCTGGTGCGTCCACATCATACCACTCGACGGCCAGAGGCTGTGAAGTGGACGCTTTGAGCTCGGCTATGGACACGCGGTTAAGTTTTCGAAGTTGTCTTTTGGAAAGAGGTTTTTTCTCGGTGTCTTGCTCAGATTCAGAGTCTGAGGACGACGAGTCAGACCCAGAAGCCGAGACATCTTCATGTTTTTGCTCTGAAGTTTCCTCGCCCGAGAATCGCTGGAAAACCGACGCAAACTGCTCTAGTAGTTTCTCGTTTGGTATTGCAAAACCATTTTCATGCCGAGAAGGTTGATTTTCCTGTTTTGCATTCGATTCTAGGCTTGGTTTGCTTTCTTTCGTCCCGTTTGGCGTTGTTTCTGAAACTATTTTGTCCTTCACTTCCAGACTTGCTGGCTGCTGCGTATCTTCTGCGTTTGGGACATTCACTTTTGCTGCTGTTTCTTCCAGAACTGTCTCATTCTTGCTTTCTTCTTGGCTGGATGTATCTTTCTGTGGCTTGACTGAATCATTCAGATGTGGCTTTTTATCTTCCGAATCCTTTTCTGCTTCACTATGAGCGGCGGAGTTTTCATGATTTTGCTCATTTCCTTTCTCTATCAAATCCGATTCTTCCTTTGTTTCTTTCGTCTCCTCAAATGCCTTCTTGGCTGCCTCAACGTCACCTTTGTCGGAGACATCTAAACTTTTCTCTAATCTTGTTTCATCCGCCTGACCTTTCTCCTGGCTCTTCTCTAACTTTCGTAGCTTGGCCTTCTCTCTCCGGATCTGGTTTTTTGTTCTTTTCTGTGCCATAGTAGTTGAGATGACTTTCGCGATACTACTCCATACATCTACAATGAACCGTAAATACATACTTTTCGCCAAAGAATAAATTACTATTTCTAAAATTTCTTTCGTCATCTTGACGTTCCTTTACTGTGATCATGATCCTGATTTTCAATCATATTTAGCATTCTTCCAATCGCCCTCATCCTCGATCTTTCCATCCTCGATCTTTTCCATCCTGGCTCTTTTCCCTACATATCTTCTCGTTTATCCAATTGCCAGATCATACAAAGCCACAAGCCAACAATATATAGACTTTGATCCATATACCTCGGTTCCTTCCCATCCATGTCACGTTCAGCATGGTCAAAGCTTAACATGTGTGTTTGTGCACGTTTCAACAAAGCAGCGGAAGCCCGCCTATTTTGTGTCGCTGATCTTCTGGAGCCGCTTGGCTAAAGCGTCAAGTTTCAGGTCTATTTCCCGGTCGTCTTTCTCCAACTGATCTGCAAGAGCCTTGAGTTTCAGCTCGATGCCGGCAGCCATATCCAAAATGGACTTTTCGGGCTTCTGCTGATCTGTCTCGCTTGCGGCGTCAGCAACTTTGCCTTCGTTGAGCGCAGGCGTTGTAAGCCCGTTGATTTTCGTTTCAGCCATAAACACAAGAGACCCTAAGATAACTGGGTATGCAGGCTGAACACCATCAAAAGACTAGGTACAGTAGCAGACTGTGAAACCCTTTCTCAATGTTGAGAAACGCTTACTGTTATTTCCCAGACAAGACGTAAAGGTTCCCCTACTAATTACAATTGCACTAAACAGTTTTATGAAAGGCCGGATTTTCGACAAGCAAATGGCAAGACTATCTTGAGGCGTAACAACATCGATTTCTCATCTCTGGCCACGTAGATAATCCAATGGCCTTAAGAGCATCGAAATTGAGTCATACAGCTGTCTACGGCCAAGATAACGAGCAGATGCCAAGGCAGGAAGTCCGTTTTTATTGAGTGTCGTGGATTATTCTGAGCCTGCTATTGTACCTCGTCTGTATTCTATCAGCCTTTCAACCGTTCACCGATGGGCCCATTGGTTATTCGGCTCTATTCACAAATATAGACACTTTCATCTTTATCATTTCAATTTCTTTCCCCTCTTTTCATATGGTGTCGTCCTCAGTAGTGATCTGGCCCATATTCCTGTGAGTGCGAATCAAGAGTCAAGTTTCCACCACATGCTTTTCGCCATACATCTTGTTACATGTCTAGCGGCGCAGGCCGTGGCTCAAACACAGCAGCGGCCGAGCCACGTGCGGCTCTACGAGTCGTTTCTCCCCTCCAGGTTGGCGCAATCGCTATACGCCCAGCCGCACTACGAGAGATTCTTCATTGGCGGCAACAACGCCAGCGACGAGTACATTTGTGCTGTTCCGCAGGCCGCGGAAGTGGAGGTGCTCGAGCCGCCGAAGCAAAACGACGCGGAGATTCTCAAGGGCGCCGCCGACTTGATCCGCCTGGCGTTTGGGCCAAACCAGTGTGTGTGGGCCTACGAGCTTCGGGGCATGTACTGGACATATGCGTTCTGCCCGGGCGACAAGATCATCCAGTTCCACGAGGCCGTGCCGCCACGCGAGCAGCTGCCCAAGGACAGGGCCGAGGGCCGGCACAGGCCCGAGAATCCCAGCACGGTGTTCGTGTTGGGCCGGTTTTCGCCCGCGTCCAAGGACAAGTTTCTGTTTGACAACCAGGCCTCGCCGGAGCAGTTTGAGCGCACCATGCGCGAGGCGGTGCGGTCGTACCGGCTCGTGCAGAAGAAAGAGGCGCCGTTCGGCCACCAGCCGGCCCAGAATGTCGTGGAGCAGTTGGTCATGGACGGGTCTGTGTGCGACATGACGGGCCAGCCTCGCACGGTCGAGGTGGTGTACAAGTGCCAGGTGGCGGACTGGAAGGCCCCGCAGATCGTCAATGTCGAAGAGGTGCGGACATGCCACTACCGCATGCATTTGCACGTTCCGCTGCTCTGCAACTACGAACCGTTTGTGCCTAACAAAAACGCCCGCGACTCGCTGGTCGAAATTCGCTGTCAGAGGGTGGGGAAAGAAGAGGGACACACGGACACTCTGGGGCTGGAAGACTTGACAGATCGCACTTTTGACGACTACTTGAACCGCACGGTTTTGCGTTCGCATGCGTTTCCAGTCCGTGCGGACAACAGGATTTCGCTTGCCGATTACCGGCTCCGGGCGCTTCTGGACGGGTTTTATGTGGGCAGAAGAGGAAACCGTCTCCATTCGCCGAACAGCTATGTGAATCGGCGCGACGTGATGCTTTACAATGGCGACTTTCTGGACTTGGCGAGTCTCGAGGAGAAAGTCCGTGCTGTCTTTTTGAAGAACCTCGGCAAGCGTTTCTTTGCGCCCATGGCCCAGTTGCAGGTCATTCTAGAAGCCAAGCACTCCTTTGTTCTCTGGTACGAACTCTACGACTTTAAGGGCCACATGTTGGGCATAGTTCGCGCAGAAAACGACCTGGCTAGAGCCGGCTCGCTTCGTATCGACTTGTTTGATGCAGAATCTCTTGAGAGTGTCAGCTCGGGCCAATCTATGCCATCTAGTTTGTGGCTGCAAGTAAGAGCGCCCAACGAGAAGTGGAATTTCGAGTTCTTCTCCGTTTCAGAGCCACTTCCACCTGGATTGGTGATGGAGCAGAAACATGAGGTTCAACTCAACTTGATTGCGAGAAAGAAAACCATCTTGTTCCAGAATATGGGGTTCTTGCCTGATGGAAAAGTGAAACTACATCTTCAAGACGATGACGGTAACGAGATTCAGGGTAAATATAACGATCGTGGAGAATATGAGTTCGAAGTGGAGTTGGCTAAGGGCGAAACCGAAACCTTTGCTGCTACAGTAATGCCAGACTTGGAGTATTGGGGCTATCCTATCATATACTACGACATGGCAGAGGTTGGAGCCAATGGTGAACAGGGAGAAGACGATACTGTAAATGGCAAAACCGATTTCGCTGATGAAGAGCTCGACGGAGCAGGCTACAATCACATGTACCACCACGAAAATTACGAGATAAATGTGGGAGAACCTGAAAGAGAAGTAACTGACGAGGCGAAAGAGGTCGAACATGATGAACTCTAGCGGGATGGCCCAACTGGAGAACTCAATACATGTAAAACCGGATGATGAAACAGAACCTACGGCCAAACGAAAATTTGAGCACACAATTTCAAGGCAGATAACGAATTATGCAAGTAATAAATGAGTTTACATATTATTGTGCGATCAGTACCCGTGAGATGGACTAATGCATACTTTTCCTTCTCGAAACACAGAAGATCGAAAGATGGAAATCATTCGTTTATACCTAATTCGAAAGTGGAAGCTCGTTCTATCTTTGACAGGCACATCTCTCTTGAATTGGCTGTAGATAGGAGCATCGGCCAAACCTGCAACTCTCCCTCCCTTTTGCAATGATGCTCTATTTGCCTCGTTTCTTCGACACTGGATTATCGTCGTCACCATTCATCTAGAACTAAGGTAGCAAAGTCGATGTAGCCTATTTTGGTTTGGCAGAGGCCCAAGTCAGTTTCTTCTAGCACATGATCTCGTGATAATTATCCAGAGTTCTTGATGCGATGATCAACAAATATGCCTACAAAAAATGGATGAAAGGTTGGTTCATGGCAACAGCAAAAGTAGCAAAATTAGCAAAAGTAACAAAAGTAACAAAAGTAACAGAAGTAGCAGAAGTAATTGATTCATACCTCTGCCTTACGAAAATACCAGATACTAATTTGCAATTGCATGTCTCACCAACTTTGCGGCATCGCTTACATACGCACCAAAGAGCGCAACTTTTGGAGCAAAAAATTTGCTCGCTTTTCTTACCCAACCACCCGTGGAAAACCACCCCATTACCTCAACCAAACAAAGCAACTTTGCTGGCCCAGATCGTGCCAAACGGAATAGAAGACAGCCCCACCTCCTGCAGACACGGGGGCAAAAAAAACTTCAGATAACCTGATAAACCCGCTCTTGAAGATCAGAAACCGTCATGACCCTTGTTCGCGTGGTTCGCCCCGCGTGGCAGATGCAGAAACGAAACATCTCGTTCCTCAAGAAATTGCTTCTGTTGGACACGGCGGAGAAAAGCGACGCCGAGCGCCATCTCTACAAATGGGACGAGTCTCCGTACGAAGATATCAGAACCCGTGCAGCATACATCCGCACCAGAGCCAAGTGCCCCGTGACGAATAAGCCGGTGGAGTTTGTGTGTCCGTACTCGGGGATCCCCACCCACCACGACGAAGAGGCGTGGAAAAACGACACAGAGTACCACGCCAAAAAGAAGTACGAGGCGTTGAGAAAAGTCAATCTCTACGAGCACGACTTGCGGTCGGGCCGTAAGTTCGACGAGTTTGTGTTCCCGGGTCCGCTGGAGCACGACTTCACCACCAGCATGTCCTCGTGGGACTCTTTCTTCTACACCCGGGACTTCAACCCAATGAACACAGAGTTCAACTTGGCCGCAGCCACCAAAGTCTTGACGTACCCCATCACCATCGCGTCGCTTCTTCACCGGTTCAGCCCTTACGGCTTGGAACCGAAGGGGCCGCTCACCATCGAAGGTTTGCGCTCGTTGTCTGCCTTGAAGTATACGTTGTACTCTCCCGGCGGGAAAAAGGACACGGAAGTGACCTTCAAAGACCGGGCAATGCGTATTTTCATTGTCGGCGCCAAGATGGAAGCCATGCTTCCCGGATATGTGTGGAAACAGTTTGGTTATCTTTTCCCAGAGACCAAGTTCGAGATCCACTTCATCGGACCCCACTCGCACTTTGACCCGGAGTCGAAATCGTTCACCCCCAGCGACAGGCCTCACGGCAGACCTGTGGTCACGAGATACGACGAGCAAATCACCCTCCACCACCACACCAAGTACTTCCATGAGGTCTACGATATGGGCGACTTGTTCCCATTTGACCCATACTTGGACGTCTTCTTCCTTTTCCACCCTGGCTTCAAGACCGCTGACGAGATCCACTGGAACAAGTCGTTGAAGGGCTTCTTGGAGTCCAAATGTGCGGTGTTTGTCACTGGTTACCATGAGAAGGACATCCAGAGGGAAATGAGTTGGTTGACTGGCCACGAGTTGCACAATGAAATGGACGTGCTTATGAATCCAACGAAGAACATTTTCGGCTCCACCAAATTGGACTTGGTGGACTCGAACCCAACAGAAACGTTCCAGGCCAACAACGAGATATTCGCTTTCCGCGGAAAGCGTTACCACGCCATCAAAAAATAGCTTGTACATATCGGCGGAATAGATATCGTAAGGAGTGTGATACTGTAACTGATGGATGACTTTGCATGTACGTATAGCAACCGATAGTGAGGATATGATTTATGGATGTTGGAAACTGATTCTACTATTGAATTCTTCTTTCAATAACATATGTGTCTGAGAGACGTATTTGTTTCTCTTTCTGCTGGTCTCTTTTGCATCATTTGGCAAAATTAACAGCCCGTACGGCTCATGAAAACGCAGGTGATCAGGTATATCACCAACCAGTAGTTATCTGATGCTTTCGAGTAACTACCAGAGATAGGTCCCCAATTTTCATTTTTTCTTGTCTGAATATTTTTTATTCTTTTCTCTACACCTATTGTTCACGAGATTGATTGGTTATTGTACTATATACCCGTTGTCACAGTAGTACTTTAGCGTTGCATGTATTCATCTTCAGAAGAAATTGTTATGACCGGGGGCCAGTTTTGGTAGTATAAATCTCAGTAGTTCCATATAATCGAATTAGAAAAATCAGTGACATCTAGGTTCCTATAGCTGATGAAGTGTGCAATCATATATGTCGAGATTGTTTGACCAATATTAAAATCTGCATCTTTCAAAAGACATTTTTAGCCATGTTAACAAATAGCCACTCGGATGAGTATTCTCGGTTCTATAATATCTCATCCAGTACTAAGCCTATACATCCATACAATAAACTGTGCCAGTGTTATAGAACCACTACAACAGCATTACAGAATCCGAATAATGACTCGACCTTAAGTTTAGTGCAAAAAATATATTTTATATGACTTAGTATATACTTAGTCTATGGTGTCTTTATGACAAAGAATGGTAAATCTCACCATTTATTACATACAGAGAAGAACCGGTGTGAAATTACATTGTACAAATGCGTTAGCCAAAAATCGAAATCAGACAAAATGCAAAAAAGATACACATCAGGTGAAAAAGGAACATACAAAAACTCCTCTCCCATTTCGTAAAGAAGAAAATATCATGGACGAAGCTTAAACTCCAGAAACCGTTTCGCACAGAGACTTGGCTGACGACCAACGGCGCAAAATAAAAGTCGACCAAGAAAAAAAAAGTCCAGCACATTCCCGCCCAAAGAATAGATTCGTACCTTCAATAGTCTTTGCTTTTCTCTTAGTCTCTTTCTTCTTTCGTCCCTCCACCTCTGTATCTCGCCACGTCGCACCTGCACACACCTCTCGTTATCTGGGGCCAAATGTACCTTCTCCATCATCATGGATAAGCCATTTCGTCTTCCGATCCGCGTCGAGCAAATCAACCGGCCCGACGACATTGCTCCGCTCAACGAAGTCTCTCTCCGTGTGACTTTGTCCCACAATTTTGGCGATCTCAAGTCGGCGCTATGGATCACCAGTGAGAACTACCATCTCAAGCCTATATTCGTCAGTTTCCAGTATCAAGACCTACGGGTCGAGGACGCAAGTACAATCGGCGCTGTCCTCGAGTCGCAAACCCCCGAAGAGGCGCTAAGTGCGTGCGAGGCGCTTGTTGTGAAAATCGACTACACGCTTTTGGGCTCGCCTTTCATTCCCAACAGAGAACCCATTCCGACGCTTTTCAACTTGGAAGTGGTGGCGGGACCGCGTGTGGTGGCCTTGCGCGAGCTGCTTTCGCTGACGGTGGCCAGCGTGAAAGAGCAGGTGCAGCATGCTGTGGACGGAGCCTTTGAGCTTGAATTGGAGAGCGAAAAGTCGGAGCTCTTGTCTGCTGAAAGCACGCTTAGCGAGGTTCTTGCGCTAGATTTGCCGCCGCTTGACACGGTGCATCTTCGTGTGGTGCGGGGGCGGCGCTTTGAGGTCCGGAACATTGACACACAAGAAACAACTATAGTTTCGGGCGAATCTGTTGCCGAGGTCAGGGCAGTTCTCGCAGCTCAGACTCATGTGCACACAAATGACATCACGTTGTACGTTGGACCGCATCTACTTACGGATACCGAGGCGCTTGAGTCTATTCCAGCCAGCGCCGAAGTTTTGTACGAGATCCGCTCTGGTCTAGAACATGTCTTGCCTGCTGTAAGAGTGGACGGCGATGTGTGGCGGCCATCAGGCAAAACTTTTGTCTCTGTGACGAACTCCGAGGGCGTAGAACGGCTTGTGGCGGCAGAGGCGCTTTCGTCACAGACTTACCAGATTGAGGTTGATGGCCAACGAGTACAATTGTCGCCTTCGGAATGTGTGGTGGGCGACCGCAGTGTGATGGTGAGTCCAGCAGGAGCAGCACGGCTAAGACGATTAATCAAAGGTGGGTTCAGTACAGAAAGGAGAGAAGAAGGAAGCGGAGAAGGAGGAACGGAAGCTGAAGAAACAGATGCAAGAGAAGCAGAAGGGAATGAAAGCGATAGCACAGCAAGAGACACAGCAGAAGGAAACGAAAGCGATAGCACAGCAAGAGAAACAGCAACAGAAAACACTGCTACAGACTACACGCAAAACGAACTAAGGCACAGAGGAACGAACATAGACGGAAACAACGGAGGAATAAACGTTGGAGCAAACGTTGGAGCAAACGTTGGAGCAAACGTTGGAGCAAACGTTGGAGCAAACGTTGGTGCAGGAAACGGAATCTTTGCGGGAGGTAACAACCATGGCGGGCCCAGAAACATGGGGCAGAACTTGAACGATACTCTCGCAAGGCGGCTCGAAGTCGCCTTGAGGCGCCACTGGCCTGCGCTCCGCGGCGTGGCAGTGCAAGTGCTTTTCGCCGGGCTCATGTTCGGCTTCGACATGCTCCGGTTCATGGCACAGCCGCAGTTCCTCGTGCCGTTGGCGCTCTTCCTTTTGTACATGGTGCTTTTCGTTTGGGGCGACGGCGTGTGTTCTTGGGTCGACGAGCATCTTTTGGCGGGCGCGCCCGACCGATGGGATTTCCGCGCTGTTCGCGCCGGCCGCGCCGTTGTGCACCTGTTTTACAGTGCGGGCGCGCGCGCAGAGGAGGCGGCGTTTTCTGTGGTTGCGGCGGCCGCCGATAAACTTGCCACACCGCCGCACGAGCACCATGCCATAGTGGCGTCGGGCAGAGACACGATCGCGTACCACCTTGTGCGGGCGGCTAAGGAAGCGGCGCGCCACGGCATTTTCTTTGTCGCCTTGTTCTCGCCGGCGCTTCTGAAGCGGCTCGAGGAGTACTTGTTGCGCCAGCACGAGCGCGAGAAGGAACAGATAACGGCGCGGGCACAAGGCGCCTCCGATGCCGTGCGCGCTCGTGTTGAGGCGCGGCTCGGGCCCTTTGCCGAGGCGCTCCACAATGAGCCTGTGCGTTGCTATGTGGAGGTTCTTCGGGCGGAGAAGGAAGTACACGAACAGCACGAACAGCACGAACAGGATGAACAGCACGAACAGGACGAACAGATGGAGCACGAACAGATGGAGCACGAACAGATGGAGCACGACAGCACAGACACACAAGCAGAGCCAGTCGAGGTACACTAGTCCCGATCCTGCGATCAGTCCCGATTGCCAGGGGCACTAAGGTCTACATTGAGATCTAACATCTGCATAGTGTCTACGAAACAGGGAATCATTGATCCAGACTAATACGTCTGCATCCAACTTCCGCAGCTCGACGTCTGTAAACCCAACCACCTTTGTTGTTGCATTGCTTTCGCAAAGCATCATATAGTCCAGCCCGCATTCATGCACCCAAGGAATGTCTACTGCAATCACAAGACTACATGTAGATGCATTGACGCGGCACAACAACGAACGTCAAGACAAAAATTAAGCGTAGGCCACAGAGCAGGAATCACGGCTATACTAGCAAGAAACAAATAATCAGAAAAAACAAAACAACATTACCTCGCACAGTAACACACATAAACTCGTACAGAACCACACACTAACACATTACCTCGTACACTAACACATGCTCACACAGCACAATTAACGCAAGTCTTCCAGCAAAAACAACGTCGGACACAAAACTTCTCTGGCCACCCCGTAAATCGTAGAACGACAAAGTGTTGTCCGACACACACAAACAATGGAACCGCCGCCATTGGTGCCGGCAAAAGAATGTGCATATGAACCGTGTCCCGATCGGGCAATCCTGCAAGATGCATTGCGTCTCGAGACGCAACCCGCAGCTACAGTAGACGGAAGAAAAGACGGAAACAAAGACTTGGCTGTCGTGGAAATGGGACAAGAGCAGGCACAAGACAGTAGAACCACCAAGGAACCACTTTTTTCCGCCGAAGCAAGAACGTTTTCTCGTCTTCTTGGCCTCTTGTGACTTCAAGTGTCAACAAAGTTGACAGTGGCCGTGTGCACACCAACATAAACAAACAATGCAAGTCGCGACGCATTTTCTGCGTGGCTGCGAGATGTGTCTGTCTTTGTTTGTTGACGTTCATTCCCCGAAAGGCAAGTGCCCCGACGCCGTCTTGTCAAGCTGCAAATGGGACGCCCGGTTTTTTGTCTATAAAAGCACCCCCTCCGCCGGCCCAGTTCTCTTTTTCCTCATCATCTCTCGATCATATCAAACTACTAGTCACTCGTTATGCAATTCTCCACCGTCGCTATCATCGCTGCCTCCGTTGCTGCTGCTTCTGCCACCGTCACTGAGACTGACGTTTCCTCCACTTTGGTTACCATCACCTCTTGTGGCCCAGAAGTCACCAACTGCCCAGCCAAGGAGCACTCTTCTTCTGCTCCATCTAACTGGACCACCACCGCTGTCTCCTCTTTCGAGGCTGGTGCCGCTAAGCAATACGCTGCTGGTGCCGTTGCTTTGGCTGCTGGTGCTTTGTTGGCTTTGTAAGAAGTTTAGTCTTCTAGCCTTCAACATGCTGGGTCCGGGATCCGCTGTTTATAATACCAATATAAATTAGGATAATATGTCTGTAGCTCGCCTTGCTTGCTTTTCTTTGTTTATCACTTCTTCCCTTCACTTTCTTTCCTTTGTTTATCACTTCTTTTTCCTTCACCACTTTCTTCCTTTGTTTATCACTTTTCCCATGTTCGTGCTGTTTTCATTGTCATTCGCGTTTTTCGACCCATGAGCCTTTCTGATTCCACCAAAGCTTTCCACCTTGCGGTATACTCGGCCGTGCTTCAGATTCCGCACGGCAAAGTGTGCTCCTACGGCCACATTGCCTATCTTATCTCCCGTCCTCAAAACTCCCGACTCGTGGGCTATTCGCTAAAACACTCGCACCACATTCTCCCCCAACTTGATACTACCATACCCAATTTGCCCTGGTGGAGGGTTGTCCAGAGCCTGGGCAATATTGCTATTCGAGACGGTGACGACAGACAGGCGTCGCTATTGAGGCAAGAGGGCGTGGTGGTTGAGCGGATGAAGGTGGACTTGGACGAGTTCGGCTGGTTTCCGAGCGAAATCGATTTGGACTTATAAGATTAGATCGATACATCAATGGACATGACAAATAATGTATTCTGTGCACATTGTAGCGAGGCCGGGATATGTTCCCCCGAAAAAAAAAGTATGGGACTTGTGCCGACATTGCATATCATGGTTTGTACAGATAATGGGATGTTTCTTCTCTACTTGCACATTCGTCGAGTCTTCAATCGCTTCGAAGAAACAGTATCAACCTGTAGGCCTAGTTTTAACTACGTCGGTCATTCCGGTCCATTGCGATGTGTATTCCGCTAAGGTGATACATGTTCTTTGTACGAGTGTCTTTGGGCTTCTCAAAGTCTCCAGGCCTCTTCTATATTCTATTAGGTGGCAGAAGGCTTTCCTCCCTTTCGTTTTCTTCTGGGCTTCGGTGGCCGTGACTCCATCATCTGCACACGTCTAGACTCTTCCTCCCACCATTTTGCAAACTCCTGCTCTTGCTGGATCTCCTGCAACGTACGCCTCTGGCTCTCCTGATACTGCTGTTCCTCAAGCCGCGTCGACTCATGAAGCATGACTGCTGCAAGTGATGTAGGTGCTGGTTGCTTACTGGCACCTAGTACTGGTAGATTCTTCAACTTGTCTTTACCAGCATTCTTGCTTTCACTCGACTGGCTGCTTGCCACATTCCAGGGATTCCGAAGCTGCATGCTTTGTTGGTTCTGTTTTTCCCCACTGGGCTGGTCTTTTTCGTCCGCTTGTCCTTGCGCTAGCTTGCGCCTTTGCTTCTGAGAAAGCTTCATAGACGGGGCAAACTTGATCTTTGTGCTTTTGCGCTCAACATCACCGGCCCCCAAGAGCGGAGCAGAAATAGGCGCTAGAGAGCTCGATGAGGATCTCCGAGAAGTCCATGGTGTGCTGCTGGAACTGTCACCATTATCAGTTCCTTGGAGTATGTTGCCAATGATTGAACTCAGCGATCCATTATGATGCATTGAAACGCCCTCCCTATCTAGAGGGGCTTTCTCACGTTCTTCTTTCTTCACTCCATTCACAGAGGCAGCTTGGACCTCTCTGAGATCTTCTTTATCCTGGGCATCTTTCTGTTTCAGTTTGCGGCGTCTACCTACCACCTCAAAATCTTCAACAGCACATTCGCTCACTTTCCTGGTGGAATTTGAAAGTTTACGCAAATCTGCAACTGCCTCAACGCTGCTCTTGCGTGACATTCTGCGTGATGACAGCTTGCGTCTGTGATCTTCATTTTCAGGCTTAATGTCCAATAACGGCTCAAAGCTAGAAAATCCCTTCTTATCACTCATGAAGATCCCATTAAAGACTGGTGAATTAGTCAAAAATTCATCAATCAAAGTCTCGGGCAAAGTGCTTTTCAACATGCTTTTATTGATCTCCCCGTGGTCACCGATAACAAAGTCCAAATGTTTACATGTTTGGAAAAACCGCATTTGCTTTTCCAATCTCGCAAGAAGGTCTTCTGGAAGATTATGCAAGATGTTATCAAACAAAACAATTTCGAGGTTATTGTAGATGTACCAACAACACAGCATAAACAAATATCGGGCTCCTAAGTAATCGGAATGAGCAAGCAATACCAACACGTTATCTGTACTAAGGAACTCTTGTATAGCCAATTCACACAAGTGCTTAAGCTTGAGCAAAAGCATTTCATCTGCCACCTCAATTAGCTGTAGCAAGAAATTCACGAAATCATCCGGATCAAGAGTTTCCTCCACTAGAATTCGGGCATCATCAAAGACATGCAAATCGTTGCAGCCATGCAAGTAATTCTTTATGACTTTGAACTGAAGAGCAGTAGTATTGTCAAAGTTCACGATTTTCGCCTCAGAATCATCTTCATTTGTCGAATTATCCCAGCGCCCAGACAAGATAGTTTCAAAAAATGCAGATCGCGCCACGAGAATAGATCCTTGGCAAGATTCTTGCTTATCACTTAGTTCAATCACCACATCACCAGATTCCGAGTCTTCCATTTCATGGGCCATTTGCAAAAGATAATCTTGATCTTTACCGTAAATACTATCCATCCGAAAAAGATCTCTAAGCATCACGAAATCATTTTTGGCCCTTCGGATAGGCTCTGGACACTTGGAGCCTCCAGGATATTCATCCCAAAAGTTCAAGACTTTATTGGTGTAAATGAAATGAACCAACACAACAAGGGCCCGAACATCGACATCGCTTTTGAATATTATCTCTTTATTCACTGCATCGTAATGCCCTTCAATTTTGTCATGAACAAAATACTCGCCATCATTCTGCGGATGGAAGAGGTCCTTGCAAAAGGTGGAACGCTGCTCAAAGATATTGGTGTGGAAACCAATAACAACGGTAGGATCATGCATAAATTTGATACGACCATCGTAAACTTTAATTTCCGCCTCAGAGATCTCTTGAGCCAAGTGTTCACGTAAAGCAGTTTCGTTTTTGAGTAGGGCCATTAATTGTGGCGCATCGTCCAACTTCTGGTACATGTCGTCTGCTTGTGTTTGTGGATGCTTTGTGTGATCGAACTTTCCGAAATGAGCCTTGAGAAATACATCGTCCACGGCTTCATCAGACAGATTCTCGTCGTTCAAAGTAAGTTTTTCAACACGATTCACTAGCAGAAGAGCTTCGTCTTCGTACAAATCCGGATCTCGAGAAGGAAAAATATAGTCAGTCACATAACAGTTGTTTTCATGATCCGTATCTAGAAGCTGGTCCTGCTTCCGGAAACTATCAGCCTCACACAAAACACTGAGGTATTCCATATCCTTGAAAAAATCATTCTTTTGTAATTTTAAAGGGAGAGTATCTATGTCGTCCCGCACGAATGCAAAAGACGAGAAAGAGTCATCACACGAGACCCTCACAACACGATTGACATTGTCGATTTTGCGGAACTTGGATCCGGAAACCTGCGCTGCAGAAGTCGACACTGAGTTGCGGCGCTGAGAAGTTACGCCTTGCGCAGATCGCACGAAAACAGACCCGTTCTTGGTACATAGTACCAAAGACCCGTCATACGCGCCATCCATATCGACGGCACGCATGTCCGAGTCATAAGCTTTCCAGAGGTAGTTGTATTTGAGGTTCTTGACCGATTTCAAGAGATCGCCTCCAGTTGGGATGGAAAAGGCTAAGATGTCGCCACACGTAAGGAGTACATGGACATTGGTATGGGAACAAGCGACGATTTTCTTGATTTCCGGCGCTTTGGTGAGCCGTGATGGTTTGAAGCAATCGAAGCTGGCGTCAGAAAACCCTCGCGCAGGCACTTTCGGAAGCTTGGCCCGTTGGCCACCGTAGTACACGTATATGTCATTGGAAACGGTCACCACACAAGTGCATGTTTCACAAGTGGCGACGGACTTGATTTCGTCACGAACACCAACCTCACGTGGCTGCGGCACCACCAGACCTTTGAAGGTGGTCTCATGGAGACGAAACTCGTCGGGTTTGTCTGAAACCAAAGTCATGGGCCCCATTTGGCCGACGTTCAAGCCCCAAAAGTAGAGCAGGTGGCTTGTGTACGCAAGCGAGTGGATTTTCGACACCGCCACGCCACGGAACAGGCCCCCGGCCCGCCGCAAGTCGCCCGAACCCACGAGTTTGGGCAGGTTTTCGTAGACGTCCCGCGGGCCGCTCTTGAAAGAAAACGTGTCCTCCGAAGTGAAGCCGAGCTGGTTGAGCGAGTTGATGCCCCATGCATAGAGCTGGTTGTCTGCGGTCAACACCAACGTGTGGGAGTTGGACACTGCCGCAGCGACCGCCCTGTGGTCGCCGAAAAGCGCCACATTCTGGAAACGGTACAAGTTGGCGGTGTTTCCGTGGCCCAAGCGGCCGCGTGCGCCGAGCCCGCACGTCAAGAGGCGGCCGTCGCGTGTGATTAGCACCGAGTGGTATTTTGCAATGGCAACGGCACACACACGAGTCGGGCGCAAGAGGTCACGGATGTCGAAGTCCTGGGCGTCGCCGGTTTTCGCCGCATGGAGGTCGAGCGGCAGCACGCGTGACGGCACAGACCGGTCGTGGGCGTCGCCCATGCCCAAGTGGTGGTTCCCGTTTGCCCCGTACATGTACACGTCCAGGCCGCCGCGGCGAGGGCTCCACCAGTCGTGGGGGATCCAGCGGGGCACCTTGGCAAAGCGCCGCACCAAGTGGACGTCGCCGCCTTCGTTGATGTAGGCGGGCACCCACATGAGATCCTTGGCGTCGTTGGCAAGAAGCGCGAGAGGCGGCAAGCGCGAGCGGTCTTTGCGCTTCAAAAGCTCAGCTAGAAGCGCCGCCTGGCTGGCGCTGTGCAGCAAGTAGTCTAGAAGCACGGTCCAGCAGCGGATACGCTTGTGGTAGAAGATGTGGTGCAAGAGGTTCCAGCCGTTTTCGTAGTCTGTGGCAAGAAGCACGTGGTGGATGTCTGGATGGGCAAGCAACGTTCGAAGAGCGCCCGGGTTGTCGCAGAGAACGGCAATGTGGAGCGCCGTGCGGCCAAACACATCGCGCCGAAGCAAGTCGGTCTTGGAAAGTTTCGGAAGACCCATGGGCCAGAGACGTGGCTAGATGGAAGCAAGATGCGAAAAGAAGTGGCTGCGAGATGGTAGTGTAGATGGCTGCGAGATGGCAATGTAGATGGCTGCGAGATGTCAGTGTAGATGGCAGTGTAGAGGTCTCGACAAATACGTGACTGATGAGAAAATGCTTGGAGGAGAAGAAACCAGCCTAAGTTTGGCGATGGATAGAGTGATGGTCGAGACCAAGATCGCGCGCGACTTGTGGGGAATAAGCATGCGAGGCCTTTAGAGAAAGATGAACATGGAAAATGTGAGAGGAAGATAAATCTTGATGAAGGGGATTGTGAATAAGTAGGCGAAGATCAATTTGGACAACCACTACAAACCATGCAAGTGGGTCCACCTTTCCCGCTATTATATCTTTGGACGTCCAGCTATTGCAATCTCAAATTGGCCCATTCAATCTCAAAGATGGCCCAGATTGCTAAATACTTTCTCGTGGTGACTGCTATGGCTTTTCAATGTTAGGATAGTTCGTCTAAGCCTTGAGACGGATATGTAGAAAACTTATACTACGTGACGGCCGTCTTCGTATTTCATACATCAAAGCAATTGGCTCACACAAAGAGATAGAGTGCAGTGGAAAATAATTTCTGTGGAGTTAAACCCTAGCTAAACGGGAATGTTCGCTAATTCAAGCAGCTATCTAGAATGGCCGGTATCTCTTCTTAATTAAAGTCAACAGATTAAAAAAGCGAGAAATCTCGACCAGCTTACAAACCCATGAAAGTGAATATTCAATCAACGGTACGTCTGACGTCAGAGTGAAAATGCATTTCTTTGAGGGACGGATAGAATTTTAGGAGGGCGGGGCAAGAGAAGAATGCTCTTAAACCTTCACATACATCAAGTATCTACATCGCGTCGAAACCATCCGACATGGAGAGTGGTAGCCTCGTATTATTCTATGTATACATCACGACACCATGAGACCCGGATCTCCCGTCTCGAGCTTGATGTCGGCATTCTCTTCTTCGTCCGGCAAAATAAAGGCGCCCAGCAACAACTTCTTCTTCACCGATGCGATTTTCCCTGTTGGAGGAAGACGTGGCCGTGTGTTTCTTTGTTTCTGGGGCAAGTCGTCGTCTTCCAACAAGTACAACTCTTGCGGCGGCGGCAACTCTGTGCTTTCGCCGTTTCTCTTTTGCTGTTTCACATAATGCGCTTCTGTCTTCTTGACCCAATCGCGGTAGAACGGACGTAAAAGACCAATCTGCTTCTCCACATCTGCCGCTGTCAACTTCGGCGTGTTCCATTCGTGTAAGTCCTCGTACTTGGTGCTCTTGCTTGTGGAGTCCGAGCTGGCTAGTGAGCTTTGGAGCCTTGCATGCAACAAGTTGATTGGAATCGACGACGTGAGCATCTTGAACTCTTTGTCGAGCCCCAATTCTTTGAATCCGAAGAAATCATCGCCCAAGTCGCTTGTGAAATCACCAGTGGTGAACTGCTCACTGTTGTCCTCGAAGTTCTTTTCGTTGAAACTCTCCAAAGATGGCCGAAGCAAGTCTTTCAAAAACCCTGAAAGTTTATCGTGCAAGTCACGGAGCTTCTTTTGGTGTTTCAACGCCCGCTCTTCAATAAACGTGTACAAGTCGTCAGGCTTTTCCACACCGTTCTCAAGCAACGAAAGCAAGAGTATTTCGCGCTCACTGAGCTTGTTGCTGCTGCTCGACTCACAATGGCTTTTGAGAGTTTTCGCCAAGTTCAGAATGTACGTTTCTGCCACCTGAGTGAGGGTGTTGATGGCAAAAGGTTCGGTACTTTCAAAGCCTGTGTGCATAGCCACTTTGGCCACGCCTTTCCGAAGTGCCGCATACTGCGTCTTTTCGCTGAAAATATCGTGATTGGGCAATCTTGAAACCGGGTCCACGTCAACTTCCTTGACATATTCTATCTCTGGTTGTCGCATTTGCGTTCGATGCACGAACGCCTGCGTCTGCATTTGCCGGATCAACGAGATCTTGAAGCAGATTTTGCGGATCTCCTGGATCTCCGTGATGTTATCGCGATAAAGCTTGTTGAGCCCTGAATCTTCTGGAAGCACAAGCGACGACCTCGCCACAGCAGTGGTTTCTGGGTTTTGCACAATGGCGTCGGCCATGCTATTTTCGTACTTTTCTTGAGCATCATCGTCCACACCTTCGTATGCCAAACCTGGAACTCCACCCACAATGTCGTACTCGAGCAAGTATGGCTCGTCGCTATCAAGCAACTTATTTCCCTTGGAAACCACTTCTTTGAACTCCAAGAACTGGTGGAAGTTTTTCATCTTGCCTGACTCTCTCACGAGCGCCTCAGCATCCATTTTCAAGTGGTAATGGTCGTCGAACAACGCTGCTCGGTTTTCGCAGTAGTTGGCTCGCGAGGTGGCTGTGAGGTTTTTCCACGCAAGCAATTCTGGGTCCTGGTCTTCGTCTTCCTCATCATTGTCCCGCATTTCGGTCTCTGCGTCTTCATCTTCCTCATCTTCCTCTCTCTCTTCAGGTGCCACAGACGGTTTTTCTTCAGCGACAGGAGACACAGGTTCCACAGAAGCTGTAGGAGTATTTTGTGCTAATGTGCTTTCAACCGACCCATCAGCTACGCCCTCAGGCTCTTCGCTTTTGATGACTTCTTCTCTTTTCCGCATGCGGCCCTTTTTCGACGATTTTTTCCCGCCTCCACCGGGAGTCGAAGCTCTTCCATCCTCAGCTTCATCGTCCTTTTCAAGTTCGGACCGGTTACGGATGACAATATTAGGAATCGATGGAACAAGTTTCTGTGTTCGTTTTTGCATCGCCAAAGCGTGTGCACGCAAATAGTGCTTTGGGTTCGAGTTGTATGTTAAACAATTGTTCCATATAAGCATCAAGTCGTCCACGAACTCCTGCTTCGAATTGTACGCCAATCCTTTCAATTTTTTCATCACTGTGTTCAAGTCCATGGGCTTTTTTATGATGAGCCCATAATTGGGCGCCTCCCTTTTGGAAACTTTGTTCAAGAACGGTGTCGAGTGTTCTGTGTACCCACGTAAGTCTAAAAGCACCTTCTCACATGCATCGTACAACTCCTCTTGCCCGACTCTTTCGTCATTTGCCCATTTTCCCCTATTCTTGCGCACGTCCATAAACAAGGTCCGCAACTCTAAATCGTTCAATGAAATGTCGTCTCTACGTTCCTGAATTGTGTTGAGCAAATGTTTGAGCGAATGCGACACAAGCCCCAAATTGATGGGGATCTCGCCGCTTTCGGTGTTCTCTGTTGTCTTTTGGTTCTCAAGCTGCATGTCCGACTTGTCCAACTTGCGCTTTTTGATTAACGTTTCTCTGTCGTATTCGAAATTGTGATACACCTTGTTGAAGCTCTTAATCGTAGCCTCCTGCTCCTCTAGAGATTCGGCTGCATTGATTTCCTGAGTACCAGGCTCTTGTGTCCTCTCTTCTTCCTGTTCAGAGTCTGGTTCCGAGCTCTTAGCAAAGACAGAACCCTCCATCTCCAAAATCACCTGGCCATTATCGTTGAGCTTGAGAACAGTGGCCTCCTGCCCGTTGGAAGTTTTGCTCTTGTCCTCTCCGTTTTCTTCGTCTTCATCGTCGTCATAGTCATCTTCTTCGTCTCTGACATTTGTTTTCTCCTGGGGAACACTTTCCTCGTTGCTTTCTTCCGGTAGCTGGTCAAGCAACTCTATCATCTCGTGCTCTTTGGGGAGCTCTTCTATAGTGGCGAGCGAGCCCGAGTTTTCCCTGGAAGTTTTGTCGTAGTAAAAATTGATGGCTTTCTCCCATAGCAAATACCGGATCCGAAGCGCTAGCTGTGTCACAGGCTCAGTGCCTTCTGGAATTGAATCTGCGCTCTCATCATCAGAGGAGTCTTTTGCAATCACCAAGCAGCAGTTTCCGTCGAGAAACTGGCGCCAGAGTTGGAAATTATCTCGCTCTAGAATGGCATTTATGATATGACACTGCTCGGCGGTGAGATGGTGGTTGAAGAACCGTTTTTGATGGAGCGCTTTGGCCAACTCAAAAAGACGCCGGGCATCATTGAGTTGGAAAGTTCCTAGTTGGTCCATAAGAACTTCAAGCGAAAGTATAGGACGGGCCAAATAAGATGAAAAAAAATACAGAAGGGCAACACGCGAATACTCAGCACCAACGAGAGTAGAAAAGCACCAAAAGCCACGTTCAGTAAAGAAGGGAAACCAGATACACGCCAAGAGTCTCGCAGAATGTGCTGCGATTGCAATGTCTCGGTCACTTGACTGGAGATGTAATCTTGGTATACAAATCACGATTAACGGTGAGAGCGCCTGTCTGCAGGAAATAGAATGGGTGGTTTGTGGAGGTGAAGAAGAAGAGAGGAAGAAGAGAGGAAGAAGAGTAGGAGGAAAGAAGAAAAGAAGAAGAAAAAAAAGGAAAGGAAGAAAAATAAGCAGAAAAGAAGAGAAAGAAGGAAAAGAAGGAAAAGAAGGCAAAACCAGAGAGTCAGCTGGAAAAGTAGCTGCGGGAGCAAATGATACAACAATGAAGAGGCAAGTGAGAAGATGAGTAGGGAATGATTGGCCAATACGCTGGCATCAGTCAAAAGAGTCAGATGCAAAGAGAAAGCAAACAAACGGACAACTACGGAGAAGGCGTCATGCAACTGTACATTAAGCTATGTAGCCAACCAGAAAGCGTTAGACGGCGTACTTCTTGGTCCATTCTCTAGCAGTAGCCTCGTACTTTGGTCTATCCAGCTTGTAGACGTGAGCAATCTCTGGAACCAAAGGATCGTCGGGATTGGCGTCGGTCAACAAGGAACAGATGGACAAAAGCACCTTGGAAATGGTGAGCGCAGGCGACCACTGGTCCTTCAAGATATCTAGACAGATGGAGCCAGTGCCGTTGATATTGGGGTGGTAGATCTTGGTGGTGAAGTTGATCTTAGGAGGCTTGAATGGATAGTCAGTTGGGAAGTGGATCGAGAGGAAAAACACACCTCCTGCGTATGGCGAGTCTGGAGGACCCATGATCGAAGCCTGCCAGTGGTACAAGTCGTCGCCAACTGGACCGGCGGAGCACGACGAAGGTGGATCTCTGGGCGGTGTTAGTAGGTGCACAGGGGGCGGAAAAACGGAAAAAAAACTTTGCCTCGCTAGAGAAGAGCCTGAACGGAAAATGTTGCAAGCACAGAAAAGGTTGCTTTTTGGTGCTGGATTCCGTCTTTTGCATTCTGCATCAGGCGGCAAAACCAAAAACGAAAAACGGGCGATAGAAAAAGCAGAGAAAAAGACAAGATAAAACAGACAAGAGCCAATCCGTGGGCGGCCGCTATGGGCGGGAAAAAGGGACATACCTTCCCAAGTCGAGTAATTCTTTATTGATACGTTTTAACGACATGTCTGGATTTGTAGGTTTATAAAAAGAGCTGGTGGAAGAAGGAAAAAACCACTTGTCGTCCTCACTTGAGAGTGGGCGCGCGATCCTGCACATAACGCAACCGGTTCCAGTGGCTTCCACCGCACATGACCAAAAATGTCGCTGCGCCTAACCGGTGCTAACCCACACGGCCACGGAAGGGGTGTAGATGGGTGTGGTGGTGAAAACGTATTTCTGGGGGCCAACAGAAGGCTGTAGCAGTTTTCCCCAAATTTTTTTCTTGTTGTTCGGCCGAATTCGATCCATGGCCCAAATGCGACATTGCGACTTGGGTGGCACTAGCACTTTCCTTATCAGGACATGGCAAAGACATCAGAAGAAAGACGAGAAAGAGGAAAGGACGAATGAACTAGAACAGAATAAACTAGGACATGAGTAAAAGGAAAAAGAGAGTAAACATCGAAGGAAGAACGAACATGAAAAAAATCAAACAAGAACCATGAAAGATTTCATATCTTCTGTTTGCTCAGTCTACGGCTGAATAATTGCGCACAGAAAGACAGAAGACGAAACAGAAGACAAGCAAAGAAAAGAAAGATAAAAAAAACAAAATAACCACGACGAAAAGAACATGAAAACAAAAGAAAAAAAAGAACAAACCAAAAACAAAAAACAATAAATAAATAGAACGAAAAAACAAATTGCAAACAAAACGAATAAAACTTCATCGCTTCCTCTTATCAACAACCACTAACAACATCCTCCTGCACACAACACAGCCCTATCTCCACTATCAACCTTCTTCCATGTTTACCACGCTTGAGTTGCCCGGCATGAGACGGGCCGTGGCCGGTGGACAGAAGGACGCACGTGACCCCCTGATTCCGCCCGATCTGCCCAAGAAAATCCTCTCGAGGTACACAGCCAAGTCGAGGCTGGGGTGTCTCACTTGCAAAGCTCGAAAGAAGAAGTGTGACGAGACCAGACCCGTGTGCCGCGACTGCCTGCGGTTTAACAAGGAGTGTGTGTGGGTCGACCAGAGCATGTCGGGCTCCGAGATCCGGCGCCTTCGCAAAGAGGTGCAAGAAAAGGCCAAAGAGAGCAAGTTGCGCAGAAGACGCTCCAAGAAAGCCAAGCTGGAGGAGGTGGAAGGCGCAAGTGTGTTTCCACTGGAGGGAATGGAGAAGGGACATGAGAAGAACCGGGGTAAGAACCACGAGAGCAAGAACCTGGAGAACAAGAGCCTGGAGAACACGATCCTGGAAAACAAGAGCCCGGAGAACAATATCCTGGTGAACGTAATACTGCGGCAGAGCATGTTTACAGTACCAGACATCACTCCGCTTGGACAGGAGTATACACAGCCTGTGGGCTTCCCCGACTTGGGACGAGGAAACAGTTCTGCCATGGCTAGCACAGAATTCTTGCCTCTGCCAAAAGCCGGTGCGTCGCCGCTCTTCCTGGCCCATAAAGATGTGTCGCCGCCTCCTCTCGATGTGGACAGCTTTCGTTTTCTTCCGGAGGCCGAGTCGCCGACGCCGTTTCTCACGTTTTTGAAAGACCTCACTCTGCTCCACGAAAAGGACAGCACCGGTAGGCGAAACAATGCCACGAGCGAAAAATCGTCTGTTTACAGCGATGGGCGCAATGAAGAACCGGAAAACGGACAAGTTTCCGTGTCGCCAGAAACGGCGTTGGCCCGCATGTCTCCGAATTTCAGCGTCCCTGAGTTCTTGGAAAATATCCATTTGCTTCGACAGCGGTCGCCGGCCGAACTCAACAACCTTGCATCGAACTTCAATGCGGCGTTTCTGCCCCGACCTCAGGCACACTTGTCCTTTTTGCCCGGCTTGGACGATCTGGGCCAGTTCTTGTACAACTACTATGTCAACACTCTTTCAGCCAAAGTCTCCATTGCACCAACGAGCCAAGACGAGTCCAACTCATACCAGAAAGTGTTTCTCCCGCTTGCACAGAAGGACGATGGTGTGCTATACGGCATCTTGGCGTGGGCCGGCTTTCACTTGGGCGGGAAATGGCTTTCCGAAGGCTCCAAGTATGCAGAGAAGGCAGTCAAGCTTCTCACACAAGGCGTAGATTTTGGCGGGTTGGCTTGTGTGGAAAACGACCGGAGAACCATTCTCAATAAGTTGGCGACGATTCTAATTCTTTGTGGTGCGGAGATTTGCCGGGGAGATGTCAAGTATTGGTCGGTCTACTTGAACTGGGGATGGAAGCTTCTCCGAGATAACGGTGGGATCTTGAAATTCGACAATAACAAGGAGGAGCACTGGCTCATTTCAAATTTTGCATACCATGATCTCTTGGCTAGTTCTACATCAGAGCGTGGCACATATTTTCCGATCGACACATATAATACCATTTTCGCCGACCCTGAAGGTGTATCGCGAGGTTTGTTGAATCCATTGCTTGGTGTATCGAAATCTTTATTCAAGGTGATTGGAGAAATCAATTCTTTGGCATATGAGAGCAAAAGGTCTCTTGACATTTACTACAACCGTGGGTCTCCGAAATCCAGCGATCTCTGGTCTACGCCAAACAACGTCGCCCAATCTCCCGATCTTCCCATGCAAAGTTCGTTTGGAGACACAGACTCGGAAATCAGTGAACATGCGAAAACGGGCCGCTTGCTTTGCTCGATTCTAGAAAGAGCCCAGAAGCTCAAACAAGACATTGAAACGGCCAAACCAGAAATGGCAGATATAGTGAACTTGTCGGATTCAGATTTGGAACTTCAACTAACGTCGTTCGAAGCCTTCCAGCTAAGTTGCACGCTTTTCCTTCGCCAATCTATCATGAAGTGCAATCCTTCTTCGTTGGAGTCGCAGATTCTTGTGAATGATCTTGTGAAATGCTTAGATATACTATTGGACTCACCCATGGTGGCTACGCTTGTTTTTCCGATTTTCATGGCCGGCATTCATCTGGTTACCGAAGATGATCGCGAGGCAATGAGAATCCGTATAGACAAGATGATGGCAACGTACGGACCATGGAATGTTGTGCGAGTAAAGTTCTTGGTGGAGAAAGTCTGGGAAGAAAACCCGGAAGGAGATAAAGTAGTAGACTGGCATGCGATTCTCAAGAGCCTCGGATGGGATTTAAACTTTGCATAATCAGCCAAGACTTTGCTGGACGAGGAAGGTCCATAATCAAGTTCTGTTACTTGAAACCAAGATTGAGACCATGGAAATCAGTCACAGTGAAGTCACTTTAATCACAATGACGAAATTAATGACATCGACAAGTCGACTGTGCACGTTTTAGATCTGTCGATTGGGACACCGAAGAGGAGTCAGAACGAACAATGCTGATATCCAGTTTTGCAGGTTTTACTAAACCACTTCGTTAAAGCAAGCTGCGGGGAGAAAATAGCTTTTTTGATCCCCAGGAAGGTCTTGATCAAATGAGTGGAAGCGCTATTTTCACTCTGTAATAGGTCTGTGACTTTGACTATACGTCAGAATGAGGTCGAACCAGGATCAAGCAGATACAATAGAATAGAATATCAACATCCGCTTGATCGAAGAAATATGCTACAGTTTTCGGTCTGAATGCAACGTCGCTAGAATCTGATCTTCAGATATCAATCTCTTCAGATATCAACCTGATCTTCAGATATCAATCTCTTCAGATATCAATCTCCATGAATCGGAACAATCAACATCGCCGTTCCAGTCGCTAATCTTCTTCGCAAGTACACTGTCTTTTGCAACCAATACCAACTGCTTCCAATCGTATCGAGTATGAACACGCGATATCGTTTTCGCATACTTGTCTCACCCATTTAGTGGCTTTGTGTTTTCGCACCCAACTACTACTTTTATTTATTATTCCATGGCTACCCCTACTCTTGCTACCCCAGAAAAGGTGCATGCTGCACCCAAGACAGAGGTCAAACACAAAAGCGGAGACCACTTGTTGGAGTATCCTTTGGTACGCGACTGCCACGATGCTGTGGCCTTGTCTACTCTAGGCAAGCCAGCTACAGAAGCGCTTTGCCATGTTTACGCCAAAACTAAAAACACCCAGCCGTTCAAGTTTTTTTACGACCACGGCGACAAGTCCTGTGAAGCGTGCTTGGACCACGTGGACGCTTGGGCGCCTTCGCTCAAGACCATGGAGTGCCACGACTTGACGGATCCCATAGTACGCCCGATCGAGGCGACCCACTTGGCCTTTGTCAAGAGCGTGGTGCAGCCAGTGCTGCAAAAGACGAACGACGTGCGGTTGGCGGTAAACTCGTACTTGCAGGATAAGGACGGAAAGTGCTTTGTGGCATCGGTGACACAGCCGGTGATGAAGCCTTGCAACTCGGTGTTGACGAGTTTCACAGGCAAGGTGAAGCAGCTCCACAGTTCCAAGGGCGAGAGCAAGACTGCAGACTTTTCCAAGGTGGGCAAGGTGTTTCTGTTTGTGAAGGCAAAGCGTGCCGGCTCGGCTTTGGCTAAAGTGGACGAGACGGCAGAGGAAGCTGGAGAAGCCTCTGAAGGCCAGGCTGAAGAAGCAGCCGAGGGTGAAGAAGGACCACTGGGCTCAGAAGCTGCTCCAAAAAAGGCCGTTACTGAAACCGCCACCATCTGAATTGCTAGAGCACTATAGATGACTGATTAGCCAATAGATACGGCTGTAATTTCTTTGTAGACATCTTTGATGCCAACTCATCAAGCAAATCTCCTCTAACTTCGCCATCGCCTTAAGTAGATTTATCCTGAAAGGCTAAAATTGACAGATAACAAATTATGTGTTCTTCGAGCATTCAAACATTTATCAAGGTAGATTTTAATATTTCTGTCTTTAGTTGAAACTAATAAATATAAATCGGACGATAGATCTCACCGTCCATCAAATACATCATTTTCATGATCTATTGGAATACATCTTGATACATGTTCGGTGCATTCTGTTAGATTTAATGATTCTTTCTGCAGCCTTTAATTTAAGTATATTAGTATTTGAATTAGATGTAACGACCCAAAAGACGGCTTCACCAATTGACTTTTATATACACTTGAATTTCTGTCTTACCGCATGATATATTTTCAAGTGATCGGATCAATACAATGATCACAGACAACTAACAAACATAGCATGACACCACTGAGTTTACAACACACCAGTCATCACGAATGTCCCTTTATTTGTTCTTCCAAGTGCTCGATAGACCTACAATTTTAGTAGTGTAAGATATTCATTGAGTAAAACACTAGATAGCCTCGAGCTCCTTCTTGATGTTTGCGGCCAACTCTGCACTCACTTTACCAAAGTACTTGATGACACGCTCTTGGATAGGCTTGTCGGCCGCACTCACATGGACTGCAACGTTGTGGGCCAAGTTTCTCTGCTGGCCTGGGTATCTAGCCAAAACATTGTACAACGCAGTTGCCTGAGTGAATTCAGCGTCGGTAGCCTTCCAGTGGAATGGACAAGCAGCGCCGCTCCACACCTCCTGGTCCTCTTGGAGACTGAATTGGCGGAACTCAACGGGCTCGCTGCTTGCGAGGTAGTTTGGCGTCGAACCCAAGTTACCATTGACATTCATGACACCATCTCTCATGTGAGGGTTGAACACGCCGGTGATAGGACAGTTGACTGGGATCTGAGTGTAGTTGGGTCCCAATCTGTGTCTGTGAGTGTCTGCATAAGAGAACAATCTCGATTGCAACACTGGGTCAGCGGAAGGTTCCATGTATGGCACGGTGTGGGCAGGAGAGAATGCCGCCTGTTCGACCTCAGCAAAGTAGTTCTTGGGGTTTTCGTTCAAGGTGAGCTTACCGAAACGGCGCAAGGGGTAATCCTTGTGTGGCCAGACCTTTGTCAAGTCAAAGACAGAGAATGGAGCCTCCTTGGCCTGTTGAGCAGTCATGGTCTGGATGTAGCAGGTCCAGCTAGGGAAGTTTCCGTCGGCAATGTTGCGGAACAAATCCTCTTGGGCATGGTCAGGGTTCTCGCCCGCCAACTTGCCAGCCTCTTCGTTGGTCAAAGTCTTGACGCCCTGGTCCGAGATGAAGTGCACTTGCACGTAGTGCCAGTTGCCATCCTTAGTGGACCACTTGTATGTGTGGCCCGAGTAACCGTTCATCTCACGGTAAGATCTTGGGGTACCACGGTCCGAGAACAACGTCATGACCTGGTGGATCGACTCTTCGTTCGACGTCAAGTAGTCCCAGAACATGTTGGCGTCCTTCAAGTGGGTCTCCGGGTTCCGCTTCTGCGTGTGGATGAAGTGCGGGAACTTGGAAGGGTCACGGATGAAAAACACCGGCGTGTTGTTGTACACAAGATCCAAGTTGCCTTCTTCCGTGTACAACTTGGTGGAGAAACCACGAGGGTCTCTGGCCGCGTCAGCCGACCCCAGCTCACCGCCCACAGTGGAGAAACGCGTGAACACCTTGGTTTTCTTGCCCACGGTGTCCAAAAACTTGGCGGAACAAATGTCTGTGATGTCGTCGGTCACTTCGAAAACACCATAGGCGCCAGAACCTTTGGCATGGACCACTCTTTCGGGGATTCTCTCGCGGTCAAAGTGCGCCAAAGAGTCGATCAAATTGAAGTCCTGCAACAACAAGGGACCGTGCTTGCCCACTCTTTGGGTAGCAAAAGGTTCAGGAATAGGACATCCGTTGGAATTGGTGAAGGTAGGTGGTGCCATTGTAGTAATGATTTTGTGGTTGTGGAAGCAGGGCAGCTTAGGCGCCTTTTATAGTCCACCTTACTTTCCATCGAAATGAGCCACAGGCCAATAGGAGAACGGCTTACTCATGTTGACGCAACTAGACCTTGATGGTAGACAGAAGTGGGGGTCGGACTAATCCTGCATTCCGCAAATCTAGAACTTATTATACAGACAGAAGAATCTTTGACATGATGAGGCGCATACACGGGAAGGTACATACAGGACAATCTTCAATGAAGATGGGCTTCCACCATGGCCTTTTTCCAGCAAAATGGGCTTGGAAGTTTGTAATCTCGAACATAAAAATGTCGAAATTAATAATCCTGAACTTCTTCGTCGAAGGAAATAATCTGCAATCCGGGTATTCTGCAAATCGGATAATCTTCATACATGACAGCCTGCAAACATGGTAATCTGCATTTGAAAGCATGATGCATCTAGAAACATGATTACACACTCCACACATTTCAACCCAATTGCTCAAATACTTTTCTTAGTTTTACTTTACAAACAACAATAATGCATAGACTATCGAAATGTTTGAACCAAACTACAAAAATTGACAAAATAACGACAAAAGTTGAGAGAGCCATACGACGAAAACTAGCCAGCAGCAAGGAGGAAAGTTGAATACAGTCTTGACGCTTATTCTTCCCACCTTTCGAAGAAATGTGAGCCGGAAGATTAGTAAACCAAGAAATAGGTCAAACTAAACGAAAGTATTCATCCAATGCGAACGAGACAAAAAATAAACAGTACCAACAAAAGTTACAATGGAATATCAGAGACATTTCTTGTCCCAATGTTCCTGCAAAGCCCCGCTAATTACAGATTTGGCTTGAATATCAAGCTTGGAAAATAAAAGGTTCATTAATTGTAATTTCTTGTGACGATTACGCGATATGTGGCACTTTTGGTACTCTTTAAGAAAAGGCTGTTGTAATTCTTGACTCTTTAGTGCCAACCTATTAACCAAGTTATTTCTGCCAATTTGAAATGACTCAAACAAAGCGACTAAATTCTTTCATAATACGCTACTAAAAAGCCAATCACAAAGGGTCGATTAGATTAATCTGCCTTAAGCAGACCATTCCACGTTTTTTTTTTTTAAATAGCCAAATTCATGTACACAAATGCAGTAAGCACGTTTACGACGGATGTGTGGCATTCTCCGCCCTTTTTTTTTTTTTGGAGAGGAAAAACGTACTTTCTGAGGCTTTTTTTTTTAATTTTTATTTCTATATTCCAATGATGATAGTTGAGATAATTCTTTACCTAACAGCTCTCCTCGTACTCACCAGCATTGAAGCAACATGAGTGGCATTTTTTTTTGACTGTCTGAACAAAAGCTTATACATTTTTAAGGTCTTTGGTTCCTGACTCATTTTTTTTTCCGAAGGCGGAAGTCAAATAACTCTCTAACTAAACAACTCTACTTGCCAACATCCCCAAATCTCTTTATATTTAGAGACGTACGTCTAGTCTCCACGCAGCCGAACTGTCACAGTTCGAACTCCCTTATCCCCAACTCCACAGCTCTCAAAACACCAAATATGCAAACAGCCGAGAAACCATTTATAGTAATCAAGCAAGAAAAACCAAGAGGTAAAAATGCAAAAGTAAATTATTCTGAGAGCAACAAGTAAATGGTGATTATGACTCTTACAAGCAGCTGCATTATCAAGACTGATTTTTTTATGGCGAGGCTTTTGTGACTTACTAATATGATACTAATAGACCCAAAAAAAAAACAGCTGGTTGGCGGTTTTTCCATTGGTAAAAAAATGGGTGCTTCGGTCATTCCGTATCCTATCTGCTCTTCTTGCAACAGTTCAACAATCCAAGGTTTCTAGCTTCCAAACTAATATTTCCTTGAGATGATAGTGCTCCCATAATCATTGAATATAAGACTTCAAGCAATGGAGATAAAATTGCGTTTTCGCCTGTAGACCATCTAATAGGCGATATATTTCCAGCAATAAAATACCATCAAGTTTGTGCTTCCAAGAACGTCTGTTGTGGCTTCGTCCTCCACAGGATATGCAATTTTTTTGATTCTGTTTTACTACTGTAAACGTTTGTTCAGCAGGTTCTAAACTGAAAGTTTCTCCTACAAAGTACAGACGTTTGATAAAATCGCTAGTGGACCCACCCATTCTCTCCTCAAGAGAAGCCTACTCCATAAATGAATAAAACAAACCTTAATCCAAATTATCACCATTTCATTTAACCCGTTGGTATCATTGTTCCTTAAATTCTCCAGACATTTCCTAAGCAGTTTTGGATAAGTCCAAGATCCAATTTGCTTACTTTTGTGGCGAACTTCAGTAGTGGCACGGAGTCTTACATTAGTGACTTTCTTCTTAAATTATCAAAACATAGTGTCTAATGTGAGTCCTCCCGCTAAGCCTGTTATGTTTTCCATGTCCACATCGTCCAACAAAAGTCTACTTCATGTCCTTAGAATAGATCTTGAACCCTTTACACTCATATCTTTCCCTATTCCAATTTCCGGTCTAAGTTGTTGGAAGATTTATCCCATGTTCTTTAACGGCATCCCTCTACGATACGCCAAAGTGTTTCCATAGTAGAGGCTACCTTTTGGAACCTGTCAAAAGTTAGTCATTACATCTACCACAGGCATAATTGTGAAATGAGAAACAGTGACCGAATATGGGTCGATCAGAAAGAGCTAAATTCAGTGTCTATTGTTAGTTCATGTAGGTGCCTATAAATTAGCTTTAAAACGGTCATGACTTGTTACTAGTCCTCTTAAATAGAAATAGAAAGGCATATCTTTACTTCGTATAATGTGGTTGATGTCGTCAAAAATTACATAGTCTCATGAGCCTTATACAAAAACCAGCACCCAAAACATGGACAACTTCGTTTTGCTTGAGTCGCCTAGGTTTAAGTCGTGGTTCGTTTAGACTATTTGATCGATTAGTTCGGATGTCATAAAATATTCTCCGAGGCTAAACCTCTGGCTTACATGGCGTCAACTTTTCTTAACATGCTATACAATATGTGTTATTTTACATAGGATTAGTCCTTGGACTTCTTCTTCTTCTTCTTTGGGGCCTCGTCGTCGTCGGCCTTTCTCTTCTTCTCCTTCTTTTCTTTCTTTTCTTTCTTGTCCTTCTTTTCCTTCTTGTCCTTCTTCTCAGATTTCTCAGACTTGTCGGACTTCTCAGACTTGTCAGCCTTTTCAGCCTTTTCAGCCTTGTCCTTCTTCTCCTTCTTCTCCTTCTTTTCCTTCTTTTCGGTTGCTGGCTCCACATCCATGTCATCAGCCAAGTCGCCGGCCAAAGCCAAGGCTTCCTTGATAGCATCAGAGTTCTTCATAGGAGCAGCACCAGTGTCGTAGAACTTCAATCTGTCCTCAACTTGCTTCTTCAAGATTTGACCGAAAGCGGTGGATGGCTCGTCGGAGTAGTTGTCGATTCTAGAGGCAATAGAACACTTGTTGGCCAAGTATCTGGAGATTCTACCCTTGTTCTTAGTGGAAGCCTTGCCAATGAAAGAAGAGTGGTAGATCAAACCGTACTTTGGTGTGTTTCCCTTGGTCTTCAAAGCTCTGAAAAGGGCCTTTTCGGCACCCAAGATTTGCACGGTCGAAGCAGCTTGCTTCGACAAGTTGGTCAAAGAACCGGCGTGAGAAATCAATCTGGCACCAACAACGTCACCAATCAAGGTGGACAAGTTGGGGGCGACGGTGTGCATCTTGTCGCTCAAGTACTGGGACAATTGCTGGCGGTACTCGGAGATGGAGACAACACGTTCGGCAAAAGTGGCCACGTTGAGCATATCTAGTTCGGAAATGTCCTGGCCCATGGAGATCTTGGCATTGTCAATCACTCTTTGGGCAACGCCGGAGTCCTCGTTGAGCAAAGCGGCAATGTCGTGGAGCGACTCGTCAGTCAACGATGCCTTGTCCTTGATGAACAAGGCCAACTTGGCAAAAGTGTAGTTGTCAGGAACGATCTTGGCCAACTCAGGGAAGTGCCAGCCGTACCACTCCTTGACTCTCATGGAGAAGGTGTTGATGTCCTTGTCCAACTGGTCCAAAAGGGCAATGGCCTGGATGATGTGGTTGTCGTTCTTTTGCACAGAAAACTTAACCTTGGCTCTGGAGAAAGCGTGGCCCAAACCCAACTGGGCTCTTTCAATGTCGCCCGCCTGCAACTCCTTCAAGAGCTTGAAGCCGTGCACACGGATACCACGCAAAAAGTCTTGCACAACCTCGTTGGACAAGCAGTCGACGTAAGGGAAAATCTCCTTGATGGAAGGACCCAAGTTCTTATCACTGACACCCAAGGTGATTCTTTCCTTCTTGGCCGGCTTGGGCAAGTTCAACTCCAACACGGACTTGAGGTAGTCGGAAACCAAGCCTTCGGAAATGTCGTTGGCGTTTTCCAACGCTTGGGCGGCTCCCTTGAAAGGCGCAAAAGACACAAGTTCAATCATCTTGGAAAACTTGCCCAAGTCGTTGGACGCCTCTTGCACTTCCTGCATTCTGGCAGCAATGTCATCCTGCTGGATGAGAACTTTGAAGATGGCATAGCCTGTGGCCTCTTCAAAGAGAAGGTAGTCGATGGCGGCCATTTTGGGGATGAGAAGAAAGATGGGAATTGCAAGTGGAAAAAAAAATCGCGAGGGCATCGGTGCGAGAAGAGCGGTGCGCGCACGACCGCTGGCCCAGGACGTCGATGGACCATGCTGGAGAAAAAAAATAAAAATAAATAGACAGAGAGAAGAGACGTAGTAGGGTAGTGGAGAGTAGTGGAGGAGGGCTGTGTGATGGTGTGGAAAAAAAGTTGTGGAAGTGACTGATGACATGTCGCACATAGAAATTAGCAATAGGAAACGGAAGAAGCCAGTCCCTCAAATACAATACACTGACACTACTTTTCAGTTCATCTTTGGTTTCAATTACATGTGGTATTAAAGTTCATTCAGGCTGAGGACACAGAGCAAGGTCGTTTGCATTTGTAGGCCATCATTGTAGCCTAATTGTAGCCATCATTGTAGCCATAATTGTAGCATTGTAGCCATCATTGTAGCCATGGCAGACTTCGTTCGAACGTGCAGAATTCATTCATTTCTTCGGTTGTCAATGGCTCTGCATCTCATTTGATTATCTCTGTTAATTTGTCTTTTGACGTACTTTGTTCTCCTTTCATGAGATTCTTCTTCGATCCTGTTCTGCAGCTCAGATTGTCCAACCAACAATTTTGCCAGATAAAAAGGCCAAGGTTAAGATCATGACACCACGGAAGCCAGACACATTCCAATAATGGATTCAGACTACACTCGATTCCGTTGATCAGTTCCTAGTTAGCAGTTCATCAGACTTCTCCTTCTTATACGCCTGAAAGCCATTAAAAGATGCCAGAACCGTTGACATTCCGTATCAGTATTATATATTAATACCCTCTGACCTGAACAGACTGCAGACTGCCTTGACAGTGCGTGCGCACCCGTGCCTCCCGATCCAACCCTCCAGCCACTATGCATTCTGCCTTGTCTCACTCTTTATTCTGGTCCCACTTTCATCCAGCCCCATTCTCCTCCATGCTAGGCATTAGAATATCCACGCGGCTTGGAATCGGCGCGTCGCCACGCATAACAGCGCGTGCGCTGCTCAAAAACACCATGGTGTTTCGCCGCACAGTGAAAACACCCACCATCGACTGGAAACCCATCAAGTCGTCTGTCACCAACTTGGCTCGTGCAGAGAACCAGTCCAAACTGCCAATATTCCGCCGCTTCATCTTGGGCTTGATGATCGCCATGCCTGTCATCAGCTTTTTCTTGGGCTGCTGGCAGGTGAAGCGTCTTCGCTGGAAAGTGGACTTGATCTCGCGCTGCGAGCATCTTCTTGCAGAACCGCCGTTGGACGGATTGCCCGCCAACATCGATCCGGCGGCGGTCAAGGACTTCGAGTTCCGCCGCTTCAAAATCCGTGGCCATTTCGACTATAGCCAGGAGTTGTTCCTTGGCCCGCGCATGAGAAACGGCGAAGTCGGCTACCTTTTGATCACGCCGTTTGTTCGTGCCGACGGCGGGAAGCCCATTTTGGTGGAGCGCGGCTGGATCCGCAAGGAGAAAGTGGTGCCCGCCACTCGGAGCACAGGCTACTTGTCCCACTTGGCCGTGCCTCAAGGCGAGATTGAGATCGAGGCCATGCTCCGTGTGATGCCCGCAAAATCTTACTTGCAATACGAACACGAGGAAGGCACTCGTTTGTTCCACGTGCCTGATGTGGAGGCGATGGCGCGTGAGACAGGCTCGTTACCCGTGTATGCGCAGATGATGTACCTGTTGCAAGACCAGCCCTGGAAAGGACCCGAAGAAACAAAAAACGAGGAGAAAAGTTGGAATTGGAAAGCACTATGGGGAGACAGAGGAAGCAACACGGAAAGTAGCACCGTCCATCTCTCGCCTGAAGACGCGACAATGGAGTGGCAGGAGTTTGAATTCATCAATCAAGGTGTGCCTTTGGCCGCAGTGCCTAAGGTAACGTTCACCAACAACCACATGCAATATCTTCTCACGTGGTTTGGAGTACTGATAGCCAGTACTTTCCTTTTGGCATGGAGCGTCTACAAGCGGCGCGGCCTGCTGAGTGCTGACAAGTTAATAGCGGCCAAGCGCAAGGACATGAAGAAGCGCATGTGATGTACATAGTCTATGGACGACGGGGTCAATTCCCAAGCACGCTCGTGATACCAAAGTAGAACACCATAAGCATAAGGTCGCCCACGAATATGCTTGCACCATTCCAGTAGACAAGTGCACGAGTCACCAAAGGTTGGTAGCGGCCCACAGCAGGGACTACTGCACTGGCCATCGACAAAATACGAGACACAAGATTCTCCCGCGAAAAATCCTTGAACTTGGGTTGCGACATCACAAGGAAATAGGCGGAAATCACTGCAACCTCGACGGTAAGAAATGCCGTGAAAAATGTTCTCACATGGCTGTCGACAGCCTGTGCACGCACAAAGGCATATGGCGAAGCCAGAAGTTTGTAGCCACTCGCAATGTAATGGTACACAAAGTTCAACGTGTGTATGATCCATCTCACAACGAGGAACCGGGCCTTCCACTGCTTCTGTTCGTAGGCATGGTACTGCGATAACTGGCTCTGGTACGACGATTCCTCCGCCGTAGACCCTCCGCTAGGATCTTCAGCCATCGCCTTCATCATTTCTTGGAGGAAATTGGCACCACCATCGTTTCCTGGGCCTGTATGGGCGCCAGAGCCACCAAGAATTTGTTGGAGCATGGCCTCCATGTCGGGAGCCTCGTTCTCCTTTTCTTTCAAGAGAGAAGTGATATCCGGCACTTCAGGATCATCGTGGAGTGGCGTGGGTGACTGTGTCTCTCTAGAAGGAAGATCCATCACCGTAGTAGTGGCCTTTTCAGGCTTATCGAGCACTGATGTAACGTTGGACGACTTTACAGAGGAGCCCTGCGACAAGATATTATTAAGACGGTCCGTGGCCTTTCCCTGGGCCATTTTCGCTTGTCTTCTCTCACGGAGAAGCTTTCTCTTTTCTTCAGCTGAAAGTTCCGACATTGGATGTTGGTGTTCGAAAAACCAACCTCTCGAGCATATACCTTTGGTGGTGTCACGTGCACAAATCGTACTGCGCACTCTTTAACCAAACAATCTTGAATTGAATTTCCCCCCATTTTCCATGTCCACTCTAAGTTATGAGGAGCAGCTAAGACGGCAGAAAATCATTAATCTGATGGAAAATAAGGATTTCTTGTTGGTGATGGCTAGCCAGCAGCAAAAGTCGGTGCAACAGGTGAAGTACGAGCTCCTAACGAAACTCTTGCAAGGATAAAGGAAAAGACCAAAGTACAATAAACTAGAGTTTGCTACCGTTTATTGTAATCTATTATCTATCGGAATGGAGGGCGTGATGCTAGTCGTGAGTTTTTTGTCGAAGCTGGCCGCGGCCGCTTGGAATCTGTTCTTCGCACATTGCTTGTGTTTGTTTTATCAAAAAGTCCACGCATGTACCGAGGAGGCTGGTTGAGATTAGGCCCATCCGAATCCAGTGGAGGTTGGCCCAAAGTTGTAGAGTTTGAGAATCGGGGCACAGGCGGCTTTCGCGTCGCATGTTTGGGTCCAGCAGGGGTTTCTATAAACGAGTCTGTAGTAGAAAATGTATCATCATGGGCCACTTGAACCTTTCTATGTCGAAGGGATGGAACGCGTGAAGCGGAGTGGAGAGGAGCACGGCGAGCAGGCGTTTTACGCGCTAGCACTTCGTTACGGATAGCCATGGTCTTTTGTTCAAGGATCTTTGAGGAAACTTCGTCCTGAAGCTTCTTATTGGCGTCACGGAGGAGATGCACTCGCCTCTCAAGCTCTTCAACGTGAGTCTGTGCGCGCTGCACTTTGGCGATGCTTTCGAATGCTGCCTGCGTCGGGCATCCTGGAAAGTTGTTGCAAAACATTGTGATCAACAACCCATAGAGGAACGCAGCAAATGGTTCATTGAACCCACCATTCACCGCTGCATGCATCTGTGCCAAATCTGTCATGTTGGACTCTAGCTCCTTTACCGCATCAGCCACCGCTTCAAATCTCTCAATGTTTTTTTCTGTCTCAAGAGGTAAAACATCCTCAGGATAGTGGGCTTGCGGCGATTGCGGCATAACATTGTAAATGCCCGAAGAACGATGCAGCCGGCGACGCGATTCCCGTCGTCCCGGGTACGTTTCGTGGGACATGGCCTAGAAGAAAAAAGAATGGGTGTTTGTGTATGATTACTGTTCCTGTATTCTACGCCTGAACGTAAACATTGAGATACAACGCGAAAACCTGCTGCTTTTATACCGTCGCGTTTAGGTTAGGCTGCAAAAAGAATTACAGCCAAGGCTCTCGCAGCTGTATATAAATACATGTAATCCCGGGTACTCAAAGCGGAAAAGATTGAAAACATATTTGTAGTATACACGAAGTTGCGGCCGCAAGAAGATTGCACGGCTGTTCCAACTTGGATGCAGAGGCTATTAGGTTACGACAAACTGCTGTTTATATCAAATTGTAACAGCGCTCAAATAATCTACACATTGCAAAATCTTATAGTGTTCTTTTTTTTCTTCTTCAGAACGAAGGACGGACCTCCAAGAAACACAGAAATCGAAGACTTACTTATCATCTTCTCCAATGATTTGCTGCCATGTCTTGCCTTCCTTTTTCAACAACACTGCAAGCTCATCTCTAATCTTGGCAGGCAAACCTGGTCCTTTGTATGCGAAAGCGGTGTACAACTCCACAAAAGTTGCACCGGCCTTTCCAAACTCCAAAGCGTCTTGTCCCGATGAAATACCACCGCATCCAACCAAGACTAAATCAGAGTCCTTAGTGTATTTTCTCAATGTTCTCAACGCCTTCAATGACAAAGGTTTCAAAGGTTTACCAGACAAACCTCCAGTTTGGGAAATGAGTTTTTGGTCAGTTGTTAACAAGCCTTGTGGTCTCTGGATCGTGGTATTTGAGATAATGATGCCATCAACTTTAGCCAGCTTGGCTGAATTAGCAATAGACTCGATTTCAGGCTCACTCAAATCTGGAGCAACTTTCACCAATACTGGTGGCTTCTTTCCAAGCTTGTTTGCACCCATTTTCTCCCTTTCACTAACAACAGTAGTCAACAAATTGGTAAGTTTCAGTTCATTCTGCAAGTCACGCAAGCCCGGAGTGTTTGGCGAAGAAACATTGACAACTAAAACATCAGCATATGGACCAAGACGTTGGACACCCTTGACGTAGTCTTCGACTTCGTCACCAGTCTTATTTTTACCGAGGTTAATAGCTAAAAGTGTACCATCACGGAATGAGTTAGACTCTGGCAGCGGGTTCCCGTTCAATTTAGATGAAAGTCTTTTTGCCAAAGTTGCAACAACATTAAAGTGGCCCGAGGAATTGAAGCCGTATCTGTTGATAACAGCGTCATCACGGGGTAAACGGAAAAAACGTGGTTTTGGGTTACCTGGCTGTGGTTCCGGAGTAATGGATCCAATTTCAACGTATGAAAAGCCGGTGTTGAACAAGGCATCAATTGCTTCACCGTCTTTATCCAAACCGGCAGCAAGACCAATGGGCGACTTCAATCTAGTTCCAAAAACATCAACTCCAAGAAGTGGGGAAAGCTCCTTTTCCAAGCGTGAATCCTTACCTCTCAAACTTGGAGCAAGGCCGTATTTCATGAACTTGATACCCAAGACATGTCCAGTCTCTGCATCAGTAAAGGTTCTGATGAGGGGACAAAGGACATATTCATGGAAACCAGCTCTGGCGTCAAATGCGTAGTACGTGAATGCAGAAAGCGCAACTGCACCAGTGACAACAGCAACTGGTCTTGGGATGAAGCTAGCCTGGAGCACACGAGGGGCGGAGCCCGAGCGAAAGAAGGACTTCATTGCCGAAAAGAAAACAGTTGGGGAAAAGAATCTCGTTCGATGTGGAGCATCTCTTCTATGCCGTAATGCGCCTCTAAAACCAGGTGATTATATGCGTTAAGAAAAAAGAGATGATGACACCAGTGATCGTTACGTGATAAAGAGAATTTAAATGATCGAAGTGACTCCATAAGATAGGGTGGTATCATTAATGCATTTCGAGATTCATGAAACTAGCTCTGTTCCTAGTAATGTGAGGTTTTCAAGACTCGAAATAAAAATGGTAGAAAAAGGAGACTGAATTATCGCCTTCAAAGCGAAGTTACAAAATGACATTCGGCCATCTCTCAACATGAATTGTCTAGCTGGCATGACAGCTGTCTCCTATCCATGTAAATTGAGACTATCAGAATGCGCGACGTTATGATGTTGGCTTAATTCAAGAAAACTAAAAGCTAGCTACAGAGAGAAGAAAAAAATTCAAAAGTAATAGAAAAATAAGTGGTTTTAAAAAAGAAGACAAGTTTTATACTATATGCATCGGACAGTTTTCCCATAAAATGGTTATTCATGCTTGATGAAAGTTCCATGCGCAAAATCGCACCTACTCCATAATACGGCACAAAGCATCTCATCGCAAATTTTCAACTCCACGTCTTCCCAAAATACGCCATGTCTAAATACGAAAGGGAGAAAGACAAGTTCCAAGGAAAGGTTGCCAAGCCGAGAGGCGGCCGTGGCAACCGTGATCTGAAAAAAGTTGACAGCGAGTACAAGCAGTTTGTCAAAGAGGCAGAAGCTACTGACATGTTGCTTCAAGAAGAGGTTGGTTTTTTGGAGGCTGATGGCCCCATGGAAAAGACGTATAAGTTCCGTCAAGAAGATATTGTGGAGGCTGTTGACCAGGCTACATCCAACAAGAAAATTGACTTGAAACTCACAGAATTAGGACCTTACAGCTTGGACTTCACAAGAAATGGACGGAAAATGTTGATTGCAGGTCGCAAAGGTCACGTTGCATCGATGGATTGGAGGCTAGGCAAATTGGACTGTGAGTTGTCTCTCAACGAGACTGTCCATGCTGTCAAGTACTTCCATAGCGACCAATACTTTGCAGCAGCACAGAAGAAGTACGTTTTCGTCTATGACAAGACAGGCTTGGAGCTCCATAGATTGGACCAACACCCGGACGTGACCAAGCTTGATTTCTTACCCTACCACTTCTTGCTTGTTACTGCGGGAAACACTAGCATGGTCAAGTTTCACGATGTCTCCACCGGTTTTATGGTGAGCGAGCACAAAACGAAACTGGGCCCCACACAGGCGATGAAACAAAATCCATGGAACGCCGTCATTAATTTGGGCCACACAAATGGAACTGTTACCATGTGGAGTCCATCAATGGGCAAGCCGTTGGCCAAAATGCAACTGAATAGAGGACCGGTCAGGGACATCGCCGTGGACAGAGAGGGAAAATATATGGCTGTGAGCGGCAGCGACAAGACCCTCCGTCTTTGGGACTTGCGTATGCTCAAAGAGTTGGATGTATACCACACCCAGACCCCTGCAATGTCGTTGGATGTGTCTGATACTGGACTTCTTGCTGCTGGATGGGGTCCAAACATCACTATCTGGAAGGATGCGTTTAAGACACACCAACGCGAACCATACATGAAACACTTGCTCCCGTCGTCAAAGGTGGAGCGTGCACGGTTTGTTCCCCTTGAAGATGTGTTGGGAGTTGGTCACGCTAAGGGAGTCTCGACTGTGATTGTTCCAGGAGCCGGTGAGGCCAACTACGATGCTTTGGAAGTGAATCCATACGAGTCTGGAAAGCAAAGACAAGAGGGCGAAGTGCGTGCTTTGCTCAACAAGTTGGCGCCAGATACCATTGCCATGGATCCTACATTTATTGGTACCGTGGACAAACAGGCGCGCAACATCCGGTTGACGCGGGAAGAGTTAGAGCAAGCAAAGGTGCAAGAAGAGAAGGAGCGCGAAGCGCAACTCGAGGCTCGCCCAGATCTTCCAGAGAAGCACTCCAAATTGAAACGGTACTTGGCCAAGAGCAAGAGCAACGTGATGGACGCGCGCAAGATGCGCGCGCAGCGCAACTTGGAGTTGGAGAAAGAGCGCAGAGAGCGGATGAGGCTCAAGGAAATGGGCGTGCCGGACGAAAAGGACAAGTTGGGCCCTGCGTTGGGACGGTTCGTTTGAATGCAGAGTTGGTGTTTGCAGAAACCGTTTGGAATGGCATACATGGGCGTCCCTCGATACTTTTCTGCCTTGGAAACCAGTTGATGATAGTACATTGCATGAGAAAGAAAGACCGAGGAATGGTGGATATTGGAGAAACACATAGAGACGACAGTACATAGGGACACTGATCTTACAGTAATATAGCAAATACGCTTGTTGAAAATACCGTTACCTACCTTTATTTATCAGTATTATATACCCTTGGGCCTAAAGCCGCATTACTCTAAGAGACCGCGCGATGCTGATGCATTCGTTGTCTCATTCTTTAGTCATGTATCGTGTTCTTCGCTCTTCTCTATCATGCCCATGCAGTGTCATCCTTTATGACTAGTCAACTTCTCCTTGTTCTTTGTACCTTTAATGACGGAAACTCGAGTAGTCGACAGTAATCAAGCCACCCAAGAGCGGCAGCTGGCCACGGCCGGCCAGTTCTACTGCCTGAGTCAACTTCCCGCCCGAAAGCTCGTTATGCTTTTGCAACCGCCGCAGCAAGCCCATTTCGGCCTCGACCCGCACAAGAAGACGCTCGTCTGCGGCATCCAAGAGTATCTGCCACAGGGTGGAAAGCTGGTCGTAGGCCATGGCGCGCGTGTACTGGAACTCGCTATTGGAGAAGTTTGGAAGCTTGTGGATCATTTCTGTGATGGCGTCGAGGATGGTGCAGGCAGGCTGTAAATCAACCTCCAATGGCGGGAGCATGTTCAAAATGAAGTCGGAAAGGGTGCTGAGGAACTCGCACAAGTACGGTTTGACGCGGGTGTATGAATAGTCGCTTTCGGCGCTGCACTTGTAGGGCAAATGGGCGGTGATGGCGTCGAATTTGGCCCGCATAACCGCCAAGGCGTCTTTTGTGTCAGGCTTTGGCGCAAGGTCGACAATAGACTGCGCCACCTGTGGGTTTGCCGCAGCCACCTGTTGCAAAAGCAGCTGCAACGCGTTGCGGTCCAACGTTTCGATGATTCTGTGCACGGGCAAGCTCTGGCCCAAGATTTTTGTGGTTTTGGCTCGTTTCTGGCGGCTAGGGGAAAACAGGCGAGGGGTGTCGATTTGCGGCGGCGAAAGCTTGCGTTTTCGAAGCGGCTTGGCGCAGCGCGCATGGTTCTCTGGGTTTCGCAACAGAAAGGCCGGGGTCGACATGGGTGATGTGGGTGTATGGGAAAAGAAGAATGAAAAGTAACTTCAAGAGTGAAAAGATGAGTGCGCTAAAGGAGGGCGCTGCGTGCAGGAACACAACCAGGAGAATGGAGCAAAAGAAGCCAGAGAAGGTAAAGCAAGAGTAAAAACGTAGAGAGAAAGAAAAGAGAACGGGCAAGAAGAAGAAAATGCTAAGAAAATTGTGAGCTCAAAATGATGTAAGGTCCAGCTTAGAGTGGTGTTTTGATTGCGAAGTCTGTTTTCGCGAGACGACAATGGAAGAAGACGGAAATGTGAGAATGCAAGAGGTTGACGTCTGAGATTTCACGGACAAGAGAAAAATCAACGTCAATAATGCAATGAAGTCAAAGAAGGTTAGAGTATCAGAGTATGGGAGTGTGTAAGTATGACTACATAGGACAAAAATAGTACAGGCAAGAATAAACGAACGCAAGCATAAGCTAATAGACAAGAGAAAAGAAAGAGAAAAGGAAAACGAAAAAGAAAAGGAAAAAGAAAAGGAAAAAGAAAACTAAAGAGAATTACTGGAAACTCAGAAAGAACACAATGACTCAGGAGGACAAAAGTACCAACAAAGCATACGCCCAGCGAATAAAAGGTTCAGGACGAAATTAATGGCCCAACTTGACATCAGGCAGGCTCGAATCATCCAGAGGTTCTGGATCAAAAATTGTTGAGCATCATTGCACTTTTACGCCTATGTGGTTCTCGGTATTTAATTTCGATAGTAGGGTGTAAAATCTCATCAGTGGCTGATACTTTCTCCTACCAAGTCAGGCAATACAGTAGTCTAACTCTAATTGAGCACAAAATGTTGAACCAACGACAGATGTTTACTCTAATTGTGAGTCCATACATGGATATGACAAATGTTTAGAGACTGGCAACTGTGAGCTGCAACTTGCTTTGATGTCATGTTATACGCTTAGCTGGACAAAACCTACCTTCTTCCAGTTTTTACTAGATTCTACGCACTTCTGAGAGGCTACCTTCTTCCAGTTTTTACTAGATTCTACGCACTTCTGAGAGGCTTTTGCATTGTCCGACACGTTAGACAGGCCGATTGCGGCTAGCGGATGTGTTTGTTCCACGATCAGCATAAGGCAGAGGCTACAACCACTCGCTTGTGTATGTATTGAGACGCCAGAACGATCCACGTTCTGGCCTAAAAGTGCAAGAAGCGGCATACAGCCAGGAACAGGAGCACGAACCTCAGACCCGTAGCCGACTTAGTTGACTCAATAGCCGTTGACTCAATAGTCGTTGACTCGATAGTCGTTGACTCAATAGTCGTTGACTCAAAAGTTGAATAGTGGTTGACTCAATAGTAGTCGTTGCTTTCAAACTCCGAGTCCGAAAGACTCAGGAACTCGTCGTCGCTCTCGCTGGCCATGTCGTAGTCGGCCTCGTTGAATCCCATGTAGCGGTTGCGCTTCAACTCCACCTCGTCGTCCGAGTCCTTGTCCTCGTCGTCGGTGATGTTGGCGGTCTGCTCCAGCTCCTCTTTCTCCTCCAACTCGATCTTCAACTCGTGCATAATGTCAAAACACTCGGCCAAGAGCGCATTCAACGTGGCCTGACCCTCGGGCACCTGGTTGTTCACAATGAACTTGCCGTCGTGCCGGAGATTGTCCAACGACGCAAGCTTGAATTGGAACGGGTACAACTGGCGCAAGTTGCTCAAGCCGTCCACACGCTTGATCTCCAAGAGACATCTGCGCACTGTCAGCAACTGGTTGTGGATGGGCTGCAACGACTCCAGCACCGGCTCCAGACTCTCCAAAAGCTTGTACACAAGCGAGTAGCACCGCCGGAGAAGGTACAACACAAGAAGCAGCACACGGCGCATTTTGCGGCCCGCGGCGCCCGAGCTGGCGCTGTCTTGCGTCAACAGCACCCGCTGCTCGTCAAGCCGCTTCAACTGCTTCTGGTAGCCGTACAAGTCCGTCTCGCGCATGGTCCAGCGGCGGGTCACAAGCAATTTCTCCAACGTCTGCTTCAATGCAAGCAACTCTTCGTACACGGAGCGGAGTCCGGCAAACGTCGCCAGCTCCTTGTCCAGCATGTCGACAGAGAGATCGGAGAACGCCGCAAGCATATCGAGCCCGGCGTCCTGGAGAAGATTGTTGCAGTCGTCAAGCAAGCCGTTGAGCACCATCTGCGCCCGCTCCACCAACTCGGCGTCGCCCGACGACCGGAACCGGCCGTTCTCGTCTCTCTGGGCCTCGATGCGCCGCAAGCTGGCACGGAGCGGCTCCACGTCGGGCGCCTTGCCCGAGTCGCTCTGCAACGTCACACAGTTGAGCAAAGACTTGCGGAGCAGAATGAGCTGCGTGTAGACGGGCTCCAAGTCCGACGGCATGCGGCGGAAGGTTTCCTCCAACTCGTCGTACGCCTGCTGGCAGCGGTGCAACTTGGTGCGCAACAAAAGGCTCTCTTCCGCGTGGTGGTCGGCGGCGCCGTTTTCGGCGTCCATGGAACCTTCGTCAATGTTCTCGCTGTGGGAGATGATGTCGCGGATCTCGTCCAAGCGCTGCTTGATGGGCCGGAGATCGTCGATGCTGAACACCTGGCATTCCTTCAAGTGCGTCAACAACTTGTACACGGTCGAGAGCGACAGGTATGTGGCGGGCGCAAACTTGGTCAAGCCGCATGTGACGAAGGAGAGCGAGAGCAACTGCCAGCAATCGTCAATCACCTGGTCTGTGGGCGTGGGCAAGCTGAGCGTCAACCCTTTGAGCTCTTCGTCCTTGCGCACAATGCTGAGCTCGTGCACCTGCTCCAAAAACTGCTCGTAGATTTTGTACACTTGTTTGGAGCTGAGAAACTTGCTGCGGTTGTTTTTCAACTCTTGGAGCGTGTCGTAGAGCTGCACCACAGCCGTGTGGATGGGTTTTTCGTAGTCGGGAACGGTCTTCATGGCCAATATATTCTGTCAATTGTGTCCAGGTGATGCAGTTACAACGAGTCGCTGGATATAGTCTTTATGAAACTCCTTCTGATGTTCGTGGTTGTTGATTGGTTCCTGCTTAGGCGAGATACCGTTTCTTTCTATCTTTTGGACACTGTCCTTGGATTTGTCTCTGGCTCGAGCGATGCACAATGCTAGGATATTTGCAAAGAATCCCTCGGTTGAAGGGCGTTTAAGTAGTCTAGCGGTTCCGGCTTGCTCCGACTCCGAGTTTTTTCGTGGGTCGTGGGGGAAGTTCGCGGAGGTACAGGTTTTTTCTGTCTCTCCTGTTGTTCGATGAATTGGTGTCCCGAACTGGCTTAGCTGGGGATTTGCTCGGTAGATGGCTTTTGAGTTTCTAGAATGCCACTCTACTTTTCCGGTAGATGCGGAACGCCGGGGGTTACACCCGTACCTCCGCCCGTCAACCAAAATGTGCAGGATATGCTACTCTATGCAAACCATGGCCATGGTTGTATTACATAGATTGTGGTAAATTATTCTGGTTATTTTATGGTAATTTTATTTGTTCTCTATTGGACTGAGTAGAGAGAAGTGTAAGAGATGCTTACTCAATTTTGCCTTTTTCTGGAAACCAAAGTAATTTCTTTAACACCAGCCATAAGAGCTAAGCTTTGAACTTTACTTCTGTTTCTGTGTATTCAGTCTTGAAATTTCTGCTTTGAACACCAGACTACATCCAATTCAAAACGTTGTAATGCTCAAGTATGTCCTCATGGTCATCAAGATACTCCCTTAGTGTTTTTCTTTTGTTGGAATCCACATGTACAATCAAATCAAAAAGCAAAACTTGAGCTCCTCTAAATCATCATAAAAAAATTCCTCCAAGGCTCATTAATCTGGCTCACTAAAAGTGCCAGAAGTATGTGAGAGTAAAAAATATTCAACAAATACTAAATGTTTTATGTGGTCAATTGGGATGAGTAACCAAACATCAGTTGTAGATATGAAAGTCAATTCGAATACTTGTGCACAGATTAATGCGATAACCCGTTTCAATGTACCTACTGGTCAAAATGTGTCATACATATTTGAAGGAGAGAAGAATTCATTCGTCGCCCGAACTGTTTCCAATACAGTTCAGAAGAACTTGAAGGAGATTTCTTTTCGTTTGTATACTTGCTCTTACGACTATGATTTCCAACCATCTTAATCGATGCATCGAGTTACAATTGTATGAAGTTTGTGCTTTTTTCAGAAGTCCATGAGGCTGCAGTTAGGTCGACTGATCATCATCGCAGAACCATCTTAAAATAAACTTCTTATCTCTTAACAGCGATTCAAAAGATTAGCTTGAAGAAAGTGGCCCTATTGTTGAAGAAGTAAATGAGCTACGATACGGAATAGACTGTGATAATGAAACTACATAAAATAGCGTTTGCTACTCTGATGGTCTGATTATGTTCTCTACATTTTTAACAGATTGTATTACTTGGATTAACATCGGTCCATGTGTCCACAAATCAAATTGTTTATGAAAACAAGTAGACCAATTTTAGACTTGACAAGATAAATATAGCATAAGGCAAAACAAACCTTCATTACAGAAAAACACGAGTGATTTATATGAGTATGCATTAAAATAGTATTCGAAGCATTTATATTAGTAATGAGTTGAATTTGTTAAATGAGAGCCGTTGAATTCAAAAGATCAACTAAAACAACTTAGTAGACTGTATCCGGACAGCCACTTATACCCGTTGGTGCCCCAATTGTCAAAATATCCGTAAACTTCGTAATCACGAGACCATGTCATACTCTATGATCATGCCTTTCGTTGAATAGTTAAACGCGTTCATCAAAAGAGAAAAAAAGCTGCCTACCCTTCAAGGTACTTACATCATCACCATATGTCCGTGTCATTATACATTGCTGTGCTATGGGTTAGCCACCGCTAGAATCTTGCGCGAGTAGTCCGTTTCGTCGGCTAGTGAGCCTTCCAGGATCCGCCGCCGGCCCATCATCACTGGATTGAGGCGTGGATCCGAAAGCGGCGGCACTGCGTTGCTTGCACGCTTGTCCGCATATGCATCCAGGAATGGGTTGGCCATAGGCGTGTCAAACACAGGGTTAACGGTGCTTCCCTTGGACGTGCCACCACGGCTCACACCGCCCGTGCTCTTCTCGTACAACTCTTCCTCGTTGTCGTCATCGTCAGAGCGCCGGCGCATGAAAAAGAACACGGCGGCTGCCAAGACAGCTACACCTCCGATGCCGCCCACAACACCGCCCACAATGGCGCCTGTGTTGCTGCTCTTTTTGTTCAGAGAGTGGCCAGATCCAGAAGATGCGGAGGCAGAGGCCAGCGGGCCGGACGTTTTCGTCACGGTTTTGACTGCGGCCGAGCCCGACTCGCCCAGAGCAGATGTAGTCACAATGACAGTCACCAGAGACTGCCCACTAGTTGAAGTTATGGAAGAATCAGGCAGCGACGTGGCTGCATCCAGCGTAGTGCTAGCGTCCGAGGAAGAGGTTGCCGACGTCAGCGGCGAAGAATTTACAGCATTTGAGCTGGTTGCAGCCAGAGCCAGGTTCAGGTTGACGCCCAGGCTGGCACCCGCACTGCCGCTTACGGCAGCAGCACCGTCGTCGTTCCCCTGGCCTTGGAATACCGTGTATGCCGATGCGCCTCCACACATATCGGTACCGTAACCGTTACACTTAACGTTGCAGTCGGATGAGTCTGTTTCATCTGTTGGCATGGACAGGAGACAAAAACAGTAGCCACCGTTTTTAACCGCCACATACGGGTAGTCATTTCCACAAGCCTGCGCGCACAGCGACGATGTCTGGTACTGATTGTAGCCTTTTGAGTTGGAGGTGTCTATGGACGAATAGCAGCCAAGGCCAGAAGCAGAGACCCAGTGGGCCAAAAGCGCGGCTAGTATGACATGGCTGTAAAACATAACCGCTTGTGTTTGGATGGGAGCTTTTGTTCAAATGAGCGAACGTCGCCTTTTTGTTTGCGTAGGGTCGTTTGGGATTTGTTGATAGTGGAGTTTCGGGACTCCTTGTTTTCCGTTTCGAGGCTTGTTTCGAAAAGGCTCTGGAATTCAGAGATAAATCTATGTCCAAGGAATGGGGTGGCTCAAAGCGAAGGAATGTGCCAAAGGGTATAAAAATAAAACAACGAAGGGTATCAGAAAAAGAAGGGAACCAGACAAGGACCAGAAAAAAAGTAGCTCAAGCGCTTCTTTGAAAAAGAAACTACCCGGCTGCTCTAGTTTTATTAGCCGCAGGCGCGCCTCAAAAAAAAATTAAGAAAACGCTCCGCGAAGTCGAAAGATAGCCTGTTGCCGTATGCAGGAGAGTGCCTTGCGATTTCGTGTTTTTCGGTCTAGAACCGTCCACGCTCAATAGACTTTGGCCAAAAAAAAGGGCTAGGCTTGCGTTTTTTTTTCGATGGAGCCGTTTTTCGACTTCAATTTGGCGTTCTTGAGTTCCTTCGAGATAGAAGGATGAGAGCACTGCCACTGAAAGAAGCGTCCTGAAGAAAATCTGTCACGTGAGCACCGCTACCATAGACCGCGCTTTCAACAAGCCTTTGTTATCTCCGCAGTCAATTTACCATTTTCGGCATGCACCGTTTGAAGCACGCACCTTCCATTATTCGATTAGGCTATATTTATTCCGAAGTTGGAGCAAGCAAAAGAGTATTTCCGGGGTACTGACGTGTAAACGGCGAATTCCAATGTGGGTAGATGGATAACTTGGTTTTTTTTTTTCGAATTTGAATGCATTTTGATAGGTTACCTAACGACATGGCAAGTTGATGTATGGCCAAATAGAGCCAAACCTTCGCTGTCATTATGCAAGCGCAATAAACTATCTAGAACAGCTTGGCATTCTAATAGACTTTACACAATGTTACCAGTTTTAATACAACCCGCTATCAAACTAAGGAAACTGCAAATAAGAATGCAAGATCACAAATTGGTGGCCCGAAAAATCGTTAATCAATGTAACCTAGGTCACAAGGACTTTCCAATGATTTCCTTGAGCCATTCTGTTTAATTGTACACCAAACGGTTTAGTCGAACTTGGAATCCGACTGGGCTGGTGTAGAAACTCATGAAATTTAAATACTGCTTGTCATACTTACACACATAATGCGATAATTGATTTAATTATGCTGATGTTAAATGGAAACAAGCTTTTGTATCCAGGAAGTACAAGGAACTTGCTTGGACTGGTAAGTCTTGGTTTGTAAAAACCGAAGGGCTTTTGGAATCAGAATAATAACTTGTAAGTAGAATCCTATAGGTGCATGTTTGTAAGTATGTTCATGATAAATGAATACCCAGCAGTTTGGTAGACTATTTGACTACTTTTTGTGGTGTGGGATTATATTATTATCATACCTGACCAGAGAAAGAAAAGACACCACATATAAACAAAAAAAAGTAATGTGACTGCTTCTGGAACGAAAAAACATTTGTACGCCTAATTCCTGACTCCCGCCTAATTTAGCAATCGTTTGTGATTGCAAGGGAATGAAGGATCACCACATGTCAATCGTGATGAAGTCAAGACTAATTTCTATCAAGACTAATTTCTATTCCATTATACTCCAACGAGACGAGATCCTCATTGATGAAAATAATAGCCTTCCACATACACCAAGTTCAACCCTACATCTTCTAGTTTAAAAAGAAGTTCGCCATATATCTCCTGTACCTATATCGTCAGTAAATAATGAGGTTCCCATTCAACGCTAGTGACAGATTCTACTACAGTCTAACTTTTCCAAATTTGCATTCACCGCTCTGAGCTGATAATTATATTACACAACGGGCTACTTGCCCACGGTTTCCCAACCTTCTTCCACCGTCAAATTGGCCACCTTGTCTTCAAGACCGGTTTCGGTCTTTTCCGCAGGCTCTTCCTTCTTTTCTTCTTCCTTCTCTTCCTCCGAGTCATCGTCTAGAGACAAGACATCGTACAAGGACTTTTGTGGCTTCGGCTGGTCCTTTTCCTTTTCAGCAGTCTTTGGCGCAGCCTTCTTGGCTCTAGGCTCCAAAGCCTGGCCTCTCTTCCAATCGAACTCCTTTTCGTCCTTCTTGCGGAACTCTCTTCTCGAGTGTTCTCTTGGAGGCAAAACACCGCTGCCTCTGGCGGAACCCCAGTCCAATTCTGGTTCGTCTCTTCTGGGTCTTCTTTCTCTTGGAGGCAAAACACCGCTACCTCTGGCAGAGCTCCAGTCTAAGTCTGGTTCATCTCTTCTTGGTCTTCTTTCTCTTGGAGGCAAAACACCGCTGCCTCTGGCCGAACCCCAGTCCAAGTCTGGTTCTTCTCTTCTTGGCTTTCTCTCTCTAGGACCAGAAGATCTTGCTGCGCCCCAGTCCAAGTCTGGTTCCTCTCTTCTTCCTCCGCCAATTGGGCCGGTTCTGTTGGCTCTCCAGTCCATGTCGAAAACGTCAGCCTTTTGTGGAGCAGCCACATTCACGTAGATCTTTCTGCCGCTGAAGTCCGACATGGTCAAGCGCAACGCCTCTTCCAACACCTCACGCTCGGTGAAAGTGACAAACGCAAAACCCTTTGGTCTTCCAGACATCATGTCCATAGGCAACTTCACGTCCTCCACAATGTCTCTGGCCTGCAATCTGTCCTCGAAAAAACGGGCCAACGCATCTTCGCTGGCGTCGTATGGCAAGTTGGCCACACGGGCCTTGTATGGTGGAGCGTCAGGCACTGGGTATTCGGTTCTTTCTCTTCTGGGGTAATCCTCCAGCTCTTCACGAGAATAGCTGCCAGTGGGCACGGCGCTGGCGGTGGCAACGCCAATGGACGACATGTCGACCTCCTCGTCCGCCCACAGGCCTCCGATGGAGTCGTCGGCCAAAAAGGCGCCCAAGTCCATTTTCTTTACGTTTTTCTTAGGTGCTGGAACTGGGTTAGTAGGGAGCGGGAAAACGCAGACGCAAACACTGTACTCACTTGTCGAGCACACAGAGTCAGAATCTGCCATCCAAATGGCCTTTCTGGGTTAACATACGCATGGTGGTTTAGTATCCCGATGGGTTTTTGAAGAATGAAAAAAAAAAAAATTTTTAGTCTTTTTCGCGCGGACTACAATAGATTGAGAAAAGATAGAGGCGGGATACAAAAGTATAATGCGATTAGACCCTATTGCTGCTATAAGGGAGGTACTGATGATATCTTATTGCAACAATTTTACTTCTCAAGAGTATCTGGTATTGATTGCTGTGTAATGCGTTTTTACATGCTTACGGCAGTTTCTTTAATTAAGGCTGGTCTTCTCATGTCTTCGCACTTTCATGAAATGGACCGATGGCATTTAGATGGCCTTCGACCAGTCTTAAATTTGGAGGCGAAACTTTGCTGGCCTTTGCGATTCCAACGGATCTGTCTATATATCCTTAAAATGATTTTTGATCAACTTAGCTCTGAGGTCAGTGTCCCGATAAGAGGGGTAAGCATGGCTTCTCTTATCAGGAACAATAAGTATCGTGGCTCTTGAAATTTAAATTAACCAAGTCTATGACGTTGACTTTACGAAGCTTCAATTGCCATTTCAGGATGGGCCCATAGAAAGAAACTGTAAAATATGCCCAAGCCGCACAATAAACGTGCCACTTTAGTAAGTTTAAATTATTTTGTCATAACTATTGAGACACGGTGATGATTCATTCCGTTTAAACCATTGAGGCTGTTTTGAATATCAATGCCATTGGATTGGCTGGAGATCAGTGGCATTAGTAAGACTTGTTTCCTCGAGAATTATAAGCAAGTCCTAATAGCATGATCGTATGCGCTTGCGTGGATCATTTATAAAAAATTAAAAGATAACAGGTGGCTACACTTTCTAAGGACCTGAGCCGCTTCAAATTGTAGTATATAGTTGGTCTTAGGTCAGTGTTACGATCATATTGGCACGTTTTAATGCAACGGTTATAACTGATCGAGACAATAACTCAACAATCAACAAGCTGACTTCAAACTCACTGAATAACTAGTAAAAATCTAGTAAGTTAATTCGAGGTTCAGTAAATAGCGATCACGAATAGCCAATTGGCTGAGCATGTATTTTTGCTTCAGTATATGCGGACATTGGGCGTAGAGATGTATTCAGTCTTGAGTTTAGCCGAATGGGTCAAATCTGCCCATTTACTCTTTTTTTTTTCTGTGTTGTATCCCATTTATAGTAGTTGTCAGCTTTTCCATGAACCCAAATGAAAGTGTTTAGAAAGTCCGGGAAATCACACTGTTGAAATTTATTTCTAGTTGAGGTGCTTGGTATTGTCACTCTTGAAGTCCAGGTACCAGTACAATCGTTTCACCAAGAAAACATACGCGTACGTCTCGCCATTATCAGATTAGGTAACATTTAATTCATATAAACACCCATGCCAACTTGTGGTTCCTACAGGAGGCTACTAGTAACATTAATTAAGGTCATCTGACCAACTGAATATCTTCAGACGGAATAGTCTGGGCTTGTAACGTTCTCATACTCTTCGTTCCACTGTTTCACGGAGCACAGCTTCTGAAACGTCAATCTCACTGTCTGCTCTGGCCATCAGTCGTTCGTGCGCTTCTTCTCTTGCATTCTCTTGGCGATCGTGTGCGTCTTGTCTTCCGGAGCATTGTCTCTCCTGTTGTGGCTCCTGTGGCCTCTCTTGCTCTTGTATATTTTGTTCATGTCTCTCTTCATGTCTCTCTTCATGTCTCTCTTCTTCGTTTCTCTCGTGCTCATGTCTCTCTTGCATCTCCTGTCCTTCTTGCGCATTCTCCGTCTGGGCCTGCGATTGCTGGAAAAGCAGAATCACAGCCCAGTTGAAAAGATCGGTCTTGGAAATTCCCATGAGATGCCAGAAGATCTTGCGCAACGCCAGACGATACTTGTGGTCGGCCGTTGCGCGGGCACGGGCTTCCAAGTCAAGCTGGGGATGTTCTTCAAGCAAAACACGAACACGTTCAGAAAGAGGGATGAGTTCGGTGAGCAACGCACGGAGATTGGGGTCCGAGCGAAGAAAGTCGTAGTTGAGCGTCTCTAAATCGTCGGTATCGGCAGGCGCCTCGTTGGCTTCGTTGGCCTCCACCACGCGGCGCAATGGGTCGTCTTGAGAGGAGCCCGCGGCATCATTGGAGTTTTCCAGATCTCCGGCAGGAGGCGAACTAGCATTAGGAGCATTAGAAGACGATACTTGGCTTGCACCTGCAACAGGACTGGCGCTGTTCTCGCGGCCTGCAACATGGGCCGCCACAATGTCTATGTCAGGGTCAGGGTCATTTCCCTGGTCGCCAGCGTCGCGGCTTTCGCCGGTTCTGGACGCTTGGAGATGAGCCTCCCGTTCGTGTACTTCTTTATAGTAGTCCCGCTTACAGATGGGGCAGCAGGCGCGGCGCTGGATCAACCACGGATCCACACATGCAGCGTGGAATACGTGGCCACATACCAAGCCGCGGACGATGTCGTCGCCGCCAAAAACCTCGAGACAAATGGCACAGGTGCCCAGGTCGAAATGCGGCTCGTGGTGCGTCAAGTTGGTGAGTTCAATGCCGCTCTCGGCCAGCAAGGGCTTTGGCACCGACGCGGACGCTTCAAGCGCTGGCGTTTCGGGCTCGCCCGAAGTCAGCCTTGTCTTCAGTTCTTCCAGAAGCACTTCCATGTTCAGAATGTCCACTTCCTCCTTCAGACTCGCGTCCAGGTTCTGCAGAACGTCCTTGGGATCGGCCGGCGTGCCCTCGCTGAGCCAGTCGGCGTAGCGTTTGGGCGGGAACAACAGCTCCACCTCGGCCGGCTGCAACTTTTTCATCTTGGCGAAACGGCCGCGGCGCCGGCGGTGGCGTCTGCGCTCCAAGAACTCGTCACGAAGGAAATGGTGTGTTCGGAGGTAGTCCAAGTGCTCGTGGATCTCGCGGTTCAGCGGCGTGTACGAGAAAATGCCCGTGTCGGTGAAAGCAGACGAGAACATCATGCCCCGGCTCAGAAGCGGATAGACATGGAGGCCATATCGCGAGCGCACAAAGTAGCGCAAGGTGAAGAAGACAAAGAGCAAGGCGATCAACACGGCAACCGCCATGGCCAAAAAGAAGAGCACCGTGGACGGCGTGTTTCCGACAAAAGATGTCTGGTTGAACGACATGGGCGCCGGCGACAGCGAGGCCGCCGAAGTTTGGGACGCGCTGAGCGTCATGAGCAGCGGCGTCAGCGACATGGCAAAAGCGAAGTGGGCCGGATGGGTGGGCGATGGATCCTGGAGATCAAAAAAAGAGCCTTAAAAGTGGGTTCCACCGGATTTAAGCGGAGGATGCTGGGGGAAAAAAGCAAAAAGATGTGCAAGCAACGGATGAGCCAAAGAAAACGGTTGGCGCTGCGGCAGCGACTCGGAGGGGCTGGGGTGGAAGAGACGGCGAGCTTTCCAAAAAAAAAAAAATGATAAGATCTGGGGATTTTTCTGTCAAGTCCGGGGAACGTCATGTGCGCATGTGGCGGCAGGACGAGCGAAAAACGGATGCGGACACAGCGCCTCCAGTTCTTGTGCTACGCCTACGAAACCCGGTTCGTGTCATCTACAGCGTGCCAGCATGCCCGTGGGCTTTTTTCCGGCCATTTTGGGCCCCTGGGGCGTATTTTACTGAGGGGGCCCGGATGACGTTCCTGCACCGAAAACAGACATGGATAAAACGTGCGGCGAGAGAGGCACAGGTGGACACATGTTCGGCTGATTATTCTGCCCTTCGTTCGTCTGTATTAGGTCGATTCTTCTGCTTATTCTTCTGGTGTATTTTTCTGGTGTATTTTTTCTTATTACGTTCGTTCTTACGCTTAGTCTTTCTTCTTTTGCTTCTTCTTAGTCTTCATTCTTACTCTTGGTCTTGTTTCTTCTCAGTGGTCTTTCTACACCTTCTTCAAAACTTGTGCATTGGACACTACGTTTATACACCAGCAGCCAACTCACAAACTCAGCACTTAGGACTTTGGTGCCTCCTTGTGGGAAATGGCGGCTTCCTCACCCATGGCAGAAATGACAGAGATGATCAAGTCCTTGCCCTCGTCAAAGTCGGCTTGGATCTTGTCACCCAACTCACCGTCTGGGATCTTGACGTCGTCCTTGGTGTCACCGTCGTTGGTCATCAAAGACAAGAAACCGTCGTCAATGTCCAACAATTGGTACTCGGCTCTGGTCACGTTTGGAACCTCCATGTTGTGGGTGGATGGAGACAAGTCTTCCAACTTCTTACCAGTGAAAATGTCGGTGGCAACCAAGTGGACCTTGGCGTGACCGTGCTTACCAGTCTTGGAGGTGGACATGTCGATAATCTTACATGGTCTACCCTTGATGACAACGTGACCGTTCTTTCTCAAAGCAGAACATTGCATTGGGAAGGTCAAAGCGGCACCGGCATCAGCGGTCTCAAAGGTGTGCTGTTTGGTTAGTACAGTTGAACAGGTGGAAAAGCACCGGAAAACTTGGCCAGAAAACCTCTCGATGGAAAAACCCAATGCTGGACTGAAAAAAAAAAAAAAAGAAAAGCTCTTTCCTTGAATAGAAGGAAGAGAGTCCGCTGTCATTGTGCTACTAGAGTTTTCTGCGCCTCATCATTCCCACTTTGCACTTAACATACTTCTTCGTCAGCCATTTTAGTTGAATATGATGTAAGTCTGGAGGAGAAAGAAAAAAAAGAAGAGGAAAAAATCCAGTCCTTTTTCCTTCGCAGAGTCGTTGGTTTCCAAAAAAGTCGCGAAAACAGTCGCCTCCATTTTTCAGCCCTAAAAACCGGCTTTCCACCGTCTTCCTCTGGGTTTTTCAGTTTTTTGACTTCATTTCCGTGTTTTTCCCCCTGTTTTATCCCGTAATTCAATTTTTCGCTTTCAAATTCGCCGGGGAAGTTGCTTTTCTACAGTTTTTCTTTCCTGGCATCTAGGGGTTACCCGCCCTCGTATTCTTCACTTTCGGTCGTGTGCAGATCTCCTTTTCCTGCAGAAACCCAACGCTGCTCTTTCACCACCTTCTTCACATCCACGGCCAGTGTGCAGGACCATGGTCCCACCCCAAGCAATCTTCCAGACTTGGGCCATAACAGATTTTTTTCAGTCCTGATTGTATTTTTTCGTATTTTTTTCCTTTTCTTGTTTGGAATGAAGTCTGTCTTTTCTCTTTGGGAAGATATTCTTTGGTCGTATGTCTTTTTGTCATTTAGCTTCGTATTTAGGGCGTAAAAGTGCGCTAAAACAGCGGAAATCAGAATAATCTAAACTCCAATAGACGAGCGCCAATTATAAATCCACGTATAAACGAAACAGAATGAGAATTGAAAGGAATATCATTGATAATAAATTCCAACAAATTTGGCCTACTATCCTCTGCTGAATTTAATTCAGTCCATCAATTTATGCTACTACTAATAGACACTGACATAATTACAATGCAATGGCTGAATTTTTAGAGATAAAAAAAAGTAAATATATAGCAACACTTGAATTCCAGGCAATGGCTAATTGTCGTTTAATTCTCGTGTAAAGATTTTCGAGAATTTGAAGTAGAAAATTCCAACAGCTGAATGATACTTCTGCCCTTTGCTTACGGTATTTTAGAAATAAGCCACCAAAGGGGAACTCAATACAAATACTGTGCATTCGTCATCACTTTCATATTCGCCGCTTTCATCATTCCTACCAGTTCAGTTCACAACTTTTTCTGTTCAAAAAACGTTTTCTGCTTCACTTTTTTGCTTACAATGCCAGCATCCTTTAGTGGCTATGGCAGTAACGGAAATGCATACTAATCAGTTCCATGCCATTCCCATTCGCGTCGATAGCGTTATTCATTCAGTATAGTACATACATTAGTAAATAAAAGCCCGAGAAGAACTGAATTGTTAGTATTAATGACCTCCGGACTTTTCCTTCCGACAACTCTATTCAGAGACTGGCGCTATGCTCAAGAGCTCTACTGGAGGTTGCTTTCGTGTCATGACGCATGTCTGCATCCTCAGGGATCTGGCTGCTCAACCTGGACTCGAGTTTGGCCTGTTTTTCCTGTTTGAGGCTCTCAATCAACGGGTTCCACTTGAGAAGTAACTCCTCGCATTTTTCATGGAGGCGGAAACTGTCTGGATACTCCAAGTCCTCATCTTTCAAAATGCACTTGAGCACTTTGTGTATCTTGGTTTCCCGCAAGAGCTCCACATTGACCGGGAAATCGGCCAAACGATGCAAAATAATACGTGCCACCAGCAACTCGTCCACTGTCGGCGCAGGATAATCTTTTGGGTCTTTTGGCGTGACCGGCTGATTTCGCTGGATCAAAGACCGCTGTAGTTTGATGCGGCAAAGCCAGAGTTGATGCTGTCTATCCTTTTCTGATGCTGGTTTTGGCGACGACAGTGTGCCATTCTTCGCCACTTTATGGTCGCCGTTGGATGCTCTTCTCTTTCTAGCACCTGTGCCGTTTGTGGCCCGTTTTTTGCTCACAGACTCTTCACTTTCTTCGTCACTTGGTTCGTCTTTGACTTCGTCAGCAGGCGTAGGCTCCTGTTGCTGTGGATCCAGACCATTGTCATTGATGGGCTCAGCATGGTCGGAAGCGACGGAGTCATCATCTATTTGTTCATCTTCAGCTTCTCCTTCGGCAGACTGGTCGTCTTCGATCTCCTCTTCCTCCTCTTCTTCTTCTTCGTTGCTTTCGGCATTGTCATCTTCCAATGCCTTATTCTGTTCAGCCAAGTCTTCCATGAACTGGTCGAAATTCAAGGTGCTGGCGGCCACAAGCGCATCCGCCACATTGCTGGTTCGGCCAGTTTTCTTTTTCGCTTTATTCCGGAGCTTATCTTTGGGCAACTTGCTCAATTTGGCCTGCAATTTATCTGGCGACAATAGCTCAAGCGATTTTTCGTTCATCCAGTTGTAGTCGCCGTCGGGAATGAAAATCACACACAAGTTTGTTGTTTTCTTTTTCGCCCTCATGATGGCACTAGGAATCATGTCGTCCGGCATGACAAACGACGGCCACGCTGGGAAGCCCGTCATTTTGGCCAAGACCATGTCTTTCGGCTGGAATGCTGCCTTCTTTCCTTTTCTTTGCGGCATGCTGGCGCGAGCAAGACAATACCGATTCTCGCGGATTCAAAAGAGACAGAGGGCGCCAGAGTCAGGAAAAGAAGTGGTAAGCGGCGTCTCTGGAATCAGCAAAAACGGCGAGAGTGAAGGACAATCAGAATCTGAATGGACGAGGCTGCTGTGGATAAGTACAGATAACAACACACGCTGTGGATGTAAGCGTATGGGGATTGGAGAAAGAGGGAAAGCAGCCCAATTGCCCTAAACGGGATGTGGAGCGGTCGGGAAAGCGATTCAGTAACCAGCGCAAGCACTCGAGCGTGCTAAACAAAAATATCGGGGGAGATTGGTTAAGAGAAAAAGAAAACAGAAAGATTGCGTTGAGTGGGGTCCACGCGCGAACTAGTTAGGACATGGGTGGCGCACGTCCCTTCCATCCAAGGCGGGCCGGCGGATTCAGCAAGGGCCATATGGAGCGGAGAGAGTTAGGAATGGCAAAGTTGTGCCTTGAATTGGCCGTAATCGTTTTTTTGGAGACAATTGGTCGGATTTCAGTCGGTTCAGTTTCGTTGGAATTGGAAGGCCCCACCGTGCACCCGTACACCTCTGTTCCAGGTTGCAGTTGCCATGACTATGATTCATGCCAATAAATTGGCCAGAGACGGAGTGTTGAAAAAGACCAGAAATAAGTCAGGAAAGGAGCTCGGGTGGAGAGACGTGTATATGTAGGAGTTCTGGAAGTCTAATTGATGCTTTTTCGACAATGCGCTCCATTCCAGAATATCAGACAACAATAGCACCAAGGCCACACATTTTATTGTTCAGAGGACTAGCAAAATAGCAGATGGCATGGCTCACTTGATGTTTATCTGCGCATGGAAAAGCAAAAAATGACAGAACCTTGAAGATACAATTGAAACAGCTTGGATACAATAAAGAAGGAAATGAGATGGAGCAGAGTAGATCCATGGCAGATTAGATCCATGGCAGATTAGATCCATGGCAGATTCAGATCCATGGCAGATTCAGATCCATCAGATAGATTAAGATACAATCAGATAGATTAAAGTGCATTGAGCAAAAGTGAGATTAAAATAAAGAGATTAGATGAATGAAGCAAAGATTAGCGATAGTGAGACGAATGAGATTCGTGAGAACTTCTAAAAAATCAGGAGAGTAAATTCCCTAGACCAGTTGGATCATCCGTTAATAAATCAATCATTTACGCCGTCACCGCCTCAAGAATCCGGCAAATGACTTCAGAAAATATTGTATCCTTTTCCGTGCAGTTTCCTTAGACCAATAATACTATGGCAAGATTCCGGCCAAACGAGCACAAAGAGACATAAAGCAAAGCAATATTTTTTCACAATTTTCTCTCTTACTTACCTCTCCTTCGTCATTCTCTCTTTTATCCTCTGTCTTCCCTGTTCTCCCAAATTTGTCATTCGATTTCCGTCTCTTCTCCATCCTCTCCTACATACAACCAATGTTCTTTTCTCGACATTTTGCACCCATCCTTATACCTGTTTCTTCTTAGAAACCGCTCCCCGTCTTTGTTTCTCGAGGCCGAAAAATGTCTTCTTGCCCAAATCTAAAAAGACCGCCTGCGGTTTTGCCCTCGCCTCACCAGATGGCGCAGGTTTTCAAGAAGCCTCGGTTGGCTATGGTCCTCGAACAAAAAGATTCCCAGCCGCCAAACAGAGTAGAAACGGAAGGACGAAACACACAAAAGCCCAAGTTGCAGAAACCGGTTCCGGATTCCGTCTCGCAATTGCAACATAGCCTTCCCTTGCTGCTGTATCCGTTAGTGTCGGCGCCATATAAAGTGTCTGATTTTTTCACTGATCTCCAGCCGGCGCCAAACCCGCTGCAAAAGGCGCAAATGGCTCAAATAACACACGTCTTCCCGCCACCGTTGCCACCCATTCTCCCGAAACACTTGCAGTGCCCTGATGGCGGCATCCTGGTGCCGTTTGTGTACCCCAGTATCCCTGTGCTTAGACCAGATGTGTACCTCGCAGACCGAGTGCAAAAACGCAGGGGCAGACGGCCAGCGGCAGAGGTGATGGCTGCAAAAACAACAAAGGGACGCATTGGTGTTCCAGACGCCGACATCTACCCCGTCATGGCGCCTCTACCGTTCCCCGCAGCACCATACATGCCATATCCACTTTTCAGCGATCAGGCGCTGCTCACGCCTCACGAGGTTTTCGGTGACTGGCTTGAAGCGCTGGAAAACCTTCCACGGGTCGACATGGTGGTGGCGAGCGCAGCAGGGCTGATTTTCGATCTTGGCGCCGTTGCATCACTGGCCGGATGGACAGTTTCGAAGTTAGACCACTACGTCCAGAACCACAAGCACGAGTCCGACCCAGAGGCAGAAGATGACCGCAGCGACACTGAACTGGCGGATTTGCCCTCGGGATACAAGCTTTATGCCGACTACGCCGACCAAGTGGACATTTCTAATGCCTTTGATGCCAATGCCCGGCCGAGACCGTCCAACATGGTTATCACGCAATCAAAGTCTCGGCACGAGTACACAAAAGTGGTACCCATAGTGTCCGATCGAGGCAGGTCCTTGATGCTGGACTTTGGTGCCACCTGCGAGTACGCAGACAGAGATATACAAGAGGATGCAGAAATGGACTCGGAAGAAGCAAGCAACAACACTACTGCCGCAGATGCAACCGAACAAAATGAGCCGGACGTTGATGGAAACATGGGCGACACTAGAGATGGCAAACCTGTATTCAAAGGGCCCAAGCGGCGCTGGGCAGAGCTTTCTTACGAATATGACAAAATATCGGCGAAGGAATCCAGAAACCGAGAAACGGTGTATGCATCACGGAAGTGGGCACTTTTGGCGCGGTTGCGGCTGCTTCAGAATACCAAAATCAACTTTGGCCCTTCAGAGATCGCCGACGACGAGTTACGTGAGTACGCCCACCGCCGCCAGGTGCAAAGAGACATGGAGTTGGTGCAATTGAAACACTTCCACACGTACGAACGGCTCAAGGCTGCACTCGCCTTCTACCAGAATTCAAATCGCGCCTATAAAAACATGAGCATTCAGTTGGTCAACAAATTGGGCAAACTCAAACATTTCTTCGAGTACCAGAGGCAGATTTTCCATGACATCACCAAGGGCCGCAATGCCCACGACTCAGACACCTACAACATACGCACGAAGGAAAGTGCACGCTTGTATGATGGTTTTGTTGAACAGGATTACTCCAGCAGAATCAAAGACGTTTTCCGTGCGTCTGTGGCTAACGAAGACAAGGGTCTTCCCTTGGACAGTCATCCTGATTTTGATGCGCTGTGGTTTGAGAAGGTATTCACCGAACGAGAGCATGCAGCGAACGTTCATGATTTCATGCCATTGGTGACCGAAGAGGAGTTCAAGTTGATCACTGGAGACGCGCCCGTGAAGAATGGCCCAGGAAAAGAAAGCAATGGGAAGTCCAAAGGTGCCAAGCATTCCATATTCCAAAGCCCTCTTTATGATGTGACAATGTCTGGATCCGAAGCTAACGAGTCAGACAGTGGCGTTGTGGTGAAGAAACGGCCTGGAAGAAGAGCTGCTCCAAAATCAACGCTTGCTGAGGAGCCCACGAAACAACAGACCGAAGCTGCGTTGGTGGCTAAAATCATGAAACTGTTTGTGGGGCCGGCCGCCGCCAATCCAGAGGAACTAACAAATGATCTAGATCTCATTGGTATCAAAACGAGGTGGCCTGTGAAGTAGCGGAAATGCTAGTCAAGGTTAGAGAGTACCTACGAGAGACTATTCTATTAATTTTAACCGTGGATGGCGAATAGTCGAACCACAGAGGTACAGAAAGTGTTCTGGGAATTTGAAATTCTCAGATACCTTTCTGACGGTTAGATGTGCTGACGAACACTCTTTTTCATGAGTTGATCTCCAAAATTGCATCACGAAACAATTTATATACTTTGAAAAATACTGACGACGCCAAAAGTTTCAATGTATGTTTTTAGGAATTAGTGTCCCAACTAAGAACTGGATTGTAATTAAGAATGCGCAAGAAGTCAAGGTCAATTTACGTAGTCCGGCTGCATCATGAGTTATTCATATTTATATTTTCTGCAGAGTCTTATCGACGGACAATTTAAGCGCTCAAAGGGATTTTCGACTTCTTCAGCTAAAGTTCAGATAAGCGTCTATTGCACAACTATATATCACAACGTTAAAGAGCATGGCACAAACAGGATTGGACACATCTACATAATAATACTAAAAAAAGAAAGGCGGAATTCAGGCAATACAGAAATGAAGAGTCGGACAAGTCTCTGTGCAGCAATTGGAGCGGCGGGGTTTAGTAGTCCTCGAACTGCGAATAAAGCGCAATTGCCACGTTAGCCAAGCCAACGACAAGGGGGAAGTTGCCCAAGTCGGACACAAAGCGGTGGTAGATGCCCAAGTGGATCAAGAAGTAGTTCTTCAACAAGTGGGCAATGCCATGGAAAGTGTCGACCGAGTGCAAGGCACCGTTCTTGATAATAAAGTAGAAGATCAACACTTTGGACAAGGCAAAGATGAAAGGGTCGTACTTGTACACGCGCACAACAAAAGAAGCCTCTTCTTCCTCATCGTCATCCTCAATGACAACGACTCTTCTGGAGAAGTTGACGTAGTAGGAAATGAGCAAAGGAAGCGCCACGGCGTACACGAGCCAGTTGCCCAAAACGGACGCCACAGTGTAGTCATACAAAGCGGTGATGTCGGGCAAGGGCAAAGTACATTTCTGCAACTGGGGCACGTTGTCCTTGAACACCTGGTGGATGCTCTTGTTGTCCTTTGTCGCCACCAAGGGCACGTAGAGGTACAAGAAGTAAGCGGTTTCCACAGCAAGCTCCAAGTAGTTCAACGCCACGGTGGTGGACAAGGAGTCTCTCAAGCCGTCGTTGAGCTCCAATGTGGTGATGCCCACACGGTCTGTCCATTCCAAAACTGTCTCGTAGGCGTTCTCGAAAACAGCAATGGCCGGGTCGACAATCCACTCCTTCAAGTTGATGGGTGGTGGGGCGTCGTAGTCCTTGTCGGCTTTGTCGTCGTCGTCTTCGCCGGCCTCTTCTTGCTCGTCCTCAACGTCCTCTTCTTCGTCGGTGGCATCGTTCTCCACCAAAGTGACATTTTCAATCACGTCGTCGTCATCTTCGTCGGCCTCGTCGGCGAGCTCCATTAGCGCCTTGGCCTTCTCCGGGCTCTCCTCGATGAAGAGCTCGATTTTCTCAAGCAACGATTGCTTTGTGTCCTTGGACCGGACAGTAATGCCGATTCTTCTGGCCACCTGCGCCAAGTCGGCTTTTTTGAAGCTTTTGTATTCGGACATTGGCAGAGCGGGTTTGTGCGAAGAGATTGGGTGCGACGTTTTGTTGGTGTGAACAGTGTGTTGTTTATATTCTGCGCAGAAGACGGTTTTTCTGCAGAGGAAACAACGGGAGACAAGTGTTTATGTTGGGGTTGTTTACAATCTTCCCATTTGGGGGGCGCTCGGTTTGCTACGCGCCGGAGGCACGGGTGCAAAGCGCCAGAAGAGATAAAAGAATGGAGATAAAATGAAGGAGAAAAAAAGAAGGAGATAAAAGAAGGAGAAAAAAGAAGGAGATAAAAAGAATGAGAAGGATGAAGAATGGATAAATGAAGAATAGAGATAAAAATGGAGGATAGAAAGTATATATTACAAGGGAGGCTGAAGGTAATGTCGAAATGGTGCAGCCGCGCAGTTTCATGGAAGCAACGTGTCTGGAATTGACGAGACATCGCAGTATGAAAATATAGTCAGAGGTGGTAGAGATGTAGTAGAGATGAAGTAGTAGAGATGAAGTCAGTAGGGATGTGGTAGAGATGTAGTAGAGATGTAGTAGAGATGAAGTCAGTATGAGAATTTAGTCAGTATGAGAATATAGTCAGTATGAGAATATAGTCAGTATGAGAATATCAGTATGAGAAAGCCAGTACTCAAACAATCAATAGGCAGTAGTCAGTATAATTGCACTGGCATGCTCACTATGCGGAAAAGGTTTCTGGACAAATAAGAAGGTGATCCGGGTAGAAAAAATAGAGACTGTTTGTCATGTTACTGGATTAGATGCATGAAAGGGCCGAACACTTACAATTGAAACAGTAAGTTACTGTAACGTTGGGTGCAATTTACATTATACAGTTTCGCTCATACTACAGCCTTTTACTGGACCAGAAACACAAATTACGTTGGCGAAGCAATAATACAAGATGGTGGGTGTCTCCATCTTGGTCAATAAGACCCGAATATAGACTGTCAGTTTATAGACCCTAGGGCCACAACGCTTGCCCAACCAGTTTGAAGTCGAATTCCATGCCAGTTGAATACTCGCAACTTTCCGGGCCATTTGGCCTAACTACTCTATTGTTCAGCCGCTGCTGACGAAATTTCGCCCCAAAATATTTAGTCAAGATTTATACGATTTATGCCTCGGAATGCAAACCGATCTTGTCAAACACCTTGTAGCTCCTCAATTCTACTTGACTCATCCATCACATTTACGCAAGTGTGCGAATTTCTCTTCTGTTTTGTTCCAGTTTCCTCACCAACAACAGTAATCGTAGAAACCCACCAAAGCAAGAAAATACAGAAAAAAGCCAAACCCAATACCTACCCAAATACCTACCCAAACACTAAACCCAAACACATAAACCCAAACAAAGCTCCGTAATTCTTCTGTGGCCGCGCACGTGACCACAATGCCTTTGCAAACATGCCCCACTATTTACCTTTTCTCAATTTGGCACAACGTTTCATCCCATCAGCATCTGCATCCTACATTGTGTAGAAGCCGTTCTAGAGTGTTCCAATTCGCCCCAACCATTGCTTGACTTGCCAACAAAAAAAAAAAAGGCAACGAAAACACACACCCGAGCTTCTTTTGTTGACATTTGCATAGCTAGACTTTTCTAGTGTTTTTGCCCCATAACAATGCTACGGCAGCTTCTACTAAAGCGCTGTTTTTGCATTTCCCGCCAGCTTCTACAAGAGCCCCGCGTCAACCAGCTAGGCATCCAGTATCTCTCTCATGATCTCCACAAGAAAGTGTTCCCCAAATCGTCTTCTCAAAGTTACCTTTCGCCTCCTCATCCGGCGCTTCTCCAGCTTGCGAAAAGCCATTTGGCCCACAATGGGCTCCTAGGGAAGAAAACACAGATTGGCGCGCCGCTTCACATTGAAAATATGCCCGACTTGGTCGGTAACTCCTCCTTGGATGAGCATTTTTCTCGTATCGCAAACAGATATGCCCAGCCGTATACGGCTATGGCCGAAACGCTCTTCGCCTCTGCATTACCAAAACGTCCGGATTCGTGGCTTCTTCAAAGCGGCTGGACCCGCTATGCGCCAGGGAAAGAACCCCAACCCGTTCTGTGTCCTTTGGAAAATGAAATCGTGTTCGACGTTGAAGTCTTGTATAAACGGTCACCATACGCTCTCATGTGCACGGCCGTGACTCCAAAAGCGTGGTACGGATGGGTTTCTCCTGTCTTATTGCATCATAAAGATCCCAATCTCGACTGGGACAATCTTATTCCTTTTGATACGCATGCGGCTCCAAAACTTTTGGTGGGCTTCAACGTCAGTTACGACCGGGCGCGGATCTTGGAAGAGTACAGCATCAAACAGTCCAAGGCTTTTTTCCTTGACGCCATGGCACTTCATATATCACTCAGTGGTTTCTGTTCCCAACAACGCCCCACTTGGAACAAGCATAAGAAACACAAGCTGGAGGCGGAGAAGGAAACCGAGGTCGACCCTGAAGAGGAAAGCAGCATGGTTAGAGACGATTTTTCGGCAGCTGAAGTAGCCCAAGAGCTATTGGACGACCCTTGGCTTTCTAAAGGAGCGCCAAACTCATTAGCCAACGTGGCCGAATTTCCACTGTGGAATCAAGATGGATAAAGATTTGCGAGATACTTTCAGCTCAACAAATGTTGAAGACGTTGTCCTGGACTTTCAGAACTTGATGCATTATTGCGCTCTGGATGTGGAAGCCACTTTTGCTGTCGCTCAAAAACTATACCCCCAGTTCCGAGCGAAGACTCCGCATCCCGTTTCGTTTGCGGCGCTCAAACTGTTGGGCTCGCTTGTTTTGCCTACAACGAAAAAATGGAACAACTACATCGAAAGCGCCGAAAAAGTGTACGACGAAAACCGAAACGCTGTATCTTCGATTTTGAAAGAGCGTGCCAACGAACTTATCCGCTTTATTGAAGAGCAAAACGACCTGCTCAAACCAGACTACGAAAGCGATCCATGGCTCAAACAGCTAAACTGGACATTGAAAGCCCAACGATTGAAGAAAGACGGTTCACCTTATGCCAAACAAGCTTTCCTCACAGGATATCCCGAATGGTATCGGGATCTATTCAAAACGTCTTCAGAGACAGGCCAGAAAGAAATGAATCTCAGCGTCCGATCTCGAATTACACCTTTGCTTTTACGCTTGAAGTGGGAGGGAAATCCTCTAATCTGGACAGAGTCTGCAGGTTGGTGCTTCAAAGTACCCTTTACAGATGAGAAAGTCGACGAAATGCTTTCAAAAAATTACACAAAGGCACAACTTAGCGAAGAGGATTTCGAAAGTTTGCTCCCTGAACTTCGTGATGGCTATCAGCCCTACGAACTCTTTAAAGTACCTCATCCAGATGGACCGAAAAAGCGGTGTACGCTCATCATGTCAAAGAGCTATTTACGTTACTTTGAGAGTGGCGTGTTGACTTCCGAATATGATTATGCCAAGGAGATTTTGAACTTGAATGCAACTGCATCGTATTGGATGGGTAACAGAGCCCGTATTCTTGACCAGTTTGTGGTATTTGCGGATCCAAAAGCAGAAAAAAACAACTTCTTTGGTACGAAAAAGCAGCTGAAAGAACACAAAGATATGGGGATCATTTTACCAAAACTTTGTACCATGGGAACTATCACCAGACGGGCAACAGAAAACACGTGGCTCACAGCTTCCAATAGCAAAGCCAACCGGATCGGATCGGAACTTAAGTCATTGATAGAGGCACCAAAAGGTTATGTATTCGTTGGTGCTGATGTGGATTCAGAAGAACTTTGGATTGCTTCTCTCATTGGAGATTCAATGTTCAAGATCCATGGAGGAACTGCTTTAGGCTGGATGACGCTAGAAGGTGACAAAAACCAGAAGACCGATTTGCACTCAAAAACTGCAGACATTATGGGAATCCTGAGAAATGACGCTAAAGTCTTCAACTACGGTCGTATTTACGGTGCTGGTGTGAAATTTGCCACTCGTCTTTTGAAACAGTGCAATGCTAATCTTAGCGACGCTGAAGCTGAGCGACTTGCCAAAGAGTTGTACGAGAAAACAAAAGGGCTTGCAAGCCATTCGAAGATTTTCAAGCGGCGTGTTTATCACGGTGGATCAGAGTCGGTGATGTTCAATGCCCTCGAAGCCATTGCATACCAAGAGCATCCTAGGACACCAGTCCTTGGTGCTTCAATCACAGACGCACTCACGCAGAAATACTTGAACAAGAACAACTACTTAACGTCACGTATTAACTGGACCATTCAGAGCAGTGGGGTGGATTACCTCCATCTCCTTATTGTTTCCATGGACTACTTGATCGAGAAGTTTAAACTAGATGCGCGGCTCATGATTACAGTGCACGACGAAGTTAGATACATGGTGAAGGAAGAGCAAAGACTCATGTGTGCATTGCTTCTCCAAATCAGCAATTTGTGGACAAGAGCCATGTTTTGCGAGCAATTGGGCATCAAGGAACTTCCACAGTCTTGTGCATTTTTTTCTGAGGTTGACATTGACTTTGTCTTGAGAAAGGAGGTGGGAACAGAATGTATCACACCTTCGCATCCAGATCCTATTGCGCCAGGAGAGTCTTATGACATCATCAAGTTACTCGACAGTTTTGATTATGCCAGTGCTCTTGCAGAGCGCAAACTGTCGTTGACGAACATTAAGAGTTTCAACTACCGTTCAAGAAGGTCTGTTATTGAGAGCTTGGACGATGAGGCAAACACTGACGTGAAGATTGGAAAGTTGCGTTTGCAAAATTCGGTCACAAAGGATGAGTGGAAAGCAAACGTTGGAAACTTAATGAGACAATCAAGGCTTTACATGGAAGCGCCAATACAACCAAGCAAGCCAGAGAAAACAGCCAAACCCAGGAGCAAAAGAAAGAATGAAGTAGACACCAATAGCCCTAAGGATACAAAGGGACAGAAACCGAACAGCGACAAAAAATTCAGCAAGTCCATGAAACCTAAAAGACAGGTTGATGAAGATGACTATTTCATGAGCCAAGACGGCGATGAAGTTTTGAGAAGAGAAATCGAAGAGTCTATTGCTAAGCTGGGGAAAAGCTGGCCCTCTATGGGTAGCTCTGCGTTCAAAAATGATCCTATGTCCACTTGGACGGGCGAGAGCATAATTTTTCGGGCCAAAAGCAAACAGACTGGGCTCAATCGAGTCCCAGTTGCAAAGTATCTGAGTTTGAATCTACTGGGTTCCAGCCGCAATGGGCCAATTGCTACTTACAATATGTTCTCGACGAGAAAGGTGAACAAACCTTCCCACACTTTGACATCTAATTACTCGGCCATAGACGAGAAGAAGTTGGATTCCAATTTCAGACGACGATCGCAAGCAGAATTGAAAGGAGATGTACGGCGACGACGACGACGAACGTGATGACGAATTACGACGAAACGATAACTACCCCGCTGTCTAAGAAAGGTAACTAGATATCCAGGCATGAGCTTAACTGGATCGAGAGACTTTCAAGCAGGAGCCCCGCTCCCATAACATTACTGATGTGAGACATCACCTAAAACGTGGCAGTGCCCGTTTCCCAACGCTTTTACATAACATGATTCCAGGCGGAATGCCAGGATTGTATACTAGGATTTTTTAGACAATAATATAGAAGGTAAAAAGAACGAAGAGTGAAGAAAAGCCTTAAGGAGAAGATGGGCCGAGTTTGACATGTATTCTCCAGTAAACGCCAAATGATAATATTATCATGGAAGTTTCCTGTTTTTTTTGATGTTCTGTTAATTTATTCTCAACCATAACTCTGGCAGAATTTCGTCGCACTGTGCAAAACTCATCAAGACTACCATCATGCCTCTTGATCACAAACTAACGCTCACAATTCCGTTTGAGACGCCCAAGCAAGCGGCGATTGCACAAAGGGCCATCTCAGTCGATCCGGTTCTTAAAAAAGATGAGATTTCCGTTTCTTATCATGCCCAAGACACAAGGCTCATTTGTGAGTTTTGTGGCGTCAGCGATCGGGTGATTCGTGTGGCCATCAGCAATGCCATAGATAACATCAAGACCATCATAGAATGCATGGACGAATTTGACGGGGAAGAGGGAACGTTGTTTGAGAAATAATGATGCCAGTGAAGGAACGACTGACGGAACGACTGAAGGAACGACTGAAGGAACGACTGAAGGAACACAAGTTGTTCAGTTATGGCGAAGTACAGGCATACGGATAGATTTGGTGGTGGCTCAACCTTCGAAACAGACATGTGGAATACCAAACATTGAGTGGAATGTATCGGTGAATGTTATCAAGAGTTCCATATAAGCGAGCGAATCACGCTCTTATCCAAGTCAGAAATGGAGGCAACTTGTATAGCAGCGGTGTCGACAATATAATGAACTTACTAGTATCTGGCGAATCTTCACCAAATAATGAACTTACTAGCTTCTGGCGAATCTTCACTGACTGATTGTAAAATGCTTACAGAACATGGCCTGGCCCACACTTCAGCTCAAGGGTAGAGTGAACAATGGTTCAAGCTTAGCTTGCCACTTCTTTCGAATGCAAATATTAATGGTGAAACTAACTCTAAGTGTCATCCAATTTCGCAAGTGAGCCAATCCAAAATTGCAATGCCTATTTATCAGTCCAAGTGAAAATAGCAATTCGCCAACGTTTAGAGTAGGTATTCAGAAATTCTCGATACATTTCATTGGTGCTTTCACAAACCACACCCAATGGTAGAATATCCAACAACTACAATAAACGCTCGACCTTCAGTATTATTCAGCAAATTAACAGATACAGATATAATTCAACACAATGTGAAATATCAATTTTAAACGGATCAAGATATCATCACTTCAAATCAGCCATCCAACACAGCAGTATGTCCCCTTCTTTTTTTGCCAATATTTTTTTTTCAAGTCCATACTTCTAGTTCTACTCCATTTCTACTATGTCTACTCCACATTACAGTGCGAAAAAATTGTAGCCATGCTCCGACCGGTTTTCCGCCAAAGCAGAAGGGGCCTATTCAAGAGCTTGAAAAACGCTCCGCGCTTCAAAGAAGAGAAGGACTCGAAGCACCACGAATACTCGATCAGGCCCGATACTTTTGCGTTTCGTGTGGGCCACGGAGAAAACAAAAACTCAAAGGCACACCCGCTCCAAGACAAGGGAGAAACCCTGTTCAATGTGATCGAGTACATCTACAAAAACGCCACCAACTACCCGTTTGCCAAGAACAGCCCGCAAGATGTCTTTGACAAGTACCCGGAGACAAACTCTGCCAAGATGGGCCGCATGAAGCATCGGCCCAGGAAAGTGAAGATGTTGGCGTCGGATTTCATCGAGGACTCCTTGTACAACCCCCACTACGGGTATTTCTCGAAGGAGGTGGAGATTTTCCACAGCGACGAGCCGTTTGACTACAATTCCATTGATGACGTCGATGCGTTCATGGACGCTTGGCAACAGGCGTATTCCAAGTACGAACAGAGGGAGAAACACACGAAAGAGTCCAAGGCACCAGACTTTGAACCAGAAATTGCAAAAGAGAGAATGGACGCCAAACAGGGACAGAACACAAAACAGGGGAACACAATACAGGAGAATTCAAAACATGGACAGAAGAAGCAACATGGACAGACACAGTCGTTTCTCTCACGCCAGGCCCAGCTTATCCGCCAGCAGGACCTTGCAGTGGCGTCGAGCCGCAAGTCTCTTCAGTTGTGGCACACGCCCACCGAACTTTTCTCGCCCCATTACGCCGAAGCCTTGGCCCGGTACATTGTGGTGAACTACAAACTCAACCAGTACCCGTACCACGACTTGGTGATTTTCGAGATGGGCGGCGGTAACGGTACGTTGATGTGCAACATTCTCCAGTACATCCAGCGGCACGAGCCGGACATATACCGCCGGACCCAGTACAAGATCATCGAGATCTCGTCTCAGTTGGCTCTGAAACAGTACTCGCAGGCCATGAAGCTGCGGTTGGTCTCGAGTGGCTTGGACGAGCGCAAGTTGCAGATCATCAACAAGTCCATCTTCCGCTGGGACACTGTGGTGGAAGAACCGTGTTTCTTTATTGCCCTCGAAGTTTTCGACAACTTTGCCCACGACGTGGTCCGCTACGATCTGGTCCTGGGTGTTCCTTACCAGGGATATGTCCTTGTCGACGATGCGGGCGACTTCTACGAGTTTTTCTCGCCCCAGCTTTCGCCCGACACCAATGCGCTCTTGAGTTTGCGTGAAAATGGGCGCTACCCTGTGTTGCCCCAGCAAAACACCATTCTGGGCCACGCCAAACGCATCGCCAGTATGGTGCCATTTTACGACAAGAGTGCCATCCACCCATTGTTGCAACTGCCAACCAGATTGCAGTGGTCCAACAAACTTCTCCCCTTGAAAGACAACATGACCCCAGGCGAGTTTGTGCCCACACGGCTTTTGCACTTTTTCAATATCCTCAAGCACAGGTTTCCCAACCATTCGTTGATCTCCTCGGATTTCCACTCGTTGCCCAACGCCATCCCCGGCTATTACAATGCGCCAGTTGTCCAAACGGTTGTGGGTGATCGCATGGTTGATGTTTCCACCTACATGTGCCACCAAGGTTACTTTGATATCATGTTCCCGACTGATTTTGCGCTTGCAAGCGACTTGTATCGCCAAGTCACAGGAAAGTTGGCCAAAGTGGAACTGCATCGGGAGTTTTTGGAACAGTGGGCCGATGTGGATGCAACCACAACGAAGAAGGGCGAAAACCCCATGCTTGACTTCTACAAAAACGTGAGTTTCATGGTGAGTTAGAGAATGGGGCAGTTATTCATCCCTTGCACATAGTAAATGGAGTTTATCCACGCCAACTGTATATATAATTACCAACAAGAAGCAGAAATAGAAAACGAAGAAAACAGTACCTTTGCTTTATTTCGCCGATACATCAAATATAAAACCAATTTTATTAATATCTTGCTCAAATCTGACTATAAATCGCCCAAGCCAATAGACAAACAAGTTTTGCCTGTTCTCACAGAGATACAGCAAAGTATGCAACGCTGAAAGGGCCACAACCATGAAAGCCTCTTTGCAATTACATTGACAAAGCAAGCCAATATATCAATAACCAAGATACACCAAACCAACCTTCTATTACCAATATCCCAAGATCAAGCCTGTTGCCTTGGAGAGCCCGTTCCATGCCGAACTCACTAATGAGCATGCAAAATGCTTCAAGTCACTGACAAGCGAATCAGCAAAAGATTCAGGGAGCACATTCTGCGTTGCCATGCGGCGACCATACTTCATTACCAGGTCGAAGTAGGCGTTTGTGGAGGACGAGATATGTTCAAGACCACGTTTCATGCCTTCTAGAGTATTGGAAAAAGGCAGAGCCTCAGGTTGCTCAACAGCCACAAACTGTTGTGGAGCCTGAGTTAAAAAGAGTCTGGAAATCTTTCCCGTAGCAGTTTTATTGGTGATGATAGCACCGAGTCCAATCCCAATGGAGAAACTGCAAATAACGTATAAACATCCCGTTTTCCATGAGTACAGACCTTGGTAGGGTCCCGGCTCTGGCACAGTTGGAGAAAGGGAGAAAAGTTCTGTTACGCTGTTCACAAGAAGCCGCATGTGGCCCAAGCTTGAATTCAATTTTAAAGGGTCAACATCATGGTAGCTACTGGAAACCAGTAACTCTGCACGTAGTTGCTTTCTGAGATGTTTGTAGTTGGACTTTCTCATGGGGACCAAACCATCGTACATCGATTGGGAGGTTTGTTGTTTCAGACGGGATTTCAGCTCATGTCCATCACATTTCTGATCATTGTCGTATTTCAGAGCAAATTCACGTCTTTTCTCTTCAAACTCACGAGTGTAGCTCGAGCCGGAATGTTGGCTCATTTCTGAATCGATGTATGATTTGACTTTTGCTAAAGCTGACGCACTTCTCAAAGACAGAACTTTCCACACTTGGTGAGGCGTGACAAAACTGATGATTTCAAACAAGTTAACAAAGTAGTTTGCCGTCATGATGTTGATAACTGTTGTCTTGGGGATTCCAGACAGAGCCGCTTCCGCCAAGCTAGAAAGGAATTGGGGAAAAACACACGAGCCGTCATTGACAAGGAAAAGAAGATCTGAGGAGCACACAGCCGCAACATCAAACAGAAATGGCGGCAGGGCAAGCACAAGATGAGAAATGTGCATTTTTTGAAGCGCTGTGTAATCTGTTTCCTGCTGGATATATGCCACCAACTGCGCTGTGTCAGAGCGTAGCAGAGCATTGGCAGAACTCACAATCGAAATCTTGTACAGATACTTGTTGTCCGATAGCGACAACTTGGGCATGATGAAGGAAGTTTGCAGGTTCAGCGGCACGGACACGCGTTTCCGTGGAACCGAACGGTTTGTGAGGGTTTTATCGTCGTCATTGAACTGATGGGCGGAAGGGACGTGTGTTGTGATTTCGTCGTCGTCGCTGTCTTCTTCGTCGGTTTCGAAAACCATGATTTCCTTTTCCGATGAAACCAAAGCCATAGACTCGGATGTGGGCCTGTTCGCGGCGTCGGACGAGTTTCCTTCAGAAGTACTGGAGAGTATTGATGTGGAGGTTGGCTTTGGCGACGCCGAACAAGGAGACACGTTGCGCCACAGCTGGAGCGAGTCGTGCATCTCGGATGGAAGATTGACCGATTGCCACGACAGATACGAAAACGCCGACTCTTCCAAGGCCACCGGAGCCAGTACCGGAAACGGCTTTGGAGGAGGAGGGGTGAAAACGTCCCTGGTGGCAAAAGGGGGCAGCGAGATCTTGAGGTCGAGATCAGGATTGATAAGCGCATTAAAGATGGACAGGTGGGAGCTGAAAAGTTTCCCTGAGCTGGGCACAACTGGAAGCGGAGAAGCTCTGCTATCTTTGGCTTCCCTATCTTCGGGCACCTGCGGCTGCGAGTGCCGTGATTTGGATGTTTTCTGTTCCATAGTTGGAAATAGCCTTATCTGGCTTGTAGACACTTACTTCGCGCCGGAAAATAAAGATCGAACGGAACGACGTGGGTGTTTGGGTTTTAGACTCCAGACCCAAGGCACTTAAGCACAGAAGAGAATTTCTATGACGCGAAAGAGGAGGTGAAAGTGAGTTGCAAAGATGTGTAATGGTATGTTAAGGAGCGGTAGGCGCAAGTGACGATAAGGTCACGTGCAGATTATGTGCGGAGACCCTTGATGCAGTGGATAATCAGAAGATGCTCAGAAAGAAAGCAAGACATGAAGCAAGATATGAAGCAAGATATGAAGCAAAATATGAAGCAAAATATGAGCAAGATATGAAGCAAGACATGAAGTAAAATATGGAAGCAGAGTTGATAGACTGATTTTGTCGGTTTTTTTTTTTTTGATTTTATCACTTGTTTGCCGAAATTCGGATATCCGCACAACAGTGTGAGAGCAAATTTAGATTAGTGTGTAGTGAAGCAATTCATTTGAAAGGATAATTAAGAAAACGAACAAAGAAAACGAACAAAGAAAACGAACAAACTATTTGTGATGTCACCATTTACATGTTGTTAGGCAGTTTGGTCAAGTGGGCATATACTTACGTGTAAGACTAGTCGTTTCTTCTTTTGTTGCTTTATTTAGTGTGGCCAAGTGAGCCACCTATCATTAATTTACATCTAGTGGATCCATCATCTGAACGTGCTGGTCTGGCTTGGATTATCGATTTGAGTAGTTAGTTCCTTTTGAAAATAGACTTACAAGTGGAACATCTAGGTCAGCGTAGGCAATCATAGTCAACAATTTTTCGCAGTATCTGTCAACATTCGTACTTTACTCTTCAAGTCTGAATATGTCACAAGCTGATGAATCCACGTAAGATGAACAAACGCTACTAAAAGTTTCAAATAGCATAGTTCCCCATGCTTTGGTGCACGTTTAATTAAAATCCCTAAGTTGACTTTTTTGATTTCTGATGCAAATTGGCATTTACTTTTTGCTCGCATCCCAATAAGCCTTCGTGACAGTTGAAATTCAAATCCGCTATTCAAATTACTGGTGGCATTATATGCTTCATATAACTTCTGAAAGTGCTAGGTGTACGACAAAATTTGGTATTACGTCTGTTGGGATGAAAAGAATATTTCCCTTTTAGGAAATAATCCAGATTGCTCGAGACTCCAATCCACTTTTGAGAGGTGCAAGAACAGACATCTACCGACAAAATTCTGGGAGAAAAAATATTTCCAATTTCAAGCCAAAACTGGCTGTAGTCAACAGTAAGAATGATTATCAGAAACTATCACGGTCTGTACCAGAACTTCCACCCAAGCTCATCGCTGATCTACTGGATTACAGTATAGATATCCAATCTGCTTGATAGATATCTCCAATCTACTTGATACATTATACAGATCGAACTGTAGATCTCCTTTCTATTTAACTAAATTTTCTAATAGCCTCTCTACAAATTGATTGGTTCAGAGTACATAACCAAGTGAAACAAGAGAGACACTAAACACGACGAAGATGCAAAAAATAAAAAACACAAAAAAATATACAAAACACTAAAGCTAAAACACCAAAATTCAATCAGCAAGCCAGATCGAAGTAGAGGTACTTATTCGAAGCAAAATTGGGTATGACAGGCTGGCATTACCTTCATACTATTCGCACCTGCAATGAAAAAGACACACTACACGTTCGCGTTTTCAAGATCTAAAAACTACAGTTCTTTACCATGGTGGACGATAAGTACATAGGGCTTGCGTTAGCAATGTCGTCGTCTTTGGCCATCGGAGTCTCATTCATCATCACAAAGAAAGGGTTGATGGACACGTCGTCCAAATCGGGCACAGATAACTCTTCTGGTTACCAGTACCTACAGAATCCCATATGGTGGGCAGGCATAGCCACGATGGCGATCGGGGAAGTGGCCAACTTTGCCGCGTATACGTTCGCTCCGGCCATCTTGGTCACGCCGTTGGGCGCTCTTTCGGTGATTATCGGCGCCGTGCTAGCGTCGCTTTTTTTGAAGGAAGAACTTGGGGTGTTGGGCAAGATGGGATGTGCCATTTGCTTGATGGGCTCGGTGATCATTGTTCTCCACGCGCCTCCCGATAAGGAGATCGAAACGGTCGACGAGATTTTGCATTATGCCACGCGGCCTGGATTCCTCTTTTACGCCGCTTTGGTCACGGCGTATGCGTTGTTCATGATTTACAAAATCGTGCCTAAGCACGGCCATACAAACCCCATGATTTACATTTCCATCTGCCTGAGTGTCGGCTCGATCTCGGTCATGTCTATTAAAGCGTTTGGAATTGCATTGAAGTTGACTTTTGCCGGAAACAATCAGTTCACCCATGCCTCCACATACGTGTTCATTTTGGTTGTTGTCGTTTGCATTCTCACACAAATGAACTACTTCAACAAAGCGTTGGACCAGTTCGACACTTCGATTGTTAACCCTCTTTATTACGTGACTTTCACCACATTCACCTTGGTGGCTTCTTTCATTCTTTTCCGCGGCTTCAACACTGCGTCTCCGGTCAATGTGATTTCATTATTGATTGGCTTTCTCATCATCTTCTCTGGCGTTTACTTGCTCAACATTTCGAGAAAAGAAAACGAAGGAAGATCCCGTGAGCTTTTCGGTGTTCACAACGGGAAAGACATGGCTCCTTTGGACAATGGTGTGGCAGGATTCTCCATGAGAAGATCCATGCAGCTTGGACGTGGGGACTACAACACAGAGGAAACAGTAGGCTTGCGTCGTTTTGACTCTTTTGAATTGTCTGACGACGAAGGCTACAGATGATTGGAACAAGCCTTACAATCTTTATGTTCGTGAACGAGATGATGACTTGTAATGGTACTTACCATGGTCTGGAAATCGAGTTGAACAATGCTAGAGCTTCGATTAAAACCTATTACCATTTTTTTGAAATTTGAAAATTCAACCAAGGTTTCTGGATCTTGTGTGAAGAAGGGCAAGGGATGCTTCAAGGAGCTACTGGCTCCATGGCTTATAACAATCAATATGGGAACACTAGAATGTTACATGTTCATTTATCTAAGTAGGTTTGGTATTTAGAACAGGATGTAAGAATAAGGTAAAGACCATGTAAAACAACTCGTCACTATGCTAGATCTTTTGGAAGATTATAACAATATATGATCTGCAACTGATCCTGAAATCTTTTAGGTCTTGATTGAATCAAGAATACCAATATTACGGCCTGTAACACACCAAATATTAGAAATGGCCTCATTTGAAAAATGCCTTATTCTTTTGGAAGGAATCAAATATTCATCACGACTCAGTGGCTGGTCCTATGGCTATGGGGCCATAAATTTTGTATCGAAGACGTATCCAAGCGGCCCCAATTTACTATACCCACTAAATAAGGATCATACGTATGAAATTGAAATTCCCATTAAATCTTCATAGGTTTTCTAGCCTACTCATTGTGGCTTGTCTGATTGACTTGCTATAAATTGTCTAATCAACGTGATGTTCACACACTTAGAATATGAATGAGATTTGTAAACATAGTAAAGAGACTACAGTGTCCATTTTTCTTAAGTCGTTTCCTTCTATTTCAGTAGCCGGCTTATAACAGATGGTAGATCCGAGTGGATGAACGTAATAAAAGATCTGAGATTTTGAAGATATTCACCCAAAGCAGTATGAAATCAAGTGGCGATATCAAAGAATTCAAGACAAATGAGCTCAGTTCTACACGTATGGGCAAGGAAGAATTGATAAAACCGATTTTTTTTGTTTCAAACAAGAGTTGGCGTACATTGAAGTGGAGCGAGAGTCACAAGGTCTTCTTACTCAAAAATACCTTCACCCTGGCTTAGATTAATCCCAACACATCTGTTAGCCAAGTATCTATTGGTCTAGGGTATTTGTCTTATCGAATGCATTCCTCAGTCGAGATGTATTTGCCTAAGATTACCTTAGTTGAGATAGTGACACTAGTAGAATCAGCATGAACTGAAATTCTCAACAGCAAACATTTGCATCAAATTCTACAAAGCAAAGGTAAAAGTTGGCTTCAGGACTTACCGTCTTCAGGTCTGACCATTTGCTTCGGTCTGACCGTCTTCAGGTCTGACCTTACACCATGCTTTATCGCACCGCCTGCACCATACCGAATTGTGCAGACCGGTTTATCTCTTCTTTCTCCATGGGCGTCAGTCTCTCCCTTCTAACGCCACATGCCCACACGGTGGCGATCAGGTCGTATATCGACGTTCTCCCGCTGTACAAGTTTTTGGCGGTCATCAACGACAATCGCTTTCTCAAAACCATCAAGGCTGTCGATACCCGCACAGGATCGCTTTTGGTGATCAAAGTGTTTGTCAAGCCACAACAGACAGACATCCGGCTCGGCAAAGTGGCAGAGAACTTGGCCCGCGAGGCGCTGCTATTGGCGCCGTACCCAAATACTTTGGCCTGGCACCAGATCACCGAGACAGACCTGGCCGGCTACTTGGTGAGGCAGTTGGTGCGGACAAACATCTATGACCGGCTTTCGCTTCGCCCATTCTTGGCTCCGGTCGAGAAACTATGGCTTGTGTTCCAGATGCTACGCGTGGTGCTGTTGCTCCACGACCAGCTCTCCATCTGCCATGGCGACATCAAGACGGAAAACTTGCTTGTGTCTTCGAGCAATTGGCTTGTCCTCACAGACTTTGCCCAGCACACAAAGCCGGTGTACTTGCCGGACGACAACCCGAGCGAGTTTGTCTTCTATTTTGACAGTTCCGACCGCAGAAGTTGCTATGTGGCCCCAGAACGCTTCTACAAGAAAAGCTCGCTGAAAACAGACATCAACGATCAGGCATCGCTCACGCCCGAAATGGACTTATTCTCTTTGGGCTGTGTCATTGCAGAGCTTTACATGGGCGGAGAGCCCACATTTTCCCTTTCTGACTTGTACCGATACAAACGGGGCGAACTAGAGCCCAACTTGTCTCCGATACCCGACCCACACATTCGGGAAATGGTGCTGCGTTTGTTAAGTGTCGAACCAAGCAAAAGACCGCTGGCCCTGGCTCTTTTGGACGAATACAGAGACGTATGTTTCCCAGGATACTTTTATGACTTTCTTTACGATTTCATGTCCAAAATGAACTCATCGCAGCGTTTCGCTAAAGAGGACGACAACTTCTCTCCCAGTGACCTTCGACTCGAAGAGATAGCAGAGAAATATGCAGACATTGCCGAAGCGCTTGGCTATACATACGAAGATTGCGATAAAAGTATAGAGAAGCAGGAAAAGTCACAAGACGGAAACGATCGAGACACGGGAAATCCAAAAAGAAAAGGCTCAGAAAAAAATGCCTCAAAGGAGCTTAACGAAGCGGAAAATACAGACTTTTCGGGTCTCAAGGTTAACTTACCTCCAATCCCGTCAGACTACGTCATACGCCCCAGTTCGCTGTTTTCTAACACTGGAAGTGGCGCCCTTATCGTGCTAGATCTCATTTTTTCTCTAATCAAGTCTGCCCGCCGTCCGCAATCCAAAATCAAAGCATGTGAGTTGATTCTCGTGCTTCTGGAAAGAATCGGAGACGAAATCAAACTCGACCGGTGTGTCCCTAACCTTTGCTTTTTCTTGGATGAGTTTATCGAGGATGCGTCCATGCTTCAAAACGATGATTTTTCCGATCACAATAATTTTCCTAGCGCCACCACTTTCTCAAGCTTAGTAGCAAGAACTGCGCTTCTAGCCTTGACCACACTTCTAGGTTCTTGCACAAGTATAACTCCCATCAACGCACATATATTCCCCGAATACTTGGGACCTAAGTTGAAAAGCATTGCTTTTCTCAATAGTCCTTTTCACGAAGAAGCTAATTATGTGAAATGTGTCTTGGCTCTGTGCCTTCCTTACTTAGCCCAAATTTCAGACCGCTTTTGTGCCTTGTGCCGTTCTTTGAAATCAGAAACACAGAGCTTGGGATCTTTGGATGCGGCAAAGAGTAGATCACAAGCCAGCTTTAAAGACATTAGCGAAGCTTTGCTTACTGAAACAAATGTGAATGTTCGAATCAGTCTCATTAACCACATTCTTCCCCTCTGCCAATATTTTGGCGTCGATAAAACAAACGATATCATTTTGCCCCATTTGATCACATATTTAAATGATTCAAACTACCGTTTGAGACTTGCCTTTCTATCTTCTGTTATGGACATGGGCAATTTTATAGGTGCGTTGGCTTTTGAGCAGTACCTATTGCCTTTGTTATTTCAAACTTTGGGTGACAACGAGCCATCAGTTGTTCTTAAAGTTCTCGAAGTCTTCCATTTTTTCGTCTGCAAAAGACTCATCAACCCACAAAATGAGTTCAATGCTTTGTCTGTTTACAAAGAATTGTTGGTTAATTCAGTTGTGTTGCTCCTTCAACCCAACGAGTGGATTCGCCAATCGGTAGTTTGCCTCATTCTTCTGATCAGTGACAATATTCTGAACGCAGACAGGTTCTGCTTTCTTTATCCGCTAATCAAATCATATTTGTCATACGATATTTCTGTTTTGTCTTGGGACACATTGTACCCATGTTTGACAGCACCACTTTCAAAACAGGTTTACGAAGCTGCACAAACTTGGCGCAACAATGCTACAAATAAGTCCATGTTTTGGCGCATGGCTAATTATTCAGCGTTTCATTCACATGGGCGCCGGAAACTTGTTTCTTTTTCCAAGGATATGGGAAAATATGTCTATGTTCCCCAAAGCAGCTATAACGGCCTGTCAAAAACAGAACACTCCGCATCTGACATACCCTTGTCAAATGAAGACAGACAATGGATTGTGAAATTGAAATCAGTGGGGATGGATGACCGTGCTTTATGGAAAGTGTTTGCTTTAAAAGACCATTTCCTTAACTTGGGCAGGTTTTCTTCAGGAAACAAACTGGACAGTGTTGAATTCGAGCTCGCAGGCAATATCAATGTACCACCCACCAATATCTTCTTTGAAGTTTGCTACAAAACCGAACCCATCTCAGAATCTACTAGAACAACGGAAACAAGCTATGAAGAGGCAACAAACGATGCTCTTTCGGTAAGGCTCCTCCCAAATACAACTTCGCTTGTGTTGCCTTCGACTGGAAAATCAAAGGCATCTTTGCAAACGGTTGAAGCCAACGTAATGGGGGAGTTGGATCTATCACACGAAAATGCGCAGTTCAAGCCGCGGCATCCGGCTCATGCTTATCAGAATGGAAAAGACAAGAATGTAGCGCATAGGGTTTTCAGCATCAATAATCAAAAGGTGATATCGGTCACTATGCGGCACAATTTCGCTGGCAGCAACCCGTTCGTTCTCAAATATCTCGAAAACATGGAGTTTGAGCCGACTTTGGATGATTTCCCGGAATTCGGACCAGCAATAAAGGCGAGCCGTGAACCTTCTAAGGAACCAGCAAAAGTCCAAGGAAGTTTGATTGCGCAAATCAATACCAACAGCACAAGTGGCAACCTTGATTCCATTACAAAAGTTGCGGTCTCACCCTCTTCGGAATTTCTTGTCACTGGCTCGGAAATGGGCTACTTGAAAGTATGGGACTGTGCAAAGCTCGATAAGAATATCACGGGCAAAAACGCAAGTCTCTCTATGAACTTAAAGCTGGGGATCTCTGACATTGCGTTTATGGCGCGGCGTCCTGTGTTCGCCGTATCCACTATAGATGGAAATCTTCGGTTGTTTCGAGTTCATGTTTCTCGCGGGAAACAAAGAAAAATCGTCAAGTACTCCAAGCTCTCGTTGGTTCGGAGTGTCAAAGTCGAAGATGGGTATGCGACAAATGTGGCATTTGTCTCGACTCCAGGAAAGACAATGTGCATTGTCGTGACAAGCTCATGTAAAGTTTTGGCATACAATGTGGTGACAATGGAGAAACACGTGGAGCTACAAAACCCGTTGCATTATGGCGTTCCAACGACATTTATTGCAGATCCCAAGTTCTCGTGGATTTTGCTTGGCACATCTGATGGGATCTTGTGTTTATGGGATGTTCGGTTCAAAGTGCTTTCTCGTGCATGGAACGTCGTGCTAGATCTGGTGAAGCAGCAAAAGACAGCAATCATAAAATTGGTTACTGTAAGCTCGTCTTACGAATCCTCTTCTTTTGCCATGATTGGTGGAAGTACCGAGGCAGATATAACCGTTTGGGATATTCCGGGATTTACATGTCGTCACGTGTACAGTGCTAACGGGGATCGGCCAAAGATAAAGCCGTATGAATTGAAAGAAATCGACAAGGTCAAACAGAAAGGCATCGAGGACGTTTTGGCAGACTTTTCCATTGATTTGAATATCGAGAAAAACGAGTCTTTCCGTGCGTTAGCGTATACTGCGAGTGGCAGCCGCTACGTCACTGCTACGTGTGATCACAGAATAATCGTCTGGGATACGAAGAACGTGGCCCTGTCCGTTCTGCTACTCACTCCAGGTGCCGTTACTTTTACGGAGAATCGTATTTCAGCCAGCCTCAGCATGACTTACGAAAAAGTGGACGGGAAATCAGGAAAACAGAATCACGTGAGTGGCAATCATGATGCTGTCCTTGATGTGGCGATAGTGGAAAGCCCCAATTACATGATTGTTGCCGTGGAACGAAACGGCTTGATGTACGCTTATAAGTGAACACACCTGCAGTATCTATGTTCTATTTGCAGGATTCAACGGTTCGAGCGCAACTGGTTTGTGCATGATCACTGATGAGACATTTTCGAGATTTCAAACCCACTGACAAAAATGCCTTTTGATGACAAATTGGGGATGCAAATTGCTTTTGAAGAAGCACAAAAAGGTATGCAGTGAGCAAGACAATCTTTATATTTTCCTTCTACTAACCTGAAGGATATGCTGAAGGAGGAATTCCAATCGGAGGAGCTTTGATTCACGAGGACGGCACTATCTTGGGCCGCGGCCACAACATGCGCATCCAGAAGAACTCTGCGACTTTGCACGGCGAGATTTCCACTTTGGAAAACGCCGGTCGCTTGCCCGGCGGAGTTTACAAGAACTGCACCATGTACACGACATTATCTCCGTGCCACATGTGCTCTGGTGCCTGTCTTATGTATGGTGTCAAGCGTGTTGTATTGGGTGAAAACGAAAACTTTGTTGGTGCAGAAAAGTTGCTTGAGTCCATGGGCGTTGAAGTTGTGAACATGAACGACGAGAAGTGTAAAGAGTTGATGTCTCGCTTCATTCGCGAGAGACCACAGGACTGGAATGAGGATATTGGGGAGGAGGACGCCTGAACATCTCACAATGGGGATCCGACGAATGTCCGCTTAGAGAGACATTCTAATATCCGTTTGCTGGTAGCAGAATGCGCTGAAAAGTACATCAATAGTTTTAAATGGAGGCAATGAGTGTTTACATTTAGTCTTGTATTGTAAGCGATTGCAGAATATGTTAAGCATTCCAATATGACTTGAGACACTTGTAGTCTTAGAAAATAGCAATGTCTTTTAAGTGCTTCTAAGGTTCTGAATACTCAATGGCATGAACTTATGTCTCTTTTCTTTGACGTTTCAGTGACTTAACTTTAGCAGTCTATGCGTTTATGGATATTTCGTAAGCCTACGCATCATCGGCTTATTAGGTTATGTTAAATGCATTATTTGCATCACTGAATTACAAAGTCATGTTCATACATATTTGCATCATTGAATTACAAAGTCATGTGAATACATTATTTGCATCATTGCCTCACAAAGTCATGTTGAATACATTATAATCAAGTCTTCTTTAAGTAACGGAAATCCCCAAATGTCCATTCTAATTCCCAGGATTGCTTTTCTGAGTGTTTTCAGAATATTGAATCCATGTCTCACTTTCTTCGCACTCGCGCATTCACCATATCTTCTCTACTGCATTCTCTTCTTCTTTCAACCTCACATTCCTTCTCCCGCCTTGATTTGTTTTTTCATCTTCTTTCCTCATGGACAATATTGCCGACCGTGTTTTCACTGAAACTACATCAGATCCGCCCGCCGACAACCCATCGCTTCTAACGGTGATTCTTGAACTTACACCCAAATCCATCGCTGCTCTAGACGCCAGCCTCCAGGATATCGTCAAGGCGCTTGTTGTGTTTCTCAATGCACACCTTTCGCTCAATAATAGCAACCAAGTGGCGTTTCTTGTGTCGCTGCATGTGGGAGCCCGCTTCTTGCACCCTGGCGTTTCGGATGTCGAGACAGAGACTCGCTTTGTCAACCCAGGAATGTACCGCCAGTTCCGGCTTGTGGACGAGGCGGTGTTTGGAGCGCTCAATAAGGAACTCGAACGGCTTGCGCTGGCTGCAAAAAACGACGCCCGTTCGACATTGGCCGGCGCCTTGCTGATGGCCATGACATACACAAACAGAATGCTCCATGTGGACCAGAGCGGCAGCGCGGTACAGGTAGCGGCAGCGGGCACTGCTGGTGCTCAGACAACTGCCGCCATGGGCGCCCGTGTGCTTGTGGTATCAGCCAATGAGTCGGACGACAACAATTACATGGGGATCATGAATGCGATTTTTGCAGCACAAAAGATGAAAGTGGCCATTGACGTGGCTAAACTTGGCCGTCGGTCAGCACCGTACCTTGAGCAGGCTGCAGACGCGACGCAGGGGGTGTATTTGCATGTGGCAGACCCACGGGGAATGGTGCAAACTTTAGCCACGGCGTTTTTCGTCGAGCCGCTGCTTCGGCTGGTTGTAATTTTGCCCACGCACGGAAACGTCGACTACAAGGCCAGCTGCTTCCTCACGGGTCGTGCTGTTGATGTTGGCTACGTGTGTCTGGTGTGTCTATGTATTATGAGTATGCTCCCAGACCTGGGCGCATGTCCAATGTGTCATTCGCAATTCGATGAGCATCATATTGCTCGTCTTCGGCGAGGGCCGCTGGTTAGGAAGCGGAGGAAAATGGAAGAGACAAAGGCAGAAGCGTGATGTGATTTTCTCTGATTAGAGGAGTGAGTGGAAGTGGTATAATAAGTGGATCATGTGCTACTCGTATTAATTTGAGATAAGAAATGTCATACTTTGCCATTTGTGTTGCACCAAAGTCCCATGACGTGTACAGATCCCATGGTATGTACTCATAACATCTCGACATCCAGTGCATTGTTGCAAGCTTTTGAAATGCCTCGGATGTGCTTTTCAATTAACCACAAAAGCCCATCTTCGATAGGATCCCACGTCGGTAGAGGAAGATGCACAAACAATACTATACCAGCAAGTATTCTACAGTTGACCTAGTCGAACCATTGCAAAATGAATCTCTGGCCCCAGGACTAATTATGCTCAATATAACTTGCGATGTGCTAGTTTAGAATAAGATGTCTCAATCTTACCATTTTTTTCTTATTCTCTGTCTTGTGAGCCTACTTTCTCTCCCGTGTATCATATTGGCTACTACACCATAAGTTCATAGACTTTGCATAACATGATTGAACTAGCAATTGCTCTCGTCCTACTCTATCTTTGGGACTGCACACATGGTCGCATCTTCATCTCGCGGTGGATATTTTGTCTTTCGTACCATGAAGAGACAAAGTGACAGAGAAGACAATGGGACAAAACGAAGCAAAGGAGAGTCACTGATTGGCAAATATACACAAGGGCCCTTGGATCACGTGTTTGGACAACACGCAGCGTTCCCCATCCAAGAGAATGCGCAAGACCCCGTGTATGAGTATTTGGCCGGGGTGCGGCGAGAAGCGGAGTGCACTGGCGTTTTCTTCGCCCCAAAAAAAGCCACTGCGCGCCCGCCCGAACAAGAAAGGGCGCGCGCGATTCCACTTGGCGCAGCTTTCATTGAGGGCGTGGTGTCCCAGTTGGTTGCGGAAAAGGCCGAGAATGGACTGTCTGAGCAGGAAATTCAAGTGAGTGTCGAGTCAGACGAGTCGGAGCAGGAGGACGAGGAACAGAATGAACTAGAAGACCAGGATGGTGAACTGGAAGACCAGGATGGTGAACTGGAAGACCAGGATGGTGGACTGGAAGACCAGGAACAGGATGAAATGGAAGACCAGGAACAGGATGAGGACCAGCCAAAAGACGAGTCGCAAGGCGACCAAAGCAGCAGGCATGTATCTCAAAGCGACGACGCAGTTTCTGATGCACAGGAAGCCGAGCAAGAAGATTTGATGCAAGTGCCGCAGTCGGCCAATGCGTGGCGTACGCTTGTGTTTTCTTCGCCGCCGCCCAAAGATTTCTTCGCGCGCCTTGAGCATCCCACAGTTATAAAACTAGTGGTTTACTTCACGCGATGGCTTCTGCCGTCCATGCCTGCGTCTGCTTCGGAATGGCTCTGGCAAGTCTTTGTCAGGCTCGATTGCGGCCTTGTTCACACAGAGTTGGCGATTGTGCGGGACTTGGGGCTCAAGGCCAAAAAGCTCCGACTCAAACACCAAGAGCAGAAGGGAAGCGACCAGGAAGGTGAAAGTAAAATCACGACCGAAGATTGTCTGGATGTGCGCGAGAATCCAGGTCCGTCTGAAACCATTGACCGGGTGCTTGCAGTTGTGGGGTCTTACTATGGCCAACGCGATTTGCTAGAGTGACAGGAGCTACGTCAAAGTTGAGGGCTCTATTGTGGCCATGAAAATTATTAAACATTCATTCAACGGCCAGGTTGAGCATGAGCCGTGGCTCGACTTATATTGGCCTGTCAAAAGATACAAACGCAGAGTAATATCCCACATGGCCCTAGGAAGAACTGAATGCAATACAAACTGACTACTAATTCCATGCGGTTGAACTTTCACGATTGTTATTATGATGATTCAATGATTGGACCATAGCGTGAGGTAATGAGACTGATGCAAGTGTTTGCAAACCCAGATGAGAGCAAAAGCGAAAAGTCGGGCCTTCGTTTAATCTATTAAATGATCTGGAACAATTCAGCATTCGTTGACGAGCTCATAGCCATGGGTTTTAGCTTACGTGTGTCGTCAATAGGCAAGGATAGAGCCCATAATGTGCAAAGAAATGATTTCTCCAAGCCACAAAGTTCAGTTGACTAGAGAGACTAGATTACTTCACGATGGCACAACGTGAGATCTTTCGAATAAATCACAAGGCGTGATTTGGAAACTCTAATCACTCAAGAAAGATAACGTCGAGTATTGGCATTGTATATGTTGAATCATAAACTTATTTCGTTGTCTACAAGAAGCTTCTTTCGCATTATTAGTTGGTTGTAGGGAATCATCTATGACTATGAAGAACAGCCGTTTTTCATCTGGCTGATTTTACGAAACAAATAATTCAGCGTTATCTCCACTGTTAACAGAAAAGCTCATTTCGACATCTCAGAATGTATTTCGAAGTGACTGCGAAGTATGATTTACGTTTGGCCACAACAAATTTGATTACTTGCATAGAAATCCATTAGTTTTGAATCTTTCACATTTGAATCCTCGACTTCATTTTCTTTCATTTCTTTCTTTCTTTCTTTTATTACTTTCATTTCTGTCTGACTATTCGTCGTACCAATCTACCGCCGTGCGCTTACCAATTCTCACCTACTCAATCAAGATATCGGCGATTATCTCCACCATAACCAAATGTCCTCTCCCATCAGACCAGATTTGGTGGTTCCATACCGCCACAGCCCGGCCAAACCTAGAAATGAAGCCGCCTCTGGAATGATCAGCCAGACACTTCCAATGGCTGCCATGTTCATGCGCAACAAAATCTTATCTTGGTCGTCGCTTTTTTTGGCCATCCAGTCCTACTTGTCTGAGCCAATCAACAAGCCACAGGGCCAGGCGGCCGACGCGCTGCCTCCTTTGTTGCGCGTGGCGTTCGCTTTGATTTCCATGGCTACATGCTACTTGGAATTTTTCTTTCCTGGAACCAGTCCGAACCTTAGACGTGGCGCCCAAGCGGTGGCCGAGGCTGCTGCAGAGACCAATTGATCCGAGAAACAAGCCCAAATGCCTCTGTGAGGCACGCTTGCCTCTGTTCGGAGAAGTGTATAATTTGATACTGCAAATGTATGAGCTGTATGGAAAGTTGTAGGTATGAAGCTTTTACATAAGGTGACCGGACTTCAATGGGCTTGAGTGCTGGGAAAGACTGTTTCTCTCGAAAGTATTTTCGCCGGTTTCGGGATCCTTGACATAATTGTGTAATTTGAATTTCTATATATTACAACGAACGACACATCATGCCGTGTACATTTTTGCGACACGGTAGAGAATCCCTTCATAGCAGCGATATCGCCTAAAGGGCATTTGTACTGGAGTTCAGGATCAGGAACTCAGTGCAATTGCGTAATTCAGAAAATCCATAGTACTTCAGCAGAGCATAGACATTGGCTTCGCATGAGCGATAGTTAGACGCATAGCTCAGCACTATGAGAGACCGGTTGATATAAGACACACTGTTGTCTGGCACCTTGATCGAGAGTCCTGGTTCTTTACCTTCTTGCTCCTGATTGCAACTCAACATAAATTAATTAATTTATCATATCTTACTCTGTAGTCGTACCCTATCGTTGCCAAATCAAAGGGAGCATGGTAGTGATGGAGCCTGGGATTAACATACTGTGGATTTACCCTCAATTAGGCACTTCCAACACCACACTCTCGCGTCCACGGTAGCACACAGCAAGAAAGCTGCCGCGGGGATCCCAGGCCAAATCGCACACGTCGGCCTCCTCTGCCAGCGCCGCATAATAGCCCACACAGCGGAGGGGCACTCTGGAACCATAGTGTTCTGGGTCTACGTCCCAGACAGAAACATTACCCGAATCATCAGCGACAGCAAGGCGCGCCAGACTGGGAGCTAGCGCCGCAGCAAACACCATGCTCCGGCCATTGGCAGTGTCGTGCTTGCCAAGAGCGGCCAAGCGCAGGAAAATGTTGGCCAGCAAAAGAACGCTGCCGTCGACTGCGTCCCATACGTTCATAGAACCTTCCATGGAAACAGAAGCCAACTGGTTGCCACTGGCTAGGAAGAAAAGACCAAGGATAGGAGTGGTGTGGTAGTGAATGTGGGGAGTTCTGTCTGTGTGAACATTGAGGTCCACGGCGTGCAGGGGCAGCAGACTGTTCCATACTTTGATGGCGTAGTCCGTATCGGATGCCGACGCCAACAACTTGGACACGGGGCTGAAAGTAAGCGCCGAAACAGCATGGGCGTGGCCGGCAAGCTGCCCTGCAAGCGCCGAGCCCGAACGCAGCACCGAGTAGATCTGGATGGAGTGAGAAGGCGTCGACACGGCAAGTTTCAGGTCGCCAAGCCAGCAGACGCAGAGCGGATGCGACGCCAGGTCGGGCAGTGGCAGTGTCGGAGGCACCACTTGCAGCACAGGCGAAAGCGAGGCGTCCCATACACACACGGCGTTGTTTGCGTCGACGGTGGCGGCCCAGTGGGGGCCCCACGAAAGGGCGACAAAAGGCGTGCCGAGCGAAAGCGCGGGCGCATGCGAGTCGAGAGGGTCGGCGCGCGCGTCGGTGGCGCTGTTGAGGGCGACGTTTTTGAGGCGCGCGTTGGCGCCCCAGGCGCGCAATTCGCCCAGGCCGCCTGCCGTCACCACGGTGCCCGAGGGCGACCACGCCACGGTGGAAATGTCGCCGTCGGAGGGCGCGTGGTTGAGCACAAGCGGCACGCCCGCCTCGGTCTGGATGGCGGCCGCGCCGTTTTCGCGCCCAAACGCAAACGCGCCGCCTGCCGGGTGCCACAGCGCGGCGAATGCCGGCGCAAACGTGAACGCGGCCGCAAGAGGAGTCACCTCTGTGTTGGTGTCTTCGAAGTTGTTTACGTCTCCATTTGTGTTTGTGGTTGTGTCTGTGTTTGCGTTTGTGTCTCCGTTCGTGGTAGTGTTTGTGTTTATGTTTGTGTTTGTGTTTGCACTTGTGTTTGTGTGTGCCAGTTCCGTGGCATTCTTGGCCTCCAGCAGCTTGTTTTTCTCCGCCTCGGCCGCTAGCGCATGTGCAAGCGTTAGGCTGGCCGCGTCGCCCGCAGCCGCATCGTGTGCAAGCGTGTAAAGAATGCCCTTCTGCACCAAACTGACGAGCGCTCCGGGGCCAACCGGGCCAAGCGCCTTAGTGGGCAGGTTTTCGTCGCGGCACCGTGCGCTTTTCTCGAGCGCATACGCCGCCATCTCGTGCCCGCTTTCTTGGAGATAGCGCCACACAAGATGGTTGAGCTCGACACTAGTGAGCGACATGAAAGATCGACGAGGGTGCTTGAAAAATAGGATGCTTTGAACTAGGATGAAGGCTAAAGATGCCTATTTGAGGCTAGGATGCTTCGAACTAGGATGCTTCGAACTGGGATGCTTTAACTAGAATGCTTTAACTAGAATGCTATTGGAAGCTGAAGACCTGAATGAAGTTTGGTTGCGTTCACTCTGCAGGCTCTTTTTCGCTTCTCTTGAGTAGATTCAACACCGTCCTTTGACTGTTCTTGTCAGTGATAGCTTCTTCTGTCAGCTTCTTCTGATAGCTTATTGTCAATTGTGGTACTAGACTTTTATCTCGCATATGGCGGTGGCCTGCACACAGTCCCAGCTTGTCGCACACATACTCCACCAGTCCATCCATCAACCATCATCATACATCTTCTTCTTTCATGGACAAACACAACAGGAAAAGCCGTGCCCCCTGGCAGATGGCGCCAAGGGCAGCTCCTAGGGCGGCGCCAGTCAAGTCCGACACGCTCCAAGTGCCTCAATTGGGCCGCGGCCTGGCGCCAGACTCCGCCGGCATGTCCAGGCGGCAAACGAGACGGCTTCTGATCCACCAGGCGGCAGCTCAGCACATGTTTGACGCGGCGCTGATTCCCCCCTTGCCCGAGCCACGTGGCAATAATGGCGACGACATTGTGTCGAAGCTCAAACACGAGTTGCACGACAAGGACGCCACGCTGATTGAGGATTTCCACCAGTCGCTCAAGGCACAGCGGCGGCAGCTCGACGGCGAGATCAAGGCGAAAATCAACGAGAACCAGAAAAACATTTTGCACTTGACGGGCGGCTTGAAGGACACGCAGGACGAGTTGGTGCAGATGCGCGCGCTGGCGCACGAGCTCTACGGCATCTTGGGCGACTTCCGGGCGGCGGCCGAGCGGCGCCTCGCGCTAGAAGAGGGCGCGGAAGGCGGCGACGCCAGAAACCGCAACAGCGGTGCTGCAAAAAACGCCAATGCTGCAAACAATGCTGCAAACAATGCTGCAAACGCCAATGGCCGCGCAAACGGGATTTACAGCACAAACGGCACCAGCGGACGTGCGCGCGACCGCCTGTCGCTTCTCGTGCTAGAGAAAATGTGGGCGTCCGAGTTGCAGCTGCTCTACAAACACGTGGACGGCGCACACAAGTTCGTGCAGCCGTCTCCCGGCCGCCACGTCCTCGCCGAAAGCGGCCGCTGGCACGAAATCAACGTCGGCACATGGAAACCAACAAGGGCCATCCATTTGTTCTTGCTAAATGACCTTGTGCTTGTGGCTACACGGCGTGCGTCTCCCGAAGGCGGCGCCAAACGCCTCCAGGCGCTCCAGTGCTGGCCGCTTGGCGTGGTGGTGTTGGAGCAGCTCACGCCTCCGGCACTGGTGTCCTCCGAACACACGTATGTGGTGAATTTGCGCGCAGGCGCGTTGAGCTTTGTGTACCAAACAGACCGCTACGACCATTTCACCCGCGTGATGGCCGCGTACAAAAAGGGCCGTGCCGCCGTGTCGGCGCGCGAGCGCGAGGCTGATCCTGTCCAAGGCCATCGCCGCATGCCCAGTGCCGCAGAAGATAACCCTGACAAGCGCCAGTTGCGCGACTCGCTTCGTTCCGCGGCGGCGCTGCCTGTGCCCGAAGAAAACGGCCTGCGGCCTGCGTCGCATCGCCAGTCACAGGAGCTTCTTCTCAAGGACCTTTCTGCCCGCGTCCATCTGCGCAACCGTCTGCACGATGTTCGTACAGAGCACCTGGCTGCACGCATGTTTGCCGATCTTCGGGCAACCGAGGATAAACTCGACGAAGTAGACGTCCACTTGGCGCACAACGAGTACGTGAGCGCAGTCGGCCTCGTGCGCCACATCGAGGCGAAGCTTGCGGGTGTAGTGGAACGCATTGCGCCGCTGTCCACTGACGACCCGGCCACTGACGAGTTGCGCCTTCTAGTGGATGTCGTACGGTTGAAGATCGACGGCCGCAAGATGAAGGTGCAGCAGGCGCTCCTGTTTCAGTTGCATCACGGTATTGCTGCGCTTTCTACCGATGAAATCGCCAGTATAGTGGAATTTTACGAAGCGTTTGGCCGCCTTGACGACGGAGTGTCGACGCTATGGGACGCAATGCTGGCACACTTGGCCAACACTGTCGGGCGACTTATTGGAAGTGCTCACGGCTCGACACGGGTGGACATAGTCAACTACCTAGCGAACCTCACAATCGTCTACGTACTGATCGTGCGGCGGGCAGTCGAGATCTATAAAAAATGTGTGGAACCTGTCCTTGCTCGAGGCTCCACCATGGACCTGAGTGGATTCGTCACATGGTGCGTGGGCGAAATGTCCCAGCTTGTTGACACGCTCAAAACACATGCATCAGGAACTCTCTTGGTAGAGACTGGAGGAATTTGGCGCGCAAAGGACCTGAAGTACTATACGGAGCTTGTACGGATGGTGCAGCCACAATTAGCATTGCTCCGTAGTGATGGGCTCAACGTTGATTACTTATTCAGCGACATCATGGAGTGTCAGCCCGCATAGGTCTACGCTCTGCGAATTTGGGCATAAATAGACCCAAGTCTGGGAGGTTTGGGGACTATTAAATTCTACTTGCATATCCATTGTTATTCTTCCATGTTGAGATGTGGACTGTCAGTTTTGTGATTACAGTTTGTAATGCTCGTGGAACACAAGAAAGGCGTTTCAGTGGACATGGCAACTCAAGATTTGAGGATTCGGAGCTTGCAGAATACTCATGTGATCAAACGTCTTTTGCTATGTGGACACCTATTAGGTTTAAGCAAGGTAATGTCTCCTTTGATATTTGGTGTTCAGATTATTATGGGCTACGGCTGGCTCGACGCACTTAATTTGGTCGATCAAATTGTTGGAGCATACACCGAACATGCAACGACCATAATCAGAGTTGAGCTACTGTTCCGTCAGAAAGAAAGACAATTTCATCATTTGAGATTTACATTAAACGAAAATGAAGGACAAAAATACCTTAGTGTATTTTCTTAGAAGGATAGATGTGTAGAATAGAGAATTTTCGAAATGTCCATCCATTCAGACCATGGAGTACCAAAAGAACGATGAAATTCGTGATTTACTCTTGCAGCATGTATAATGAACCCATTATGATTAAGTGTGATTTTGAAGAGAACCTGAACAAGGTAATACCTACCGTCAATCTGCTGTACCCCATGCTTTGATAACATTTCCATAAACGAGAAATACTCAATCGAATGAGTTAATGTCTTACAAAGCATGTGAGAACATCTCTGACAATTTACAGACTACGACAGAGAAGCTAGTCAAGTCGGAACATTTTAGAATTAGTCACTCACAGATAAATTAGACAATGGTGGACTCAAAACGGTTGGATGAGACAAGCCATGATACAGTTAAAAAAGAGAGCATTTTCTCCTTGGTCTCTATTGTTATGAGTTCTCACTTTAATTAGAAGTCTTATTCTTTAATATGGGCAAATTGATAAACAGCCCATTTTACTGCTTCTCGTTGATCTTTTCACATTGTTGATGTAATCAAGCATTATTGATAGACAATTATGGCCTGAGGAAAATGTGTTACGTACTGGGACCGATGAATAGCAAATCAGAGCGATTGTTTGGACAATCATTGACTTTGAATGAGAGCACAGAAGATCATCCATGTAATGTACCCCCTACAACTATCTAGAAGGAACAAAATATCATCTTTCTTGATGAGGTGCTTCATCTATTGATTCATATCTGCAATCGTCGACCATCGGAATCTTTTCTTCTAATGAGCACACGACGGTCTTTTGGAAGAGAATGAAGGGCCTCTAGGAAAGCCTTTTCACTGGGCCCAGACGTGCGGGGCCTCGTGTGAAGAAGCCTACGGCGGAGGAGATCAACACAGACTAGAGGCGTTGTGAGCGGAATGAAAGTTAGAGCGAACTTCATAAATACTTTGTGTGGAAGGTGTAGATGAAGTTGGAGGGCTGAGGAGAGGTGGTTATTAAGTTGGTGCTGGAAATCTATAGTGTATTCGTAGATGGACATACGATAGTTCTAGTCGGAGATGTAAATATCTCCATCACTCGACAGTCGATTAGGATTGCTTCGATAAGACTGGTAATGTTACATACATCTTTGTTATCGCAGCGAAAGGTCGAAAGATTAGGCGTAGTAGATTGAGAATAACCATTCATGGAAGAGAGTTATGGAGGTTAATAAAAGTTTGCAAGGTCCAGACCCACTCAAAGACACCTGAGTCGGCGAGAGCTTCGAACTGCCTTATACTTGATTATTTCCCTGTCTAACGTTGAATTCCCCATTTTGGGTCTTCCATATTTGATTTGCCTTCATCTTTCATTTATAAGTCATTAGAGGAAGTCTGATTTCGGAAAACTATCATAGCTATTGATTAAAAGCTCGAAGTTGTTTCTGTTACTTAAACTGTCGTTGTATCTCAGTGTTTGCTATAAACTTGATAGTCTAATGAAGATTGACCAGCGATCCTCACAAGAATTGTCGTTGTATTTCCCCTAGAACAATCAAATGGAATTGCCGAATCTAAATGCATAGATATCGGAAAGAGGCTGTCTCAGGCAAACCGATGACTCTCCGGCCAACCTATCTGAATGATAATATTAATAACGCGATTAACCACCCGATGAGTAACGCCACGGCCACAAAAACAAAGATGCTCAATATAGGGCCAATAGTGTCATCTATTGCTTGTTTTCTGTTGTATTTATCGAGATTGTCTGAAAGAATCAAGGTGTCCCCCTCTTTCAAAATGCGCTTGATCTTCACATTCACATTGGCAATTGCCGATGGCGACGAGCCTTTTGCTTGAATTAAAACACTGATTTCTTGGGGGATATCGCCAAAATAGGTCTCGAATGCCCTTTCGCTGGCTTCCTTTACAGATAAATCCTCGTTGAAAACAAAGCGAAGGCGGTTTGAAGACGTTTTGTATTTTGATTTATCCCAGATCTTGAACTCGACTTCGACGGGTATCGTTGATTCGTCATCGGAATCAAGCTTTTCTGGAGAATTGTCTTTCGCTTGGTCCAAAAGACCTTCCTTCGATTCTTGGGACATTTATGACAAAAGAAGATAAGAAGCTGAGCATTCACCCGTGATACTGTCATGCCGGATGTGACACCTTGATGCAGCAATGTCAAACTCCATGCACACCTCGGCTTCTTGCTGGTACATCAAAGATCTATCCATCACTGAAGGCCTCAGACAGACTTGTACTGGACTGAGGATCTTCAAAGCAGATGGGTTGGACATATCAATGTTTGGCTAGAGTATATCGGGAAGAGGTGATCCTTAGAGAAATCGTCCTAGAAAAATAGGTGATCTTATCTGGAAAGGATCCACAAGAAATAGCTTTCCAAGAACCATGGAGAAGAGGTATTCCCGTAGTACTTCTCAATATAATAGTTATTGTGGCATCATTTCTTGATGATGGGATAAAGAATACCTAATGAGCAATATGAAGTCATAGTAGCTGCTTGTCAACACCGGATAAATAAGGACGTAGAGATGCAGAGATACTATGAATTGAATGAGTTGTATATTAAAGGATGGATAGTAAAGATTCTAATAAGTTTATTCAACCATTGTGTAAGTCGCTTTCATATTTGAAATTCTCGAATTATTATTGTCGCGACTTACATTGATAGAAATAAACTCAGTAATACAGAGGCGGGAGAAAAACCGGTTTCATTAGCCGCATTCTGTATGATTTCTATTGCATGCTCTTTTGGTTGTGAAGCATCCAGCTCTGTGTCAGCATGTCCAATATTAGAAATGTCCGCGTAGATGGAAGTATGGGCAATATTGGTGTCCATCTCGTGGGCCAGGGCCACTCAAAGAATTTCACCCAGACGTTTCAATTATTGAAAAGTCACTTTTGCTTGAGATTTGGGACTTTGGTCTCTTTGAATGAGATAGAACATAGATCGATAGAGCGGTTGCCCGAGTATAATACCTACCACGATGGCCAAGTTAATAAAGGATCTAATTACACGTCTTCTTGCGTAACGCTGGGCGATCATCGTTAACTTTCACTCAAAGCAAGACCAGCATGAACTGGAAACGAGCCGAATTTCTCTCTAACATATACCCGAAATTCAACTTCAAGAGACACGATAGGCCCATGTTCAGAATAAGCGGAGATCCTCGATCCAAGAGCCCTTCCTGGGATTCTCTGTGGGACATGAAAAAAAAAGATATGGAGAACCCTCAGCTTTCTCGGATACAGTCTTATCTGATTTATAACGTCTAGGAATCATTTAGACCCATTGAAAAGACTGGACACATCTTTAATCGGCATAGGCAGAGTCAACTTCTGGACCGTCGGGACTGATACGGGCTACATCATTTTATGTCGTTCATAAATAATTTGCAAAGGCCAGCCTTTGAGCCTATACACGAGATCCGATGAATGAGAAATCCGCATCTGATGGTAGAATTATGAGAAGCATGAAAGAATCTCAAAGGGCAAAAGAGGTCACGGAAATCATCAGAACCTGCAAGATCAACCAACGTCTTCAATCGTCAACATTGAACAAGATCAAATCATCAACATTGAATCAAGATCAAATCAATAGCATGAAATTTAAGCAAAGTCGGATACCATCAGAACAAGTTAAAAATCAAATCAAATGCGGTGATCACCAAATCGGATCATCAAATGCAGAAAATCACCAAATCGGATCATCACCAAATGCAGAAATCACCAAATCAGTGGAAACCCACGCGGTCAATCACCAAATCAGAGGAACCAATTCAGTCAATCACGATCAGAGGAAACCAATTCAATCAATCAGAGGAAACCAATTCAGTCACCAAATAAATCGCCGTTTATCACACCTCGTTAGAGCCTTGCATAGTAGTCTGTAAGATCATGGCGGGCACGCAAGTCGTCGCCGTTGCGTTTAAGGTACCACATGCACAGAAGGGGCAAGCGTAAGCACGCCCACGTAAATGGAGAGAAGCACGCCCGGGCCCAAGGCATTGAGCAAAGGCTTGGTGACAAAAGTGGCGGTGGCAGCGAAGATCTGCCGCACCAAGTTGTTGAGGGCCACGCCCGTGGCGCCCTTTCCAGGCAACACGTCAATGATATACGTCAAGGTGATGCCAATGACAAGCATGGAGGCAAAGCCGAAAAGCGCCGTGCCCACAAGCGGAACAAGCCACATGGTGTGTTTGTCGAGGCACCAGCCGAAAATGAGGCAGGCGGGCGGATAGAGCGCGGCCGCAGTGACGAGGTTCCACGAGAGGCGGGCCTCGGGCCGGAGCTCGCCGTTGTGCCTGCGCGCGTGGCGGCGCAAAAGGCGGTCGTTCCAGCGGCCGCCGAGCACAGATGCAAGAATGTACGTGACAGAGTTGGGCACGTACATGAGACCAACGATGATGGGCGAAAAGTCGTAGGGCGGCGCGCTGTACTCGTTGGTGATGGCAATGTTGAAGAAGTACACGCCCATGAACGAGACGGCCGAGTATGCCACTGCTAATGTCACGGGCGGATACCCTAGGAGAACAATGGCGTGGGTCGGGCGCACGATGTAGTCGTAGGCGAGGCGCGCGTACGAGTGGCGGGCGGCGGCGTAGTGGGCGCGGGCGGCAGGCGGCGCGGGCGCGCGCGAAACGTTGGTCGAGAGCCGCGAGAGCGACGGCATGAGGCTGTCGAAGGCGGGCTCCGTGAGGAGCGGCGGCGTGCTGGAGCCGGAGCGGCGGGAGAGGGTGGCCGTGACGGATTTTGTTTTCACGGGAGACGGAGATGGTTGGTCGTGTTGTTCGGTTGCGTGTTGTTCGTCTTTTTCGGCTTGGGCTTGTTCGGCTTGTTCGTTTTTTTCTTGTTCATGGTCCTGCTCGCGCTCGCGCTCGCTCTCGCTCTCGCGTTCGCTCTCGCGCCCGCGCTGCCGCGCCACATACCGCTGGTCCTCGCGCCGCAACGTCTCGGGCAAAAACAACAAAATCAGCACCACGTTGGCGCCGCAGAAAATCACCATCACCCACATGGTCGCGCGCCACCCCCACGCCTGCGCCACGGCACCGCCAATGATCGGCAGAAGAAACGGGCCCAAGAGCGGGCCCAAGTAGAAAATGCCTAGCGCCGCGCCGCGCTCTTCGGGCACGTACAAGTCCGCCACGGTGGCCGCGCCGCACGCCTGCACCGCCAGCGCGCCCGCACCCGCTAGCATTCGAAGCACAATGAGCGCAGAGATGGACGGCGCCACGGCGGACCCGACGGAAAACGCCAAAAACCACGAGAACGACACAATGTACACGGGCCGGCGGCCGTGGCGCTCGCTGAAGTTGGACCACCACATGGGGAAAACCCCGAGCGACAACAAGAAAATGCCCACCAGCACATTGACCATCGTCTCTGAAGTGTGGAGCAGCCGCGCAACGTCCTCCACTGCAGGCAAAATGATCGACGTGCCCATGGGCCCGGTGGTGCCGGCGCAGGCAACCACGAAAACAAGCAAGAGTTTCTGGTACGGCCCGTAGTTGCGGGCGTCGTCCAACTCGGGCACAAGCGACACCCACGAAAGAAGGCCGCGGCGCTCGCTGGGCGGCACCTTGTGCGATACGGCGGGCCGCACGGTTTTCTCACCCGCGGCGCCGTCGGCCGAGGCGGCATGGAGACTCTGCGGCTGCGCCTCCAAGTCCGAGACCGCCAGCGCCGTGCTGGCAAGCGAAATGGAAGAGGACATGGTTGGTTGGGGTGACTCCAAAACTCGGCGATTCGGCCGCTAGTTATGGCCGAGCTCTCCGCCAAAATGCACTCCACACCTGCCTGTCTGCACACCCGATGTGTCATTGTTGCAAGACCCGTGCAGGGCTGGCCGCTAGACCGCTAAACGTGGTGTGCAACGTCAATCGGCGCCAAGGCTTGTCTCTTGCTATCTTGGACGTTGTGGTCCCTCATGCTCGCATTATCTGTCGTTCTGTCTTCTTTCCAGGTTTCGTCTGTTTTTTTTTTCTTTTTTTTTTTTCTTTTTCTTTTTCTTTTCCTTTTTCTTTTTTCTTTTTTCTTTTTCTACCATTCCTGTCGTCTTCTGTCCTCCAGTTCGTCTGCGGTCCAGTCAGCCAAACTCCCACTTACTCCGACCACTAGTGGTGGATCAAACACGTTCAAGACGGTTATCCGCCATGCATGTGTCAAAGCGCTAGCGCAGCGCGCATGGCACGCCCGTTATCTTGCTTTTCTGGGCATGCCAGCCGCGCATAACCATGCGTAGAACACCACGACAGCACTTGCGCCCGCCAAGATTTTCGTAGCTTCTGGTTGTGTTGTCTTAGTGTTTTGTGTGGTTTTCTGGTTATGTGATTGTGTTGTTGTGTGATTGTCTGGTTTTCTGGCTGTGTGGTTTTCTGGTTGTGTGGTTGTTGTGTGGTTTTCTGGTTGCTTTATTGTCTGGTGTTATTGCCTTTGGAGTGGCTCAGTTCTATGATCTCTCTGTGGCTCTCTGTCCTGCTCTCCCTTCTATGCATATCGTGCGTTATCTTTTTCATATGGGATCTTCGCATTATCTACACAATGGGCAATGTGGCGGGAAGAGATAGAATTTGCAATTGTCCACAATGGCGTTCGTCGGACCTGCCAAGAATATGGTTGCAACTGAAACAGTCTCGAGAGTCTACACGGGAGTCCAGGGAATGGCTAACAAGAAGATAAAACAGTAGGATGCCGAAAGGTGATACCAAGAATTTACTCCGAATAGTTTGCCAGAATAGTTCATCCAGATTGTCAAGACCACTCTCTAGCATACAGTAGTAGGAGGTGCCAAAGATGCATCAGTGTGGTGGGTTAATTTTGCGCTCGGGCAGACACTGGAACTAAATCTGCACCGTTATCTGCAAAGCCTAGACTTTTGGAGCAATCTCGACCTCAATACATGGGCCCTTCAGATGTTATCCAGAACAATCTTATCAGTGTGCACGAATAACTACTCTATTCCCGACAGCTTTCTTGGCAAGGAAAATTTGCTCGGTCTTATTATCTGTCAGGATTATAGACACAATTGTTCCTCCGAAAGAGCCTTCCGTGCATGGCCCGGATCTTTGCGCTCAAAACCACGGATTAATTGACCTTCTCGATTTTGCCCAGCTAATTGTACTCCGGCCATGGTATGATGAGGAACTGCCTCTCCTAAAGCCAACAACTTTCGTGGCAAACCAATATAGCATCGGAATCTCCGTAATGTTAATATTCCTCTACTCCAGATTCTCCCGAATATCAAATTCGAGATACTTTTCGCACGTTGGCATATTCACATGGTAAGATCCCTTCCTGGACAATAGGCTTACTTCTTTCTGGTCCGTGCTTCAATGCAATCTCCCTTTTACACACGGGGGGTTACCAATATTGTTACATTGTTGCATTATCACACGTGGCGCAGCGATTTCTTGTCCAGGCTAAAGAAATGTGGTGGATTTTTGCCAACACATGGATTTTGCTTAGCCAATTCTCACGATGAAGGGTTTCATTCATCGGAATGTAAAGCAAAGTTATGAAGAGAATTTATTCGAACAATTAAGCCAATTAGAACTGCCTCAGGCGTCAGAATCCAGTAGTGAATCCAGCTAACATTGCTTGGCCTTTCTTCCTACGACCTAAGGCTCCAGCATTCAGGTCTACGGACAATCTCTAAAACGATTGGAGTAAAGTTGAAATAGTAACACATTGGAATGGAGTTTCAGCAAACATATGGAGTTGCTATGACTTGTTGCATTGAAAAATACTTTTGGAAGTCTCTGTGTTTCATGAAAATTCATAATGAGCTTCATCTCCTACCGTATTTGCAAAGTTTGTGATTAAATTTTCTGGAGATGAATCATATCATGAAGATATTACTGGTGATTCTTGCAGATTTTTACGAGAGAGCAATAGAGAACTTTAGGTAAATAGTCGTTAGACACATCTAAGGCCAAATATTTCAACATCACGACTTTCAGAGTACGGCAAATTAGTACTCAGAAATCTGTTTTTACACTTTATCAGGCTGCCCCATCCCTCATGACAATTCACCCATCTTTGAAGAACCAAAATTCTTTAAATTCCAATCATGCGACTGTGCTTTTGTCAGCTATACGTATTACTTTTGAGAATATATGCCTATTTGGATGTAATTTATCGTAATTTAACAAACATTCTACGTTCATTTTCTCTTTGGCCTCTTGACTGTGGCCGAACTGTATGGAAAGGTTACAAACCGATGCAGTCTAGATGCCATTACAGTCAAAGTAGGCTGAAAAAAAAATTATTGACCGGAACTATAGTCCAGCCATTTCTTTTCCTCTTTTCTGCTTCTTTTCCTCTTCTCTTTTCTTTTATTCTTTTTCTCTTCTCTTTCTCTTCGTCTTCTCTCTCGTCTACTCTCTTCCCCACTCATCTGACGGCATGCGCGAATCTTCTCCCACATCACCCGGTCTATGTGCATGATACCGCATACTCCGCGGACTGTTTCAACTCCGTTTCTTTTGCCACAGCCTGGTCAATCGATCTGGAATTGTATTCAAGCCCTGCTGCCAATTGCAGTACAAGCACAAGTTAACAGTTGCAAGTACAATTGTACCAGTGATCAAACCAGTTATCAAATAATAAGTGACAAGTCCAAGTAACCAGTTACAGTTACAGTTACAGTAACCAGTTCAGTTCAGTTACAGTTATCAGTTCAGCTCAGTTATCAGTTACAGTACAGTTACAACCCAGCTCAATCGTCTTTTATCATGATTTCCCGCCACAGCTGGCCCGTGGTGGTGCTCCGAACGGCGTTTGTGATTTTCGCCTTCATCTTTGGCACGCTTGGGATCCGGCTCCTTCAAGAATTGGGCGGTGTGGTTTTTAGCCGCCACCCCGCGCACTTTCACGCATGCGTCGCCCTCACAAAAAGCCATTTTCTCGCCTTGCTCACGTTTTTGACCGCCCTCGTCAACCCAACCGCCGTGTCGGTCACCTGGGACGCGCGCCAAATGTCGCTGCTGCGCTTCGAAGTGCGCGCAGGCCACTTGCACCTGACCTTGGCCGCCAACGCCGTGTGGATTCTGAACCACCAGATCTACACCGACTGGCTCTTTTGGTGGTTTCTCGCCTACACAGGCGGCCATGCCGGCGCCGCCTACATTGTGCTCAAGGAGAACTTGGCCAAAATCCCCGTCTTGGGCCCCGGCATGCGCCGCTTCCGCTTCATGTTCTTGCTGCGCAAGTGGGCCACCGACAAGCTCCGCTTGACGCTGCAGTTGTTGGAGCTCGACGCCAATGCCCGCGGCATGGGCCCCGTGGCCGGCGTCACCTGTGCTGCGTCCGAGTCCTCCCGTTTGCCCGGCGTTCGCCAATGGCCCCCGGGCCACGGCCTGGTGGCCGCCAACTACCACCTTATTGTCTACCCGGAGGGCACAGTGATGTCGCCCCACACGCGCGAGCGCCTGGACAAGTTCTGCGCCAGCATCAACCGGCCTCCGCTTCGCCATGTTTTGCTTCCGCGCGCCCGCGGCCTCTTCTTGATGCTTCGCCTGTTGCGGGGCTCCGTGGATGTGGTGTACGACCTCACCACAGGATATACGGGTTTGGGCCCGGAACAGTACGGTGAGGAAGTTTTCACGCTCAAAGCATACTATCTTTTTGGCTACGGCCCGCGCAAAATCAATTTTGCCGTGCGTACGTGGAACCTCGCCGACATCCCGCTAGGCCCGGACGACGGCAACATTGACGTGGACGACGTTGACCCACAGGTCATGCGCCAGTTCGAGGAGTGGCTCTACGATGCGTGGTACGCCAAGGACGAGCTCATGCTGCGCTTTTTCGCCACGGGCCTGTTCGAGGGCGAAGAAACGAAAACCGTCGAGGCTCCTTTCCAATTGCGCTCGCCTTTAGAAGCTCTAGCGCCTTTTGTGCCGCTGTTGACCCTTGTGTTGATGTTGTACCTCTCTGTGCGTTTAATTTCATTTGCGTGGAGTCTATTATAGATATGTCTGCATTCCTTCCGAAAATGTATGCATCGCCTTCGCATTGCTTTCTTTAAATTCGCCTGTCTCATTTCAGTAACAGGTGTGTCCAGTCGGGTTATTGCTTCTTCTTCTCTGCTCTGTTTCGCAATCTCGCATACCGTGTTTCATCCTTGTCGCATAATTAACGACACTTGATAAATGCCTCTTCAGCCGTCAACTTTCCACCTCATAGATAGGTCTTCGCCATGTTCGGTATTGGCTTTTTCATCAAGAGTGCCGCCCCAGTTTCTGTCTTTATAGCCGTTTTCCTTCTCGGCTTCCTCCTTGTCGGCTGTACGTCTGCAGATGCAGCATACTCCAAAGTCTACCTTGTACGGCTTGAATTCAACGAAACGATCGCGAATAGTGTATCTTCCAATTCGCTGATCACGGAACTATCGCTTGCTACAGGGTACTTGGGCATGTGTGTACTGGCTGATGGGTCGAAGATGTGCTCCACTGCAAAGAATGCTCTGGATTTGGCTCCATATGCCACCATTAGCGTTGGTGAATCGTCTCTTTCTCTAGTTGAAGTCTCCAAAGCCTTGCGGAACGTGTGCCATCCACGTCTTCTCGCCACTAGCCTCGCATTGTGCTTGGTCCTCTTACTTGTGATGTCGTGGCTTGCACTACCGTTGGTGCCGGGAAAAGTTGTTGTGCGTCGTGTAGGCTGTGGCTTGGCGGCCTTGGCGTTGATGATATGGGGGCTTGGAGCCATGCTTCAACATCAGGCAGTAGCAGGGGCAAAGTCATTTTCCGAAGCTGCGCTGCTGGGCTTGGTAATTGTGGCCAAAGGTGGACGGGCAGAGGCCATGACCTGGACGGCATTTGCGTTTCTATTAGCATCCTGTTTGGCATTAGGAGCAGAATGCTTTAGCCAGCGATCTAACAAGCCAGAAACGACACAGCAGTTGAAGCATGAAAGTTCATGACTGTTGCATTTCTTTTCTAATTTAGATGTGTCTTGGGTAAGATGCAAGATATTACAATATGCCTTTATTATGCCTTTTCATGAAATGATGTAAAGATCATGCTATTGCTTGTGCAAATATTTATTACCTAGGTAAGTATCTGCCAATTAACGCAGTTCCTAATGATTTCTCACGAAAAGCTTTTCTTGTTTATTTATGACGACAAGAATGAGAACAGTTTCAGTAGAAAAGTTCTAAAGTAAAGTGGGGTCAGTTAATCCTACGTGTATGTCTTCTAATGTTCTCGCTTATCTCGTAGTGACCTTTTGGAATCAAATTATAGTTTGGAAGTTCATAAACTTGGTCTAGCTTCTAAGAAATGACCATGACTACCACTCTTATTCTGACTTTTTTCGTACTTGATGATATATTTTCCTAATAATAAATCCATCGAGACAGTCAATGTCATTTTTAATCCATTTCATTATCAAATTTTGAATCATTAATTATTTTCTGTGCTTGATTGAAGCTTCCTCATAAAAATTATCATTGATTGGTGTATCTTTTATAACAACTATATGGGTGCGTTTATTTTTTAAGATCACATTCTATGGCTACTGCTTTAGTTTATCTGTTTGGGCTGTTTTCTATCATAATATGAGTAGATAGGTCTCAAGTTTTGGCTTCAGCACAGTCGTGAATTTTGATCATTCTACCATTTTGATGATTTCGATCATTGTATTATTTTAATCATTTCGATCATTTTTAATCTCTACTATGGACTTTTGTCAGCTGGAGCCAAAATTGGAACTTTTCGCATTATGCTAGATTCAGACAACGAAACGGAACAGAAACACCAGACGATAACATGGGTCAATACATCACTACAATTGATTTTGATCCTACAAATCTCCAATAATACAACAACTTTCACCTTCTCTACATTATAGATCCCGGCACGGAATTCCAATGTCGCGTAGCTGCAATGTCGCAGCACCATAACCCGTTCCGAAATACAGTACACTAAATTCTTCAAAGATCCAACTCCAGCGACACCTGCTATTCCAACACCAGCGACACCAACGACCCAACGACCCAAGGACCCAGCGATCCCAGCTTCAACAATCTCCAACAATATCCAGTGGCACGGTTGGAGCGTGCACGTGAAACTCACGTGCGCGCGGCCTCTACCAAGCCAGGCCCGTTCCCACATTTTTCCACCGCGCTTCACTTGTTTCTAATCAAACACCATGAATTACGTGGAACAGCTCGACACGTTTGTGCAGCGGCTCCGAGACGCAGAAAATGACTACAAGGAGTCGCAGTCTGTGCTTTCGGAATTGCTCGATATGATCGAGGCGTTCAACGGTGCTGCCGAGTACGAGTATTTCTTGAAGAATCTAGTGCCTGTTTTCCTTTCCAAGCTTGAAACGGTGCCCATTTCCTTCAGCAGCAGCAGTCCCGAACACAAGTTGCGTAATCTGGTGCTTGAGATCATCCACCGCTCAATCATGACCGAGACGTTCCAGCCCTACTCCGAGAGCATCTTGGTGTGTCTCACCAAAGTGCTAGAAAATGAAAACGAAGACAATGGCGTGCTCTGTATGAAGATCATCACCAGCTTGCACAAGGCCTACAAAACAACCTTGGCCGACAAAGTAGAGCCCTTTGTGCTGCTCATAAATCGTGTCTACGACAACATGGATGAGGCGGTGGAACGGGTTTTCTCGTCTCAGCCTTCGGTGGAAGATGCAGAGGAAGAAGCAAAGGCGTCGTCGGCCCCTGGCTCCTTGGAGAAGGATAAGTCGAAAACCTTGGCAAAAGCCATGATGTCCTTCAAAACTTTGGCCGAGTGTCCAATCACCATGGTCTCACTCTATTCGTCCTACAAATCTTTGGTGCAAACTTCGCTTCCGGTGTTTTTGCCCAAAATAATCCACATTCTTCTTTTGCAAGTGCCCCAGCAAAAGCAGTTCCGTGAAGAACTTTTGAAGTCGGCCTCCTCTGTCACGGCTATTCTGCCCCAAATCACAAACAGACAAGCATACTCTGATTTCATCTTGGGCCAAGTAAAGGCAGCTTCGTTTTTGGCCTATGTTTTCATCCGTGGATACGCCTCACAGCATTTGCCTGCAGCCCAGGCCAATGTTGTGCCTGATGTGATTTTGCGTCTCCTTCAAGACTGCCCTGCAGAGCTTTCGGTGGCCAGAAAAGAACTACTCCATGCTACACGCCACATTTTGTCCACGCCGTTCCGTCTGCACTTTGTGCCAAAAATCGAGTTTTTGTTTGACGAAAAGATCCTCATTGGCCATGGTCTCACTTCGTTTGAAACTTTACGTCCCTTGGCATACTCGACAGTGGCTGATTTCATCCATAATGTGCGGAACGAGTTGACTCCTAAGCAAATCTGGTCAACCGTGCAAATCTACTGCGATCTTTTAAAAGATGATTCTCTTGCTTTGACTGTCCAGATCATGAGTGCAAAGCTTCTCTTGAATTTGGTCGAGCGTATCATGAAATTGCCCAACAAGCTTGAAGGAAGACAGTTGTTCATGATCATTATAGACTCGTACGCCAAGCGTTTCCATAGCCTCAACAGAAAATACCCATACATTTTGCGCCGGCACATTGAGTTCGAGGAAAAACGCAAATTCAAAGAATCGGATTCCAAGTTGGCAATCGAACGTTATCGCTCCAAAGCCGTTGAAATTCCTAATGGCACTTTATGGGACGATAAGAAAGAAGATGACTCAAAAATGGATGTCGACTCTGAAAAGTCTCCACTGCCAGAAAAAGATGACATTGACATTTTCGGCGTCGAAGAACTTTCTCCCATCTCAGTTACTTCACCTTCAACAAACTCTGATCTTTTGAAAGACGCACGTTACCTCTTCCGAACGCTTATGACTTTCCTTAAATCGGTAATTTTCGGCTTGAAGAGTTGTAATCCTCCTGTACCTCCACAGCCTGTTCAACAGGATCCAAATAATCCAGGCCAGTTAGTAAACTATGACAAGTGGAATGATTCAGCAAAACTCACTTCTCTCGAAGAAATCAATATTCTCCGCAGCTTATTCAGAGGTGGTATCAGCTGCCTCAAATTTTTCTCCGTCACCAAGCCTAAACAAACAGTGCAACCAAAAGCATTTGATTTCTCCACTGGTGGACCAAATCTCCCAATCACATCTTCAAAGGAGGAGAAAGATTTGATGGAAATCTTTGCCACAATCTTCATCCACATTGACCCTGCATCTTTCAATGAAATAGTCAGCGCAGAATTACCTTTCCTTTTTGATTCTATGCTTGACAATGCTGCATTACTTCATCTTCCACAGTTCTTCTTAGCGAGTGAAATCACATCGTCGAATTTCTCGGGTATATTGATTTCTTTCCTCAGATCGCGACTCGACCAGCTAGACAAGGTTGACCTTATCAAATCGAACATCTTAATAAGATTATTCAAACTCTGCTTTATGTCAGTCAACCTCTTTCCTGCCGCCAACGAAAGCGTGATTCTCCCGCATTTGAAGTTCTTAATATTAGAATCTCTTCGTTTGGCCACCGAGGCTGAAAGAACCCGTTTTGTATTCTTACTTGGTTAGAACCTTGTTTAGAAGCATTAGCGGGGGCCGGTTTGAGAACCTCTACAAAGAGATCATGCCCATATTGCCAGTTTTGCTTGAAACTCTCAATAAGCTAATTGCCAACTCAAGACGTCCATACGAGCGGGACATTTACGTCGAACTATGTCTCACGGTTCCTGTTCGATTATCCGTTTTGGTCCCACATTTGAACTACTTGACCACACCTTTAGTCCATGCACTTAATGGCTCTCAAGAGCTCGTGAGTCAAGGTTTGCGGACGTTTGAGTTATGTGTTGACAACTTGACTGCAGAGTATTTTGATCCGATGATTGAGCCCGTAATTGACGAGATCATGGCCGCATTGTGGAAACATCTAGAGCCTGTTCCGTACCACCATCAGCATTCGCATACTGCAATCCGTATTCTAGGAAAACTCGGCGGAAGAAACCATAAGCATATGAAACCTTGCAAGGACTTGAAACCTCAATCGGAATTGGATCAGGAGGTAAAAGCATTGTTCACGATTCACGGTTTCAAGGACCGTGTTCCCCTTTCAATTACTCCCGGTGTCGAGTCTGCTATCAAGTTGATCGAGGATCCAAGGCTTAAAGCCCACTACCGTATAAGTGCATACAATTATTTGTCTAGTATCTTGAAATTGTTCATTGACACCACTCCAATACCGCCTGACTATGCACTTTATATCCAAGAACAGGTTGAGGTTTTGAAAATGGATCAGCTTACCGAGATCCCTGAACTTGAGCCATCCGGGGTCCAAGATGCAGCAAAGCTCGACAATCAGCAGAAACTCTTCTCTCGTTTGTTGGAGGTGCTCTTCTTTTCTTTATCTATCCCCGAGATCAAGGATGAAGCAAGTACATTGATTGATAACATTACAAACCACTTCACATTGCTCCATTTGGGCACTTCTGTCATTGGAAAGATCAAAAAGGATCGCCCTTTTTCAGTCAAAGACCAAGAAGGCAAAGCGTACATTAGCGAGACTGTTTTTTTCAACGCCCTTAATTACGCATTGAGTTTCTGGGATCGGTCTGTTCGTGAAAAGGGTGTGGAAACAATTAAGAACATCCACAAAACGGCTGTCGTACTATTTGGTTCCGAAACTGATGTCTTGTGTTCACCTTTATTCCGTGCAATGTTTTACAAATTTACTCATTGCTGTTATAGCGAGTATTATCACAGCAAACTTGGAGGTGTGTTGGGTCTTAAAACCATGCTTGAAGATTTGAATATTCCTCCTCAGTGGTTTTTCAAACGGCAATTTGAGCTTGTTAGATCTATTTTCTTTATCTTGAGGGATACACCTGATAGTGCACCTTTTGAAGTGAGAGAATTGGCGAAGAACTTGGTGTTGAAAATTTTGAAGGAGTGCAATTCAAATGTTTCGGAAGAAACGGTACTGGAGAAGCCTTTCCAGACACTCGTGGGAGCTTTGGTGTATGATTTGGCCAGCGCTGTTCCAATAGTAAGAGAAGTTTCACAAAAGTCGTTGAAAGTCTTATCAGATGCGACAGGCGTTCCTATTGCTACTATAATCGGCCCCTCCAAGCACTTGTTATTGACTCCAATTTTTGGTAAACCATTGCGGGCTTTACCCTTCCCAATGCAGATTGGAAACATCGATGCCATTACATACTGTTTGGGCTTGGAAAATTCCTTCTTGACCTTTAACGATGAGCTTAACAGACTTCTTTTAGAAGCTTTGGCTTTAGTTGACGCGGAAGACGAATCTTTGGCGAATGTTCATCGTCTTTATGAACACCGTACTTCAAAGCAATTGATTGAACTTCGTGTTGTTTGCATCCGGTTGCTTTCTATGGCTTTGGTTATGCCAGGCTTTTCTTTGGGATCACTTTCCGAGGCTAGAATCAGAATCTTGGGTGTGTTCTTCAAAGCTTTGTGTAACAAGTCCACTGAAATCATAAACGCTGCACACCAAGGATTGAAGTCCAGCCTTGACGAAAGTGCCAAGCTTCCAAAAGAGTTATTGCAAAATGGTCTCCGGCCAATGCTCATGAACTTGTCTGACCATAAAAAATTGACTGTTTCTGGTCTTGAAGCATTGGCTAGGTTACTCGAGTTGTTAATTTCGTACTTTAGAGTGGAAATTGGTCGCAAATTGCTTGATCATTTGATGGCTTGGGCTCAAATAAATACCTTGCGCCAAATTGCTGGCCAGGATCTAGAAAACAACCACACGGTTCAGATTGTGATGGCAATTTTGAATATTTTCCACCTTTTGCCCGCTAAGGCGTACACTTTCATGGAAGAGATAATCAACACATTGCAATATCTCGAGGGACATTTGGACAGACACCAAAACTCTCCTTTTAGAACGCCAGTTTTGAAGTTTTTGAACCGTTTCCCTGAAAATTGTTTGGAGTATTACTTGTCCCACTTCAAAAACCGGAAATTGGGTAATATGTTGGCATATTTTGCTGGAGCTGAAAACGGACCAAAAATCCGTGAGGTGGCAAAACAAAAGATGGATGGAATAATCACTGACCTCCAAAACGAGGCTTCCAACGAGATCTTGGTGATCAAATTCGCCAATACGGTTGACTTGATTGCAGCTATCTCCAATTATGATAAAGAATGGTTTGCAGAACAAGCTCCTCTTCTTAGAAACTTGTCAAACTTGACTGAAAGGATCATGGGCGTAAAGAATCAGTTACCATTGGTATCTACCACTCACCTTCAAGTAGATCAAGCAGTCTCCAAACTTCAGACTATCGTTGTGAGATACATGGAACAAGCTCCTACGGAGACAGACCTTCTTTTTGAAGTGATTAACCAGTTCAGCATTCTAGACATTAAGATTCATGATCAAGTTGAAAACTTTATCTTTGAACGCGTTGTCAAATCAACTGATGTTACTTTTAAGCAAACATACATGACCAGATGCGTGGAATTTATTGCTTCAGACAGCCATTTGAAAGCTAAAATTCTTTTGTTGAAAAGAGTTTTTGACTCGATTCTTTTGTATTCTAACCATGAGTATCACAGTGTCGATGCATTATTTGCTGATGGTCCTGAGTGGTTAGAGAAGTTGAATGAAAATATTTGGAAATCCACCAACGACATCATTACTGACCGCACGTCTGGTACAATTGATACTTACAGATTTGCTTTACTTGAAACAACAGCTATCTTGCTCAAATGGGCGCCTGAACAGATCAGCAACTACAGGAAGGACATCATTAAGTTTAGTTGGAATTATATCAAATTGGAGGATAATATCACGAAACTCGTGGCTTATGTGACGACTTCCTACTTTATTGCTGCTTACGAAACTCCATCTCAACTTGCTACTCAGGTATTTGTGGCCTTGCTTCGTACTCATCAGAACGATTCAAGGCACCTAGTTAGACAAGCGTTGGACATTCTTGCTCCAGTAATGTCTGCTCGTCTAGTTGAGGACGAAGCACCTAATAGCTGGCTCAAATGGCCCAGACGTGTTCTTTCGGAAGATGGGTTCAATGTCACACAAGTTTTAAATGTCTATCAGTTTATCAATCTGCATCCTGATCTTTTCTTCCCCGCAAGAGAACATTTTATTTCAAACATTATTACAGCTATGGGCAAATTGACAATATTGGCGAACGCTGCTTTGGAAAATCAAGTTCTTGCCATTGATTTAGCAGAACTTATTCTAAGCTGGGAAAACCAAGTGGATGCTATGAAAAAGAACAATGTACTGAAAGATACATCAAGTACACAGGAGCCAAATGAAAGTGCATCTAACGATTTCACTACATCTGACGATTATGTGATTCCATTCGGACAAAGAGAGGCATGCGTTACATTCCTTATTCGGTATATTTGTATCAGTCCACAAAGAGCTTCTGAAAGTGAACTTGGCCAAAAGGCGTTGGGTATCTTATACGATTTATTGAGCCCTGAACACTGGCCGGAAGTTTCGGTGAAGATTACATTCTTCGAAAAATTCTTGCTCTCTAATGATTTGAATGCGTCCAACCTTTTGGGATACTGCTTAAATGCATTGGAAGTGTTGGGAGTTGTTTTGGAGTGGAAGAAACCTGAGTGGATTATTTCCAATTTGGGATACCTTCAAAAGCTTTTAGAGAAGTGCATAAAATCAGAGAATCACGACATACAAGAAGTGCTTCAAAGAGTCTTAAGAACCATTCTTCAAGCAATCAACACTGTGCATGACGGCGAATTCCCAGAAGATGAAGACTCTGAAATGAAAAATTTTGTCTCCTTGCTAACAACCACAGTATCTGAAAACTTGAGCGATACAACATCACTTGCTGCTGGTGTCACTTTATCATGGACTTTGGCAAATTACAGATCTAATACACTTGATCCGTTGTTGCCTTCAATCATGAGAACTTTCAATAAACTTTGCAAAGACCACATTGGAATAACTCATCAAGGGGCCTCCAGAGAAACAACCGCGAATAGTGATGAGGCTAAAATCACCACAAAGCTTTTGGAGAAGATCTTGAACTTGTGTTCAATGAGAATTTCCAGTTTAGGTGACCAGAGACGGATCTTCTTGTCATTGCTTGCGCAACTCATTGAAAAGTCTCTTGACAAGGATACGTTAGAGAAAATTATCAAGATTGTGAAGTCTTGGGTTTTTTCTAGAACAGATTTGTTCCCAACCACCAAAGAAAAGGCAGCCATCTTGGCTAAGATGATGATTTTTGAGATAAGAGGAGAACCCCATTTGTCTAAGGAGTTCTACCAGATTATTGTGGACATTTTCGAAGATGATACATTTAGCTGTACAGAGTTAACTGTAAGAATGGAGCAGCCATTTTTGGTCGGCACTCGGTCATCTGAAGTTTCGATTAGACGGAAACTCATGTCTATTTTGAACAATAGCTTGGAGAAAGATATTAGCAAAAGACTTTACTACGTGATTCGGGAGCAGAATTGGGAATACTTAGCTGATTACCCATGGTTGAACCAGGCTTTGCAACTCTTGTTTGGTGCATTCAATTTTGATGACAAGTTAGAGCTCATTTCTTCAGAAAACAAAGTTTCTCCTCTCACGGCATTCCCATACAAAGAGAAGGACATTGACGTTGACAGCACCAGAGGCGATCTAGACACACTTTTGAAGAACCACAACGAGTTTTTGAAAGAAATCTCAAACATTTCTGCTGGTGACGTTCTTGAACCTCTCATTGATATGTTTTATCAGAGCAGTGAAACCGTGCACAAAGTCTGGTCGAGTATTTTCCCTATTGCTTTTGAGTCAATTCCACGCTCAGAGTACTTGGATTTCACGAGGTTTTTGGTAATCTTGTTGTCTAAGGATTATCACGTTCGCCAGGTCGATACAAGACCCAATGTTATTCAGTCCTTATTGGAAGGTGTATCACGTTGCGAGGAGCTCCAACTACCTCCTTTTGCTGTCGAATGTCTTGCATCTAACTTCAATGCCTGGTCGCAAGGCATTCATATTCTTGAGAAAACCGAACAACAGTCGATTAATGGAAGTGCCGAAGTACGTGAAGTCACTCAAGATGCGCTTGCAAAACTTTACGCTACATTGAAGGAGGACGACATGTTTTATGGTCTTTGGAGAAGACGTGCAAAATATTCAGAAACCATATCTGCCTTGTCCCATGAACAAATTGGAATGTGGGATAAGGCACAGCAACTCTATGAGACAGCACAAATCAAAGCTAGAAGTGGTGCATTACCTTATGGGCAATCGGAATATTCACTTTGGGAAGACCATTGGATTTTGTGTGCTGAGAAATTACAACACTGGGACATTCTTACGGAACTTGCCAAGCATGAGGGATTTTCAGATCTTCTACTCGAATGTGGTTGGAGAGTGGCCGATTGGAACGCGGATAGAGAAACTCTCGAGCAAACAGTGAAGAGTGTCATGGATGTTCCAACTCCACGTCGCCAAGTCTTTGAAACCTTCCTCTGCTTGCAAGGGTTTGGTCAAGAAAAGGAAACTTTGCCTGAACTCTCCAGAATGTGTGACGAGGGAATACAATTGGCGCTTCGGAAGTGGCACAGCCTTCCCCAAAGGTTTGGCAATGCTCATATTCCTTTGCTCCATACTTTCCAACAGTATGTTGAATTCATGGAAGCAAGCCAAGTGTACTCGAGTCTCGTTTCTACGAATGCACAAAACTTGGATGTCAAATCACAGGAGTTGAAGAGAGTCCTCCAAGTTTGGAGAGAACGGTTACCAAATACATGGGATGATATCAATATTTGGAACGATCTCATCACTTGGAGACAACACGCATTCCAGGTGATCAACAAGGTGTATATGCCTTTCATTCCTATTTTGCAACAAACAAACTCGGACGGAAATGCTAATTCATATGCCTACCGTGGATTCCATGAAATCGCTTGGGTAATCAACAGATTTGCTCATGTTGCTAGAAAACACAACATGTCTGATGTTTGCATTAACCAACTCACTAAGATTTACCAGCTTCCTAATATTGAGATTCAAGAAGCATTCTTGAAGTTGAAGGAGCAGGTAAAATGCCATTACCAGAACCCTAATGAGCTCAATACTGGTCTCGACGTGATTCGTAATACAAACTTGGTTTACTTTGCGACCCAACAAAAGGCTGAATTCTTCACATTGAAGGGAATGTTTTTGAGCAAACTTAACCAAAAGGATGAGGCGAACAAAGCGTTTGCCACTTCTGTGCAAATCGATCTTAATTTGCCAAAGGCGTGGGCTGAATGGGGTGTTTTCAACGACCGTAGATTCAAAGAGAATCCAAACGATTTGGTGTATGCCAACAATGCAATCAGCTGTTACTTACAAGCGGCTGGCCTTTACAAAAATGGCAAGACCAGAAAGTTATTGGCTAGAATCCTTTGGCTTATTTGTTTGGACGATGCTTCTGGAACTTTGGCGCAAGCTTTCGAGAATTTCAGAGGTGAAGTTCCAGTGTGGTACTGGATCACGTTTATTCCACAGTTATTGAATTCCTTGTATTACAAGGAGGCGAAGTTGGTGAGACAAATTCTTATTCGTATCGCTAAGAGCTACCCACAAGCATTGCATTTCCAACTTCGTACTACTAAGGAAGATTTCGCTGCTAAGCAAAGACAACACATGGAATTGTCTCGCCAGAAGAACCAATCTTCTCTTCACACTTCTGTGGATCCCAAAGATACTTCGGGTAGCCCTGAATCCAAAAGCGGATCGAATGGTAATGGATCCAAACCTGAAATCAAGGTCGAAAACGCCGAAGACACACTGGGTGATAAAACTTCAGCAGATCGCAGCTCTGAGACTCAAAATGGAGCATCTTCGAACGAATCGAAGGATGGTCAAGCAGACAAGCAATCATCTGCAAACGGCGAGGGTACTAATCAAGGAAAGCAAAGCGTGGATGGAAAAATCCCTGCTTCAGGTAACATCCGTCGTTCTTGGGAATATGTGGAAGAAATTATGGGCATATTGAAGACTGCTTATCCATTGCTCGCGCTTTCGTTGGAATCTTTGGTTGATCAAATCAATCAGAGATTCAAATGCACTGCTGACGAAGACGCTTACAGATTAGGTGTAGCATTGTTGAATGATGGTGTTCAATACCTTAATAGGCTTGGAAACCCTCGAGAAGATGCAAAATTGCCTCCAGTGACCGAGGTAAACATTACACGGTTCGCGGAAACTGTGCTCCCTAAGCAAATCAGGGCAGAGTTTGAGAAGGATTTGGTACTTGAGAAGCCAAACTTGGAAACATACATTGTGAAGTTGAGAAAGTGGAGAGACCGCTTAGAGGACAAGTTGGATCGTAGGTTCACCGAGGTCAACTTGGAAAACTTATGTCCACATTTGAGCGAGTTCCACCACCAAAAGTTCGAGGAAATTGAAGTTCCTGGCCAGTACTTGTTGAACAAAGATAGCAACTCGCATTTCGTCAAGATTGAACGTTTCCTGCCTACGATCGATTTGGCCCGTGGAACGAATGCTTGTTATAAACGGATGAAGATCCGTGGTAATGACGGCAGCTTGCATAGCTTCGCTGTTCAATTCCCGGCTGCGAGACACTGTCGCCGGGAAGAGTCGTTGTTCCAGCTATTCAGAATTTTCGACGACAAATTGTCGAAAAAGGTGGAAACTCGTCGCCGGAACATTCTGTTCACTCTCCCAATTGCAGTTCCTTTATCTCCACATATTAGAATCATCAACGACGATTCGAGAGACGTTAGCATGCAGAAGATATACGAGGATTTCTGTTTCCGCAATGGTAAGAACAGAGACGAGCCGTTCATTTACACGATTGAAAAGTTACGTGCTGCTTTTGATCCAAGATTACCCAAGCCTGATGTGATGAGCATCAGAGTGGAAATTTTAGGAGCAATCCAAACACTCTTGGTTCCGTCAACGGTAATGAAAAACTACTTTGTGGATCTCTACCCTAACTTTGAAGATTTCTGGTTGTTCCGCAAGCAGTTTACTTCGCAATATGCGTCCTTCATTTTCACCACTTACATGATGTGTGTCAACACAAGACAGCCTCAAAAGATTCATGTCAACAGAGGATCTGGTAACGTGTGGACCTCGGACATGTTGCCATGTAAGATTGCTAGCAAGAATGCATCTTTGGATGGTCTGAATGGAAGACCGGCTCCTTTGTTCTACAACGCAGAGATGGTTCCGTTCAGATTGACTCCAAACATTCAAAAGTTGATTGGTGAGTCCGGTCTCGAAGGAATCTTATCCGTGTACGTGTTGGCTATCGCCAAAGCATTAACAGAGCCCCGCTCAGACTTGGAGCAGTACTTGACTCTATTTGTGCGGGATGAGGTAATTTCTTGGTTCACTCAACAAGATCCTCCACGCCCAATTCCACAGGATAGCCAATTGCGCGAGATCGTCATGGTCAATGTTGAGCTTATTATCAAACGTGTTGTTTCGATGGCACAAAGTGCTTCGGGATCAGGAGTAAGCACGCAGAATGTATTGGAATTGATAGCACAAGCTGTTAATCCACATAATCTTGCAGCTGCAGATACATTGTGGATGGCTTACTTTTAGAAGAGTTAATGAATTTATTTATGAAATATTGATGTAGATCGATTAGTTTAACGAGAGCAAAAAAGCTGTTTCAATGTTAGTGAGTCAGAAAGCGAAGCATGAATTTAAACCCATCACTCATATAATAATCCACAAAATGGTTTGATGGTTGGACCATCAGATTAGATATTACCATAAATTCGAAGACGATAGTTGCTAAACTGCAACTCATTTGGTCATACGTTAAAGCCTTTTCATTTTGGGGACGGAGCCACAAACGGATCATCTCTAGACTCCACCAATTTGTGGTAGATATATCTCTCCATCCTGACCCAAGCTTTTTCGGACCTTTCCACCCCCTCGCTGATCCAAATGCCATACGATCCCATCATATTGGCCATAAGCATATCAGTGAAAAGACGGTCGCCCACCACAGCAATTTCTTTTGGTTCTGTGATCCCCTGCTGGGCAAAGTACGCCAAAATCTCCTCATGGCAGCCTGGCTTCTTGGTCGGATGCCGAAGCACAGTTACGCCGGTATCTTGTTCGAGCTTTTTCGCCTGAGCATAATCAGCATCGTCGTTTGTTCCGGCTGAGTTCGACACAATAAGCACTTTTTCCTTTGGGTACATCGAGAGAAGGCGAGCCCACGTCTCCTCATATGCTGGCCAGACTTTGTCGTCGTGGTCTTTGGCAAAACAATTGTCCTTGTCGAGAACAATCCCTTTGATTTCCGTCACTTGGCCCGGAATCGCCAACGGAAGCGGAATTCGGTCAAACGACTTGACTGCCAAATGCGGGAGGCATAGGGAAGGGTTGTATAGAAGACGAGAAACGTTGATCGTGGCGCTGGCGTTAAAAAGTTGCATGGAGATGGAGGTTCAAGACTGGACAGGAAAAGTAAACGATGCAGCAATAATTAACGTTGACTATACAGCTGGAGAAAAATGTAGGAGCAAACGGAAAATCCTAATAAATATGGAAGAAATCTGGAAGTAAAAACAGTTAGATCTTGTTCTGACTTTGTTCGCGCTTCACATGAACGTGAAAGTAGATAAGCTAGAATTGCTTGCGGCTCAAAAATGAACGGGATTCCGTTGATATTTCGTAAAAGTGACTATGGTTCACATTTGTAGGTTTCTTGAATATTAGTTTTGTTCGGTAATGGCTGAAGTTTGGCAATCAAGATGGACATTCGAAAGTGGACACTCGGACTATATTGACAAGGAACAAAATTGATTGACTTCGTTGGTACCTTGATTTATGAAACTCGATAATTCGATTGGAAGGGATGAAGAAGAAACTCATGTATATTTTGAAAGAAGATCATGATTCTAAGGATAATACTACGAAATACTACATTATGGAACTATAAGAGTATAGCCATGCCTAGACAGGTGAATTTGAATCTGCAGGCATTTTGATTACAAAAACACTCATAGACTAGTAATATAAAATAGCCGTACGAGACCTCGCTGACCAACGTATTTTATTTGATATTTTGAGTGTAGCTATGTACATCATTTTCATGTCTCGAAAATGATTGTCCTTTTGATTGTAACCATTCTATCTGCTGATATGTCTTCATACTGTAGTTGCTCAATCATAGTTTTGTAAATTTACTGATTGTATTCAAAACAAACGAAGAAATTAAGCCAAACGTGCCTATTTTGCTTGTAGGTACACTTGATTAATTTCGACGCATAACAATCATATCGAAGTATGGGTCTCTTTATTGATATCAAGCATATCTTCAAGCTAGAGGTGTAAAGAATCTCAAAGCTTTGAACTTCAAGCAAAAGTTGTCATGTAGAATCCACTTGAAAGTGTTCAAGAATGGACATCACAACGACTTTAATTACTGATAAACAAAGTTAAAGAGCTTCTTCTGTGTTTAGGCAAGCTTTTATAAGATAGACATGCAAACTCAACTGGTTTCATATCATACAAGCTTCCTTTCTAGACATCGCTTCTGCTAATTCCAGTATTGCCTGGTATTTGTTAAATAATTCAACAAAAAATAAATTTATCTATGTCTTCATAAACAATATTTCATGAATACATTATCAGGCTCTTTCCTCCAGTCCTGTTTTGCCTTTATCAAAAGATTTATCGAATGCAAAATATATTGGTCTTGGTATGACTATGATTTCGCGCTTTCGCACCCATCAAATCTTTTCAAGCTACTACTTCTTTTTGTTAACAGAAGGCTGTTCACGCTACTCCACACCAGGACATCTTGCATCGTTTCAATTTCTTTCTCTTTCATCTTCTCTTTTCCCTACTTTCTTTTCCCCGTTTTGTTCATCATAACCATCTGTTCCGATGTCCAACCGCCGAGTTCGAACGAAAAACGTTACAAACAAAAAGGACACTAGCAGCAACACAAACGCCGACCACGTGTGTATAATTTGTGCTGAGCCTATAATATACTCAGCAGTTTCTCCCTGCAACAATGTCACCTGTCACACGTGCTGTCTTCGACAACGGGCGTTGTACCACAAAAAGACCTGTTTGGTGTGTCGAACCGACCACGACGATGTGATTTTCACAGAGAAGAAAACGGAAGATGACTCGAAGTATGCAGACTTTGCAACCATTAGCCGCTCCTTGGTTGATACAGAACACAACATTCACTTCACCAGCGAGAAGGTCCAAGCGGACACAGCGGCGCTATTGCTGCAAACTTGTGCTGAATGCAATGAGCAGTTCCTGCTGTTTGACGAATTGTCACGGCATGCCCAAGAATTGCACAACAAACGCTATTGCGACATTTGTGCTAAGCACAAGAGGGCTTTTGTGTCTGAGTTGACGATGTACACCCAAAAACAGCTTCTGCGGCACTTAAACGAAGGAGACCGTGACGGTTTTAACGGCCATCCCCGCTGCAAATTCTGCCGCAACCGTCGTTTCTACTCGGAGGACGAGTTAGTGGTGCATATCCGGGATCGCCACGAAAGGTGTCACATCTGCGACCAGGACGTTCCGCAGTTCCGGGATTACTTTCGTGATTATGACGACTTGTATAGCCATTTTTGCAGCGTCCACCACGTGTGTACCGTTCCCTCTTGTGTCGAAAAACGATTTGTGGTGTTCCGCGATGACCTAGACTTGACGGCGCATATGCTCAAGGAACATGGTGGTCTTACGGGCCTGGGTGGCCGTGTGGTAGTTGGCGCCGGGCCATCGCGATTCCGCTCGCAGTTGACTACGTATCAGCCGCCTCAAGATTCTACAGACACGAAACGACTTCGTTTCGAAGAACGGGCAAAGCACTATGTCAATTACGATACCGACCGGTTAGCACAATTCAACAACGCTACGCAGCAGTTCCGCTCCAAGAAACTTACGGCAAAGGAACTTTTGGACCGGTACCGTGAGGTATTTTCTGGCACCCCGGAGCTGGACATTTCTCTTTTGATCTACGAGCTTGCAGAGTTGTATCCCGAAAATGCACCTCAAAGAACCCAGCTTGAAGCGGTGTTCAACTCTATGACCTTACCAGTTTTGGCAAAAGATTCATTCCCCGCTTTGGGAAATAGTCTGTCGCTGTCCCTCTCCAATCTGACTTGGGGGACACGAAAGGGCCGCTCACAACAAGAACTTTTCCCTGCACTTTCGAAACCAAAGCGCACTACAGTGCCAATCAAGAATGGACCTATCAAGTATACGATTTTGAAGCAGCCCCAGAAACAAAAGCCTGTGGTTAACACATTTAAAGAGAAAACTAATTACAGGCCAACGTACTTAGACCAGCCTGCAGCGTCACGTTCGTCGGACTCTTTACCGACATTGGGAAGTTCGTCGCTGTCTCGCACACAGCTGCCCAAAACAGTTTTGCCCGAGTCGAAGTTTCCGGCGCTTGAAAAGAAACCCAAGAAGGAGATCCCACGCGTGAGACCTGTTGTTGAAAGCACTGGATCATGGGGACAAGGATTGACTCCTGCCGCATCAAAAACTGAAGATGATTGGGGCATTCCCATAATAGATAAGAAGGCTGAAAAGCTAAGGCGAAAACAAGAGAGAAGAGCTAAACAAAACTAAGATTTCCTGCAATTGTTACTTGAGACTACTGCTTAATACCACGTACGAGTCAAGAATTTTCAATGAAACTGAGCAAACGGAAGAGTATTGCAGGCTTTTCATCTATTCATCACTAGACGGTATAAAAGATTTTTGTGCTGTCCAAAGCTGATGTGCAATAACTTTGGCTTGTCTGCCTTAGACACCAATACATCTCACTCGTTTCAGAATGTAGATGTTTTTCGCACCGCATATGCACTCTTGAACTTTTTCATCTCCACACATCTTTTGCCATTCTTCAAGTCTTTTCCCATTTCTCCGCCACATTCAACTATTAGCTTCCACTAGCATGATGTCCCGCATCCTTAAATCACGGCTTTCTTTTATTGCACGTGCTGGCATCCGGCCCCAGCTTCCTGTTTTGCCCTCCAGAAACTTGTTCCGTCGCCTCGCAACTCCATCCAATGTTGCCTTCGCCCGATTCAACTCCACTAAGGCCACATTGAAAGTCGACAACCCGCAACTCATGATTGCGTTCACGTGTAAAAAATGTGAAACCCGATCGTCGCATGTCTTTTCGAAACAGGCTTACACCAAAGGGTCTGTGCTCATACAATGTCCTGGGTGTAAGGGAAGACACTTGATAGCAGATAACTTGAAGATCTTCAGGGACGAAAACGTCAACTTGGAGGATATTTTGAAGGCAAGCGGCGAATCGGTAGCCACAACAACGGACGACTTGGCCTTTGAAGATATTCCCGAGTCTTTGCGGAAAGTCATTGGTCATCATGCTAAAGATGCACCTGAGGAGTATCAGAAGCCAGAAGGTGGTAACTTGCCACCGGCAGAGGAGACGAAAAAGGAGTAAGAAAAAAGCGGGCTTCAGTCTGAGAATTGACGATAATAGATGTACATAGAGTCGAATTCAGGTTCACGTTTGTGGAGGCATTTTCACAAGCTATTGAGCATTGCTTAAGGAAATCTTGTAGGATACAGAACAAGTCAATGTTGAGAACAAACTGGGTTTCACAGTCAATTATGAGCTAGGATAACGGTGCCTGCAACAATAGACAAATTTTCTTTACATTTCCTATTAGTTAAGACTTCGAGTCTCTGAACCAGCGAACACCAATGTCATTTTGTTATATTCTTCAAAATAATCGACATCTCTTATATATCTATCAGGTAGCCGTCTTCATCGTTCCTATTCTCATAGAATGAATATTCGCACTAAATTCGCACAAGATTTGTAGATTCGCACCTCTCTTCAACCATGTCTTTTCTCCTAAAAAGAGCCCTCCAAGTATCCCGGGCCCCGGTGCGTTTTTACGCCTCCAAGACGTTATCCCCGCTTGAAAAGTACCAAGCCAAGCTTGAGAAAAAAGCCCGCGAATTGGGCGTGGCTAGTGTGGAAGATTTGAAAGCAAAACTCAAAGACGAGATCGAACAAAAGAAGAAAGAGCTCAATGCCGTGGACCCGCTCAAAGAACTCGAGGAATACGAGAAGGCCCAGGCAGCAAAAGTGCAAAAGAAAGCCTCCAACAAGGTCCGTGGCGCCATCGACAAGGCCACACCAAAGGCTCCATACAAGACGCTTTCATCTTTTCTCGATGTCGACAAGGTGAAAGAGTTGCCCGAAAAAGAGGTGGATTTCTTGTGGCGTGCCCGGTTCCAGCAAAAGGAAAGAGCGTTACATGCGACGTTGAACGCCACGCAGTTTGCCAACATCTTCGCCAACGCTTTCAAGAACCCAAACTTCATTTTACCTTTACCCAAAGATGGCGAAGGTTACGAAATGCACTTTGTCCAGTGGGCATTTGTGGGTCCCCATACAACCCACTGCATGTTGACTTCTTTGGCGGAGTACAAACTTCACAAGGAATATGCGAAGCCGCATACAACACTCATGTTCCATCAGGAATTGGTGGACGAAGTCGGGAAAGTCTTGATGAACGGACAAGTGGAGGAGGATGTTCCTCTTTCCATGGATGAAGCACAGCTTTTGGTACTTAATGTGCAGAGATTCTACGGCGGCTTGACTGAATCCGAAGGTTCGAAAAGAAAGTTGGAGTTGTTGAAAGAGTTCACCGCAGGAAACCCTGATTTCAACATGGAGAGACTTATTGAAGAAGCAGCATCCTTTGATTGAGCGGATGTAAGCCCTATTTATATGTATATAAACGAATTATTCAGCATTGATACCCAGTAGCAGAACTTTTCGGGCCGACTTTCATGTTCTGGAAGAGAATATTGGAGCGCTGGCAAATAAGAAGGACCTTCGCTCAATGATCATTCGATAAGAAAATCGACATATGGAAATTTGAGCATTGGCCGGGTCTATTTACGAACTGATGGTCTAGGCTACTGAAAACAGCATAATAAAGTCAAACTGTTAAAATAAAACAGTTGACTTGAAGATAATCGCCTCCATTTAAACACCGATAACGACCCATACAAGTATGTACTGAGAAATGTATTTATTATGCACTAAGAAACTATTGCTATAATCCTTTACCAGTGCATCGAAAAATACCCGTTGAATTACAATACATTCCTTCAAGATTTCCTCAATTAGCTGGCCTATAGCTTCTGAATGAGACATTCCCAATTCACATTTCCGGTTCACCAGTAAAGCTCATCAAGATCTCCAGAGATCTTTAAGTTCAACTTCCTAGACTGAGAATATCATCAAGAAGCGACTGGTCGTGGGTTCTTTTTGCTCTTCTTGGTGCAGCTTTTGGTTTTGCAGTTGTCGCCTTCTTCGGTGCAGCTTTGGCCCGAGGAGCCCGCTTCTTTGGCTCGTCTTCTTCGGATAAAACCACAGGCTCAGGTTCAGGCACACTTTCTTTTGGTGAATCTTGCCACGACTCGTCGTCTATGGGTTTCCGTTTCGCTTCTCTTCTGAGCTGGTTCAAGAGCTGACGGAAACCTTTCCGGGTGTCACCCGTATGAAACTCTGCCTCGTCTATGCCAATTTGCAAGAGCAGCTTCGTGGCATCTTCCACCGCTTTCTCCACGTACTCTGCCAAAACTTCCTTGTCATCTTGTTCAATGAACTTCTTTGTAGCGTCGAAAATGCGGTCTTCAGCAACCAAGAATAGACTGGAATCGCCCAAAACACTTTGCAAAAGCTGCTGGATCAGGACATTCAGTGGCTCTCGTGCTTGCGGTTCTGCTAGTTTCCGCTGAGGTTGCCGCAGAGCCTTTTTCTGATGGTACAAGAGGATATCATTGACGTTGGCCACACGGCCAACAAAGCGATTGGAAAACCTGCGGGCATTTTCAACCTCGTAGTCACCTGTATGATCCACACGCAAGCGAATGAGCGGAAGCATATTTTCCGAGCTAGTCTTTTCGTGAGTTTCATCTTGCTCTTCATTTTCTTCGTCGTGCTTTGCTTGCTCAATCATCTCCTCTACCTGGCTGACCAAAAAGTCGGCAATGTCTCTTTTCAGCGCCGGACCTTCCACGAAATGCTCTCGTTGAAGCGATATGTCCCGCATCACAAACGGCCGCACTGTTTGAAGCCGTATCGGTTTGATGCTGTATTCCTCGCCCAACACATCGACTAGAAAAACATGCTTGGGTGCTGTTTCGCCCTCACTAAGTGAAGTGGCTACAGTTGACCCAGGTTGAAGCGTATCAAAGCCTGTGGCCGGGTTGTACTGCGGATCCAAAATACACTCGTGCTCATGGCCCCAGATAACCAAGTCAAGAAACAGCGGCAAGAAATCCTCAGGCACATACGACGAGATGGAGTGCCGCGCATGGTTTTGATGGAGGCACAAGATGCTGAAAAAGCGCTCGCGTGGCTTTTGGAATGTCACTTTCCCGTCTCTCATAAGGCGCTGGAGCCGTTCGTCTCGCAAGTTGTTCAAGCCATAAAGCGCAAGCCTTGTCGTTCCCTTTTGAAGCAAGATCGGCGCAAGCAGAATCTTGTCGTCGCGCGGGATCTGGCCAAAATAGTTCACCAACCCAGTAGCTGCCACCACATCGAGCGGCGATAGTAGACCTGAGCCTGTAGCGTCGTCGTGGTTGCCGGAAATGGCGAAAACAGGAACAGCAACATTCAAATTCGGGTCCTCGTAGTTTAACGAGTCGCCCGATCGGAGCGCCAACGCCGGATCACTGAGCAATTCCAACTCGCACGGCCGGTCGCCAAGACAATTGAGCCGGAGCGCCTGAATGACATGGAAAAGAGCCTTCTTCGAGGGCCGCGTCACGTGGAACATGTCTCCGCCTTGCACGACCATGTCTGCGTCGTGGATTTGGGCCAAGCGCATGGTTTCTTGGAAAGTTTTCCACGAGTCATCGCCTCTCACAGGGTCGTTTTCAAGGTAGCCCACGTGATTGTCGGACGTGACGAGAATACGGAGGCGGTTGGGCCCTGCAGGTATGGACGCAATGGGCGGCATGTGGCAATGGTGGGGAAGAAGAGTAGTAGAGGTTGGTGATGTTGGAATGCATACAGAGGGAATGCGATGCTATTCTGCAGGAGGTCAACATATCGCTATACCGCTAAACGGTTTTAAAAGACAACGGAAGCCATTAGAAAAAATCCCACATATTTCGGTGGTGTGCAAATACGTACCGAAACGTCTATTTTTGAGTTAGTGTGCCCGATCTTGTTACTAGGGAGCAACAGATCGGCAGCAAGCCAATTGGAAATATAGAACACAAAAGGAAAGGCAAAGAGTCTCCCGAATAATCGGCAAGACCTTTTTGCGACTCGGGCAAAACTGGAGTGGCGATTCTTTGATCAAGTCTTGTCATATTAAGCCTGGAGACAGTGTATTCTGAGTCAGGATAGGATATTCTGAGACACGATTAAGTCTTCCCAACAGACTTGGCCCAATCGAATCAGACGGGTCTAATCAAATCAGACAATAATCGAACCAAGGTCTGTTAATCTGGGTCAGAACTGGACCTTTCCAGAGACTGGATCTATCAAAGCGCTTTCTTCGGATATCTCGAGATAGCATTTGCGGCTGAGAATTCCATCGTTGAAGAGAATCCGAATCCTAGGATTTCAATCTAAACTGTGGATAAATATTTGCATCAACTCTTAGAGTACAAATTTGTGTTTTTTCTTCAATCGCTGATCGACCCACCATATTTTAAGATGTCTGATCTAGAAGCAAGACAACACGACGAGGTCGAGTCCCTCCGGTCGATCTATGGCGACATCTTCACCGATGTCACGCCACAGGAAACAGTATGGAGCAAAAAAGCCAGCCCGCATTTCCAGATCGCTTTGCGCTCCCATGAAAATCCCCAACGGCCCGAAGTGTCGCTTGTTCTTGATATTGCATTTACGCCGACGTACCCACTGCTGCCGCCGATAGTACAGGTTCTCTCGCCGCAGAACTTGCTTCGGGCCAGACTCGCGCAGATCGAAGCCAAGATCGCGGCGCTATTGAAAGAGTACGCGGGAGAAGAACTATGTTTTACTGTGGTGATGGATGTGAAGGAGATGTTAGACGACTTCCAGCAGACTACAGAACAAGTAGTATCGCTCGAAGAAGAGCGTGAACGGCGGTTGGCCAACGAGCGCAGAGTTCTAGAAGCTACAGAAAAGGAAGCACTACGAGAAGCGGCGTCGGCGAAAGAAAAGCTCAGCCAGGCGGCCAGCGCCGAACTTCGCCAGATGCGCAACGACTACCCTGGCGAAACAGAAAACGATTTGGCCTCTACATCGGCTAGTGACCAGTATCTCCCCGGATCTTCGGTCGGGCCCACGTTTGTATTCGATAACGTGCTTTACGGCGAGTCTGGCGGAAGCCGATTCCGGTTCCGTGCTGTGCAAGGGTTTATTCCGAGCCACACACGAGGCTTGTTGCTGGATGTAGGAGAGCAGTACACTGTGACTCCGTATGTCCAGTCCCAGCGTCCAGATGCAGCGTATCTACTTACTGTGGTGGAGTTGGAGCACGAATTCTGGCAGACGGCAGAAGGCCGAGCACAGATCCGCCAGTTGGAGCTTGAGTTGGAGCAGGCCATGACGCTTCATGCGGTGAGAGGGTTTCAGATCGACCGGACGGAGGACGAAAAAGGAAAACAGGAAAGACACGAGCCCAAAGCGAAAACCAAGCCGTCTTGGCTGGCCAGCTCTCGCCAATCTGAAATGTCTGGCTCTGCCCGCTGGACCGTGCGCATTCTCACCGACCCGGAGCCGCTGACACTAGCAGATGTTCTTCCTGCGGCAGGCTCCATCCATTGGGCGCTTGCCCGAACGTGGTTGATCCAGCTTCTTCCCGCACTTGAGGCGTTGCACGACGCAGGCGTCGCCCACCAGCTTCTATGTCCTGCCAGTGTTGTGCTCACAGACGGATCGCTCCGGCTTTGTCATCCAAGTTACGGCGCATCGCTTCTCCGCATGGCCCACGTCGGCCAGTCTGACCACTATCTCGACCGGTACATTCCGCGCGGTTGGCGAGATCCAGACTCCAGCGGCGGGCCTGCGAAAAGCGACGTGTGGCAGCTTGGTGTCTTGTTCCTTCGGGTCATGTTGGGCTATGGTGCGTGCGAGACAGAGTTCCGGACGCCGCAGCAGTTTCTCTCTGGGTTCCGGCCAGAGAAATATCCCGTGGCCGAGCATGCGGAACGGGTGTACGACTTGCTCAGTCGGATGCTTCAGCCGCGGGCCTCGAAGCGGCCCAGTCTTGTCGAGTTGAATGCGCTCAAGTTTTTCCGGCTGGGAATGGAGGAACCGCCGCAACGAGACCCCATTGGCCTGCTGCGGTACCAGACCAGCATGCTCAACGCGGCACGTGGTGCTACTTCGGTCTCTAGAAGACGCTTGTCGAACCGAGCAGCAAGCCCTTTCGTCGAGACAGAATCGAGGTATGAACGCGAGTTTGAGGAAGTGGGCAAGCTCGGGAAAGGTGGGTTCGGCGAGGTGGTCAAGGCGAGAAATAGAATGGAAGGAACATTCTACGCCATCAAGAAAATCAAGCACCGTGCTGATAAGCTCGAGACCTTATTGAGTGAGGTTCTCTCCTTGGCGCGCTTGAACCACCAGTATATCGTTCGTTACTATGGATGCTGGGTGGAAGAGGCTCGTGGTGTTGAGCCGACAAGAGAAGAGGACGATACTTCTGACTCCGACGACGAGTTTGAAAGTCCGCTCAATATGCGCTCATCTTCTTTCCTTGCCAGCAGAGACAACTCCTTCCAGATCGACTATTTTTCCAATCTGATGGATCCGCTGCTTGGGTATGCTGACAGCCTAGATGATCGAATTGTATTTGCCACAAGTGATGACTCAACAGAGCGGCAAGATTCTGACGATGAGCGAAGTGATTCAAGTGGATCGCACGAGACCGACGATGACGAAGCGTTGGTATCGTCGGAATCTGAATCTGAATCTGAATCTGCTATTTCGTCACGCTCATTGTCTAAATCTTTCGCCAAATCCCACTCTAGTGGTTCGTCGTCACGCCGTCATCTTGGTCTGGCTCGCTCAACACTTTACATTCAAATGGAGTTTTGTGAAAATAACACCTTGCTTGATTTGATCGAAAAGGGCCTTCCCAATAATCCGAGCGAGTATTGGCGGCTCTTTCGTCAGATCCTAGAGGCGGTTTCCTATATCCACAGCTCTGGTTTTATCCACCGTGATTTGAAACCAACCAACATCTTTATCGACCGTTCCAATAACATCAAGGTTGGTGACTTTGGCCTTGCTAAGAACTCCCATTTCTCGTCAGCGCTTCTGAAAAACAACCAGGTAGCGTCCCCTAACAAAGATTTATCAACTTTAGTCGGCACATTCTTTTACACTGCTAAAGAAGTTGCAACAGGTGAATACGACGAAAAAGTGGACATGTACTCTTTGGGAATTATCTTCTTTGAGATGTGTCACCAGATGAGCACGGGAATGGAGCGAGCGATGATCTTAAACGATTTGCGTTTGGCTGAAGTCAAATTCCCCAGCGATTTCGACTCCCGCAAACTCACAGAACGTAAAATCATTCAGCAGCTCCTTGCTCATGATCCAAAATCCCGGCCAGGAGCTACAGAACTTTTGCAGAGTGGAGCAATTCCCGTTGAGCACCAGGATATCATTATCAAAGAAGCTCTCAAGTCATTGGCAGACCCAGCCTCACCTTGGCAACAACATGTTAGAGACGCATTATTCAAACAACCATATCTGTTAGCGCGAGACTTGATGTTTGATAATGCTGGCACCAGCTCGCATAGCGGCATTATAGAACACACTACTGGAGATTACTTGATCCTAAGCCAAACACTCAATGAGCTCAGCCGACTCTTTGAAACCCATGGTGCAATCCAAGATTTTGATGGGAGTGCCTTAATACCCAAGCTGCTGACCCAGTCAAAGGAACAGGTGTATGAAATTCTTGATCGTAATGGTTCTGTTTTGACTCTCAGTTATGACTTGGTGCTTCCAATGGCTCGATTTTTGAGCAGAAACTATACTGAGGTCAGCAAGTTGCACAGGCACGAATTCGTGTACCGTCCTAACCTCAGAGGCATCGGCAGGCCAGACAAGTATAGCGCAGTTGCCTTTGACATCTTTTCTCATAGCACGCATTTCTTGAAATCCCATGATGCAGAATGCATCAAGGTTGTGGATGAGATCTTATGCACATTTCCATGTTTCAAGGCGAAGAACGCCCAGGCTTTCATTATTGTCAATCATTCAGATATTTTAAACAGCGCTATTGATTTTGCTTTCGGAAGCTCGAACACCTTATCTCAATCTCGTCGATATGAGCTCATGGGTGTGTTGTCCCAATTAGGAGTAGAGAGAGGCTCTGAAGACATTAAACGGTATTTGAGAGACGAATTCAAAATTCAACATACTGTGGTGAAAGACCTTATCGATCTCTTCAATTTCACAGTGGAACCGGAAAAGGCCCGGTTGAAACTACGCAAAATCATGGTGGACTCGCCTTTGCTTGCCAAAGTGGAACGCGCATTGAATGAGCTTCAAGAAATCTTGGATGTTCTTCAAAGTCTTGGTGTCAGCTCCACGGTCTCTTTCTGTCCTTTGAGCAACTACAATGCCAAATATTATGATGGCGCATTCATGTTTCAGGCCATTTACAGAATTGACAAGAACAGGAAATTCTCAAGGTTTGTCACTGGTGGAAGATACGATCGTCTTATCGACTCGCTATCTAATGATGGACTTACAAAATCTAGAACGCCACATGGAGTTGGATTTCAGCTCACAAGTACATTGTTGTTTTTGTTGATGAAAAATGCAGCGAAGAGGTCCCAATTGACGTTGGCCAACTCAAAAACGATGGGTAAATGGAGGAAATCGAGGTGTGATGTGCTTGTTACGAGTCTGCAAGAGTCTATCATCAAAGATTCCGGCTTCAAGGTACTTAATGAGTTGTGGGCGCACGGAATCAGCAGCGATTGGTTTTTTGCCAAATCCAACGAAGAGCTAAATAATCGTGCAATTGAGGATGGTTGTGATTGGATAGTGCAACTCAAGCAAAAAAATACAGGCCTGGGACGCCGGTCTAAGAAGAGCTCTTTCAAGCCGATTCGTGTTAAATCAATAGAAGCCAATAAGGACACTGATTTGGATTACGATGAGCTTTTGCACTTTCTTCTAAATGAGATCGAAGAGCGAAATGCCGAGGCGAACGAAGGCAGCTCATACATTGATAGGAAGGAGGACTTGAGTCAGACAAATGACGATTCTCGGATCGGCGAGCCACTTTTCAACCTCGATATTGACCAGCGTGTTATTGTTGTTTCCAACAGTGCACCACGGGGTAGAAAGAATAATAAAAAGGAAAAATGGGAACTTGAAAATGACTCAAAATTGGCGGGCGCTGACTTGATGAAAAGCCTAGCAAAAGCCCCAATTGTGACAGTGGATCTGAACGATTCTACACTAGATATGATTCTGTCCATGTCTCTCAACACACTGCAAGAAGAATGGCACAAGAAGCTTTTTTTCACTGACAACAAGTTACCTCGAAGCTATGCTGCTGCGATCTATGAAACTTTGAATAAGGAGGCAGCCAGGGGAGTACGCTGGGCTTTGTTGCACTCTCCGAAAACTGACAAGACGACTATTGTGGATTTACAGAGATGATCAGTGTCCCAGTAAGTCGATACACTGATATAATAATATATAAGCATAATAAATGGTATAAATTACGATGCTATATGACAAGTTCAAATTCCGACCGCACTCCTCGATAAACCAATGTAATATAGCCATCTTTATACTAGTTATTCATGAGAAGTTAGCAATCGCCACAGACAAAAAGGGGAAAAATGGAGCTTCATGCAGATTTGTTCATTGACTATACATTTGATAGCCTTATGGGGTATAGTCTTTGCGGACCAATATCAGGTCGCTTTCTGGTTCTATTAATCCCTTGTCTACATAAAATGCAAGTCCAACATTCGCTCTCAGGATTAAAGCACCCATTTTTTAAATGGTGCTGTCACGGAAAGAGGCGAAAGCATTTACTTGGCCCTCGTGAAGTTTCTCTTCCACTGCCAGTATTCCTCGAGTCGAAGTTCACTATATTCCGCATAATTGAAATCAATCGTGGAAAGCTCGCTCTGAATCATAGCCCAGATTCCCCAATAAAAGCCGGGCATACCGTAGTAACAAGCAATTTCGTCTATAAGGGCGCCTATCTCTTCACTGCTGGCGTCGATGTTGTTCAAATAACTCTTGCACCAATCAATCATGACAGGATTCGAAGCAGACGGTTCTGGAATGGCAGACCGGTCGCAGTCAAAACCTTGCCACTCCGCAAAATGATTGGCAATATCGAATGCTCGAGGAGCAGGAAGCATGTACTCGTAGTCAATGAACTTGAGAGGATTGTCTTCCAATGACGGAAGATGCAAAGTGTTGTGGTCTTTCGCCAAGTACTCCTGGAATTCTGACGTCTCCGGAATAATGATGTTTCCCGAAAGCAAATCGCAGTGTGACACCACCACGGGAGACTTGGAGGCACGTAAAAGCGTTGATTTTAGCCACTTGAGCTCTTCAAGAATTACATGCCGAATATTCTCGAGCGACACATCCTCCAGAGGCAAGTTCGCCTTGAAGACATTCACAAGAGCCTCATTTTCAGGCACGATCTGAATCCAGTCTTCCAAAAGATCCCACACGCTATTAATGGTTCTTTTGACTTTCTTGTCACGCTTCGACGATTTTTGCGAAGGTTTCGGCTGGCTTTGTTTCTTCAAGTTGGCTGTATACTTTCGGAGCTTCTCCACTCCGTCCTCAATGTACTCGCAGTTCACGCTGTTGTGCACGTTCCCAAGCTGTTGTGCAATCAACGGGAATAATCCGGGGTGGCTCAATTCCTTTGGGTCCAAGGAACGGCCTGGGAAAAACCCATAAATGAGCCCGTTGCTAAAACGAGCATGGATTGGCGGCGCCAACTTCAATGAATTAAGCACCAAATGAGACACAAACTCGCGGTGACGATCTATAATGAGATTGGTTCCTTTTCCGTACACACGCATCAAAAGCGTTTCTTGGCCATGCGTACACGACAAGAGCATGTTTGTGATTCCGCCTGTGAGCTGCTTGATTGCAACGTCGGCTTTCCAATCGGGGAAAATCTTGGTCAAAAGCTGTTTGATCTGGGTATAGTCGCTGGTCAAGTTCGTTTCGAGGTCCACAAAGTACTCGGGCATGTACACGGCATGAGTCGAGTACTCATTCAACACAGACTCAATGCTGACTTCGGACGCCAAGTCGATGTTCATACGGGACACGATTTCCGCCTCATTGTCCGAATCGTCCTGCGAGCTTCGGAGCACGGCCAAACGGCTGGGCGTTTTCGGCAGCACGCTGCCGTTGGATGCAGCTGGCGGCAACGCCTCCTCGTTTTTTGCAGCCTCCTCGTTATCTTCCTCCGCTGTGTTGGCAAGTTGTGTAGTGTCCGACTCGAGGTCTGACAAGGACGGGTTGTTGAGCGTGTACAACAAACTTTTGTTTTTAAAACTCCCCGCAGTGGGGCACAGGGCCTTTGGCACAGCCAAGGTGTCCTGGTGTGTCGATATCTCTGGCTTTCTGGCCAATTTTTCTGGCGGTGGAACCGATGAAGACGGCGTGAAGACTGTCACGGGAATACAATGCACGGCCCCGCCAGACAATATGCAGTATACTGGAGACGACATGGGGAAAAGTATCGGCCAGCTAAAGATTATCTATGAGAAGAACGAGTGGAAAAAACGAAATGTGGATCCGGAGGAGATAAAGACGCTCACTAACTATCGCCAATGTTTGTTCCTGCACACAGGGCCCGGGCTCGTGATCTGGCTACGTTATAACCACCTGAAGAAAATGGTGAAACGAGAGGAGATTAGTTGGTTCGTATGGCAGGCAAAAGTAGATAGGTACGGATATGTGTGTCTTGTGAATTGAATATATATATATGTATATGTATATTTTTTTTGGTGCTCAATTAAGGCAGGTTTCGTACAAGAAAAGTCTTGTGCAGAGGAATTGGATTTAAGGTCTTGTGACGACGGCGAATTTCCGTATTTGACGGAAGGAGATTTGTTTCGTAAATCTGGAATTACGTTAAAATGAATATTGTGAGAAAGTATCTGAATGATTTACGAAGGTGCCTTAGAATTGTGGATGCTCAATCTGCATGTGAAAGTTGACGATAAGGTGAGAAACGTATACCGGTTTCAAAATGGCTACTGAAATACTGACTATGAAAGTGAAATTTTTCTCATCACATTATGAGAAGGTCCGTAGTTGAGCCGAATTTCATTTACTACTCTTTCTTATTAAATCCGGCGTGCCTGATTTTCTTGACAGGCTAAAGGTCTGGCCTTTACTTTTATCTTCAGCAAGTTCTGCTATGATGGTTATCCGATAACGTTGCATTTGCTTAATCATCAGTGGCTATCATGTCTGAAAGCGCAATTTTTGAGCTCAAAAACTATGATGACTGTCATTATTGTTGCATTTGAACGATTATTTAGGTTGGGCATTTGAAAATGGGAAAATTGAAAGTCTTCACATGTATGTATGCCGACACAAGTGATCAACCTTTTTCTTTTTCCTAGGTGGGTCAGAATGACGCTTGGGGATTATCATAGTAGTGTACTTCATGATCTATATAGTGAAATCAAGGAAATTCCTTATCAGTCAATGTACGTTTCCAAAGAGTTGGATCATGTTACAAATATACTCTGATTGTATCGACCGGTATGTATCTCCAATGCTTCAATCGCATTTACTATGCTTCCTTTTGAGGGTATCGAACTTCCATGCATAATGTATCTCCTCTTGTGCTTACAAGCATCACCAATTTGCACCAGGAGAAGATTTAACCGTTAAGTTCATTGTTCATTGTTCATTTGTTTCCTATGCTACTCTCTTCTTCTTTGATTATCCTTACTTAGTCTTTATTCTGCAATCTCAAACCTCCTCTACAGGCAGGTACCCAGACTCTGGGGCTATCTCCTCCTGGTCAATAAGTAGACGTGGCTCGTAGCATCGTAAAGCGCCAAAGCTAGGGAAGAGCCGAAAGTACAGCCACGTGGCAATCACTGCTCCAAGAACCAGCCCGACAAAAACATCAATAAAGTGGTGTCTGTAGTCTTCCGTTCTGCTCAAGGCAATCAACATGGCGCCCAAAGTAGGCAAGAAAGCCAATGCAGAGCGCCATGCGCCTGTTTGCGGCCGTGTAACTGTGAGTTGGCCCAGAAGCCAAAACAGCAAGTAAAGAAGACCGCCAAACGCAATGCTCGAGTGGCCCAGCGGCGTCGTGCGGAAGCCGTCCATCAAACGGTCGATGTTGTCTGTCGTGCACACATCTTTGGCCAACACCATGATGTCTTTTGGTGCGTCTGCCTTTGGGATACAGCGGGCGAGGAAGTCGGGTCTGTGGCGGCCAAAGGCGTTTTTGAGCACGCCTGTGATGATGCTGGACGTGAGCGTAGATATGCAAATGCCCAATACCGACACGTACGTGACGTAAAGCTTGTTTTTCGGCTTCGTGATCACAAGAGAAAGAACAGCGATGGCCAGAAGCGGGATCCAGGCAGCATACCAAAAAAGCTCGTCGCTAGTCACACGCTCATGTTCGGCAAACGGGTGTGAGATGGTAAGATCGTTGATGTAGAACTGCCGCTGGAAAGGTTGAAGATCGTTGACTATAGGGTAGAGAACCATAAGAAGGGCCACGAAAAGAATATCTGTAAGCCGCCAGTGGATCACGTGGCGGCCGCCTTTGATGTTTTCAAGCCCAAAAGTGCTCCGGGTAAAGCCCTGGAGGTAGTTTTTGAATTTGTCCATAAAGAAAGTGGGAGTAGGAACGTGTTGATAAAGGTCACATGACGCTGTTTCGCGTGTGATAAAAGCCGCACCCTAGTAGTACCAGATAAGAAATGAGAATAGATTAGGAAAGAGCAGACATAGGTAAAACCTTAAGAAAATAAGAATTAGCTCAAAGATCATCAAAAAAGAGAGATGTGGTTTTCTTTCATATGATTTGATCATTTTATGGGATTCACTTTGAGATTGCAGTAAACTGCATTTTAATAAACTTATAAGTAATTTAAGAGTTTGAGATGGCCGGATGAATGTGATAATGTGATTCTTGTTGTTTTTTTGTTTTGTTTTGTTTTTTACGTTTTCTTTAATTTTGATTGCTAGAACGAATGAAATTAAACTTTCTGAATGTTATTTTGCAGTTCGGATAGATTTTGTAGGTTTGTGTTGGACAATTAACAATGCCATATCTAGCTTTCAGTCCAGTGATGCAATTGATTCCGTTTATTAGGATTGTTGTGAATTCTTGAGGCTTGAAATCATCATTGAGATATTCCAGATTATAGTCGAATCCAAATATCAACATTACATTCAATGAATCATGACGATTCACCAAAATACAGAACATAGAAGGTCCTGTTTCTTATTTCAATCCAGCGTCGAACCGTAAAATTTTCGTTTCGCCCTTGTTTATAGACAACAGAACATTGATCACAGCGTATACAACGTCAGACCTTTTAATGCTTCTTTCTTTATTCAACAATAAAGATCATGCCAAGTAGTTGGCATTGGTGTCTGATTTCATATCCTCTCGCCGTTAAATACTATCTCCTTTCAACTCTACACCTCTTTGAACAGATGAGATCCCGTACTATACGACACTGGGCCACTTCCAAGACCAAGAATCCATGCTCCCATCTACGGCTTACTTTTCGCTCTTAAAACTCCCGCCTTGGTTTGTCTTACCTTCATTTCCATTCATCGAAATCTGCTTTGACACATACAAATCAGAGAAGCAATATCGTAAAAGCAACGTAATGGCAAAGGCAGTCTCATTCAGTATGGAAACGCTCGCGCATCTTTTCTATGGCCTAAAACGAAGCAAACACCACAAAAAATAATTCATCCTGCCTTCCACCGCCAGACAAAATTTCCCCAGAAACTCCAGACTATATTTATTTCGAATCTATTCCCAGATCTATCAAAATGCCAAACTCTATCAAAATCCCAAACTACCAAAGTCTGCCACATTCATCCGTCTATCGTGGCCTGCACAGGGCCTCGCAACTTATCTCCATGTTTAGACAAATACATCTACCACCTTATTCTCCAGGTCATTGTTGGGGCTTATCTTAGATTGCATCGTCGCCAGAATTGCACTGATCCGCTTCTAAAAAAGTTGTTTTCTCCCACACATGAACAGCTTGTACGGCAACGAAGATCCGTTTGAAAACGGATGGGCGTCTGAAGGCAACCCGCCTTCTGCTCCTGGCTATGGAACACAATCGGCATTTCTCACATCGCTGCAGTTGCTTGACCACTCGTCATCGGCGCCGGCAGAAACCCCGGCCGAGGCTATTCCGGCGCAGTACAAGAGTGTTTTTGCCAATTTGAGGCGGCTCTTGGTTCTGGAATCCGATCTCCAGACACACTTGCTTGGGCCGCTAGTCGCCGAAGGGCTTCTCACGTCGTACCAATGCACTCGGATCATCCAGGTGGTGCAAGACCACAATTTGCAGCCGCTCACGGCGGAAAACAACTTCGTCCAGGTTTTGGGGCTTGTGGCGCTAGAACTCGAAAACGCCGGCACGGGCGATTACGTGACGCTCCAGTACCGCAAGAACACGGCGCTTCCTGAGTTGCCAGCGGCAGCTGTGGCTGCTTTGGCTGCCGAAAGTGCAAATCCCGAATCGGCTCTGACCCCCATTTCGGAAGGCTTCCCGGACCCATTGTCTGCGTCCGTAGGCAACAGCGATGGCCAGACGTGGCCCGAGGAGACAGACGCGCTTTTGGCCGACCAGTCGGCTCTTCTGATCGATACGGTCGGGCCGGAAGCACCTCCTGACTCGGCATACATATCGAAGTACTTGGGCGAGATGCGTGACCGGTTCAAGCCGTTGGTTGGAGCGGGCGACGCCGTGAAAATCAAGGAGGTTCCAGAAAAGGAAGGACTACTTTTCAAGCACATTAATTACGCAATCACCCACGAGCTTCATTTGGGCTTGCATGGACCATCTGGACCCAAGAAGGTTGTGCGGCGGTACTCGGACTTTGTGTGGCTTCTTGAGTTTCTTTTGCAAAAGTACCCGTTCCGGGTCATTCCAGGGCTTCCGCCCAAAAAATTCACTGGTATGTGTTACTGATACTGTGGTTTTACACCAACAATACTAACCGTCATAGTAGGAGCTTCCCCAGATTCGCAGTTTTTGCAGAGAAGACGTCGCGGCTTGCACCGCTTTCTCAATCAGCTAGTCAAGCATCCTGTTTTGCGTCTGGAGCCCATGGTTGTGACTTTTCTCAGTGTGCCTACAGACTTGGTTTCGTGGCGCAAACAGGCTAGAGTAGATTACTCTTTGGAGTTCAAGGGCCAGAAAATCTCTGCTTCGTTTATTAATGGCATATGGCCAGCAGTGGGAACCCAGTTTTTGCAGGACTGGGCAACCGCCGAAAAAGCTGTGCCGAAACTCATTGAAACGTGGACTAAAATGGTGATGTTGGTGGAGCGTCACGAAAAGCGCCAGCAGCAGATTGCGTTTGACAACTCCAAGTTTGTAGAGACGCTCACAAAGTTTACAGACCTTGACACGGGCATCTATCCGCATCAGGACGAAAACAATGCTATCGCCGCTTTGAATCGCCATGACACATTGACCCTCAACGACTCCTTGGCGGGAATTGCATCCTTTTTCAACAAAACCTCAACGCTCTTGGTCGATGAGAGTTTTGCCATCAACACACGGGTGTTGGAAAAATTCAAAAACTTTTTGGACTATCTTTACTCGTTGCAAGAGTTGTTTGACCGGGCCAAGCGGCTTTCTGTCAACACCATTCCGCAACTTCAACAGCGGATCCAGGAATACCAGCAGAAGTACGATAAGCTCAATACCGACGGCGTTGATGTGAAGGGAAGCGAACTTCATAAAATACGCCAGGCTATAATCAACGACAAACAGGAAATGTTCCAGCAGCTCAACAAGGACTGGCTCATCAAGAGCTGCTGTTTGGAGGAGTTTGTCATGTTCCAGGAGACACAGTTCCTTGTGTCTGAGGCGTGGGCAGAGTGGTGTCGTGGCCGCTACAAGTTTCACGAGAAGATATCTGGACTCTACGACGGCGTCAACAGCGAGATAGTGCCAGACATGCCAATGAGCAGATGAGGGAGTAATTCGCAAATTCACAAGCACAAATAAGCAAATGCATTAATCTACATGTGGCTATAGGCTCTTTTTTTGTTTGGGACAATGTTGTAGATTTTAGTCGCATGTAGCAGACATTATTGATAGGGAACCATATACCCTTGATTTGCTTCTGGACATCGATACATTCAAAATTAAGTAGAAGGCCTCAGCCAAGTTTGAATGGCCTCGACGTATGCATAGTTGGAGGCGATTTATCAACAACTAAATGTCTTGCAGATTTGTGAGGTTCAGTCCTTCGCTATCATTTAACATTTGAGAGCTTGTCTGTCTTGCCTGCCGATTCTGTCTAGATATTTGTTGAATCTATTAGCCCTGATTCTCTTTTGTCCCATCTCCAATGCTCTCTTTCTTCTGTTAATTCTCGTGTGACTCTGTTTCGCATCTCTAATGCTCTCTCTTTTGTTAATTCTCGTGTGACTCTCTTCTGTCAAGTCTCGGAACCTTGTTTTTCCTGCGTTTCGAGCCACTGCTCCCACCGCCTCACCACACTGTGGTCTTCTGTCATGTGCAACTTCTCATTGAAATGTTTCTGGTCTAGCACTTTCGAAATGCCCAACTCTTCCTTGGCCTGAGCAAATTCCGCTTTTCCGTGCAAACGTGCCAAAATACGGCCCACTCGAAGTCCCAACTGGGCCCCTTCAGGATACGCATCGTCGAAACCCTTTTGCAACTCCAGCTCTTGCGTGACGGTGATTCCATCCAAATATCCCTGGTTCACGTGCGCACGTTGTATGTCAGCATATGGCGACACGTGTTCATCATCGCTAGCCCATACATCTGCGTCATCCGTGTCGGCTGTTTTTTCAGGCCTTTTTTTGCACTTTCCGTTGCAAGACATGAGTTGGTTGAAGCGAAGAGGGCCCTGGATGGATAAGGGGGGTTGTATGCAAGACTGGAGATGGTGGCAGTATGGAAAGTATATTGAATGACAATTGTGAACAAAAACAGTAGAGTGTAGAAATGTGTTATTGCTTGTTTTATCATCAGGATTGCATGGTTAGAGTTTGATGGCATGCGTTATGCATCCTGGTGGATAACGATAATGAATGAGACAAGTTGAGAATTATGTGAAACTTTAGCTTGCAGATATATCGGCAATTTCTTACACTTGTGTCGTTGAAGGGGATCTACTTTGTGTAGATAAGTCATATCGCCTTGTAGCTTCAGAATTGATTTATAGATCATCACCGCTTTATGACACCTGGATACTTTATCCATTTCATGTTCTAAATCTTGACAATCGTCCATTTCATTAGTTTTATTATTGAGTTTTAAGATATTCTAGGATGACTTGCCTCAAGTTCTAAAATCCCATCTTTCGTTTTCGGCCACTTGGGTTGAAATAATACTACTCTTTAATTGAATAGAGAGAAACACTATGCGCAATCACAGTAGGGGATATGTAGTTACCTTTTAGTCATAGCCAGCAGACACAAGCTTACAATGATAGAGAAAGAAAAGTAGTAGGAACCGGTAAGTTCTTTTTGTAACCCAATTTGTGGAGGTTGGTGGGTGACACAAACAGGATTTGCACCCGTACATCCTATACTTACACCTGTACCTCCCAAAACACCCATGCACCATGGAAAAACCCGTGCATTCGACTAAACACCCGTACATTTCTTGATAAAACCCATACACCATATAGAACATCCGTACATCCTGGTGTTTAAAACCCAAACACCACAAATGTAACACCCGTGCACCTCATAGTTAAGCTGCACGCCGTCCCATCCTTCGTCAGAAGCGTTCGCAGACTTGAAATTCAGCGTCTAGCGCGGTTCGAACGCAAGCTTTGCATGAAAACTGAAGCCCCAAAAGAACAAGTTTTATTCAAATACGAAAGAGAAAGAATCTATTGTTGTTCCATCGTAAGAATTAAATGTACTAGACGTGCCCAATCCGGACCGGAAGGTTTGGTTATAGACATTGCTTACTACTAGACTTTACTACTAGACATCGCAATAGACATGCTAGACTTATAGATTTAGTGGACTTACTAGTAGAATTACTAGTGTAATTACTAGTAGAATTACTAGTGGAATTACTAGTGGAATTTCTTGTGGAATTACTAGTAGAATTACTAGTAGAATTACTAGTAGAATTCCTAGTAGAATTACTAGTAGAATTTCTAGTAGAATTTCTAGTAGATACTCAATCGGTTTATGAAAGCGGATTTGAAAAAATTGCCAGAAAAGTTATGTCTTCATGTTCTTATGTCTTCATTGTAGTATCTTCAAGTGTACCATTTGCTGGCTATTCTAGAGACTGAGAAAACACCCAGACACCACGGACGGCTACACCTGGAACCACATCCACCTTACCGCCCACGGAATTTAGAACCCTGCAGTTTAGTGTATTGGAGTCACAAAGCCTTTTCCTCTTCTCCTCCTTCAAGTCCTTCTTCCGCCGTTTCTGTGGCCCGTTTTCCCATGGTTGCTGGCACAATGGTCTGCGCACGTGACCCGCTATCGTTTTTGCACATTATCCGACAAACAAAAAACCCCTCTCAACAACTATTCATCCAGGTGCTGGCACACCTACAGTTTTCAGTCGATAGACGCGTCATCCCAAGCATCAAAGCGTGTTTCCAGCTGAGACTTCACGCACGCCTGAAGTTTCTTTCAGTTCCAGCTGGCCGTTCCTACTATTCAGCTTCTTATCAGAGCCCTGGCATAATTTGTTGGACCTAGCTCCTTCAGTTTCTATTTCCGCCGGCTACACCATCCATCATCAGATTTCAGACTTTGGTTTTGCACTTTCATTTGGTACTTTGTTTGCAATTCGATTTCTGATTATTTTTTCTGATTATTGATTTCTGCCATTTGAGCTTCTACATTTCATTCTCACATTCTCCCATCCGTCAATCTCAACATGGCGCAGAATCTTGTCACCCAAGTGACCCAGGAAACCATGGGCGTGCCCATGCAATACGACGAAATCACGCCTTCGGACGCCAACTCCAAAATCCACATGGACATCCGTGGGCATCCTTTCACCACCACCAGAGACGAGCTCATGAGCTTGCCCGAGAGCATTTTGTTGAGCTTGTTCCCCAACGGCGTCTTTTTGGACCAGCAGGGCCAGGTCATCACCAACTTGACCGAGGAAGATGTTGTCTACGTGAACTTTGATCCTCAGTGTTTCGAGTACATATTGGCGACGTTTGGCCAGGCACAGAAGGACCTCCAGGCGATGCTGGGGCTTTCGCCGCAGGCCAGTGGCGCCAGCCGAATCGACCTGGCGGCGTCGGTTTTGCAGTCGAAACCGGCCATTATCGTTTTGCGCGAGGACTTGGACTTTTACGTGATTCCGCCCGTCGCAGGCTGTTCGCCCGCCGATATGCGCCACCTCAAGCTCGAGGTGGGCCAGTATATCCTGCAGCAGCAACTGGTTTTCTCTGGCTTGGGCTACGACCCACTGGTTCCGCCCACGGTGCCCCAGAAATTGGGCGCCGCCGAACAGCATCTTTTCGACATGCTCTGCACCTCGGGCTTCACGCGCTCCGAGCTGTGGGGCAGCAGGGCCATGGCGCCCGACCGCTGTGTGGTGCAGCTGTTGCTGTTGGTGCGGTTGTCCACGGCGTCGCCCACTCCGCCCGAATCTCCCTCGTTGACTCCAGTCAAGTCTGAAGCTTCGGTCAGTCTGCGGCTGAGGCTGCGCATTGCGAGCTTGGCCAGTCTGGCCAGCCGTGCGGCGCTGCGGTCGATGTCCCGGTCGAAAAAGGCCGAGAGCACGCCAACAAAGTTGTTGTTGTTTTGGCGCAAGCCGGCCCGTAAATGTTGGTGGGCCAGTGACTCGGTGTCGGTCAACACGAGCGGGCTGGGGCTCGCCCATCTAGGCGCTGCGGTGGATGTGAAGGTCCACGTGCGCCGTGTGTGGACGTTGGAGTTGTCTGTGGTTGGTGTGCAGTGATTGATAATTCTGTGTTCAGGGAGGCCTTCTGAAAATCATCAGACTGCTGTTAGAAGTCCAAGTGCTTAGAAGTCCAAGTGCTTAGAAGTCCAAGTGCTTAGAAGTCCAAGTGCTTAGAAGTCCAAGTGCTTAGAAGTCCATTGCTGTAAGTAACTGCTGTTACAGAAATCATTGTGGATGCCTCCAGCACGAAGTCAGATGTATACAGAAGATGCTTTCCTAGCCTGTTCCACTTCCACCTCCCCCCGCGCCCCTCCTTCGCTCTTTCGTTCACTTCTCGTCTGTACCATTCTCCTGCACTAGACAGGCCACTTCTAGATAGTAATACTAATATAATCCAAGGAGTATTGAGTTGGTGTAAAGGCTGTAGTGTCAGACAGTCGGAGTACTTGCAAGTAATTGAATTCTATTCTACCTATCTCTAATTATGAAGCTGATAATAAAGAGTTCGATTATATATTATGTTCTATCAACAAGTCTGCTTGACCGTGATCAAGATATCAATCTAGGACAAAGAACGTATGGTTAATTTGCTACACTTCAAAAGACTTGAACCAGGCTGTTTACTAATATAAACTACAATGAAGTTTCTTCTTCATAAGCTATATTCGATATTATGCATGGGAAGTATAAAGATGGTCCGTGTCTGTTATCTCGTACGTGGCAGGTCAATAACGAATAAGACTCAAGAAGATAGTATTGTTAATATTACGCAACCAGAGTAGAACACCCATCATTTAACGTTAGCTCCAATACTCAGCAGTGATGTCATATTCATTTTATTCTTATGACTGGAAAGTTAATCTCACGACCTCCTCTGTACCAAATTCTCCACCATTGTTCAGTCTGATAGAAATTCAAACTAACTGAATTTGAAACCCTTCGAGACAAGAAATAATACTAGGAGTATAGTGACGTCCACCCTAGAATCTAGACTACATCAGTATGGTGCCAATTGTTCTAACATACTGTCCCGGATGAATTATCAATTTGTATATGCGTTGTAGATAACATAATGAAAAGGAGGCATTCAACAACTTTCCGACAGCTTGCCTGCTTTTGATATGAATCTTTTTATAAATTGGAGAAAATCCTTCTGTTTCGATTATTTGATTTTTGGTGCTTAATTTGCTAAATGACTTTTGAGTAACTAGAAAACTCATGTACATCATCAGTCAGCTGCGTTTACAGTCCTTTGATGCACAACTACCAAACTCATTCGTTGTACCATTGAGCTTAACAGGAATGGAAAGAAATTGGAGGTTCTCTTTAAGATCCTCGTTTGTTAGCTAATCTGCTTGATATGTACGTCTATTAAATCTTGCGGCCCAAGTTCCTAATTGCACATTTTCAAAACGAATCAGAACCATCATTTACGTATTCCACATCGTTTTGTTAATTCTAGGATGTTGATTCTAGGATGTTGACTCTATTGGTGTTAATTCTATCTGTGGTCCTTTCCGCAATAAATTGCTAATTGACCGAGCTCATCAGGTTTTCACAATAAATCCTACAAGGAATACTGTAACAAAGGGCAGTTGTCTGTTCTATTTAATGCCTCCCTTCTGTCAAACTTATCTCGCATGTTAACTAAAGAACTTGGCAGAGTCAAATTCAAAGCTCCCTGCGACTTAAAGAGGTAGGCGTGTTACTTCTAAGAGACAAGTGTTGTTTTCTTTTCATGGGACTTTAACCTTAACCAGAAAACTCAGGGCCTAGTTTCCCTACTGTGTTTTTTGTTTGTAACCATTTATGTTATTCTGAACCAGATGTCTCTCTTCAGGTTCAGAAGGTTTCTGAGTAAACCAATCAATGGGTTGCTGATTGGCTTTAGCCTCAATTGCTTAATGATCGACCATCTCTTAACCCACCTACGTATTATTCTCTTGACATACCTCTAATCCCACCTACGCATTATTCTTTGACACCTCTTATCTCACCTATTGCTCCCCATTTCTCATTCCCTCCATTATTAGTCTCCATTATTAGTCTCCATTATTACTCTCTATTACTCTATTACTCTATTACTCTCTATTACTCTATTACTCTATTACTCTCTATCATCTCTACTCTCGATTATCTCTACTCTCTATTATCTCTTATCCTCTTCCTTTCTTCTACGCGTCGCGGTCTGCGAAAAAATCACCTACACACCTACACCTTCACATTTCTAGAAACACACTTTCTTGTTTCCATCATGCTGTCGTACGACCAGGAAAGACTCGACCACACGCCGTGGGTCGAAAAGTACCGCCCCAAGAAACTCGACGACGTGGCGTCGCAGGACCACGCCGTTCGCGTGCTCCAGAAAACCCTCCAGCTGGCCAACTTGCCACACATGCTCTTCTACGGCCCGCCTGGAACCGGCAAAACATCCACGGTGTTGGCGCTTGCCAAACAGCTCTACGGCCCGCGGTTGTACCGTCTGCGGGTGCTTGAGCTCAACGCGTCGGACGAACGAGGCATTCTGATAGTGCGCCAGAAGATCAAAAACTTTGCCCGGCTCACGGTGTCGAACCCGTCGCCCGAGGACTTGCGCGAGTACCCGTGTCCGCCGTACAAGATCATCATCTTGGACGAGGCCGACTCCATGACCAACGATGCGCAATCGGCGTTGCGGCGCACCATGGAAAACTACTCGGGCGTGACGCGTTTCTGCTTGATTTGCAACTACATCACGCGCATCATCGACCCGTTGGCGCTGCGGTGCTCCAAGTTCCGCTTCCGCCTGTTGGACGGCGAAAACGCCTTGCTGCGCTTGCGCTATGTCGTGGAGCAGGAACACATCCCGCTTGCGCTGGATCTGGTGCTCAATGACATTTTGGCCGTCTCGGGCGGCGACTTGCGGAAAGCCATCACGTATTTGCAGTCGGCCACGCGCCTGGGCGACGCTGGCGGCGTTTCGCTGGCCAAAATCAAGGAGATTTCGGGCGTCGTGGATGATGCGCTGATGGAGACTTTGGTCGGGGCCATTCGGGCGAAAAACCCAAAGCAGATTGCTCAGGTGGTCAAGGACACCGTCCTCGAGGGCTGGAGCGCCCAGCAGACGGCGGCACAGCTCCACGATGTGTTTCTTCTTGACGACGCCTTGTCCTCGCAGGAAAAGAACGACATTGCCCGTCTTTTGTTTGAAACAGACAAGCGCTTGAACAGTGGAACCGACGAGCATATCCAATTGTTGAACTTGTCTCTTCAGATCGCAGGTGCATTGGCATGAGGGAAAGAGAGAATAGAGCGCTGGGATAATTGATATGAGCAACGGTACTCGTATTTACCAGCATGTTCTACGTCAGGTGGAATCAGAAATCACAAAGATGCATATCAGCATAAAGCAACTATGAGGTGTATCCGGGCTATGTAGACGTTCAATAAACAGTGGACAACTGGAACGGATCTGAGAGACGTTTAGATACAAGCTGAAGTAACGGAACAATGCTTCATTTATTAGTACATTTTCTGGAACTTCTGTGAAGTCATGTCGCTGTGTTAATTTTGAGTGCTCAAATGATTTCTCCCAACTTAATACATCATTATATAATAATAAAATTAGAAATCATATATTATCTAAAACATCTATAATAGATACTACCTTTAGATGAATCTAATTTACGCAATAATTCATGATTATCAGATTTTACTGATGCAGATGGTAATTTTAGTATTATTTTATATAAAAAAATATCAGGATCTTGTCTGTATTCAACTTCCATTCTGCCTTAAATTCGGTACTCTAGAAGACCTTTTGATGACTGTTTTAAAGACGTGCTGGAGGGTACTTATTTAGGCCCACAATCTGAGGCAAGCCATACTCGTTCTACAATTCTTCTTCCGTCTACTGACTCTCATCTTGCCCGAGAATTTATTCACTATAGTTTCGGTGCTCCAATCTCCTTCACGCAGCTACTTCTGCTGTGGAACATGTTGCGGAGGAAAATCTTGCCGCATTCCCGGCTGATAACCGTAGAACGGAGGATATCCCTGTATAGGCTGGCCCTGGGGGCCGTTTTGGCCCATTGGCATCTGGCCCTGACGAACACCAGGCGGCACCATTCCTGGAGGAAACATACCTGGTGGAGGTGGATATGGGTAGAACTGTTGGGGCAAGCCAGGAGCCATGCCTGGCGACATTCCCGGGCCCATTCCTGGTGCTCCCGGCGCTCCCTGCTTTTCCTTGAACGTTTCGCGAGGCTGGCCAGCTTGCATCCGGAGCATGCCCGGCGACATTTGGCCCTGGGGCCCAGAACCCGCCTGCAAGTTTGGAGGGCCCTGCGTGGGGCTGTTCTGGCCGTCTTGGCGCTTGTTCAACAAGGAGAGGAAAAACGTATCGTTGGTGGGGCCAGCCATGCCGGGGAGCGGCGGATGCGTGTTTTGAACGAGTCCAGGAGGCTGGAAACGGCCCTGTGGCGTGTTTGGGCCTTGAAATCCCGGAGGCATGTTTGGATGGTGAAGTCCTGGAGGCCCGTTCGGCTGGGGCTCGTTGAGTCTGCTCTGGGGGCCTTGTGGCATGTTTCCTGGCGGTGCGTTCTGGATAGGAGAGCTGTGAAGGCCAGGAGGCGCATTGGGAAGACCCGCTGGCGTGCTTTGGAGGCCAGGAGGAGGCCCTTTCTGGGATGGTGTGTTTTGCAGCCCATTCTGGAGGCCCGGCCCGTTTTGGAGGCCTGGTGGTCCCTTCTGGAGACCTGGCGGTCCCTTTTGAAGGCCTGGTGGCCCGTTCTGGAGTCCGAAAGGAGCCTGGGGCACTTGCGGCAACAGACTGCGGCCCATCTGCAGATTCTGGGGGCCAGGCGAGTCGCTGGAGCCGGTGAAGAAACGCAGGCCCTCGCTTTTGGTCGAGCTCAAGCTGCTGGTAGATGCAGCTTTGGCCTTGGGCTCCTCGCCAAAGAACGACAGAAAGCGCGAGCTCTTGGCTTCTGCGGCCTTCACGTTGGCCCTGGCGTCGGCTTTGGGGCCCGTGTCTTCTTTGACAAAGGAGAAGAAACTGTCTACTTCGTTGGTACTTCCAGCGTCTGCCAAGTCCAGGCCATGTTTCTTGCGCTCCTCCTGGCGCATGTTGCGTTTCCAGCGCTCAAAGTCCTCGACCGTCAGACCCATTTCCATTTTGAGGTCGTCTTTCAAGTCGTGGGTATCCCATTCTGGTTCGGCCTCATCAGGCGTTTCGCCCAAGAGCTGCGAGATTTTTTCGGCCAGCATGGTGTCCAACTCGGAATTCTTGACAAATCCGTTGGGCTGGCGCTCCCACAACGCCGCGTTGACGCCCTGGTTAGATGTATTATTGTTTCGGCGGCTTTTCCTTCCTCCGGCGCCGTTGCGAGACTCCTTCTCGGTATTCTTGGCCGGACGGCCCAGCTTGAGCGCCCAGAACGACGCGTCGGGGAGCTGCAGCAGGTCAAACTGTGCCACGGCTGCCGAAGATCGCAACGAAAGCAAAAACTCAATGGAGTAGGCGTTGGTCTTCTTCTGCAGCACAAACTCCAGGATCGACACCCGGTGCGCTGGTGCCGGCGACACGGCGTCTGCGCGTGCCTCGGACTCGGGCGTCAGCTCCTTGGCAGCGTTGGCCATGGCCGAGTCTAGTAGTTTCGATAACGCGCTTCCAGGCTCTAATCGGCTGTAAAGAGATTGGTCAGCCACGTGGGCCGGATATTTGCCACCAGGGGTATTCTTTGATGTGTTTTCCGCTGGAGCCGCTGTGGCCAGCATGATTGCCGGGTCAGCAAAAGGCAGATTGGACATGGTTTTGGATTCTATCTCAATGCGAGTTCGGATCTGTTGAGGCGAGTTCGGATCAAAGGGAGAAAGGGAATGTCACGTGAGAGCTCTTGCTTTTTCAATTGGAAAAAGGCACTCTGGGAATGAAGGTTGGTGGGGTTTTTTTTGTATGGGTGGCAGAAAGGTGGAAGTTAGGGATTTGTGAGCGAAGAAAAGATGAAAGAGTGTGGGGTCGTGTAGAGACAAAAAAAACCGACTCCAAGCCAGTCTATATTGTGGCCAAGCAATGGGTTGGGCAGCGGGATGACAGGCGCTGTTGTCTAATACTTGTTTGTTGTTACATTCTGTTTTTTAAAATTTTTTGGTTTTTTATTTTTGGTGGCGGTTTTTCGTGTGGTTATTATCCATTGCTTGCGGTGCGAGAATATCCATTGATATTGCTAGGCCAATTTCAATCAATATGGCCAGGCTAATGTCAATGAAATTGTATTTAGTTAGTGTTTATTTGGCTGGTACATCTTTTGTATTGTAAGTGTATTGGATGAATTTGAGGTGTGGCTTACTTACTGTTTGATGTTCGTTTAGGTACCTCGATTCTTTCTTTTTTCATTTCTTTCTTTTTCACTATTCTTTTGTGATTTCATCCCGTCCTAAACTCTTCGATCTGTCTATACCTTTATTAGTAGTACAAAGGAACTCAATTTTTCTTATCAACACGTGAATCACTTGTTTTATTGTTTGTTGATGTTTTTCGCTCAGTTCCGTGGCACTTGCATAATTATATACCTAGATTGAACATTATCGAATTCTTATTGATTCGGCTTGTTTTTACTACTTGAAGTGCAGTTTGTCTTTCAGCGAATGAATGTCTGACATTGTAAGGTGATTGACTGCAAGCATGCTCTAAGTTTGATGGAAATTTATTACATTTATTACAATAAGCATACAAATCGAGTTTTCCATAACAGTCAAAGAAATGGCCCAGTAAGTCAGTTGATCGATGGTCAGTAATTTTTTCATTCCCATCGGCACCTTTTCGTTATTTTGAGCATTTTAGTGTATTTTGTTATTCTGTTTTCGAAAGAACTTTGTGGTCCCATGAGTAGAGAGAATTGAATTATTTAGGAAAACTACTTCAATTGCCAGTTAAACGTGTAGGTATCTTTCCCCTAAGTCCATTGAAAAAACACATCCAATTTAGCTGATCAATTTATTCCATTCTCTTCATTGTTTGAATCTGAATCCCCTGTCGTCTAGCATTTTGCTTTCTGAAGCCGAAAACACTGCAAAACATCTCCAATGATTCTTTATGGTTACTTGAAATTTCACCTCTTGATGATTTCTGTTCAGTTCTTTACCCTAATATTCTTTCTACATTATTCAAAAGTGAATCACTAGTTACTAAAATACAGCCAGCTTGCTGGTGAGCTCATGCCACAATGACATTGGAGCTTTCGGTATACTTTGCCTGCGCAATAGAAACGGTTTTCCCTGAAAGATCAAAGTACACGTACGCTTGTCTCAAGAAGATGTCACCCAAGATCTGCATCCCGTTGTGGTATGTGAATCCCAAGTAACATTTGTTGCCTTGTCTGCTGACGGCATCTTTGTAGGAAAAACGGACCTTGTTGGAGCCAAAGTCAAAGGTAAAGTACTTGTTGGGAGGCTGGTTACACCCCACTTCACGGTACACTATACCTCCGAGCTCGACAAGGGTAGGCTGAAATAGTTCGTCCAAGTGGTCTTGCACTTCCTTGGAAACAAAGCCCAACGACGTGCCCAGATCCAAAAGATAGGACGATTTGGCATAGAACGGCTTCCCATCCACATCAATGGACTCCACCCGGACCGCAAGGCCTCCGATCGAAGTATCGAGAGGATACACAGCCAAGAGATCTTCGTACTTCTCTGTATCTATGCCGCCGAAAATCACAGACCCATATTTGGATGTCCGCGAGTTGAGATACAACGAGAAGGACGCCTTGGCAATATAGCCCGCCTCTTTCAATGCCCAGATCAAGTTGTTATTGGTAAGTTCGGGGCTCTTTTCGTGCACACGGTCTGCCACGCCTAGAATGCCTGCCATTCCCGTTGCTTTCGTCTCCACGACGCCAAACTGGAAGTCGTTCAAAGTCACGGATCCACGGAAATCCGTCTTGAAAAAGCGAAAGATGTCTTCATAGTAGAGCCCAAGCGATTTCGTACCGTCGGCATACCCACTCAGGTAGTTCAGGGCTGTCTTTCTGGCCGATGACGACGTGCTAGGATTGAAGCTGCCGAATCCTGTGTCGTTTTGCATCAACCAAAGATGTGAAGACCCAGTGTCAAGAACCACAGTTGCCTTCTGGCGATCGGCACCCATATAAATGTTGAGCAAGTAGCTAATGTCGTTGTGGTTCTGGATGTCCAACCCATACACGGACCGCTTGCGATACTTCTGCATCTGCGACCAATACTCGTGGGCAGAGAGATCTCCAACTCTATTCAGAACCTCAAAGTCAAGTTTCAATGGCTGTGGCACGATTTGGCGCCGCGATGCCGGCGTGTTCGAAATGGCCCAGGCATTGGCCAAAGAAAAGAGGAGGAAAAAAATGCTCAGCGCAACCAAAGACAATTTCGCCGTGTGCATGTTCTTACCTTTGGAAGAAACCCTTCAAACGGCCCATATTTATAACCATGGCGAGAGATGAAAGTTTACGAGCGAGACGGGAACACAAAGCCCAAACTTGAGGCCATTCTATTGACGATTGTGCTAAAACCGGCGCGTGTTAGCCTCGCTTGCTATTTTTGTCGAAAATCTAAATTGTGTGCTGTCTTTTATCTGCCATATTATGCATGCAAAGGCGCCGAATAATGCACCTAAGTATAGGGCGCTCGGTATTTATGCACCTTGACGCAGGTACATTGTTCTCTTGTGTGCGCCAATACACTCCCATTGCGTTTTTGGGACGAAAAGTCGCCAAATCGGTAACCGTGGCTTGTCTACTTTGGGCTTTCTCGAGCGAAGTAGCGATTCCTTTTCGATTTTTCTTTTTTTTTTTCCTTTTCTTTAGTGTTTGGGTTCTTTCTTTGGAGGCGTCTTGTCGATAAAATACGCGTGCGAGAAATCGGTGTCGATTATTTCTTCAAAAGTACTAATGGGTCGAAGTGACAATGAAGACGTTTGTTGAGGGGCAAAAACATGGACAACGCCTTGGCACAGAAACAGAAAATAATTTACCCTCAAATTACTACACTAAACAAGTTGGGAGATATAGATTATGCTATCCTGAAAATTAGTACATGACAACGTTCCGAGTAACAGCCTGTGCATCTTAGCGCTGCAAAAACGGCGAATTCAATTTCCGTATCTCTCGGCACATGACAAACCAGTCGATTTCCCGCAAAACACAGCAACTGTGGGTGTCTTTGCCTCTGCTGCGCTCTTTTTCTTCCCACTTGAACAATTCATACATGAAGCGCAAGTTCGGTTGGATGACAATGTTGAGTCTCCTCACCCTCACATACAAATATGCTTGGGGGAGATTGAGTCCCAAACGGCGCATCACTTCAGCAATAACAACTGTGGCAGAGCGAGAGACTCCAACACGACAATGAACTAGAATCTTCGTGTTCCCATTCGTGCGGCGGTATTCTTGGTCGATCTGGTCCAAGACTTTAGGCAATGCCTTGGTGAGTTCATCAATACCATCGTCCTGGAGATTGTTGACCTTCATGACCCCGTCCACAGACGAATGGGTGCTGAACTTGTTGTGACTGGTTGGTTTTGGCGAGATGTTGAAAACCTCAATGTCGCCGTTATCAATTTCGTCGACAATGATATTGTTATTGTGCTGAAACTTGTGTCCGTTAAGCCAATCGAGCTCTTCGCCCACAGATATCACTTTTTTGATGCCTAGCTTGGTGAGAAGAGTCAAACTGTTGGCATGTTTCAACGAACCCAAATATAAATAGGGCAAGATCCGCGAAGGGAAAGATCCTTCGACTTCTTCAACCCAACTTCGATTGAGAAAAGATGAAGTTTCGTTCATGTCATCCTCATCTCCAGAAGAGTCCAGCGATGACTCAGAATCAGAATTCTCCGCAATATACCCAAGTCTGAGCTTCTTCGGTATGGCTTTCGGCGTATTAGAACGCTTTCCAAGCAAAATTTCATTGATGGTTCTGCTTGACGTGGTCTCGTAAGCAGCCCATTTTATGTCCGTGAGAACTAGAGGAGAGAACCTGCGAAGAAGAACCTCGAGTTTCTGGAGAACAGAAACATCGCTGTTAAAAATGTAGAACGGACGCCCATAATCCAGATGTAGTTTGAGCATGGCATCCTCCAAGGACACGTTTTCCGCGTACATTATATAACAGAGCGAAAGGAAGGACAGTTCGGTGTATCCGTCCGAGCAGTATATCAAGGACGCCAAACTATCGGGCCCCACAGACGATGAGTAAAGATAGAGGAGCTTGCAAGTGTTGACAATGCTCATAAGGCTCTCCTGCTTGCAGTCGCCAAACCCGATCGAACCAGCCGATGGGAATTCCAAATGGTGGATTTCATCGACATCTTCGGCTTTGTGCGACGTTATAGTGTACTTGAAGAGCAAATCAGATAGAACAGTTGGCGAAGGGAAAGATGCATCATTATGACAATGGACGAATAGTTTCCAATGGGCCCGCGGCATAGTCAACAAGCTGATTAGTTCTGCATCGCCGGGTAGATTGTCCTTTACGAGACACGAGTGTGCTGGGTCGTAGTATAGATGCCTTGGGTTATCCAAAGGTGTTATTTGCGTTTCGTAGTCCTCGTCCGTATCGCCCGCCTGTAGTCTCCAATGGTGCATCATAATCTGATAGTCCCATATGTTTCCCAGCCAGACATTCATGTGCAATTGGGTAGCAGACGACATTCTGGTGGTTTCGATTTTCTCCTTGACTTGGAGCCCCGAGTCCCACACAGAGAATATATCTGTTTTGAGCCCACGCATCGTGCTCAAAAGAAGTTGTGTTTTCTTCAGCGCCTCCGATCCGCTGGGGGCGCAAGCATCTTCGTTGGAAGTGAAAATATCCTGGCTCTGTTGCACATTGGCCCAAGTAAGCATGAAAATGTTGAAGGTCTCTCTGCTCAGTGATTTGTCACAAAGTTGCGCCACTCTTAAAAGCCGGGCCAAGGACAGACACTTGCAGTTCAGCAAATGGGATTTGCAGAAACAGTAAACGACAAAATCAGCACAATGTGCCAGCTTGGCCACTTGGATGTGGAAATTTCGAAGCGAAACTCCGCGGTTGGGGTCAAGGTCGAGGAAAACCGGAACGTAGCCCGTGGCAAAACAGTCGTTTGCAATCATTTCCGTGAGCGTAGCAATGTGCTCGTCATCATCTTCCGCCTGCGGGAATGCCTTGAGCACCAAGTTTTTCACTTGCAAAATCACCTCGTACCGCAGATACTCAATCTGCCGGAGAATTTCGCTGGCGCCCACTGAGTTTCGGAGTATTTTCTGTTCTGAAGAAGCAGCGGCGCCGCTATTGACGCACATGATGGAACGGGCATCTTTCGGTTTGGAAATGTCGACATCAAATGCTGCTGGAGAGGCTCCTGACTCGCGGGAGTTCTGGAGAAGCTTTTGTGAGATGAAAAAAGACCGCTGCGTAAAGTTATCTTTATGGAGCCCGTGGAGCCACGGGAACATCTGGTTTGTAGGAGGCAAAGGTCTGTTAAAATACCAGTGGAACACAGACGATAGCTGGGGCGGGCTGATGGCCCGGATATCAAAGATGCAATCGATTTCCGTCTCTGCTCGGACCGGGTCAAGATGGGTCTGGTAGAAAAGCGACCTCGAGTCTAGAGGCAGAACCGCTTCCGCTATAGAGTAGCGGAAAAGCAGCTCTGTCACCTCGTCGGTCGACGACACCTGCTCGTCCGGAACGTTGAGCTTTGTCGTTTTGGACCGCATGCTTCCGCAAACCTCGCAGTCGGCAGACGGCAGCTCAGAAATCAGCCATTTGTGGTCCGACGCATTGAAAGAGTCAAAACGGGCCCGGAACCGATCTCGCTCGTGGAGCACGTCGTTGGACGCGGAAGAAGACCGTTTTGTCTTTGAAGAGTGGGCATTCGGAGACTCGGCGTTTAGCTTGTTGTGTTTCTCTGTGCGTTTATGTTCCACGTTATGGTGCTCTTGTTTCTCCGTTCGTATTGTCTGTGAATCGGGGTTATCAAATACATCATTGTCTTCTTCGTCGTCGTTTTCATCCTCGTCTTCTTCGTCGTCGTCTTCATTATCTTCTTCTTCCTCAGCCTCTCGTACTATGAGAGGACATTTAAGTTCAATGTCGGGCAAGCATTCCACAAATGATTTCGACATCGTATCTTCCATAGTAACCACCGAAGGAAAATCTAGTGTGTTGGCATGAGACACTTTTTCTGTCAGCGTCATATGGACCTGCCACGGAAAATCCGGTGATTGTGGATCTTGGAAAAGATCTTAGAGCGAGGTGTTTTCACAAAAGAAATAGCCGATAGCCAAAATGAAACACTTGTGTGAGTAAATATGCAAGCGGAAAAGAAAATCGCTCGGATGAGTGAAAGTGGGCAAAAAGGGAAAGATAAGATAAGATGGCCCCGTTATGGAAAAAGATGATAAGGGTTTTGACGGGTCACGTGACCGTTCTTCTATCCATCTAGCCTTTTCTTGCTACCATAGTTCTTTGGTTGGCTTGGAATATTTGCTTCGTTCGGTTTTGCTACTGGCTTTATGTTTGGGTTATGGCATTGTGGTTCATGTTATGGTGTTTGTTGATGTTTCCAACATCTCACGATCATGCATTTTTTATGCGTTTATGTGAGCAATTTTAGGGTGGAAATAAAAATAACAAGAAAATAAATAGATTTAGTGGGAATAGATGGACTTCCGGGAGAATGATGCAGTAGAAGATAGAAAGTGTGGCAGATGTGGCAGAAGTGGTTCATTGACAAGGTTTTTGGGAATGGCGAACAGAATGCAATAATACTCCTTTCATGTTCCAAATTAGATTGTATACCTACCCTTTTTTTTTTGTCGCTCTACATCCGTTTCTTGTTTCAATCTTGTAGTACCTGTCATGTAATTGGAAACTTAAGTCTTATCAATCCATAGGCAGAACTGAAATGTCTCTATGATGCTATAGTCTAGCTTATACATTTCTTGTGGATCCTTTCATGCCAATGAATCTTCTACAATCACATTCCAGCAGTTGCTTCTGTGTTTCCATTTACATCTGCTCGATCATTGATATCCTCTCTCTTATCCGTCTAAATAAACTGGTACTGAGGCACCGTGATCCTACTTCAGTAAAGAGGTTCATAGAATACTAATAAATTCACCTTTATCATGTGGTTTCGTCAGTGCATTCTCGTAAGTAATTCTGCCCTTTGCGTCATAGCTAACTTCGTGCTTCTTGGCTCACTTATTGCTTCAGTTTACTTCTTCAACTTCGCTAGGATTGAATAATTCAATTTTGACTGATGATTTGTCTGTGAGTACATCACCAAAATCCCTAGAATCCTGCTAGCCTGGTACATTACTTTATTTCACTAAAAATATCTCTATTACTCATTCTCTCCTTCATCTACTCAGGGCTCGATATCTGTCGATGATATTTCTATTGCAGAGTGAATAGAAAATAGCTTGCTCAATGGATTTTTCACATACGTCGATTTTCTGTTCCGAAAGACTATTCTACAAAGCGTAACATGTCATCCCATCTTACCCAAGAATCATAACGTTAGGTTTTTCGGAGATTCAATGGACGCTTCGAATTTCATTTTCAATTGATTGTCCCAGGTGATTGAATATTCGTTTAATGTACACTTCACGTTCACATTATGCTGTACAGTGAAATTTTTCCTAGTACTATCAACATTAGAATTATGAACACTATGAATAGGTCTCCTGCCACTCTTTAGTTCATAATTATGGATCTTTTGCTACTTAACACTGGATTTTACTTTCCTTCCGTTGATACGACGCTATTTCTTTTCATTCATTAGGGCCGCGTTCTCCATTTTAGACCAGCTCACTGATCGTTTCTGCTACGTTGTCCACCTTTGAGCTTACGATCATTCCCCTATTCTATATCATTCTGTAATATAACATTCTTCTGTAACGTATTCCACATATTCTTCCACATATTCCACATATTCTTCCTCATATCATTCTTTCGTCAGCCCTAATTATTCCTACCACTATTATTACCATTCGTCTTCCCTTTCTCTTTCTCTCTCATTCTCATTCTCTCTCATTCCCATTCCCTCTCATTCCCATTCTCACTCTCCCATTCTCATTCATTCTCATTCATTCTCATTCTCATTCATTCCACACTTTTTCGCGCACACACCATCTAAAACAAACCACTATGGACGACAGCACCATCTTGGCACAGCTCGACCAGGCCCGCGAGTTGGCGTTTTCCAACCGTGATGTGTTCCCGCAAGTGGTCAAGCAGATTCTCAACCTCGTGTCCAACCCGTCCGCCGCCGTCCAGCGGTGGTGCAGTGTTTTCTTGAAACAGGCGTTTTCGGCGGCAGACAGCCACGTGCTGCCTGGGGTCAAGGTGGACTTGGCCATCGACGCGTTGCCGGCGCTCAAGGTGTTGGCCAACGTGCGGGACTTGGACGTGTTCAAAAACGCCATCGACGTGAGCATTCTTGTGTTCAAGCTCACGTTTCGGTACGTGGCGGAAAACGACGGCAGCTCGCACGTGTGGAGCGGCGTCAACGACTTGAAGAACGAGTTGGTGGCCAAGTTCGACACGCAGTTCCCCTTCGAGCTGACCTTCGACAAGGAACACGACTCCTTGCGCAACATCGACGCCAAGTTGGAGTTGCTCAAGTTCGTGGTCACCGTGGTGGACTACCAGCTGCGCTCGGTCTCGAGCAAGCACTACTCGTTGGCCCGCATCAACCCGAACCACACCTTGATCAAGCCCGCGCTCATGGAAAGCGAAGCCGCCGCCTTGGTGGATGTCATGTTGCGGACGCTCCAGAACGACATCTTGGTCACGCCGCTCGTCACCGCCACCCTCAACCACCTCGCCGTGCTTGTGCGCCGCAAAAGACAGTACATGGACAAGATCGTGCCCGTTTTGGAGCTGCTCGACACCACACAGAAACTCCAGTCCAACTACGAGTCGCTCGAAACGTTCAAGCTCTCGCGCAAGTACGTCGACCGTACGCTCCGTGTCTTGCTTGGCTACATGGTCAAGTGCCAGGTTGTTCCGCCCAAATACCAGGCCGCTGTGAGCCGAAAGCTTTCTGTTCTCACGGCGCGAGGCGACGAGATCCGCAAAAAGAACATCTTGTTGCCCTCGCCCGAAGACCTGGCTGTGCGCAAGCGCAAGCTTGACGGCTTCGAAAACAGCTCCAAAAAACTCCGCACAGTGGACTACAAGCACTTGTACTGCTTGACCGATCCGGCCAACGAACTCAACAACTTTGACTTGTCGACTGTGTCGCAGAACATCTTGGTGACGATGGCGCTCACAGCATTGAACAAGGTGGATCTGCGCAAGTTGTCCAAAGCGCTCGAAATCATCAGCGACCGCTATCTCGACGCAGTAAAAGATCTAGTTCCCACAGCAGCTCCGCAAACGATAAAACAAGAGGACGACAACGAAGACGATGACGAAGCAGCTGAGCTGTACAACCCAGAAACTACCTTCACCCTCCCGCCTCCGAAGTTGCTTTCTTTCCAAGAGAAAAAGGACCATGTGGCGCTCATAATCCGCAATTTCTTTGCGCTTGCCAACACGGGGAAACCGGCAGACGACGAGCTTCAGGCTGCCCCCAACGGCATCAGCAAAGAGCTCACGAAAGTGGCAATCCAGTCATGGCGCCAAGACTCGTGGGTGCTTCTTCTTACAAGGTTGGCCACCCGCGGGCTCCATACAGTGGACTCCGAATCAGCGGATGGAAAGGAGAATAGCGAGCTCAGCGATATGGTGAGACGGGCGCTCTTTGACCACTTTTTGGAGAAAATCCACGAACGCGTAGATCTCGTGATTGAATGGCTCAATGAAGAGTGGTACAGCGAAAAGGTGGTGAACGAGCAAAAGGCCCGTGATGAGATCCGCGAGAAATGGTTTAAGAAGTACGAGGAAACTCCAAACGAAGTCGACGATGTCGAGCTCCAGATTTCCAAAGAGGTCGAAGCTTTGGACATTCCTACGCCGCGCTACAACGAATGGGGCCAAAAGGTGTTGGACGCAATGATTCCGTTTTTGGAGCCAACTGACCGCAAAATCTTCCTCCGTTTGTTGAGTGATTTACCAACATTGACTCCAGAAATGGTTCACGGCATCAAATCTTTGTGCCAGGACCCTGCACGGACCAAGTTGGGCTTTTTGTCATTACAATTTTTGATGATGTATCGGCCTCCAGCCAAACCAGCATGTTTGGATGTTTTGCGTGAGTTGGCCGAAGGTGACCAGGAAGATTTGAAGGAGGAGGCCCAAAAGCTATTAACCAAATATGCGTAGGCCAGTTCCAACAAGAAACAGGGGAAAGGAGTTAGGATAGACACTCGAGGATCGACATGAGGTACCAAGCAAGCAGCTTTTCCTGACCTTGAGGAATTCTAAACTAGATTGTCGAACATTGATATTCAAGTATGAAGTCTCTAGGAGAATCAGACAGTGAGAGCATAATCAGCAATAAAGCATCTACAGATAACATGAACGAATCACTTGATCATACATGTAATTACATAAAGATGTAGATGGTGGTTGCGCCAATTCTATTGCTGTTAGTACATCACTTTACATCTCTTAGATACAGAATAATACAATACACGTACCTATTGACACAATTCAAGAAAAAAAAAAGAAAGAGAAGCATCTCTCGATCAAACTCCGTCCACATTTCAAACCTAGAAGCGTACTAAGCTCCAATTAGTGATGTTTAGCGTTTATTCTCTTCCAGAAAAGTATCTAGTTAATGATCTTGTTTGATGATCTAGTTTCGCTCTAGTTTAATGATCTGATTCGGTAATCTAGTGGTATTATTCATGATTGTAGTAGCATCAACAAGGTAACATCATCAAGTTAATATTATAAATTATATGTGATGGCGACCGTTTATAATCAAGAACTAGGTTGTTAATGAGCGCAAGTAATTTATGTAAGTGTACCTCATTACAATAGCCTCTGCATCCTCGCTGTATTCATGGTTCAAGTAAAGTCAAAAACCAGAATTTCTATCAGTTCAGAGATGCTCGTGTTAAAATCTGGCAAATGTGAGAAGTAGAAATCATTCTAAGTCAATTTAAGCGCAAAACAGAATATGATTTCCGTAAAGATGCGGAATCCAATATTTGTGTCTCAAAGAAAGATTTGAATCTTTTTTCTACATAATAAAATGGCCAGGGTGGGTCTTGGCAGAGGGTATATATTGCATAGTATGGCCGTTCGTCCAACTCCAATCACAACACAGCATGTCAGACGACTTCGAACGGTCATAGCCATTTTAAAGACCGAAGCGGTGAGAATGTTAAGTTGGTCGAAAAGAAGGTTGGTCGGACAAGATTTAGACTGCTGTATTCTCAGATCGATTTGAAATTCAAAGCAAGAGTATTCTAATCGAACTATGCTGAATAGCTGGAGCCGCATAACTCACCTTTTTACATATACGGCTTCTTCAATTAATAGGAAGCACAAAAAAGAACGGTTTTTTACGAACAAAGCACAAAGAGCTTAAATCTAGTCACAAGATGGAGAAGTTGTCACTTACAGGCAAATCACGGAAAGATGGTCAATGGCCGAAGTCCTATCTTTGGCCCTTTATTTGGCATGCCTCGTATATTGTAGATGTTACATAACAGAAAAGCCTCTACGAATTTGCATCGGGCTATTTGTGATTTGCTTGCAAAACTATTTTCAAACGAAAAAAATCGAATATACTAGAGCAGAGGAGGAAAACGAAAAAAAAAAAAAAAAATCAAAAAATAATTAAAAATAGACTAAAATAGATTCGCATCTCCACGCTCGCGTAAATTTCCACATGGCCTAAACGGGCAATTTCCAGCCCAGCCAATTCAGATCTCAGGAAAATCAACAAAGATACCAACAATAGACGACAAAACGGATTCTAATCAAGCCTCGCCGACAGGACGGATAAAAAAAAAACTTCGCTCACGGAATTTCCACTTTCCTCTTTGGATATGTCGTGATATGGCTAACGGTCGGTTCTCCAGGAGGTACGGGTGGGACCTGAACACTCGCGTCCTGTGACACATCAGAACATCCAGGGCCTAGACGTTATACCCTTGTCTTTTTGGCTCCAACTCCGTTTCTTCCTGCTCTTTGGGAAATCTTCCCGCTTACATTTCTTGTCTTTTTGAACCAACGGTATCAGATAGAGGCAACGAGCTCGAAGCCGCGACACTTTGCGAGACCACGTGAAAAGCTTTGGATTCCAGGTTTCGTCTAGTCTGAAACCGAGGATTCGAGTCAGAATTCGCCTTTGACCGATTGATCTGTCTTTTCTGGCGCTTTCATTCTGTCTAAAATTTGTCTCGTTAGCCAGATTCAGCTTTCGTGCGGCTGTTCTAATATTAGAAATTTAGCCTTCTCCTCAGTTTGGCCTTTGTAAACCTTGACCCTGCCATTCAGTCCATTCAGTCTGCCAGTCCATTCAGTCCAGTCTGACCTTTTCAGTCCACTCAGTCCAGTCTGACCTTTTCAGTCCCCGCATCTAACCCTAATTTCCATGCATCTTTCTGAAGAAGAAAAGGACGTGGACACGTCCACAGTCGATCTTATCAAGATCCACGAGCTCCACAACACGCGATTCTGGACAGTGATGTGCTACTTGGGCACGTGGTTTGTGATTTTGTTGAAGCTTGCCATTCTTGGTGCAGATACTTACACGTGTATCAGTATATTGGTTTTCCACCGGTGGTCGAGCGACGACTACCAGGTTTACGAGTTCCATGTGGCCAAGTGGCTCTTCACAGGATGTATTGTCTTCCGGTTTCTTTTGCTTGCGTGGCAGATCGCCTGGGCCATCCACATTTACCGAACGAAAAATATAGCGTTGGCATATCTCAATAACTATGCGTCGCTCATGTACAGCGTGCGGTCTTACGACTACCATTGTCTTTTCCATGCCATCGAGCGCGTGGGTTTTTTTGAATGGGCGGCGTTTTTCATCTACTTCAACCTAGACGACGCCTTGGAGGTGCTTGTTGCAGATTTGCCCCGTCAGGTGATCAATATCTTGACTCTTCGGTACTATGCTACTGGTGGCGATCTCAACAACGACGTGTTGCTGAATATCAAAACGATAGCCACCACCAACATTCGGCTAGCGGTCATTTTGTCTGTGCAGTTGTTGTCTGTGGCGATCTTTGCATTTTTCTTCTTCCAGTTTGTGCTTGCAATGATCTTTTTCATTCCCATCAAGGTCAAGCTCTCGGACAAGGGGTTCCGCCTGTTCAAAGCCTTCTGCTACCTGCGGGTGAACGAGAAGGTGCGTTTTCTTGTCTCGCGGAACCACAAGTCCAGAGCGCAGATATTGGACGAAGGCATCTTGGACGCGGCAGAAATCCGTGCCAATCCTTTGCTTTCGTCGTCCTCCACCTTCGACTTGGAGAACCAACCCTTCGACCGCTATAATCCGTTTGGAGAATCGGCGGTTCTGCTTGATAACCTCATGGATCGCAGACCTCCACGTGCCTACACAGCTTCTTCCTTGCGTGGCCCATTCACCCGACTGGGAAGTGCGAGCTCTCTCACTAAAATGCCGTTGGAAGAAACCACACTCGAAGAGAATCCGTTTGAAGGGCCTTTTGACCGCACAACTACGCTTGAGAGGAACACTTTTGGCGGCAGTTATGACCGCAAGGGCGCTTTCGATGGCAAAAAGATCTATGACCGTAAAGGAACCTTTGACAGTTCGTTTGAGCGCAAGGGAACGTTCGACAGCTCGTTCAAGCGCACAGAAACTTTTGACAGTTTGCTTGACCGCAAAGAAACATTCAATAGTTCGCTTGACCGCAAAGAGACATTCGGCAGACCGCTCGGGAAGAGAAAGATCGACCGCAAAGAAACGTTTGACTTTGCCAGCCCATTTCTGGATGCTCGCTCACAGTCTTTGGACCACTTTTCTGTCGAACGCACATTTGAACATTACCCAGCACCGTTCAGCGATACCAGAGAGGAAAAGGACGAGAAAGAAGATGTTTCTGTGCGGGCCACAGACTTGGGCCACACTGAGGCCATTTCGCTGCAATCAGAGCCTGCAACTGGGCTTGGGTCTACGCCAGAGAAAGAAGCAGAGCTTTTGGACGATGTCACGAGCCCGCTTCTAGACCAGGACGCTGCCAATGACCACAAGGCGCCGTATCCGGAAAGAGGCGTCTCGCGGTATTTTGAGGACTAGAACATGAATGAAGAACGGTCATTCAGAGTCTTGAAAGCTGGATGGTGAAGGCGCTCGCAGGGAGAAAATACCGTCGAGAAGAGGCGATCAGCTGAGCCGCTACGAAGCTGAAATGCCTCTTTGATGGATGAGCTAGATTATACCAGTTGCATTATTACAAAGCCATTCATACAAAGTCTTTCATACAGAGCTTTCATACAAAGCCTTTCATACAAAGCTTTCATACAAAGCCTTTCATACAAAGCCTTTCATACAAAGCCTTTCATGCAATGCCTTTCATACAAAGTTTATACAAAGTCTTTCATACAAAGCCTTCTAAGCGGTCGAGTCAATATTTAATATAACGCTTCCCACATATTGTTCTGAATGATGCGCCGTCTTATCCTTCCTGTCTATCACGTAGAGCTAGAGTCGCTACACTGTTCCATTGCTTCCTTTATTATGTACAAGAATCACCCTATTTGCTTTCGTATTCCTTCTTCAACTTGGCCAACTCCTCGTCGGAAATAGGAGGAATAGGAATGTCCGCAAACTCGTCTTTGCTAAGCACGTTCCACGTGTAGAGATACACGCCCAACGGAATCGAGCTCACAAGGAAAAACCCGGCAAAGTTCTTCCAGAAAAATGGCTTCCGAACCCTATACAAGGCCGGAGTCATCTGGAAAGTTTTGGGGTCCCTGTAGCGGTTGTGTCCTTTTCTGAGCTGTTAGTAGTTGTTTGGAGAAAGATTCCACGAGAAACATACGGTGCACCGATCACTGCCATTATGGTTGAAAGAAGACGGTTAGTTGTAGTGGGTTGATAATGCGGGCGTGCGCGCGCCAAATATACAGTAGGTGTTAGGTTTGTTACTTTTTCCATTTTTCCATTACACCTTTTTCATTTTATGTTTCTTGGTTTTCTTGTTTGATAATGTTTCGTCTTTATTGTTCATGTTTCTTCACTTCTTTATCATTTTCTTTGCTCCTTTATTTTTTATTCGTTGTTTGCTTATTCTGTAAGCTTAAATGCGCAATGTCAATGTATGGTACATTTGTCGTGATCTAGACTTTCCATCATCTTCATTTTCTTATCATGATCCTTCCACCTATTTTTTGTAGATTCCAGGATATAATTTTGTTATTTGAGCTGAAACAGGAAGCTGTCGCATCAAGAACCATAATGTCTATTGTTTATTGTACATCGAACTAGACTACAATTGTGCCTCTAAATTGCTTTACGGGTCTTCTATCCGAAAATACACACCAATGATTACTTCGTGAAAATTATGGATATGGACGTTTAGAGTTTTGAACATCCGGTCCACAATGTTGTTCAAGTTCCGTTGACTAGAGCAAAATGAGATCCTACAGTATAGTCTATTTGATGCAGTTCATTCCTAGATAGGTCACAATCTGGCAACTCGGGCCATTCTATATATGCAATCCACTTAAGCCTTGGTATATGAAGAGGTTTAGCTGATGGAATTTGTGTAGACCAAAGAACTCGTCGCTCAAAACTTGCTCATCCGTTGAACATATTAAGTTCTGCAAAATAGTCGTTGATTGAATTTGAATCACTTGCTAAACATCTTTTTAACCCTTCAAACGCTCAATTCTTCATGTACGCTCAATTCTTCAAACTTCTAGTAGTGGTTCAAGCGCCACAAGGTAATTCTTCCCACGTCGTTTCCGATAGCCAACATCTGGCCGTTTGGCGAAAACTCTGTAGTGGTGACACGGCCCAAAGGCGTTCCGCTCGTGGGCCAGTTGGAAAACACCGTTCCCAGCGGCATGTGGACCAATTTCAAAGCGTCCTTTTTCAGTTTCAGCGACACACAGAGCACTTGTCCATCTGGAGTAAACTTCAAGTCCGTGATGGCCGTGACCAAGTTGTCTACTACACACATGGGCGCCGGGTTGCCCAGGCCAAATGTTTCTCTATCGAAAACATTCACCACACCGGACTTTGTTCCCAAGGCAAGCCAGCGGCCGCACATGGCGATTTTCGTAACGGTGACCGCGGTCGGATCGGTCCAGCGGCGAATGATCCGAGTACCCTTGGCCTCCAAGTCAAACTCCCACACGTCGCCCGCGTGGTTGGCCACCACAATGAATTTTTCGTCCGCCGAAAACGCAAAGTCAGACACAAAGCCGTCGACACGGAATCCCCGCACATACTGGCCCGTGACGCCGTTGACCAAGTTGCACCAGCCCGACAGGCCTAGGAGCGCAATCCACTGCCCGCTTGGACTGACTTGGAAGTACTCGTACGACCGCTGGAACTTGTCCTGGCCGTACATACGCAGGATCTTCTCCACATCGCCCGACGTGAGATCCCAGCGGGTCATGTATCTTCTCCGGCCGGCTGCAAAAACCGCATTGCCGCCAAGGGGCAGAAACTTCACCGTCCGGAACGGCAGATCGCGGAAATGCACCAGCGAAACAAATGGATTGCGTTTGCCGTCAATGTGGTAGACCCGGAGCGTGCGGTCAAAGCCGCCGGTCACCAAAAGCGGCTGTTGTGCGTGGAAACTCATGCCCTGGATGCCGCCCCGCGAGCGTCTGGCCACGTTGGCGTCCTTGAGCCGCTGGATATCGATCCGGTTAGGCGGAAGTAGCTTGTGTGTGGTCTGGACATACTGCGTCGTGCGGGCAAGAAGCGCATGCAATCCAGGGAGGTTGAGCCCCACCTCGGCGTCTTCAGGCGCCTCCTCCAAGTACTCGTCGTCTGATTTCGCTTCGCTAGACCAGTTGTCGGCCCACTGTGGTCTCGGGTAGATTTTCTCGAACTGGGCGCGCAATCGCGCCGTGTAAACGGCGCCAGAGAGACTGGTCTCGTCCTCGGCCTGGCGCAACTTCTTGGCCCGGGTTGTGGTGACGCTGGCGCTGTTTTTCTCGTCGTCCGAGTCGATCCATGCCGTTTCTTCTTCTTCGGCGGCTATCTCCGTGTCTACGGCCATGTCGTCGCTCTCCGCCACCACGCCGGCACTTTCGTCGATGAAGAAGAGATCCTCGTTGTCCGTTTCGCTGTCGGACTCCTGTGGCGGGAATTCGTCCTCCTCATCGGAATATTCATAGAGATTTTCGATTTTGCGGAGATTGGCCTCGAAGCCCTCGTGGTCGCCGAAAACGAGCTTTTCGAGCGCCAACTCCTCTTCGTCTTTGATGCTGGCCATTTTGCAAAAAGTTCAGAGCTGTGGGATTTTTTTGCTGTGATGCTTTTTTTGATTTGGCACTTTGGCGTTTGGTGAGATTTTACTTTGCGATGCGCTCCTGCAGAAAATACAGGCTCATCACAAGAAGATGGAAACACTAAATTAAAAAAATATCAGTGGATATGGTTAGTGAATAAGATTAGCATATTTGGTTTGGTTGGTGTTTTCGGTAAATTTCCTTTTTTCTTTTTTTTTTTCTTCTTGTTCCAAATCCGAGTTTGGACATTGCAATGTTTTAAGGTGGACATCGCATTGCCAGACACAACAGTAATGGGTCCTGAAGTCTTTTATTTCTTTATTTTGTTGCTGTCTTCGGCCCCTGACTTTGAGCCAACTTCAATTTTAGATTGATATTTTGGTCTGAAATAGAGTAGTCTAATTGGTCAAATCGGTTTGAAATGACAGGGAATTGAAATATCTTGCAGCCTTTTGAAAAGTACTTTGTAATTTATCTATTCGGTATGTGTGAGCATAATTTAGAAATAAGTGAGAGGCAATATCTTATAATAATTATCTCGTCGCTTAATTGTTTCATGAATTTGGTAACTTCCTATCCGTATATGAAAAGCCTACTCAAATGTTTGACATGTAAGCCAGTGATTCCAGTCATGTTTCCCTAGTTTCAATAATGTTCATTGGCCACTAACACAACCTATCTGGAGTTCGAATCCTACTATTCTTGTGTATTTTTTCAGAGGTACTTTGTCCACTTTCCTGTCACTACTTGGTACATTAAGCGAATTATACTGTGACCATATATTGCAGTAAAGTCTTGAACCAAGTAACTTCTAGGTCATTGATGTACTCATCCGTTTTTAAGCCAACTACGCATACACCCACGCATTCTCTCTAAATGCTGTTCATTATATATACATCACTTTTTGAACTCCGTCAAAAAGCTCACATAGTACCGTTTAAAGTCCTTTGCGCTCAACTCCACTAGCTTGCCGCAAAAGTCCGATGCAATATCCTGGGCCAAACCCATATTAGTCAAGTAGTTGCCCAAATAGTTCACAAACTCTTGCTGAGTCAGCTGTTCCTGGTAAATTTTGAGCAACAGCGAAAGCTCCAGAGCAACATTACGGAGCTGTGCATCCTTCAAGTCGAAAGCCTGCTGCTGGAAAGGCAATGCAAAGCACAATTTCACGGTGTTTTCCATCAAATAGTCGTCGATTCCTTCAATTGGTGCGAGAGCCGCAGCAAACTTGTCCTTTTCATCCTTGATTTTACCACCATGGCATCCAAGAACAGTAATGACGTTTCCGAATTGGGTCACGGCCAATTTTGTAGTGGCAGTGTCTTCTAAATCGCATGCGTAATCGACCAAAGAAGTCAAGAGCTGAGGAAAGATGGGTTTGTTTGTCTCAGTCAAGAGCAAGGAAAACTGATTGTTAAGAACAATCATGCTGAGAAACGTAAGCAACGCCCGCTTTAAAGCGTATTTTTCCCGGACCAAGTTGGGGTTGTTTTCCTCCTCCATCAGAAGCATCTCAAAAATCTTGCGGATCATAGGTGTCAACAAGTCGTTCAACAACTGGAAAATTGCATCGTTGTTTTTGAACTGGTGTACAATCTGTCCAACAAAACCCGAAAAGTCCCCAAGCTCCTGGATTTTCAAGTTGGGCGCCGCCAAGATCAAAGAAACGAGCTTGCTCAAATGGGCACTGGATTGAATGTCCAAAATAGGCATCAACCGTGCAAATGCAAAACGAGAGGCGTCTCTCACACTCTCAAACTTGTTGAAGTTTTCCAACGTGATCAAAACAACCTGCGACGAGTTGCTGATCTTGCTGGCCAAATTTTCATCAGACTTGAAAGGGGAACTTCTTCCTGGGGCCTGTGTATCCAAGCCTTTGATTACTGTAGCCGTGGCCATGAGCAAGTGGTGGGCTTGCAAAGGAATCAATGGGTTGACATCTTTGTCCTCGCGAGAAATACATGTTTCCAAGCTGCTGAAGAGAGGTTGGAACAAAAGATCGACGCACTTGGCTGTGGTGGCTGGGGATCCGGTTAAAGATGCCAACATACCAACGGACTCAAACAAATAAAGCTGGCTGTTGAAGTTGCCGTTTTCAATCAAGTCGTCGTCCTCGTCTCTCGTGGGTAATTCTGCTTTGATCACAAGCAAAGGCTGGACTTTCATCAACAAATTTTCCAAAACAAACTCGTTCAATTTAGGCTTGGTGGCGCTGACAAAGCGGAAAAAGAGATACCAGGTTCTCAATCTGACGCTTTCCACTGAATTGAACAAGCCATACTCGGAAAAAAGTTCTATAATTTTTGTCACCAACTCCTCCAAGCTCGTGTTGGTGGTGTTATTGAAAGTTTTTGTGCTAAAGTGGCGGATAATCAACTCGAAAAAACCCAACTGGTTCTTCGGGTGGCTGATCAAACTGAAGTTGTTAATGAGTTTCACCAAAAAGTCTTGCACAGCCTGGTACGGCTTTGACGTGGCGATTTCGTTTTTCGGAAGATTGATCAAGTTGTTCTTCAACGAGTCGGCAAAGTTGCTCAACACATAGAGACCCAAGTCGACAGAGACCCAACTCAACGATGTGCTGTTGAAAATGGTGCTTTCTATCACTGCAGGAACAATTTCCAAGTACAATGGTGGTCTTAACACGGCAATGGTATCTTGCACAGTTTTCAAGCGCAGACGGACTTCTTGGAAGTCTTCATCGTCGTCAAAAGGATCGTCGTCTTCATCGTACTTCATCTTGTCAATGACTTTTCTCAATATGGTCGACAACAAGTCGTCTGTGGCCAAAGCGGGCACTTTTTTGCAGAGAAGCAAGAACAGCTGGAGGAATGGGAAAACTTGCAGAGAAACATCGTCGTAGTCGTGGCCCAAGAAGTCCAAGACAATCGGCCACAACTTGTGAAGTAGCGCGTTGATTTCGGGAAGCAAAGATGCATCGTTTTCCAAAACTATGGTCAACTCAAGCCCCATCTGGTTGGCTAGGCGGGACATGTCTTCGATGAAATCGACATCGTTGTCTTTCAACGAGCCCATGATCGACGCCAAATCTAAAATGCTAATGAGCTCTAGTTTGCTGGCGGGCTTCATTTTCTTCGAGATGATTTCCACAAGCGTCAGGCATGCTTGTCTTCTCAACTCGAACACGGACAAAAAATCGTAAATGAGAGGCAAGAAGCCGTTCTGGATAAACAACGTGAAATCCATCCAGTCCACATAGTACCCCACCAACTTGAGAGCATTTCCCTGCGCCGTTTCGTCTCTCACCAGTTGCAACACTGTTTTCCAGCTGTGGACAAGTTGCGGCATGTCCCGCTCACGAATCAAGTCCTTCAAGGCGTTGTTGCGGTCCTGGGTTTCTCGTGTTCTGGAAATGAGTTTGTCGCCAATCTCAGAGTGGATCAGGATCATGATGCGCAAGTAGTAGTCGACGCTAAGAATGTTGTTGGACAGTGCCAACAAAAGCAACGTCTTCAAAAAATCGGCGTCCACGGACGGATACACCAAGCAGAAGAGATGGCCAAACACGTCGGCCAACTTGTTCCGCAAGTAGACGGCATCGTCGCCGTCCAACGCAATGATGTCGTTGAGGTACTTGAACATGCTTGTGTTCAAGGTATACAACTGTTCTTGGGTCAACTTGTCGATGTTCTCGTCGAGCACCTGGAAAATGAAGAAGCGAAGCCCGTCGTTCAACTTGGTCCCTGCTGGGCTCGCCACCAAGAGATCAAGACATGTTTTGTATCCTTCTTCTGTGGCTTTGATTTCGTTGACAAACTGGATCGCCTGGTTCTTTAGACTGGCGTCTGCCGTGCCGCTCAAAGCGATCTCCACCGCCTGTAGGATCTGCTGCTCCATAAAGAGGAGAGAGCTTAAAAGAAGTAGAAAAACAAAAGGAAAAGACGAATTTTTGCTATCACCAATGTAAACTGGTATGCGCTTACTTAGAAAGGCTCAACTGGATCGGGCGATTTGATCTAAGAAAAAGACACGAGTGTGGCGCGGAATTAATTGTTTTTTCTTGTTTAGACAGAATGGCCTTTTCTTAGAAGCGGGTATTTGTCTGGATGCGCCGTCGGTCCTGATGAAAAAATGCCACCGACAGAAAAATTTGGACTTGCACTTGGTGATGGTGTCACGTGACCCAAACCCTACTAATTTTTGTTTCCGCTTAGCAGTTGGGGCAGCAGAATAGACCGGCGCTTCCACCTATTAGGCTCGAACTGCTGTTATGATAAGGCAATGACAGAGAAGGAAGATAAACAGTGGGCAGAGACTTTGGTCACGTGACTCTGTTCATCGTTGGAGGAGTTTTCAGCGCAGATATGGCGTGAAGTCGGCACCTGTCTTATCAGGAGCAGAATGAAAAAGCGAGAGCTTCAAGAAATCATGAATCTGTGGTATGTTAAAAACTAGCAGAAATCACAAGTTAGAGTAAAAAAGTTTTAGCTTGAATGGCCAATTACTCGGGTAAAGAATGAATCAAAAGTTACTTCTCTTTCTGGCAATCTATAAATTTTGATTAGACAGATGTGTCTTGAATGCTTCCGACTGAAATATCTGATTATTGCTGATCAACCTAATCGGTCAATTTGATTTTCTGCTAGACGGTAGAGTATCCGAGAGATTGTGGAATAATTTAGTCGATTCTTGAACTTATGACAGATTGTCAAAAAAAAGGGCAGATGGGCAATCGATTCCACTTTAGGAGATTCGTGAACAAAACGGGAAACAAATACAGTAACCCATTGAAATTCTGGTTCTGCAACCTAAAATTTCAGTGAAGAAACACATTAGACTACATTACATCAGGCACAATTTTCTCGTCTTGAATCAATGTTGAGCACGATCTTGCTCATTTGATAGATTGAAGTGAATTGATACCTAGAACATAAATACATGACTAGAATATACTATTCAATTGACAAGGCTGGATTTTTCAAAATAGAAGGCAGATTATATTCGTATTTCAGAAGTGGTGGGAATAGTCTCTAATACCGCTCATTTTTGTAGCTGTATTATGGGATATTAATAGATACACCTTGGACCAGATAACTCGTTCCAATTCAAACTCTGATGCCTTCTAAAACTAACCTGAAGGTGATAATGAAGGTTTTATCTGGTACCTTAAGTGCCAATGATCCCCCTTTCCTAATTCGGTTGAGATTATACTAATTAATTGAAGTGTCGATTGACCACCTATTTCCTAAGACAAGTTGTCCAAATGTATCTTCTATCGTCCAAATGGGGAAAACCATAGGAAACGTTTAATCTATTCGACCGTTCAAGGACGCAGAATATCTCCTTATAATAGGATAATCATGTCTTGAACTATAAAAATCGAACGTTAGATACTTCTTCTCAAACAATAAAGCACTGTGGAACCTCAAATTTGAATAACATTGTATATCTTGTCCTTCTTTGACTGTAATAACTGTAGACCCCACCATCATGGCACCCACACCGACCATAACAACAATTCTAAATGCTCCAGTGACCATTGGAACTATGACTCGGACATTCTCACCATATACATCCAAAACCCACCGTATAGCCATTAGGTTAACCGTATAATATTCTCCCACTGTACTTTATGGGGCCAATCTTACCACTCATGGGACTATGGAAACTATGATTGTCTTGAGGTGCAAGGCGGAATATTCTAACGCTGCACTTTTTCGGATTGTAAAGACCCTTTTCTCTAGACCGTTGAAATTTCCATTGAAGAGTTATGATTATTGTCTTAAATACAATCTCCTATATTCGGGCCACCAAGGGAAGCTTAAAATTTTTCACGAGATTTCAGTGTTGCATTATGAACACGATATACAAGTAATTGACATATGAGGAGCCTGGTGGAGCTATTGAAGTTCCAGAAGACCCAAGAGACTTAACAAGGACAAAGTCCCGAATCAAGCAAAAATCAAAGAAGAAACCTACGTATCGGTAGAAGTTCTTGATCTTCGAAATGATGACTTAAGTCTGTGGGAGGATATTGACCGCCGATCAAAAGTGTTTCTCGAAGAAATTCGCATCGAAAACTGCCCTATATAGTTATCTATTGATGAGGTAATGGCAAATATAATAGCACGGATTTGCAATCCCTTCAAGGCCAATATTCGCAAGATCAGCTCTTTACTGGATCAAGAAATCGAGAATGCCAAATTGTGTTTCATTTCCAAGGTGCGACAACGTCAAACATTAATTGCGAATGAAGAGCAATGAAATCGCTTGATTAACAAGCACAATATCTTCATTGAATGACTGTGATAAGGTTTGCTCCATTTAAGGTGCCAAAAGCCAATTGGCAAGTAAAGTGGCACTGCCACGGCTTAATAACGTATGTTCCCCGCACCACTATGCCTGATGAACAGCAAGGGAAGCCATCTACTTAACTGCTGGAATTGTATATATTTATTTATTCAACAATGTGCATTGGGCGTTACTATTACCGGTATACATCCACTTTCTGGGAATTTGTTCACGGTGCAAAGGCATCTGGAAGGAAGTGAAGATGCCGAGTTTTTGAAGAAGACTTTGGCGATAAAACGAGATTCCTTGGTAGAATCTACCATATGTGCTGTGGTCATAAACCCCGACTAGCAAAGCTTCTTCAGATATGGAAAATTGGGAAAGAAAAAGTACTGATAAGTGTTGAAGTAGTATGTGCAGAAGACGATACTATCAAACGGTTGTGCGATGCGATAACCGGAATTCTTCCGAATGCGGCACGGAATTTCCATCACCACTAAGCAAGACAAATGTCATCTTGCAAACTAGGATAAGGATTCTGAGGGCGATCATACGGCTGACCATAAATCTGACCATAAATCTGTTTGATCAGGTTTTCGATACATAATCTCGAAGTGAAAATCTCCGTAACCTCAGGCTATAACGATGCTATGTACATCTTGGGCAAAGAATCCCAAGGTTGCCACATTTGGACAGATCATGTCTGCTCCTTCGGCAACACCAGCAAAGGATTAAATATCATCCATCATTGGTGGGATGTATCCTGATCTCAATTTGATAATATTGCCACCAATTGGATAAAATATATTCTTCCCAAGGTCCTCCCAAAGGGATTTCTTCCATCTTATACTGGCTCGTACCGAGGCATATATTCATCTGTGGGCCGTTTCAGGGAGAACCGCTCCTACACCTATCTAGGACCTGATCTGTTTTTTTTT